CACACAGCCCTTCCCTCTCTACCTCCATCTCCCTTCCTCACTTCTTTCCTCCCGCCTCCCACCTACATACCCCTCTAGGCGGGGGAATTAACCTTCCAGCCCTCGGCTGCTGGGCTTAATGACTGTCTGTGGGGCCTGCCCCGACTACACAACCCAGCTGCTAACATCTGGGCCACACACACGCACACACGCACACACACACACACACACACACACACACACACACACACACACACACACACACACACACACACACACTCGTGCTGCCTTGCACACAAAGACATATACATGTGACACACATAAGGTGGGAGTCTTTGAATTTGTGCCACAATAAGTGGATCACTTTTATTCTTACTTTACTGCTGGCACACAAATGTGGGAGTTTATGTCCATTATTGCAGTTTATTACAGCATGCCTGACCCATAGTGGGACAAAAGATGCTGCAGTACTGAATAACTGCCTTTGTGTTTATAGACAGAGCAAATAGCCTGCACATATTTTCTACCCTGAGCCAGGGCACCATGTGTGCTGGACTATCAGCAGATCAAATGAAAAATACATGCACAGGGAAAATAAACATGACCTTTAAGTTGTCTTGCTAGGAGAGGTTTCAATATGTTCCAGTGAGCAAATGGCCATATTCTCCAGCCACCATTCAGTTGGAAGTATATAATTGACAAAGAGGGAGGGTGAGGAGAAGCAATATTCAGGGGAAAAAAATATCAAATATTCCACCGCGGAAGTGAATTCTTCGGCCCGTCTCTGTCTCCATCTAAGCAGCCGAGCAGATCACCCCAGGAGTATTCAGTATAGGAAATACAGTTATGGGGATACTCTCTATTCCATTCATTATGTATGAGCATAAATGTTACAAACTAGCAGCTGTGAAGACGTCCATGTTGCATCTGTATCTTTGAGGGCTGCACTGCTCCTTCCAAGCCAGCAATGTGAAATGCTAAATAATGGGATCCATGAATACTCCCCAGAAAGGCAGAATCGAAAGGAAGAAACTGCAGGCATGTTCCTCTGCTCTAGGAACCGGCTCACTGCAACTTTATTAAGCTGTTATTGTTAATTAATTCAAATCTGCTGAAACAAAACTTTTTAATGATCACTTTTTCCCTGTGTAGCTTTATTTAAATATTTACAAATCTGAGGGAAGACATGATAACTGTCATTTTTTGACGTTTATTTTTTCGGCTCACTTGACCCCCTTGCAACATCCGCCACCGATATTTTTCATTTTCACACCTTTCTTCATTCTTCAGTTTTCCTCTCTGCCTCTCTCCGTCTCTTCATGTTTGCCTCTGTCTTAGACTAAGGAGTGAGAGAAGGGGGAGTCCCATTGGCATTCTTTAACATCTCCGTTGCTTCGCTTGTGTTCAGAGAGCCATCTGTAGATCAGGAAGACAAAAAGACGCTCCTGCGCCTCAGCGTCACTCAACAGGTAAGCACAGCTCTGTTTCCTCTCATGCAAATGCACACACCTATTCAAAGACTCCAGGCTTTTTTTGAGGAAGGAGGTACCCCCTCTCTCTCTGTGTCTGTCTACCTCACTCTTCCTCTGTGTGCACCCTAGGCTGGCAGATGTGCTTGAGTCGGTGGAGGTTGAAAGGAGGTTTTTGCCTCTCTGTCTCTCAACTTTTTCCTGAGAAGAGCAGAAGTGCGAGTGTGTGTAGCGAAGTCAGAGTAATCCAGTAAACTTGAGCACTTTGGAGCAGCAGAAGAGCAGAGACAAAGCACACAAACACCCACACTGGGTTTCTTAGAGTGCCTCGAATTTGAACTGGACATGTTCACTGTCAAGCTGCTGAACTGCTCGACCGAGCTTAGACTGTATGATTTAGTCTACCCTCCAGGCTGTGGGCTGTTCTGTGCAGCGGGGTCTTCATCAAAATGCTGAAAGATTGTGGGGTTTTAATGCTCAATCAATGATTGGGATGTGATTAGATTCTATTGATAATCTAATCTGCATCTTTTAGAAACCCTCTTTATCAGCACTTCAGTGTTAAAGCAGTAATGTCTGAAAACTCAGCTTCTATAAGCTCCTGTAATTGGACCCACAGGCAACTGGTGAGAATGGAAAGAAGTTAGCTTGGTATTAAGATGTAGGACCACATCTGAATTGGATGGCTGCACGGTGGTTGAAACTTCATTTTCTGCACATTGACTGATTTCATGGGGTTTCACGTTAAATTGGCCCTGGATTGAGTGTATTGAGTCGTTTGATGATGTTATGAAAGACGCCATTAAAAATCTACCTGTCGGGGTCACGCTGAATGGTTCAGCTGCCTCAAATGCCCTTGCGGGAAGAGTGTCAGCCTTGTCTGTGAAAGCGAATCAAATTTCAAATCAAACTTTCTCATTTGCATTTGTAAGAAGCTGGTAAAGAACAAGGTCAAAAAAAACCTGTGGTAGTGAGTGCTGCTGTAGTAAGATACGGGTCTTTGTACATTTAAAGACAAATTAAATCTCAATTTAGACTCATACTTATCTAATGTGACGTATTTTGGAACTGTTTAATGACATATCTGAGTGACTCTGCAAATGCTACATCATCCCAGGTTCTCCTTTAAAAAAAAAAAAAAACACTTATCGCTAAATCAACAACCATGCGATTGGCTGTATGTGTAAAGCAATTAAGGCTGTTGTTTGAGTAGGTAATGGGAATGTGGGAGGTCAGGGAGTCTGTGTCTGCTTTAATTAAGAACACCAATGAAAACGGAGACTTGAGAGGCCAGCAACCTTCCTCTGTTGGCTAAACGTTTCTCTCCCTCACAGGGAATACCTGCCGTTTGGGATCTACTCCCCAAGCTGGGGTTTAAGAAACTTGAGTAAGTAACCATATAAGAAAAAAAAATGTCAACATAAGGTAGGGTTTGATGATTGTGTCTCTGAAACTTACATGAGGCGCAAAACGGCGACAGAGATAAAGAGAAGATAGCCACTTTAACCTTGGAGAAAAATGCTTTTTATTGAAGAGGAGCTGTAATTGCTCTTGTGTGTTCAAAGAGTATACTAGGGGGCTCTGAAATACACAAATGTGTTGAGAGCGAAAAAATAATTGAGTGTGAGTTAATTCTTATCAAAGCCTGTTGGAGTGCAACTAATCGACTGAGGGGAGATGCGTCAAAGAGCTGTTGCCTTCAATTCATTTTGTCTATTCAGATGAGAAAATATTTAGTTTTCAATTAAGTAAATCACTATTATTTGTTCCACTCCTGCAGCCGATAAATTGAAGTGATTATAAACTGACTTGAAATCCACAGAGGGCTCTTCCAGGTCAAATAAAGAGGAGTATTGGATGCAATGGGGCACAGATCCACAGTACAGCCTTCAGACAAAATGTTGTCTTGTGGATCTATTCACCACAAGTAAACTTGCCCTTGGCACTCTGTACTGTACTAAAGAGACAGTCGATGTGGGGAGAAGAGAGTAGGATGGACATGCAACAAAGGGCAAGGGCAAGAGTTGAACCTCTAACCAATGTGACAAGTACCATTGTTTCTGTACACGGGGAGCTTCCTCTGGAGGCTCTATACTTTAAAAAAAAAAAAGAGTATTTTCTCAGGGGGTTGTGGAATAAACAAAACAAAAAATCTTTAAAATGAACTTGCTTTTTTTACTTGGTGTTTTTTTTTTTTTCAATACATTGTATGTACTGGGAACATAATTTGATTCAGTGCTGTTTCTAGCTGGCAGCTAGAGCTTGGTATTCTCACACACTGGCTGCAGCAATACAGGGGTGGGGCTCCAATATCTCCAAACTGTAATGTTAAGAAGCAACTAGCAACCATTGTAACCAGAAACGAAATATGCAGCTCTAAGGCTTTTAAATGTTGAAGGAGATCCTGCATGTCAAGTGTCTGAATGACTACAGGTCTTCAACATTGCTTTTAAAGCTCAGTACATACCTCTTAAGCCCCTTTCAGACTGCCAGTGAGATATTTACGTCCTTGTAACAGCTGACCTACGATGTGTAACACACAGAGATAAAACGATGTCTAATTAAGCAGCTCCCCTGTTTCTGTTTAGTGTTAAAAACAGTTATGTAACATTTATAAACGTTGTGGTGAACTGTGTTGTTTGAAAAGACTCTCAATCCAAGTGCGTGCGTGCGTGCGTGCGTGCGTGCGTGTGTGTGTGTGTGTGTGTGAGAGCATGTTTGAATGTGTGTTGGAAAGCTTTGCGTCATGCCTCTTATGTCACATAAAATCACACACGAGGACCTCATTATTATACTCATTATGTTACAGGTACAAAGGCGTAAAACGTTGCAGAATTACAGTCCTCTTAGCACACACACACACACACATTTAACGTCAATCACAGTCTATGAAGCTTTTGGTTTCCATTCATTTAAGTATCATTTAGAAAATCCACATGGAGCAACTACCCAGTTTGCCATATCTCCTCTGAATTAGCACCATCAGCCTTTATTTAATATTTGTATCTAAGAGAAAACAAAATAAATAAAAGTATTTAAAGTAACGAACCATAAGTCCATTTGTATATTTGTAAAGTGTTAGTGCATTCTTTTGATTTCTCTTAACATTAGAACTGACCTATCCGACAGACTTGTAACACTAATTTACAAAAAAAATTCAAATCATAACTGAACCTTTTCAACACTTTTTCACATTTCTTTCTACTGCAGTTTTAATGGACTCACTGACTGATGGGTTCATCTTTTGACTGACAATAACAGCACAGTAATCGTGTCCTCGCTAAAAGATAGTAAAACTTGGGAGTAATGCTTCAAGTGCAGAACAAATACAGTTTAGCTTTTAAAACTTGAAATCAACAAGAAATGTAAACATGAAAAGGACAGTTTTCATCTGATGGCTCTCACACTCCACTACATCCACTACTTGATACAAATCCTTTTGAAAGCATATTCCTGCGTTTGGTGACATGGTATTTATGTTTGTTTCTCTTTTTTTTTTTTTCTTCCCCCGGTTGTTCCAGGTTTGTCGAAGGTCAGGTGTCAGCGAGTGAAATGGACTTCTTGTCAGCACGGATTGTGTCTCCCTTAACTCTACCCTTTCTGTGCATCATCTGGGGTAAGAGAATCAAATGTCACCATGGAGCTATCATTACAGTAACGGTGCCCTTTTCAGGTCCCATCTGTGTGGAACCTTGAGATTATTGAAGCTTTAATTAAATGTTCGCTGCAACATAATGGCTGCTGTTTGTTTACCTGTGCAATTCTCCTTTTCAATCTGGCTCATCCTCAAGTCACAGGTTTACAAGGATGCATGTAATCTAATAGAAAGTCAGTTAAACTAACCTTGTTAATCTCATCACAGCCTTTTAATCTTATACTAAGGAAATCTTGTTTGAGCAGGTACACTGCGGTACCTGTGAGCGAACTGTGGCATCCACTTAGGTCCTTCTTCAACTGCTGTTTCTTGGCATCTGAGCTTATTAAACACCGGCTAACAAAGCTAGGACAAACTTTGAACAGCTCTCGTGTTAATCATTGACAAACAGCAGCTGCATCTCTTTCACTGTCTTCCAAAGGTTGATATTTTTTCCTTGAACACATCCCAAGGTGCAAAGACACATTTTAATAGACCATTTATTACGGTGACAGGGGAACACAGTCCCAGGGTATTAATGTTTTATGTAAATCATTTAATCCAACTATTTCTTTAGATGTTTTATGCCAAGATGTTTACTGCATGGGACCATTGTGACTTTACTACCAGGTTGTTGTTTTGGCAGTTTACAGCTCAAGGTAAAGTGGTAGTATGCTGTGCTTGTTATCCTTGACGGCATGTTCCATCTATATTTACCTCTGGCATTGAGTCGTTTATTTTGATTGTAAATAACACTAAGAACATTTTATTCTGCTACCTGGTGATGTCTGCACTGGCTTTAATCCCAGCGGCGGTTCACAAAATCAAGGGCTGAATTATTCTTAATTTTGATCATATATACTGCTGCCTCATTACAGCAGAGAAGGTGCAGCTTTGACAAGAGGAGTTCAACCAAAACCTCAAAAAGCATCGTATATAGAGGGTTTGATTTACCCGCAGTGAAAAATGAGGGACAACAGTGAAGTGAGCACTCAGAAGCATTGTATACATATGTTATTCAAACATCAACTCTTGAATAAAGAATGGAAATCAATATTTCAGGCCTTACATTTTGACAGGTCATGGTAGGAAAGCATGCAGGTGTAATTAATGGCATTAATTAATGATGGCAGCTTTCCAGTTAGTTGTTGCGGTCTCAGCTCCCTGGTATTGTGCTGAAATAAAACTGAGCAGTCAATTGTGTAATTACTCACATCTTCACAATGAAAAGCCAGAATTGGTTTCAGTTGTTTTTTGTTTTCAGCCTGTTTACTTATTTTTCATTGAAACTGTAGGAATCTTTATTTTCATAAATATGTGAAAGGCAAGCAATGTGAAGTGACGAAGATTTCCACCTGCCCTCTTGTAAAAGTCTTGGCAGTATAAGACTTTAGAGACCACTTTAGCTAAAAAAAACTGGGTGGCTTAGCAGAAGGAAAATAATCCTTTGGTGTGAAATTAACTACTGATTTTTCACTTTCTGAAAAAAAGAAGGAGAATATGTTGAAAGGTAGGATAATAACATGACTCATACATTGCAGGGATAGCTTATGTGTGCTAAAATAAGCTAACTTGAATCACAGTAAGCTATACATTTATATTATCGAGGCCCTGAGTGGGAAAAAATGAGAGACTGTTCACTTTACTGCTTTTATAACCACATTGTGATGGGAAGTTGGTGTTTTTTATTCATTTAAAGGTTACATGCTCACTTTGGGACACAAAACCTTATCACTAGATATGTATATGGTATTTATTATTTCCTTATCTCAGAAAGCAACACTTTAGCAGCCACTGTAGATCAGCGTTGGGTATTCATTTATGTAAACTGTATGCAAATGTGCTGCTGTGTTTGGTTGTTTGTATGCATCCTCTGTAATGGCCAATCTTGCCCTTCATATTTGACGTGAGGTGACTGGTTCAGCCTTGATCTGAGAGCTCTGCCTCTCACTCATGTTGTCAGACGCAACAGAGCATGCACTTCACAAACAACTTGGTCATTGCTTCAATGAAGGTCAAGATTCAAACAGCCGAGCAGAGTCAGGCGGGCTTCTCTGTGGGGCATTGTTTAAACGAGATCCTCGCTTAGATATTAGGCTTTAATTGGAGTATGCAGTTGGTTGCGTTTGGCTCCTTGAACTGAATTTATTCATAAACCCCCATGTATAATAATCATATAATCCTTGCCTCAGTATTAGAGGCTCAGGGGTGGTCTGCTGTAAGGTTACCTTCTGAAGTCAAGTGCACTGCACCACAGAATGTCACCTAAGAGCCTGGTTAAAGGATGGTGACCCCACCTATGACAAACAAGGGGGATTAAAGTGATAATCATTAGTCTTCCCAGGAGGAATTAGCTGGTGGGACATCGACATTGAAGAAAAACCGCAGGTGAACGAGGTCTCTGATACCCCGTGTTTTTCCCTTCTTCCAATACCCTATCTGCATGGCCGAGGGGGGGATTTAATTCGCAGTAATTACTTTATTGACTCATTTTCAGGGCCGTATCACTGCAGCTTGCCATCAATAAAACATATGCCAGGATGAAAAATGTGGCCAGACACCACAGGGTGCCCCCTCAGACAAAAGACCTCAAGACAGACTCCCTGTGGTGTATGTTTACATCGTTCTCCCACTGCCGCCTTTTATTTCCTCCTTAGACATACTCATCCCTTGTTTTTCTCCACCTCTTTACATTTAATCCCATCACACCCTTCCTCCCCTCCTTCCCCATTTGTGTCTCCAGGCACACAGGCTCAGCAGGCCTTCAGGTCTGAGCCCCGGAACCTGACCGTGCGGATGGGAGCCACAGCTGTGTTGAGGTGTGAGGTGCTGAGGGCCTCAGGGACTGTGCAGTGGGTGAAAGATGGCCTCCTCCTGGGACCCCAGAGAAGCCTGCCAGGCTTTCCACGCTACAGCATGACTGGAAACCCCAAGAGAGGTAAACGGTGACACTCATGGAAATAAGGTCTGTGGCCTTTTGGGCTTTGATGAAGCTACTCGAACAAAATAAATTAACATGTTTTGTAAAATTTTCCCTTAAAAAATACTCACTGAGATTTGTCAACATAACTTTCCCAGGATTGAGTTTTGCTTACAATCAAGGGAGTTTGGCAAAGATTATAAAAACCACAAAGAAATAACCAGTTAAAGTAGAATAAGATAGTCTAACACAACAGTAGGCCACTGCGCAGGCTAAAACATGTCAAAAGAAGTATTTATGACAAAAAGAGTTTTATAAACCAAAGAAAGTAACACAATTATGTGCTGCCAACGTTAGACTTCTACCATATACTTTGGAATTTCATAGTGACATATAGGTATTATGGTTAACATTAATTACAGAGAAAGTGTCTAACACACAGCTTGACATGGCAACTTTTAAAGTAAATGAGACGATGTTGTTGCTATGGCTTCAAAGAGCGGTGATAAAGAAACATAGACACTATGGGAACCTTATGGCACACACTAGTCCTCAGTAAGCATCTGGGACCGAGGAGGTGATTTGATCATCAACAGCCTCTTACATATCCCCCCCTTGCTGTCACTCACTTGTTTAGATGATAAAAAAAGATACTAAAGCAACAGAGTGTCAGCAAATCAGTGAAATGTGGCAGGAAATAAAGTGTGTTGCAGAATCTGCACCACAGTCTATAAAAAGTAATAGCCAATTAGAAGGCAATCCTGTATAAGAGAAGAGCATCTGTTCCTGATCAGCTCGCAACGAGACGAGCCACACTTCACGGTTGCGGAGTGTGGGAGACCACCAGCAACACATAAACCCTGAGAGATGCAAAGATGCCCACACATTGTGCATGGTCTCTTACGCCCAGACTTTACGTGCAAATGAAAGGAAAAAACACTGAAATGTTATCTGTCAGCTGAAAAGCTGTCAGTGAGAAAACTGATGAGGCACGATAGCAAATACAGGATTAATAAAACCTTTTCATGGAGACGACAACAAAGTTGTAATATACATGCATGAACGGAAGGAAAACAAACCCAAACAAGCTGCCAAGCACTCAAACATGCACTCATGAATAAAATACCCATCAGCACAGGTACACTTCACCAGGAAAAGAAACTGCACACTGCACTCTGATGTATGCAATCACTTTACACAGCACAGAAAGGGCCAAATCATTTAAGATGACTCTTGTCTGCACTTGATACTCCACCACTTTTCACTGATTGTCACCATCAGAGGTGCTTAAAAAAGCCTGTAATCACACATTCACACACACACAGGAGAGACCAGCTCTAATTTGAACAGATATTTAGGCTACAGTATGCAGCCTTCCTGAGTGCACTCATGCAAGAGCAATAGGCTACATACTGGCGAAAAGAAATAGTGCACAACGGTCTGTGCTGTGAGAAAACGAACAAAATAATTAATCAAATTTGTTATGTAATGCACAAAGCATTAAGTGAGTTTTTCTTTATTTATTTTCAGTGATTGTTCTGTGAGGTGCAATTTAATTAAGTGCATGGAATGAAGCCAGTTAATCAAGAAAAACATAATTATGAATGAGCACCTTTGGTTAAAATTACAACGTAGACACTGGTGGTGTTGAATATATTAAATATCAGCTTACAAACAATCAACACTTTTACATTATTATCCGTAAGATTTGACCACAGTAAACCATTGTGTTTGTGTCGAATGTCTTTGAATTTTTCAGTAGTCTTTAATCTGAACTTTGTTATTTTGAGCGAAACATAAGTTTATGATGAAGGCCTGTCAGAGGCTTGACACTTGTCAAATGGGAAGATAATTTTACTCTTGTCAACATGAAACCTGGTTGTAGATGGTTTCTGCTTCGATCAGTTTTTGACAGCTTTAGTAGAACACTGAACGCATGACAACTAATAAGATTTCTGACAGGCTGTTTGACCCTTGGAACAGTTAAAACTATATACATGACATCACATATTGCAAGAGTTTTTGGTTAAAAAAAGACTTCAAAGATGCAATTAAGTGGAAGCAGTGAGGATGTTTTTTTTTTTCTTTTTTTTACCCATATTCTTTAATTGAAAATCTGAGCTCTGACTAGCCTTATTGTCCAAAGTTACAAAACAAACTTGAAAATAATCTAAATCGAACCTGATTAGCTGGCATGACAAAACATGGGATCATAGAAACAGTGGGTGAGCAATGCAATTTGGTTTGCAAAATGTGGCTAACCTTTGCAAACAAAACACCACCACCTTTCAGTCCTCTTTTCAAGTAACTATCCATATGCATGTGCTAGTTGGCAGGTGCTCTAGTTAAGCGGTTATACACCATATTAGCCAGACACAGTTTTCATTAGGGGTGTCCTGATCTGATATTGATACCGGATATTGGTCCATTATCAGCAAAAAAAAATATATATATATTGGATTATATCAGCCTTCATCTAAAATCTCCTGTATCAGCACTCCAAAACAAGCAGTCCATTCCAGACTCCATTCCAGCACCTCTGTTTAACAGCGCCCGGATCAAGAATGCATAGCCCACATGTTCACAACAACAGTTTGTACTAAGGTAGTGCTGCTGGCAACAAATAAGGGGGGTGGTATTCAGTCACTAAGTTTACTGAAGGTGTACATTCATTAGAGCTATATCTCTTTACATAGGCTGGTAGAAACATCTAGAATTTTGTAAGAATCAAGATCAGCAAAATCAACGACCTCGCCTAGTAAGCTAAAAAGATGCTTTTCTAGCTTTTAGATGAACACAAAGATGCATATTCACAGAGAAAAGAACATACTGTGCATAATTACTGTATAGATATACTATATTTCAACATTTTGAAGGCCCTTGCTGGAATAAATACAGAGTAATGGACAAAGAGGCAAATTGTGAAGCAGCCATCCACATCTCCCCTACCATAAATACACACTCTCTGCAGCTTGATTGCACTATTTGTGAGTAATTTCAGGAAAGAGGAATATGATTAATAACTTCAATGTCTCTCTCTCCCTGCACTCAATGATAACTTAGATGTGAAAATTGCTTCTGGTTGGTGTTAATTATCTTGCCAGCTTAGTTGACACGTGCATTTTTAGTCCTGGGTGCTTGTCAGACCAAGATACTATTTTGCACATGTTAGTGGGCTGTGAGCCAGAGAATCAGGAGCTGGAGAACCAACACTGAACATCATCTAATCCCCACAGGTTATGGCAGTGCATCAAACAAATCAAGCCCTGTTAGCATGCCAGACTATCAGAAGAGAGATACAGAGGGAAGGACTCGGCCTAGCGTCAATTAATAGACAGTTTATTCAGTCGGTGTGAATCGGGGATTGGATTTCATTTACCATACTGGAAATTCATTCTGTAACAAAATGTCTCCGCTAAGGCTATAACACAACCCTTTGCATGTCAATGGAAATGCCTGCAGCTGGAGGCTCTCAGCAAGTGAGCTGTTTTCATTTTACACAAATACAAAAATAGTCCATTTATTATCAAATCAAGCAGCCAAACGCCAGTAATAAGGAGAATATGTTACCTTATCGCGCTGAAATACCAGTGTCATTGCACAAATTGCTTTTAATGTTAATTTCCCCATTTCCCAAGTTTGAAATTGCCTTTAATTTAGACATTCTTAGATCAACAAAAAAAGAAATGGGGCCCGCAGGAGGTACTTCTCGAATATACATGCAACATCTCAGAACAGCAAGTGTTCCTTTCAGTGGGCTGTGAACAAGAAATGGAACCCCCCTCCTGGTAGTCATTAACATGTATTTACTGAGCACACTCTTATTAAGCGATAATGTTTGTAGAATTAATGTTTCTCTACCTCCTGTATTCTAGGACAGTATCATCTGCAAATTGAAAAAGCCCAACTGGATGACGACGCCCTCTATGAGTGTCAGGCAGGACGATCTGAGAGCAGTCTGGCGATCGTTTCCACGACAGCCTGGTTCAACGTGCAAAGTGAGTAAAACCATGTAGAGTGCAAACAGAGGGGATGCAGGGGCTCATAGACGTGTGTATTTTTTTACGTGAGAATGAGAAATAATGTATGTAAAAAGGCACAATGAGCATCCTCAGTACTCCTGTAACATACACAACCTCTTGACCGGTAATCAGCATATAAAGAGCTGTTAAATATTCATTTCTATTGATAACACGCTGTAATTTGCCCAAGATGAAGCATTTGCATCTGAATCAGCCAACACTTCAGTTTCCAAACTAATTGAAACAGTCTCTGCCACGGTAGAGCTGAGCACTTTTCTTCAAGCACAGATCATGTGTGAAGCATGGAGAAAGTCACAATTTTTCTAACTTTTCAAACAAAATGCATTTCTTATATCACCCCTGCGTGTTCCAATAGGTCTACAGCTTAAACCAGCAGCTGCTCAACACAAAGCATCAGCCGAGCCTGGATTTCCCAGGCAGCCTCGGGGTGATCCATGTCTCTCCCTTGCACAGGAATAAATTATAATAGAAGTGATTGAAAAGTTTCTACTCAGACATGCTGGAAAAGATGTAATTGTGTGACTACATTAGACCACCTGTTGTCACTCTGTTGCACCCGGTATCTCTCTTTCCCTGTCCCTCTTGCTTGTGGGAGCAAGCCCATATGTGGCGAGGGAAGGACTCTAAAAGACCCTTTCTTCTCCAGGCGCACTTCATTTACTCACACCCCCCCATCCCTATTCTCTGCATTTGCACAATTTCCCCCTCTCTGCCTTCCTCTCTTTCAGGCTTTCTCTTTGGTGACCATAGAGAGGAGGGGGAGGTTGCTTTGGCGATTCTAGCAGCCAGACTCTCCTCTGGGAAGAAAGCAGGTTTTTCTGACATCAATGAGGCGGTGGGAGGGATGGCGGGTGATGTGGGGAAGGAGGAAGCACAGACCACTGACGTCTCCTTTTGAATGGCTATGTTCTCCTCTATACTGCAGCGGTCTCATGTCCTACAGCAGGCCTTCACCTGCAGCCACAGCAGGATCGACTCCCACGTCTATTACCTCTACAATGCCTACAGCGTGTGCGCCCACATACACAAAATCAACACAATCGCTTCTGGCTTTGTGGAAAAGGTCAAAATGTGTGGGAATTCTGCTCATGTTGCATCAGGGGTAGCTGGTAGATGTATACGCCATGACTGAAACCGACTGCTGCCCTGTGTTTTCTGACATGCTCAGATCCGAATCCTCTCAGCTGGTGTGTTTGTTCAGCGTCTTGGGAACACTTCCCAGCTGTTGTCTGCCGAAGATGGACAGTTGCAGCTGTACTCTTGCAAAGGGCAAAGAGAGGAAGCCGCTGACTTCAAAAAAAGCGCTCTGTAGCCTTGGTCCTAAAGGGTCATTTGTTCCAGCCCACCAACCCAACTGATTCAAAATATGTGACTAATCTGGTGCTTTATAACGAGCTGATGAATTCAATCTCCTGTTAGTGCTGATCTGGGAATGGAAACTGTGCATCCCTTTGAAGAGCACTGTCTCTGATGAGTTCCCTGTGGACTTCTCCATCACTGAACTACAGCTCCCAAGGCCCCACACCCCTGGCCACTCAAGCATGGCTGTATCCCATCAAGCCCTGCATCAAATCAAAACACTATAAAGACTTTATGAGGAGATACAGTGGGGGGAGAGAGGGGAGGAATGTGAAAACAAAACAGAGATTGCTGGTCAAATAATTGGATTCTTGGGTCAGAGAGAGTGCTATCATGACCGGCTAATTCAAGATGGATCACCACAGGCAGTAAGTAGCGGGGATGGAGGCAAAAATGTCAATAAGCCCCATCCGTGGGCTTACACAGAGATGTTTTCAAGACATTTCCATTGGTGCAACATAACTCCTGTGTGTTTTTGCCTTCCTGCGGAGCTTAGATAGGGGATTACTGCAATAGGCAGATCAAGTGGCAGTGAGTAATCCATGACAATAACAACCTCTACTCTCTCTGACGAAGCCCCCCCTCCTCGGCTAAAAACTTACCCCGCACTGTGCCCGTCACATACCTGACACATCCTGTGTCTCGGTTTATACCATTAGCCTTAGCATTTAATCCTATTAATGAACAACTCTCTCCCTCACTGCAGAGCATGCCTGCGCTGATGCCTCCTGCTAATGTTCAAAAACAGTTATTTGATGTGTTCTGGTTTTAGACTGTGTTACTCATTCAGTCAGGTCTTACAGCAATAGGTGTGTGCGTGCCTGTGCCCATGTGTGTAAGCTTATTACCAGCGTTGGTTTGAGGTTAGAGGACATTTTGGGAACCAGAGCTATGGTGAGGTTTTGCAGTAGCTAATGAGTTTAGCACTTGAAGAGTATATAATGAGCCTTCATTTTGTGATTCCCTGTTATGAATAATGGAACATCTTATAAATGGGGGCACAAGCTACGTAGAACATGGCGACTTTATTCATCTTCGTTCACAGGAAGTTATGACAGTTGCCCAAGCTATAACCCCATCAGAGGACATTGTGTTATACAGTGGTGAGACGGTGTGTATATTACAGCGCCAGGCTGATATGACAGCCTCAGTGTCTTTAAGAAAGCTTGGCTTAAAAGGAGACATAAGAGAGGCAAATGAGATATTCTGTCTGTTCATAAATAGGAATTAAGCTGTTATATAATTGACCCAAAACAAAAAACAAATAGCTGTAATGGGTCAGGAAGGGGTGTTTCTGTGTTGGCAGGTGGAGGGTGAGGGAGTGAGGGGTGTTGCTGAACCTATTCTCCCCCAGGACAGAGGAGACGCAGACGTGAAGAGGAGACAAAGAGGAAGGGAAAGCTGGCTCTTTCAGAGGCTTTCATCGCCAGAGATCACACACCTGAGACCTGCAATGTAGATGTGTAAATGAGTCAGAAATGAGTCAGAGTGCCCTTTATGCTCATATCAAGATATTTCCTCGTGCATGTTCATGTGCATAACTGAGGTTTTTAGCCAATCTCTCCACCATAGATAAAACTGATAAGTCGTGTCTGTCTGCTGTTGAGAAGTCTGATCCTTAATTTCTTAATTCAGCATAATAAGCTTTTTAAAGACTATTTTAGCCTCTGGGCCTTTTGCGATCATTTCCAGAGAGTCAGCTTGGTATCACATGTTGGACTGTGCGCACACTGGCGCCTGATTCCAGAGTGAGTCGGGATGAATGCAGTCTGTCTGCACATCCACTCGCTTCTGTTGTTGTGTCTGTGTGAATCTGCATGCATCATATAGACTTGAGTTTATCTCAGGGTGTTTGTGTGCGGAGAAAAAGAGAGTTTGTGCATCTGTATCTGAATGAGAGAGAAAGATAGGTGCAAAGAGCTGCTTATGCATATTGATGTGTGTCTGCTAATCTGCTCCTTATCTGCCTTATCCATCCATCCGTCTGTATTTGTCTAATGAATCGAATTTTGCGGCTCACTGTTTCTCATCTGAATGGCGGGAGCGAGTCCTTGCATGCCTGTTCATTTTTTTGTTGATATATGTTCCTTAATAAGAGAGATAGAGCTACAGAATAAAGAGAAACATGGAGAGATAGGAGACAAAATGAAAAAAAGCCGATAGCCAAGTAGACAAAGACAGGGCAGAAAGAGTTAATTAAGGGAACAGCTTGTTTGTTGTCTGTTCTTTGCTCTGAGTGCATGTCGGCTAAATTGAATCGAATGTGTGTTTTTGTTGCTGCCTGCATGCACTACCACATTTGTACAAATGTGTGTGCGTGTGTATGCGTCTTTAAGTTCATTCTGACTGGGCTGATTGGGTCACATGGTTTGCAAATGTAATGGATGGCAGGTTGTAATTCCCAGCCTGTGCTGAAACCCACCTTACCCCCTCACTTCTGCAGTTTAACTGCAGTGGTCAAGAAGGATGGAGGAGAGGGGGGCTGCCGGAGAGGGATGATGGAGTGAACGCGAGATAAAAGGAACAGGCCAGCATGAGCGAGCGAGGGAAAAATTAGATACCTGCCCGCCTCATTTGCGAACATATCATTATTCTTATTTTAGGATTTGTTAGGCTGCCAGACGGTCCCTGAGCACAACAAGTGGTACGTCTCAGTGAGTCGTGCGGGCCTGAGTAGATTGAGAGTGCAGGGGCTGTCAATAGATGCATGGCCCAGTCATCTTCTCAGGGAAGAGTGGGGGGAAAAAACAAACAAATGCATCTCATTATTGCAGCGTGCGCCTCTGCAGTGCTCTGGGTAACCCATCACAGTCCACACAGATTCAATTGCTTCTTTTAAATCAGTTTGAAGCTGCAGCCACATCTCATCTGTCTCAATAGGAGACTGGAGCCAATGGGCGACTGTGCACACAGCAACAGCTCCTCCTAGTGGTTAGGGATTGTTTGTTTTGTGCCAGAGATAGAGAGGAACTGAACGGCTGGCTGGTTTGGCTGCTCGTGGTCCAGCTGTTTACCAACACATTAGCAGTGAATTTATCTCAGAATTCAGCAGCAGCTATCTCCCTGCCCCTGTTCCCCTCTTCTGCCTGTCTCACACTCACTTTCAATTCTTTCCAGATCTCTTTTCTTCTCTGTCAGAGTCTTTCATGTCTCTCTCAAACATGTATCTATCCTGTACTTCCCAGCTCCCTGTTCTGTCTCTGAGCTCAGGAAGCCTTTGCACTTGATCTTTGATGAAAGAAAAACAACCTGAACGGTAACCATAGTTTCTGATTCTTTGGGCTCGCTCACCTGCTCAAAGCTGGCACAATAACTCGATCTTGTTTCTGTGGCTTGTGTGTACAAAACGGAGGCGATAGTCTACGTAAAGAGTGGCTTAGACGTCTCTTTGATGATTAGTTGGTGACAGATTTCTCCAGTTTCTGCCAAACAGTTTTCAGTCCCTTGTGTTAAAAGCTATGTTTTTTTTTCTGGAATTCCTATTTATGGTCAGATAAAAGGATTGTGGAGTAGAACAGTGGAGAAGTGAAGACGGCTTTGATCAGTCCAGAAAGCACATATTTAGCTTGGGGCTGATCTGAGAAGAGAAGTGTTTGGTGTTTGCTGTGATAGATTAGGACTGGATTGGTTTCATCACTATTTCATCTCTGCATTCTCTTCTTGTCCACAATTTGTATTCTAACTCAACAGAACATCAAACCTCGCTGTTGTAAATCACTCAAAAGCTGACAGCGTGACGTTCCAGTCACTCCCAAATCTTACAAGCGCCTATTATCATATCATTGCATAAGCTAATATCCATCTGTGATAGCGGCTGCTTCCACTAACCCAAAATTAGTTTGATGAATATGCGATGTGATTAATTTGAGATGTGAGCCATTGTTTTTCTTCTCAGTTCCTCCTTCAAGGCCACACTTTCAGATGGACATGGCAACACCTTGGGTGGCTGGGAAAAAGTACGCTGTCACCTGTGTAGCCCCTGACGCAAAGCCTGCAGCTGAAATCACACTTTATAAAGGTGAGTCACCCTTCAAATGTACTGAATGTGACAGAGATGGTCAGCCTGACAGGCTGGAACAAAGAGCAACAGACCTCTCTCATATCCCACACTCTCAGATCTCCATAGGTCAAAACTTGAATATTTAAACACAAAACAATGCAGAGGATGAAATGAAAGTTCAGTAAAGATTTCTTATTTTATAGTTTCTGAGCAGCAGAGTTGAAATGAGACTCTGTGTGGGAGGAAATAGCCTGAGCATTTGAAATTCCAATTTCCAGTGACTTTTCAATTGCATGTACAGTGAATGCATCACCAGATCTGAGGTGTTTACAAAAACAAACTGCAATTTCCTCATTTTCTGTCTTTGCCTCTCCCTTCCCAGTCACACTTAATATACTGTGTTTTGCTGTTGTAGAGATAAAAAAAGATGTTGTATTTCTTTTTTCCTGGTGTGAATTTGTCTTCAGATTTGTGCTTGTAGGTCTGGGACATAAAGTTAGTTTTTCTTGTTAAAATGTGCATCTTTATTGTGTTCAACAAGGTGTCATCTCGTATTGGTGTTTTGCAAATCTCAGCGCTGATTTGATTTCATTTTTAAGACAGGTGTGCCTCACCATGCACACAACACACTCATATATACACATGTTTATCATACTCCGGCACTCCAACACAAGAATAATACTGATGTTTCTGTTTTACACAGACGCATTTACACACCGTTTTCTCTCTTTTTGTCTGCCTTCCCCCCATTGTGTCTTTCAGATGGAGTCGAGCTGACAGGTGCAGAGTCTTTCACCGTGTCTGGCTCACAGGATAAGCTCCTGAACACGCATGCTGAAGTAACGTATGTGTTCGCCCGCCTGCCAGACTCATTCTCCTCACCCAACCAGCTCAATCTCTCCGAGTCTATCTTTGTTACTTGTTTCCCCTTGTTTTCACCCCACTCTTATTTCCTCCCTCTGTCTTAGTGTATAGAATGAATTTCAGCACACAGTGAACTGTTACTTGGCGCTGTGGGATTGAATTAGCTTCTGTCAAATGCACAAAATTACATTCCAGTAGCGAGACCAATCAGATCCTCGCCGGTTTGCCAGGTGCCTATACATTAAACAGGGCCATAGATTACTTTAATCCTACTTGTCTCCACTGTGTCAAAGATAATAACCTCTTGTCATATCCTGAGATAACATTGGTACTGAGGAGCTGCAACATTGTTCGGCTGTATTGCAGAGCAGCCAAGGTCTTAAGCAATATTGATGCTTCTTCCTCATATTCACACTGAGCGTACACAGCAGTGGGCCGTGTGTGATTGTTACGGTTGACATTGTACTGTAATTTGATATAGAAGACAAACTGAAAGGCTCTGAATAAATTTACTACAATGCAGAGAGTAGAGGATCTTTCTACATTGCTAAAAAAGAGTGTTCCTCTTTTTTAATGACTGCCATATGGATCCTGTAAGTGCCTCACAGTGGTGAAGGGCAAATCAGTACAGTTACTAAAGTGAGATAGAGGTGAGAAATAAAGTTTTTTCTTCCTGGTTATGAAACAGTTTCAGTTTTATACTTCTGACTCTGTATGACCTACAAAAACATTATTTTTAATGTCTGTCACAGCATACTGTCTGACTCAGCCTGTGTTTACATTATCCCTGGAAAAGTACCTCAGTAAGTGGTTAGTTAGCCAGAGAAAGGTAATTACAGAGATTTTGCTTCAGAGAATTCGACAAACAAATGTACATGACAGGATGAGCAAAGACATATTAAGGCATGCGACCACAATCGATGCACAATTTGCTATTCAGTAATTCTACGCAACTGCATACCATGAGCAGTTTCTATACTCTTTGATCTATACATTACATCCTGTATATCTGATAGCTACTGCTAACGTTTCTGTTTGGGGATCCATTTCAAATATGTAGTAGTCATCAGCATTTTCCCTCCAAACACCTTCATCTTCAGTTAAAAGAATGACAGTTGTCCTACACAACACAAACACCAAAAAATGGGGGATGAGTCTGAAAAATTACTCGTGTCTCCTCGACCAAGCAGTCTCCAAAGTCTTTTGAGCAAGCCCACCTTGACTAGCTAGTAACAATGGCTGATGTAGGTGAGTTAGCTAGCAGCAGAGCGTGTTTGCTGAACAACCTTGAGAGTTGACAGCCGTTAAAGTACAACATTCAAACTGCAAATGCAGCTCTATTCTATGATAAATTATTAGCAATTTAAATGCGTAATGTCTAGAAATGGGAATGTTTAGCAACATCTAGCAGTCAGATTTTATATCACAGTCTATGATTTAAATGTTCCCTTGCTAACCCCTTTCATTGGCGTTGAGACAGTGGCCTTCAACGACAAGAAGTTCCTGTGATGCAGACGAGTATAATCTTCCATTTGACAATTTTTTATCAACCGAAATGTCTATCACTACACTTTTGGTGCACGCAACATGTACCCTTTGTGTCTTTTTATTCTGACTGGTATATTTACACGGACGCTCTCTAAATGCAGAACGATGAATTTCCTAGTTTGTCATCGCTGTGCTTGCAGAACTGGCAGGGACACCCTCCCCTGTGTGGATATAAAAGACTTAGCCAAAATTAATATAAACAAATTGAGTTTTATACTCAGGCGATTGTACCCTTATTTAAACAAACCTATGAATCTTACTGTACATTCCTACTCAGTTTATTCTACTAAATGCCACTATATTCACCTGTGACAGGTCTGTTTGTTACTATGGTCAGTATTCATATGTGGGCGGTAGAAAAAAACAGCTTATTGATGAGGAGAAGTCTGTGTGGTTAGCTACAGGAACAAAAGCATTCTACATGTGTCATATTCTATGGTACAGAAACAACCAGAAAAAGACAGAGGTCAACCTTTGGCACTGCAAAGATACGCAGTGTTAGCTCATTAACTAGATTCTGACTAGAGCTGTCACCGCTGCTCACGAATATTGCGGCCATAAATAACGTAGTTTCAATATCGCATTATAAACTTGAAATTTGATATAACACAGGAAGTGAAACTTTAAAAATAGCGATGTGGATATCAAATTTGTGATGCCCATATCGCTAGCTTTGAAACTGAAACAATGATTTGTACGGCAAATTTTAGTTTAAATATTTTTACTGTCTTTTATTTTTTATTTATTTATTTATTTTTATTTCGAACATTATTTAATCAAATAAGACAGTAAAATACAAATCAGGAAGAAAAGGAAAACCAACAACAATGTCCGAAAAGGAGTAGGATGAAGTTTAAAACTTATCGAGCTCCTACCCCCCCCCCCCCCCCCCCCCCAAACTTCTTTACTGCATATACAATAGTTTAAATGACTGCAGTAGTATCAGGGATAAAATTATTCAGACCAACCTATTGAAAACTGAAAACAGGGCTGTGTTGACTCAATAGGTCGACACAGACCCTCCTCATCTGAATACCTCTTGAAAATAATATTTTTATATGCCTTCTTGTAATTATTCAGGTTTGGACTTCGCTGAACCTCCATGCTCAGTCTATTCCACAAACTCACTCCACAAACTGAAATGCACATCGTTTTTCAATGTTGAACCAGCAAAATGTAACTTGAAATTAAGCTCTCGTCTCAAATTGTAACTCCCCTCTTTATCACTGAACATCCTTTGTATATTACCCGGCAAAAGCCTGTGTCTTGCTCTAAACATAATCAGTGCAGTTTTGTATTCAACAAGGTCCATGAGTTTCATGACATGTGATTGTAAAAACAGTATATTTGTGTGATCCAGATATCCTACCTTGTAAACAATTCTAATGGCTCTTTTTTGGAAACAACATAATGGTTTTAGATTACTTTTATAAGTATTACCCCAAATTTCTAGACAGTAGTTGATATATGGCAGTACAAGTGTTTATTACTCACTCTAATGATGTTAAAAAAGGTACTTTGGGTTAGCTTTAACTTCCAACTCATTGCTAGTGGTTTTGTTTACCGTTTTAACAACTCACAGGACCCTGAAATATAATTTGACTGTAAGTAAGCCTGTAAGTATTTCTACGAAGACTTATCTGTACACTTGAACAAACAGTGAGTAAAGAATCTGAATACTTCACTATCCAAACATAATGAGATGTTTTGAGCTGAAGCACTTTGTATAACTCATGTCTTTTATTCTGCTGGTTTCTCCTATCTTTCTTTTTCCTCTTACAGGGTCACCGCTCTGAGCTCTGACAACGGGAGGCAGCTGGCATGTCATGCCAAGAACCCCGCCCTTTTCCGGCCAGTGGAGACCACGGCGACCATGAGCGTGTACTGTGAGTGTCTCAACCTGTTTCTGAACTGACAGTCAACACTCCAGCTGTTAAAAAAAGAGAAAAGAAAAACACCTTTGCATACAGACACACTCAACCACACAGGAACTAAACCTTGGAGAGGCCCAAGGGTATCCGGCCTTGTGCACTCAGTCTGTGTTAGTGGTCCAAGGAAAAACATTCAACCTGAAGGCAAACTCACACCTACTTGAAGACAACACGAGTGCGACTGCCTCCAGTTCACGAGGTTGACCCTGGTGGGCTGAGATTGATATGACTAAAGAAAGACACTGTTTTCTCACTGTTAGACCATCAAACATTGTCCACAGCAGTGGGTAGATATTAACAGAATGCAGCAACCCTTTATTAAATTTGAATAAGTTTATCGCAGAATGAGTTTTGTTCAGTAATCTTATTATAATTTTCACCCCGAGTCTTATATCTCCAATGTTAAAGAAAATATACTCTTTGTTTGACCAACAGAGATGGATTATCATCCTCGGCAAGGCTTCAAGTGCTGAATTTTTTAAAGCAATATTATAATAACTAACACAGTAAGCTAAGGCCACCATAGTTAATAATGATGAATCTTACAAAACTAAACTAAGCAACTTTTGTGCTCATCAGCTCGAATTAAATTTAGAACCCACTGAGGCGGGGCGGGCAGCAGTTTCTTTTCTTTTTTTCTTTCATGTTGTTATCACAAACCGCGTGACATTATATAATAACACTATTTTTACAGCCCACAGAGGTGAATTGACACACTGCCTCTGATTATCTTTGCATTTGGTGTTTGTTTTTCCTCTTATTTTAGCAAGGCTACAATGAAAGCTGTTGTTCTTGAATGCACAAACAGTGTGATACTGCAGCCACTGTTTACTACAGTAGGTTTAGTATTTTCTACGCTGTTGATCAGCCCTCGTAATTGATTGTTTCGGCCTGAGAGTCTACCCACCTGCTTCTCCCCGACTTAAATCATGCTGTTGATTAAAGTCGAGCACGGCTGCTGACACATTCAGCAGCGAGCGCTCCCCCCAGATCAGCTGCCGTATTATCCACAGGCTGACTAGACACCTTAATGTTGTCTCTATCTATACTCCTCAGCCACTGCTGTTTTAAGAATCACCAATAACCCTGAGCACTCCTCTCCTTTCCTCCCTGCCTCTCTGCTCTGTATTAAACAACATGGGCTCTGTGCTAAGTGCTAATGTTGCAGAACTCAGGACCACCAGTGCAGTCTTACTCAGCATGCCGGCCCATCAAAGCCAGCGCGGTGGCCATTTTCAGCCAGCCAGATTGTTAGTAAGGTGGCAATTTGTCACACTGGCCCAGGGTCTGCAGTCTGCTCTCTGAAACTGATTGCAGCAATAACAAAAGCCCATCCTGCTCTATTTACTGCATGTATTTTATGCAAGGGAGCTCTAATTTATTCATCTTTCAGGCTTCCTTATTACTGTTTGAACATCTGTTATTTTGCTTTATGAACTGCATCTGGCTCAGTGCTCCCTTAATACTTAATGCTTTCATCAGATCTGGACCTCTTATCCCACAGTCATGTTGAGTGTGCCCAATTTATCGGCCCCATCTGAACAAATAGAGACGCTTCCCTCTCAATTGCCCAGAGTGTTCACATTGCAGTGCTGTTTCTTTTTTATGTTATCTTGTTGATGGTCACCCCATCCCTCTGGTACCTTGAGTTACTGCATCCCTTCTTTTCCCTCATCCCCCGTCTGTTCAGTTTTCTACCGCCCTCCACGACATCCTCCTTTGTCAAAGCCCGTTTTTATTTTTGTCTCTTATTTCCTGGCAGATCCACCTCAGCCTCCAGTCATTGTAAGTCCACTGAGAGAGGAAGTCAAAGCAGGGAGAATACTCACACTGGAGTGTGTGTCTCATGGTGGAAACCCCCTAGCCACTCTCCACTGGACCAAGGTAAAATCTTCTGCACCATCTGTTAAGGAGGCTTTGTAACACGCTGCCACACCAAAAAAAAAAAAGAGCTATTTACATTTGAGAACTTTCAGTGGAACTATCCCACTGTTCAAAGTTTCTGTACAGCACCATATGGGACTGTGCAACTATTTAGACACTTCCTTGATGTTGCCTGATTCTGAAAAGATGTGTTCATGTGTTTGTCAGAATGGAGAAGTTTTGTCCACAACCTGGGAGGAAGACACTGTTTCAAGAAAGTCCACCAGTATCCTAAACTTGAAGATCAGTCCGGCGCATAACCAGGCTGTTCTGTGCTGCGAAAGTGTCAACCTGGTATCCCGCTCGCCTTTGTCTGTTAGTCACAGAATTACTGTACTCTGTGAGTGAAAATAAAGCTTGACACAGCACAAGAAAACACACACAGACACTCACACACAAAGCCCTGGCAGGTCTGGCAGCACTGAAGTATTAAGGATATGGACATGAGACAGAAGAGCTTTATAAGAGCCTTACCTCCAAAACCAATTCTTTTGCCAGCCCAGCATATTTCCCAATGCTAATATCATTAATGAAACTAATGGTTATTATGGCTGCGGCCCATATTCCCGACCGCCTCCAGATTCAAATCACTGCGTGCTCTTTCATAGCTGCGACACTAATTCAGCTGAATTGCTTCAGCGCACAATCCTGAGGCGGTGAAGCCTTCACTTTGTGTGACTGTAACGCCCATGGTTAATAGATTATACTCCTCTCTCTGAATTTAAAATGTTTGTTTCAGCAACAATAAAACAAATACTGAATTAATATTCAGCAGCTGCAGTGCATTGAGTCTAACAATAGTCTGATTTCCACTACAGAGCCAGACAATGTAAGTCAGAGCTTTAGATCCTGCGGGATTGGCACACCTATTAACTGCAAATATGCTCTGAATTAGGACAGGCCCTTGCAGAAATCTCTTGTTGATGTGATGTAAAGGTGGCTAGAATCACTTTAGTGCCCTCCTTTACATCCCCAATTCCCCCCAAACAGGCCCTGGTGTCGTGCCTCCCAGTCATCCATTCAGGGGTGTTGAAATGGAGCTGCTGACTGTCTGACTGCGCTCTAGGCGTTGGTAGAGGCTTGAGGGCATAGAAGACGTCTCACCTGTGTGATATGAATAAGCTTTTTTTTTTTTTTTTTTCACCTTTCGGCTCCAGCGTAATTTTAACAGTCTTTGTGTGTGGCATGCATGAATGCATCCCCTTCTGTGTCTCATGTGGGACAGACACAAAAACATGCAACATTTACATACATGACCCCTCCTTCCACATGTCTGCCAGCTCGGTCCCCAGCCTTGATATCCCCCTGAAGGCTTTATGCAGCTGCATCACTTTGCCCGTAGCTATTGTACCCCATCTCCCCCCATGGTTAACTCGGTGCAGACTTTAGAAACCACACTGAAAACCTCCTGAGAAAACAAGTTGCCTCTCAAAGTGATTTTCCCGTCACACCCTTTGTGTTTCACATCCAAAAATAGTTACGCTGCCACAGTGATCAGAATAGGTAGCTGTTGAATGTACTATTCAAGGGGTGATATTTTTCCTGACTTCTCTTTCATGTGTCTCCCCATGCATGTGTCTGCGTACATCAGTCGAGCCTGACGAGGTGACACTGTTGGGTTCATCCACAGCTATAGAGGGGCAGGTCTTGAGTCTGAGCTGTTACACATCCTCAAGTAATCCCCCTGTGCAGATTCGCTGGTGGCTGGGTTACAAAGAGCTCAACACCACTAGTGTCACCATGGAAGAGGTGAGACAACTCTGCATATTCTTAGTGCAGCACAAACTCAAATCTGTCTCTCCAAGCAGGTAGAAGAAAACTATGTTGAAGAAGACAATCGTAACCGGTTATAATGCTGGTCAGTTCACAGAAACTGCATAAAAGGTAATATTTTTGACTGTTTGTAAAACCAAGAAAGAGGCGTTAAGTGCAAAAGCTTTGCCCTGAAGTCAAGCTTGCCTTTTGGGAAGCAACAAAAACTTTAAAAATGCCTCCCATCCCATTTAAAGACTTGTCAATTTCCAATGTGACCTCATAAGAACCTTTTGAGATGAAAGAAAGCCGTATGACCATGAGCAGCCTCTGAATAGGCCTGCCGCTGCTTTGCAAATGAATCAGCAGCTGATTCCAAAAAGAGTATTCTGCTGCTCCTCTCCTCTTTTGTGTATGTTAATAAGATCAAAGTGAATAAAAGCTGACACAGAAGATGAGCGTTATTAAACAAGCTCTTTATTCATCTGGCAGCAGCATTTTCATTTGATCCTACATGAGGCACTCGGCGTGCTGTGTGTGAGCTTTAATGCATCGGAAACAGTGTGAGGTTAATGAAGACTGACGCTCCTGTCCAGTGTCTTTGTTAGTCTTTCTGACTGTGGCTTTTACAGTAATCATGACAATAATGACTTTAATAACCAGATGTGCTGCATAGGCATGACCACCATCAAGCAGGTGCAAAATGATGCTTCGCCCAATTTATGACAGAGAGTCAGATGAAAATGCTTATTTATCACAGACCATGCACAACATCAGTTGTTACAGCAGCTAATTTGCCATCTGTATTCACCAAGACTAACCAGCACAGGCTGTTGTTCTCTCTGTTTCCCTCCCTCTGTTTTTGTGACTGCAGCCGTCTGTCCCCCCCAAAACTGAATTGTCATGTGTGTTCTTGGTCTGCAGGGAGACCATGGTGGGATGACAACCATGTCCAACATGACCCACCAGGTCTCCAGGGAGGAGGACGGGCTCAAACTTACGTGTGAGGCTTTCAACAAGGGCACACACTCCTCCAAGACCGAGGTCACCACAGTCAGTGTCCACTGTGAGTGGGTTAAATCTGTTTTCCATGAACTGTTGTTATCTTGGTGGACATATAAGAATTAAGATCAAAACTAGACTCTGTTCAGTGGGAGTCAGCTGTTGTTTTAGTGCTGTAGGTTGAGGAACACAAACATTTCATATATTTCAAAGTGAAAAATAATGATTGTTGATTTGAAATACCCCTGGTTCTCCAGTCTAAATACACATGGGTAGTATTTAAAACTAGAAAATGTTCCAAAACTTCCTCTCTGTTTTTTAAAGACCCTCCTCAAAAGATATGGCTTGATGCCCCTCCTCAAGATATCCCCCTACGCTCAGGCACCACAGTCCGGCTCATCTGCTTCTCCACTGGAGGAAATCCCCCTGGGACCCTGACCTGGTTCAAGGTTGATGTGTACTGAATATGCTTACCTGCTTTTATGTTTGTGTCATACTGTATGTCCAGAGCACATACACGTCTTTGTGATTTATATTTTCTTCATGTTTCAGAATGGAAAAGTTATATCTGATGCACTGAAGCAGACATCCTTCGATCAAGGTGTTGCTCGAGAACTGATCCAGGTCCTAACAGCCAGTGACAATGTGGCTACCTATCGCTGCGATGCCAAAAATGAAGCGAAGAAGTCAATCTCTGCACAAACCAAGCTCAAGGTTTACTGTGAGTCGGACTGCACCTCTGACACCGAAACACCGCCTGAATTTCGTTTTTGTCTAACTCAGCTCAGCAAAAAAGCAGGATATCAAATAACTGGATCTATAAAATCACTCACATGGATTCACAGTGACATCATTTCATGATTTTATTCATATTAAGTTTCTTGGTTCTCCAGTTCCAGCACTAAATGTCAAGATCACAACCAAACAAAAGAAACCACGTCGGGGTCAGATGCTGACTCTGGAGTGTCAGTCTGGAAGCAGTAACCCAAAAGCCAGCATCTCCTGGAGTTTAGGTGCACTCAGGTTTGTCATCACAATAGATGGAGGGCCTAAAAAGAATAATTTACTTGCAAAATTAAATTCTGAATTCAAAATTATGTTGAGGACTACATTTTGCATTTGTTTGTGTCCTAGTTTCAAAGGAGAGGAGCAGCCGCCCAGTAAAGCTCAGTTCGGTGGTGTGTCAGTGCGTAGTTTCCTCTCCCTCAATCTGACTTCACAGCATCACAACCAGAGGGTCACTTGCCAGGCCTACAGCTCCGAGCTAGCGGAGGGCGCTAACACATTCTTCAAACTTAATGTGCTTTGTAAGTAGAGCGGGAACTGTTTTTCCATTTCTTTCTTTCTCGGGTCTGCTTGTTCCCTTTCTTCTTGGAAACTGACCAAGAGATGCGGTTTGCATAAATCTTAAATGATGCATAATGATGATCTATGATGTTGCAGATTTAAGCTGCTTTACTGGTTAGTGTACTTTTGCTCAGATATGTCAGTGTATTGAATGCTTATGCGTGTGTGTGTTCTGTTTACTGGAAACCTTTGTTGTGATTTGTGGGTCTGTTGAGCTCTGCGGCAGTGTGTCCTAATTGTGCATTTGCTTTGCTGCATGGCCATGTTTGTCTTTGATGCCATTTCACAGGCAGCAGCCAGCCTATGCTTCAAAGCTTGCTGCTGTGTACGAGCATGAAGGAATGTCACTGTGTGTTTGTGTGGAGCTGCAGTTGGACAACAGCACTGTCACTCGTCGTTTTAATGCCTGTCCCTCTCCCTCCCGCGCTGCTTTACACCCCCGTTGTGGAAGTCTGTGAAGTTGGTCAGATCTGAAATTATTGGTGGGATGTCGACTTTCTACTGGTTTGACTCTCATTAGTGTCTGTTACAGCTTTCACGCTCAACATGTTTTGTATGTCTTTGTGCTCTCCCTCTCTGATTCTTCACATTCTGTGGGCCTGAGTTTATATTTGTGCCTCTGCTCCTGCTTTTTGGTGTTTATTCAGCTCACCGCAGCACTATCTGTGTGCCTTTTGTGTGTTAGACCCACCAGAGTTCAGCCCAGAGCAGCCGACGCAGGTCCAGGTGGTGGAGGACGATGTGGCAACCATCCCACTGCTGGTCTCAGCTAACCCTGAGGAGGTCTCCTGCATTTGGCTGCACCGCAGGGAGAAGCTGGTCAAAGGTGATGTGGGGCGATGTGATGGCTCTATAAACCAGGTCCTAGTTGAGCTGAGCCAGCAAGTAAGCACTCAGCTCTGCCATTCAGGGTCTGAATAAAACATGGCAGGTTAGCCAGCATGGGACCCTGCCAAATGTGATTCTCATTATGGCTCTAATGTATGCAGCCTAAATGAGGATTGCTGTCTCTCTGAATACAACACAACGCTTCTAAAGCTGGCTTCTCCTCCAGGCCGATGTCATCAGGGCTTTGCTGCACCCACTCTCTTTCTCTCTAAACTGTGTTAGCTCCATCATGCGCAGCCCCCACCATTAAATGACTGTATACTTAATGCTGAAGCCCACCTATTACATTTTGAGTGCTGTGGCACAGGAGGTGTCGCTCACACAGCCTATTGTTGGCTTGATGTGGGACTCCAGCCAGGCCAATCAATAATGCAGGATTAGATGTCACTTAGAGACCGGTGGCCAGAGGACATGTGGTTGATGGGCGTGTAATGCATAACTAATTTACCATTGGTTTGCATGTGTGTGTGTGTGTGTGTGTGTGTGCATGTGTGGGTGGGTGGGTGTGTTTCCATGTTATTCTTAAAGAAGGTGATGTGCGCTACCACTGGTTGGACGATGACTCCCTGAAGATCGAAAATGCGACGAGGAAGGATGCAGGAGTTTACACTGTCAAGTGTTCAAATGAAGAAGGTGTCAACCAAATCTCCATCATGCTAGACGTTCAGTGTAAGAGCCTGCACACAGAAAACACAGGAGCAAGTGTATCTGTGTTGTATGTTGAAGGTTTTGTTCTCTGTAGTCGTGAGAACAAAATGATCACACATTCACCAAAAGTCAAAAATGGAATTCTCATACCGTGGATTAGACCTACTTGTATTTAACTGCTGCCTCATGAGCCAAATTCAGCTTTTTAATGATCTCAATCTGGCACTCTGATCACTCTCCATAGAGGAAATTATTCTATTTTAGAGCTTGAACTTGATAGGTTGTAAAAGCAAAGGGATCGTTAAAGAGGCAAAATGGATGAATGAAAAAAAAAGTTTTTAAATGCAGCTCCATGTATTTTTAAACAAAAAAATCTCTTTTAAGAGACAAAGATGTTTTGTTTTAAGATTAAGTGACTAGAAAAGTCAAATATCCTGTCTTTACAAATGTAGCATTTCTGAAAAAATAACTTGATAAAACTGACATCAGTGATTGGTTAAACCACTCCTGAGTACTCAAACAAGGCAAAATGGACAAAAACATACAATAACTTTTACATTCCTCTTATCCTCTCATGATTACTATTATGATGACACACCTTGTCTGCAGGTATACCAATAGTCCCGTGGGCCACATCATCTACATTCACATTTGTCAAGTAACCTACTTTCCCTCATTACAGAAAAAGGGCAGAACTCTGTGTTTGCATGTCGAGTAAGAGCTCGCTCTGTGGTTCTGATTTGAATCTGTAGGCTGCTGACAGCATGATTTTTATCAAACCCGTTAAAAGTCAATGCCATCAGTGTATCCACATACTCTGACAGACCCAAACACCAACATTGACTTTCAGCTCCTGCACAGCAAACATGCCTCATTCATTAGGCCTCTATACAAGGCCACGCATCCCCACAGCTGCCCCAGGCCCAGCCTGGAGCTCCAGGCCTGCTGCCCTGATACTGATGATTTAATAATGGAAGTGTTGAAAATGTAGGTCTGCCCGTTCCTCCAAAGCCCATGGTACATGCCTAATGGATTCTGTCGTCCTGATCTGACTGAGCTTGACAGTTGTAGATATTCATAATGTATGGAGTATTGTAGTAGCTTTTATGGGTGATGGTGTAGCCCACTTAACGATGTCGGTCTTGGTTAGCGGGCCATCATGGGTGGATTCCACTGAACACCAGAGGTCTGAGTCTCTGAAGTGTCTTCCTCTACTGTTCTTCAAGTGTGAACATAGGTTCAGACAAGTAGGCACTAATGGCCTTATTGTTGCGAGTACATGTCACCCATGGGGAGAATAAAAAGCTTGTGAGGTAGAGGCTGATAAAGACAAGAAAAAGAGCGGTGCCGTCCTGAAGGAGAGGTGATGTTAACAGGAGGTGGGGGGAGTGGGGGGGTCAGCCTGTAATGGGTCACATGAGGATGTGGGGGCCTTTTGGGTCATATGACCAACTCTCAGAAGCATCTGTAATCCACAAACATATACAGAGAAGTTAATGGTGCTGAGTCTGAAACACAGAGGCCAATTAAAACAGGGTCATGAACAAGTTCAAAGGCAAACGAGTGTAAGAGTAATTATAGCAATGCGGCATGTCTGTTTAATGGGTTGGCAAATGATTTGACCCAGGTTGGCATGGTAACCTTTGGTCCTGCCTTAACCTCGTCCTATTTTCATACTCTTAGATGCTCCCAGTGTCAAGGCAGAGAAAGACCCTGTAGTGGTGAACCTCGGGGAAACAGCAGACCTGATATGTGTGGCAGATGCCAACCCCATTATTCCTGGCATGTTTTCTTGGAAATTGCTGGTGAGAGCTTGGATAAACACACTCACACAGAAACACAGCAATCCTCTGAATTATATTCCCCTTATCCGGCTCTTCCTTTCTATTATTTTACTGGTTCTTACCGTTTATCACCGGCCTTTCTAAATGTACAGACGCACCATATTTCACTTGCTGTAACTATCCTTCCACCCCACCTCTTCCTGCTCCACACTCAGCCCAAATCCAGAAAAATAGCTTTCATTACTGCTGCGTGACTAAAGGGCACATTTGTCAATGTGGCGTGGTCTCTGTATCTACTGATGCCTTCTCCGGTCTAAACCACCCCCCGGCAGTACTGCATGTCCCGCTTTCAACCTGCACGCCCCCCTCCCTTTTCCTCTTTCCCTCCAGCTCTCCAACCCTTGGCATTATCTCTCTCTTTCCTCAGAGCTCGTTCCCCCGACGCCCTCCCCATCCCCTCCTCGAGCCCTGATTGTTTCCTGCTTAACCGTCTACCTGTCTTGCTCTCCCACAGCCCCTCCTTCTCTTTTTAAGCCCTCACCATGAGAAAGAGGGGCTGTGTATTGAGCGATAGCTGCTGTCTGCTGCTTATTCCCCTTCACTCTATCTTCCACAGGGGGAAGGGGAGGTGGAGATGGGAGAGCAGACCCAGGAAGACGAATCTGGCCTTCTGACCATCCATGATGTGATGCGGGCTCATGCCGGTACTTACCAGTGCACGGTTAAAAACGGCATCGCCCCCCCTGCTACTGCGGATGTGCAACTGGTAGTGCAGTGTGAGTTCCTAGGGCATGCATGGAGAGTTATCTGTGGCAGCACGCACTTATTTTTGTACCTGTCAATAAATACACATGTACTTTTTACTGATGCGTCGTGTCTTGCTTCTGCATGAATAACCTCAATGCCCATCTTTTTTATTGTGTAGTCAAGCCACAGCTGCAGAAAGGAGCCCAATGGAGGAAGGTAGCAAGCAGAGGGGACAGCACAACTACGGCTGAGTTAGTGTGTCAGGCGGAAGGTATTCCACGAGTCGACTTTTCTTGGGAGAAAAATGGTGTGCGCATGGACTTTGCAAATCCCAGGTCTGAGAGTAGGCCTTTTACTGTAATGATTCTCTTCTTTCCATCCTTTCCACTATTCACTTAAGTGCTACTGTCAGCATTTGGTTGCATATTGATGAAACTTAAATAAGGTTTTAGCTTAATATAATACATCCTATTGCTTTTTCCTGCGATTTCACCATTAAATCCAGATTTAGTGCATTTTATTCTCCGCTTCTCACTATGCAAATACCTGTTTAATGCTTCTTTGATGTGTGAAATTGGGTGACTTAGTGCAATCTGCAGGACATCACAATCCTCGCCGTCTCCCTGCTCAGGATTTATCTCTCTTTCTGTGTGTGTTTGTGTGCGTACGTGCATGCTGCAGGTATGAGGAGCGGACCGTGAGGGAGGGCTCTTTCCACACCAGCACAGTTCAAGTGGTGAATGTGAGTGCAGCTCTGGACTACGCCGTCTTCAGCTGCACTGCTCACAACTCACTCGGAGAAGATACGCTGGACATCCAGCTCGTCAGCACAAGTACCAAGGCTACATACATTTGTGTTCATTTTTGGATATGTATTTGATGAGGTTTTTTTCATCACTCTTTGTTTATGCCCTTAAAGTTTTATTCAAGAGCTAGTTAATAATGTGTTTTTTTCTGGTTTATCTGTGGGTCTTTTATTGGCTCATTTAGCGCCAGATGTTAAAGTTTCTTATTTTATACAGAAAGACTCAGTCCTCAATATCAAAGAGGAGATCCATATAGCCAAAATGTAAGCCAGTGTTTAAACCCAAGGTTTATTATGATGATGAGATGAACATAGAGACTCATTTATGTGGTCAGGACTGAGGCTGATGTATATGGACCCGCTTACCACATGATGTGGAAATATTTCGATGTTTACGTTTGAAAAACCTTGATTATGGAAGAGTTGGCATTAAGAATAGGTAACAAGTAGTGAGTTACTCATTTCCACATGCTGCTCTATGACTGGTGTTCATGGTCTTGTCCAATGTAAATCATTTAAGTGTAACAAACATTCACAAAAATAAATATTTAGAGCATAAAGCTGTCGGGCTGGAGGAAAGGGGACTGGAGAGGTCTGCTTAGGTTCAGTTTGTTCTGGTTTGGACTGTTATGAGGAATTGTTTTTCTTATAGTACTGAACTTTTTTAACCTAGACAAGTCCTTTTTAGCTAATCTTCACTTTGATTTATCATTGCGTTATTTTACTCTCAACCAGGCGCTGAAAATCTGCCAAAAAACCTGTGACCCATAAAGTTGGGTCTAAACGTCTGAGACCTGATTTCAGGCAGTTTTCAACCAGTTTTCACATCTGCATATAGGGGAACACTACTTTGTTTTAAAAGTTTGATTTGTTCATTTTAGCATGGAAAGGGTAACAGAAATGATGATTGCCATGGCATCACTCCAAAATTATTTGGAAGCATTTACAGAAAGGCGCCTTCTCAGTGCAATTTATTTTTCATTCAGCAATCATAAATATGGCAACTTGCAGTCTCACCTTTGGCACAAGAAAGTTCGGAGACAGAGTAAAGAAAGCAGTTTTAAACATCACCCAAAGGGTACAACAAAGGAGTACTGTATATATCCCTGGTGTTTGGGATGCTCAGCTCTGAATACAAAGGTTGAAAGACCCCTGGATGCCTGCATAGTGAACTGGAAACTGAAGGCCTGTAGAGGTATTTGTTATGTTATGGGATTAACTGTTGACCAGACTTGTGGCACCAATTTTTCACCTTTGTTGGGCTGATTCTGATTCTGATTCTACAAAAGAGGTTTGGGGCCACATGAAGAGAAAGAATAATAGTTACAGGAAGGAGATGACAGTCAAAATATCGAGATTAACGTCGAAATTTTGACATTAAAAAATCAAAATTATGTCAACTAAGAAGAAATTTCGAGATTAAATATTGAAATTTCAAGATTACAGTCAAATTTTTGAGATAATAATAATTATAATAATTCAGTAATAATGTTGATATTTTGAGATTAAAAAAATTTCCATCTAGAGATTAAAGTTGAAATTTCGAGATTGAAGTTGACATGAATAAAGTTGAAATTTCGACTTTTTAAAATTTCAACTTTACTCTCCAAATTTCAACTTTAATCTCTAGATGGAAATTTAAAAATACTCCCTTCTGAATTATATTTTTCTCTTCTTGTGGCCCTAATCCTCTTTTATATGATTCCGATAATAATGCGTTTTCAGAAGACAGTAGTCTTGTTAACTGGGACACCAGACACCAAAAGACACCAGGTGGCCAGTGTTGTATATCTCTGTTAACTGGTTGTGGGCTTGAGGTCAGTCGGTAATTTTCCAACCATCTCTGCCACCACAGGCTGTGCTCAATAACTGTACAGATAGCTGCAGGATGGCATTAACAGATGGTGCCAAGAGCTACACGTCTGCATGGAAACTGTACATTGTTGAACCCAGTAAGAGTCTTTGCTTAGGAACGCAGTTAAAGCACACTAGAAAAGACTCCTTCTTATAGACTGGTGTGACTTGTATGTGGGTGACTCATCTGATGCGTTGTAGTATATTCATATTACAAATGATAGATAGAGGTAACATGGAAACTGTTGTGGTAATGATAGTGATAAATCCAAACAGAAGCAAATTTCCTGTCCATCTCAGGTCCGAACATTTTTACTTTTAATTAAGTCAGGAAATGGAAAATACTCAATTTTGAACAATTTTTCAATGTCTTTTTTTAACTGTGGCCAGAGAAGTTCTTTCAAGGCCAATCCAACAGAAAAATGTGTAGTGTGTGGTGATAAGGAGATGAAAAGTTAGTCAACTAAACAAAAGCCACAAGGCCAACATTAATGGGTCCATCTTTGCTAACCTTTTTAGTGTTTCTTTGCTTGAGCAAAACATAAACTCACAGTGTAGTACATCAGGCCTGTGATGTTTGTTTTAGACAGCATCTTCTACCCTCTAGTGGTAAAAAGTCACCTAATGCAGCTTTAAATTGGTGGCAAATGATCAAAGTCAGTGGTTAGGGCACACAGCATGCAGGGATTATGCATATCACGTACTTGGCAGTGGCGCACATATTTTTCCTTTGGTTTAAATTTGGCAGCATCTCAAAATAATTGCGTCTGTGGTTCTTTGTCCGAGGTTTTATCAGCCTTTTCCAGCAATGTTACAATAGTGAGGGAGCGCCATTGAACATGCAGAAACTGAAGAGAGTTGTTGTTTCTGAGTGTCGGCCCTTTAAGGAACTTCTTCCGCTTCTCTATCTCTACCTTATCGTTTAGCCTGTAGCACTACTTCACTTACTCCCTCAGATAATGCTGCAGTGATACGCTTCGCTCTCTCCGGCATGCTTAGACTTTTCTGCCTCGGAGTGTATCCTTCCACCACCACCACTATCAACACAGCCCTTCTCCCAGCAAAGGCCCACAGCCATCATTGAGCGCATATAATGTTGACTGTAAAAACCATAAAATACAATCCAACACTGGCCCTGTTTGTTCCCCAGTTGTTTTTTTAGAGCTGTGAATATTCATAATTAATCTGACGCAGTGATAATAAATTTTATATGCTTCCTTATCATTTTAGAGCCCAAGAGGAAGAGAGAGGTTTTTTTTTTTTTTCTCTCAGCATGGTGCTTTTTGGATTTGAAGGAGACGAGATCCAAATAAGACTGACCTCTTTGCCCCGGAATCTTATGAGTGGAGCTGATAGTGGGAATTATTTACTCTGCAAACTGGGCTGCTGCCTAGAGCCAAAGACGAGAAGAGCATCCCCTCCTCATGTTGCTCCTCAACTATCTCTCCTCCTCCTCTCCTTCACTATCTCTCCCTCTGCCCCCAAATCCACCCTTCTGCTTCTTTTTTTTTCATGCTCCAAATGCAAAATAATCCACTTTCCCTTGACTACCCCTGACTGAAAAAGTGCCTCATGTCAGACTGAAGGCCTGGTTAGCCCGCTTTGATCTCTGTCCACAATATTGATAGTAATCAAGAGGCTTCTTCCTTCATTGCATGACTTTGGTTGGATGGATTGGAGAAATTGTAACAATCAGCCGCAGCTCTTGTTCATGTTTTCTGATCAAACATACAAACAACAAAGCCGAACCTCACGAAAACACTGATAAAGACTGATGCACTGTTAAAAATGCAAAGCTGTTGCTGTCAAAACAATGTTCTTTGGAGGCTTGTGGAATAAACTGTGAAGACGGATAAACCACCAAAAACCAAAATGCTTTTTGCTCCCTGACAAGTTAGCACCATGTTAAACATTTTACGCCTTTTGTATCATTTATCATCAGCCGTTATGATCGTTTTCATCATCAGGCTGTTGTACTTTTAAATAGGAGATCAGGGCCTCAGTTTTAAATTATTAAGTTGCAGCAAGTCTAGTGAAGAACATTTTGCTCCAAGTTCAACAGTAAATACCCATATCTCAAGAGAATAATTGTGTTTACAAACTTAGCTGTATGATCAATGGGAAGTAAGAATATCTTCAATCTTTATACCTCCTCTTCTATTTTCATTGAGCAGCACATCAGCCCTGCACTTACTTTTTGTAATATCATTTTATCTATTTATAACCTCGGTGAGGCAGAGTAGGGAAGAAACGATCCTATGGGCCAGCAGGGCCTTGTGTGTTATTTCAAAGTCTGTAGATATAACCACTCTACTATCTCCTTTTCTTATTACCTGGAGCCTTTTTCAAATAGCCACCTATCGAGGGAAGATGTTCTGCTCTTCCTCATTATTTATAGATTACCAAATGCATATTTGCTTTCTCAACTGCTTTTCTTTCTTTGTCTTTTCAGATCATCCTGATCCTCCTTCATTGTTTCGCCAAGTGGATGTCACCCATGACTCGGTCACCCTGGAGTGGATCCCCGGCTTCAATGGTGGTTTGCAACAACGATTTCGTATAAGGTATGAGGTTAAAGGCAGGATGCTGGTGAGAGAATGACCCCCTTCTCAATCAAAGACTCAGACTTGACATGAACCTCTGGTTGGCAGATACCTTTGGGAGAAGTCCGCCAGTTTCCTGTACGTGGACGTGTTTCCTCCCAGTGCTACCACCTTCACTGTCACTAACCTGCAGCCTGTCACCACCTATAACTTCTCCGTCAATGCCCTCAACGCGATGGGAGAGGGCGGCTATGCTGACAACAATGCAGTACTGTCCATCACCACCAAGGGTCAGTTTGGAGTAACCCCTACTTGACATTTAAATGACTCCACTCTGCAAACATCAGATAATCTAGGATGAATTAAACATTGTGCTCACTGTGTGAAAGTTTTCCTCCCTCTCCCTTTTTTCTCTACAGAGAGGCCAGGAGAAGAAGTAGTCCCAGCAGACGATGACTCAGTCTCACCGAGTAAGTCTTTTTATCTCCCACAACTCCCTGAAAAAGCTCTTAAGGGCAGTTGGAAATTGCTGTTTGCACAGCAGCTAGCTTCATTTGGCTAAATCATGTTAATGTATGCACCTCCAAGGCTGTTAATGTTTGCTCTACCAGAGTAGTGGTTGTCATGGCAGCCACCCCATACTTTTTCCCCTCTGCTAGTCTTTAATCAATAAAGACAATTGAGAGAGCAGTTGGGTTTGTCTCAGTCAGTTTTTATCTTTCCCAATTTCCATATTACTCCCTCTTTAACTTTCATTGGTATGCACTGAGCTAATGTTTCTGCTGCTTTGTGAACCAGGTGAGAGAGGACTGCCAGCCTATTTGACTGTAGTGTTCACAGTGGTGTTTGGAGTCCTGCTGGTCTTCAATTCTTTGGGCTGTTTCTTTGGATTGAGGTGGAAAAAGAGACAAGGACAGAGAGGTAACTGCCAAAATAAATCCTGTATGTGTACCCTTTTTTTTTCATATGACCTCCTGACATTTTCCAGATAATTTCAGGATATCAAGCCCTGGTATTTTCAGGAGCTTGGCTTTTACACATGCACCTGGCAGTGGAAGGTTTTTCCTGTCAGATGGGCTCTCACAACTCAGAGCACTCTGTTTGGTGGACATGAGAGGGAAGAGTGTGAGTAGTGTGTGCAAGAGGCCACATACTGACATCTGAGTTTAAAGTAGAGAAACTATTCTCAACGTAAACAACAATGCCACCCCGCCCGTTTTGTTTATTACTTACCCAGATTTATTATGTTACTTGAGGGCTGGCAAGAAAAGTCCAGAGTAGAGTAAAGCCAGGGTGGCCTGATTGAGCAGTTCGCTGTTTCATGTACATGTAACCCATCCAAACAAAGTCAGGAAATGCAGTGCATATGTGAAAGGATTTCCCCCATCACTTCATGTCTTTATAATGTTTTGATTCTTGAACCCAACCTTTGACAAAAAAAAAACTCTGAACCATGATGCAATTGTCGGCTCAGACTACTGCCCTCTTCTCATCTCTCCATGTCCCTCCGTCTATCCCGTCTCCTCTCTCTCTAAGCCTGTAACTCCCGCCACATTCATCTGTCAAAACTGTCACTTGTCTGTTTCATCTATGTCTTTTATCTCATTTGCTGGCTTTATGTCCTTCTTCTATCTCTCCTCCTGTCTCTTTCTATTTATCCCTCTGTATGACTGTCAGGTTCTCCTGTGTGTCTGTCTTTTTATATTTTCATTTTTCAGGGTTTTTTACATAGATTTCCACAGATTTCATTCAGTCTGTCTGGCCCCTTTCCTGCTCTGATCAATTTTAGCCCTTATGAGATGATGCTCCTCAGTTCTAATTTCCTAAGCCTCTTTCCTCCTGTTTCTGTGTCCCCCCTGCAGGGGGTGGAGGAGGCAGCATGTTAGAGGAGAAAAAGAATGAAGAGAGGGGGTAAGTTAAGGCCCTGCAGTCCAAGTAATAAAGGAACACACATCCAATCCACTCTAAGAAGTCTGAGGCCTGATCCATTGGCTGACCCAGCAACTGAAACAGCCAGGCAGGCAAAAAAGAGCCTCAGTCAATATCCATTTATATTAGTGTCATCAAACTTACACTGGATCCTTGAATAAACCACACAATACATTTTGTAGAACATTTTATTTTTTTTGCAGGAAAAAAGCCTCTGGACTGAGACTTGACAGCCCTTTTTGTTGCTCATGAGGATTTTTAACTTAAAATGCCAAGTTAAAAATAAGAAAAAAATACTGGCTTGCTTCCTAGATGAATAACTAAAGCTAAGAAACTGGGTCTGAATTGCTGAGTATGTCTTTAAAGGCAAGTTAGTTGCAGAACAATCTTCCTCGGGGTTAATATTTTTTAACCTTTTTTAACACAACTCGGTTAGCTTTGTTGGATTTACTCAACTTTAAAAACATGACTTCTCTGAGTTTTTCTAGGGATCTAATGACCAAAAAAATCTAAAGAGGATAATAGAACACAATTTTTCGATACAGGTCCTCTCAGTCAACTGAAAGCAACTCCAATAAGTACGAGAGCAGAGAGAAGATCAACGCTGGAGCCCAGAGAACCCTCCTCATCGACTCTGGGTCCGAAACAGAGAGCAACGTCTACGAAAGCTGCGGGGCGGTGAGTACTAGAGAGTAGAGGGAGAAGGGATGAGAGGAGAAAAAGTGGCTTTTTAGAGAATCTCCACAGATGCAGGAAAGGGAGACTGAACAAGATAGAGAGAGGGAGGAGGGGAATAAAGGGCTGAAGGGATTTGGCAGGAGAGGAAGGGGAGAATGCAGCCATAACATGGAAAATGGATAGATAGATATACTAATGAAACCTTTAGCTGTGCATAGAGATGGAACATGGATCAATACCTCACTATTAGCATTCAAAATACACATCGATCCCAGAGAAATTATCATTTTGTACTTAAAACGGGCCAACGAGTTCGTGAACCTTAAAGAAAGTTGTTGAGTGAGGCAGAAGAAAACAGACAGTACTGCACAGCGAGGATGGGGTATAATGAAAATCTCAAATCCCTACAGAGACAGGCATGTTCTCCCTCTTGATTTAAAACAACTCATACCTGGAAGAATTGGTTCAGCCGAGTTACTTCAAAAATATCTGTCTCATTTACCTGTTGTGGTGTCTTGCCTTGGGTGTAGATATTTTGGGTTTAATTGCCCCTAATATCTGCCCCTGAGATTTCTGCCTACGACTCAAACATCATGTAGGTGGTGGTGAAAATAGCAACATGTCCTGTTACTAAGAATATTGCACAGACTTGACTTTAAACAGGAGGTAACATTTTTTCTTTTTTCTTTAAGTGACGCAAGAAAGTCTGTGTTGGAAATCTACCTCTGAACTCTTTGAAATGAAAACACAAAGGAAGAAGAAAGTGAACTTACGCATGACTATTGCTTTTACGCTGATTCAGGGGTTTAGGCTACAGCCTCATGGTGGGGCTGAAGGTGCTCGATACCAGATCAGACTGATTATCAAATATTGGGTTTTACTTTTCATGTGGATTTGCATTGTTTCTTTGGTGCCTATCTCTAATACACATTATAAATATATGTATGATGCGTTATTATCACGTTATAATACTGTATAACTATAGTTATAAACACTCATAAATGATCATAATGCTTTATAGAAATAATCATAAGACATTATAAAGCATTTTATCATGACTTACAAGGTCAGGTATTATAATGTGTTATAACTGTTAACAACTCACTGACAATGCCCACATAGATAATGCATTATACATATATTTATGATGTGTTATATTTGCTTATAAACTTGTATAACTATTATTATAAACACTTATTAATTATCATAAGGCTTTATAACAATAAGCATAACACATTATAATACCTGACCTTATAAGTCATGATAAAATGCTTTATAATGTGTTATGATTATTGCTATAAAGCATTATGATCATTTATGAGTATTTATAACTATAGCTTTACGGTGTTATACCATGATTATAACACATAATACGTATATTTATAATGTGTTGTAGAGATAGGCGTCAAGTAGTGTGTTACCGTATTTGTTTTTTTTCATGTATACACATTTTTAACTTAAAGATATTGAAAAGTTATAGAATTTATTTGCATGTACACTCACCGGCCACTTTATTAGGTACACCATGCTAGTAACGGGTTGGACCCCCTTTTGCCTTCAGAACTGCCTCAATTCTTCGTGGCATAGATTCAACAAGGTGCTGGAAGCATTCCTCAGAGAGCTTGGTCCATATTGACATGATGGCATCACACAGTTGCCGCAGATTTGTCGGCTGCACATCCATGATGTGAATCTTCCGTTCCACCACATCCCAAAGATGCTCTATTGGATTGAGATCTGGTGACTGTGGAGGCCATTTGAGTACAGTGAACTCATTGTCATGTTCAAGAAACCAGTCTGAGATGATTCCAGCTTTATGACATGGCGCATTATCCTGCTGAAAGTAGCCATCAGAAGTTGGGTACATTGTGGTCATAAAGGGATGGACATGGTCAGCAACAATACTCAGGTAGGCTGTGGCGTTGCAACGATGCTCAATTGGTACCAAGGGGCCCAAAGAGTGCCAAGAAAATATTCCCCACACCATGACACCACCACCACCAGCCTGAACCGTTGATACAAGGCAGGATGGATCCATGCTTTCATGTTGTTGACGCCAAATTCTGACCCTACCATCCGAATGTCGCAGCAGAAATCGAGACTCATCAGACCAGGCAACGTTTTTCCAATCTTCTATTGTCCAATTTCGATGAGCTTGTGCAAATTGTAGCCTCAGTTTCCTGTTCTTAGCTGAAAGGAGTGGCACCCGGCGTGGTCTTCTGCTGCTGTAGCCCATCTGCCTCAAAGTTCGACGTACTGTGCGTTCAGAGATGCTCTTCTGCCTACCTTGGTTGTAACGGGTGGTTATTTGAGTCACTGTTGCCTTTCTATCAGCTCGAACCAGTCTGGCCATTATTCTCTGACCTCTGGCATCAACAAGGCATTTCCGCCCACAGAACTGCCGCTCACTGGATATTTTTTCTTTTTCTGACCATTCTCTGTAAACCCTAGAGATGGTTGTGCGTGAAAATCCCAGTAGATCAGCAGTTTCTGAAATACTCAGACCAGCCCTTCTGGCACCAACAACCATGCCACGTTCAAAGTCACTCAAATCACCTTTCTTCCCCATACTGATGCTCGGTTTGAACTGCAGGAGATTGTCTTGACCATGTCTACATGCCTAAATGCACTAAGTTGCCGCCATGTGATTGGCTGATAAGAAATTAAGTGTTAACGAGCAGTTGGACAGGTGTACCTAATAAAGTGGCCGGTGAGTGTATGTGTGTGAACCCTTCTCTGTGTTTTTTCTAATGTACTACACTAACCTCCAGAATTTTGTTGCTTTTTCATTACTTCTTAATCGTTTGCTTTGTTCTTCTATTTCATTTTGTATGTCTTATTTTATTCAAATAACTACCCTTAAAAATGGGTTTTCACATGTTTGTACCAACATTTGGAGTGAAATCTGAAGTCTTGACTCTTGTAGATGTAATAGGGCCCTAAAATAACTCTATTTTTTACTGTCAAGCTGTCAGGGTCCATAGTACTTTTGAGGATTGTCGCTCTCGAGGTTTGACCTCGCCTTCGAGGAATTACCTGCTCTGATGTAACACATGTGGTTTAGTCATTGACTGGAGGATGATCTGATCCAATCTCTTGTGTTTCATGAATTTCAGGAAAGTGCCCATTATTATTACTACCCCACCAGTGACTACATTCCGCCTCTCAGTCCACACCTGGAGGAAACACGCAGGCTCGGTGAGACGCAAATATACCTCAGAGTAAACAAGGCAACAATAAACAAGCTCACATCCAAAAGCATGATGCAGCCTGAGCCAATCAGGAGCTGCTATTCTTATCCTTGTTTGAACATGTGGCAAACAACTTGGGGCAAATGTTATACTGTCTATGTACAAAGTTTACAAAGTACTTTGACAGACAAAGCAAACACATGAAATAACAAAAGAAACCCCATCAGCAGGGTTAACAAAGGAGAGGCAGGAAGGGGGGATAGATGGGATAAAGTTGAAGCATGTAGATAATTATGTGATCAGTCTCAGTTAGTCGACACTTTATGAATGTATGACTCTGTCTCCACATGCTCTCCAAGACGTCATCCACCTTGACTCTCAAAGTCATATATATGAAGAGGTGAGAGACGGGGGTCTGTACCAGGAAGTCCGGGCTTCCTCTCTTCCTTCCCCGGCGACCTTATTTGACCAAAGTTCATTCAATCAAAAGAAGGGGCGAAGACCCCCAACCCACTCTCAGGTTAGTAACCAAACAGCCTGTGATGAAATCTGCCATTTTAGCCATAATTTATACACGTCAGTATCAAACCAACATTACTTATATTCTGATCAATTAGACACTGAAACTTATGGAAGCCCCAAGAGCACATACATTCATAGATTTAAATTTCAGTGAATTTCAGTTGGCTTATTTCAACAACAGGCTTGTCTCGGTGATATACCAGACTAAACATGCCATCTAGCCGCTGCCTAAACTAATGAGGAAAGTGAAGCTCATGTCTGTTTATTTTGTGCTTTTGCAACTCTGGGGACACAAGTTATGATCCAGATCTCAATTCAGCATCAGATGATGATAACTTGTAACCACAATGTTACAAAAGCACATAACAAACATAAAGTGTATGGATGTTTGGCCGCTAAGGGCTCCCATAAAAGATAAATGACTTTTTAAGATGTTATTCCATCGTTTTATTGTGTATGACGATGTACTCTGTCTCTCAGCAGGGTACTGAAAGAGCGAGGGACTTGGTGGATGTTCAGCAGCTGCGGAGAGACTCTGATCTTCCTTTTGAACTACAAGGCGAGCTAGTTTAGAATGTGAAGGTCAGCAAAAACAAATCTGCCATGACAGCGGCTGTGACTCAACACCAGTCATTGACGACAGTGTTCTGCAGCAAACACTGAATACAAGGTTTTGTGTTATATTCTATCTGAATGATGACCTTGAAAGACTTTCCCTGACTGAAAAGGAGCTGCAAATATATATAATTTTATCAAGTTTGGGGCTTTTAGACAGAAGGATACTATACATCAGAAAAAAAGGAAAATAAGAGGCAGACAGGCAAACTGAATTGACAATAAAGTCTCAATAAACTGCAAACAAGCCTGTAAAAACTGATGCGACGGTATTTTACTTCAGCTAACTCAGGCAGTTCCTCTACTTCCAGCTGTTTTTCTACTCCCCCGAGATGCTGCTTTATCCACCTCCTCCTCCCTTTGTCTGTGCTTTGTTACTTCACCTTTACCCTCTTTCTCAGAGCCAAGTCATGGTCGCTGCCCACAGCCCCTGTCTGCTGTGGCCTGCAGGTAGACATGAATCAGTCAGTTAGAGCCAAAAACGGACTGACAACACTGCAGTTCGCTCTGAGGCGGGGGAGGCACAGACTCATGGTGCCACCTAAGTAGACATCATCCTTTTTGACCCATCCTATGTCGACGGTTTCCAACATGTAACCAGATGAGTACCTGACAGCAGTGTCCTGTTCTTCCCCTTTGAGGTACAAAGAGCTTCAGACCTCACAGTTGGTCCGTGAGAATCCCGACAATAGGATTGTCCTGAGTGGTATTTAGCACGGTTATGTCTTGGGGAGGTAGAAGCCATATCAAGGGCCAGACTCTAATCCTGTTTTCTCTCTCGGATTGAAGTTCAGCTCACAGCGTCAGTGAGGAAGAGGAACCACGCTGAGAATTTGTCTCACTGAGGGTGGACAGTCAAAGATAGAGACAGGAAGAAGGGGTTAGGCTAAGCTGCAACTGTGGCTACAGCAACAAAAAAAACTCCACACTCCATTTTCTCTGGTCTTTCTTTTTTTGATTTAAGTGTAAAAGGAAGAAAAGAGGTTCGCTCTGAGGATTTTCTTGATTGAGATAACTTTTCAAAATCAAAGTCGCCTCACACAAATATCAGTTGAAATTCTCAAAGATCAAAAAATAAGAAACAATTCAATAGATGAGCTTCTCTTGTGAATCAGATAACAACTCTAGCAATTACAGATGAAAGGAACACCATTACAGTGTAGTTAAAGCAGACTGGAAGTCTTCAGCTAAGCTCGCAGATCATTTGAGGCATGGCTTCATGCTAAACGCTATCATCTGCATGCCATCATGCACTCAGTGTAGGGTCAATGTATTTGTAAACTGCCAAACTCTGACCCTTGATTAGTACCACAGGTTCGTAGATGGACACATGTAGGTGCTGGAAAATTCCTGTTATGAGTTTTTATCAGAATAAGTTATTTTAGAATACGGCACACAGAAAACTTTCTGTGTAATGGCCAACATAGAAAAGAAGTAGTGAGCCTTTAGGGGCTGTTTCTTTTCATTAATAGTCTGCTGGTCGATTGCTGTCATAGTTTTGCTCTGTAACATAAAGTTTACATTACACAGACAGACAAAGGCTAAAACATGGACAGCAGGACAGCTCCATCTAAGTGAAGCCGAAATAAGAGCCCTCCCTGGATACTGGCTTTGGTATATGTTGTATTCTTAACCTCCTGCATTATTATAGATGGTGCATTTTGTCCTTTTTTGTCCTTATCAGAAATGACATTGTGTCTGCTAAAACTAACAGAGCAGTGGACTCTGAGACACTCCTTTGCATCTTATTAATTTTTAGCATTTTGGGTCCTCTCTCCTTAGCTCACCTGGAAATTGTTTCCTGCTGACATAATAGATGATCCTCCACTTGATTGAATCCCCCTAAAGCAGACAAGGAAGCTTTAGGAGGAGCTCAGAGCAAGGACACACTAGCATACACTCTGCTGAAGTTTTTTAACCATAACTGCAACATGATTGGTGCAAGTGTGGCATACTGCACCTTCATAGAGATCATAGTTTCTAACTCCTCCTTACATTCACTGCCCTGGCTCGATCAAAGTGTAACGGGGCGCTCACACCAAGCACAAATGAAATCATCTATACTCTTAATTCGCGCAAATCTCGACGATTGAATAAATAGCATTTACTTGCCTCATTTGCGCATCAACTGTAATTTCAATGGTAATTTCTGCTAATTCACCCGGCGCGATCAAGCTCCTTTTTATTTCGGTTTCGGTGATTACAAGAAAAGGTATCATATGATTCGGGGCACCTACACACCGACAAGATCAGTTTGTCCTCCATTTTAGAGACCAGTCCATTTTCATACATCACACAGCAACCTTCATGCTGATTAGCTATGGAGACATGAATATCAGCTCAAGTTGAGACATTTTCAGCTCCTGCCTAATTTGCATCATTCGCACCACCAGAGAAGTAGAATTGCTAATTGCATCTTTGCATTGACTTCATTCGCACAAATGACTTTACTTGCACTTGGTGTGTGGAGACATTAACACTTCAACTACTGTGTGTGATGGTTCATTCTATTAATATCAATCACTACCATGAAAAAAAAAAATATATGTATATATATATATATATATATATATATATATATATAATATATATATATATATATATATATATATATATATATATATATATACATACACACACACACACACACACACACATACAAACTTGATTTCTGCACACAGGTCTAAAAATCTGGTGCTGATGTTTTAACAAGATGACTCCAAATCTTTAAGTCTCACTCAAAAATTTCAAATCACAGTTTTTACAAATCCCTAAACACAGTTTGTATCCGTTAGCACACTTCAAGTACCTTACAGCACTGGCATTTAAAACTGCTACACCCTGATGACCAAACAGTCTCACTCATGTTGCACCTGTGCAAACTCAATCTGAAGAACACTTTAGTCTCTGTCAGAGTCAAAGGGACCTGGAGTGATTATACATTCATGTAGACTACATGATGGCAGTGTTGAGATCTATTTACACCACTGTTTGTTTGGTGCTCTGTAAGACAGAAGCACATAATAGCTGTGGAAAAGAGAGAGAACATGTTTCTGAGTGCTGTTTCATTTTGCCAGAGATTTGTGGAGTTTTGACAAGAAAGTGAAGTATTTTTAGTTTGTGTTTGGAGAAATTGAGCAACAGTTTCTAGTAATGTGTTGAAACCTTTGGAGAAGCTGCAGTGTGAGTGAAAAACAGAGCCATCGGAATCATACCAAACAACACTGATGTGTCCCTACATGAGAAGGATTTAAGAAGAGGAAGCCATTAGAATAAATTATCAGCCACCTTGAGAGTTAACATATCTAAATGAAGTTTCTATGTGAGACACTTGCGGCATACATAGGCATAAGATCATCATCCTCATGTTAAATAAACTAAAAGCTATTGGGATATACATACATTTTTAAAATAAGAGCTCCTCTGGATATTTGTACAGTGGGTTTGACAGTGGAGACAGCTGTGCAGCTTATCTTTGATACCCGACATAGCTCCAGTCTGACTCTGTGGAGGAAAGTTTCTTATCCAGCAAGTATGCTCTTCGGTCCTTTTGTGTCTTCTTTGCATCTTTCTTTCATTTCTTCCACATGAAGAACTAAAATGTAAGGAAATGACACAAGTGAGGTGCCCGAGGAAACAGATGACTGAATCGAGGAGAGGCCTCACCCTGTTTTTAGACTCCGTCTTCCTCATTTTCATTCTCCTTGTGGTTCACCAGTTTTCACCTGCATTCTGTCTCCTGTGATTCTCAGATTGTCTCCATTCACCTTTGGTGTCAACTTCTAAATCACTTGTGTCCTCTGAACTGGCTTATATTGGTTTCATCATGTCAGTGGCAACAAATGTTTATAAAGTGCCACAGTTTGCAATGAGTGTACTCCCCATATACAGGGTCTGTAGCAGTTGCTGGATTGACCCCCCTGTGCTGCAGGTCTTCTCATTTGCAGTCCTATCTAATAAAGACAAAACCCCCTACCCTACCTCTCTAACAAACCTGTGATAACCGTCATGTATCAAGTGTGTCACAGTGCAAACTGTGTTTTAGAAGAGTTTTGTGAAGAAAATAAGTGAGATCTGCAGTGTGCCTCACTTTGTTTCAGTGTTTAATATTCGTCAGTTATGGGGGTGGATTTGTGCCACTGACCCTTAACACTTAAACCAAACATACACATCGACACAAATTGTATTTTTTTGTTTCAGAAGAAGTGGGTCCTATGTTTGTTGAATTTGTTCCTGTTTTTTTTTTTTTTTTTTACTGTAAGGAAATCATCAATCTACTCGTGCCTCTTTCAGGTTCCTGTCGCCTCATAGTGTACACAAACCGTGACTGGTTTCATACAGTCCCATTGTGCGTGTACACTCTTCCTGCTCTTAGCTTCTGCTTTCCCTTCCAGCAGAATCTGTCACATCAGTCTCATCAGCTCACATACATAACACAAATAGTTCAGTACAGTCTACACAGCACAGAAGACACACTTGTAAGGAGAAAAAAAAAAGACTTTTATTTACTCTTCTTTTATATTCTGTGTTTTATTTGATTGATATGACATGAACTGCCTCATGAGTTCAGCCCTTTTCTATTTGCTATTACTGTAACTTGGAGTCATCATTGCAATGGAAATATTTACATAAAGATTGTTAGAGGTGATATTAAAATCCTGTCTCGGTTGTTTTTGTCAACACATTTTCCCAACCTACTAAACTTCTGTTTCCTCCATAAGATCTGACTGCCTAGATGGAGATTAATCTCAGTGTTTCACAGAGCTGCGTTCCCTCAATTAGGCTCGCTATTCTCCATCATGAGCTGTCAAGGTATGTTTGTCTCATTACTGAACAATTGTTTAAGTTCCTGTCAGGCTGACTGCTGTGCTCATACCAAAGCTTGTTCATGAGGCATCATTTCGGCACAGGCGAGAATGGTAATCTGCAAAACCTGAAAGACTTGACAGCTCAATACTGCGTGTCAACTTCTATTTTTCTTCACCTGGTGAACGTTTTGATATGTCGTGTGGAGAAAGAATCTCAGGGGGGTTCGAACATACAAGCCACACGAGTGCACAATTAAGTCAAAAGAGAAACAAATAAGAGACTTTAATTACCTCAGCTCCAGGAATGTTTACACATCCTTATCCCCCCTCCTCTAAATGTTCTGTTTTGTTGTTTTATTGTTTGAAAAAACAAATATAACAGTTAATAATAGTCCTTTGACACCTTAACAGGTCGCTCTACCTGTGGGGGAGCACGCTCAAATTTTGCTCAAATTTCTTCAAGCCCTGTCACTGATCTCATTATTCAGATTTTTTTTTTCATTGAACTAAATAGAAATCAAATCAAAAGCTTGAGAGGGTCTTTTTTTTGTTTTTTCTTATTACAAATTAGAACATGGTTTTACAGGCAGTTATTATGGCTCACTTTGTGGCTCTGCTCTCCTGTTGTCAGTAATGAGGATGTAATTTGCCCTCCAATGTGGATGAAAGAATACAACAGAATAAATGCAAGAAAAACAGAAAATAACGAAGTAAAAACTCTGTTAATTATTCTTTTACATGAGGACGGATCTGAGCAATATTGAAACTAAGGGTATGTGATCTCCTTTAATTAAACATGAATACAGTATGTGTGTAGACAGAGTAAAGTTCAAATGACACTGTGCCTATTAAAACACTCGCCAAGCCTATAAGAGCCTGCACTCAAATGAAACAGCAACAATCATTAAAGCACAGAAAATAAAAAGACATGTTTGTCTCTACTTCAGATAACTCTAAGTTTAAATGAACACAATATCAATCCAGAGAAGTGCTCTCTGAAAATATTCTGCAGAAGATAAACAGTATATTTGACAAAGAAATTATCTTTTCTATTTATAACCTGTTTAATCCTGGGCATATGATTTGTTTTTCATACATAAGTTTAAATTCACAAAACTTTCATGGGGCATTTAAATCCTCTCACACTGGCACTCAAACTCAAAGAAAAATGTTGGCTCAGGTTGAATAAGGAGGAAGAAATTGAAAACATTAACTCATTTGGCACAATTTAAAAGGTCACTGCCTCCAAAGACCTTGTGCATATAATATGACTATAAAAATGCCAATCATTTTTATGAATTTTTGTCTTTTTGTAGGTTAACATATTTAAAGGACAAAATAAATATTTTCTGGGTTTGAAGCTAACATAATGCTAAAGTAAGATATGTAACCATGCAAAAAAAATATTAATCTAAAAGTAGACTGATTAAATTTTTGTAGCTTGGCATGATAGAAATTCAACATTTAAACACCAACTTTTTTTTTCACAATATGCATTATTGCATAGATAGATAGATAGATAGATAGATAGATAGATAGATAGATAGATAGATAGATAGATAGATAGATAGATGTTATGTGGTACAATGTCATAAAATACCTGAGATATGATATGTACCCTACTTTATAATACTATACCATACAATACAATATAATACAATTCAACAGTATACAATATTATATGGTGTGGTATGAAAGTGTATGATGTCAAACAACAGAAAAGGACCTTTGGTCTCTTAGTAAAATTTGTCTTCGACCACAGTACAAAAAGAAAATAAAAATCAGTACAAACAGAAATGATGACTAAAATGACAAATAACATATTGGACATAACCCATATTTCACAATCTGCATAAAACAGAACATACATGATAAGATAACACTATGATAGTTTCACACCAACCATGTGGCTCCACAACAGCGTTTTAATGTTATGTTTAAGTGATGACTATTTTTATAATGTTTAATGGTTCAGCTATAGGAGGGAGGACAAGCTGACCCAAAAGCACCCCCGGCACTCTGGACAAAGACTGTCCTCTTGACCCCAGCCTGTGTATGAATTGCAGTCTTTGTATGCTCTCACAGTCTAGGTTTGTGTTTCTCAGTTGTGTAATGCTGTTAGTTCACCGTCTTGCACATGCACCCCCACTCATACGCACGCACGCACATTCTGCAGCCTTGAATCAAGAGTTTAAAAATCTAAAGAACAAAACATGAATTCAACATCGTAGCTATGCGTCTGCTCAGCTGCAAAAGAGATTTCTCTATATCTGAACTCAGTAGAGATTTTTGAGACTTCATATAAAAGTATTTTGTGAAGCAAAGCTGTCCCTTTAGCTTATGCTAAAGCAGAAGGTATTTGAGTCATTTCAAGTGGAATATTGTTTTTCATAGTCACACAGACAGTGGAACATCTTCAATGACATTTCTTTTATAAAACGACACTTAATAAAACTCTTCAGGAAATTCATATGATTCAAACTTCCCCCAGCATGTTCTGCATTTCTGAGTGAGAATAAATGCTTTAAATCACCTACTCACCATAACAAAAAGGTTATTCATGTCTTGTTTGTAAGACAGCAACACGGAGAAGACAGATGACACATGAACCTGTGAACAGAAATTGAGAATGACAGTAGGCTAGACAGGCTGATAGACGGGGAAAACACACAGGGACATTCAAAGACAGAGTACTGTAGAGGATGGAGAACTAAAGCAGGAGGATGAGCCACCATGCTGAGAACCACAAACACTGAGAGCACAAAGAAGGAGGAGGCCATGTCATGAGACAGAGAGAGTGGGTGAGCGGGAGACTGAAACAGTTAGCACAGTTGGATGAGGAAGTAAGGGTTGTGAGTACACGGGTGTGGTTGGCTTGCTGTTACTCCATCAGCCTTTCAGACAGAGGAACGCACTGAGGATGATGAGGCCCAGGATGAATCTGTGGACTCCACACAGGTCGGATACGAAGGTAGGTGTAATCACCTAGAAAGGATTGGTAGACTGGATATCAAAGGGGCTTAGGGGGGTTTGGGGTGAAACAGACTGAAAAAAAGAGATTGATGGAGGATGACAGACAAACGGATGAACAGACAGACAGAGAGTGAGTGAGAGTGCTAGATGTGACAAACGGCCCGGCGGGTCAGACTAGAGGAAAGGGAGAGACGCCTGTACAGCCCAGGGGAAACAGGCCTCATCTTGACATATGCTCCGGAGTGAAATGAAGATTGGCATGACCTGCTAATCTGAGCTGTCACAGCTCATGACGGCCACAGACGCTCACCTGTCACACTGCTCCCAGCCCGCAGGACAAGCTGCCACCAGGATAGGTCAAAGATCGAGATTCATTTTGTGCTGGGGGAGGATTCAAACTGAGCCACCAGCCCAGACTTCCATCTGTCACTCTACCTGCTCGTCTCTGTGTGCCTGCCAGTTGTTGTTCCCTGCACTGTACTGCCATAAAATAGCACAATAGTGTACATGTCTTCGCCTGCTTTTTTGTCTATAGTGTTCTGTTTTAAGCTAGGGGCGATATGTTGTGAGGGGGAGGAAAGCACATGTTTTTCCACTGATTCAGAAAACGCTGCTCACCAGTTCAGGATTTCCATTATGTTTAAAAAGAATTGTTTTGACACATCCTCCAATGCCGCTTTTTTAATTGGTGACAGGAGCAAACTGGAAAAAAATAAAGACAAAGTTTGATCAATACTGCCTTAAAGTTAAACACAAGACACGTGGGCGGATTGCACACACAATGTGCGGCCTCGATCACTCATTTCTGACAAACGTTAAAAAAAACACACAAACGCTGGTTATATTGTGTTTGTATTATTCAGTTTGACATCCAAAGTTGGAATCTGATGTCTGTTGTGCTCTGTGAGGAGTGTGGGTGATGTTGCCTGTGTGCCTGAAGAGAAAGGAGAAGTAGCCATGTTGAGCAAAAACCTCCCTTGGTAAAACTTCCTGTTTAGTGGATGTAGACTGAACAAAATGTACTGGAGAGAGAGTGCGCATGTGCCAGTCATCTTAGCAGGTTTGTGGTTCGGTGTTTATGGTTTAAACAGATGTAAACCAGATAGAGATAGTCTGTAAACTACCAGGGTATGAGAAATGAGCAGAAATGTCCTCTGCTTGGTACTTTACATGATCTGTCTCTGCTTGTAGAATCACCTGTTAGACCCCAGCATATCTGATGTGCATATCTTAGATAAGGTTGTTGAAGAACGTTTAGTCTCACAACGGCTGATAACTGACGTGAGTCACTGCAAATGAAAACACTGAAAGGAAAACTGTTCAGATTCAAGTTGAAGCACAACCTGTTATATGTGTTCTGTGCCATGCTTTTGTCTCCTCTTACCAGAATATGATTTCATCTTTGTCTTTCAGAAGTATTTGGCTTCCTTTACCCTTTTCCTGTTTGTTATGCTGCAAGGTAAGTATTTTATCCTACTGGCACTGATTGATTTAGCTGACTTCAAACCCACATTTGAATCTAACAGTGAATTTATGTGAATCTTAGGTTGGCCACACTGAACACAAAACTTAATGTGAGTTATGTACAGCTACAGCTGTCTAAAGATATTATTAGCCAACATTTGACACCATAAACTTATGACCAGTCAGAGTATAGCACAGAAACTGCACTGTACTGACATAAATCAATGATCTCTTGAAAATTCTGTACAATCGGGGGAGGCAGGATGTTTTTCAGAGATGTTGAACAATTTGTGTCTTTGATCGGGATTAATCACTAAATTTCAACAGCTTACAACTATTGATCACATTTTTGTTTGCATGTCCAAGTTCCATTCTGCTGAGCAATTGACGGCTATTAGACAAAATAAATTTTTAGACCAAATTTCATTAGTCTAGATTCTGTATATTTTTAGACAGAATTTAGACGTTGCACTTTAACCCATTATTCAATAACTATTTATTTTAAAAAGCAACTGTGAGTTGCATGATTGATCTCCAAGTACTTAACCAAAATAATTATGATAGCCATTGAGCAATGGGCGGCAGTAGCTCAGGAGGTAGAGCGGTCGGCCAATAACTGAAAGGTTGGCGGTTCGAGCCTGTCCTGTCCCTAGTCTGTCCGTTGTGTCCTTGGGCAAGACACTTAACCCACCTTGCTCCCAGTGTGTGTCCTCCACTGGTGTATGGTTGTGAGTGTTGTGTGGTGGTGGTCAGAGAGGCCGTAGGCGCAAACTGGCAGCCACGTTTCCGTCAGTCTGCCCCAGGGCAGCTGTGACTACTAAGGTAGTTTACCACCACCGAGGTGTGACTGTGTGAGTGAATGAATGATGTATCCAATGTAAAGTGCTTTGAGGGTCTCTGATAAAGCGCTATAAAAATCTGATGCATTATTATTATATAAAGTGTAGTATAGATATAGCCCAGATTTAGACTTGGTCTAAACTTTCCTTTTTAGACCTGTGGTAGCCTGATTTTAGACCAGTCATCTAGGCTACATTTAGACGTCTATTAGACCTCTTTTAGACCAAAAAATGCTCAGTGGGATTATCATGCATTTCTGAACCATCTTAAATATCACAGCTGCTATAAGGAGTGTTTTGTGTTTATGTAACTGACTGAAACTCATAATGATGCCAAACAAAACCATTAGCAACAAGACTTGCCATTTTTAAATTGCAGTTGTTAATGCTTCAAACAGATGTGAGAGGATTAATGTCAGCAAAGCAGCCAAAGAAATAGCCTTTTTTTTCAAATGCCTGCATAAAAGAAGTGACACTTTTGACTGTTTAAAGTTAGCAGGATAATATTGTATCGTCAGAATTCACAGCTTAAGCATGTAAAGAACAAAATAAGCAAATATTGATTTATCCTCAGGGGGGCGCCAACATTCACGCAAATCAAAAATTCCTCACAGGAGCTTTAATAATGAATACCTTAACATGTTAGAAAATATATATTATTGATTTATTGGCCTGGTCAGACTGGAATTGGACATTAAAATGATATATGTTAACACATTAGTCTGACTGAATTGCACCCAATCAAACTTTTGATAGTTCCACTCATTCTACTCACTCCGCTCACTCACCTTTGCATTCTGACATGCCTGTATAATCTGGTTGGGGATTTTCCAATTTCTCTGTCATGCCAAATCAGTCAGACTGAAACTGGCTTGAGCTTTCTGCACATACTTAAGCGATGGCACACCAGGCTTTGAGCCCGGAATTGAGTAGCATGATCTCATTGCTGAGAAGCCGAAGAAAAACTTTCCCCTTTGTACAAGCGGTACAAGAAGTAACAGTGTTTTCATTTTTCAAAATGTAAGCATCTTGGTAACAGGTTTTGCCAACTGTTTTGAAATGCAATACAACAACCAGGAGACAACCTGATAGTTACAAGCTGAGCAGGGGGATTTCACCACCTACTGGAGCGGAGGTGAAAATGCTTCTGTCAATAAATTGATTTATGTCCACTGTATGCAAACTGGTACAAAGACAGTGGTTCAGTCAAATGGCCTAACCAAGCTATAACCACCTTAACTGTGCATGTAAAAGTACACTCCTGTATAGAGCTCTGCCAGCTTTAGCAATGCAGCTGCCTGCTGACATCACTCTGAGCCGCTATACCTGTATGTTCATCCTGCAGCTCAAATGACTTTAGTAATATTTCAAATCTGTTTTGGAATTAAAGTGCATTTGACTTTTGACTTGTTAACAAAGCCGATGAGTTTTTTATTTGTTTGTTTGTTTTTCGTAAGATGTGTGATGATTCACAAGTGCGGGTAACAGGAGATTGGGAGGATGTTGTGGTGGTTTGAACAGAGCCAAAATATCATGAGCTTTCAAAAAGAGAAAAAAGGTCATTTCAGACCTTAATAACATCATAGTACACATAAATGCTGCATGTCTCTTCTTGTTTCAAAACACTTTTTAATGGACTGGGTTGCATTACTCAGTATGACGAGACCGCTCCTTTGATGTAACTGTGGATTTCCCCTTCAGCTTTTCTGCAAATCAGAGTGAGAAAAATAAATGACTCCTCAAAAATGTGTGATCACATGACCAAGTTTGTCTTTGGTAGCTCAGAAAACAAAGAGTGACTCAAATCACCCTCCTCTCCTGCACTGTGGTTTATAGACTCAGTTTCAAAATCACAAACATTTTCCATCAGACTGTCACTATGTCACGAGCAAGGCTCCGTGTCAGCCCCTGTCTGATGTTTTTATCAGGTCAGTGAATATGATTGTAGTACAGCAACCATGAGATGAATTATTGCTTAGCCCTGTAGCAGATAGCTGCAGTTAGCCAATGGTATGTAACTGGACTGTACGCAGTCTGTGGTCTGGAGTGATGGAGGCTGTAATGCCATTTAGTGTTTTATAGTACTCAAAGTAACATGGGCTACATATTACAAATAGTCTATATGATGTTTGAAAATAAAAAAGACTTGGTCCAATGGAAAAAAAAGATTTTTTTTTTTCCCAGGAGTCCCAGGCATTTCAAAGTAAGGTATTTTAGAGCGGTAATTGTAAAACCACAATACTGTGACACAGCAATATTTTTATTCAAGGTTATCACCATACTGCCAGACCAGCCCATGCCTCCTCTACGTACACAGAGTGAAAACTATAACATCTCTGTACAGCCACATAAAATCTTAATATCTTAGAAGTGTGGAGGTATGACTGCATGCGCTATAAATCTTTAAACCCTCGCTCAGAATCCTTCAAATGAGTTAATTTAAGAAAGTGAATGTTTTGTAAAGCTGCAACATTAATTGGAAGGTGCTGAGTGAGTAAACAGACAATGGCCTCACTGTCCCGCAGAGTCCCACAACAATCCCCCTCTGTTGAAGCCAGAGGTTTTGTAAGAGCTGCTTCTTTGTAACTGTGCCGCACTGCCCCACTCACAGGACTATTACTGTGTCACACTCTCTTTGCATCTGCAGGCCTCTCTTCCCCTGCAAGGCCAGACACTTTCTCAAAGAATACATCACGGCATTGTTTGCGCAAGTCACAGGGACCAACAGCACTGTTCTTTGTCCCTCCTGTAAAATGGACTGTATCAAGACCTTGAGGCTATGAGGCTCCATCTGAGTTGTGTTTTTGGGTGATTAAAATATGTCTCTTTTTTTGCAGGGTTGCAGGCTCAGTCTCCCACGTCAGCAGATCAAATGGTGTCTGTGAGCAGCAATATGACAAATGCAGTAACGATGCCCAGTGCGCCCACTCCCACTGGTACTGTACTTGTGACTATTCTGAGAAACACCACTTCACAATCTTCTCGGTCTCCAGACAATTCAGTATTTAACTTTCCATACTCAGAGATGTGAGGGCATCAAACTTTATTTACCTTTGTGTCAATGGACAGTTATTTCAGACGTGCTTGACATAATTGTATGTAGCTGAAAAAAACCCTAAGCCTCCAAATTTCCAAATAAGTTTTACAGTTTCTTGTGTTGTGTCTTCAAAATGCATAGTGACATTTCTATACTTAATATAAACATTCACGTCCATTAAACACTGAATAAGTTTGGTTGGAGTTCAGAAACTTGTAAAAGGTTAAGAAAGTGCAGTAGAAGTTCTGTTTTACAGTAACTAAACTTACATTTGTTGTCAGAGATGGATGCATGAAAAGATTATGGTTTTGTTGTAAAGTTCAACCCCTTCTCGCGGTCACAGGAGGAAGAGTAGGAGGAAGAGTCACCAGAGATGCTGACTCCACACCAGAAGCCTCCCCTGCCAAGCAAACCACAAGCCACCAAGCTGGCGCCATTAACACCCTTAACGCCAACACAACCGAAATCAGGACTCCAACAGGTAGTCTGGTTTTGTAAATGCTGTGAGTAATATCCAAAAACATCCTTAATGAGATTTCTTTGTTTCTACCCTTGAAGCTTCCAAAGAGGAAACAACCAAACTGCAAACAAAGGCCACACCAACCAAAGGTAGCAATCTTCAATTCACCCTCTTTTTCTCATGTCTGAGCACCCAGTTGGTGGAGCCAGTGAGTTTGGTTGGTTGATAGATTGTTTAGGAAATAACTTCTTCTCACACCAATATTAAAGGCTTGCAGTTAATGTCCTTACTAAGAATGCAGAAAGCTTTAAAGCTAATTATGAGGTGATTTCAAAAAAAGTAAAAATCTGTCTTTTCAATGACAGACAGAGGGGTACGTTTGCAGTATTTTTTGGCATAGGGGACAGAGAGAAAACTAGAGAGAGCGCAACAGAGAGAGCTCTGATAAGCTTTAAAAATGTCAGCCAAAATTTCCTCTGAGAGCCATTCTACTGAAATACTCTGAATTTCAATTAAAATAGAGTTAAACATAGAAATGCGGCTGGAATTTTATGAGAAGTAATTATGGATGGGCTCGTATGGCAAAGATAAGGGAGTTAATATGTCTCTGAAAAAACAGGCCCTGAGACAGGAATCATTCTTTTGCATTATAAACCTGTATGGTACAATAAACACATAATACCGCGTGAATACAAAAAGATGGAAAATCAAAAAAGCAGAGGAAACTAATGTTTTTACTGTTTGTTCAGCATCCACGGTGACACCTTCCCCAGCCTCAACTGTGAAAACCACACAGAGCGGGACCCATCAAACTCCTGCCTGGGGTAAGAGGAAGATTTTTTACTACTCCATAGTTACCTTAAATGCCACAGGCATTGCTGCTTTATTGTTATCTCACAGCAGACTGACAGAAATCACAATCCCCCGTCTCCCAAACAAAACCCATGGCAGAGCGGCAGAGCAGAGCACCTTGCTTTCTCTCTTTTTTCCAACAGATTAATGCTTGATTGTACCTTATGCAAGTCAAGATACTTGTGTCCTCATACTGTGCTGCTCACCACAGATAGGGTTTTGATACACCATCAGCAGCATGTCAGCAGGGCCAGTAGATCTGTCATACCATCTCTGACAGTTGCTCCCTTGTGATCCTTGCCTCTTTCTTCTTCTGGTAAAGAGTGTTCAGTAGTAAAACTTAATTCAATACCTTTCCCTTCTGCTGTTTCCTATAGATCCAACATGGGACCAAGGTTTCACCTATGGTAAGAACCTACCAATATCTGTCTCTGTTTTTGTGTTATTACCTGTTCTGTGTGTGGTCATTGTCAGTGTAATTTCAACAGATTACAAGTCCCTGCGTGTGGCTGGACTGTCCATCGCAGCTGTGCTGTTCATCCTGGGAATCATGGTGATTGGCTGTAGGTTTGACCCTAAAATTACTCAAGCTGAAATGCAAAGTTTTGTAAACACTGTTGTTGTATTCACTTGCCATCTCACTACAAATAAGGACCAGTTGTAACATTTTGATTGATCCCACAGGGAAATGTTGGCATTTAAGGTACTCACTATGAAAGAGGGAGAAAATAGAAGAAGATTAAAATGAAATATAGACTACAATAACAGTCCTAATGAAGCTCAAGTACACTTTAAGTAGTAAAAGGTGAATAAAATAAATACAGTATAATAAAACTGCATCTGTGAAAGATAAGGAGCAGTAAAAAATACGTTTATGTTAGCTTGAGTAGGTTTCGCTCATAAGTTTGCAGAATGAACACTTGTACACTTGTCCATATTTGCTGTTTTGTTCAACATAAAAGAGACTCAGAGTTTTATTTTTGATGTTGACCCTCAGAAAGAGTTCATCTTCTTTGCTCTTTTATAGGTGGAAGGGTCTGTCGGCTACCCAGGTGTAAAACAAAGTCATCCAAGTAAGTATTTAAAGCTTTTTATTTCATTTACCCTGATGAATGAGCACCACGTTTATGCTGTGTTTTAGCGGTGCACGATTAGCCCAACAGCTGTTTAATTTAAGACAATGGAAGCTGACAGACCCAAGTGATGCTGGACTAAATTACAGTCCATGTTCAGGAAGGGTAGCTGGGCTTATATCAGGCTGTTGGCAAACTGCAGCTGAATGAGTTGAGTAATTTATTTATCACAGGCCACTGGATGATGTATGGCAAACAATCAGTCACTTCAGACATATAATAGCTCAACAGAATGCTGACTAAAACCTCTGTGATGAATAATAGATCAAAAAGATTATGATGAAGCTATTTGTTGAGTGAAACTATAACGGGCCAACAGTATGTGACGTTGTGATACTATTGTTTCTGAAAAGTACAAATGATTGCTTTCAGGGTTTGTTTGAATGTTCTGTGTGTTTGGTTCTCAGGTCATATCAAGTGGTGCAGCAGGGATAATGAGGGGGAGCATGGGCACACTGCTAAAAGCAGAACTGCAAGAAACAACCAGCAGTCGAGAGAAAAACACTTGAGCAACACCTGCAGCGTGTGCGTACATGAGGATTGAAGGACTGTATGCTGCTTAGGAACAGCATCAAAACATGAACTGTGCTGACAAGGGAGGAAAGTGGCACCATCATCCACTTAGTCTCTGTCAAATGTTATTCCTATACTTGGCAAATGGCACCAAAGAAATACAGTGATTATTTATCTTGGCAAATAATAAAGAGATGGTTCCTATTTTAATCACTCCTTCAGCTGTGAGGCAGGCCTTTTTCTATTGAACTTTGTCTTTTAATAACTAATAACAGAGCCAGTGTCCCTCAGCCAAGATTATTAAAGGTTATGAAAATAACACCAAATATTGAACAAAACCCTCCACAGCTCTTGTGTTATCTTTTAAGTACAGCTGGGTCATTTCCTCTTCCTGCATAGTCTTCCACACTTTCAATCGCAACAAAAACAAGATGTTTAGTAAGGGGTGTCTAAGCCTCTTAGTGACTCTATGCTTGTAAGTGAGTAAAGCCCGAGATTAAACCAGATCCACTGGCGCATTATTATTGCATCCATATGGTATCAAATGATGCATACAGGGAGATGACACGCACATGTTAAAACAGATTTAATGACACAATTTACACAATGTAGAGTTAAGTTTACATAATATACAGCAGTATTGATTGTTCTCAGAGCAAAATAAAGGGAGACAGTAACTGTGCAGAAAAAAAAAAACATATAAATTCATGAAAAATAGTCCCCTACTAATATTTTCCTGTGAGATATAAGGTCATGTATTGTATACATTGTTATCTGATATATGATTTAAAACCATTGAATAAAATATAGTATATATTTGTTTGGAAAAGCCATTGCTCATAAATGTATGAACTTCACAAGAAGTCTAAATTTAAATATTTGTTTTGCTGCTATAAGAAACTAAATACAAATACTTTACAGAAAAGCACTTTTGGCGATTACTGACTCCCTCCTGCCAGAGCGAGGGGGGAAAGGTTACTCCACTATCTCAGCAATATAAAAAGACCACTTAGCCAAATACAATATTTGTCCACAATGAGACACAATGCAAACGCACAGCTCAGTACATTTTAAATACAAAGTTACATATTGAAACTAAAATGATGGCACAAGGTCAGACGTTGCCTTTGGTACTGTCTCTGCAAAAGCTTAATGCACAACAAACGGAGAAAAGATTTTAACCTCCTAAAACAGGATAAACTTGCACATAGAAAATACAAACAAGTATTTTTTTGTTGTTGTTTCAGTGTGATGAAAAAAAGCTCTGTTTGTTTTGTCCCCTGAAGTTGCCATATGTGGAGTTTTAAGGGCCACCATACCTAAGCCTAGACAGAAAAAGAACCAGCCAGTTTAAAAACATCAGTGTGTCATAATCTCTTCTGAACATATAATTGAGGAAAACACTCAGCTCTACAGCTACATTTGTTGCTTTTGCACAAGCAGTGTCACAGCAGACAGGTTTGATAGGGAAGATAACATTTGGAATATGCTTGAAAAAACCAACTTTTTAATTTTCTTTATATTATTACAGTCTTTTATACCCTGTTCACTTTCAAAGAAAATACCCCACTGAATTTAAACACTATTACAATTTGATTTGTTTGTCCTGGAAAATTGTAAATATGAGAAAATATAAAAAGTAGACTAGAAAGAGTTAAAAAAAAAAAAAAAAACAACTGAAATGTTTTGCTTTGCAGTAATTGTCCAGACTTTGAAATGCTGACACATACTAAAGGATTACACTTAAGAGACGTGAGACACAAAATGTACATAGTGCTCGATAGGAGAGTAAAAAAAAACACAAACAATCACATCTGCTACTCTGTTTGTGTTAAATAAACTGGAATGCATCTTTGTTTTTGAAGACTTCAGCAGAGACGCACAGCCACTGAACGCCCTGATGAAGACGTGACTGCACAACTGTTTTTGCTCTCAAGTCTGGCTGGAGTGGAGCCAAAGCTCACCCCCAGTGACAAGATTAGCTGCAAGATTTAGTGGAAGAGCAAAGTGAGATCGTGCTATGACAAATCCAGTGTTTAACCCCATGTTACCATTCCCAGTGATGCTGACTCCATTATAAGTGCTGCTCAAGAAGCCACAAATAAAATACTGTCATGTCCAACAGGGGCATGTCCCCTTCCCCTTTAACTCTTACTACACTACAGAGAGTCCCTCTCTTTGTTTTGGAACAAGTTAAGCAACCAGTGCCTTTGGTTTTGGGATAGAGAGTTTTCTTTCATACTGCATGATTTATTTCCACTTAAATAAACACAGAGAAACCATCATGCTCCGTATGAATGAAACAAAGGCATGGTTGGTATTATCCCAATCATCTCCAACACTTTATTTGAGTTGTGAGATTTTATCCAGCTTCCCTCCAAGAGTGTCTGGAGCATTAATCTAACTCTCTACAGCATTCAGAAAGCTATTTACAATCTGCAAGACTTAAGTGAAAACCTTTCAAAACAGAAAAAAAAGAGAGGAAAAGAAAACACCATCACTCATGGCGGTCGATTAATTTGCTGCTTTGCAGGAATATGTTCAAACTGGTTATTTCGACTCGTTTCTTTTTTCACTGAGGTTCAGCGGAGGGGGAACAGGTTTTTTATCTTCCTTTAACACTGCCTCCTGTCAGTCCTAATGGGCCAGGAACAGAAGATGTCAGACGAGTGAATAGGAGAATGAAGTGAGTACTGGGCTGGCTTAGTGTGTGGATTAGTATGATTTGTCTCACTCATCGACCGTTTCACACACACAGGTCTATTCCACTCGCGCCAAATCAAACACAAATTCACTGCATAGCTGGTGGGAATAATTTCTTGTTTCAGGTAGTGAAAAAAAGGGGAGCTGTGGCTGTGCTAAATTATCCCTTTTAACAAAAGAAGCTTTAAGCCATATTCACTGGCTTTGATTTGGATTCCTCAAATAGAATCCAATTAGAAGGTTTGAATGCATTCCAAATGTCCCGGGCTAAACTGTGTGTAAGTGTGTGTGTGTGTGTTTAGTGTGTGTGTGTGTAAGTGTGTGTGGTAGTAGTAGTAGTGGCAGTAGACACCGCAGGGACAATGAAAAAGTATACAGGAATAAAACACATATCTCATATGTACTCATGAGTTTGTGTAGGAGGAAAGAGTGGACTGGAATAATAAGAAGCAGGCTGTTGTGCATAGAAGTCAAACTGTCCTGAGTCAAAGAGTTGGAGGTGACACAGCCTGATGTGTTGTTCCTTTCTTGTCCATGAGTCATCGAACTGCTACTCCACCAAGAACGGAACGGCCCCTTTCTGGTCTTGCTCTGCAGGCACTGAGTAGATACTGAAGAGAGAATGAGAGGGAGGACAAAGAAAGAAGAAGAAGAAGAAGGGTGGGAGTAGGGAGTGAGATGGGGCAAAGCAAAAGTATGTCATCTTCCAGATATTTTTAGGTTCTTTCTCGGTGTGTTCGCGGAAAGAGAATAGAAATATCCCTGCATGTCTGAATCCAGGAAACGGTGTGTCTGCCTCATGCTGTGGGGCTCTGACAGGTGCACGGCGACTGCATCACCTCAAAACACAGCTCATCCCCAGGTGGGACTTATAAACATGGCAAGGCACTGTTGATCCAACAAGCTAGAGGTTGCTGTGTGATTAAGCCTCTTTTCAGCAGAGCGATCAGTCAGCACCAAACACTGCCAGAGTTGACTGCAGCCCCAGGAGGCAACTGGTAATCCTGCAGAGGAATTTAACCCTCGCAGACTGTCTTGGGTGTCTGCTCTGCAAAGGCATCTCTGCTGCTGCTGCTGCTGCTGCTGGGAGATCTCTGGGGGCTAATTTGAACTCACTAACCCCTCTGACCCAACCTGCAGGTCGTGTAATAGTGCACCCCAGAACAAATGAAAGTGATTACTGTGCAGAAAGCCCTCCTACAGCAAAGTGAGGTAAAATCAGCTAAGTGTGGCAGAGAGCGAGCATCTTTCTGTATAACTGGTTTAGGCTGCTTTGCTGTCGGATTGCTGTTGGCAGATTGTTGTCATGACGCCAGGATCATGTTTACATGATTGTGTTATTTCTGAGCTGAGCTACGTATTCACGCCTCAGCTCATGAGGTAAGCTTTAGAACAGGCTCAGTCCTGTCCCGTTCAGTCATACAAACCCAGTGGCTCTGTCTTACTGTCTTTAGGCTATTGTTTGATGTGAAGATAGAGGGGTTAGAGGTTGGGTGTATTCAGAGGTGCTGTTGGAGGGCCTCAGGCTGTGATAGTAATTGCTCTACAAGTCCAGACGGGCTCAACTGGGTGGATACTGGTTGCGTTTTGTCACCTGGGTGTTTTTCTCTGGTTTTGATTTTGAAGAGTCAGATGATGTAGAACAAATTAGCAAAGCAGCAGAAAAGCTGTTACCCACCAGACTGGTTCTGTCACCTGCAGGCTGACTTACTGCAGATCAAGACATATACTTGTCTGCGAGACACTGATGCAGCATGTAAAGAGGCCATAGGAAGGTAATACAGTGTTCCTTTATAAAAATGTGACATTAAGGCACTGTATGCCGGCTAAAAAAGAGATATTTATAATGTTAATGAGAACTAATTTTTAAATATCAATTCAAAAAAAAGAAATTTGACCTTACCCTTGCTGTCGGTACTGCATGTGGCGCCTTACTAACATTATAGCTGCAAGAAAAAATGAGAAAGGTCACAGTTACACAGGAGAAAAGTTCATATTTGCACAGGTATTAACATCTTTACAAGACAGACAGGGTGTACAGTCATTCTGGACAACAGTGAGAGACTTAACAATGGTGCAATTGTCAACTATAAGAATGAAACTAGAATCAACTCAGTATGATAAAATTATGTCCAACCAAACAAAACCAAGAGTACTTACTGACTATAGCTGCAACTGACAGAGTCAACACAGCCACAGCTGCAATGATGACGATCAGGGTGAACTTATCTGTGGGAAAAAAAAAATGAAGAATTGAAACTTCTCAAACAAGTCCAAGTATAACCATACCCATAAATAAACCCTTACACCTGTTTCTATTCCTTAAAGCATTTTAATCTGTCATTCATAATCACTAACTGTAATCACAGTACTTACTGTCTTCTGTTGAATCCTCTACACCTGTAGTTTTATCCACATTTGTGCCAGCAGCACGATTGTCTGATTTATCTGACCCGACTGCGTAGAAAAACAACAAGAAATGGTTAATGTGATAGCCAACAGATCAACTTCTATTTTCTTTTTCAGGAGACCACCTCTGTGTTTTCTCCTTTTGAAATCAACAGTTCACACAATTTCAGGTAAAGCTGAACATTTCAAACCCCAAATTCAAGCTTTTTTATGCAAAACTTAGTTATGAAAAGATTGATACTGTTCTCATGTCTGAAAGGTAAATATGAAGCCACAGCCAGCAGTGAAGCTTAGCCTAGCATAAAGATTGGAGACAGACGGTGACAGCTAGCCTATCTCTGCCCCAAGGTTACAAAAGCTGCCAACAAACATCTCAGCTCATTATTATCTTTTAAAAATGTTTTTTTCCATTTGCCTTCCTAGGAAAGGTTACACTGAAGAGACACAAGAGAAGCAGGGAAGAGAAACAGAAAGTTGAACACACAGTAGAGGTCTTGAGCAAAATAAAGCACAGAGACTGCAAAGACACAACCCTGGTGTATGCTCCACCAGCTGAGCTGCCAGTCAGCCTCCCACTTTATCGTTTTTAAGTCACCTGTTTGGTTTTCAAGCAAAGCAAAGCAAAAATAAAATCAACTTTGCCAAGCCAATAACAGAAGAGGTACTTGATTACATGAATGAGCATACTTTCTAAAGGTACTACTTCTTCAAGTTTTGCAGGTCATAGCCTGAGTTATTTAGAATAAACTTGGAAAAACCAACTATAAAAAATAGATTAACTTGGGTAAGCCTTTATGTACAGAGAGGGAGATTTTTTGGGACTTCAGACAAGCAGAGAGGAGCAGAGAAGTGCTCAGTGTTGGAGCCTTGTTTTAAACAGATCTGTAATTCTATCAAATGTCCATCAAAGCAAAGATGAGGAGTGACGGGGACACGGGAAGAGAGAATGAGAATGCCGATGTCGATTAGCTGACCAGCAGGATGGCAGAGATGTCGACATGTTCGCTGGCCTTTCAGCAGGATCCAAAAGACCCCTCCAGGGAGCTAATTGATTTCTTTCAAGGCTAAATGGTAGAAAAGAGGGAGAGCCAACAGGGACCACACATCTCAGAGGACTAGGGTACCCTGTACTGTAATGCTAACTTACAGGCAACCATTAAGCGGTCACAACCCTCTCCTCTACAGTATTTGTGGGTCTGAAACAGAAGAAGCCAAAAAAAAAACCACTCCAGTCTACTAAGGGGAATCAAGACAATAAACTCACCAGTATCGAGATATCCATCCTCATCATCCACACCTGTAAGGAGGATAGAAGAAATTGGATCATTGTAAAGACCGTACAGAAATACATGCACCTTCAAACAACGAGTAAAAACACTTATTTTCTGTACAACAGTCAGGATACAGTCAGTAGAGATTAGAATGAATACAGCACAAAAACACCAAAACTAGATTGAGTGTCGGCAACAACGAAACTGAACGAAAGAAACCCAAACTCTAAAACATACTGTCTGGACAAAACTTTAAATAAATGTCAAAACTGTAAACAAGGAAGGAAACCTTTTGAGAGAGAAATGGGGCATTGTCAAGTAGGTCATCATGCACACATGCAACACAGTTCTGTTGTTTGAAATAAACATAAGCTAGAAAATAGGTTTTTTTTCATAGCAGGCTACATTATGAATCCACTTTCTGTTTTGAAGTTATTCCATCTGACATTAAGTTTTGTTTGAACAGACATATTTGTTCATGTAACAAATATGTCTGGTATGTCTCTTGACATCTGTTTATTACTCCACACGTGTCCTCCACGAGGATCCACAAAGGCTGAGCTAACCTCAAATTTAACTAACAACAGTACAATGAGGGCAAGAGAAGTCCGGGAAATAGACATCAGAGTGATAACTATGTTTAAAACAAATATCAATACAATTAAAATAGCTTCATGCAGGGCTGAGGTTTTTTTTTTCTTCTTTTTTATGACAACTAAGAAAAACGTATTTGTTTCCTCTAGACTTCCCGAATGTAAAGCACTTTATTATGGGTCTAGCAAGCACAATATCCAAAAGCTACAATTAATTAAAAGTTGCTTCGAGTCTTTTAACACTTAGTAAGAGAGGCGACCAGTCTTGGATGCCTTTCACTGGCTACCTGTGAGTTTTTAAATAGACTGTAAGATTATACTGCTTTTTTTAAGGCTTGTATGGCCAGGCTCTAACTGAGAGCAACTAACTCCCTATGAGCCCGACTGCTGCCTGAGGTCTTCTGGCAGTGCCCCTGGTCTTGGTTTCTAAATCTTGGCTAGTCGATGGAGATGACCGAGCATTTGCAGTTTGTGCTCCACAGCTGTGGGTGTGGATGTCAGATAGACAAACTCACTTGCCTCTTTTAAGTCTCTTCTTAAAACTCACTTCTATTGTTGAGTGTAAGCTTGTGTAGTTGTAGCCTTAGAATATTATGGAAGTTTTGTTTTTCAGTTGCTGAGCACTTTCTTACTTCTTTTAGTGTGCTATATTAATTTTTTATTTCTATTTGTATTATTAAGATGCTTTACATACCGTCATCCCCTGATCCTTCCTGGTCTTGTGAAACTGTAAGAAGAAAAAGATCAAACAGAGTTGGTGTACATTCAAATACTCAAGATAGATTTACACAAAGATGGTAGTACTGCTCAATATGCTAGATTTTACATCAACTTTACCCCAGAAAAGTTAAACACTTTTATATTTGCGCATTACGCTCATCTGATGGAGTCTACTGCTGCTCTCTGCGTTATCTCCTACCAGGAAAGTGCAGCAAAGAAAATACAGTTACTGATTTCACTGTTTGTCTTTCAAGTTATTCTTATATTAGCAGAGACTTCCGCTTCACTGAGGCACCTTCTCTTTTAGGTGGGTGTATAATTCAAAGGAGGAGGAGGGGTGCATATATTAATCTGCTCATACGTTGGTAGGTGAGGGAAAAGATGCTGGCTCTGGGATGCGTAGACCCTGATTAGATGTTTATCACCTGAAAGCGTCACAGATGATGAGAACGTACCAGTAGCGGCTGGCAGCAGCAGCAGCAGACACAGGAACAGCAATCGCATCATCTTCAAATGCTGCGGGGGGGAGAAGGGAACCAAGTTAAAAATATCTGCTATTAATATTCAAGCCATTGATGTGTGTGAAATCTTGGTGTTTTGGTTTAGAGATAGTGTGATGGAAAGCAGGGAAGCTGACTATTATTGGATCTTGTCTGGTACTTTTTGAGTTTCAGTATCATGTGTTGCTAGTGGAAAACTAAGAGTTGGAGGGCAACCAAGTTTGAAAGTATGCATGCAAACCTAGACTGTAATCTGAGGTGGATGGTGGTGAAAGGGTCAGTGGAAGACAACCTTATTTCCCATAGTGCTCAGCAGAAATAGCTGTTCCGAGAAGTACATAGCAAGTGTCTATTCAACATTTTCCTTTTGCTATGCAGAGCTCAGCTGCTCTGCCAAGTGTTAAGCAACAAAAACCTGTCCAATAACTTCCACTGGCAAAACAATAGGGGATCATATTAATACAATTGGTTGGTCTTGTCTTCTGAATAAGGATCAGCATTATTTTTCTTTTTAGAACATTACATGAAAAAGCCAGCTTCATGTCACTTTAACATACACTTACATATCCTCCTCTTTTCTCTTATCACAAAACCAAGTGATAACTTTTCATCATCTGATAAAATATCACAACTTCCTCATGGCACAAGGCCCAAAACAGATCCAACCTAAGTGCTCCGCATCACCACCAAACTAATGTGAAACACAGATGGTCCTTGCCTACCAAACAAAGCCCCAGCTGTATCCAACACAATATGAAAGGCGATATTTTTAAATGGGAATGGTCTCTCTTCCGTCCAACTCCGGATGAAGCCTCATTGGTCTGATTTAGCCAAGGAGGCAGTCGTGAGATCAGGGACCAAAGTCACTGTGTTGACCTATGTGCCAAATGTTATGCTGTAGGCGCCTCTTCATTGTTTGCCATGCCTATTGTGTTCTTGTTTCCTCTGTTGTTAATGACTATGTGGAAAAGACTGGGGTGAACAGATTTGTGTGAGGGGTGCAGGTTATTAAACTGAGGCACAACAGTGAGGACCTCAACATTCACCACACACAGTAAAACAGAAAAAAAAGCTATTCCTATTTATTTTGCAAGTCATGAATCCAATTTAAGAAAAGGCATGTTGCTATTAAATGTAATTACTGTATTTGACTGGAAGTAAAAAAAGACATATATTTCCAAAAATTAGTTCCTCTTTAAAAAGTTTACTGAATTTCTTTATGAAATTCTTATAGGTATGTTTAATTGAGTAAAAAATCCTGTTCATAAATTCTGCCATGATGTCCAACAACTCTTCTGTGAGACAAATGTTCACCCTGTAGAGCACACTGGAGTGGCTGCAACCCATTCCACAACGAGATTATCTTCATGCTAAATTAGCAGAACAGCATTAAGAACTATTTCTGTTGACTGTATTGGAAAAAGATGTTAATCACACTACTGAGGCTGATTGGAGAGGGAGTGTATTGTGGGCTGTTCTGGCCTCTTGAATAGCTGCAGTAAATCTCCAAGCGCAAACAACCTTAGAAGCTGCAAATAAAATCCCCCTCTGTATCCAATTTGCTTTTCAGAGTCGCTTTGGGTGAAATAATAAGCCGATCCAATTTGGAAATATTTATCAACCCAGTCTGCTGCCTCTGTATCAAAACGGCTCCTGACGCCTGTATTATTTTTCAAATTGGGTAATATATTCTTGTACATTTGAATGCCAATTGAATTTGCTCTTGAATACCAGACCCAATTTGCAACATATAATAATAACCAGTGGCTTGCTTCTCAAGCTGACATACCCGTTGCCTTCTAGCAAGAGATGCAAAGATCACAGAAGGGAAAAGTAGAAATCCACAAATCATAACACGGGAGCGGGGTTCTGCAATAAAGGCATATACTGTACTGTAGCTGCAGGGTGAATGTGCCTTGTTTTTGTTCCATCATCCCAAATGTAGTTTTCCACTAACAGGATTAACCCTGAACCTCATACCTGTCTGGCCAGGCCAGCCAACAGCACACCTAAATCTTGTTCACCAGGTTTAATTTTGATTGATGAACAATTTACACTCTTTCCATCCCACACAAACGAACAAAATACACTTACACACACAAACAGAGGTTTGGTACATGTGCTTAAACAGATCAACATGCAGAGACGCAGACTATCTCTTTCTTATCTGCGCACTGATAACAGCCCCATGCTCAACCACTGTGCATTGCTGACAACTTTGACACCAGCGATAACAACAGCTAACGTGCAAAGATATCAGAATTACTGCGGCCCAGGGAGTTCTGAGGAAAACATTTATAAATAAGAAAAATGAGAGTAAGAAAAGAGATGACGGCATTGAAAAACTTTGATTATTGTAAAGATGTGTCAAAGCTAAAACTAACTTGCTGTAACAACAGATGAGTCTGACAATATGGAAAAATACTGAGTGAAAGCAAGAAAATACCACACGATCATTTGTTAGTCACTGTCATTCGATTTCACAAAACTGGTTGATGACTTTGCCTCAGTGAAGAAAGAAAACATTCTTATTGAAATGTTCACTCAACTCTGTCACCTCTCCAGGAGCCGGTTATCTAAGTGAGGATGAGGCCAATCCTTTTTTTTTTTTCTTAAACTTTACTCTAGAGCACAAAAACATAAACAAGTGAAGTAATGACAAAACAAAATTCAGCAGAATTTACACTACCTCAGTTGGTGCCATGCAATTCATTGAGCGATCCAGCATCAAGATACAGTGGCTCTGAGAACTGAGCAGTTATTTCCAATGCAAATGTGTGTGCGGTAACTTGTTGAGCATCAGGGCACTAAGGCCGGCAGTAGAACAAGAAGTAGGATATGAGTGTGGTTGAATATGACAGACGCCTCAGAGACACATATCCTGTATTTGCCCCCCACCCCCTTCTCTCTCTCTCTCTCACTCTCTCTCTTTTTTATGTGTGTGTTAAGCTATAAAACCTACGAACACACGGAGAAAAACCAGGTATGCTTCTTCAGGGTGACTTAAACAGCAACAAACAGGCTCGGGGACAAATAGGACGCCTGGCACGTACACCTTACTGTTTACTTTTTTATCAGATGGAGACAAAGCCGTTGTTCTCTGTTTTGTTAACAACACTATCACAGGACTTATCCCAGTTGTGCAAAGGGGTTTTCACAGTTCAATCTGTCTGCCATGACAGCCTCACCACCTCTCAAAGAAGCAAGCAGCACGGAAAGTTAAAAAATATCCAGAATGTGATTGTTGCCCCTGCTTCACCTTTGACATTGTCAGGTCAAGCAGTTTGATTAAAAGCAGCACTTTGCTACTTGTTTGCAGGCTAATATTTAGGTCAAAAGGCACTTAAGAGTACACTAAATAGCATGGCAATCTTACACACACACACATACACACACAAGCAGGAAGTGAGATAAGGGCTGCTGCAGTGTGCCAAGTCTTTTTTTTTTTCACCCACACCTCCTGTAACCTGCTTCCTCAAGGAAGAAGTATGCACATTTGGATGGATAAACCCAGTGGTTGTCACATTGACTCACTGCATAAAAACAATACCACAGTTGTTTAAAGTTGAAATCTTCCTCCATAAGTTACAGCCTGAGAGTGATACAGATGCTAAATAACTCATCTGAGCTCTGGAGAACTTTGTGAGCAAGCCAAAAAAAGCTGAGAGGGTAAAAAGTGGAAGTAAAAACTCTGAGACAGTTGCACTGCAGGCTGCATGCTGGCGCTAATAATCATACAGATGTGTCTATAATCGTAGTTAGTGTGTAGGCTACAGCAGAAAACTATTTCCCAAGTAAACCTCAATTTCTTATGAATTTTTCCCCATTATGTGAATAAATGTAAGAAAAACCTACCCTTGTTATGTGTCTTTCTTCGTTTCTGCCCTGCCTGTTCATGCACTCACCACAGCTGAGCGTCTGCTGAAGAGAGCAGTCAGTGCCGACAAGTACACGGGAAGACTGTCTGCGTGGGCTGAATTTAAGGTATTGTTATTTCACCTACAATTCAAGGGGATTCACAGCCACCTCATTTTGCGCTCAGATACCCTTGCCTCTCACACTACGGAAAATACCTCCGTTTGTCTTTCTTAAGGAGTGGTGTGACAACAGTTTCCTGCGAACTACGTGGTTCACATCTTAAGACAGCAGACAGGACGACTGTCATGACTCGCACTTAGACACGAAACGAAAGAAAACTCACTGAATTGCACATGATAATAGCATGATGAAATTACGCTAGGTTACCCTCAGATAAACTAGGCTGACCTCTATCTACGTGATGACGTCAACACGTGACCGGTTGATTGACAGGCTCATATGTGTCTAATCAAGTACAGGTGTGCTTAAAGAGCACGCTTTCTTGAGTCCACTCGAGTTTCGATGCATTTTGTAATCCCTGACATACAGCTATCATATATTTTAGTTGTCGGTAGAAAGATTTAAAACACTTTCTCAGTTATTGTTAGTTTTTCCTGTTGTCATCCAGTCATGCAGTTTGTACTGCTGCTTCAGGTGTGCCTCTTAATACTTGGTAAGTTACATGGTTTATGGGCATTTGTTTTTATGTGTTGGGCTGCAATTAAGTTTGATACAAAGTTCAACATGCACACAGGCCTTTCTAGTTTAAGAGCTAGACCTCTTATCAACCTTGCAAGTGGACAGCGCGTTAGTCTTTTCCAAAGACAGTCTCAAAACTGGGACACATTTGGATTAGCATGAGGTTCTTCTTTTAAAACCTGCAACACTCAAGTCTCAACAGTTCTGCTGTCGACTTTGAGTAGTTCTGTTTGTCTAGTTTTGAGTGATGGATGGGGTGTGGTGACTCAGTGTCAACCCCTAGAACAACATAAGGTACTAATCTGTTCTGTGCACTGAAAAGAGAAATAGAGAACGGGGCTAAGAAATGTTTGTTTTGTGTTTTTTTTTCCTGCTGCCTTGGGATCGAACAAGAAAGTATTAAAAAAATAAAGAATTCACATCACATGAACAAACAATTTATAATTTAAAGCTGCAAAGCCTTAGCCCATAGTGAAAAGTATACATTGTTAAATAAGTCTTTTTTTCCTTTGTTTGTTATAATCTTAACTACTTGAGAAAGTGATAAATAGGCTACTATATCATTAACACAAATTCATTGAAAACCTGCATGAGAAAAATGACACAGTAAACCCCATATCATTTAGAAAGTTGGAAGAAAGTTGTCCATAAAGTGAACTTACATTTCAAAGTGCTGGTGTTCAGAGTTGTCTTTATGAACTGCTGGTTTGTCGTTGCTCCCACGCCAAAGATCCTTGTTATCATGGAAACTGCCAGCGTAAGGGCGCACAGTTAACACAGGTGAACTCAGACAGGAACCAGGAACTGTGCTCACCATTGGCTGCTGCGCTTGTTGAAATATGACACCACCCGTCATACCTCTGTTACACAAGAGGACCTGTTGAGCACACTGGGACACTGTCCCAGTACTCACAGTGAAAAGATGTAATCATTTCAGTGCAGGTGTGGTGTTATTCTTTTGACGCTGGAGTTATCAATCTTTCTGGATCATGTTTACTTTCTCCAGATGTGTATTTTCTTTACCTGTGGTGTGAAAGCATATTAAAGTGTTGTGTATCTAAAAAGAAGTCTGTGTTCTCCTGTGCAGGCTTGTCAGAGGCAAACCCTGGTAGGAAGTTTCTGATGATGTTTCCCCCTCATAATGACCTGACAGCAAATGTCACACATCAAGTCACTATCTCAACCACTGGAGTTCAGACCTCAGTCACTGTGCGGGTTCTTGAAAGCAGCTTCATGCAACACATCTTCCTCTCAGCTGGCGAGTCAAAGACGATCCCCCTGCCGTCATCTGTGAGAATGATCAGTGACCGTTCCTCCCACCTCCTCAGTGTGACGTCTGTGTGGCCTGTGACAGTCATCACCTCATTCTGCACTCCGGCTGGTTGTGATCACAGTCTGCTTCATGATGTTTCCTCCTGGGGGACCCACTACTACCCCATTACTCCTCGTTTCCCCAACGAGAAAGCTGTCAGCCAGATGGTGATCACAAGCTCGGACCGTGAGACATCAGTGGATATCTTCCTCTCAGGGGACACGCTCTTTAAAGGCAATATGTACCCCAGGGAAAGTGTCCTACAGTTGCATTTAGGTGTTCTGCAGAGTGTTTACCTCCAGAGCAACACCACCCTCTCTGGCTCTGAGCTCAACTCTAAAGAAGCTGTGGGTGTTGTGGTCAGTTTTACATGCTCTAAACACACACCTGGGCATTGCCTGTATGGATTTGCTGCACTTCAACCAGTCTCCCAGTGGGGGTTTGATTACGTTCTCCCTCCCTTGGTAAACACAGTGATGAGTTCTAGTTTCCTGTTGGCAATGGCGACTATCAACTCGGCCCTCAACATCACGATCAGCACTGGACAGACAAACATGTCTCTTAATGGTGGTGTTATGTCTGCCATTCCTGTTGTGACATCAGATAAAATCCGGATTACAAGCAACAGTCCCCTTCAGCTTGTTTACCTCAGACTTTATGAAGTAGAGCGTCCTTCAACTCTAGCAGTGTTGCCATCTATTGATGATATCTGCAAGACTGAACCCATGTTTGATTCAAGTGATATGAGTGGACAGCAAGTTAACAGTACCCAGACAGGAGATTTTAAGCCAGGAGTAAATTCAGAGTCCAGTTTTCCTTACACAGACACAGATGTGGGACACTATCTGAGTACCATGGACAGACAAGTTTATCCAGCAGCATGTAAGAAAGGTATGTTGTTGTTGTTGATTTTGCATTCAACAATTCAATAGTTACTGAACTTAATTTTGACATGGATCTGGCAGCCTTCAATGCTCATGCTTAACAAAAATGAGAATTATATCCTGACCCATCAAACCAGTAAACAAATTCTAACACAGTTTCTTGAAACAGCTTTGACAGTGGTGAATTTGTGCAGCCACAAAGATGTCGTGTGCACCACACTATCTCGCATGTCTGTAGAGTTGTATTTTTAGTGCGCTTTTTAGAGCTATTTGAAGTCTGCTGTAGTGTTCTTCTTGTAGTTTGGCCACAGGTTTTGTACAAAAACTGCCTTTACTTTTTCTGTATGCATATTAAACCTGCATGAAAAAGTGTTTGCTTATGTACATATATTGCAACACTGCCTGTAAAAATCATCATGTGATATTTGCATGTAAATATGTCCTTTTTTTCCCCCCTTCATACCAGCTGCACTTTCTTGCAAGGAGTTGGCCTGTGGTCCTAAACAAAAGTGCTCAGTGAAAGATGGAAAACCACTCTGCTCTTTGAAAAACAAAATTTGCACTGCATGGGGTGACTCTTATTACCGCGACTTTAATGGAAGAGATTTTGTCCTACAGGGGAACTGTAACTACACTTTTCTCCAGACTACATGTCCGGGCTTAAATGCCTCCATTCCACTTCAGATTGATATTGCTCGAGCGTATTTGAGCAGCTCCACTGTCTCCAGCATCCACACAGTCCACATCAGCATCCAAGGCTTCAATATCTCCATGATTAAGGAAGACAAAAATCACATCAAGGTGAGTCTTTGATATTTGTAGCTCTTGTTTTTTCAGGAGTTAATGCTCATCGTTTGTTCTCTCACTGAAACTCCTAGATTAATGGACAGAGGAAGAATCTACCCCTCGCCCTTGGTAATGGATCTCTCTACTTTTATCCAAGCGGCTCTGGAGTTGTTTTAGAAACCACCTTTGGCCTGGCTCTGCATTATGACTGGAGTCACCATCTCCAGGTTGTTGTTGGCCCAGAGCTGTATGGGAACCTGTGTGGTTTATGTGGAAATGCTGATCACAGCTCCTCAGATGTTTCCTCAGCCTCTAACAGCACTGATGAGGCCCAGACTGAGGATTTTACCCTTCAGTGGGTGGCAAACAGTGATGCAGGCTCATGTATTGAGGATTGTGGTGGTGGTGCCTCATGTCCAGTGTGCACTGAAAGCCAAGCCAAATCTTTCCCTGGCATGAAAGGCGGCGACTCTATGACAGCATGCTCTCTACTGAAGTGGAGTGAGGGACCGTTTGCAGATTGTCACTCGTATGTTGATCCTGAGCCCTTTCATCGTAGTTGTGTGAATAACCTGTGCATCGATCAGGCAACCTCTTCAATGTGCAAAACGTTGACCGCCTATGCTTCCTTGTGCCAGAGGCTTGGGGCAAAAGTCCAAAACTGGAGAACCACAGCAAAGTGTGGTGAGTTTCTATTCTGTGGCTAAAGTCAATGTTTAAGTTTGCTAAAAAAAAATGCTAATAGTTCAATGCTCTTTCTCAGTTCTAAGATGTCCCATGAACAGCCATTATGAGACATGTGGGTCTGCCTGCCCTGCTACCTGTGGTGACCCGGACGCCCCTCATAAGTGCTCCCAATCCTGTCTGGAATCTTGCCAGTGCAACAGAGGCTTTCTGCTGAGTGGTGGGAAATGTGTGCCACATAGTGAGTGTGGCTGTCTGCACCAAGGTTCCTACTACCTCCCTAAGGAGACCTTCTGGTTAGACGAACAATGCCAGGAGAAATGTGTTTGCCAGCCAACCTCCAAGACAGTGATGTGTGCCCAGTCTCAGTGTCAGGATGGCACACATTGCAAAGTTCTGAATGGGGTTCTGGACTGTCACATGGACAGGCCTGGGGTGTGTATAGCAAAAGGAGATCCCCATTTTACCACTTTTGATGGGCGAAACTTTAATGTTTATGGTAACTGTACTTACCTGCTCACTTCTCACTGTCCCTCTTGGGGGGACCTGGAAGACTTTAGGATAGAGGTCCAGAACCAGAAAAGAGAGCATTCAAATGTTTTCTTTCGGCGAGTCACAATGGTTGTCTCTGGTTATGCCATTGAGTTATCAGCTAATTGGGGTAACAGGATCATGGTAGGTTTCTATAGTTGTGAAAGCACATCTCATTTAACCTGATTTTTCTTTTTTTTTTCATTTGCAGTTTTAACATCATTCTTCTGGTTCCAGGTTAATGGTCTGCTTCTGCATCTTCCATCCATGTTGAGCCGAGGCAAAGTAAAGCTTTATATGACTGGACTCTTCACACATATAGAGACTGACTTTGGCATTGTTGTGACATACAGTGCTGATGTCCTAACTGTGCAAATGCCGAGGATCTTCTCTGGTAATCTCTGTGGCCTGTGTGGGAATTTCAACGCTGATCCAGACGACGATGTGATACCTGATGATGATTCAGACATGTCTCGAGCAGTGAGACACTGGAAAATAGAAAGCGAGCACAGATGTGTAGATGTGCCTACGGATGACACAGAGTGCAATTCACAAAATATGGCTCTTTATAGGGGGAATAAATTCTGTGGAAGATTACTAGACATAGAGGGGACTTTTCAGAGATGCCACAAAACAGTGGATCCACAAGATTTCTATGACAACTGTGTTCATGACCTTTGTCATAATAACCAGACCACGCTGTGTCGGATTCTGTCCAGCTATGTTGCTGTATGTCAAGAAATGGGAGTTATAATGGATGAATGGAGGTCTCCCAACTTTTGTAGTAAGAAACCATATCGAATCTTGTATCTTGTCAGGTGACAAATAAGTGGAAACGATTCTAAGTTTTTTTTCTCTGTTTCAGATCTCCTCTGCCCACAAAATAGTCAATACCGCCTGTGCTCAAGTCACGTTACGGACTGTGTGGAAAACCTGAGCAATGAAACAAAGAAATGCAAAGAGGGCTGTTTCTGCAAACCTGGGTTTTTCAACAGTGCTGGGAAATGTGTGCCAGACTCTGAGTGTGGCTGTGTTTACAATGGCATTTACCATGATGTCCACGAGGACTTCTTCCCTGATGAGCTATGTCAGATACGCTGTGTTTGTGTAGGCCACAACAAAGTACAATGTAAGAACCACACATGTTCAGAAGGATCAAAATGTACCATCAGAGATGGCTTCAGGGCATGCCATGCATCAAAACCCCTTCAATGTACAGTCATGGGAGGCAGACACTTCGGGGTTTATGATGGACATAACTTTGACTTCAATATGGGAAGCTGTCGTTACGTCTTATCCCAAGTTTGTGATGAGGACAAGTCTGATCCAACTGTGATTTTCCAGCAAGGAAATCTCTACCTAAGGGTCCATGAAATCAACATTACATTAGAGAAAGAACATTTGGGCAAAGTGAAAGTAAGCAGTTTGATATTTACAAACAAATATGTGGGTGTTTTATTATTTATTACACTTACACGTTTGTTTTTCAGATTAATGGGGTCATGAAGGGACTGCCAGTCCAGCTCGACCATATAACCTTACTTCAGTCTGGCCGGTCGACTCGTGTTGTCTTTACAGCCACTGGGGTTGTTGTCACTTATGGTGGACCTAATCTGATACAAGTGCTGACTCCAGCCTCCACCAGGAGAATGTGTGGCCTGTGTGGAAACATCCCTGCTGTTGATACAGATGACGAACACCGGCCGAATGTAAGCCTCGCCAGTGATGTTTCCACATTTGCATCATCCTGGTTGCTCTCGCCATCTGGAATGAACTGCTCTGAAGGATATGAGCTCTGTTCAGTGAGCAACTCTAGCACGGCAGCTGAATTTTCCTCTGATAACCTCTGTGGCATGCTGCTGGCTCCTGCAGGATCATTTAGTGGGTGCCACTCTGCTGTGGACCCTGGGCCCTTCTTTCAGAACTGTGTGAATGACTTATGTGTGTCAAATGGGAATGAGGAAATCTTCTGCCGTAGTTTGAGTGAGTACACTTTTGCATGCCAGGAGGCTGGAGCTGAGGTTAAACCATGGAGGGGGGAGAGGTGCTGTGAGTATAAATCATCTTGGCTCTCCTGCTCGTACGTGTCGTTTTATTCGTCTATTATGGTTTGCCAGTGCATGTAATCCATACAAGTCTGCACAGAGGCTTCTGTTGAACTTTTGGAACTCAGGCATGCTCTATATACAGTGAAGTTCCCTGACTGATGTAATATTAGTGTGAGTTTATACAGTATATGAATCTTTTTTCTTTTTTTCCTCTCCACCTACAGCACTCTTATGCCCTGAAAACTCTCACTACAATATATGTGTCAGTGCGTGCCCTGAGTCCTGTGGTATTTTATCTGATATCCCTTGCCCCTGGGCCTGTTATGAGGGATGTCAATGTGACTCTGGGTACATGCAGAGTGGAAGTGGCTGCATTAAGGCTGATGAATGTGGCTGCTTCTACCATGGGCACTACTATGAGGTGAGTTGCTCCAGATTGTTTTGTTTGTACATTTCCATTTTTTGTGTGGACTTTCTCAATAGAGTGAAACTGTTTATCGAACCTGGGATCAGACCTGAAATTGCAGTTTTATCTGACTCAAGGTGAACCGTTCTTGTTTGTTAGGGTGTGTGTTTTATGACAAATCTACATGTGACCCCAGTGCACAATCGGCTATAAACAAGTTGCAACAGTCGAGCTTTAAGAACGACATGCCCTAGTTAATCCATGCACCGTTCAGAACATGACTCATTAATGTTTTGGCCGATTGAATATGCCTCACCTGTACTTGTGGCATGACTAACAAGAAAATCCTATGCCTTTGTGTCTTCCTGTGTTGTTTGTTTGGAACAGTTGAGTAACACACACAAACAGTGACTCACTATCCTTTTGCAGATTGGGGAGATATTGTGGGCTGAGGGATGCTTTGAGCGCTGTAACTGCTCTGCCTCTGCCACTGTGTGCTGTGAGCCAGCTTCTTGCCCTGAGGGAGAAAGCTGCACCCTCAATAATACTTGGGGCTGTGCAAGGAAAGGTAGGCCCGGCTGGTTCTGCCGCTTTGGGTGACACTTACTCACCGGTTAACTGATGTTCACGTCAAATGAAAATTTATGTCCAATTTTCTGTCACTTTATGTCATGATTCAGGTTGCAAAACAACCCCGACAGCTGAACATAGGTGTTTTTTTTTACCCAGCGTTCTGTCATTTTAACTAAAATGCAGTTAAATCCTAACCCCGTTTTGAATAGTTCATTATGTACTTTAAATCTCCTGTCTGCCTGGGGGCTTTAGCGGGATTTAGCTGCATGTCAGTCAAAACTAATAAGCCTATCATACACAATTTAAATGTGGTGTGTCTCAAATAATTGAACTTGTATTTAATTTAATGCCATTCAAATACCTGCCAGGGAAATTTAAATAAAATCTCAGCACACTTGTTTATGCAGTGTATTGATTTATCTCCTTGTTTTTCATTTGATATACAACAGTTGTCCAAATGACCGATTGTCTGCAGTCACTCTCGCTGTCGTCAACACAAACAGCCAACAATATGAATCTCTTTTTCCTCTTATTTTTTCAGCCAATAGTGATCGTAAAATGTGTAAAAATGGAGAGACTTGTGGAGCCCCTAGCCAGCCTGTGCCAGCTCAGTGTTGGGTACTGGGAGGTGCCCACTTCTACACTTTTGATGGAAAAATGTTTGAATTCCAAGGAAACTGTACCTACACCCTGATCCAGACAGTGAATAACACCCGTGACAATATGACATTTTGGGTTGGAATACAGAAAGACAGGACCCATGATGTGGTCTCCTCTTTTAAGGCCATTCATGTCAAAGTGGCAGAACACAGTGTGGCTATCTACAGAGGGGAAAAAGGTTACGCTTGGGTATGTGTGAAACATCACCATCCTTGCTTTACTTTAATTTTTATGGTTAAAGTTATATCATATGATGTAGCACATTCACTCAAAGGGATATTCCAGCATAAAATTAATTTAGGGTCAATCACACCGTAACACCGAGTTAGACACCCCCTCGAGAGATTAATGTTCCCGACCGCTTGCTTTTCTAGTTATACCAACTTTAGTAACAACCGCAGGATAGCAATACACAGTGGTCTGAGGAGCCATAAACAAACCTCAACTAAAAAGTCACTCTATAGCCACAAATAATGCTCAGAACAGCACCTATCTTCATCAACTGTACATACAGGGTCCCAGCCATAGTACTAGCCACCAAACACATTTTTAGCTTTGCCTGATTTCTTTAGTAAAGAGACTGAACACAACTCACCTACTCTCTTCCAGCAGCCGCTTGTTTGTATCGAGACCTCAGGCCAGTCCATTACCGACTGCTGCGGGGTGACGCAGCTCAAGGAAGAACATTTATCATAATAACTATCATTTCCTTGAAGTAATAATCATCATATTAATCATTTTGCACTGCAGACATGGTAGTTCTTCTGCCTTAGCGTCTCGGTCTGATTGCATTTTCGTGAAGAAATGATCATAAATGTTCTTCCTTGAGCTAGGTCACCCCACTGTAGTCTGTAATGGACTGGCCCGAGGTCTCGCTACAAACAAGCAGCTGCTGGAAGAGAGCAGGTGAGTTGTATTTAGTCTCTTGTGCTATGGCTGGGACCCTCTATTTACTGTTGATGAAGTTAGGTGCTGTTCTGAGCATTATTTGTGGCTATAGAGTGTTGTTTTGGTTGAGGTTTGTTTATGGCTCCTGAGACTGCCATGTTATGCTATCCTGTGATTGTTACTCAAATTGGTATAACTAGAGAAGCAAGCGGTCGTCAGCATTCATCTCTCGAGGGGGTGTCTAACTCAGTGTTATGGTGTGTTTGACCCTAAATTAATATTATTCCAGAATATCCCTTTAATCTTACCACAAAGATGCATGGAAAACTTCCTTCTGAAATGATGTGTCCAAAATGTGTTTATCCTTTAACAGATAGATGGAGAAAAAAGACTGCTGCCTGTGACTCTACAGTTTGGTCTTGCAAAGATTTATCAGAGTGGCATTTTTGTTGTAGTGGACACTATTCTAGGTCTTCAAATTAAGTATGATTGCTCTCATATCGCCACTATCTTCCTATCTAATAAAACACCAGTCAATGGCATGTGTGGAAATAATAATGGCATTGAAGAAGACGACCTCAGGACCCCTCAGGGCGAGGCTGCGGATGCTACCACTGTTGGCTGGAGCTGGAGAGTTCCCGGTCAGGAAGCTCAGTGCACAGCAGATTGTGGTGATGCATGCCCACGGTGCTCTGCTAAACAGCTGCGGGAGAAAAAAGTAGCAAGTCTATGGATGTCTTTGTATGAATACATTTGGTCCCCACAAAATCCATTCTACCTGTGCAGAGAAGCTGTTAACTACAGTAAAATCTCTACAGCAGTGAGCATATTTGACTTGTGCTCCAGTGATGACCCTCAGAAGACCCTCTGTCTCGTCTTGGAGGGATATGCTGCTGCCTGCCAAAATGCCCAGATTGAGGTCAGGGAGTGGAGGAATGGCACCAACTGCTGTAAGCAATTCTCCTGTTTTTTGCTTTTTTGCTTTCTGTTTTTTGGGCAGATACATTTTTAACAAGACTACCCTGAGTCTCAGCTGCAATCAGGAATGTGAGTGCCACTTTTCTTCATTAATGTTGTTGATGTTGATGTTCACTATTTTCCTTTTTTTTTTTTTTTTTTTTTTTTAGCCGTGTCCTGCCCATCGAATAGCCATTTTGAGGCCTGTGGCACAGCCTGCCCCGCCACCTGTGAGGCCCCAGTTCGCTCAGGCCCCTGCACCCTGGCCTGTGTGGAGACCTGCCAGTGTGACCTTGGTTTTGTCCTGGACGGTGACATCTGTGTCCCCTTGTCCCAGTGTGGCTGCACTCACAACGGCTACCGTTACCACAGCAACCAGACCTTCTGGGCTGATGAGGGTTGCACAGAAAAATGTGTTTGTGACCCCAAAACTACCCAGAAGCGGTGCCATGCGGATTCTTGCGGCCCCAGTGAATCCTGCGGCCTCCAAAATGGGGTCAGAAGCTGTGTGTCACATCAGCAGCGGACATGCCTGTACACCGGCCATCACGTAGTCACCTTTGACCAGCATGACTATGATTTGCACGGCACCTGTCAGTACCAGTTACTGGGCATGTGCGGACAGAAGCAGGGCCTCAATGCGATTCAAGTTCATGTCCAGACAGACGGACACCTGGAGTCAGCACTTCACGTCCTGGTTAATGTGAGTGGGGTGCTTGTGGAGCTAAACAGCAAAAACACCGAGTTCCTAGAGGTAAGTGTTTTTATGTCACACTCAGTGCATTTTTACCCTGTGGTAGGTCAAAAATAAAAAGAAGTAATAAACTAAGGATTCAACCACACTTCAAAAAGCTTACTTTCTAAATGTGTTACCCTATGCTGGCTTTTCAATGCAATGTTGGCACCCCCTACAGGTTGACGGTGTCAGAAGGAACATGCCTTATAACCTCAGCCCCACTACACTGGCTTTCTCTTTGGGCCTGCACACCTACATCTACACAGACATGGGCTTTGAGTTCAGCCTCAGCAAAGAGGGCATAGTTAACATTCGGCTGCCCAGTGAATATGCTAATGTGACGTGTGGCCTGTGTGGTAACTTCAACTCTGATGCTGCCGATGATCTCATAGCTGCTGGTGCAGGGGAGCATCTCAGACCCGAACAGTTTGGAAAAGCTTGGAGAAGTGGACAGAATCCCTGGTGTGTGGAGGGCTGTCTGGGAGGAAGTTGTCCAAAATGTTCATCAGAGCGTCTGGCCCTCTTCTCTGACCCAGAGGCTTGCGGGAAAATTCTAGAAGTTAATGGACCGTTTAGACACTGCCATGGCAAAGTGAACCCCTCCAGCTTTTACAAGCGCTGCGTCAGTGACCTGTGTCTTCATGGAGGTCTCCAGCCTGCACTGTGTCACTCCCTGGCATTGTATACTGCTGTCTGCCTCTCCCACAGAGCTACGGTTTATGCCTGGAGGAGTCCTGGATTCTGCTGTGAGTGTTAATGTGCTTCCAGCCCCAACGTGGGAGTGAATTAAATTAATATCATCTACAATTGTAACTCCTCTGTTTGGAGTTCAGCATCATTGCACACCAAATGAAATATGGAGTTTGCAGATGCTGTTTCATCATGTTTAGATTGTTGATATCGATCATGTAACATGGGGAAAAAGAGTGTAGCGTATTTGCATACAAATCAGATGAATGCCTGAAGGTGCTGGGCGTAAAATTTGTTTCTTTGTGTGTCAACTGCAATCCAAGAGGTATTAGCATAAATAAAGCCACAGCGAGTTTTGACTTATTGGTATTGAGGCCACAACCTTTTCAGTGATGTTGGACCACTAGATGGTACTAATGCATCACTGGTCAACCCTAACCTTTACAGCACGTTGCTGTCTTCTTTCCTTAAGTGACTGATGTCTCTCTGTTTCTCTGCAGACCAGTCCTGTCCCTCCAGCACCCGTTACAACATGAGTTCTGCCTCTGTTCATCTCTGCCTCGGCTGCCAGAATAACACAGTGCAGATGCCTGCAAACACAGGGGAGAACTGCCTCTGTGAAGCAGGTTTAGTTCACAGTGGCAGCAAGTGTGTCTCTTCAGAAAACTGTGGCTGCTTTCACCACGGAGAATACCTGCGGGCAGGACAGGAGGTGTCAACATGTGAAAAAAAGTGTTTATGCAACGCTGGGGGACAGATGACGTGTCGTGAAGTCTCCTGTGGGGAGAACGAGGAGTGTAAGCTTCTTAAGGGCGTCCAAGGTTGCTATCCCAAACCCAAAGTGGCACACTGCTCTGTTGATGGTTCCCAGTACACCACCTTTGATGGACAGACATTTGAATTTCATGGTTCATGTAACAACACCCTGGTGCAGACATGCTCTCTGAAGGAGCTGGATGTGGAGTCTGTTTTCATAGCTGCACAGGGAAACCACGGTGAGGGCAGGCAGATCTACTTGCAAGTCGATAAAATGTATTTTCAAGTATCAGCAGCTTACCCCGGGAAAATACAGGTAATTTATGTAACGATTGCACAACCTTCAATGTGATTTATTGTTCATTATTCTGTTATTTTTCATAGTGTATACAAACTGTAGTGTTACTTGTGTTTAAAAATGAAATGTTTCACCCAGGTAAATGGAATTTATGAGAACCTGCCGTTCCTCCACAATGAAATCACAGCGCATCAAAAAAATGGATGGGTAACCATAAAGACTCAAAAGTCAGTTGAACTGATTTCAGACCTCAAAAACCACATCACAGTCAAGATCCCCAGCACATACCACCAGACTACCTGTGGCCTTTGTGGGAACTATAACAGTAACCCCTCTGATGACTTGCAGCTGCCCAGTGGCTCTGTGGTCTCTGACACCGAGGTGTTTGCATCATCATGGAGGCTGTCTGATCACGAGTCGAACTGCAGTGACACGTGTGACAGCACCTGTAAAAGCTGCCAGTCTCCTTTACCCAAGTACACCTCTGACCTGTATTGTGGTCTTCTCACCCATCCCAGGGGACCCTTCTCCTCTTGTCACCACTTAGTTTGTACTCAGAAATACTACTCACTCTGCATGAGAAACCTTTGTGTTGCACAGGGACAAAGCTGGGCCCTGTGTGACGCACTGTGGGCTTATGAGGTTGCCTGCAAAGAGGCTGGAGGGAAAGTTGACCTCTGGACAAACACAACAGGCTGTGGTGAGTCTACATTAGCATGGTACATTGTTTTTTAGTGAGTAAATGCAGTGAAATATAATATCGATTAAGAGTGAGTGATGTGTTTTTTACTCTGCAGCGCATCAATGTCCTGAATTCAGCCACTACAGCCCATGTGTCAATGCTTGCTCCTCACTGTGTCCTGAGATGAGCCAGGCAGTACAGTGCCCCATGGACTGTGAGGATGGCTGCCAGTGTAATAGCGGACATCTTTATGATGGGAATGCCTGTGTACCAGCAGAGAGGTGTGGATGCATGCAGAATGGGAGAAGGTTTAAGGTCAGAATTCAACATTCATGTCCAGCATAATTACAAGTATGTGAATTCAGCTGCCGGAAAATTCACACTTATAATTGAGTTAGAGTTTAATGTTTGCAGAGCTTGAAATGAGTGTTTACCCCTTCAGTCGCAATCAAATATTCTTAATTGACTTCTTTCATGTCATTGTTTCTAATTTCAGGCCTCTGAGAGCAAACTGCTTCAGAACTGTACAGTTAATTGCACCTGCGGGCCTCCTCTTGTCTGTGAGCAATACTCATGTCCTCCAATGCACAGTTGTGTTGTTACAGATGGAGCCATGGGTTGCCACAAAGACGGTGAGCATTTGAATACTTAAAAACAAAATTTAGATTCTAATTTACTTTTTATTGCATTTTTTTCGTTGTATTTTGCTCATTCAATAATAACTATTTTTCCCAGAAGTGGAACAAATCTCAGAGCCATGCGAGGGAAAATGTGATGAAACAGAGAAATGTTACCTGAGTAATGGTTTGCCTGTTTGTGAGAGCCGCCAGGGTCTGTGTTGGGCCTGGGGAGGCCAGCACTACCACACTTTTGACGGACAAAACTACAACTTTGAGGGTACATGCACATATCTGCTGGCTGCCTGCGAAGGGGCAACATGTGGGCTGACTCCCTTTAGTCTGTCAAAGAAAGATAGCTTGAACAGCAGTGGAGCAGCATCCCCTTCACAGGTTGTCACTGTACAAGCTTATGAGTTCATCATCAAGCTCAGTGGTGGAGAAGACAGCGTAGATGTAAGTTAATCTCAGTTTCTGTATGACAAAGCTGAACACTTTTACCCCAATCAACGTGTTACTTGCCCTGTTTTTGCAGGTAAATGGTCAAAGGATTAGTGGTCCTGTCAACCTGCTGTGGGGTAAAATCCAAGTCTCGTACAAAGAAGGCAGAACTCATCTGAAAACTGGCTTTGGCTTGCATGTAATCCTAGATGGGAACTCCACTGTTCTGGTGATACTAAACCCACAGTACAAGGGCCGAGTCCATGGGCTGTGTGGTAATTTTAACGGGGATTGTCAAGATGAGATGGCTGTAACAACAACGCCAGGTTCCCCTCCAATCAATTCAAGTGTGGCGCTCGCTAAGGCTTACCAGGTCTTCGATAAGGACCAGAGCTGTTGTACTGGCTGTAAGCAGGAACACAGTGAAGTCACCTTCCCAGCAGATTTTGATTCAGAACTTGCCTCTGGTCACAGAAAAAAGTGTGCAGTGCTCAAGGATGAAAATGGTCCACTGGCCCCCTGTCATAGCAAAGTTACCCCAGATTCCTTCTATGAAAGTTGTTTGAGTGACCTCATGCATAATGGAGGGTCGGAGGCTGCTCTAAACCAGGCCATATATTTATACTCTACAGTCTGTGAAGCTTTCAGAGATGGATACCTCAGTGAAAGAGCTGTTGGTAAGTAACCACTTTAAGCAATTTAATCTATTGCAATGAAAAATGTCCCTGTTTAATGACACAACAAAAATTCATTTCAGATGTGCGCTGTCCACCAAACAGCCATTACAAGACCTGTGGCTCAGCTTGTCCTCCATCCTGTGAGTTTAACATCACAGTCTGTACTAAGGCTTGTGTTCGTGGCTGTTTCTGTGACCCCGGGTTTGTTACAAGTCCAACTGGCTGTGTGCGTCCTCATCTGTGCGGCTGCGCGGACTCCACAGGCAAATACCACAGCCTCAACTCAACTTACTGGACCCCAGACAACTGTGGCGAGCTCTGCACATGTGGACCAATGAATGGAGAGGTCCACTGCCACCCAGACCACTGCCCCAGGGGAATGGTCTGCAAGCAACTACATCACAAAAGACAGTGTCAACCTGAAAAACCCATGAACTGTTCCATCTCTACTGGGCTGCATTTTACAACCTTTGATGGGCATCATTTTGACCACAGAGACAGCTGTTCATACTCATGGGTTCAAACAAAGTCTAACCTAACTGGACTAAAACCATTCAATGTCACAATCTCTGATGCAAACTGCCTCAAAAGGTTTTCTCACAGCCTCAATCTGATTCTCTCCATCTGTGGTGTGGAGGTCATGGTGGGAAAAGACCAAGGAAAGGTTTTTGTGAGTATTGTCCAATCCCTAAGCTCAACAGTCCTCAAAATAACCACTTGTTGTTTCAAAACTTGCTTCTAGTCACAGAGATGATATCCAGTGTGAAAGTATCATAATAGTCCAACTGTTAAAGGGATACTCTGGCATAAAATTAATTTAGGGCCAAACACACTGTAACACCGATTTAGACACCCCCTTCAGAGATGAATGTTGCCGACTGTTTGCTTCTCTAGTTATATAAACTTTAGTAATGACTGCACAATAGCAATACACAGGTCTATGGAGCCATAAACAAACCTCAACCAAAACGCCACTCCATAGCCACAAATAAAACTTCATCAACTGTACATATAGGGTCCCAGCCATAGTACTAGAGACGAAACACAACTCACCTACTCTCTTCCAGCAGCCGCTTGTTTGTATTGAGACCTCGGACCAATCTATTACGGACTACAGTGGGGTGACCTAGCTCAAGGAAAAACATTTAAGATCACTCCTTCATGTAAATGCAATCAGACTGAGACACTAAGGCAGAAGAACTACCGCGTCTGCAGTGCAAAATGATTAATGTAGTGATTATTACTTCAAGGAAATGATAAAGAAATGATCATAATTGTTCTTCCTTGAGCTGCATCCCCCCCACTGCAGTCGATGGAGGTCTCTGTACAAACAAGTGGCTGCTGGAGGAGAGTGGGTGATTTGTGTTTAGGCTCTTTGCTAAAGAAATCAGGCAAAACTAAAAACATGTTTGGTGGCTAGTGCTGTGGCTGGGACCCTATATGTACTGTTGATGAAGTTAGGTGCTGTTCTGAGCATTATTTGTGGCCGTAGAGTGGCGTTTTGGTTGACCACATAGCTCTCTCTATATTGCTATCTGCATTTGTTAGTAAAGTTGGTATAACTAGAAAAGCAAGCGGTCGGCAACATTCATCTCTGGGCGGGGTGTCTAACTCGGTGTTACAGTGTGTTTGACACTAAATTAATTTTATGCCAGAATATTCCTTTGAGTCTTGTCCTTTTTGATTTTCAGGTTGATGGACTACATAAACCCTTGCCTTACACTCACCCCTCAGGTTGTGTTCATGTCTACCGCACGCTTTCATCCATCATCATTCATACTGATGTAGGATTACAGCTCATCATCTACAACTTTGGTGCTCTCATGGCTATCCTCCCCAGCAGCTATGCCTCTTCTGTCTCTGGTCTTTGTGGGAACGCTAACTCTGACCCAGCTGATGACCTCACAATGCCAGACGAAGAGCTCGCCCAAAATAAGCTCGAGTTTGTCCACAGCTGGAGGTCCCAGGGAGCAGAGGGCTGTAGGAGTAACTGTTCGTCCAGACTGAAGCGTTGTCCTATCAAGGCACAGAGGCTGTTGGAGGGCAGTGACTTCTGTGGGGTGTTGTTGAATGAGCTCGGACCCTTTGCGGAGTGTGCATCAGTTTTAAATCCTAAGCACTACTTCCACAGCTGTGTCGTCGATACCTGCTGGTATAAAGGACACTACTCAGCACTCTGCAGCTCCATTGCATCTTATACAGCTGCCTGCCAAGCAGCTCAGCTACCAGTCAGGCACTGGAGGAGTGACACTTTCTGTGGTGAGTAAATGGTCCATTCTGTGTTTTCATCTGGGTAATTTCATTTTGCTGTCACACCTTTTACAGCTGTTTACAGTGTCCAGCCTTACAGGACTGGAATGTCTGTCTGTGCTCAGGGCTGTCCCACTGTGAAATTGGCAATTACTTTGAGAGCTCACTTGTTTACTGAGGCTTTAATAAACATCGTATACCAGGCAGTGGTCATACAAACTTTACACAAAGGTAAAACATCCACTAATATATAACCTCTATAAGGAATGAAGAAGCATCCTTGCAGAGCGGTTACCCCGTACAGTGGATTAAGTTCTAGTTTCAACAACACTTCCAACATCCCCCTTTGCCGAGTGTTGTTCCCCTCTCTCTCTCTCTCTCTCTCTCCTCCACATTTCCTGCCATTCAATATGGATAATGTTGCCAAAAATAAAGTACAGTTAGCTTGAATCAACACTGCAAAGTATCAACAAACAATGAAATAACCTTGGAAGCAATAAACAGTCACATTTTAATCCATCAATCCAAAGTTTTTTTCATTTAAATTTGAGCCTACATCAATGCTGCAATGTTAAAAGGCAGTAAATTTCAAATATTTCAGCTTCTCTTTATAGTCATGGAGGAAAAAAAAAAGTTTGTCCAAGTTTTCATGTATTGCAGTTTTTACATTTCAAATACAAGACATTGCTCTTGGTAATTACAGCATGAAAAAGATTTAAGGATGGGAAGGACCTGTAGGATGACTGTGGTGAATATTGAATTAGAATACAACATGTTCAAGTCATCAATTTCTCGACCAAATGTTTTGTGATTATGTAAAGTTGTACCTATTCACCACCTCTCCTTCTAGGCATGTCCTGTCCTAAAAACAGCCATTATGAGTTGTGTGGACCTCGATGTCCTGTCGTGTGCCCCGGACTGTCCTCTCCAGCAAACTGTAGCGGAGGTTGTGAGGAGGGCTGCCAATGTGACCCTGGCTACGTCCTGAGTGATGGCCAGTGCGTGTTGGTTTCTGACTGTGGCTGCATGCATGAGGGACGCTTTCACCCTACAGGACACTTCTACTCTGAGAAAAGCTGCCAAAAGTGTAACTGTGAGAGAGGAGAGGTGACCTGCAGCCCAGCAGAGAGCTGCTCAGGAGAGGAGGGACATGCTTTGCAGTTTGGAGTGTGCCAGGTGTTTGCTGGCTTTGGCTATATCACTTTCGATGGTGTAATTCTGCCTCACCACGGAGTGTGTACCTATTTATTGTCAGCCCTCACTTCTAAAGCTAACCAAAATTATACTCTGCTACTCAGCTTTAAAAATGACAGCAGTGGTAATTTCACAATCAGCAGCGTAGTATTTCAATTGCTCTCCCTGGAGGTTTCTATTGACCCTGAAACACTATGGAAAGTACAGGTTAGTCCTCCCTTTTTTATGCAAGTGTTAATCACAAGTTTGATCAGATTTGTGCAGCTTTGATTTACTGCCACTCTGCTTTCAGGTGAACAGAGAAGAGCACAGCATCCCTTTTGACAATGGAGACCTTAAAGCATACCAAGATGGCAACCGACTTATTATCAAAACATCATCTGGGTTGGGTATCGACTTTTCATCCTCTCAGTTCCTCAGGCTAACTGTACCACAGGTTTATGACGGCACAGTCTCAGGCCTCTGCGGGAACTTCAATGGAGACAGGTCTGATGATATGGAACTGAGAAATGGTCATCTCACCACAAGCTTCTCAGAGCTCCTAAACAGCTGGGCAGAGTTGGGTCCTGGAGAACACTGCGCTGTCACCTGTGGGAGAGAGTGTGAATGCAGCCTGTCCCCACCCAACAACGGAGTCTGTGATGTCCTGATGAACAGCAGTATGAAATTCAGAAGGTGCTGGAACAGCAGTGTGGAGCGTGATATTTATGCACAAATGTGCATGAGGGCGGTCTGTTCAGGAGCTGGGGACAGAGCCGCATGTCTTGCCCTGGAAGCCTATGCTGCAGCCTGTCAGGCTAAAGGAATACCTGCAGGACTATGGAGGGAGAATACACCTTGCTGTAAGTGAATATTTTCATCCCTGGTTAAATCAGGACTATTTGATCTATTCTGAGAAGTTTGTGTTTTCTGCCTCCAGCTCTTGAGTGTCCTGAGCACAGCACCCCAAGAAACTGTGTGGACTCCAACTCCAACTCATGCCCTGCTCTGCTCCAGCCTGGTTCTCCAGCAGCCAGCTGCTCTGAAAGCTGCCAGTGTGATCACGAATATGTGTTTGAGGGGGGCAAGTGTGTGCCCTACAGTCAGTGTGGGTGTGTTCATGGAGATAAATATATCAAGGTAAATGTAAAGCTTACTGCAGGATGGATATACTTAGCATATTTTTAAGAGAACTGTTAGATCCTTCAGTCAAATTGAAGTATTTTACATTTTAGCATTGGTGCTTTAAGTTGCATGAAAGCAAGATTTGAAATAACTCTAGTTTTTAAATTTATTATTCATTTTAAGGGGGGGAAATACTGTCAGAGTTGGTTCTGATGGAGCAAATTTAATTTCCACTAATGATTAAATTCGTTAACCAGTGAAATAATTCACTTATCTTTATCAGCTGATTCCTCTTAAAACACTGAAAATGGTAAGAAATTGATGCATACACACAGAGACCAAAGTATCACTGGCTTGTAACGTTGGAGTCAGAGGTCAATGGTTAAGTTGTAACTCTTCATCTTTTTCTGTGCAACTCTCTTCGTCCAGACCAGATTATTTAATATGTTTTACAATTTAAGATTGGACTGCAAAATCAAACATTTTTGTAGCAATGACAGAGTCAGAAAAAGTGAAGCAACAATGAAATATTTTCCTGTAATAAGGGGAAAAGAAAAAGAAAAGAGTCTGAGGACGTGCGTCTCAAAATCATGTTCATGTACAGTTCTTGATTAAATCAGTTTGGTTATAGTTCACTTCTTATCTGCAATCAAATCTAATTTATTCAGAAATAGTTTTCCCTCTCCTTTATTTCTTAGATGGATGAGCAGCTGTACACTGAGGGCTGCACCCAGAGGTGCTGGTGTCACCCTCTGAGTGGAGTGCTGTGTGAGGATGCCCGCTGTGGTCCAGAGCAGCAGTGTTCTCTAAAGAACGGTTCCTGGGGCTGTCAGGATAAACTTGAAGCTTGCAAGCTCAGGAACAGCCTCCAGGTCTCCACTCTAAGTGGACAGAGGCTGATGCTGGAACCTGGCCTTCCTTACAGTCTGATGTCTCTCTGCAATGACTCTAGTGTGCAGTGGTTCAGTGTCATCTCCTATTACGGACCTTGTGATCACAGCTTCTCCAGATTTGTCACCGTGTTTCAAATCCTTCTGCATGGATCATCAGTCACCATACATGACGGCACAGTAAAGGTACACCTCCACTCAGGGAAGGATTTCAGTTTGTGGCCATCAAACCCTGTTTAATTTTTCCAGCTAACTCACAGTTGTTCCCTACAGGTAAACGGGCGATTGGTGTCTCTCCCTCATGTTCTACAGTCTGGGATCTCCCTGACATCAGGTGTGAGCCGAGACAAGTCAGAGGTCACAGTTATCCTGAGGAGAGATGCCGGGATGGAGTCAGAGTTGGAGATGGAGATTGGCATTACCATGGCGACAGTGAAGCTTCCTCTTTGGTACTCAGACAAATTGTGTGGTCTATGTGGAAACCTGAATGATCTTGGCTCCCACAGTTCTGTCAAGTCATGGGTCATTCATGACTTTCCCGTCTGGTGAGTAATTCTTTCAACAAAAGTGCGGCATGTGACTGACTGGTTTTATTTTTCACACTGATTAACATTTAACATGAAAGTCAATCAGACATTTTCTCTCTTCACAGTGGCTTCACTGGATAATGGCTGGCTGTTTTAACCTCTTATTAACATGTATTGTTTTAAATACAAAACAATTTAAACAACTTTGTATCGTGCATCATTTAGTTCTCTACATTTTGACCTTCTCATGCATTTCCCATAAAGCTGGACTCTATCAGCAAGGCCCATACAGCCTCTCCTGCTTTTGGGATTAGGTTGTTAAAAAAATCTAAGGCACACATTTATCTACATCCACAATTTGTTTAGAGTAATTTTATCATAATTCAGTAAACATGTAATGTAAACTTTCCAGGGCCTGGTCATATTTACTCTTTATCTCAAATATTGTTGTGACCTCCACTGTATACAGATTTTCTTGGGTGTCACCCAAAACTAACAGAAACCTCATATTTAGGTAATTCAACAGAAACACTGTTTAATTGGGATTTAATCAGTCAGTTTATTATCCTACAATTTTGCAAGCTTTGCACTGGACAAATCTTTACAAGGACACAGTTTAAACATCAGTCAATAGTGAGAGCAGCAGCTGCTGCTGAGACTTGGCCTTGGAAACACAGGGTGGTTGGTTCTAGTCCAATGCAAAGGAAATTGGCATATAGCAACCAGCCCATTTCACTTCTTGGCCACTGCCAGAGTGCCATAACTCTGAGCTGATCACTGATCAATCCAGGGAGAGAGGAAGTCTTGGGGTATTGCAGAGAGATGTGGATGGATGATTTCCAAGGCAAATCCTCTCCATAGATCTGAGCTTGGGGTGATGGACAGTGTCTTTCATATGTTGAATCATTGTCAAGTTTGTTAAAGCATCTTTATCCAAATTTACTCCACATGCATTGTAGAAAAGACTCTTCTCCAGCTAAATAAACCCTCGAAATCTTCAGTTTAGTCTAGTGTGAAACAGTGTTATAAGCCCTTCAGAGAAATTCTAAGTGTTGGGATTGTGTTACTTTCTTGTAGTCTGAAGGCTTTGCTTATCTGAACATATTTTCTGCTAGTTTCTTTGACTGTGGCAGGATGAGCTTTATCTGTTCTTGTATAATACAGTTAGAAGTTGTGTTAAAACTGGGCAGGAGCAGTTGTAGTGCTGAAAATGGTGAAAAATTAGATCATTTTTTTCCTTCGACATCCATCCAAAAACCCTGCTGACCTTTGACAAATTACAAATCTAACTAAACGTGGCTAAGCTCAATTAATCCATCACAGCAGTATTCCTACAAACCTTGGCTCAGAATTTCCCAGCAGGACGTGCAGCCGAGTGATCGCTCAATTTGAAGCGTTTCGCTGCAGGATGTGAACCCCGTCGGTTGAGAGAATTGTTGTGCGGCCAAACGTTTCTGCCCGTCTGAATGAAGCAGAATGTTAAACAGGTGAAGAATATGAGAGTGCAGAAGCAAATAAATGATAGCCATCTAAAGTGAAAATTTCTTTTGTTGGGAATAGCATTTAACATCGGCTGCAATTGAGTTGGAACTGTTAAACTGAATGGGTGAAACAGGAGAGTAATCTAAATCCCGCAGGCCTAGACTGAGCCCAGAAAATGTTCTTTTCACAGCAAAGGCACAGATATTGATAATATTTCCATTATGCAATTATATTGTCTGCGCAAAGTGACTTATTGAGTGCTGTTGAGAAGCAGTCAAGTGACTATTTCTCAGCCTAAATCTTCACAATGGTTATCAAGAGGGAAAAAAGCAATCCATCCATTGAAGGCTAGAATTCATCTCAGCTTTTCACGTTTGAAATGAAGGTATTTGCTCCATTTTCTCTTTGGTGTCATAGTCTTTCTTTGTTCTCAGACGCGAGTCTGGTTCTTTTTATTGTCTGTGATTCCTTTGATTGCCTCGGTGCAAATACTCCTATTTGTTTCCCAAGGTTTTTTTTTTCTGACATGTTGTCTTCATACATAAGTTTTGTGGGGCACAGTTTTGTACCTGTCTACTTTACTTTGGGAAACTCTAAAGAAAGCTACTTTTGACATGTCTGTTTTGAATTCCCCAGCTCTACAGCAATCTGTCGGGTCTGCAGAGTGATGGATGGGCAGGCAGGGAGTTTCCCTTGTCTTTGATGCAGAACCATATCTGTGCTAGACAGTCCTTTTTTTTTTTCCTTTTTAACCAAACATTTCTTTGGTGAAAGGATGTAAAGCAACATAAAGTTCTATAGTTTAAGTGTAGCACATGGATCAAAAACTTCCCCTACCTACTTAATCTTCAAAGCAGTCCTAAAACACTGTCTGTGTCCTAAAATCGGGGGCTGTATCTTTCATAGCCCATATTTAAAGACAGATTGCATCACTGTAGCACATCTAATGCTGTCCCAATAAATGCATCCTACTTTATCCAGGCTACAGAGGTCAAACTGGGTGCATCCTTTGCAGCCCAGTATACCATGATTCTATGTGTGCCAGTTCAATCCAGAAAGTGGACTCTTAAGCATCTTAGTGATATTTGATTAGTTACAATGAAATAACAAGCAGTGGAGATTTGCTCTCACAGTCTAAACCTGTCTGTTCAGGCTGATCATCTTCTCCCGGCCCTCCTGCTTTTCAATTGTGATACACCACACAGGTTCTATTTCTTCAACTCCAACAGAATTTTCTGCAAACTGTTGATGCTCTGCTACTGAGTCAACTAATACAGCGTGAACACTCGGGTCGTGCTTTACAAGCAGACTGTACAGTGCTCACTCATAATCTGTGCACTTTGAACAATTCACTTGTCTGGAATGAGACGACATTTCACCACGTTACAACCATGCATACAATCACACAGTATATGCTATGTAGCAGTTTCACCAACAGTTGGATAAAAAGTTTGAGTTTAGTTCCTTCTGGCCCATGAGGTCTAATGAAGTGCAAAAGGTATAGACTGGTATAATTAACCTTCAAATTCAGACATTCTGATTCTTTTAAACCCTTATTTTAAAGTTCTCAGTTGAAAATATTCCTCTCACTGGGCTTGAATTTATCAAATACAATTTAAAATATCTTCAGATGTATTTTCTGTCTCACAGAAGTTGACTATGTGGAGTTTGTGAGTGTCCTTATTTAACATATAACTGTTTTTAATCAAAGTGATTGTTACTGATTATGATCCAACAGCTAATAGGAAAACTAAATTGTGGTCCCCTTTGCATTTGTGATGGTAAGACTTGCGATCTCAGTGCTGACTGTAGTTTCAACACAAACAAAGATTACCCCTCACCCTCTGATAACTTTGCAGGTAACGCTATGACTCTTGAGATTCACTGCAAGTAAGTTTAACTGGTGAAAGATGCCCTGGGCAGAGATGACAGTGCGGTTGGCTGGGAGCACTGTGAACAAAGCCTGATGGAGAGGTGAGAATGTGATTTGTGGTTATTGCACTTGTAATGAGATGGCCGTTCAGCAAATGAGAACTGTGAAAATGATGAGTGTATGGGAGAAAGACTCTGACATTTCCACTGCAGGGCACTGGATGTTCCTCCAAAGCCTGTATGACTGTTAGGATCCAGGTTCAAGAATCGGAAGGGTTACTATGATACAATGAAATAAACATAATGGCTGTTCTCGCCTATTCTGCGTTGTGCTTGTCATACTTTATTACTGTCTTTATCTGAAAGCTGCTGGATGCTATTGACTTTGCTTTGTACTCTGAAGCCCTAGTTCAGATTTTTATGATTCTTTTTATATGCAAACATCTGGGGTCTGGGGCAGCAATGAGAGGGGAAAATCTCAATTCAAAGGCAGATGTTTGTACCAACTGGTTGTGTTAAGCTCCAAGGACCTGCATTTAGTAATATTGGCTGGTGTAAAATGATCACTGAGCAGACGGCAGCATTTTAAACCTAGTAGAAAAATATTTACCTTCGGCATTGTCAGTACAGAGAACCGTACAGCTCTCAGTATGCTGCGAGTAACCACAAGCTTTAGCCTCCAAGTTTGTCTCAACTTACACTTTCTTAGTAATTCTGCCAAACAACACATGAGGCTGTTTGTGTCCTCTGTGGCAGCTATGTCAGAGATCCCCAGGATGACCTGATTACAAGGAATGGTGGCGAACCAGTGTCACAAGCAGATTGCCGTGCCAGCTGGCAAGTAGCTGAGATCCCATGGCTTTGATAAAGGCTGTGAAAGGGTGTGTCCTGATTGTGACAATCCCCAGAAGGTTGAATTTGAAAAAGTAGATATGTGGTAAATTTAGAGACCCCAAAGGACTGTTCTGCGATTGTCTTGCCAAGAAGGACCCAGCTGGCTACTTTGACAAATGTGTTGATTATATATTCCTGCATGAGGCTCGAGTGGATTTTGCTGTGTCAGACTATTGCATCATGCACATCCACCTGCCATGCTGCTAGGGGCAAGGTGTATGGGTGGAGAACCAGTCAGTACTGTGCTGAGAAATCACATTTATTACAGTAGAGTTCTTGATGTAAAAGTCACAATAAGAAAAAATACACGACAAACCCTAAATGGCACAGTAAACTTTTGGTGTCTTTGTGTTCGGTGAGTCTATTCCATATCAGAATATGCTTATTTACATGTAGGACATTATAACGTCCATATTAAAAATCACAGTGATAATCAAGTCTCCAGTTTATTTTAAAGACAATTGAGTCCAGTATCACTCACTTATTCACTTCTCCTCACTCCCTGTAGAGTTATGTGTTATGAGACACTGAATTCAAAAAACATTTTTGTTGGTTTTGCATTGTTATAATAGTTAATATACTGCCCTCTCATAAGGCATTATGTTCTCTGCATATGACACTTCTTAAAAAAAATGTAAGTTTTTTTTATTAATGCTTTTATATCTTATAAGGATAGTTATAAACCCTTTATAATTGCATTTATAAGGCTTTATGAATGTGTTTAAGTATGAGCGAGGCATTTCTTGATTGCAACAACTAGTCATTTTCTAGATTGTCTGCTGCTCTATCACAGGATTGTCACAGGATCAGGGTTATATCATAGTAAGGTCTCTTACCTGTGCAAAAACTCAAAGAAAAACTAAAAGATGACTTCCAGATGTGCTGTCAGCTCACCAATAACGTAAATGTGTTCGAAAAATTACTGAAGCTCATGGTCCCTAATGTGCTTTTTTAAAAAATGGCTGTGAAGGGGAAAGCTGGTATAAATGTTGAGCAGCTCACAGGGCAGTATTTTCAAAGTCCACTCAGTGTTTTATTCTCATAGCACCCAAAGGTCCTTTTGCAGTGTTTCATACTAAACTGGACCCACAGCTATACTTTGATGACTGTGTGTTTGATGTGTGTGCGTCCAGTAAAGATGGAAAGTTGCTGTGTAACAGTGAGGTCCTCTATGCAATCATCTGTTGCAAAGTGAAAGACATTCAGGACTGAGGAACAGCTTTGTTTGCTCTGACAAAGAAATTTATTTGTTTCCCTATAAATCCACCTCTCATTAAGCGGAAATGCTGATTCGTTTCCAAACCCCGTTCTCTTAGTTTCCTGACTCATGATTTACTTCAGCTGTAAAAATGCCCAGTTAACTGTAACTGAGGACTGTGTGCAGATATCTGACTGACAAGGGCTCTACCAGCTGTGATAATAGCTTCTTAGTCTTTGGCTAGCTGTGTATTTAAAAGCAGCAGATTGGAGGTACCTGCTCTGAGAACAGAAAAATCTACATGGTATTATTCCAACCTTACAGCAGCACTAATGATGACATAGCAATAAAGTTAACTTTTCTTATTCAAAAATATGGACCAAGGATTTTTCTCTGAGACTTAATGAGCACATTTATATATTTTTTAAATTCATAAATAATATGTTTAAGTATTTCTGTTTCACTATGCAGGGTCATGGTCATTGATGTCATGCTATGACATCGGCAGGGGGCAAATACTGCTTATGTGTGTCAAATCAGCTAGTGTAGTTCTTAACCCGTTTCAGTGCGTGCATTTTTAACGTACTGTTTTGATTCTGTCTTACTGGTTGTAGATGCTAACCCAATAATCTTCCTGATTTACCTGGTCAGGCCAAGGTTAGGGCCAATTTTAGAAACTCAGACCAACTACAGTGACAGCGCTCTGTCGGGAGGTTGTACATTTAGTGACATATTTTCACAAAATAGTTTGTTCCAAAATTTCCTTTTAAAACTTTCATGTGTAGCTGCATATGTTATATCATAACATTTGCCTCACTAGATAACTTGCTGTGTCAAATACCTCTGACATGAAGAGCCAGGTGAGACATTGAGTTAACATGTCTGTGCATTTTTCTGCCTTCTTATAAGTAAATCTTTTAGTGTTTGAATAGTAAACGAGTGCTGTCGGGGACTGAACTTTTATCATAGATATTAAATTAATGCACGAGCATCTTTCCACACCTGCTGAGTCACAAAACGTGCACCGCCTCAGGTGACCAGTACTTCTTGAGTTTTAGTGATGTTCATCAGTTGGCGGGACTTTGCTTTGATGAGACTCCTTTTAATGTGTGACTGTGCTGAATGACCACTAGGAGGCAAGGTTGCACCCTGAGCAGAGACAGTCACAAATTTGTGGCATCTCCCCAACTTTTAGAGGAGACTACCTAAAAAAGGTGATGAAAATGTTATAACCAATTCACCACTTGTTTCATGTGGATCTCTGAGGAGAAGAGGAAATAGGACACAGCATGTGGTTAGTTACAGTATTAAAAATAAAAACAGGGCAGATACTCTGAGCTTCTCTCAAAGAAAGGGATGATAATGCCTTCTGTCATTGTGCTAATTCTGACATCCTCATGCTCTTCTGAATATAAATTTAATTGCATATTAAAATTTTGATCCAGGCAGACTTAATTAAACTAAGATTTAACTCCACATTAGAATGAATTAGCAAGGACGGCAGAAATATTAAATCTATAATCTCCTAAAAGTATTCCCCCTTCTCTCCTTCCCTCCCTCCCTCATTTTTTGCTCTTCAGCTCAATGGGCAGCTTGCTTCGTTACCAGTGGATTACAGTAATGAGCTGGTGGTGTTTCTCAGCAGCTACAGCTGTAGCAGAGACTGTTGCTGGTATTACCCTGACTTTTATGTGGCCAAGCAGAGAAAGTTTTACTCTGCCCAGCAACTACCCAAACAGTCTGTGCAGTAACCACTGAGGAAAAGCTCAGGATGACCTGACCAAGCCAAAAACTCTGACAGAGCTAAACTGGTGGAGAGCTGGCATCTAGCCCTTGTACCAGGTTGTTCATCAGTCTGCCAGGGTTAATGTACCTGCTGCAGAGTCCCAGTAAACCGTACAAATCCCTCAAGAACTGTTGTATTATGGCTGACAAAGTGGAGCCTTTCCGACTCTATCATAGGAGTTTGGATCTGGCCCCTTACCTGGACAACAACGTGTGTGATGCCTGTCAATATCAAGGTGACTACAGATCAATATGTGATATTAGGGAGAGTTTCCCTGCCTGTCAGAGAGAATTAACCTCCTCCCACTTGGAAAATAAATCAATTGAATGGAGCCTGGTAAGTGAGCTGGCCAAAACCACCCTTGACAAAAAAAACACAGATCCCTGTGATATCATGAATGCCACTAGCGCATTTCAGAGTTGCCAGCAACGTGTGTCTCTGTATGTTTGCATGTCTCTGTATGTTTGAAACAGAGAATTTGTAACAGTGTTAAGGCCTATTTTTGGCCCACAATGAGCAGGGGGCTGAAAATCTTGCTATAGAGGAGAAAATCCTTCTGATGCAAGTTACCCACAGCAGAAAAAGGGGTTTTATGTGGCGCTTTTATTTCAAGTGCATACATGAGTTGGGATATTTTCCCTCTTTTGTAGATGCTTCACACAGTAACTGTGCAGGTCTATGTAATTGGACTTGCACTGGCTCTGTTTACCAATTTACTTGTTCTGAAGGATGCCTAAATGATGCCATTTTGTTTTGATAGCATCCAGTTTGTTCACTTGAACAACTGTAGTTTTGTGCATATTGGCAGACATCTGTTTGTAAAACTCTGCTGTGATTTTTACTTTGTCACACACAGTATGCTACAATTAAGACTTTGTCTGGAGAAACGGCACATAAAATAAATGATTTTTTTTTTTTTTTTTTGGGGGGGGGTTTGTTTAAATAATGAAATCTTAGAGAGAACACTGGTCTTTTAAAGGGAGTCCAATGTGCAGATGACCTTCCCAATTTCACAGGAAGTCCCCACTGTTACTGATACTGTCCTTCTAAGAAAGTGTTTGCTGCTCATGAGAACAATAACAACTCCATATTTGACAACAGACTGGGAAATTACTGATGCGTCTGGTTGTTGGTTTCTGGAGCACTGGGGACTCTTCTCAGCAATGAGTATTTGAAAGGTGTAATGTAACAATTCCTCTGCTGCGATTGAAACACATAACTACATCCAGAGCCGTGACTATAATAGCCATGTTCACCACATACTGTCATCACATTGTTCCCCAACCCCCAAATGTAAACTGCATTAGTTTTAATAGCATAAAAGCTTCGCCTGCTTGTCTGTGATTTTAACCTTTAGTTCTAGTTAGAGTGGAAGCTTTAATCTTGAACTCTATCTTGCCCTTTATTATGCAAACTGCAAACTTAATTTGACCACCAAAATAATCAAGTACAGTTTAGCAAGAGATGGGACGGTGTTATGACCATTCAACCGCTTATTCTCTTAACAGCAAGAACTAAACAAGGACTCCACAGAGCCCTTTTAAAGGAATGAGAGTGTGGTTTTTAATTGCATTTGGTCCAATTTAATTAAGAAATGCCAGAGAATCCCCTATGGTAATTACTGATTAAAAAGCAGGTGAGGCTGACAGGCATGGCCATCAAAAGCTACCAAGCTTGCAATCCAATCACTGCTTGTCATCCAAGGACACTTAAGACTCATCTGGGTGCCATATTAATTTGAGCCCTCATCTTTAGTTCTGTGTTCTAGCCTTAAGTCAATCCCCAAGGGAATTGAGTTTTGTGCGCCCCCCTCCCTGTTCACTCAATGTAGTTGTCTTTTTTGTGAGCATTTTCTCATGACCAGACTCCAAAGAAAATACCCCCAAGAACCAGAGCTGTTTTTGAGTGTTTGCATATGCCTTTAAAACACAATTTCACCAGTGTTGCTTCTAATCTCAGTGGTGCCTGACTTTACTTTGCTCTAGTGCCCTTTGGCTGCAAGTTTTCCTTTTCAATTGGGCTGCCATGCAGTCTACTGTGAAGGGAAAAAAGCATCTTGTACTCAGGTAAAAACTGGAATCACTTCTAAAATCACAAACAAGATGCTTCCTCCAGAATCAAACGGCAGTGCACCATGGCATACTTCCCTGCTTTTTACCCCCATTAAACAGGATAAGAAGTGTGAGAGTGTGTGAAGTCATTTGGCTGGAGTCGATATTTACCGCCAGTCTGTCTTATCATACTTCAGTTCCTTTACTTGATTCAGGCAGTGGTTTTGATTTGTTTACTGGCAGACTGGTCCTTTGGTCACTTTGCAGCTGCAGAAAAAATGTCACTCATTCTTGAACCACACCTCCATCTAGTGGAGGACGGAAATATGGCCTCTTTGTTTAACACACCACAACCTCACTTGACTTCTCATTACTATTACATGTTTATCACTTTCCCATGGTGAACTATGTATTTACTTTCTCAAATGATCTTCTAGTAGGGGAGACCTGGGCTTGTTGTCACACTTTTCACACTCTTATTTATTTATATATATATATATATATATATATATATATATATATCTTGAACTCAATACATCATATATAAACAAAATGTGTACCAGATTAAAGACCAAAGTCTCAGGAATATATTTCGTATTCATGTCATTTCATATCATGTGTTAGAGCAGAGTTATAAGCATCAAATAAAAAATTTGAACATGTGACTTTTTGCCCCACCATAGGGAAAGTTGTCTCACTACATGGGGTAAAACGTCACAGTGGATTTTGCAGCTGATAAAACAAGGACAAAATTATTGCTGTTCTCATTTTTTTACTTTAAAGTGAACATCAAAGTCAGGCACAGAAAATGTTTAGAGTTAGAGTTAGAAAAAATCATTGAACTTAGCCATTGAACACACGTTAACATAAAATATTATGCAACATGCTCTAGAGTTTGGAGAGCTGTCTGACTCTGTATTTCAGCTGGGGTGAATGTTTTGCAGTACCGAGCCAAGCTATAGTAGTTGACATTAAAGTCCGTTATTGTACTCCAGATTGATTTATTAGCTGGGGTCACCTGCCTGGCTGCCCTCAACATCACGTCAGGTACTGCACTACCAAGTTCTGTTTTTCTTTTGTAATTCCTGACCATGTCTTTTTGCTTTCTCCTCTCCTTTAAGCAACTCTTTTTTCTGTAAAAGTATAGGCAAAATTTCATTATGACAACTGCTGATAAGCAGACTCTCTATGTTCCTCTTAATACCCTTTAAACATGTGACAACTAACCCCAAAATGACTGAGACATGATGCCCCAAACTACCATGTTTGCTTATTAAAGCTCAAGCTTAAAGTTAGCTTAAAACAGAACAATGACTGAGGTATGACAGGATGCCTTAGTCTCTCCATGAACAAGTCCACATGTATCACCCCTAGGATTTCAATCTGGAAGACACTCATTTTAAAATATATAAAGTATTTTTTTTTCCTTTGGGTTGTGCATAATGGTTAATTGGCACTCATCTCAGCTCACAATGTGTTTTTCTCTTCTCAGACAGGACACGACCCCTAACCGTGTAAAGGAAGAAAACTAGTATTCCACTTTTTAGTTGCGCCCTCTGGTGACAAAGATAATGGCAATGTGACAACTTAAACAGGGTACACACATAAAGATAATTGGGCTGTCTTTGTCCCGATTTTCCCCCTCCTGACCAAGAACAACAATCGGAAGATTATCTTATGTCTTCTAAGATTATCCTATAAGATTATCCTGTGGTCTGAGGTGTATTAAGAGTGAATTTGTCCCGATAATTGGGTCCGAGACAGGTTGGGGCCGACAATTGTAAATATTAAACTTATTCAATATTTATGACCAAAAATCTTCATGTGTGTGGAGAAAGCCAACGACTCTCAAGACATGACTCTGTGAATTGTCACATGAAACGGAATTTAGCCAATCAAGAAGCGAGCTGACTGAGGAACAAGGAACCAAACAAAGCAATCAACACATAATATAATGCAATAATAATAATCACACCAGCCATCAGCTTAATTTGAGAAGAACTCACCTCTAGCTCGCTCAGTAGACCATGAAGTCCGCGTTCACGATGTCTCCAAGATTTTTTCCACAGTCTTATTTTTTTTTTTAAGTATGGGATTTTTCTGTCAAAAATACTCCCAAAACCACCATCATTCCCTCCTCTTGTGTGTCCTCTTCCATGTTGTGTATTGTGTTTCCCGGTTTTTGCTATGTTTCTTCTTCTTCGTTTTTGTTAGATCACGTTTTATCGCACGGGATTTCTGTCTTGGAGGACTAGATTCTAGATCGTGGTGGAACAGAATCGTTTTGTGTGTGGTGTACTGTGTTGAGATTGTCGGAGCACACCACACAGAGTACGATGAAAACTATTCAATGCCAGATTTTTTATCTTCATGTGTGGGGTCTGTAACAGATAAAAAATCAATTCTTAAAAATCCTTATGCGTGTACCCCGCTTTACCCATGTGACAACAATCCCCGGTCTCCCCTATTTTTTAGTAAAAACCCTTCAAGCCTTCCTTGCATACAAGTCTGAAATTGGCTGCCTTATGTGGGTGCATCTTCTCATGCGTTCAGCTGCTCTCTATGTGTACACTGTATTCTAGCTGCCTCAAAGGCCCTTGTTTTAGGAGTTAAACACATCAGAATAACAGGCTAACAACGCTCAACAGAGTGTGCACACTAAATATTTTGGTGTGATTCAGACTTCCAGGCTTTCACTCCCACTCCACCTATGTGCGTGCAACTACAAGAATGTGTAATGTGGCAGTTTGGTGTGGGAAAGACCTTGGGAAGAGCGTTTTCATAAGCTGACAGAAAACTATTTGTGGCTGATAGACTGCACTGGCCATGAAAGCACAGTGGTGTTTACGCTTTTACTTCATTGCACTGAGCCGCTCTCCAGAGCCTGTAAATTACACCACAGCACTGCAGGCTCACTTGTTGAAGCTGCTCTCTCTTTTTTATTTGGCTGTGCGGGCGGAAATAAGCATGATTAACTGTTTCATATTTTCTCATCAAGGGTGGGAATAATCCCTATGGTCATGTAGTGTAGCTTTATACGCGTTGTTTACCTCTGAGCAAGGCAGCCTGGGGTCATTTCTAGTAGGTAGGCTATCTTCGGTGTCTGCGCGCTCTGACCAGCAGTACCCCGCCCCCCTCCTTTACTTTGCTCCCGTGCTCCAGTCCTGAGACAAAACCAAGAGGGAGCACAACTTGACTGAGTACAGCTGACTATTCAGTACCTCGATAAAGTTATTCTCACTTCAAAGAAGACTTTTTGTTTTCTAGTTTGAGTTAAAATTTTTGCATGCCATTTTGTGTTTCATCGCTCGAATAACATCTGAAAACTTTTCGGCAAAGTTCGGCTCATTGGGCGGAGAGTTGGCTAAATCTATCCACACAGAGTTTATAAAAGGCGAATACACGGTAAGTTCCTCAAAATGTTCCGACTGAAACTCCTTTAAATGAACGACTTTTCTCAATACATCTGGCATGCCTCTGCAGCCATAAAAGTTTACTTAAAACACTACAATTTGCATAAAAAGTCTCCCGTGTTTACATGTTTTTGCATGCAGAAGTTCTACCTCTCTTGCTAATAAACCGGGTATCCTGAACAGGATCTCCACCCCCCACCCCAGAAATGAACGTGAATGCGTGTCTGTTAAATAACACAAAAATCGGCTGAAGTTCAATTCACTGTTTTTCTCTCCTGTTTGTGTGTGAATCACGCGGAGTAAGTGAAAGTGTTTTCGTTGGCTCGGTTATATCCTGTGTGGGGGACATGTCGCGCCATTAGAGAAGTGAAAAACAGTTTCCTGTCACACTTTTTACTGAGAGCGGCATTTAATAACGCACAGCAACCCCCAACACTTTAGTGCGCCCTGTTTTCTATCGCGTTAATTGGCGAGAACGACAACGTGAATTCGCAAGTGAGCTCGCGATAAACTGTGAGTAACAAAAAAAAAGCTATCCTCTTTTACCCGTTTTTACTTATCTCAGAGTTTTGTGTTTTCTTAACAGACTTTCTTTCAGCAAATTTATGATGAAAACATTAGGATAAAATCCAAAAAGAAACCAAACTGCTAAATTTTAAGAAGCTAGCCTGATAGGGGAGAGTGGGGTAAGTTGAGCCAAAGGGTAATTTGAGCCACCATTTTAGCTTAGAGGACTAATAAAGTCATAATAGTTCTGGGGTAAGTTGGGCCATTTGGCCAGGGGTAAAACTAAGAAAGTAAAGGAGTCTGATGAGAGGATCAGAGTTTTAGTTCAGATTGTTGTTAATGTGTTACTTCTTCTTTTCAAAAATACAGCTGTGAATGTTCTGAATCACTTAAAGACATTCTCATGTTTTTAGCAGTTATATGCAATAATAATAAATACTTATTGAATAGCATAACAGATAAAAAAAACACATGAATGTGAAGAAGTGACTGTTATTTGGGGAGAGAGATGTGAGGTAGGGCAGGGATGGAGGGGGAGGGGGGAAGCCTCAACCTACCCCACTCCTATGGTCAACTTACCCCGTACACGGGGTAAGTTGACCATAGGAGACCACTTTTTTTTTGGCACACTATATTATCAGGACAGTTATGTTTACACTCATTCTGTTGGTTTGCAGGGATGCACAACATCCTGAAATATATGCAGATACACTAGGTAGAGACAAAACTATGATTGCCTTGATGTAGTGATCTGAAATATGAAAAATGGCTCATCTTACCCCACTCTCACCTACTCGTGCCAAATTCTTGATAAGGGTAAATTGTCATCTGATTTTGCCTGATATAAATCATGTCAGCAAGTACCATTTTATTAAAGACTGCCCTTGCTAATCCTACTTTTTTTTTTAATCCATGCTAATAATTTTTCTTTGAGTGTTGCTTTCTGGGCTCTTTCCTGTCTCCCTTTTATGATCTCCTCATGACTCAGACGGCCAACAAACAAGATTATTGGTTTGGTTCCTGTAAGAATAACTTGCCCTGTATTCATTTGATTAAACTTGATTGGCAGGCCTTTGTTGTTAATCCTGCTTCTGGGGTTGAAGTGCTCCTTTCTCTTAGCTCCATGTTCACACCCCCCACTTCAGTCATGCATAAATCCTTAGCAGCGCTTTGGGCCACAGAGGGAGTTTTTGGCTTCGCTAACGTAGGCTTTGATCGCTGCAATCCAAAATATTTTATCCCACTGTTGAGATTTTCTGCTAGGGTATTTATTACTTTTTTATTTTTGTCACCATGTTTTAGGATTAATTTTGTTAAATCTGGCTGAAAAGCTTCGAAAACTCCTTCCACTAGAGTCTTCTAATTGAGCACCTTCTGTAGCTCTTTGCTCTGGTCACATGTGGCTGTCTGGTAGTAGACCCTTTCAGCCTGTAAGCATGTAGGTCGTAACAGAATCTCAAAGAATGTCCCAACTAATAAATAGACAGAAAAACAGCGCTGGAAGATTTCATCCACCGTAAGTAAGCTGGATGACCTAGCCAACGATTGCAGACCCACTGACCAAATATCATATGCAACTCAACACCACCCTAGTTTAGTGCCCCATCTACTGCCAAGTGCCATTAACTGATGAGCAGGGCCTGAAATAGACCCTCTTTCCTTACCCTGAATAAGGAGGCCATGTTATTAAGACACATATTCTGATAACATGGTGACCCTGTAATGGGGCGTTTGGCCAAGACCATCAAGTAAAGCCCCTCTGCTGACTTAAACCATGAGAGCCTGTTATTCCAGCCGATGAAAACCCCCCTCTACTTCTCCATTGTGGCTTCTAAAGAACCTCTCTGAAATTTTATTTCCTCTTTTTTTTTTGGCCTTTCATTGAAAATGTATTTGCTCCGAGATACGTCTCTAGCCTAAACTGTATTTTGGCTTCAATTTTGTTTGCAATGGGAGTACATTACTGTGCTTAAAACCAACAACAGGTAACCCGCACATGCCTGAATAGCAGAAAACAGAGGCCTCTTTGTTTGAAAGGTGGTTTCAGTTGCTTCTGGATCCCTTTTTGACCTGAGGGAGTAAGATTGCCTGAAGTTTTTATCTGCGTAGCACATAAATACGCCTAAACCTTCTATAACAGCATCACAGTAACATCATAAAAGAGCAACAAGCGCAATAATGTGAGCACATTCACTCATAGGGATGGTATGAAGACATTTATTACTTGTGTTTATTTCAGGTACGATGGATGCCCTGGTGTTGGTGGCGTTGAGCTCCTGGCTGGCTCCTGCACTGGGTGAGCATAAACAGCCTCTTTTCTGTTCCCCCTTAAAAACCAATCAGTGTGAGGGTGCTGTTATTTTTTTTGTGGTGCTTCAGTTTTTCTGTAGTGTTAATTTCAGAGACTCCTTTATTCTAAAACCAGCTACTGTGTCTGTGTAACAGGATCAGCATTTGGTAGGGAAGTTCTGGGTAAGTTTGCTGCATTGGAGTAGTTTTAGAGCAGCAGTGCATGGCATGTTGATATCTAAACCTTGTTTTTGTTGTTTTGGCGGATCTCTGTTTCAGTTTTTTCTTTTTCTTTTTTGGAGTGCAGAGATTTTTTTTTCAGTCTCAGTTTTTTTTTTAGTGTGGTCCCCTGACAAAGGCCATGTCAGAAAAGTGTAAATGTTTCCACTGTACTGCAGTTTGACTAATCATTTATTCAGACTCTTGCCAAGTTTTTTCCATTGTTAATGCAGGTCCTGGGCTTTGGTTTGCTTCTCTGAGCGCCCTGCATGCTGTCAGTCCAGCTTGATGTTAAGCAGCTTTGCCTTCACTCAGAGCCTTTCCACCTTCTCTGACTCTGAGGTCTGTTAGTGCCAGACCTCTTTTTAAAAGCTTGTTAATATGTTAAAATGTTTTTTGTTTTTTTTTTGGCTTCTTCGAGGAAGCGTCCAATATTAGTACTGTGCTGCCTCATAATGAGGTCAGTGTTAACCAGCTTTCTAACCTGGCTCTTCTTTAAAAAAGATTTGGAGTGTGTAGAATATTATTCAGAATTTGGTGTTGTATTTTTCCTCATATGTGAAGATTTGATTGACTCTTACATCTCTTGTAAGCATGTTTCTTTCCCTCTCACAACGAAACTTTTGTTGATGAGCTGTTGGAATGAGCTCCGAAAACAAACTTTTTAGAAGATAAACAGATTATCATCTTACTGTTTCCAACATCAGTCGTCCAAGTTTAGAGATAGGCTCCACTGTGAGGACTGCCTGACATTTAAAAAGCTGCTCACAGTCTGTTCAATATTTTAATGAGAGCTGTAAAAAGCAGAACACATTAATGATGCAAAATGTTGCAGAGAACAAGCAGAAAAGTATTTCCCTGACCCCCCATGTGCTTCTCCAAGGTCACATTGTTCTCACTTCTAACACTGCTGCTCAAATAAACAAAGTGTATTTGTCTTTATCCTTATTCCAAGTGAAGTTATCTCCTTAATTATTTGTGTTTTTTTTCTTTCCATCACTAAACATAAGGCTAGAATTGTGTTTTTTGGCTAGTAACCAAATGCTGTATGCTTCCCAGTAACATTTAAAAAGATGAAACGTGAACGCAGCCATCATGTTTTTCCACATGGGAGAGGAGATGTGAAAGTGCAGGCTGCTCTTTACTTTCCATATCCCTGAGAGTAAGCAGAGAAAAAACAGATTAGAGAAATGAAATAGTTAGAAAGAAAGCTAACAAAACAATGGATAGAGGAATCGTTTGAAGTTCTGGTGCACTAGGGAAGTGATTTTTATTTGACAGTGTCAGAAGTTAGCTGAGCACACGAGCATTTAAAGCTTCTCAGGGGAGTTTAGAGCGGGCGATGAAACGGATCAAGACTAATCTGATAAATCTATATGACCTATGAGAGCAAAACAGACCATCAGCAAAAAACATGAGTTTTCAGTGGGGTTATGTGACTGGCTAAAACTGCTGTCGTTCACTGAAAAACCTTTTATTTAACCATATCAACCACAGAAGAGATAAAAACGGATCCCAACTGTTACAAAAAGTATGATAATTTTCTTTTTTTCTTCAAAACACCGTATTTTTCAGGCAATAAGACGCACCGTATTACAAGGCATACTGTGAATTAACGTGTTTATGTTCACACATAAGGTGCACCGGATTCTAAGGCACATTAAGCATTGATTGGTTTATTGTTGCGAGCATGTTCTCCGGACCCGGGCTTCCTTACATGAATGCACAGTCAGGCAGTCTTGTTGACTACTCAGGGGTCCTGTTACGGGGCAGATCAGGTAGTGACACAGCGTACCTCAATGCTCCATTGAGCGAAGCAGCTTCGTTGCTCACCAAAGTCACACTTACACATTTCAACAGATTTTTGAGCACATTGTACCACATAAAATCAGTCAGTCAGCACAAGTAACCATACATAAGACACACTGTCAAATTTTGAGAAAATATAAGGAATTTAAGTGCGCCTTATAGTCTGAAAAATATGGTAACACTGTTTACAGAACTAGCAGGGGGTTGCCAAAAACACCCTGAAAATCCCTCACAGAAGCTTTATTTTAAAGCTAACCTTTTTTATAAGTTTACATACTTTACATACAAACAGATGACATGCCTGTACTGAAGGAACGCTGCTGTATGTCTACATGGATTGAAGCCTGAGGCTTAGCTTTCAGCCTCTCTGAAGACTGAATTCTGTCCGCTGCTACAAATGTCACCATTTGCTTCCACCCTTCTATATGAATGTGTTTTAATGACTAATGATTTTCTCTTTTGTTCACAGCTTCAGCAGCAGATAATGAAAAAGGTGGGTATTATTCGAACAGAAGCACGGGAAAGTCAAATTAAGATAAGCTGAGCACTCGTTTTAGCCGACATATAAATTAGTACTGGCACTAAAGGGTCTAATGACTAGATGAATGACCAAGGCCCTAAAACCGCTGAATAGTTGTCACATCAGGAGTACTCTGTGAAGTGTGTCAGCAGCTAAATCTGCTTCTCATTTGTTTCCCCTCTCTGTTCTCTCCTGACAGACTATGACAGCGCTTTTCAGTACGGTGAGTGCAAAGCAGATAAACATGTTCTTCTAATGACTGACCCGGTGCTCTGGAAACATCTGGGAGGCCAAGATGAGTTCGTGCATTTTCCACTTGTTTTTCCAAGAGTGATGGAAATCTTTCACCCCAAGGTCAAGATTCTGGGGCACCCCCGCTGCAAATACAGCTAATTCTGTCTGCTGAAGGCTTAGTTTAAGTCCCTTTTCAGCCAGCAAAGAGCACAGTCTGATTCAAAATCTGCACTGCTATGTTGTCACGAGCTTACATGAATAGTGTTTTTGTTTTTATCCGTCACTAATTTGGACAGGAGGCATTTTTGATAGTGTTCCTCATACTTATTTGTGCTGTTTCAGCCACCGCCGATGCCTTTACTGAAGGCTACAAAAGCAGTGGTTCGCATCCGGGGGTCAGGCCTCTCAGGGTTCCCAAGAAATAAACAGGAATAAGAGAGACAATCTCACCCCCCCAGCAAAGTTCTGTGTATTTGAACTTTGACTCTTTTGGTCTGTTTAATCTTTTTTGGGAAATTCTGGATACTGTGTTTTTGCGCCTCAAGAAGTTAATCAAATAACAATCAAAGAAGGAAAAACATCTCTTATAAAAATTCAAGTAGACAAACATCCTCTCAGATTGTTGGGGGTCAATCATCAACAAGGTTAGAAAAACTGATAAATAGACTTTTTTCCGCCTCAAAACTTTGATTTAATGAAATTGTGGCCAGTATTAGTTTGTCTAAATTACCCTTAAGTCTACAGTTAGCTGCAGAGTTAAAGTTGACCATGTTTACTGTTGTGGCAGCTGCAGCTCTCTGGTATTTGTGGTGTCCCAACATATTCATTGTGGTCTGCTAAATATTTTTGCAATGCTGGTCTTGGATCAAAATGTGGCCCCAAGAGTCCTCAGAGGGCTTTTAAATCATGCAAATTTTATCTCTGGAAATGTTTATCTGTTACCCTTCATGCTTTATGAAATATTTTATTCATTTCAGATTATGAATCCCTGAGGATTGGAGGCTTGGTTTTTGCAGTGGTGCTCTTCCTGATGGGTATTGCCCTCATTGTCAGTAAGTCTTTGACCCCCTCACACACACCACAGATGTGTAATACTCAGCGTCAGTGTCACCACACTGAGATCTGTGTTTGTGTGAGTTGACTTCATCTTCCCCTTAACTGGTACTCTGCTAAAAACAAGCAGGCTTCTGTCTGTGTCTCTCAGATGTCTGGAAAGGAGGCACACTGGTGCATCTTGCACAATCTCAGCGACATAACACTCCTGTGATCCCTGTGTCACAGCAATTTGCCCTTCATACCCTATCCCTTTACTTGCTCCGTGTCCTTGCATGGTTCCTCCTCCCACCTGCCAGTACATGCTGTCAGAGCCAGCAGTAGCCCTGAAACCAAAACCAACCGATAAATAATTCATCTGAACCCACACACTCTGCCAAACTTTCTGCTGCTGTTAGTTAAGATCACTGAGGATTATTTACTGCACTCTGAAGAAAGACGTGTCAGAGGAGAACAGATTATATCATAAAAAACAGCAAATAAATCTATAATGAAGTTGATAAACCGGATTTGAAGGGTATCATCTGTCATCCAAATGTGAATATGTAGCACTGCCACAGCTTTGAAGAACTGAAGCTGATAAACAAATCATAAAAGACACCCATTTTAACAGGTTGCTGTTAAAGAATATGTAGTAACTTCTTCTATTTCTTTGGAGACATATAACATTTACAGTCATGACAGTGTGTCTTCTCCATTTGCAGATTTTCCACACCTCTTTTGGCGACAGTGTTTTTTGACCCCCCAAAAAAATCATCCTGCTTTTTACAATCACATATATCACACTGTGAATATTTACAGTGAAAAAAACATGAATAAAAACAAACCAAAATTCAAGCTGTTAATCTGCTTATCTGGCACATACCCCATGGCATTAGCATTAAAACTGGCTTTACGCAAATTGTAAAGTTTGTGTTTTTTCTTGTAGGTTTGAAAGAGACATTAAGATTGATTCAAATTTTTGTTGTTACCACAGGAAATTATTCACAGCAGCTTTAAAGAACATCCTCAGTCATACTTAGCTCGATATGAAAATGACCTATTTAAAAGCAGCGGATTTGGTGAAAGCCTTTCACTGAAAGACTGCGCAACTAGTTGGGTAGTTACTGTGTTAAAATGAGAATATTCCAGAAGTCCCCAGAAGCAAATAAAAGACACGCCCTTCATTTTAAAACATTGTATTACAATCAACTTTGAAAACTGTTCAGTCAAAATCGATGACAGAAGGCAGCTTTTGGCACCTCTCACTGTCAGGATGAGCGTAACCTTAAAGATGAGCTCCTCTTCAAGATGCTCCCAGCTTTATTCTTAGGTCTGACAGTATGTAGGTCACCGGGCTGGTTTAGGGTTTCCCAGCTGTTTTGGTGGTCATGCCAACTCTTCAGTTAGTATTCTGTAACAAAGTCAACCTATGTGACTTTGCGGCTCCGACTGAACATGTAAACAGCCGGTCTGTGGGCCAAGAGGGCAGCGTCAACAGAATATTTGTGAAGACAGCAACTTTATTTTAGATCTGCTTGTTTTTAACGCAGCCTTGAAGCACCTCTGATCTTTAACGCGGTAGATCAGTTGTGATAAGGATGTTTTGTTTCTTGGACAAAAAAGGAAGCAGGAAATAAATATGCTAAGGGTGCTTGTGAATGTATTGAATGGTATCAACATTTCCCCCCAAGCTTCTGTGGTGTTTAGGCAAAATAAAGTGGCTCTAAATGACATAACAACCAAGGCTAAATGTTTAAACTCTTCTTATGGACTTGCATATTATACAAATGCTGCAAGCTGGAAGTTGTTCAACAAACTGGCTCATTTATTTTGGGCAAACAACTGAATTTTGCTCTGATTTAGGCACATGAATAAAGTCTTGAGCTTGGGCCAATAAGCTGCAAGCTTATAAGGCCTCGCAAGGCTCACAGCCCAGATGGGCTTACTGGCACACGTTCAAGACTGTGTTCTTGTACCTATCAAGGCGTGGAGCAACATCTTTCTCTTCTCGCACAGGAGCTGAGGTTGGGGGGTACAGTGCTGGCAGTTAAAGCTTCCTGCAGTCTTTCAGTAATATTTTACATTTCTCGTATGGAAGCAGCGTCCTATTTTTCTTTGCGTGTAAATATGTTTTTCTTGTGCTTTTCTCCTTAATAGGTCGAAAATGCACCTGTTCAAAGAGTGAAAAGCCTAGGTAATCAAGTTACTTTGTTTTCTGTTATGAGAAATAAATTGAATGTTTATTTTCATTGACATTTCTTTTTCTTTTTATTTTATATTAGACCCAGAGGTCCTGATGTAGAAACAGGAGGTCCAAGGGGTGAATACAAATTTCTCTCATGTAGTAATTATAATAATAATGAATTTAATAATCATAATAATTTTAATAATCATTTTTTAATATATTTTTCTTTTCTTGCAGCCTAAAAGACCCAGAAATCAAAGATCAGTAAGACCCAGTAAGTATTTTATGTGCAATTTAAGAGAGTTTCATCTCTGCAGGAAAAACAAAAACCATCTTCACCTTCCTCTCTCCTCTCCATAGTGTTACTGACTGATGCCACCAGGAGGCAGCAAACACCTTGATCACAGCACAGGACAATCTTTCCACAGACACATGAAGCTTCTTCTTATGCGATATTATGATGTTACTTTTGTGCTTTTTTATGTTTTTACCATTTATTACTTTCCTCCAATAATGTGCCAACTTTATATAGGCCAATGGTGTGATTATCATTTGTATTTTTGTGACTTTTAGTGTGATGCCAAATAATAAACCAAAGGTTAAAAATCTTTTGTTGTCTTTTTCTCCCCTTTATTTCTCTCTCTCTCTCTGTGATTAGAGGTAGACTGGTGAGCGGGCCCTTTATTTTGCTGCACTGCTGCTTGTGCTGACACTGCAGACAGTTAGGTTACACATGCAGTAGTAACTAGCAGCGCTGAGGGTGTGAATGATTTATGTGCTGCAATGTGCAGCTCTCAGAAAAGGCTGTCTTTAAGAAATGCACTTAATTTCACTCTCAGCGGTCGTTGCTGTTCACTGGCAGAATTTTCACTGTGGTGACTGAATGGGATTTGCTGAAACAGGTTGACTGCAATGCACAAAAGATGGAAACTGCTGTATTTTGAGTGTGCCATCTCCTAAAGGATTTGATATAGTTTTTTTTTGTAAGTTAAAGATGCAATCCACTGACATATAACAACAATTTATTACATGTCTTGATGATTTATCCCCCAAATCACTCATAATAATAATAATAGTTTTATTTATAAAGCGCTTTCCATCAAAGCTGTTATATATAGTTTTTTGTAAAAGATGCTTTCATGCTGGACCGTCTCTTTCCTTTATTAGAAAAGATCATTTTCTGCCTTCAGGTTATATTATATACTATTTAGCCTATCTAATTTTGCTGACCAGGTACCCACTGTATGTAGCCAACATCCATGCAGATTTCCGCCCCACCACTGTGACTGCAGTGTTTCACCGCGGCCACCAGAGGGTTCCTGCTAAGTTTACACAAAAGCCTGTGAAGCAGTCCTGCCAGCTGCCCCGCTCAGCTTTATCCAACCTTTTAACTGCAACCCAACAACCTGCTAAATCTCTGGATCTCTGCAGCGCAGCCATGGCAACCACAGGTTTGATTGTTTTATTGCTTCTTTTGTAGGATTAAAGAGGATTATTAATCATGAAAAAGTAGATATTTCAGTTTGAGTCAAAGAAATGTTCTAATTTTTGTGATTCAGTTGAATTTGGATGATTAAGATCAAAAGATTTGTTTGTTTAATACATCTTTATGTAGTAGATTAGCCCACTGCACTGCTGCAACAGTGCCAAGTGCTGATGTTGTGTTGATTGATGAGTGGTTGATATAGCAGAGGGAGTTTTGAAGTGAGCTTTACTTGGATAGATATTAATCCAACTCTTTTTTTTTTCTCCCAAAATGTGCGGTCTTTGTGACAGAGAGGAAACTGAGGGAATAGTACAAAAAGCCTGCTCAGCCACTGGGGACAGGGTTTAGCCACATGTGAGCTGCAGTATTGATGCCCAATCTAATACAAGCTGCACAGTATTTCAAAGAATAGAAATCTTTCTTCACAACTTGTTAGACCACAGCTGTTCACTTGAGAGGAAATGTAAAATTAATATCACCTTTCAAATGTTTTCTACCATAAAAGCTGTACTTTTTTTTTCCACTTTGACACCCCTGTACTTTGCTGCCTGCGTGTAACCCACTTTTTCCTGCAGCATCTTATTTTGCTGAGCAAAGATGCTGCATTGAGAGCTCCTCTCTGTGGAGAGAAAAAAACTACAGGGGAGTTAAGGAGCCAAGCCTGCAGATTGGAGAGATGCAGACCTCGCTGTCCATGCTGCAGGGCTGATCCAACAGTGTATTTGTGTTCCTGGTGCTACATTTAGTATGAAACCTTTGTCATGGGGCTCTTTAACTGATTAGATACTTTCTTTGCAGACACAATGTTTCCAGACCGAAGTGACTTTGATTATGGTAAGATTTCTCTCATCTTTAGAATTATTTAATCTCAGTTTTACCCTGGAAACCACAGATTTGCTCAAATTCACCTCAACAGGGTTCATCTTGAAAGTCTGGTGTGATTTTGTCTTTTGTAGACTATGAGACACTGCGGACCACAGGGGTTATCCTTGCTGTTGTTATGTTTGTCTCTGGCATTTTGATAGCCCTGAGTAAGTTTAGACTTTTAGATATATCACTTGAATACAAAGACTTATCTTCTTTACATACAAGAAACTATGTAACTAAAATTTAACTTCCTCTAACAGGTAAAAAATTCACTAAATGTGTAAAATCTTCATCCAAGTAAGAGTTGTGCAAGACTTAGTGGATGGCCGACTGTGCATGTTGTATGACTTTGACTTGAAAAGGAAAACCCTACCGGTGTAGCATTAAAAAAAGTCTCCTTCAGTTTTGTTCCTTGACATACCTGAGTGACCCACAGCTTTTCCTCTCCCTGCCCTGGATGCCTCCTCACTGAATCTCCCCTCTCTCTCTGATCTGCTAAAACACACCTCCAACACATGAAAGAGTTTGCACAGAAAAACCTTCTGCGATGATTCATACGTGGGTGGTGCTTCTATAACCTCTTTATCTCAGTCTTTGTTCTTCAAAAAGAAATTTGAAGATTTGCATCACACTCCTCATGTGTTGGTAGTGAGTGGGAAGTGAATTTTAATAGCTGACTGCATGCAGCTTTTACGGCAAGAGAAGAAGAAGAAATAGAGATGCTGATTAAGCCAGACAAAACGCTGCATTTTGGACTGTGGTTGTACCCCGAACTCTTCAGAACTCTGTGGCTGCAACTCATTATATGATCCTCAGACTAAAAATTTTGGACTCCATTTCAAGTTGAAGTTGTGGCCACAGTTTTCAAACTGTATTCCTAAAATCAGTATGTGCTGTGCCAGCTGTATAAAAATTACTGTTTTTCCCTTTTTTTCTGTTTTCAGTTCCAACTCTTCTGGTACCCAAATTCCAAAGACAGAGGGTAAGTTCGCTGTATTTTGGTGAATTGTTAAAGGTCATTCTGTGTTTTTGGCTCTATGTCTTATCAGATTTGTTTTTTTGTTCTTTTGCAGTACCTCCTCAAACTGTATAGAAAATACTAAATATACAGGAGAGAGAGGAGATCGGCACACGAGCCACGCCAGCAAAAAAACAGCACCATGATCGCCCCTCCTAAGGCCAAAAAACTACTACTGGTTTAAAAACAGGGTGTTAAAATGTATCCTATCCTGGTTTCAAACAGTTTCTCACTTTGCTCTTCTGTTAGCCATCTGTAGTTTTTTAAGTTAAACAAAATAACTCCTGTCATGAGACTTCATGAGGTGCTTTTTCTTGAACAACTTGTCAGTCTTATATTTTATTCCAGCAAAGAGTGAAATGTAAAGCATGATGAAAAATCAGCAGGTTAAAAGAAACTCAAACTGCGTATGACATGTAACAGATGTCTTTTTATTTCATTGCTTTTTGTAGTTATATTTGCTGAGCCTTTCAACAGGACATATAGCATGATAAAACAGTCAAGAAAATAATAAATAAAACAAACCTTACATGATACGCAAAAACGAAGCAGCAATATTGTGACAAACAAAGAACATTCATTTACGTATTTTATTTTGAAGCGGCTTTTAAACTAGAATCATGAATAAAACTGATGTGTTATAAAAAAAATGATTCAGGGTTTTATCATGTCACCTTCAACAAATGTGTTCAATGTCACATTACATGTAATGATGCCACTGTTACAAATAAAAGTCACATCTACTCAAACATGATTTTATCATTAATATTCATTTCAGGAATTTGTTGGATGTCTTGTTTTCAGATATATCAATGTAATTAAATTCATTATTAACTGATCTTGATTGTGCTTTACGGGAATTTACAGTTTCTAACAGAGATGACACATAAGTGAGAGATATGAAACTTTTCATCACTGAAGTTATAGACACATGTTGGTGAGTAAGGGTCTCTCTGTCTGTCCTGGTGACTAAAGGTCACCAGGGTCATAAATGTCATAGATCGAAGTGTAACCGTCACACATGGCTTTCTTGTAAAATGTTGTATATTCCATTCTGCCAATATCAGTAGACAAATGTAAGTCAACATCAAAACAAACTGATGGAAATTTCAATGCAGTGTTATTGCACTTGAAATCGTGAGTCATGTGTAAAATGTACAGTTAGTCAGACACTCTGTCACCACACCTACTCATGTGATGTCTGTTCAAAGTACATTCTCTGTCACAGTCAGTTTCAAATACACGGTAATCTACAAAATAAAGTTTCTTTTCCCACAAAGAAAAAACTCTTCATGACATTATAAATGTAAGTATGATGCATACAGACAGATCATTAAATTATAAATGATAATTAATAAGAAGACACAAGCTGACTGAGATCAAAAGCATCACCCAGTGTATCAATATGATAACTGATCATGATGGGGGTTTTAACATGAGAGTCAGGGGGCTTTCAGGGACATTGTCCTTGAGGTCATAGAGATGATTTCACAGAAATCTACATGAAACTGGGAGTGTAGCTTGTTGGGAAAATGAGCGTTACTTCACCTTCCAGAGAACCTTCTTTTTTAGGTTTTTTAACTCTTATAACTTTTCACTTCTGTTAAATACAAGTGCTTAACAACAATTTCATAACATTTTCTCTCAATGTCTCTAAAATCTTCTTTACGTATCTAAATAAATAAAAAGATAATGCTACTTCTGAGCAATAGTAAGAATATAAAATGGAGGCCATAAATTCTTTTTGAGTGAAATTCTTTACGTGTTAATAGGTGAAATAAATAAATCAACACACATCACAGGCACTAAATAGCCTTAAACTTGATGCATTAAAACAACATCTGTCCAATCCAATGTGAATTATATTCAGAGTATAATTCTACAAACTACTTTGAGCACGATTTATAAGCCAGTGACTCCCAGAAAAACTGAACATAAATCTGCTTCCAAACAGAGGTAATGTCCTTAAGACTCTTTCCCTTCAAACAGGGATTACAAGTGGTTTAAGTCATTCCTGGTCCTGCAAGGACATGTTACGTCGACGAGAAGAGGCATTTCTTTTCTTCAGCATGAGCTTAAGCTGGGAGAAAAAGAGCGTTTAACGATAAATTAAGAGGAAGAAGACATTAAGAATGAGAAAGTGTATGGGTTGTAGAGTGCAGATGTGTGTGCTCACCTGCTCTCCCTGGAGGCCACTCTGCAGCAGGTGAGCTGCCTGGTCATTCTCCAAGTTGCGGATGCTGGGATCAGCTCCTCGGCTCAGCAGCAGCCGCAGGATCTCCGCCTGGTGGGGGTTACCATGGAGACCAGCTGCCATATGCAAAGCTGTGTGACCATGAGCCTGTGGGGGGGAAATGCAGCATAACTCAGACTTTTTACAGTGAGGTGTGTTCAGGCAAACAAACAAACAAACACATGTGTATTCATATTTCAGTTTTGAATGTTGTGGTGAGTGGGACTCACTTTCAGGTTGACAAAGTCTTTCATGTTCTGCAGGGGAATCCTGAGCAGATAACGCACAAGGTCGATGTTGCCCTCCTTCACAGCCAAGTGTAACACTGTCTTGTTACTCTTGATTTCCTGAAAGCGGAGTATTAGCAATATCGAAAGAAAAAATGAAAATCAATAAGACCACAAGTCAGAGTGGGACATTTACTACTGTAAAACAAAAGAGAGAGTTGGGTGGGGAATCATTAGCACTAAGTGATGACTTCATTAAGGGTAGATCAAAGCAGCAATGTCCCCGATTAACTCAGGGTTTAGCATACTGGACTCAAATATGTGAACCTGATTTCTGTCAGACTTAATACTAACCTGCCTATTTACATACTAGTGTTCTGTGACACATTTACCAAACATGACCCGCTTTTCAGCCAAGAAGCCGACTTGAAACTAATAAAAGACAGAGTGTTTGCAGTACCTGGCTTAGCAGAGAAGCCCTTGCATTTAGGAGCATCTGCACACAGGAGAGCTTCTCCTCAGCCTTGGTCTGCAGAGTAACATCTGGCATGACGCTGCTGGACAGAGCCTTTATGGTGACACAGTGCGAAATCGCTGCACAGTGCAGGGGAGTCATACCTGAGACACAGAAGAGGACAATGTTACATGTGTATTTAGGGTCCAAAAATGAAAATCATTTGAGTTTGGTATTTAAGACCTTGTGAAATTCTAATGTATTTTGGTTGTAGCCTATATGATCTACAATATAATGAAACAATTTGTTAATTATTACAGTATAAATGGTTGCAGAAGAAAAAACCTAAATAGCAAGTAAAACTTTAAACTACCTTCAAAGTTGCGGGCCTCCAGGTTGACATCTGGCCTACAGGTCAGAATTACCTTCAAAATAAAAGATGATTGTTCATATTTGGTCAGTGAACCTAACTTTGCTGACCAAATGGTCAGTCTTGCCAGAGAGGGTCAGTAGTCTGATTACCTGCAGGACCCCAGGTAAACCATAGTGGGCAGCCAGATGAAGAGCAGTCTGCCCTGTTACTTCCCAAGCATTGATGTCGGCTCCTAATGACAGCAGGTCTTCCACAATCTCTGGCTGGTTTGCCGTCACAGCCACAAGTAAAGCAGTCTGCACATGAGCACACACATATTTTAAGAATAACAGCTTTTAAAACTTCCAGTTTTAATTCATCAAGACTAATTTCAAAATAAAATCTTATATCATAGGCTACAATGAAATATCCACCATTCAAATGAGTAACTGGGGGAAAAGATGCAGTAAAAGTGATTTAAATTAGCATTTGTAAAAGAGTTAGTCTGCAAAACTCAAATTACAAGTGAATTTTTCTAAAGAGGGGTAAAAACTCATGAAGATTGGGTTTATTCCAATAGGCCAGCCAGTATAAATGATACTGTTTTGTGTGTGTGTGTGTGTGTGTGTGTGTGTGTGTGTGTGTGTGGGGGGGGGGGGGTCTGTATGAGGTATATAGTTTTGCCCGGTACTGTATCATCTTTTGCTTAAGTTTCTGGATTAAAAAAGCAAAGTTTGGACTCTTTCTGAAGATTGTGTGTGGTTTTCTTGTTCTTACCTTTCCCTTGTGTTCTTTGGCATCCAGTCTGCCGACTTCTCTCAGCCTCTCTGCTGCAGCATAGGCACACTCCCTGAGCCCCTTAGCTGTGTAGATGTGCAGGATGCTGACAGAACAAGAGCACATATCAGTGCAAAGGAATCTTAGTCATCCCATCAACCAGTTTCACACTATCCCTCCTCACGGTTCCTCAATTTCATCTGAGTTTCTAATCTTCAAATGCATGTCTGGCTCACTGACAACTTTTGGTTAATCTTTCTACGACTACCAGGTGTATCTCTCACTTCTGACTAATTACTGTAAACGAGACTTTCATGGAAGTCAATAAACCGTGCACTATGTGCCTAGATCATGAGTGCAAGCAGTTGTGAATGTTTGAATGTTTGATTTATGCTTTTTTCTAAGATACTTACGTATCTCCATCTTCATCCTGCCTGGTGGCTCTGCTGTAGTCCATCCCACTAACCAGCATCCTGGCCTTCTCCAGCTTAGTGACATCCATCGTTGAACCAAAACTCATCTGTGTGGTCTGACTAGAACCCAGAAAAGGCCAAGGAGAAGACATACTGGGATCTGAGACCAGGAGTGGACACTCCTGCTAAAATAAAAAATAAAAGGTACAGCTTTATTATTTAAAGTAAATAACAAACACATCAAATTTTGTTTTATACTTTATGAGTAAGGAGTACACAGAGAGCTATTTCTCTTACATATGACTGAGGCATTGTGTCTCCGAGCCCCTGGAGCTGCTGCTGTGCGTATTCAGGTGCAATTGGGTGGCTGTAGGTGGCAGCAAAGTTGGATCCTGGCAGGCTGCTGTAATAATTGAGTGAAGACTCTGGTGCTGGAGTCCACTGTTCAAAGCTCACTGCCATGTCTGAGTAGCTGCTTGATGCACCTAATGAAAAGTCAGCCAGATTTAATCGAGCTGTACTGTGGAATAATGTCACGAAAATACATTTTAAAAAAATCAAGTTACAATTACTGAAAAGAGATTTACATTTTTGTTCATATTGGCATCTTCTTCTGTATATCTACATTAGTATACAAAGAATTTCTTGGGCACTATTTTCTGCCATAAATCTGGCGCATTAGTTCCTCTACACATCCCTGTATGGTAGCAGGATATAAGGGGTAAAAGGAACTGAGTATAAGATAAGTTATTGTGCTGTTCGTCACAATGGGGGATCATAAAGCTCAGAGCAACATTGTGGAAGACTGATTGTAGTCTTTTGGACAACACTGGTGCTCTTAAGCAGAAAACATGAGGACTCTACCTGTAGGAATAAGGTTCATAAGCCCAGTGAATTATTTTTCTGTTTGCACACAAGAAACATACAAGCATCGCTGAATTTGAGAGCTGTTCTAGAGTTGCTCTGCTCTTACCTGTACAAGGGAACAGCTCTGATGAAGACAACTACAGGGGGAAGAAAGAGAAATTGTAAGCCATTACATTTCCCGGACAGAGTATTTAGTGAGAGATTTTTCTCTAGTGTGTGTGTGTGTGTGTGTGCGCGCGCTCTTACTGTGGCAGCAGACTGAAGAGCAGGACTCGTGCTGGCTGTGGGGCAGGAGGGCGGCACAGAGGACGTCTCACGTCTTCTTTTCTGCTCCAGGAGCTTTTTCACAGTGGGCAGAGTGCAACACGGCTTCTCCTTTGTTGCTGAAGAAAATAAATAAATAAATAAATAATGAAAATGCCACAAGTATTTTAGCAAATATTGACTTTGTAAAATCAGATATTTTTGTCTCGATGAACAGTGAGAGCTGTAACCAAGGATTTTTTCTTTCTTATTTTTTTTCAGTGTTTGTTTAAGTGTTGTATATATTTTTTGAGGGTACAGATAAATTCTTAAGTCAATTTTATGACATGAAAATAAAGAAAGTTACACATCCCCAGAGCCCAAAGTGATTCCAGTTAATTTCAGTTAAAAAGTAAACAAAAGAAAGTAAATCTGCACACATAGAAGACAGTGAACTATTTGGTCAAACTACTGGGGGGAAGACCAAAAAGAAGTTAAAAGTCATACATTATCAACAAATACACCATAAAATAATAGGATTACCCGTGTGAAACTGTGGAAATTAGTCATAAATTGTGATTTATGCATAGGTGGTGGTTTTTTTAATAACTCATGGGGTGATATGATATTTAATACATAGCATATGGAGACTACTGTACACTCATTTGCTCCATGTAGGCTTTGTTTTGCTCTTGTCAAGACTGAGTATGTCTGTATAAAATCCATAAAACCATGAGCGTGTTTTCCCTCTTCTTTGATAAAGGTAACATTTCCATGAAAACAGGACAAGACGATGAGATAAATAGGAAAAATATCACAGAATACAGTTCTGATTCAACCACACAGGTTAGTTTCCTCAAAAACTTTTCGACACAAAAGATAAAATGATATTTCCACCGGGTGTGTGGAACCAGTGTGCAGAGATAAGACTAAGAAAACCTCCTCCATTAGGAACGCAGACTTTGTGGCCATGCAAACAGACTAATTCATCAGAAAATCTGTACCATTGGGATTGCCACTGCTCATTTTCTATGACATCTTCCTGTCTCGCTCCGTTACGCTAACAGAAAGGGAAACCACATCTTCCTGCCTTTGGTGTGTCACAGCACGTCACCAAAACACGTGTCGGAGCCCTGTGCTTTCTATTCTGCCGACTTGTCGGGGAGGCAGCGACGAAGAGATGTGACAAGTTCTTTTGTTAATTCTCTGTTTCTTTTAAAGGCTGCGAATGCCAGCTGCTGTGCTGGGAAACACAGAGACGAGACAGAGACGAGACAGCTCTGTTTAGCAGAATCAACACAAAGAGGTTGCACTTCTGAAAGAAATATGCAAATCTAGTCAGCGACAGAGTGGTGAGCTTGTAGACTCACTTATTTAGATTTTAACAGTTTTCATAACCTGGAACAACACTCTCACTTCCAGCTGATAATCCCCTGAACAATCATCTATTGTGCTGCTGAGTGTAACCTTACAATATAAGTCACTTCACGAGAACAAATGACATCATTCAGTACAACAAAATGACAACAAGTTTCATTTTCAGGCTTAGAAGGTGTTACTATAGTTCACTCAGTCCTGACTCATTTGATCTTTACAAGCATATGTCACCTTTGACCTTTTAAATATGAAGTAATGCTACAGCAGAACAGTCTACATAGTTGAGTCAACTAAAAGATGGCATTTGGCCAGTATCTCTATCAGCTGATAATAACCTCATGAAAGGTTATTGTGGATTTTCCAAGAGCGTGCAGACACTTTGCCTCCAAACCTTTAATTCAGGGCTTTTACAGTGACCACCCCCGCACTACTTTGGGCTTCTCTGCCTTATTCAAATAGGATTTGTGGAAACCCCTGGACACTGACTCATATTTTTGTGTGGGAGGTCGGGGATTCCGACGACCTTTCTGTTTTGGTCTCTCTCTGCAATGAAAAAAAAAGGAGCATTGCATAGCAAAGTTCCTCATTTTTGTGGTCTAACAGACCCAGAGCACTAAACACAACATGGAACAGCTTTAGCCTGTGTTAAAGAAAGCATGAAGTAGAAAAAAAAAGGGTTGTTACGTCACGCAATTAGCTTGTCTGGCATTGGTAAAAAGGGGAAACGAAAACAGGCAAAGCAGGGGTGGGGGTGTTAAGGGTTTCCCCACATGATGTCCCAACTTTTGGATTCACCCGAACCTTGTTTTCTTTCAGCGAAAACCGAGAAAGAGACAGAATGAGGTATCGTTCAACCATACACTGTAATAGAGACGTGTTTCAACTTAGGTTTCAATGATAATTGAATCACAATATCACGTTAAAATAAGCGGAGGACTGTCAGTCAGATTTTGAATCAAAAATCCTGAATAAAGTAAATGAAAGCCATTTAATGTTTTTAAGATGCATGTGTAATGCTGTTAGCTCATGAATTAAATTAGCCCTTTCATTACAACAATATAACTCACCTGAAGAATACAAATCAATTCAGAGAACAACATGGGTTATTTACTGTTAAAAATTATGTTTGTTTTTTTTTTTTTTAACAGACCAATCAGGCAAAACGTCTCAGTAAAGGTCTCATAACTGTTAAACTCTCCAGCATTGAGGTACATGAACACAGAAGATGCAAACAAACCAATGGCATCCATGGCCATAAATTACAAAATAAAAGCTCACAAACTCACATTTATCAAAGTGCATGTCAGAATCGATGTTGCCGTGAATTCTTCAACAGATCGTCCCTTCGGTTTTTGCTCCTTTTAAAAGCTGGATGAAATGATGACAACAGAGCTGGACAGATGAATGATGCTTCGCCTGTCTGGAGTGTTACTTGTCTGTTGCCTCTGACGCTTCTGCTTGTACACACACAGCACACCGTTCCTCATCACCAACCTCTACAAGTCCACGCCCTCCACCGAGAGGGGAAGCCACAGGCTCTCTGTTATTGTCAAACCACCAAACAAGAGCCGTCTGAAACATACAGCTGAGAAAAAAAAGAAAAAATCAGAGACATTCAGGGACAAACAGTTGATAGTTTTATAAAAAAAAAGTATTAAAAATATTTAAACAACACAAAAATTCATGACTGATACTGGGAGTGGATCATTCTTTTTTAAGAGGAATGCGTCTATGTTTTAAAAATAATGTATATCTATGTTTTTAATCCAAAATATGGTCCTACTGAAGGAAAAGAAGTACTGTATGTGAAAGTGCCTGTTATGCAGAGCAGCTATAATCACAATATTACAAGTACATAACAATTTAGTCCAAAACATGAAAATGTGGATCAAATTTGATGCTGTGTTACTGCTTAACAGTTTAATCTACAATAATGTAAGAAACTGTCTCAGATAATCTCATCTTTATGTTCTAAATATCTGAGGGTTTAGAAATAATTGTCATTTTTTAAAAATTTTTGCCACTGAAATCCAGAAAAGTTTAAAAGTTGTACAAGTTTTGAATGAGTACTTCGGTCAGTCCTTTGAATTTTATTAATTTTATTACCTGACTGAAAAGTTTTACAAGATAATGTAAACCGTATTAACCCTGCTTCCCCGTTGCTCTCCATATCAGTAAAAAGATATATTAATGCAACTTTGCTTGTAAACTGTTACAGTGACAAGACAAGGTCAAATACATGTTTCCATCGTTTTTTTTTTTAATCTCAAGTAAAACTTACTCAATATTATCAACGAACTCTCTGACTGTGTTAAAGGAAAGTAAGACTGGTCATATATTGAGGTAATATTCACAAATTAATCAAACTATCTTTAGCACTGAACAATGCACCTTTTTAGATGTATTTATTAACCAATATGGGATTTGAAGTGAGCTCCTCGTCTTTGTTTTGTATCCTTATAACCAGGACTTTGTTTCGTTTGTTGGACTCATAGATCTGTTCCCCCTGTCAACAAAAACTTTGGGTTTACTCATTTAGACACAGATGTACAGGAACATCCCTATCACCAAAAATCCCCACCATAAAAATCTTCGAGACAGAGGGTTGAATCCTCTTACTCAGATATTCAGTTTCTTTTTGCTCCATTAACACAACCAAACAACTGATAAGAGAGATCTGAAATGTGGGAAATTTCGGTAGCGTTGAACAAAAAGCAAAGGACCAGTGGAAGACGAGAAGTTAGCAACATCTCCCCCACAAAGCACTCAACGTAATAATTCAAAGATAAGGTATGTGATTTTGGAGAATGGTTTTGACTGTGACGGCCAAACAAACACATCTATCCCTTCAGTTTTCCTATAGAAGCTCCACCTCCAATCCTGAAACAGGAATTTCCAGGGAAGATCAGCTTCTGTTATACGTATATTTAAATCCTGAGTGGTGGCGGCCTCAGCTGAGTAACCTTCGATGACAGAGAGTCTCTGACATTGTAGCTCTGCTTTTTTAAGGGTTAAAGTTAATAGGCAGAGACAAAGTCCAGAGTTCAGTGCTACCTGTTGCTGAAGTGCTGGGATAGCATTGTTTCTCTGGGCTGTTTCCTTTTTTTCAGAGCCTTTGCACAAACACAAACTTTTTGTGGGAACTTCCAGTGAACTGTGACGAGTAATTAGTTAAATCTAAAAGTGTGTTACAAGTAGTTTAAATTCCACAGAAGGTTCAAATCAAGTTAACAAATAGAAATAGTGTGTTACATTCGGATTGTACACACATATAAATATACATACTATTTTTGAAATGATAAAACTGAGTGACTTTTAACACAAACTCCCTAAAAGCACAATTATGAACAGCTGTAAAGTGTGTTTTATAGATTTTTATAGATTAATTGTATCATGTATGTTATCTATTGTATAAGTTTGGCTCTTAGCATGGGCAATACATACAGTGTTAAAACAATCAACCCATGATGGCTGTTCAGCTTTTTTCATGGTTATGTTGTATAATGGGCATTGTATCAGTGGAGAGTGGATCATGCTTGAGAGCAAAAGAAAGACATTGAAAAAAAAAGTTCTAAATAAAATTTGTGAACTTGTCCACAGGAGATTCCCACTCTTAAGGGCATCAGTCTGCGGTGATAGATGTTGTCCATAAAAGGCTCAGAGCGCCATCTGCTGTTCAGAAGAATGAATCTTATCACAGACAAGGAAATGCTGAGCTGAACAGAAAGTAGTGGTGAATAAAGACAACTGTGTAATTTTTGATGTAATATTTGAGAAGTTAAAAGGAGACAAGATGGTGAGCATACTTATTTTACGTTAATTTGTTTAACCCTATTCAAAGATGTTGTTTGATATTTTTTCTCATGTAGTTCAAAGTTGAATGCTTCATGAGTTTGTTCTGTTCATTCGAGTCTTGCTATTGCCTATATGTAAAATGGCATTAACATAATTCATAGACACATTGACTTCTTCATCTTTTTATCATGTTGATCTTTGTCCTCTTAGCAGTAAATGAGGATGATACAGCTCATGTTCTACACCAGTGGTTTCACAGAAGACATGAATTTACTTGATGTAGGGAGTAAAAACTGTGTTTGTAGCAAGAACAACCACTCACACAATCACAGTTCTCTTCAAAAATTGGGTAATCTATCAAATATTGTCAGATGGATTTCGATTATTTTCAAATTTTTAATTGAAAGTTGTCCAAAGACAACATATCAAACATTGAAACAAACAAACAAACAAAAAATTTACGAAAAATAGATGCAATCATTTTCAAAAAAGTTAAGACATGGATCAACAAAACACAGGAAAAAATGTGCTTTGCTAAAAGAAACAAAAAAAAAAAGTCCTGACTTATTTGATTAATTGTCAACAGGTTGGTTATGGCTGGACTCTAGAGAGGCTGAAACTCTCAGAGGTAAAAATGAAAAGAGATTCAGTACCCTGTGAGAGACTGTATGAGTGCAATGATAGTAGAATAATAGACATCTGCATAAAACTGCAGAATATACATGGATTTTATTATAAAATCATTAAAAGATTCAGAGAGAAATCTCTGTTTATAAAAGACACTAAAGCTAAAACATGAAGGCAGGGATCTGTGAGCAGCACAAGTTTAAAAATAGACATGACTCTGTACTGGAAATTACTGCATGGGCATTATATATATATATATATAACATTTATATATAACTATGACTCAGAATTGTTGGTCATTTCTCTGCACCCCAGCCCGTTTAAGATGGATTGAAGCAAAGTGGGTATCTGTCCTACTATCTGAAGAATTACTATTTGACATATTTTTTGGAAGTCATGGACACTGTGTCCTCCACTCAGAGGAGACAGGCCATCTAGCTTGTTGTTAACGCACAATTCAAAGCCATCATCTCTGTTGGTATGGGGATGCATCAGGTCCTATTAAAGGTAACACATCTGAGACAGCACCATTAATGTTGAACAAAGGGAAGATATGCTGCCATCCATGAAGATTTTTTCAGGGAAGACGTGGATATTTCACAAAGAAATGCCACACCTCACTCAGCACAACTATTTTCCATCTTAACATTTGATGTTATCTTTACACTATTTTTTAATCGTTTACTTACGATCACATTCTGTTTTTATCAGCAATTTCCACAGGGTACCTTACTTTTTAGATGTGGATAGTTGTTGGCCTTTTCATAATTTCATGTCAGTGAAAAGTGCATTTAATTTTCATGGTTTGAAAGTAGAGGTCAGAGTTCAATACTATTTCCTCAGGGACTTTTCACAGTTTTCCTCTACAACATCCGTAATCCAGCAGATTATATTACCCTTATCATAAATCACCAGTTGACTCAGACAATCAGACAAGCAAGGTTTCCACCCAACACAGGAAGTAAGAAAATTTGACGTCAACACTCAAAAGTGAAACTCTGAGGAAACCATAGCCGTATTATCTATTGGGGTCCAAACAGCACATCAGCCGGGGGTAAGAGCAGGTATGACATTATACTTACTCACATTGACTTTGCCTACCCACTTTACCAATTACATGTCTGGTAAGGGACAATTTACGATTTTGTGTTTTAGATTGGAAATTCGTGAGCAGAATATATTCAGTGATAATTGCTGGTAAAAATGTAAATAACATTTCCTTTAATTGTAACAAATCTTAACAACAATAGTTTGAAAACTGTAAAAGTTTAATTTTCTGCCAATCTTTTGAATTCAATCTTTCTGTTATCTTTTGCTCTGAAATGACATTTTCATACTGATAGAAAAGCACCTACTTTAGTAGAGCTAATGGGGATCTTGGGTAAACAGACTTTGTTGAAACTATGTACCCAAACAGCTAGACTCATTTTAATATCTGATTAACTTTGACATGTAGAAACCATCTGTATTGACTTAAATTCTTAATTTTTTAAGGATGTAACACAAGACAAAGTTTGGTCTCATTTCCTTCTTCAGAGAACAAAAACTGAAGGGACAACCACGGAAATGGCGTGCAAAAATTTTCTAAACACTGCCCTCTTTTTTCTTTGTGGTAAGAGCATTTCTGTCTAAATTCTCTCCTTCCTGCACATAACCATTTGGGGGTCTTTTGCAGGAAATTTAAACCACAGTGTTGGTGTGCAACTGAAACTCAGCAAACAGAGGTGTTGCACTGACATCAATATTATAAAGTGGAACTGCTGATGTTGACATGTTTTTGTTTTTGTCTTTTCCCTTTTTAAAGGCCTGGCTGGGGCACTTGCAGGTATGTTCAACCAACATAAACTTTATATTTAGTCTTGAAAATGCCACCATTAAAAAAAACCCAAGCTTGATAATGACAAATTTTTTCCAGTAGGTCTTAGTTCACATCCTGCGTCCCACTCTTCTTTTCTGTCTGACTGGTTGTTAACCGTTTGTCTGTGTTTTTCAGACTGCAGTGTGTCTTGCTACAGAATAGAGCCGGGGACAATGGCGGGCATCATCAGCGCAGACGTGTTGCTGACTCTTATTATTGTCGTTGTCACCTACCGATATGCAAGCTCTCGGCGTCAGAGGATAGAAAATGGTAGGGCAACAGAACCAGAATGAATCATACGCCACAAAATGTGCAAGAATAAACCCTTTGGAAATCAAATGTTTCTCAGTTCTTGGTCCCCTAAAGCCCTTTAAGATATCACCATGACATCAAACTCCTGTTTTATTTTGATACACAGATTGTTCCTTTAAACATTTAGGCTTTTTTGGTTTACTTTTGTAAAACTTATTGACCTTTTTGTGTTTTTATTATCACACCACACCTGTTAAATGCCTTTAATGTCTCTCTCTCTCTCTCTCTCTCTCTCTCTCTCTTGTTCTTCTCTGTCTTTTAATGCCTTTCTTTTTATCTCTTCACAGCTAACAAAGTGTACATGAACGTCCGGGCCAACTGTAAGAGCTAAACCAAAAATGGAGCTGTATGTGAATTAATTTTTCTAACCGTGTTGTTCAAAAATATATATGAAAAAAAAAAACTTGACTATGGAGCTTTATTCTTTTGAAATAAATGTTTTCAACCGGCAAAATTTCTCTTTTCTTGTCACACATGTAATGAATAGAGTCACGGACATATAGATAGATGTAATTAAACTATTTTGGCATTACATACAATGTATTGTGATCTTTTACTATTTTAATTTTTTCTTAATTCAACATTTATGACATGAACTCATCACACTTTATGAAAGGCTTTTTACATTAGACTTCAAAATTTACTTGTGTTCTGAAACTATCCGTGAAAATTTAGAAAAGACAAATTTTGACTTGGTTTTTCAGACTTTAAGAGATATGTTAAAAACATGTCAAAAATTTTGCAGATAAAATATCTTTAAATATCATGTCATCACCGTCTGCAGGTGACTTTTTGTTGTGAAATCCCAGGATGTTGTGGACCTGAGGATCATGTGTTAATATGATCAGTGCTTACAGCTGTTTTGATATGGGTGGTTTTAAACAATAAAGGAAAGTCCCAGTAAGTCCATGAATAGTGATATTGATAGAATTACAAGCTTTCATGTTAAGTAAATCAAAACTGATCACTCACAACAAGGCAAATAATATTTTTCCAGTATTCACCTGATACTGCTTATTGTGTATGGATATGTTCCTTTAATGCGTTCGATGACTCTGAAAGCACTTCATTTCTTCTGTTTTGCTCAAATGGCAGCATTTGAGCTGTGTGACTACTACTGAGATCTGGGGCAGATTATGAAGTTAGAAGTTGGTCTGTGTGTTAAAATGAGCTTGTGGTTAAATAGCTGCACTGTTTCAAACACAACAATGTTGGTCAAAGGGATATCTCTGTATTATCTGTCAAATCTCCCTCGTGTACAAGTGCACAGTGTTTTTTCAAGTCACTGACAGGAGCCGCTCTGTCTCTATATTGATATAAAATCAAATTGTTTAGAGATCACTCCAACTTGAACTGTTTTTGTTTGTTTGTTTGTTTTTAAGAATTTATGAAATTGACCTTCTATTAACAAGACTCCTTCTTGAGTCCAGTTCACTCCCAAATGTACAGGTACTAATAAGAAAAAAAATCAAGGGAAAAACTGGCTGGGGTCATTTTAAGTGTGAGGACATCTATATAACAATGCCTCTAGCATCTAAAATAGTACACCATTAATGAAAAGTATTATTATGGTTTTTTTTTAATCAGCCTCTTAACTGGGTTTTTTCAGAACCCCTGAGATCAAACATTAGAATAAATGCTACGAAAAGGGTTTTACACGGCATTGCAACTAAAAAAAAATTATAATTATACGATTAATAATACCACTAAAGTTACTACAAGTCACAAACTTTAAAAAACGTTTCTAGGACAAAAATCTGATTTCACGAATGAATAATTGCATTTTGAATGAACGAGTTTTGTTACTGAAAGAGAGGATACACTTGTTTGCCAAGCAGTTTGTTTGCTTACTTTCAGCATTGTTTTAAACATTATATTATACAAGACTTCTTTTATGAAGCTGATCATTTACAAAAGCACTGACAGTCTTTTATATTTTTTAACGTGTAAATAAGTCTTCTTTTTAAAATTGTCAGTGAAGGTGTGCTTTCATTTCACTGACAGTAAAGATCAGTAGATATTCAAGCCTGTGGTTAAACAGTAGCCTTCACTAGATAGCAATGACTGTGGCCATCCGCCCACTCTAAACCTTAGGTTAAGGAAATGCTCAGTGTGAAGATATAATCATTTATATTTCTGCTGAAGCTGCTGAAGCAATGCAACTGACTTAAAACCAACTCCTTATCATGGCATCAGTGAGAAAGGCTTTCTGGAACTATCAAAAGTTGTGTTTTAAAGTTCAGAAAATCTCAAAGTGACATATTTATGAAACTCACCAGCCTTACGTGATTGTGCGAGAGGAACCAGGCAATTTATCTTCCCCTTCTTGAAGTGGACACCTCCTTCCTCCTTCTCCTAACAGGGTCACATGCTGACACCTCTCACACACTACAGTAGCCAGTTTTTTTTTATTTTTCATAGGTGTGAAAACACACACATCTGAAAACGAGGAGAAAGATTGGTGGCCATAAACCTCAGCTTCTCATTTCACTTTTTGCCAGCAACCAACACTGAGAAAATGTCTGACGCTCTGTGTATCACGGGTTCCTTTTTTGGTGAGTTGTCTGTTAGCAATAATAACAACACAACAGTAACTATGAGGTTTCATACATTATTTTTATTCTTCCAGGATCTGCAGGAGAAAAGCAAGGTATGTATTTCCCCTCACAATTTTTACCTCCTGCAGTATGTGGAAAGATGTCTCGTATTCTTCTCAGGACAACAACCCTATGTGTCTTTTTCACAGACTGTGAATCCTGTTACATGATAAACATAGGCTCTGTCATTGGCATTATTGCCTTTGATATCATCTTGACCATCCTCATCGGTATAACGGTATTCTGCTTGGCCTCTCACCAGAGACAGAGGAGAGAGACAGATTCACAGGAGGGTGAGTTGTGTGTGTTATAGCTAAGTAAAGGTGACATAGCCAAGGGGTAACTTAACTTTTTAAAAATATGTTACAGGGAAAAGGAGCCAATCATCATTATCAAAGAAAATAGCAACTGAGGTCACAGAATCTCCCTACCAGGTAAAGCAGAACTAAACCATCCTCTTGCTGCTGCTGCTGCTAGGACACTAAAAATGTTAAAGGTTTTCAATTTTGTTTGGAGATTAAATTTTGTAATGCTTTGCTTATTTTGTTTAAGGAGTTAGATGGAGTCCAGTCGGACGTGTACAGTGAGCTGCAGGAGTTCAGAAGATGAAACCACAGATCATGAGTAAAATCTCATTTATGTCTTCAATGTCACTATTATATTAATTATTATATTATTATTATATAAGCTGAGTGAAAAACTGACAAAAATGTTCAGGTACTTGCCACAGTAGTTGTGCATAAAAAGCGTATATTTTGATGTATGTTGTATGCCAGTATTTTCTATTTTATTTACGGAGTACTGTATTTTGTTAAAAAAGATTTTTGTTGTATGTCTTCTTTGGAAATTACGACGAGGCAAAATTTTGCTTTTACTGTATATTTAATTTACAATTGAAGAAAAGAACAACAGACATTTTCTCTGTTTTTGTATTTATATTTTAGGAGATTGCCATCACAATTTAAAGATACATGAAATGCTAGTGAGTAAAACAAGCCTTAAAATCACGCCATTTATCACAATGCAGTGGTTTACTCTTCTTAACAACTTTTCATGAGCAAAACTGACCTATTATGACAACTTTGTTTCTTACATTTGTTCCACAGGATCACATCACAAAAAACATTTAAATGTCTAAATTTGGGTTAAAAAGTCCCCTAAGGAACTGTCTTTGGAAGCAACATTCATGCCTCCTATGATTCAACAGATGATGGCTCTTGACTCATAATAAGGAAGAAAGGGAACTTGAAAAAGGGAGCAAAGGGGTATTCAACATTAACTGAATTCAGTGTCAAAGCTAGGTCCAGGAAATCACTTCATTTTACAATCAGATAAGGATGGAGAGTAAACTAATCTAAATGTGCATTGTGTATTAAGAAAAAATAACTGCATGCTGCAGAGTTGCTCCTGCAGATGAAAAAAAAAAACGTTGCCTGATTCAGAGGAAACAAACTGGATTGATCAGGATGCTTTGCTTTTTGCTGGAATAGACAAGCCACTGGGTATGTTCCCCGGAGATGCTGAAACACACATAAAAAAAAGAGGATCAAGCTGTGACAGAGCTTTTCAGGCAGGGGTCAGTGAAATCAAATTTAGCTACATTCACTAATTATCACAGCTCTTACCAACTGGATTAACTTCAGAGCTGATCACTTCTTTGGTTTCTGTTAAGATATTAAAAGTGATTGTTTAGCCTTAGTCTTCCCACAGTTGTATGTCATAAAAAGTATCTCGTCTTACCGTCATAGTCTGTGTTTCCTCTGTTGCCTGCTGGAGCAGGTCTACCATTGTTCTCCTCTAGACTGTCAGGATCCTGCACCTCTCTACGCCGACCCGGGGCTGACAGGCTGTTTAACCCATTAACTCTTGGCGAAGGAGCCCATCTCCTGAGGTTGGTGCCCTGACTGACGCCATCATTCACTTGCTCTCCACTCAAATTAACCAAATCACGGGCACCCACTGTTAGCCCTTCCTGGCTGTTAAGGTCGATCTGTTCTACGCTGGCTCGATGTGCTTCAGCAGGCCCAGGGTGCTCTCTGCTCCCCAGATCCTGAACTGGTCTGCTGCTAACATCCTTCAGCCCAGTATTGTTTGTGTTTGTGCCTCCTGTTCTTCTCTGTGAAGGACCTTTCTCCATGACCGCAGGATTCATGGCCTCATGGCTATCAGGGTCTTTGACTGAATCTGGACACAGAACAATTTATTGATACAATATCCTTTTTCATGTATCATTTCAATTATCAAAGTGTGTATCGGACAGTTTTTGAAATCCTAGCAATGTATTTTACGGAAATAAATTAGTTTTCCATGTACTTTACATTTAAAGCCCACATACCTGCATATCCATTAGTACCAAACCTCTCTCTGGATTTTGCCTCTGAATTATCTGTGAATGAAAAAGATGCTTATTAATAACCAATCAACAGCTGGTGTGTACTCTGATATGTAACTCAAAATGTAAATACTAATCTGTTATGATTATTTCAGAAGACAAAAACTGTAAAATGTACCTGCAGACACTTGCTCTTTCTCGGGATCAGTTGGAGTGATTTTAATGGCTGCTGAATAGATAGAGAATATGGTGATGAAGCATTGAGATAGTAGGAATGATCCCAAATGTAAAAGGCTTTGATACAGAAAATTCCTGAAGTATCAACTTCTTCAAAGAAACCCCAATACTATGAATATCTTTAAACTTTTTTCCCCTCTTGATTTATACACTTCACATCTCTTTTTATGGGGAACAAAAACTACTTTAAGAATCTGATGAGATAAGTTGTCCAAGTGGGATGTAACCTGACCTGCTGATTCAAAAATAATAAAAAATGATCTCAGCACATTTACTGGCTTTGATTTGAACCACAAACCTGATGAAGTTGCATGTATGGTCCTTGCAGTGGTCGTGTCATGTGCATCTAAATAAATAGTTAAAGATCATCAGTTAGACGTTCACATGACTTACATACACAGATTCACGGATTTCGAGGTAACAGAGTTGACAAACAAAAAGAGCACTTACTCTCTAGAAAGCTCAACACGTTTTCTCTTCGGACTGGAAAGAAATAAAAAAAAGAAAAAGTGTCCTTGGGTTATCTTATTCAAATATCCTTGATCATAAACAACAGAATTTGACCATCCTTAAAGGCACATTTCATGATTTTTCTTTTACATCTTTAGATCAATACCTCTTATAGGGGCAGTTGACACCAGAGCTGCAACCGGAAGAAATATACATACTAATCTGGCACAAATGAATAAAAAAATAAAAATGTTAATACAAAGTTTACACTTGTAGCTACTTTAAAATGTGTTGCATCAATAAATCTTGGAAAGTCAAAGATGTAAATGGACAGACTGGTAAAATCAAAAACTTACATTTTCATTGTTGATTTTGGCCCCCGGCTCTGTCCGCTGTCTGTTGTAGAGAGCTCTGTGGCTTTTATCTGCTCTCTTTACCTTTAAAAAGTCCTGACCTCTAATTATAGGCTATTGAGAAAACTATCAGATTGAGTTGAAGTGAAAGACTATAGTCTGTATGTTTAACAGTGCATGACTTGGTGGCAGGGGAGCAACAATTAGCTACAGGAAGAGTTTACAAGGGCCCATTCATAATTTGAAATCAATATAATAAACAAAGGTTCCCAACATTGAAACACAGAAAGGATAAGTCCCTCTTTCTGTCATGTATTTACCGCAGGTGGTTGTTAACTTTGGGAAGATGCCTCTGGCTTTTTCTGTGACTGAGGTAGCCACAGAACATGCATTGTTTTCTGTATTTCCCCATTGTTCAGGTGGGTGAACTCTATATTTTACCCAGACAAAGACCTTTAAAAAACAGGCCTTACTGAGCATTTGTCCAGAAATGCCTCTTGGTAAAATTACAGTACAAGAGTGCACGAATCAGGTGATGGAAAGCAATGTTTTTACATTATCATTTACAATCATGTGAGTATCCATTTATTATATTAACTAAAATCATGTAAGCGCATTGAAAACTTTTGGGCTCAACAGTGTTAGATCAGCACATCAGGTGACCTCAGAGATACCACAATTGATGTATAAAACAAATTTAAAATGTTCCTATTGTTCTGAACACAATTCTAATGAAACTTATGACAGACTCAATTCACATTCAAGAGTGAGAAATGTTTTTTGGAAATAAATGTCTAACCCCTGCAGCCATGTGCTTCTAACCTTCACAGGCTCCATGAATTGATGCCCATCTCCTAAATATTTGGAAACATGATCAATTTCTTTGACCATTTCCAAGCAACAGGAGGTGGTTCAACTGACCCTTTGGCTCAACTTACCCTTTGGCTCAACATACCCCACTCTCCCCTTCACATGTTTCTGGACAAAATGACTAAAAGGTGGCCTGTAGGGTAGATTCTCGTGAAAAGAACAATACTAAACTAAAAACAGGGGTTACTCTTACTCTATGTTACTGAAAAAACACATTGTTTAAATTCAGAAATAAAACAGATAAAACTTCAAACCTGTTGGTGAAAGAGGGAGCTGCAGTCCTCCCACATGAAAGAAAAAAGGAGAGCGCCCCCTGCAGGAGAGGCTACTCGCACTAAGCTCTTGATCCCAAGCATCGCCATATTGACGTCCCAACAACGCTGAGAGGTAATCGTGTTATTTAAGCACAATTCGTTGTATAATATGAACTACTGTTGATCGATTTACACGCGTGGAGAAGCCGAGAACCAGTTACACATCCGCGCTGCTATTCTGCTGCTCGATCAAAGTGTTTGTGGGCTGTTTTTTCAAGGCGTTGTCAGCCAGTTGCCTCGCCAGCCAGCAGGCTATTCACTCCCTTAGCATGTTAGCTTAGCACTTTCTAGCTTTAGGAAATATCTTTTTCGAAGCCGGTTGAAAGGGTCCACGTTGATAAAGACCGGTTTCTCGTTGTTGAGGATATTTTGACGGGAGCACATTATTCCTCCGTACACAGTCTCACAGCGTGGTCGAGGGCTAGTTGTGACTTTCCAGCCGGCTTTTCCCTCTGTTGATGAGCTAATGCTAACTAGCTAGCCGCCGAACCAGCTGCCCGGTTAGCGTGCTAGCTTACTGTTAGCTGCACTTTTACAGGCCTTGGGCCACAGAGGGTTTGCGCGTACGTTCATCTTTTCATTAAATTACTTAGCGGGCAAACTTGCTAGAACTTAACTACTGTTCAGTGCTGTGTGAGCATTAGTCGATCGTTTGTGCCTCTGTAACTCATTTGTTTTACTCTAAACTGCCTAGCTGAATTGGCCGGAATACGTGAGCTCACACAGTTTGCTTAATTTGACAGCATTGATTTAAATCAACCTACTTTCTACCTTTTTATTTTTTCTTTACAGGAGATACTGCCTTGGTGTAGCCCCCAGTGATGACTGTATTGAACCCTGTACCTCCTGATTGAACTGTTTGGATGCCCCCATTTAACTCTCAGGTTGCTACATTTCACACGCCAAAACATTTACAGACATCAAATGTTGTGTATAAATTTAAAATTAGCTCTGCCTGTGCCATTTCACTGGTAACATATGCCACCATTGCTATAATGCAGCTTAACCACGATAAAAATTAATTTGAAATCACTTCATTTTGATCAATATACATTATGAAATACTTAAAAGCTTAAGGGATGAAAGGACTGATTTAACATCACTCAGAATTTTTTATATAATAGAAGTCTAACATTTAATGTTGCTCTGATACTGATGGCTGGATATAAGTCGGCTAATTATGTGCTTTTATTTATGTGTTTGTAGATTTCTTACCATAAAGGCATCTCAGTTGCTCCTGTTCTAATTCATCTGTCATCATCATCCTGGAGGAAGCCTCCCAGGTATTGTGAGGTCTTGTAATACATTTACCTCATATCACCTGTTTTAGCTGTATGACATCCTCATGCACAAGCAGTTTGAGTTTACAGTAGTTTACTTTTTTTTATTGAAAGGATGTTTTTTTCTAGTTGGTTTCTGGTTTATTTTTTATATGTTTTGACACAACTTATTGATTGTGGTTTTCTTGTCACATTTTTCAGGGGATATAGAGAAGATCTTGTGTAGAATATGTCTGGCCCTGTTCCAAGTCGTTCTCGAGTTTACCCTGATGTAAACACACAGAGACCTCGAGAATACTGGGACTATGAGTCCCATGTTGTAGAATGGGGGTAAGTGGACCTTTTTCTTGTTTTGATTGATTGAGATTGTTCAATCAAATATCAAATCAAATCAAATTCAATCAAATATACATACAGTACAATTTTAGACAAGAAATTCCTTATTCTTTGGAGATCAAAAAGGAGTAGGTTAAAGCTATTTAGCTTATATGTACCTACCCTCATTCCTTCCTATTTGTTTACCCTTTACATGTCTTTAGAAATTTCTGATGTTGCCAAAAAGTAACCAAAGCTCCAAAGTCTAACATGAACATATAACTAATCATTAATACTAAAACAAAGACCTTATATATTCACATCCATACCTATATACACTTTATATATATATACCTAGAATACTTCAAATCTCTCATGTGTACCATACCCATGTACAAGATAGTAAGTGTGGCAAAACGAAAATCACTTTTGTATGTATTTTTCAATCATACTCTGCTTCAATTTACTTTTAATTTTGGTTTTACTTTGTTTGGTAATATATGTCTGCATTAATAATTTTGTATTTCCAAATAGGAACCAAGATGACTATCAGCTTGTCAGAAAACTAGGGAGAGGAAAATATAGTGAAGTGTTTGAAGCCATAAACATCACAAACAACGAGAAAGTGGTCGTCAAAATACTCAAGGTACGGAATCAATCAATTTATCAGTTTGTATGGCAAACACCTTGCTGTAAACAAGATTGGAAATTGGATATATAAGTGAAGATTTTTTATGTATGTCTAAAACATCTGTCCACAGCCTGTCAAGAAAAAGAAAATCAAGAGAGAAATAAAGATCCTGGAGAATTTGAGGGGTGGCCCTAATATCATCTCACTGTTAGATATCGTCAAGGATCCTGTGGTAATTTGATTATCTTTTGTTGATGATTATACCGTTGGACTTCTTAATGCAAAAACATAAATATATTCCCTTTTTTTTGTAGTCCCGAACCCCTGCTTTGGTCTTTGAACATGTGAACAACACAGACTTCAAGGTAAAGATCTGCTCTTTTTGATGCAAAAAGACACTAAAACCAAACAGTTTCCCCCCGTCATGGCTCATACATTTTTCTTACTTTTGCAGCAATTGTATCAAACCCTATCAGACTTCGACATACGGTTCTACATGTACGAAATCTTAAAGGTAAGGCTTGGCTAATGTCACTCTTAATTTATAACACATTGAGCATTTTGAGCATACTCTGGATGTGATTTTTCTGTTGTTTTTGATTCAATAGGCCCTGGATTACTGCCACAGTATGGGGATAATGCACAGAGATGTCAAGCCACACAATGTCATGATAGACCATGAACACAGAAAGGTATTATCTCACATGACTATTTGCTTACATGTTTTTTTTTTGTGCTGTAACTTGGCTCATCAAATTTTCTTTAAATGCATTCAACCTGATTTTTCTCCATTAAAGCTTCGTCTAATCGACTGGGGTTTGGCAGAGTTCTACCACCCAAACCAGGAGTACAACGTGAGAGTGGCATCCAGGTACTTCAAAGGACCTGAGCTGCTGGTAGACTACCAGGTGAGGCTTTTGTACTGTTTCCTGACATGTTTCCATGCTAGTTACAACTTGGTGAAAGGATAATTCAGTTCCTCCCTCTCCGTGTCATTTAAAGATGTATGACTACAGCTTGGACATGTGGAGTTTGGGTTGCATGCTTGCAAGCATGATCTTCAGAAAGGAACCTTTCTTTCATGGTCATGACAACTACGATCAGGTATGTAAAATCAATGTTAGTGGTTTCTAGATGAACTCTGGCAAACCACTCTCTTTATACTCCCAGACACAACAGCTCTGCTGGTGAAAATTAGATTTTTATATTGTGAGGGTACAAGGACATTTTTTGTTACATTTTTTCAGTTTAGTCTTAAGAGAAACAAACAAAAAAAGGAAAAAATATGAAGTAGTTCAAGGACTTGACCAGTGGACACAGACTTTAACTTGTCAAGCTCACTGATGGAGTCATGTGCTGCAGATTTTTTCTGTTGGTCATCTGTTGAATTGAACACGTCATTTTCAGCATAAGTGGTGGCTTTTGGAGCCATCTGTAAGCCTGGTAGACTGTTAATTGTTTTTTTTTTTCATCAAAATAAAACCAAATTAGACCTGGAATAGTTGGCTTCCATCATATAAACAATGACCCTGATAAATATGAACAATAAAACAAAGGTAGCTTGACTAGTTCAAGAATACTGGCTGCTTCAGATACTTTGTGATTTTAGGTATGGTTCAATGTTAATGTTTTTGTCATTTCCATCATTTTTCATGATTCACCTCATGCCATGTGCCACTACCCTGTTGCCTCCTTCACTTAAACTTCGTTTTTTTGTATATTTATAGAAAAAAAATCAACCTTTTCATCATAAAATCTAAATTTTGTGTCTTGCAACCTGCAGCTTGTGCGAATCGCAAAAGTACTCGGCACTGAGGACCTGTACGACTACATTGACAAGTACAACATTGAACTGGATCCTCGGTTCAATGACATTCTTGGAAGGTAAACAGTCAAACTTACAAAAAAAAATTGTAGTAGACTTTTCTCTTGGATAATGGTAAGAAGCATATATTGAACATTACTCTAATTGTGAATTCCCTGTATTGACTATTGGCCCTTGCTTTGTCCTCAGACACTCTCGCAAAAGGTGGGAGAGGTTTGTGCACAGTGAGAACCAGCACCTGGTCAGCACAGAGGCTCTAGACTTCCTTGACAAACTGCTGCGCTATGACCATCAAGCCCGCCTCACAGCCAGAGAGGCCATGGATCATCCCTACTTCTGTTAGTGTACTCTCCTTATTTTTATCACCCATTTTGCATCTCTTTAGTATTTGCATGAGTAAACTGCTACAAGCCCAAATTTGAGTGTGCTATGTAAAGTTGCTTGGTTACTTAAACATGACTTGCATTCGTGAGGTGCTCAAATCCACTTTTGTTCTCAGATCCCATCGTGAAAGATCAGGGAAGAGGGGCCACTCCTGGAGGCATGGCTGCAAGCTCCACACCAGTCAGTTCCTCAAGTATGATGGCTGGTAAGTGACCCTGCTTTAGTCTACAATTTCAGATTCTCTTATCAACCTTACTGTAAAGTTATATCCAATATGAAGTACTCTGGCTAGCCTCACCAGATACATTTCCAAATGTCCACAAGTCTGGGACCACTCAGTCCCTTTTCTTTCACGTGTTAGGCCTAGAGACAAATCAGATAAAATGGAACACTGTTATGTTCAAACGTTATGTATGACCTGATTTAGGAGGAACTTTGCATATCTCGATAACAAAACAGTCCAACATTTTGAAAATGGACCGGTAAAAGAGAGATATGGTCAGATTATATGAATATGGATTCAGTTCAAAACATAATTTGACTGCTTCTTTGGTAGCAATCAAAGTTATAACTGTCAATCAAAATTATCATGACATAAGATCATGTAAATATGACCCATTTCCCCTACGATGAATAACTCGCCCTCTTGTGTTTCCCAGGCATCACCTCAATGTCCTCCTCACAGCCACTGGCTAACATTGCTGGATCACCCGTCATCTCTGCTCCTAACACTCTGGCCACACAAGTCCCTGCAGCCACTGGGGCCCAACCCTGAAGCCACTTCCTTACCTGTGTTTCTGTGTGCTCATGGCCGTGTCCTGCCTAGCTGTCACTGCGGCCGGGGCCATGGCTTCCCTTTTTATGTTGAGAAATAACAAAGACGAAGATAAAATTGCTTTTCACATTCAGTTATATTTTGACACCTGGACTTGACAGAAATGTATTGTTGCACCTGTCAGGATTATTAGAATAAATTTGGGTGTGTTATTTGACAATGCCATTGTCTAGAAATTCTAATAAGATGTAGACATGAAGAGAATGGATAATAAAATTTATTTTGTATGTTCCAAATATACAGTCTTGCTTGAAACTGTTTGATGGGGATCCTGCTGTATTACACTGTGAACCTTTACACGACTTCACATAACAGAGTCAGGAATCTGGTGTGCCCCACCTTACAGTGCCCGCTGGTTGCACACGATGTAATGTGCAGGAGTTGTTGGTGTTTTGAAGTTGTTAGATGCTATAATTCTTTAATTGGACTTTTGTAGATATTCTACAGTTACTGTCAGGTTGCATGCACCCAATGCTGAATATCACAGGGTCAATAGTTTGCCAATTTTATGTTACTTTCACTTCTATATGTGTATGTATGTGTTCATGTTTGTTTTTTATGAAGTCTCTTACACATGATTTTGATTACATAGACAATTTTGTAACTTTTGTTTTCTGTTGGGAGGAGTCATCACCTACAAAAACAACTTCAAAAATAAACAATTTAAACAGGGGTGTGCAGCCACTACATGTTATTGAGTATACCATCTGCTGACTGGTTGCATTGATAATATGTGAGTGAATTTAAGGCAGACCATTACACTGTATATCTCCAAAAAAACTGAATTCTACGGCTTCTTAGCCCTGAGTTCATTCAGCTATATCCCAGACACACACTCGCGCTAACTTTGGAAATACGAAACAACTGTGTTAAAATTTCTACTGTGCAGTGAAGTAAGTAAAAATTTGAGAGGAGCTGTGAGCTAAAACACGGCACACTTCGTTGACCACCATATCAGTGGGATGGAAGATTCATGCTGAAAAGCTGCCACAAATCAGACAGTACCCTACATGACCCGAGTTGTCCTCAGACATTTAAAGTAAATAAAACGTTATCTATTTTTTAAGAGGTCAAAGGTCAGACACATCAGACAAATACAACAAAAGTTACCCATGTACGCTTCTTTAAATGACATGTACTGACTACTACACCCACAAAAAACATCACAGTCCCTCTGCTCCACTCACTCACACCTCCTCTTCACTCCCAGAACCAAATTAAGGACAATGGAAGATAGGGCCTTCTGTGCTGCTGCCCCACACCCTCCCTGACACCCTGAGGGCACCACAACCCACTAACAGTTTTAAAAAAGGACTCAAAACCTTCCCTTTTAGCAGAACTTTTGGTCCCTCATCATAGATTCTTATCTTGCTTTTAGTCTTTTAATAAGATTTTTTTTTTAAATCCAATATCCTGTTTTTGTATTCCTTTACTGTAAAATGTCTTTGCTTTCAAGATGTAGCCCTTTAAGGTTGCTCGATCCAAAGGGCACTACAAATAAAATGTATTATTATCATTACTTATTTATTATTACTATGACCTTAAAAAGTACAGTGAAAATAGGTGTGTGGAGCAGACTAAATCCAGAACAGTAGTGCGAACAATTGGGACTGTCGCATTAAAGCTGTTGATGGATGTCATTTGGCTCCGGGTGAAGAGCCTCCCACTGTTCAGAATCATGAGTAGTTCAGGTACGTCCCGCATGGTGGAAATCATAAAAGCTTAGAGAAATGTACTGCTTCCAAGTGCATTAGCGGGATATGCGTATTGATGCAACAATTTAAATCTTTTCCTTGTTTTAACTGATAAATTAAGAGACGGACATAGAGCGTATCTCAATAAAATAACAACTTTTATTAGGCTAGGTTTACCGTAAACCAACCTGCCGTATTGCGGATGTGGAAAACGCATGCTTTTGAGTAACAACATGTTTAAAAAATATTTCATTGACTTCCAAAGACGATGAATATTCCCAATTATCGGAAAGCTCCAATAATGTCTACGCATATTTTTAACAACATTAATGATCTGCCGCTGTCCTTATTTTTGTCCCCTTATTTCGGATGTTCATGAAGTTCATGAAGGCATCATCGGTCTCGCCCGCTTGGCACTCTTCGGGCTGCAGAGATAGTCCGACACTTTAAAGCTGTTGGTGGAATTAGTTCGCTGTGACTCCAAAATGGGAAAGTTAGTCTGGATCTCGATTGTAGTGGCAGGTCTTTCGGTGTTTTTTGGCGAGAGGGTTATCAACTTCAGGTACTAAAAGGGAGGCGCTGCCCGTTATCGTGAAAACAATCCTGCTGTGTTTAGTTGTGTTTTTAGTGTAAGTTTCGAAGTTTCTGCTTCACTGTGACTTTTGCGTTTCAAACATTGCAGGAAAAGAGTCCTCGCTACAAGAGAGGTGGACAACAATCACCTCCCGAACTGCTCTCCGCTGAAAAACTTGGGTATGTTTCGCTAGAAGAAAATGCAATGAATGGTTGAAGGGGGACAGGGAAAGTAACTGCAGTTTTTGTACTTTCAGATCATGGCTCCGAGGATATCACGATCCTTGGTAATGGGCTTGCCTTTATCAGCACTGTAAGTATTTGAATTGACAGAAAGCCAATGCATGCATGTGACAATTTGGTGGGGCACAGAAAATAAAGTAAACATGATGATCTGGTGATTTAAGTACACTTATTATCCTAACTTGGTTATTATACGTGTTCAGTTCAGTCGGTGCTTCTGTTTCAAACTTGCGCAGCTGTATGCTGTTGTAATTTCATTTTTCATTAATTCAGAAATTATTTCCTCAATCATGAGTTTGCACCAATTACCTTGTGAGTTGCATATCTTTCTTCATGCATGAGTTAGTATTTTTTTTTTTTTGTTTGATTTTCTTCCACATACTTGGTTCTTAAAACTTAATCCTTGTCCTCATTCAGATCTTTCAGAATTTGAAAATAGTAGACATATATTAAACATCCCCTGTATTGATCTATCAAGATTTAAGAAACAATCTTTAAGCCCTCCTAAACTGCATGAACAGGTTCATCTGCTTTGTCTTTAAGTCTACTTGGCCAGCAAAAGAACCTCCTGTACAGAGGTTATGGCACTAAGAATGGCCTGAATATCTTATTCACTTAACCTGTTTAAAGGCTGTTCTTATTTTCATTATGATAATGGTGTCAATGTCAGGGTTTATTTTGCAGGATTTTTATTGTCTATTACATAATCTTTATTTCTTGAAATACCAAGGGTCTGCACTATCCTGGATTACCAAACTCAGAAGCACTCGGGAAGATTTTTGTTCTTGACATGAATGATTCCCGACTGAAGCCAGTGGAGCTCCGCATGCCAAGGAACTTTGATCTGGAGTCCTTTAACCCTCATGGCATCAGTGTATATATCGATCCAAGTGGTAAAAAGATTTACATATATACGGTTTTATATAACACACACACAAGTCTCTACAAGATAGCACCTTAAGGGGGTAAACCCTGCTCAGTGGGTTTCTTTTACTTGTACATTTTGAACCAGATTCAGCAGTTTTTTCATTTATCAGATAAGACTATCATATGTCAAAATTGCACGTACACTGAGCAGCAGAAAAGAAAACTTTAAATGTGTTTTATTTTTGCTGGTTTTGCATGAACACCTGTGTGTGTAGAGCATGCAGACAATCCTGTTGTGAAAATAAATCTTTTAGGTACTGTGGAAGTAGCAGTGTTATTCAAAATGATATGTTGTTTGAATATGCATGTCAGTTTCCTTTTTATTATACCAATGCTTGAACAGCAAGTTGTCATAAAATGCATACACCTTTAGAGTCACCTTTAGTGTCACCTTAAGACCAACTACCTCTGACCCATTTTGTTAACACTGCTTTTATTGTTTCTTGTCAGATGATACAATATACCTCTTTGTTGTGAATCACCCTGAACACAAAAGCCAAGTAGAGCTGTTTACGTTCGTCGAGGAAGACTTCTCACTGGTCTATCAGAAAACCATCAAGCATGAACTTCTCCACAGGTACAGTATATGAAATCTCCAGTGAGGAGATTTTTTGACTTTTATGAAAAAGACTGAAATTCATATGCCTTATTATGATATACAAGAGCAGAAAAGACCAACAGTGACAAGACTGATACATTTTACACTGTAATTTTTCATGCATTAGACTGATGTGGGAGGGAAGGTGTCAGTCAAGTAGCTAAAGAAACCGCCCTTTTCCCTTTTTTTATCTTCTACATAAAAAGCTCAAAATAAATGGAAGATTTGACAGTCAAAAGTCATCTATATATATATACATATATATATATATATATATATATATATATATATATATATATAATTATATTATTATTATTTTTTTTTTGGTCAGGAAACACAATTTAAACATGTATAGAACAAGACACTTAAAGGCTGGTTCGTCCAAAATTGACTCGAACTAAAGGTTCCCCATTGGAGCTTTAAATAGAGAGACATGGTCAGTCAAGAGCATTATTATTATTATTATTATTATTATTTTATTTATTTATTTTTTATTGTTATTATTATTATTATTATTATTATTATTAGTAGTAGTAGTAGTAGTAGTATCATACATGATGGTCATTTCCTGATCTCATACCTAAGGTAGAGAGCTCAGGTGCTGGTATAACACTGCACTGCTGTCATCTAGATTTTCAGACCATTTGGGGATTTGGGGAATCTGCAATAAAATTAAGCAGGGAGTAAAAATCTGAAGCCGTAATCCAGAGAAAAGTCAGACGATGCATACGCTGTTATGAGACAGTGGTTATTGCTGGCGTATAACCACTGTCCTGCCAATACTGAAGTTAGATAGTTTTCGCAATCAAAGGTCCACCCTACCTAGAAATACCATTACAAGGAGATATAGAACTGCTCTGTAACATTAGCCCAGAAGTTTCTCTTTCCTCATCATTGAACTTTTGGTCAAGCTAAGTTGTAGCCTACTAAATAAGAAAGCTAAAGCACTAACCCTGTCGTTGCCAGTTTAGTTTGGACACTACACTTCCCCCCTTTGTGTCCCATATGACTATCAACAGCAATGTTGACTATGAAGAGTTACAGTAGCCTATGAAATTGGCAAACAGAGGCACTAGCTTTCTTTTTTTTATTGGGATCAGTGAGACTTGCAACCTGAAACAGCAGCACAATATTTAAATAGTGTGTTAATGTCCTCAGCTTAAAATCAAAGAAAAATGAAGAGATGACTATATATTGTGCAAAGGCCTTGTTTCGTATTATTCATTCATCCTACCATTTGTAATCAGTGTAAATATTTAATGGTAAAAATTAATGTCCAATTATGACTATCTTTCCAGTGTGAACGACATAATTGCGGTAGGAGCTGAGGCTTTCTATGCAACCAATGATCACTACTTCACCAACGAGTTCCTGAAAGGTACAGTTGAGCCTGTTCTGGCTCAGCCTTGGTCCAACGTTGTGTACTACAGCCCGGATGAGGTCAAAGTGGTCTCAGAGGGATATTACTTTGCAAATGGCATCAATATCTCACCAGACACAAGGTAAGAAAAAGGTGGAGGGATTTGCATATTGTGGACAGTCCTTTCATACAAAGTTTTAACACTTTCATTGTTTTCTTTCTTATTTTAGTTACATTTATGTGGCCGATTTACTCGACTCGAGTGTGCATGTGCTGGAGCGCAAAGAAGACAATTCATTGGTTTCTGTAAAGGTAACTAATTCATGTAAATGAGCGCACAGATTTATAAGACCATATCTATTAGGGATCAGTTCTTTAAGAAATAAGTGTAAGCACTGGTGGCAAATAATCATGTTATGTCGTTAAACTGCTGTGAAACATATTTACAGTCACCAGGCAGAAGGGAAAATAAGAACTTCATTAGGTCTTGCTGAAACTGTCTTTTAATGTCTTGACATTGACACAAATTCATGATTCACATTCTTCGCAAACATCTCACCAGTCTGTGGATATTGGGACCCTTGGTGACAACATTGAAGTGGATCCTGAAACTGGAGACCTGTGGTTAGGCTGTCACCCCAATGCACTGAAACTTTTCCTGTTTGACCCCAGCAACCCGCCTCAGTCTGAGGTTTGATGAGAACAGACCAAATCCAGTCTTTTTTTTGCATATTTTTACAACTGATCTGCATATTGACACTTTAACATCTCTGTAATATTATTACAGGTCATCCGCATCCAGAACATCCACTCTGACGAGCCAGTGGTGACTCAGGTTTTCACTGATGATGGCAATGTGATCATGGGCTCCTCTGTGGCAGCGCCCTACGGGGGAAAGTTGCTCATCGGCACCGTGTTTCATAAAGCTCTGTGCTGTGATCTGAATTAGGCTGTGTCTTTTTGTCAGACTGTTTTCAGTAAGCAATAGAGTTTAATAAATGAGTTGAAAAATCTGCTCAAAATGCAGTTTAAGATCTGCCTCTCAGTCAGGCTCTCACTTAGATTTGAATAGGGATAAAATATGGATACTCCAGCACTAAAGGCAAAACCAGACACAAGCTGTTAGGAGATAAAACAAATAATTAAGGCTGGCATAAGAACCTTAAAATCCACCTGGAGGAGCTGTGAGGAAAAAATATCTGGTGCTTATCTGAATAATGGTAAAGGCTGCTTATTTGTGTGATTGTGGCACAAAAGTTACTGACCTGGCCTGATACCTGAACCACTGAAAAAAGCACTTGATATAAAACACTGTCTTTCTTTGTTTTGTACTTAAATCATTTGAGCTTTCAAGGTAAGATTTATGAGAAAAAACTGGAAAAAAGTTTTCTCATTGCACATTTAAAAACAGAGAAAAATAGGAGTTCGTAGATAAAACATAGGGGTTGTTAAATTTTGCTTTCTGATATAACTTGATACAAAGAAAATACAAAGATTTAAAGATGTTGATGGGACTTGGGTGGACTAACTGTCAAAGAGGTCGTTTTTCTCAAGTATTGATTTTTAAGCAGGTTGGTTTAAAGAAGGTGATGGTGCTCTTACTAATGCAGGTTACAATTTGAAATTGTCTTCATGATTTCTTCATGAAACTTCCTCAAATAGGTGGTATTACAGCCTTTTGCAAGGGGAGGGTAGTCATTTGCTTTCAATTTAACAAATCTGTTCATGGTATGATACTTAAAATCAAACATGTAAACCCTTATCAGGTTTTGTTCAATTTTTTCCTCCCTTCACCTGGAAATGTGATATCTTTAAATGTGCACTGTTCAGATTTGTTTTTACATGTTAAAAGAAATTTGAGAAATCACAATTTTTAATTCACTGAAATAAAAAGGAAAAAGAATAAATTGGCTGCTGAGTGTCTTGTAGTTTGTTATGTTTCCTTGAAATGATTGTGGTTTGATTCCAGACCAATGACTTTGAACACGGATCCTTTATTCAGATCTTCAGGTTTAGAAGTACTCATCAAGGTCTGTATTTCAAAGCTTTCCCAATGCCACAGTAAATCAAGTTATACAAGTCTTAATTTGTTTTCTCAGCCACAAGAAATTCTTGTCCTCCCTGACCTCTGCCTTGATCTGAAAGTTCTCCACACCTTTCAGTATAAACAGAACATTATTAATACAACAGACAAATTAACTGTCTCTTCATTACATAAACCTCTTGGATGTTTTGAGTTTCTTTGTCTGCAATTTGTTTAAAGGTGTGGCTGAACACACAGGTGACATCGACAGGATATTCCACATGAAAAAACTGTTACAGGAAAAAATGATATCAAGGCTTTGTCTCCATCTGTGCTGGATTTGTGTAACTGCACCCAGCCAGGAAGTGTTCCTCCCTCAACCCATGTGAGGAATCTAACCCTTGACTTCCAATGGCTGCCATGAGGAAAGCTGTGATTGCAGCAGTTGTTGCTGCTTTAGCAGCTTTCATTGGACACACACTCCTTAAGTTTAAGTAAGTATATATGGAAGCAAATTAAAGGTAAAGTACAGGAGAATGATAGATGTTGATCTGTACTGCTTTTAATGTTGAGAACTGTTGCAAACTACTACTAAGTAAGAGATCAGTATGTGTATGCAGGGAGCAAAGTCTTCTTAAGTGAATTAAAACTTGAGCTTTAGGATTGACACAGCTTCATGACATGACCCAGTCGACCGGCTGGGTCTGATTTAGTGTTTCTGATTTAGTGTTTGATTTTCTCTGCAGGGAGATCACCCTTGCTTCCCGAGAACTGACTGTGAAACACCTCCAGTGTCAATATCTAAAGAATATAGGTAAGCACTCTTTGTGTTCATGTCAATGACTTCATTTTAGTAACTGTCATGTGGCTTCAACCTTTTTTTAAGCTTATTTCTATGTAAAATGTGATCATTAAAGAGTTTGAAGTCCAGTTTGCCTACAGTAGGTCAAGTGTCAGTGATGTCATGTTGGAGTGTGGAAATTAACAACTTGTACTTTGCTTTGAACAGAATATGGGGCGGAGGATATTACAATACTAAGAGATGGACTGGCCTTCCTTAGCACAGTATGTTATTTACATTTTTTAATTTACAGTTGCATAAATAAATCAGTGTTAATGCAGTATACCTAAACAACCCTCTACTTTCTTTTGAATGAGAAACAAGTACTATATAATCCCTCATGACTACCTACTTACAGTTAACCTTTGCAAGAGAAGTCACATCAAACACATCTTTTTTTTTTTTACTAAGGGGTTGAATTATCCTGGGCTGCCTTCATTCTCTGATGAACCTGGGAAGTTGTATGCTTTGGATCTGCTGCACCCAAAACCAACTCCAGTGGAGCTGCAAATCAAAGGAGAGCTGGACCTCAGTTCTTTTAACCCTCATGGCATCAGTGTATATATTGATGAGGCAGGTGAGGCACAAATCAAATGCAGCAAACAACCAAAACTGTGTCTGTGCATGTAAGACAAATGTCAGTTTATAACTTTGCTTCAACATTGTCTGCGATAAGATTTTCACAAAAATACCCTCTGTCCATTCCCAAAAGCTACAATAGGAACTATAGCAGATTTTTTTATATATTTTTATTTTATCATTTCTTTTAAGATATTTTGTAATTTGATAAATTACTTTAAGAATGCTTTAAATTTTATCCCTTATTTTTGATACTTTAAATTACACTTTCCTGCAACATACTTTCAGTATCTCCTCTCTACCGTAGTTTTAAGAGGTCGAGGTGGAGTCTACAAGGGGTTTTAATCGATCTTCTCACATCACTTAAGATTGACAGGAATGCAGTTTGGGATCCAGTGTTTCTGTTTGCTATCAGGGATTGTTCACTGTTTACCCTCCTACAACCACACCACACCTGTCTTAAATTTGCACAAATGCTTATTCAATATTTAATTCTGATGATGCTTCAAAGCAGGAGATTGAAAACACAGGGGAGGGTTTTATTTTCACGCAGTATGGGAATTATCACACATCTGTTTTTGAGCTTTACAAAAAAAAAAAAAAAACGGGTCTGCAATGATGAGAAAGCCTTGTATCATTGTGAAATGTAAACTGGCATATTTACAGAGTGAACAAATAAATAGAAGTGTCAGGATTAAACACTAACAAAAGGGAGTACCCACTTGCAGACTTAAAAATTGAAAGTTTATTTCACAAGACTGAACTTGAATCAACTAAAATTTGCTTTAAACTGAAAACAAATAAAAAAATGCAAATCCAAAAATCCAAAAGCACCAGAAGCAAAAATCTGACAAAACAAAGAGGCACTGGAAAAAACAACAGGAAACAAGGTAGGGTTCACATGGACAACATACGCTAAGACAAAGAACAATGAAGGGACAGGGACTAAAAACTCACACTGGGAAATGACCAACAGGTAAGACAGACAAGACACAGGTGAGACTTGAGAATATTTAACAAAGGAGGGAAAACTGAGAAAGTAAAAACAAACTTCACACACAGGGATTGACTACAGCAAAATAAAGCTGGAAGTCAAGCTGAGCGACACACAAGGATGAGGAACTACAAAATAAACCAGGAAATACTGAAAAATAAACTACATAAACAAACAGTGAAAAACAAAAGAACAACAGGAACATAGAAATAGTCAACACAGGGAAACAGGAACAACAGGGAACAGACACAATAGAGGAAATACAAATGAATTAAGAAACTAGAAAACTAAATGAATAAGAACACATCATGACACAGAAAATGATATTAAGCAGCTTTTATTACACACTGGAGATAAATGTCATCAGTCCCGCCAACTACTAAGGGGGCAGCAAGTAAAAGTCCAGGTAAAATTGGGGTAAAGATTTGCATTTCCTCAGCTTAAAAGTTGCAGGATTTTTTTCAGGAGTTTAGTGCACGTGTTAAAACAGATTTTAAAAAAATGTTTGGCCATTTTCTGGGATAAGGTCATGTGAGTGAAATAAATGGAGCTGATATTTCACATGTAAGTTGACAAAGAAATCTATCAGTGGTAAGCAAATGTAAAAGGAACTTTGGCATAAATATTGCTCCTGATTTTAGTGTGAAATGTGCATGATTTTATTCTTTTAAAGATAAGAGAGGAGAACAGTGACAACATACTGCTGCTTGTTTTTCAGATGACGCTGTGTACCTGTTTGTGGTCAATCACCCTCAGCACAAAAGCCAAGTAGAAATCTTCCTTTTTATTGAGGAGACCACACTTGTGCACCTGAAAACAATCACCCACCCCCTTCTCCATAGGTAAGTACAGTATGATTAAAACTTCACAGTGCCTTCACCCTCACATACTGTTCGAATCCTGTACCTTCACAGTATGTTCCGGGTCAAAATTGCCCCTTCAAAGAGTTCAAAGAGCAGCTTTCTGTCACAGAAAGTTCTCTTGACTAGTTAGGTCATTTTGACCTCTGTCTAGGTGTGTCTGTGTGACTGTATGTCTGTCTGTGTGCGTGCGTGTGTGTGTGTTTCTGTCAAGGTAATGATAGTTTCATAATGATTTGAATATATCTTTTTGAACAACAAACCTTATATTGAACACTGTTGTTACTGTTTGTCACTTGTCCCACACTGCTAGATCTAAAATCCATCTAAATATACACTCACCGGCCACTTTATTAGGTACACCATGCTAGTAACGGGTTGGACCCCCTTTTGCCTTCAGAACTGCCTCAATTCTTCGTGGCATAGATTCAACAAGGTGCTGGAAGCATTCCTCAGCGAGCTTGGTCCATATTGACATGATGGCATCACACAGTTGCCGCAGATTTGTCGGCTGCACATCCATGATGCGAATCTCCCGTTCCACCACATCCCAAAGATGCTCTATTGGATTGAGATCTGGTGACTGTGGAGGCCATTTGAGTACAGTGAACTCATTGTCATGTTCAAGAAACCAGTCTGAGATGATTCCAGCTTTATGACATGGCGCATTATCCTGCTGAAAGTAGCCATCAGAAGTTGGGTACATTGTGGTCATAAAGGGATGGACATGGTCAGCAACAATACTCAGGTAGGCTGTTGCGTTGCAACGATGCTCAATTGGTACCAAGGGGCCCAAAGAGTGCCAAGAAAATATTCCCCACACCATGACACCACCACCACCAGCCTGAACCGTTGATACAAGGCAGGATGGATCCATGCTTTCATGTTGTTGACGCCAAATTCTGACCCTACCATCCGAATGTCGCAGCAGAAATCGAGACTCATCAGACCAGGCAACGTTTTTCCAATCTTCTATTGTCCAATTTCGATGAGCTTGTGCAAATTGTAGCCTCAGTTTCCTGTTCTTAGCTGAAAGGAGTGGCACCCGGCGTGGTCTTCTGCTGCTGTAGCCCATCTGCCTCAAAGTTCGACGTACTGTGCGTTCAGAGATGCTCTTCTGCCTACCTTGGTTGTAACGGGTGGTTATTTGAGTCACTGTTGCCTTTCTATCAGCTCGAACCAGTCTGGCCATTCTCCTCTGACCTCTGGCATCAACAAGGCATTTCTGCCGACAGAACTGCCGCTCACTGGATATTTTTTCTTTTTCGGACCATTCTCTGTAAACCCTAGAGATGGTTGTGCGTGAAAATCCCAGTAGATCAGCAGTTTCTGAAATACTCAGACCAGCCCTTCTGGCACCAACAACCATGCCACGTTCAAAGTCACTCAAATCACCTTTCTTCCTCATACTGATGCTCGGTTTGAACTGCAGGAGATTGTCTTGACCATGTCTACATGCCTAAATGCACTAAGTTGCCGCCATGTGATTGGCTGATTAGAAATTAAGTGTTAACGAGCAGTTGGACAGGTGTACCTAATAAAGTGGCCGGTGAGTGTAGATACGGGTCAAATTTGACCCGTAACAGCCTTAGAGGGGAAATATTTGTAGCACATAAACAAAAATACACTTGAATATTTTTAAATCAATTTCATGTATTTTGGGTTATTTCAGGAAAAGTCATCAAGTTTCAGGCTTAAAAAATGATGTTTAGGGTATTTTTACTGCTGTTAAAAGTCAAAACGGGTCAAATTTAAAACTATACATGCTTCTTTTTTTTTTTTTTTACTTTTTTCTTTGCCTTTCAGTGTAAATGACATTGTTGCTGTCGGAGTGGAGAGCTTCTACGCCACAAATGATCACTCCTTTCCCAATGAAGTCCTTCACTTTCTGACCCTGGTACTGGGTCTACCTTTGTGTGACGTGGTGTACTACAGTCCAAAGGAAGTCAGGGTGGCAGCCAACGGCTTCATGTCTGCAAATGGCATCAACATTTCCCCAGACAAACGGTGAATCCTTCTTCAACTCAGTCAAACACATGCATTTTAAAAATGAATGTATTTCCGGACAATAAATTCTCAGTGAAATACTAAAACAGTATTCCTATTTACAGGTATATTTATGTTTCTGATATCATTGATCATGACATAGATGTTTTTGAAAGAAAAGAAGGGGAACAACTAGCATTTATAAAGGTAACACAGTGCTCTCTCTCACTTCTTGACTAAAATGACCAACTGCTTCAAGCATCACTTTTTCAAGGCTTTACCTCAATTTAATCTTTTTCACAACTTTCATTCATGTCTCACTTTGATTACATATTCTCTTTCCAACCAGTCTGTAGCTGTGGGGTCACTCTGTGATAACATTGAGGTGGACCACAGGACAGGCGACCTGTGGCTTGGATGTCACCCAAATGCCATGAAGTTTTCAAGCTTTAACCCTGAAGATCCTCCTGGTTCAGAGGTCAGTTGATTTGCTTTGTCCTTTTTTAAGTTGATGTCTTATGTGAACGTTGTAACTCAAAATTGTTTGTTACTTTTATCCGTGCTTCCTCCAGGTAATCCTGGTCAAAAACATCCACTCAGAGCAGCCTGTGGTGAGCCAGGAGTACGCTGATGATGGCAAAGTGATCATGGGCTCCAGTGTGGCTGCTCCTTTTGAGGGAAAGTTGTTGATTGGCAGTGTTTTTCACAAAGCTCTGTACTGTAATCTGAAATAATCTGTGCAACATTTATGTACAAACACAACTGTTTACAATCACAAATGTTTTCATAAATAAAATAAAAAGCTTGATCAACCATTTTCAAAAAGAGGAGTGATTCACATGTAGCTCATTAAGTTTGGTTAATGTGCGAAAATGTGAGTAACAGGAAACCATGTAACAGCACAGTCTTATTGTATAGAGTCATACAGTATTTCATGACCAATCGTGTTTTTCAAGTTATGGTGCGATAAGATTCATCTTAAAAAATACACTTTAGCTGTTCAAAAGTGTAAAAAAAAAATCCCAATTACACTGTATAAATGTATAAGAATGGAAAAATCAATGTCCTTACTGATACAGCATCCCTAATTTTGTTTAATTTTTGGCCACTGCAGAGCTCAATATTTCAGCCATTTATCCACACACTGAAGTTTTCTACCCACAGGATGTGATTGATGGTCTGTGTACAGTGTTTAATGTTGCAGCACTCAATCCTTCATATTGATGTTCAATATCAGTAAGAGTGATGATACTATAAAAGGAAATGACAGTAAGTTTAGAATCAATTTCCTATTATTACAAACATTTCACCTGCTAGTTAGTGTTAAATCTAAGATACTATCATCCTGATGCATTTACAGAGGCAGTGCCTTGAAACACTTGGAGGTCTGCAGGGGGTTTGATTTGATTCCTATTTAAATGACTATTTTTAAACAAACCATTATTTTTGAGGTCGTGATGAAACCAGCAAAGAGCTTCATTACTAACCACTGGGCTAGAGTGGAACTAAATGTGTTGCAGTAAGTCAGGAAGTGAAAACTGGGTGGGAATGATAAACTTGGAAAAAAAAAAAAAAAAGCATCGAAGATCCTGCGAGGAACTGTTATTTTCATCCATTTTGGCACCGTTATATGAAGCGAGTACAGGATGCTCTAACTCCTCTACCTTTGTAGCAAAGATTGATCAAAGTGTCCCATTATTATTACAGTGTTTGTTTTTCTGTACAGTTGTTAAGCTCATAATCATTTAATCATTAGATATAATTTGATGTAATTTACAAGTACCATTTCTTTCAATCTATTTTTTTCCTCGATGATTCACATTTATAATGACACCGTTTTAAAATAACACAGCCTAAGCAATGCTAAGTAGTAGACTGGTGGTGGTTTAATAGAGCTAAAGGAAGGTAAAGAGGAGCTCTGTCACCCTTTTTCGTCTTTATCCGTTAACAAATGTTTCTCTTCAACCTTGGATATCCTAAATCTAGTCCCTCCGCCATCAGGATGCTGTACATTCTCTTCTTCTGCAGCATCTTTTGGAGGAGCTGTGAAGTGTATACCTACAGTCTCAGGATCAAACACAGAGCTGTCCTTGTTCTCATCTTCATCTATCCTCACGTCTGCTGCAGGATCAGGGTCTCTGTTGATTGCACCCTCTTCTTCTTGTCTGTCCTTTTCCACTTCAGCCTTCACATTAATGAACACATCACTGATACTGGTGATGTGCTTGTGCCGAGGCGAGTGATCCAGGGTCTGGATGTTGTGGACCAAGATGTCGCTGCAGCTCTTGGAGCGATTAATGTTTTCTGCAGGCTTTTTTCTATTTGCTCCTATCTCTTTGATGACCGTACTGTAGTCTTCATCCTCTGGGAAGTCAAAGATGTCAATAAAGTTTTTGTTTTTTTCTGGGCTGGGTTTTTCTTCATCTGAAGGTGGGTCCTCGTCATAGGAGTGTCTGTGCCTGAGCAGTCTTTTCCTCCTTAGCACCTTGTGGGCCTCCACGACCATGTGGACATTCCAGCTGAAGAAAAGAGACAGCCAGGCCAGGCCCATGTAGATCCATAACTCTGAAAACACTCTGTACAGTCTGGGGTAGTCTATGTTTGGATTTACACCTGAAATTATAGTCCATGCACAGACATAACCATTAGAGGAGCACTCCCCAAAACACTCAGCCCAAAACCACTTCTACCATCAAAACTTCTATATACAGTAAAAGCAGTAAAGTCATGTTGCAAATCAAACCTACCTGCTACATAATCTCCAAAGCCAACCGTTGTGAGTGTGATGAAAGAATAGTAGATTCCTTCCAAGTAGCTCCATCCCTCCATCGACATGAAAACAAACGGAGGAATCAACAGGTGCACAATCAGTCCCCACAACAGGAACAAGACTGTGCATGTTAGCTGGATCTTTTTCTGAAAGGAAGTGACAAAAAAAACATCTACATGGTACAAGCGCATAATTTGATGGGGTCACAGTATCAGAAAAATATTCACGAGGATAACATAGTTTTTAGTGGAATCCTACTTACCACTGAGACTCCCTTTTTGATCAGAATACCGGACAGGCGTCTGGCGCGGTCTCCGAAGAAAGAACCCAGCTGACTGATCCAAACCAAACACAGGGGGATCCCACACAAGCCATATAGGATGCAGAAAATACGACCGCCTTGGGTCTTGGGAGCAACATTACCAAATCCTGTAGATTACCAGAGAAAGCAATAAGGGCACACCGCAGCGAGCTATGAGAGACACGTAACAAAGGTTTATGCAAATACTGTTTTGACTTGGTTAATGTTGAGAATCCCATACTTCTATGACTTCTAAGCAACAACAATTAAATTTAGATTAATATTTTCAATCCTTCTTTGTAATGTTTGCAAGTAGATCTCTCAAATGCTCCTTATTCCACCTTGACATTTAATACAGAAATTGTTGTCTTTCTTTCTTCTTTACTATATTTTTTATTCTCATTAGCCATGTGCAATAAAAAGGCTCCACACGTCTCTTTTCTAATGACTGCAAATGTTCAGGGTCCATTGAAGTTGCTTTATCAAGTTCTTTTGTTTCACGAAGAGCTAAATGTTTTACTGGATGCCAAATAGGGACTGCATGCAGGTCAGTTTTGGACCCAGATCCCTCTAGGAGTCATTTAGCTGTGACGCTGCATGCAGACAGAGGTTTGCCGTTCTCTTACTGAGAGGTCTTCCCTGTTAAAGCATTGTCTGGATGGCAGCATTTTCTGCTCACACCTGAATATATTGTTCAGCATTAATAATACCCTCCCAGATGTGAAAGCTGCTCATACCATCACAGAGGCTGGGCTCTGTGGGTTTCGAGCTGAAGACAAGCTAGGTGGTTCCTCTCCTCCTAAGAGTAGATTATATTGCATCCATGATTTTCAATAACAATATCAAATTTTGATGAGTCTGTTTCCCATTTTTACGTAGTCCATCTTAAGAGAAAATTTGCTGGTGTTTCTTTTTTTTTATAGATCATTCCTATTTAAGGTTTCCTCTTTGCATAGTACAGTTTTACCTGTATTTGTGGATGCAACACTAAACTGTGTTCTTAGACAAGTGTTAATGGAAGTGATTTTGAGCCCATGCAGTAACTTCTACTACAGAGTCATGTTTATCTGTTGCAGTGCTGCCTGATGGCTCAAAGATCATGTCCACTAAGTATTGGTTTCAGCCATGCCGTCCTGAATATCTAACTGATTTTTCTCATGGTTGAGGATGAAACCCTAAACTTTTTGCAATTTTGCCCTAAGGGGCATTTTTCTGGAATAGTTGAACTATTTGCTCACACAGTCTCTCACAGAGTTGGACACCACTACTCATCTTTACTCAAGGGAGACTCTGCCTCTCTGAAATGCACTTTTGATACTCTGTCATGTCAATAATTAGTTGAAAATAAACCTCATTGGGTGGGAGATGTTCCTTCATTTATGTATTTAGCTAGCTAGTGCTTTTGGTGTGTTGCTGTTCCTGTCTTCTTTTTATGAAACAGTTTTTTGTGTGTTTGTCTTTTGTGTTGTCTTTACACAACTTTCAAGGTTTAAATCATTTGAACACTATCAATATCTGCTTTTATCAACATTTTATGGTGCATCACATCTTAGTTGGGCTGCATTTCTGAGCTTTGAGAAGCTGCATTCATGAAAACATGTAGTTTCTGTGCAACTATCACAAAGTGGGCACAGTCTCAATCACTTCATCATAAACAAAACATAAACTAGAACAGTGTCAAACATGTAGACCTCAAACACACCTATAGTGGTGACAATGGTGGAAGCAAAGATAACAGAGTTGGCCCAGTCCCATGAGTTCCGATGAATTTCCCCGGTTATGGTCACACCTTGTCCCGCAGCTTCCGACACAATCTGTGAATGGACAGACAGAGATTGTGTCACACAAACACCTGGCCTCAAACTTTATGCGCCTTTTGTTGATGATACTAGCTTTTAAAACACTGTCGGAAACAGAAAGTACTCAGATTGAGGTTTATTTTTCCCCAGGCCTGAAACGTTTGCTTACTACCATTACAAAGGGACACACCTTGGGCAATTATTCAGATACCTGTGGTTAAAGAGGACATGCCCCCTCATGCTCGGCCCACCAGCATGTACGTTTAGCCTATGTCTAGAATGATTTCGACTTTCATATACCAGAGATTCACTTTTTAACTTCAACTTTTAAGCTGTTTTTCGTGTGTCACGGCACGCTTCAGCCAGATTGATGGCTGTTTACGGCAGGCTACCTGTGAACAGGTAAAACAGGTTCTTACGTGTAGCCCCGACTTGTGAAAACACGGATAAGTTATTTACTTTTTTGTTACAAATGAAAAACACGTAGGCGACAGAACTTGAAGATGTTTCGCCTCATAGACCACGATGAAGGTCTGCTGTATGGAAAGACTTCACCACTTATAAGAACATCAAAAACTAACCAGTGAGAGGCAAGTGAAAGGCGAGAATATAAGATACAGACAATTTATCTCCCAGATCGATAATATTTATATGCTCAAAAGCAGATAGATAAACTGCATACCTCCAAGATCTCGTCCAGATTTTCTTTGGTTAGGCAGACATATTTCTTCTAAATGTTCTCCTTTTGTAGGATATATTTGTCTCTGGCTGATTTCCAGTTTGGCTCCTCGAGGATTTGAAATATCGCGGCACCGATCGACAGGTAGAAAATAATACATGAAGTCAAAAATGGACCTGTATCAGCCATATTAAAGGCATAACTTAAGTTTTAAAGTGCCAAGGAGCTCATGTTCCCTCTGAGGGCTGTCGTTTTCCTACCCACACTGCTCTCTTCCTGGTCAAACACAATAGGGAAACACTACTGCTTCCACTGAGGGCTGATGGCAGCTTCATTGTTCAGCTGTATTCATCAATTTATCAGTAAATGTACTACTGTCAATAATAATACTTATACTCATGCAAATAATAATAATTATAATAATCTATCTATCTATCTATCTATCTATCTATCTATCTATCTATCATAGTTACTGAATAGGGGAGAGTGGGGTAAGATGAACCATTTTTCATATTACAGATCACTACATCAAGGCATTCATAGTTTTGTCTCTAACTAGTGAATCTGCATATATTTCAAGATGTTGTTCATCCCTGCAAACCAACAGAATGAGTGACAACACAACTGTCTTGATAATATAGCATGCCAATAAAAAACTTTTTATTGACCATAGGAGTGGAAAAAGTTAAGCCGTATCCCTACTACCCCCCCCCCCCCCACACACACACACACACACACACACACACACACACACACACACACACACACACTCTCTCTCTCTCTCTCTCTCTCTCTCTCTCTCTCTCTCTCTCTCTCGCTCTATCTCAACTTCTGATGAGGTGATGAGACGCCTTTATTTTCTCAGTTGAGTCACTGGCTCAACTTACCCCAGAACTACTATCATGACTTTAATAGTCCTCTCAGCTAAAATGGTGGACTTTTATGCTAGGTTTTTGACCTCATGTTGTAGCTCATAGATACCATAATTGATGTATAAAACACATTTAAAATGATCTTTATTGTTCTGAACACAATTCCAATAAAACTTGTGACAAATTCACTTTCAAGACTGAAAAATGTTTTTTTTTTTTAGAAATAAATGTCTAACCCCTTCACCCATGTGCTTCTAATCTTCACAGACTCCATGAATTGATGCCCATCTCCTAAATATTTGGTCACATGATCAATTTCTTTTACCATTTCCAAACAACAGGGGGTGGCTCAACTTACCCCACTCTCCCCTACCTATAAAGCACTTGTGTAAACATTCAACAGGGGGCGTTATGCCCTCAGACTTACAGCTAAATAGTGGTTGTGGAGAAATGCATGCATGTGAACTGTTGTGTGTTGGTGGTGACAGTTGCTCTTATCTTCATGTATGCAGCATCCAGAGGGCTGGAGAGAAGTGAGTGAAGTTATCAGACTGGGTGGACCCATGCTGCTCAGAGTGATAGTGGATGAAAGGGTTTGTCCTCCTTCTTGCCAAGACATACTGCATATGAAAAATGAATGAAAGTACACTGTTACAAGTGATACGTTGTCTCAAATTACAATATCCAATAAGTAGTCAAAGTTAGTAGTTACTAAAGCTGTTTGATTTATGATTTCTGAGTATTTTTTGCTTCCAAATCATACAACTGTACAGGGCCACATCTATCATTTTGGAGCACTAGGTGCCACTGTCAAAAAAATAGAAGGAACCATGACTTTAAAAAAGCAAGGACTCAGAGGCTAACCTGTAGGGAAGTGGTGAAGGCTCAATAAAAGGGTTCTAGGTTCAAGACAAAGACAGAGGCACACTCTCTTAACCTAGAAAGGAAACATGACTTTACATATGCTACCCTGTGTTTTTGAATGTTATCAATAAGAAAATGAAAGTTAAAAAAAGCACCTACAAAAGCAAGCACTATCTAGCAAAAGGGGTGCCAGAGAGTGGGGTCCTGGGTTCAAATCCAGGACCCTTCAAATCCAATAATAACAGATGTTTTAAGTTGGGCCTGACTCCAAAGGGAGCTTTTCTATTTTTAAAATGCAACTCTAAAGACGTCTTCATGCTCAAGTCCTTATGACTGCAGCACTTCCAAGCAATGAAGCTGTCATCGATCCATTTATATTCGCTAATGATGTTAAGCCTCTGTTAAATATGCCAGGCCAGTCTGACTCTGAAGGGCAAGTTTTGTTCAGAGTCTTGCTCAAAGACACACTAGCAACATAGGAGAATCACATTGCCAATACTGAGTGGAGCAGATGGCCTGTGTCTTGTTTGGAACATTATTCTATGGACAAGAAGCCTGTATAACAAAAATGAAGGTGGGAACTGAAAGGAGCAGAATAAAGGCTGGAAGTCGAGTATGAAGAAGTAAGAGAGAAGGGAAAAGAACAGTAAATACATTGTAAAAATCATAACATAAGTGTGCAGTCTTATTAAAAACTGTATCAGACAACTTATCTAAGCTTTTAAACTATTAGAGGATTTTTGCTGAATGCATTACAGATTCTTGGCATTTTGTTTTAACCTTCAAATAAAGTCTAAACAGCCTGTTACATTTCTTACATGTCATCATCACATGACCTTTCTCTGTGAAAAACAGAGTAAGCTCCCAGAAGGCAGCTCACCTCAGCTGAGCAGCTGCTACAGCTGGAACATCTGTGTCAGTATAACCTACAGCCCAGCAGTGAGTGTTGCCCAACACTGTCCTGGTCAGTTGGCCTTGAAAAGGTTATTTCTGTTGGACCAATGAAAATAAAATCTGATTGGAAAGAGGATTTACTGACAAACTATCTAACAAACTAACTATGAGTAAGGGATGCAAAACATAGCAATTTACGCATTTGATAAGCAAGTAAGTATTTTTACTCACAACTTTTCATCAAAAAATACATTTTTTTCTTTATTTAGATTTATTTAGACACAAGTTCCTCAAATCTCTCTTAAGTAGCCAATCTTTTCTCCTTTGGTGTAACAGAGATGGAGATGGGCCATGTAATAATAATAAGAATATTAACTTTATTTTATAGCACTTTTAAAAACAGAAGTTTACAAAGTGTTTTGGCAAAGAGTGGTAAAGCACAGAACATCAGCACATGGAAATAAAAACAAACAGTGAGAAAAAGAAATGTAATAAAAAGGGTGTAGAAAGCAGGAAACGGGATGTTAATAGTTGTGATAAAATGGAATAACAAAAAAGAGCAGGAAAAAGAGAGTTGCTTCCAATAGTTTTGCCTCTATATTGCACACAGAAACACAAAACAGCGCCCCCGAGTGGGACCGTCAGCGAAAATCCAGAGCAGCACACTTGGCTCCATGCTAAAGGGGGGTATCTGGGGTTTTACTGATATCAGCCTGTATGTGACTGGTTGATGCAAGACTGGCACACATTTGGAGGAATTTGGACAAAAGCTTAATCTCTGACCAAACATTACCCTGATAACCAGGCCTTCATTGTGAAACTCCCATATAATATTAACCTGTGCATATTTAACATGAAGCTTTTGAAGTGAGCATGAACATCATTGTCTTGACGCGTTAACATTTATATTGAGGCAATTGTTATTTTACCCTCGAGTAAATATGTGCTGAGTGTTTATAGGCTCCCTGACCTTGCTCACCTGTAAAGGTAAACACAATGCCATGGCTTGAATAAATGTTTCTATTGTCTTTCTCCATTTAATGGGATGACTGGATGTTGTCTTGTTAGATATTTATAAGTTATTTCAGAGGTTTTTTAAGGGACGCTTCCACCTCTCATCTCCACCTAGCTCGACCTTTAGTGCTTCGTCATTGCTGCGACACCGCCTCTCTCTGAAACCTGATCGATAGTGTCAACTTGTTCTGAAGGGAAACACCGGAATTATGGCACCGAGGTAAAGGTGGAGGAAACACACAGGAAAGAAGTCTGTCTCCTCAGGTAAGACTCGCCCTCTTACACACTCTTGTGTTTTTATTGCACACATTTACTGCGGCGAGCTTTTACATTTCCAGTTTGCTCTCAGCGGCGGTAGTAGCAGTTCGTTTAGAGTTCACTGCACCGTATTAGAGGGATTAAACGAGAAGAGGTCAGGGATGTTTATGCTGTTAGCCTACATTTAAAAGTAGAAACACGACACCCAAATGTTTGATAGGTGGTTAAAAAGGACCGAGTTCACGTTTAGTGTCTGCACAAGGTTTGATGTTCCTGCCAACAGTCTTCAGACTTCGCTGTGCCTCAAACAAAAAGATATCTAGCTTATTTATCCGACAATAAAAAGGAACAGTGTCGAAATGAAACAAGTGTTTACGCTAATATTAAAATCTGCACATGTCTATTTTGATACGCTGGTTTTAAAAGAAGTGACCGAAAGTAAAATCTGTGGTTACTGAATTATTTGGGTCTTATATAACCTGGGAATGAAATTATTTTCTCAAAGGATGCTAGCATCAGGCCAATGTATTATCACACATGTATTGAATGTTATGTCTATCTTTGGGACATAATTTTCTCTTTGTATTGCAGTACAATTTACTATTATGATTCTTGGGGATTGGAACAAAACCTGTCCAACAGTTGAAGCAGCTATAATTTTAAAAAATAATATAATTTTCTATTGTTAATGTTTTTTGAGTAAATATTGGAATGTATTGAACACAATTATTCCCTTCAATTTGAATTTATCCTTATTACATTAAATCTATAAGGCTTAGTCTCTTCTAACAACATCAGAAACAAGGTGTCCACAGAGAGGGGTCCAGTGATCCTTATGCAAAATATGTACAGAAGTAAGCTTTGCTGTAAGCTTTTCAAGGAAATCCATTTTTTTATTATACATAATAAAAAAACATTGGTTTCCTTAAAAAGCGTACTGAACATCTCCTTTTTAATGTGTGCTGTTTACTTGAATGTATTTTGATTAACTATAATGCTGTGACATTTGAAAAAACGTTACTGATCTGACACTCTTTCTTCCCCCTGTCTCTGACCTGATCACACCATGTGGGATTGCTCATGCTAACTACATCGATCTTCAACATGGAATTGGTGTAAGTATAAAATGCCAGGCTCTTTATGTTAAACAAAAGCCAAACCCGTGTAATGTATGATATAAACTGTTGCATTCATGGACTATTTTAGGGTATTGCACTGTCTTGCACACAGTAAACGGTAGAATAATTTAACATTACATCAACATTTTAGTCCCCCTTTATGTGGCTACATATGACATCAGTGTATATTGTGGTACAGTATAATTTTGCAGCTCAAGACAGTATTATTTTAATTAAAGTGCTCTCTTCACTTTAGAGGAGCTTCATTTCTATTTATGTGCTGTGATGTCAGGATGCATCACTTTTACTGACACGACTATATATGAATTTTTAAAGGTCTTCTCCTGATGTAGCTTTTAGCTTGGGATTTCAGTGCAGACTCAAGTGTCTTCTGCATGCAGTAACTGGCTTTTTTTCTATCATACTTCCTTTTTGTTAGTGTATTACTGCAGAAACTCTCACTCAAACTTGACTATCTCACCTATCAACAAAAATGTTTTTGTGCTTTGTGGTATAGTGTAATTGCCTTTTTGACATTTAGCATCCAGTGGATGTAATGAAAGTTTAAATGATGGCACCAAGCAGCTGTTGACTCGCTGGTGTTCACATTCATTGCACTCGTTTTGGGAGGGGTAGTGTGACAGTGTCACCATCAGGGATCTCGACGCAAACACATCTTTATCTCTAATGACCACATGCTCCCAGCTTGCATGACAGCTCAGTGTTAAGCAATATTATTGTTGGTGGGGATTCCCTCTCTTTTACAGCAAATGATTAATGTTGGACTTGCGACTTGATCCTTTGTGATTGATTTTTTAAAATTCTTCAACTAAAATTACATACACTATACCCAGTGTTCTGGATATTACTGTGTATGTATATGAGGAAAGTGTTGTCATAAAAAAGAAGTAAGTGCTGCAAAGTTGTGCTCTGATATTTTTCAAGTGGATATAATAAAGGCAGATTCTTTTGCAGCTATGTGGCGCTGGTTGTTCAGTCTATGAGGCGCTATAACTGTACATATCCAAACCTGTCTTTAGTACCATGTCTCCAGCAGGTGGCAGTGTAAACTAAAAAAAAGCACAGCCTTAAACAGGAGCAGCAGATGATCAAACTCAGTGCAGCATGTACTTAGGTGGCCTAGAATGTCCACCACAATCTGTTCAAAGCACTGTGAGCTCGAGGGCTTACACAGTGTGTTTTAAAGAGATCTCACATGACATACCAGTGCATGCATATTAATACGAGCATTGCTTTTGCAATATGACTCACTGCTTTACAAGGTATCTGAATGCAAATGTAAATTACAGTTTAAGTAGCTGTAGGAAACCCATGACTTTTTCTTGTCAAGTTGTTAAATCCTATTCTTTGTGCTAAAGCAGCAAAGGCAGACAACATGTCTGCTGGCAGAAAGAGGCAAGACCATGGAACAATCCAGGGTCATAAATTCTTCAGAACATAATAGTGCGGTATGAATATTGATGCACTGTTACCGTCTATCCAGTCAGTGCTCTTGAGAGCTCAGCTCCTGAGCACAAATAAAACCCCAGCAAGCCCTGCCTCCATCACATGCACACTGCACGCAAAATTCATATTTAAAGCCTTTTTTTCCAAGCTGCACAAGTTGTTTTACATAAGATCCTGGCGGGAAGGCGGCATGTTGGGTGATGCGCACCCAGATGCAGTGCTGAAAGTCACAGAGAGATGAATTGGGTGGAAGTGGTATGGGACATTATGTAATCCCTGAGTGATGGAGCCAGAGAGGGATAAAGATGTTCCAAACAAACATAACCCCCCTGCTCTCAGCTGGAGTAATGCACTGCAACATGGTGTGTACGTGTTTGCTCGTGCTTTTGTACAAATGAAGAGGGTAAAAAAACAGAAAGTGTGCACCAGTGTTTTTGGGTGTGTCCGTTGTGTGACTGGCTGGTCTCTGAGTCTGTGGCTCCAGTCTGTTCCAGTCTCAGGGGACTGTGGGTCTATGAGTGCTGCTGCTGCTGCTCTTCTCCTCCCTCTCTGTGTTGTCTCTCCTTCCTCTCCTGGGTCCAGCTCAACACCTGCTCCTTGGGCAGGGCAGGGTTCCTAAGCAACAGAAGGAAACGCCAAGACTTCATTGGTTCTTTGTTTGTCACTTGCTCTTCCTCGGTTATCACTCTGACATACTCACTCCATTCCAAACACAAACAGAAATGATCAATATCAGAAAGTATTCACTTTCTGTACTTTTTTGTACTTACCTGGAACCTTTTTGTTCATGTGCCATGCCACTGTAAATGTTTAACTCCAATTTGTGTGCCGTGGCGCTTCTTTTCTCGCCACTGATCAAAGTCTAAGGAAAAAAATTATGATTATCGACCGTCTCCAGACTGCTCCACAGAATGTTTTGTTACTATTATTTGTGTCTCCTGAGCTTCTGAACACCTGAGTCGGACTTTCTGACATACTTCAGGGGACCACCTTTGCAGTGGTAAGATTGTTTATTTAGCAAAAAGCAAACACATTTGTCTGAAACGCCAAACATGTTACACCAAATTACTTCTGTGAGACAAAAGTGGTGGTTCCTCTTCTCCCGTGTGGTTTGGAGAATAATGAACCCCTTTACGTCCCCCCTCTGCTGTCTATGAGCCGTATGGCCCTAATGGGGTCAGGCAGATGGGTGGGGACATGCTTGAGTTCAGACAGCTTGTGTGTTTGTTTTTTTGTTTGTTATCAGAAGCACATGTGTGAGATGGGTTATTTTAAGATTATTTAGATAAGATGTTCAAAGTTGAAGGTGATGTTGGACCTCAGATTTTAAGTTTTCACCTAAAATGATCCTGAAACGGCGTCCTTTTTTAGTTCCTCCCTTAATGGCTCCAGTTTGAAGTTCTTACTGCTCTCATACTGTGCACTTGAATGCACCACGTCGAAGCCTGAAAAGACCGGGCAGCACTGTGAGGAATATTGCTGTTGCCTCTGTGCCTCCCTCCTGTTTCTGGACATTGTACTGCGTTAATGATTGCACCCTTTGACCCGCCCAGCTCCATGTCTGCTGGGGGATTTTTGAAATGAGGCCAATGTGCCACATTGTCATGATATGCGAGTTAAAATTAAGGATGTGAATACCGGCCTTTTACATATATACATGTTTCAATGAAAAGTGTGCTACAAAAGGTAGAAAATGTATTTAGTTTCTCTGTTATTACATGGAGGTTGTCGCCCTGTATTCCACCTCCACATGCGGTTGTGAGGCGTGCTCGCGCGGCTCAGTTGGTCAACTCAAGTCCGAGCCTCGTTGTAAGACTCCACCCATTTACGAGCGTCGGACACCTTCAGCAGCACAACAAAGCATGTGTGGCTCCGCAACGTTGTTTCTCCTCTGAACGTGCCGAATATAGGATTTTATCGGATTTTATGCTGGTTTCCTTCCCATTGATGCAAATACTAGAGTAGGTAAGCCATATTTAAGATGTATGTTCCTCACGCGCTGGGGATGAGTTAGTGTTTATTTGTTTAGTTGTACATTCGGCGCCATTTTCATACACAGATTCATTTAAATACCCAGGCACGCTGGGACCGATATAGGCTAGCCTATAACTGTTATATGTTTTGGTTAAAAAAAAAAAATCGAAATATCGACCATTTAAGTGATGCTACCATTAGTATTTTAAATACCACCTGCTTAAGCAAATTAAATATATATTTATTATCTATATTTCCCGACTTAAAGAGCCCGGTATAGTCTTACTCATCCCCACAAATCAAAAGTGGTTCGTGTGAACGGAGGCAGCGAGGAGCTCTCTACATGTGAGCTGTTTTTGTGAAAATGAATGGGCAGGCGATTTGTTTTTTCTTAACAGAGGATGTATATTTACTACAGAGGGAAATTCACATTTCGTTTAACATATTTTTTTAACCAATAAGTTGTACGTTATAGTACTTTAATGATAAATTAATTCGAAACATCAAGGTGAATCCTTTTACTGTGTTTTGACTCACAGCAAGGTTAAATACAGTAAAGTGGTTTGAAATTTTATTATATGAATTCTTTTTTTTTTCTTTTTACTTATTGAAGGTGACATTAAAGGGATATTTCCCCCTTTAACCATTCATATGTGAAACTGTTACCCCTGCACTTGTGTCTCCTGTTTGGATGTTCTTGGTCTCATTGCTTCTCTGTGATGTGCCTTGCTGCTATATTTCCAGAACATGTCTGCCCAGATTTACAGATGTTGTTTTTCCTGTGCTGTTACAGACATGTCATGGCTGTGGCTTTCATTTTCTGCTTGACATGACTTGATTTTACCCCAAGAGGAAAGCATGGGTTAAAAATATCCATCTTCATCGGAGGGCAGCATATGTGAATGTGTGACTGTGTGCAGGCTCCTCCTAAGAGAAACTCATCCAATAAGCCTCATCTCCATTGATGATAGCTCTGGATATATTTAGGCAGATAATCTTTTATGGAGCGCTGCAGATGTGACGTAGGGAGGACAAGACAGAGGCAGTATTAGAGCGACGTGACTGCCAAGTGCTTACATGAGCAGCAGAGGTAAACACAGAGGTTACAATATGATGAGACCCAACTGCATAGGGTCTCCTCCTGTTGTAGTGCTGCTGAATCAGCAGGGTTGTAAACACAGAGCAGCAGGAGTAGTGGTGCTGAAGGATGTTTTTGGCTCTGCTGTGTGAGAGTGGGGTCAACAGGGTCCCAGAAGAGCTTGCTGTTAATCCTCTTTTGGGAGTTATGATGCATTTGTGCAGTTAGACTACTACTCTGTTGTGTGAGCGCTACTTAACAGGGAAATGACTCCTCATACTGTAAACAGTCCTCTGCACTGTTCCTTATCAATGGGGGAGTCTTCTGATTTGACTTCCTAAAGGCTGTTAACAATCACACTTGGACTTGGTCTTTACACCAGTAGTTCTTATATCAAATAGTACAATCATTTCATTAGGATAAAGTAAATATAATTCACTTTACTCTTCAACATTGAGCAAATTGCTCCGACCATTTAGATCTGAATTTTTGTTTGTGTCCAACATAGAAGAGACACCCGTGTCGTCATGTAAGCTTTCTAATACTCAATTCTTTCAGTGGCTGGGGTGATGCTTTCAGAGGCTGTAGAGGAGCTTTTAGGGAAACCGCAGTAAATCAATCAGGCTACTTCATTCTTTTCCCATGTTGGTTCATGTTACAGCATCAGATTCACACACCATCTGTGAGTATTGATTAGTGGAGGAGTGGGTTTGGATCTGTTTACCCTGAGGACTTGGCTGAAATAAACCTGAGTTGCCCCATGTATTTTTGTTGAGATTTAATAGTAGGTACCTCAACAAAAATATGTATATTCTTCATGTAGAAAACATATTAACAGAACTTCATCCAAATTTTAGTTTGTTTTATTCCTTAACTTTGGGTTATTTGATAAGATTAAAAAACATATTCTGCGGTATGCTCCAAAAATAGCTGATTAATTCATCAGCCTAATCAGAGACAAATAATCTCAAATTAGTTTCAAAATAAAGTTTGGATACTATTTTTTTTAAGTTTGAAATCAGCCTGTTCCTGCTTCCTGAATGTGAGGTTATGCTACTCTTCTTTGTCTTTTATGACCTGAACATAAGGAGCAGTTTTGTAGAGCCTGAAAACTTAAAGTAGCATTTATGTATTTATTTTGTGGCGTGAATCATTAATTTATTAACTGCTTAAACAAGCTTATCAATGGATAATAAAGAGGCCCTGTTACACACACTGTGATGAGTGTTTTCACGGTGTTCCCATCTTCAGTGAAGAACCATGGTGTTGCTGGGCAGGCTTGTGTGCAGCAGCAGAACATACAAACAATTCTGCGAGGCACGTGTTAGCGTGTACGTTGGCATGTGTATCTGTGTTTACTTAGAGAGGTTAATAGGAGCCGCCATGTGGCCAGAGGACTGATATCTTGGCCTTAGGTTCATTTCTGTTGATTTTCAGCCAGGTAGGAGGGGCTCCGAATAAAACCATGAATCAGCACAGCAGCACTGTTCTTCTGCCAGCTTTTCTCTCTCTCCCACACACACTGAAGCACGCACACCAGACTGAGGGGCAGGGAGAGAATCAGAGCGGAGAGACAGTGAGATGGATACTGTAGGCAGGTAGATAGATGGAGATAATCTCACTTGGTCACTCGGGGGCTGATTAACTCTAAACTCCTTCTAATTCCTTAAGCCTACTCTCAGTACCCAGGAAACATGCTTTCTTCAAGTCTTACTATTCCTACACAGTAATGTTATTTTAAATCTCATGTAACATGATTCCAGAGGTGGGGATGAAGGAGCACCCAAATCACCTCCAGGAAATAAAATCTCTCCTCTGTCTTCTGCTAACAGTCTAGTAATGGGTGCAATTGCGGCTGTGCACACTTGTATGCACATGTGCATATGCGTGTTGTGTGCTGTGAACAGAAATAGATATGAGCTTGTCTGTAAAGTCTAACTAATGAGTCCCTGCATCCTGAGCACACATGGCTATTTATACTTTACCTCCTCCTCCTCTGCAAGCTCCTTCCTATTCTAGCCTTGCTGTCTTATTTCATCACACAAATATCCACCTGCTAGCACGCACCTCTGCATCACCGGCAACAATACAAGGACTCTGATGTCTAGACAAACTAAGGAGTCAGATTAACACGGAAACAAAGTGAGTTTTGGGGTTAGTCGCGGTCAAGTCGTTGGGGTAGCATTAATGCAAAACAGGGATGGAGAATAAATCGATACAGCATAATATCGCTGTATTTTGTCTGGTGATAAATCGTATCGTCTCATTTACCAAGTATCAATTTTTCAAATTAATAGCTAATATGAAGTCAAATCTATGATAATGAAAAAATAAAATCAACAGTTTGTCCAGTGAGGTTAGCAGAAGTAACATCATAGAGCAGGAGAAAGTTAGTACAACAAATACATATAAGGTTTGCAAGATGTACTACATGAAAATAAAATACAGGGTAAATACAGGGTGCTAAATTAGCTTAACAGTTGAAAAAATGTAGTAAATCACAATATATTGTATCACAATACTCACTGTATTTCAAAATGTAAAAAATCACAATAATATTGTATCATGGCCCAAGTATCGTGATAATATCGTATCTTGGGGACACTAGTGATTCCCATCCCTAGTGCAAAAGTTTCAAATGAAGTGAGTCTCACACTGTTTCTGTTGATATAATTCAAACAAACAAAAAAAGCATTTTACATGGTAGTCAAACTAAAAGGTTACCCCCTCACTAGGTCAAATTTCCAACTATTCTCACGCTTGAACATTAATTCAGTGTCACGTTGACTTTAAATTAGATCCTTATTCAACTCAAGCCCCCGTGTTTGCATCTGATCCAGCCGCTCCTTGCTAGAGGGTGGCCTACTTCATCTATTATTCAGTTCATTAGAGGCTCTAATTATGTAGGATCAAGGGCAGTATTCCTTTTTTTTATACAGCAATATTTCATCTAATTAACTCCACACCAGAAACAGAAACACATTGGGTGTAATAAGAGATGGATGCTGCTGTGGCGTGGCCGCTGCTTTTTCATTTAGTCATGATGATGCAGGTTGGTCCAGCTCAGCTGGCCGACAGCAGAGATGTTAGAGAGGCAACACAAAATGGAGGAGGCAGCAGACACAAGCTCAGCTGGTCCATTAGAAGCATGTCTGTTTCCTGACAATCACAATTGAGATGACAGAGCATTAAAAGACCCAGAGGAGCCCGTGAGCAATGATGCATACCAGTGTATGTATGTGTGTGTGTGTGTGTGTGTGAGTGTGTGTGTGTTTGTGTGGTGACCTAGGGAATATGCCTATGGGGGGTCTTGTGGGGGGAAGGGTAGCAGGATTAGTCATAGTGAACGGCACAGTTATTGGTCACTGGACACAAACAATGGGAGGGCTAAAGAGGATTTTGTCTGTGTGCGTACCCCTCCCTCCTTCCCCTCTTCTTCCTCCTCCTCCTCTCCTGCTGTCCTACAGTGCCAGTAGGAAGTATATGGTATGGAGAGCCAGGCTGCACCCTTTGGGGCAGCGTGGTACATCTGGAAGATTGGCCTGTCTGCCTGTCTGTTATCCCCCCTCCCCCCTCTCCTCACAAGGCAGGGTGCGACTTAAACTACATATGGGAGAGACAAACACGGCCACATTCATCACCAATTAGACAGGTCCCGCCTCAGACTGGATGCAAATGAGTCAATCAGTTTTTGTCTTTAATGAGAGTGTAACTGGCGACTCGGAGTCAAACCAGGTTTTGGTGTGATTGCGTAATAAGTGTGGTGTATTTCAGTCAGTTGTGTGATTTAATCAGCTGGTTAGAAGTTTCTAAATATACCCGATCTGTGTCCTCCTGCTGCCACACCAGGGAATCAAAGCTGGGTTCATTAAACTCCGAAGACCCTGTACTGTCAATTTCACTCACATCAGTGTATCATGAGCATTTTATACTAACTGAGAGGGGTTCAAAAGGAGATCATGAAACATTTCTGCATTTATTAACAAAAGTGTTGTTTATCTTATTGATTTTGAAGTTAACAGAGTACATCACAATACACACACATCACCTCCCTCCTCTCTTTCTACCATTCCTCCATCAATATTAAGATGAAATTAAAGCTATATCTCGTATTATGATTCCTTGAATATTATTGTGATGAAGAATACATTAGACAAATTTCATTTATTGCACGAGGATATGCTGATCTGTGAGAGCTAAGCTAATGTCAGCTAGTAGGCAAACTGCCCAAATGTTTTTTTTCTAAAACCAAACATCCAGTTTTTCAGAAATTTTGTTCAAACCTGATTAAGAAACTGCATTAAAATAACCAGAAAGAAACTGTCTGTTTAGCCTTTTAAGCATCACCCACCATGAATAAGATTTAGAATAGAGTATAGACTAGAAAAAAAATCCTATATTGCTATTCTGGACTTCAGTCTGCCTGTTTGCAGCTTTGTCTGCAGCCCATTCACAAAGAATCATGAACAATGGATTAATCTTTTTATGATGCCATGATATATCTCATTACTTCCTCGGTTGTAATGCTCTGGCTGACATGTGTAGGCTGGCTGTGGGTGAGCTGAAGAGCTGGGCATGCTTGTTGAGGATGATCCAGAGCAGGCGTTGCTAATATGAAGCTTGAGTACAGAAAGCCTCCTTTGTCTCTTTGGGATTTAATGAGTCTGTGATAGTGTTGTGAGCCGGCCCTGAGAGCTCCATGTAGACACAGTCTCCAACAAGGAGGGCTATTGTGTGATGAGGTGATGTTTGTGTATGTGTGTGTGTTAAGTATGTGTCCTTATAATCTGTGGGTGGCAGTTGGCTTCAGGTCTGATGGAAAAGGGGCTCATTTATGTCATTTGAAGTGGGCAACTCACAATACTGTGTTGTATTGTTGTGGTGAATAGTTTTTGATCTGAGCTTCATTTGAAATGGCTTCATGTGAGTACGCATACAGAAAACTTTAATAACAGTATCTACAATTTTATACAGTGCTTATGTCTATATAACTGCTGTTTACAAAATCAATAGTTTGATTTTAATTTTGTAGTTCCCACTTATGATTCAATTAATGATAAACCTTGTGATAAAATAACAGTATTCTTCCATTAAGCGTCCTCCTGTTCAAAGATTTTACAGATCAGTAATAAAGGAAAAGGAAAGTCACTTATTCCAGCTCCAAAATACTACAGATTGTTGCAGATAGATTTCATGTCAGACAAGTCCTTACCTTTCATTTCTAGCTGTTTGCTGTGATCTTGAACATAAGCAGTTAACTGATCATCTTGTGAGCTTGCTTGTGTCATATATATTTTTTGTTTTGCCATTCAACGTCTCAGTTTATACCATTTATTTGCCTGTCATTCACAGAACGTCCAATGTAATTTTTCCTACACATACACACTCCTAATCTTGTTTGTTGTGTTCCAAGTATAGCCATGCTGTGCAAAGGTAAATTGCTGTGACCTTTCCCCATCTCTGACTCCCGTCTGTTCTCCTTCCCAGTGGCTACCATGACAACAGAGGCAAGTGCGGTGAGTGAGGCGGACACTGAGGGCAAGCAGAAGACGAGTGGTGCTGAGCCAGAGCCTGAACCAGAGAACAAGCAGAAACCAGAGGCGGCAGCATCCGAGCCAGAGGGGGAGCCTTCAAGCAAGAAGGCCCAGGACCAGGCCTCCGAGCCTGCGACTGCTGACGCAGCGACCTCCCCTGAGGAGGAGCAGCTGAAGCCTCGTACTCGGACCTCAGCTGGCAAAGGCCTATCTCGCCTCTTCTCCTCTTTCCTCAAACGTCGCTCGCAGTGCTCTGAGGGAGAGGGGTTCGAGGCAGAGAAAGTGAGGGAGGAAAAGGAAGACAAAGAAGAAAAAGCTGACAAGACAGAAGAGAAGACAGAGGGAGAAGTGAAAAGTGAAGAGAAGGAGGCTAAAGCAGAAGAGGAGAAATCAGAGGCAAAAGAAGTAAAAAAGAAAGAAGAGGAAAAAGTTGAGCAGAAAGAGGAGAAAAAGAACGAAGAGGAGAAAGTTGAGAAAAAAGGCAGTAAAAAGAAAAAGAAAGACGCCAAGAAGAAAGTAGACAAAAAGGATGAGGAGAAAGTGAAACAGGAGGAGGAGGCAAAGGAAGGTGAAAAAGTGAACAAAGAGGAACAGAAAGAGGATGAAAAAGCCCAACAGGCAGTAAAAAAGGAAAAGGAGGAGGAAAAAACAGACACAAAAGAAGAAGATAAAAATGAGGCTGAAGAAGTAGAAGAAAAGGAGGCAGAAGCTGAAAAGAAAGAAAGTACAGAGGGGGAACATATTGACAAGAAGACTGCAAAAAGAAAAGAAAAGGAGGAAAAAATAAAGAAGAAAGAAGAAGAAAAAGCCAAGAGGAAAGCAGAGGAAGAAGAAAAGCAAAAGAAGAAAGAGGAAGAGAAAGCAAAAAAGAAGGAGGAAGAAAAGACAAGAGAGGCCGAAAAAGCAAAGAAGAAAGAAGAGGAAAAAGCAAGGGAGGCCGAAAAAGCAAAGAAGAAAGAAGAAGAAAAGGCCAAAAAGAAGGAGGAGGAAAAAGCAAAAGAAGAAGAAAAGACAAAAAAGAAAGAGGAGGAGAAGGCAAAAGAGGAGTCGAAAAAGAAAGAAGAGGAGAAAGTGAAAGAAGAGGCAAAAAAGAAAGAGAAGGAAGAGGAGAAGAAGGAAGAAAAACAAAAGAAGGAGGAGGATAAAGGGAAGAAAAAGGAGAAAGGGAAGAATAAGGGAAAGAAGGAGGCGAAAAGTGAGGAGCAGGTGAAAGCGCCCATCGCTGCTCCTGAGCCTGAGCTGAAAACTGAGCCAGAAGCTGAGCAAGCTCCAGATCAGCACTCGATAAGCAGTGCAGAGACACAGGTGAGGATGAAACACACGGATGTTAGACCAGTACCACATCTCTACTGCCCACCACATCCATGTCGTTCAGATACTCAAGGTTCCAGCCAGCAGCCACTTAGCTTAGCTGAGCATTAGGAGTAGATCAGGAGAAACAGTGAGCTTGACTTTGTCTTAGGGTATCAAAATACACCTAACAGCATCCTTAAAGCTCTTTAATTGACACCTACCATCTCGTCTCTTTAATCTGTACAAAATCTCATCTGTAGAGAAAACAAATAATAGTTTCTCAGGGGATTATTTGCCAGACTATTTCTTGGTCTGGTGCAGGGAGTTCCTGCAGTCTGGCTGGTTGCCAATGTGATAACAAGATTTTCGGTAATATCTGCTCCAGGCCAGGAAATAGTCACGCACATTAAGCGCAGTTGTAAAAATAAACAGAAAACCCTACGTATTATTGTGCACTTTTGATTTGCAGTTTCAATAGATCTTGAGCATGGTTGTGAAATAATTAATGAGCTTTTTTAGCGCAGGTTGACAGATTGGATTTTGCTCTCCTCAAGCTTTTATGATCAGTTGGCTTTGGATCCAGTTAAACGCTCCAAAAATACATGTCTGTTAATGTCATACCTCTGCTTTAATCGAAAAAGGATCAGGAGGAGACTCAGAAATGGTCACTATCTCAAATGCTGCTCCAGTTAAAGGTCAGAAACAGAGTTTGAGTGTAGTAAAGGGAACACATGTTTCTTTTTCTGTAATGAATTTTTTATGATGTGGACAGCTTGGACAGCTTGCTCAGCAAAAGTAACCCTGCTGGTTTGAGCTGAAAGCTTGATCTGAAAAAAAAAAAGAGAGGGTCCATACTGCTCTGAACTCTCTCTCTGTAGTTGGATTCATTAAAATGCTTTCATCACTTATATGTACAGTGTGTTCTGCCTCTTTCTTTTCATCTTTATTTAACATACTTTGCAAATTTCTCATGTTGACTCTTCCAGCAAGCTCAAGAGGAACACAAGGACGAATCCTCAATAAAAAAGGAGCCCGAAGCAGTGAAAGAAGTTGAAGAAGAGGACGCAGACAAAAAAGAAGAGGAACCTGCCGAACAGACGGAAGAAGTGAAGGGAGAGGAGAACGCCAAGGAGGTGTCAAAGAAGGAAAAGACTGTGAAAGATAAGAAAACAGAGAAGAAAGCAGACGAGGGAAAAGGCTCCAAGCGTCAGAAAACCATGCACTGCAAAGTCACCTTACTGGATGACGCTCAGTTTGAGTGTGAGCTGGATGTAAGCGATCTAAGAGACTACCTTATGTCATGAATATCGCTTGTGTCAAAGATTGATGTACTTTTGTCAGTTCATTTACATTCCCCCTCGATCTGTCTGTGTCTCTTACTTGTGTAGAAACATGCCAAAGGCCAAGAGCTTTTGACAAAGGTCTATGACCATGTCAACCTGTTGGAGAAAGACTACTTTGGCCTCGCTCACTGGGAGACCCCAACAAACAAAGTGAGTTGTTTTTTAACTACCCTGCAAATGCATTTTGACATTAAACAGGCAAGAAGCCTTTCAGTAATACTTGAGTTCCTTTATTTTCTGCAGACCTGGCTGGAGGCAACCAAAGAGATAAGAAAACAGGTTCCAGGTGCTGTTTATGAGTTTACATTTAACGTGAAGTTCTACCCGCCTGATCCAGCACAGCTCACCGAGGACCTCACTAGGTAAATATTTAATGTGTTTAAAGAACTTTCCCACATCTGCTGTAAATGTGCTTATTTCTGTTGTGCTGACTGTTTTTCCTCAATCTTTTTCAGGTACTTCCTGTGTCTCCAGCTTAGGAAAGACATCATGCTTGGTGTGCTCCCCTGTTCCTTCGTTACGCTGTCCCTCCTGGGCTCATACACAGCCCAGTCAGAGCTTGGAGAGTATGACCCAGAGACACATGGAACAGACTACGTTAAGGAGCTGAGCCTGGCCCCGGGACAGAGCAAAGAGCTGGAGGACAAGGTGATGGAGCTGCACCGCACATACAGGTAATATAAGTCAGTGACCATTGATTGAAGAAAGACTGTACGTTTGCTTTTCTTCTGCTTTGATTCAGTTTGACGATGACAGTAGACATGTAGTCTGTGTGTAAGGAACCGTTAATGACAGACTGTTGGAGGAGTCCTTCATATAATCAATAAACAGTAAAACACACGACATACCTTTCTTATCTGTGTTTTCTCAGGTCAATGATTCCAGCACAAGCAGACATGTTGTTTCTGGAAAATGCCAAGAAACTCGCCATGTATGGAGTTGACCTGCATCAGGCCAAGGTAAGTTTGTGACCTGCAGATCAGACTCTTTTCATCAATGTTAAAAGTCTTTTTTACAGTAATGTGACAGAGTATATACTGACTGTTTTGTTTATTGAATTACCATAAAATCACTTTTGCAACAAAATGATGGTTTTAAATCAGTTGCTGATTTTTAATTACAAAATTGATGTCAACCTCTGTTCAGAAAAAAAAGAGAGATTAATAATTTTTTGAACTCCATGACCTCGAAATCCCGGTCCTCATACTGTGAGGAAGTCTGCCGCCCAGTGACCGTTCTTCGTAAGTGCAGAGTGAGTGAGACGAAATATCATGGCTGCTCACTGTTGTTGTGCCCGCAGGATCTGGATGGTGTTGATATCACACTGGGGGTTTGCTCCAGCGGTCTGATGGTTTACAAGGACAAGCTGAGGATCAACCGTTTCCCCTGGCCCAAAGTGCTTAAGATCTCCTACAAACGCAGCAGCTTTTTCATCAAGATCCGTCCATCTGAGGTGAATACAAATGAACATTCACTTGAGTTTTTGGATTATTTTTGAGTCTACATTTAGCTATCAACAGAAACATAAATAGTTGTATTTAATTAATAGCTGTTCCCTCATTTATTATTATGACTTTACTACATTAGACTCAAACACAGGTTGTATGTCATTTTACACTGGATGTGAAGTGTAGTTGTCTATTCCAAAAAGACATTGTATGATGTTAAGCTAAATAAACTTTAAAAATGTACAACTAAACTTCAGCTTGATGGTATACACATTTAAGCTGATATTTATTATTTGTGAAGATTGATAGGTTTTAAAGTATGTTGACTCGCCCAGCTCTAAGTTGTAGTACATCAGGTTTTATGTTCTGTACCAGAACAGTGTCGTCAAAATAATGATACCTTATTAACAACTGAGTGGATGTTTGTTTTCTTCACCTTCAGCAAGAGCAGTATGAAAGCACGATTGGCTTCAAACTGCCCAACTACAAAGCCTCAAAGAAGCTGTGGAAAGTTTGTGTGGAACACCATACCTTCTTCAGGTAAGTCCAGGTCCTTCTTGCCGTACTGTGAATGACACTTCCTTCTTCGCAGAGGTCATTCTCAGGTTCTGTCTTACCCTGAGATAATTGGCTCACTGGTCTCTGCAGCTTAAGCCCTATATTGGCTCGCTGGCAGTTTAACTAGAGAGGAAGAGCTACGTGTCCGTGGTCCTGACCTTAGAATTAAACCTCAAAGGTTGTTGCTACCTAATAAAGGTCAGAGTGGTTGCTATCCTTGTTACATAACATTGACGACTTTAAGGGAATACCAAATCCTATGATGTCACATGAGTAATGCTGCGTTTGAGTTACCTCGGAAGTCAGATGTCGGAGCTGACAATGACGTCACACCCAAGTTCCCAGCGTTTCAGTTACCAAGTCGTAACAAAGCAAAATCGGAGGCGAGGTTTTTTAGCGCTTGCCTTATATTCAGACATGGCAAGCACTAAAATAACTTTCCTGGATGTAGCCATCTTGTTTCCGCCTCTGATTTTGCTTTGTTCTGACTTGGTAACTGAAACGCTGGTAACTCGGGTGTGACTTCATTTTCTGCTCCGACATCTGACTTCCGAGGTAACTCGAACGCAGCAGTAATCTGTATTTGAGTTCCTGGAACAGTGGGTTTGTTACTTTTAAGAGTAAAAATTAAAAAGTGTTTGTCTTTTTTTTGGTGTCCCTCAGGGTTCCCACAGTAGAGCCCCCGTCATCGCGCCGCTTCCTCGTCTTAGGATCTAAGTTTCGGTACAGCGGACGCACTCAAGCTCAGACCCGCCAGGCCAGCTCCATGATCGACCGCCCTGCTCCTCGTTTTACACGCTCTGCAAGCAAGAGGCTGTCTCGTAACCTCGACGGAGGTAAGAACAAGCGTGAACCCATGTGGGAATCCCGTTGTCCCTGTATATCTTGTGATAAAAACACAGTTTAAATATCTGCTCAATGAAACGCTTGCACTTGCAGCTGGAGATGAAACTCTCCAGCTCCTGCAGCTGCTCTCAGCACCAGTCAGGTCTGAGGTTGATGATTGGCCGCTGATGCTGACATCTGACCAACCCAGACTTTCTACTGAATTCTCAGGTACCAGGAACTGTGTGAAGCTGCATCTGTGCTTTCCGCCATATGTGCAGCCTTATCGCCTCATTGAACATGCTCATCTGTACTTGCTCATTTGCTTTAATGCTGGAAAATGAGTCATAATGAAACTGCGTCTCAGCTGCAGCATTCGCGTTAGCTGAACTCTTCTTGACTTGTGGGCAATATCACCCATTTTGTACCCTCCCTGGCTTGATTCTTGAGTGTTTTTGGTCACGGAAGAGGAAATGAGTATCTTCACTTCCAGTCTTGAGGCTGCAGTTTCTGATTTTTTGCTAATGTTACAGTTTCTGCTTGACATATGTTGCTTAATCTGCCTTCAGCTTGCACCTCTTAAATTCAGCGCTTTAACCGACCAACGCATCAGTGACATTAAAACAAGATAAAGCTGGATCACTGAAAAGACAACACCAGTTTTGCTTTGTTTATCTGCTCTCGTTCTGCAGAAGCAGAGGCATCTCTCATACAGCTCTTTACTAACCTCGTCTTGCTGGACTCACAGAAGTTGAGTACAAATCCCTGGCATCTGGCTTTGTTGAAGAAACTTGCTCGAAGCGCTTTGAAGCATTCACACACACTGGCCGCGGTTTCTCCAGCAGAATCATTACATAACTGCCATCACCTCATCATCTCTTCACAGCTGGGGGGGAGTCTGAGCAGACTTCTATTCAGTCCTGGGAGGAGGGACAATCTGCTCAAACAGTCAGGGTGACACGGCAAGACACTGAGACCAAGCAGACCAACTCTCAGACAGTCGCTGAGACTGAGCTGTTATCAGGGGAGCAACAGCAGAGGGGAAAGGAAGACTCGTGGTCTTCCTCCTTCCATCGCCATCCTCCTTTTCCTTTTGTCCCGCCTTTTGATTTTGTGAAACAGCCAGGTATTTGCACTTTCAGGATATTTATTATCATAAAATCTGACCCTGGAAAACCGAATCTTTCGCTTTGGCTTTAGTTAAAAAAAGATGGAGTGCTTGAAATCTATTTTACTGCAACAATCTTTCACCTTGCGAATCAAGTCGTAAATGTATCCACAAATGTGCTGCTCCTGCACCTCATTTCATAGTATTACCAGTTAGATTTGTATGTTGGTTTCCTCATCCAATACTAAAATTGTCGCTGTTATTTTCTAATGTCAGCTAAGCTCAGCTTTGCAAAAAGGAGCTCTGTGGACAGACTGATGCAATTAACGACAGCACAGCAAGATGATTGGTTCATTTACTTTGACCGTATTCTGCGCCCTTTCTCCCCTGAGCCTGTTGACAAACCAAGTGAGTTACCTTGTGTGGAAATATGACCTTACTTTTGACCCTTTTAATATTTGAATTCCTTTTGTGGCTCATTAACTCTCTGTTTATACCCTCTCAGCCCCCTCTCTGGTTCAGTCTGAACTCCGTGAGGAAGATGAGCAGGTCATGTATGAATTGGAGCAGGAACAGAGCAAAGAGGAGACCATTAACAAGCTTCAGGGAATGGTGGTGTTGGTGGACAAGGTGATAGAGACTGAAGTCTTGCAAAGTAAGCTGAGGGAGGTGAGAGGTTTCGAGGAAGGGCTTCAGGAAGTGGATGAGATGGCAGAGAGACTCCAGGGAGTTATAGAAGAAGTACTGGGTAAGGAGGAGGTTGAAACGTTAAGAAAGGAATCAGTGGTGAAGAAATCACAGAGGAGATTAGAGGTAGCTGAGGGTGAAGAAGTGGATGAACTGGAGGAACAGATAGTGGAGGTGTTCCTAAAAGACATGCTGCCTGAGGATGATGAGGTAAAGCAGGAGACTGAGAGAGAGGTCATCAAGAGGGATGGATTGGAGGAGGACTTTCAAGAGAAGTTACAGCTGATTGAAACAAAATGGACGGAGAAAGTGGGTGAAGTTAAAATCAAGCAGGAGACTAAAATAGAGGTCATCGAGGGAGGAGAGCTGGATGAAGACTTGAGAGAAAAGCTACAGCTGATTGAAAAAGAATGGAAAGATAAAGTGGAGGCAGTCGATACCGAGCAAGAGACTAGAGTAGAGGTAGTCATAAAAAGTCAGCTGCAGAGGATGGAGGAGGAATCCAAGGACACATTGGTTACCAAGGAGGAAACTAAAATTGAGGTAATCAAGAAAGGGGAGGTAGATGACGCCATGATGGAGGAGTTACAGCAAGAATGGAAAGAGGAATTGGGTCTCACTGATGGTGCCTCTGCTTACCAGAGAGTTGAGCGTAGGGTCAAAAGGAAAAGAGTGACTGTTGTAGATGAGAGAGAGGTGAAACAGGGAGACATGGAGGATGTGATATCAGGGGAGAGGCTAGAAATAGAGGGAACGTGGCAAAAGATAGAGATCCAGGAGACAACCGAGAGGACAGTCACAGAGAGGCTCCAGGTTTGGGATGAACCTGAGGTGGCAGAGAAGGATGACTGGTTCATACTGTTTAACCGCCCTCCATATACAGCTGTTGTCAGACCACCAGGTACAGTATGATTGTGTACAAGCAGGCTTACACCAAGACTAAAGTTTCCTCTCATGAATTTTGCATTTAAAGAGACTACTAGATATACTAACAGGCTCCGCTCTTCATTGTCCTTCTGTTTAGTTGTTGTTTATGCTGACTAATCCATAAACAAAGCTGCGTACAGTCGTAACAAAACAGCAAAATCAACATACATTTGATTTTTTTTTTCTCCCACTCATCATTAGTTGTGACCGTGGAGCGTGCTCAGGTTGATGAAGGCGAGTATGTAACCACGGTGACTGAAATTACGACCCTCAAGGTGACAACTGAGATTTCAACCCTTGAGGTAGAATCTGAGTTAAAAACTCTCGAGAAAGAAACTGAGATTACGGTAGAGGAGAAGAGAGAAAAAGAAGAAGAAGTGTGGCTCGCTCCAGCAATTCCCTCACAGAAGACCATCAGAGAGAGGGATGATGACTGGTTTGTGCTGCTGGACATTATTCCCAGAGAAACGCTTTATGTACCTCCAGGTATCCTTGTCGCACTGGCTCTCTATTGCTTTTTTTTGTGTGTTGCTAATCCAGAGTGCCCAAGTGTCACTCACTGCTCATGTCTCTCCTGACTTTCCTCCCAATCAGTTAAAAGAGACATGCCAGATGCAGAAAGTTTTGTCTCTGTGGTCCAAACTGCAGCCGTGAAGGAGATTAGAGAGGTAGTGTCTGAAGAGGGAAAGATAATCGAAGAGGCACAGAGAGATCTCCAAGTAATCCCACGACAGCCTGTGACAGGCAGAGACGATGACTGGTTTGTGTTGCTGAATGTTGTTCCCAGAGAGACTTCATATGTTCCACCAGGTAGGGCTGAAATAAAGCCTTTGTGCTGCTCTCACAGCTTCATCAAAGCAAGCAATTATCCTGAGCTTTTCAGACATCTTATCCCTAAATCCCTCTGCACTGTCCACAGTGGCTGAGCATGTTTATCTCTTTTTGTTTTAGCTGCTGGTGCAGAGCGTGTTGAAGTGTCTCCAGAAGGCCGCGTCTCAGTGGTTGAAGATACTGTTGAAAAGAGGGAGAGAAAATTGGAAGTTGTTGTAGAAGAGGTTGAAAAAACACAAACACAGAGTGAAATTCAAGCAGTAACACTTCCACAGACTGTGAGTTTGACAGAAGATGACTGGTTTGTGCTGCTTGATTACCTGCCCAGAGAAACATCATATGTGCCACCAGGTATTATTGACTTCCTTTCAAATCCTCCGGTTTAAAAGCTTATTGTCAGTGTCTAACAACAAACCTTCATTTTTTTCTGTCATTAGTTACTGTGGCAGAGGATTTCCAGATTTATCCTGAAGAAAGCACCCAAGTTGAAACTTTAACTGTAGTGTCTACAAAGATGGTTAAAGTAGAAGAGACTGTGGTGCAGAGAGAGGACGAGAAGCTTATTTCAGAGCAGAAATTATTCAAACCAGTGATAGAAAGAGATGACGACTGGTTTCTTCTGCTGGATGTTCTTCCTAGAGAAGTTACCTATGTGCCTCCAGGTACCTGAGTCCTGCAGGATTATGTATATGTCATTATTTTAAGGCTTTGTCTGAGTATTTCCTTTGAATGAAGTTTGAGTAAAAATTCTTTGTTTACAGTTTCTTTGGCAGCACCAGTTCAAATCCTGTATCCAAGAATTCAACCTCAATCTGAAGTGATAAGCACAGAGCAAAAGTTGCAGCGGGTTGAATTCGAGCAGATTAGACCGCAGCCTACACAGCCTCTGCTAGTGAGAGACGATGACTGGTTTGAGCTGTTTAATGCTGTCCGTGAAGAGACAGTCATAGAACCAAGAGGTATTTAGCTCATATTCGTCTGCACTACGTGGTCACATATTTTCACAAAGTTTTTAAAGCTCCTGTGAGGCTTTCTGTTTGTTGATTTGGTGCCCCCTGTGGGAAGATTGGTAACTTAAACCATTTTGCAGGATTGTTCTGCACCTGGATGAACTGTTTCTTTTTTTTCTTTTTTTTTTTGACCAAAAAAAATAATCCCACTTCATTTGAATATCCAAAAGTATCTCTCTGTAATAATCTTTGCTGGAGAAGATGCAGGAAAAAAAAGGCTGTTTTGGCAGCATTATGTTGGTCACCCTGTTTGACACAAACCCTGTGCCAGCGTTTGAAGCCACTGAAAATAACTATATGGAATATTTCACAGTTGTTTTTTTTTTTTTCAAAGGCCATAAAAAGGCATGGATGTTAATTTCAATCTCTTTGATAATCAGCTAAGAACCATTCACAGGAGCTTTGAGATACTCATGGTAATTTACACTTGGATGTGCTTATGTGGCTCCGCGTGTTGATTCTTGTGTGTCTTTGGTAGTCATTCCTGGAAAGATTGCTCCGTATATAAGGACGTCATTGGAGGCTGAGGTGAAAACCACTGAGACCACAACATGGAAGAAGACGATAATTAGTGTGGAGATCAGGCAGGATGAGACACGTCTGTCTGAAATTAGACAATACCAAATGACACCAACGTCAGAGAGAGAAGGTAGAGATGATTGGTTTATCCTTTTCGACCGCATCTATGAAAAACCCGCTTTCATTCCAAGAGGTACATTTCATTGCCGCGGACTCTACTTATACTATGCAATAAAAAGTTTGACTGTACAGCTTAAAAAGATCAAACAAAAACTGAGGGTTGAACTATTTGCATCAGATTTATTTACTCACATTTTCTCAATCAGTGGCTCCGGTTGAGCGTTTTGTGGATGTGGTTGCAGCTGCTGAACCAAAATCAAAACCCTACATGGAAGACTTTAGACCAGCTGTTAGGCTGACAGAGGTCGAACCACCAAAACCAAGACAGGTGGATGATGACTGGTTTGTTCTGCTGAGAGTCGCAGAAAAAGCACCAGGTATTCTGTTGTTCCCTTAAACAGTCACAGAAATAAGATGGCATCTGTTTGTGCTTCACAGCCTGAAATTTCATGAATGAATTTGACATAAATTAAGTCGAACTGTGCATCGGCTAAGAAAAGTTTGTGTGCATCAGTTTCTGTAGATGAACGTCTACTCAGGCCTCCTGAAGTTAGACCAGCTGAAGTGTTTGTGGTGAAAGAGCGGAGGGTGCAGCAGAGAATGGTGATGGTGGAGGAGAGGTGGCAGCAGGAGAAGATAGTGCTGCAGAAACCACGTGCAGCAGTGAGAGAGGTGGAAGATGATTGGTTCATACTTCTGGAAAAACCCACCAAGAAATCAGGTATAAAAAATGACTTGGTCTAGTTCTACCAAAGTGGATTATTTCTTAGATTGACCGTTTTTACTTAGATCTACATTTAAAGTCTACTTCAGGTCAAATACAAGTGACCTCATATCTTGATTAGTTTCCACAATAATACCTGGTTGTGTATTTGTATTAGTCCCTGTCCCTGAACGCATCCAGTTCCCAGCAGAGGTGAGAGCTCCACCTGCTGCCGTCAAAACAAGGGTTACAATTCCCAAGATGAGGCCGCGGTTTGAGGAACGAATCCTGGAGGAAAGGCGTCCGATCACTAGCAGACATGTCGATGATGACTGGTTTGTTCTGCTAGATGTTGCCCAAAAGGAGTCAGGTATTTTGTGTGTATGGTTTGTTTTTGTTGCAGACTAAGAAGCTCATGTGCTTACTTTGCTATGTGAAATGCTTATTAACACGTGTAGCAGGACACACTGACTTGTCTCGGCATGAGACTTTGTCCACGAATGGTAGCGCTGCTTCATCATCATTCAGAAACCTCTGACCGTGCAGTTTATGTCTGGCTGAAGAAAAACAGACATTTTCTCCTTGTCACTTGAGCTTTTCATCGATGAGCTGCGTATCTCACTGCCTAACATCGTCTTGCATTCGCTACCTCCGTCAGACTTACAAGACCTACTGCTTTTTGCTCTTCTTCTGCTTTTGGACATCTTCAGATCCTCTGAAACAGGAACTGAAAGAAGTGAATGAGGTACAGTATACCCCTGCAGCGTGAGCAATATCATGATTTCTTGAAACTGTAAGTATAGTGTGGCTCTTTGCACAGATGCACTTTTGCTTTTCAGTTTGTTCCTGTGTTTATCTGTGTCTGTGTCCTGTAAGAGATCATGATTGTGTCACCTGTGTGTTGGATTTTGTCTCACCTTGAGATGATTTGCAAGAATCTATTTCCTTGAGTTCACGTTTCCGTTTTGTCTGATTTCTTTCTAGTGGTGAGCTTGCAGAGGGGCGCTCGTCCTGTCAGTGCTCCAGTCTTCTCCCAGGCTGCTCTGGCAGAGGCAGGCATCCCCATGGCTCCTCTGGATCAGCTCCAGACCTCCACCCCTATCAAGACCGGCCGCCTGGAGGAGAGGAGGCTGGAGGTCACTGTCGAGGCAGTGGAGCCCTCGAAAATCGAGACAGTGGTTGAGGTCAAGGTATTCAAATTGTTGTTTCCTGCTGTAATTGTTGTTATTCTCCATTTGCTTATGTGTAGCTTATGTGAGTGTATAGACCACAAACACCCTACAGCTGAGCTGGTGCAAGCACAGGATAAACAAATCATTTTTGATATGTCTTCATAAAGAGTGTCTGGGTGTTGTGATCATAGATAATGATAAGTTTGAAACATAAAGGACTAATGTCTTGCACACAATGCTGAAGTAGTGAGCAGAGGTTGTTCTCTGTGTCTGAGTGTCATCTGTGTCTCTCTTGCTGCTGTAGCCAGCAGTGTGGAGAAAGCAGAGAGAAGTAGACTCTTCACTGATAACCACCATCAATGGGGAAATTAAGGTTAGTGTCAGACACTGACCTCTAGTATGTCTCGGCTTACAAGACTTGTTTCCTTTAAATAGTTTAGATGTGAGTGTTAAAGCCAACACCGCAGAGGATGCTAACTGGTGTCCTTCTCTCCTCCCTTGGGTTAGCACGAGACCGTGAGCACGGAGGTGGTGCAAATGCGAAAGGTCAGACTCTTTAGCCTCGTCTGCGTCTCCGTAGCCATTTCTCTACCTCCATTCTGATAATGTCAAGCTAATCATCCAAAAAACTAATTTCACCCTCTTCTCATGTTGTGCTTCCATATGGCTAGGCCTTAAATGAAATCGACATCAGGTTCGATGCTCATACAGTATACTTAAAGAGGTAGACAAATGTAAAATTAATAAGTCAGTTGTCTCATAAAGAGATTCTTCATTTTTATTATTAGAGAATTGATAAGGCATTCATTTCGTTTCATTGCTTGCTGTTGTAAACACTGAATGCACACTTGCATGACTCTGTTTGAGGTGCACCTGACTAAAAGTGGCATGTCGACAGGTGTTTCATCACATTTCTGTCACTCCACCATTCTTTGTTTTGGTTTTATGATAGAAGTAGAAACCTAAAGTCGGCCGTAGGTTCTTTGCTTTGTAAGTACTCAGGAGTTTGGCCACTAAGGTCACATAATCCTGCATGCAGACTCCTAACAGCTCTCCCTGTCTGTTGTATTAACAGTAGTGAATTTTGTAGCATGCATGTCTCTGGTGTGGCAGTTTGATGCCAGCACACGGGGAAACTGAAACAAACCCACACTCTTTGTTCTTTTCATTTTTCACAGAAAAAGAAAATTGAGGGTGACACAATTTATAAAAGACATAGCTTTTTTATGTTGGAGGTTTGTATTCCTTCCGGAGGTGTCAGTCTCTATCTATATTTTCTTGCTCTTTGGCACACCGGCTGCTGTTTAATATCACGCTTGCATGTGGCATGATTTGCACTATCTGCGTCAGCTTAATTGATGGCTATAGATACACTATGAATGTTTGTGTGTGTGCGTATGTGTGGCAGTGTAACTCTAATCCTGTTGTTTCAGGAGATTGCTGTTGAATTTACCACAAATAGGTGATGGGTTTTGCTCAAGGTTCAGGATTGAGACAGTTTTACCCCACAGCATCCTAAAACTGTCCTTAATGCTCTGGGATGAGTGAAGCTTTTAAGGGGCTGTAAGGGTTTTTCAGATCCCTTTTAACTCTTTCAGTCAAGGTGTACAGTCCTTTTTTTCTCCCCCAGATCATCAGTATTCTCCTGGTTTTGCTTTTGCTATTTCCACATCCATATCATATTCTAACCTGCCAGTGACGCCCTGCACTTTCTCAGCTTTTATGCACATAAACTGTTTTGGCCATAGCAGAAATCTAAATCTAAATAATCGTGTACATTTGTTCTTGTTTATTGAGACATTTTTGGAGAAACACTTAACATTAAGTTGCTCTTTGGCATCAAAAAAAGCCAAAAATCACTGTGAACAAACACTCAATCTTTGGTTAAATTGTTGTTAGAAGTACATTTGGAGTAATTATCTTCCTCTTCTCAGATCAACTTGATGCTAAATGTTGTTAATCAGTGCTGTTTGTGTTGCTGTTGTTTAACCCTATGAGATAAACGGGTTCTCATCTATAGTGCAGCTTCATCCTTGACGTTTTTTCTGCTGTTATCACCTCTTCTGCTATTTGATTTGCAGCCTGTGTGTTCACCAAGTGTTTCACTTCAAGCCTAATGCTAAAAAATTAGCGGTCTATAGTTATAAACTCCATAGTTTATAGCTCCCGCCCATGCAAGTGATACCACCTTTGATAAATCACAGCACTGCCTCATTGGAATCTGTCCATTTGAAGCCAAAGTCTTGTCTCATCAATCAGCTGCAAGACGGGATCTTTAATTTTGAAAAGGAGTTGCTGTTAATCTATCAAGGATCCTCATAGTTTGATTACTTACATCAATGTCCCACCCTCCGCAATTTGTGTTGCCTTACGATCACCGATTAATTCTGCTTCTGCTTGTTTTTTAATCTGCAGTAATAAAACAACACAAATTCTTCAGAAAGCAACCCATTCTGACTTTTTTCCCCTTTTTTTCCATTCTTTCCCAACTACAAACATACCCCTCATCTTCCCTTTCACCCTCCATCCATCAACTCTAATGCCATCCCGTACTTCGTAAATTCCCCTCCACATTGTTGTCTTCATCCACCATGGCCTCCCTCCATCCCCCCTTCCCTCCTTCACACTCTGCCACGCTCTGTGTAGGAGTTTGATAAGCCTCAAGAGGACTTGCGCAGGCATCACGCCAGTATCAGCGAACTCAAGAGGAACTTCATGGAAGCCGCTCCTGAGCAGAAACCCAGCGAGTGGGACAAACGCCTTTCCACACACTCTCCTTTTCGCACCCTGGGAATCAATGGTCAGCCTCTGGCCAGTGCAGATGGGGTAAGTCTTCAATGGTGATCACTCAACTTATAAGTCCTTTCAGTCTGTCAGGAGCTAGAACATTAAGCAAATATACAGATAGAGTACAACACTGAGACTTTAAGTGATGTGGTTAAAGCTATATTTAGATGAATGTTGTCTGCATTGTTTTTTTGTTGTTGTTTTTTTTGGATTGACAGTAAAACATCCCTGCACTATTGTGGACAGTGTGCATGTGTTTGTGATGGAACAGAAGAACCTGAAATTCTTGCTAACAACAGAGCGTTTGAGTTATTTTTAAAAGTGCATCAAAGAGAAACTATTTTTACACAATGCTCATGTTCAAACAAAAGAATCTGACAGAAGAAGGGATCAGGCTCTTCTCGTTGTCATTCCTGGCTCTTCCATGGCTGAATGAGCTGTGTGTGCATGTACAGACCTATTCAAGGCTTTAGCATATGGTATGCAGCAGCACATGCATGTGTATGTGGAATGCAGATGGATTCGTTGAATAAGGTCTGTACTTTGGTTTATTTCTAAAAAAAAAAAAAAAAAACGATTGATGTGTGTAAGGCATCTTTGGGGACAGCTTGTCCCCTCTCTGAGAACACACTCTGGTTCACCTTAACTGCACTGGATGCCTCTGTACGCTGACATGTTTGTACTGCATGACTGACTGACTGGACGATCGGAGATTACTGCATGACTCAGAGTTGACCCTCATGAATTTCTGCACGCTCTGTCTCTGAGCAGAATGAACTCTTCCCCCTCTTCATTCATTCGGATCATTTTTTGCTTTGTGCACTCTCACTTTCTCTGTGCAACACATTTTTCGCTTCTGCTTTCTCAAAAGCCTCAGTTGTTTTCCATGAGGAGACGAAGCCTCATTCACAGTGGTATCAGCAGTTTTTGCCCTATAAAAGATCATGTGTGCAATAATATCAGGATTTCAGTGTAAAAATGTCAATAATATCAAACTATCATTGCTAAAGAAAAAGTATGTTCCCCTTATTAAATTACTAAAGTAATCCAGTGGTAGGGCTGGGCAATAAACCGAAAATTTACCGATACTGAAATTTACAACATCAGTTTGCCCATGTCAATATATTTGGTGCCAAAAAATAAATAAATAAAAGTTGGTTTTGGATGTGTGTAGGTAGGCTTTGGTCTTATGTCCCTTTAAGATGCTGTTCTACATCAGAGATGTGATTCCACCCCATCCAGTCCGTAACAAAGAGGGAAAGACAGGTGAGGAGATGGAGGACGGTTCAAAAGTTGTAGCGGCTAAAGCGGCAGCTGAAGCAGACGAAGTCAGTGTGGGAGGGGGTGAGCAGCTTGTGGAGTAGTTATCATCCATTTATCGTTATCGAGGTGAACTGCTCAATATATTGTGATATTGATTTGAGGCCATATCGCCCAGCCCTATCTAGTGGAATAGAAACATAAACCCACTCTGGCCAAGCCGCTGTCACATGTAGAAACAAATGTGATCTGCCGAGGCTCAATGGGCATGCCTTTGGGCCAGACATTAACTGAACTGCCACACAACTGTTTGGACCAGTTAGACTTTCACATTTAGAGAGAAATGCCTCCAAGTTTACCATTTTGTCAGGACACATTAGAGTGAAACTAAAATCAAAGCAGAGGAGATGAATCAGGACAAATATGCAGCATGTTAAATGGAAGCAGTGATTATTGTGACACTGGTCAGATGTTATCTGCCTAATGGGGTGAACTCAAACTGATTTCAACGAGTTTGTCTTACTTCTCAAGTTAGAGGAAATATCTGTGAGAAAAGTAAATGTTAAATGTAACACCACAAAATGCTGGTCGACAAGGTTTCCATGCTTTTGCGGAATTGGTCCTGCTGACTCAAATTAGACAGAGCCTGCAGTTAGTTGTGCAGGTAGCAAATATAGGCTGATTAAGCACCTGTAATTAGTTTCAATTCTAGCAGCCTTTAGTCTGATCAAATCTCATTAACACACAACAAAACACAGCACTGCACAGGGTGCTGAACTGAGCGTCAGCTGTATTTCATTCTTCAGTGACGGGCTCAAAGTCGTTCTGACTAACCCAGATAGTTGCTCAAAAATTTGTTTTTTGATTTATTTATTTATCTATTTATGTATTTGCTTTGAATCGTGATACTGCAAGAGGGAATGACCTTCTGTCTTTTCAGAAGGAATCAGTTCTTGGACATGGAAAATACATGAATGCATGTTAAAATGCATGTGTGAACATTTTCATGCTCCAAATGGCAGTAATTACGACCAGGTTTCATTTCTGTCAAATATAGCTGTTAAGCTGTTGTTTGTTGCTTAATTATTGCTGTTAACGCTCAGTTTATTTGAGGTCATTGCAAGCATTTCAATATTCCTCCCTCTCATCTCTTCTTCCCTCCTCCTCCTCCTCCTCCTTCTTCCCCAACTCCCCCCAGTTTGTCATCCGCCTCCCCCGCGGCCCCCTGCTAGACTTCTACTCCAAGCGCAGCTGAGGGGCCGTCTCAACCCTGCGGAGCTCCCACACAGGTGTGAGTGTGACCCGTGGAGACCGCGCCTAGTCCATCTATACCCATCAGCCTCTAGCTTTCTCTTCTCTTCCTCTCCTTCCTTCGCCTCCTCTTCAACATCACTGTAGCTTTCTTCATCTCCCATCCTCTTCTCCACTCGAGATGCTGCCCTCTTTTCTCTGGCTTCTATGGAACAGGACTTTTCCTCTTTCTGTTTGCTGCTTCGGCACAATTGACCTTATTTCCCCTGCCAGAAACTGACTTGCTCTCCAGGACTCTTAGGACTGGAAATGACAATCATCAAACTACTCTTTTACATATTTGTGATGTCTTTTGGACTTTGAACCAACCTGTATTACCTACTGACTTTTATCTGGAGGTTTTTAATGTCTGACCGTATCACTTTGAGCTGCTTTTATACACACTTTGAGGTACATTTATATGTTGGTTGTCCTGGATGAAATGATCACTGTGATGACATTTTTGAGAATTTATTTCAACACATAAAGTAAGCACACTAGAAATCAGCAGTCTTCTTACTGGAAAATGTATCAGTGTCACAATCTAGTATGTCCTGTGACGGTAGATCTTGAGGCAGCTTTATTGTAAACTTCTTAATAACCTCTTTGTCCTGCACCAGTATTTGGCGAGGCATTATGTAGCAAATGCAAACGTTTCCTTGTTGCATGACTTTTTGACAATCAACTTTGACCAAAGAATAAAAGCCATTCCATATACAGCATATTACCATTGTTTGTTCCTTTCAAGGACCCTGAAATTATGCAGCTTAGGTTTCACTCATTTATATTTTTAAAAACTGTACGGCGGCAGCAGTGAGGAGCATGCCTGTTTTTTCAATTCTAGATCACTAGTAAAGAAAATGAGAAAGTGCGCTTTGGTAATGACAGGATATACATCCTTTGAAGTTAAGCTGAGGCTTTAAAACAGAGCCTTGTAACATCTATTACAGCGTGCATGATCTGAATATTGTTTACATTATATCCGTAGTTTTAGGTTTTAAACATGGATGCCTTTTTACTGAAGGGATATTCCGGCGTAAAATTAAGTCAGGGTCAAACACACTGTAACACAGAGTTAGACACCCCCTCGAGAGATGAATGTTGCCAACCGCCTGCTTCTCTAGTTATACCAACTTTAGTAACGACCACACAATAGCAATACACAGCAGTCTGAGGAGCCACACACAAAACTCAACCAAAACACCACTCTATAGCCACAAATAATGTCCAGAACAGCACCTAACTTCATCAACAGTACATATAGAGTCCCAGCCACAGCACTAGCCACCAAACATCTTTTTAGCTTTGCCTGATTTCTTTAGCAAAGAGACTGAACACAACTCACCATCTCTCTTCCAGCAGCCACTTGTTTGTAGGAAGACCTTAGGTGAGTCCATTACCACAGCGGGATGACGCAGCTCAAGGAAGAACATTTATGACATTTATGAAGTTGGTATAACTAGATAAGCAAGCAGTCGGTAACATTAGTCTCTCGACAGGGTGCCTAACTTGGTGTTACGGTGTGTTTGACCTTAACTTAATTTTACACCGGAATATCCTTTTAACAGTTATGAATATGAGTTATCATTCATCGCATGTCAGATTGAAAAATACCTGGCCTCCCATATTCACATGGTGACTGTGTGTGTCTACTTTTAGAGAGTGTGCATTAGTCCCGTTTGCAATGGCTCAGAAACAAAGACGACACATGTGGAAACCAGCAGCAGCAGCAGCGTTGGCTTTTCAGCTAAGCCAAGTCCCACTGTGAGCCACAGGAGTGAGCCTGATAATGTCGAAGGGCTCCAGAGTGATCCGCTTGAGGAAGAGTCATGTGATCAGGAGGAGGTCATAGTGTTTGAGACCTCTCTGCTGCCCATTGTCGAGGTGGAGAGGACGCAGCCGTTGCCCTCCCTTGACCCCTGCTGTAGAGCTTTAAATGAGACCCTGGAGGAAGAAGGATCAAATCCAGAGGTGTTGGAAAGCTCTGGGAGGATAGTTGGATCCTCCCAAGCTTCTTATTTCAAGAGCGATGGTCCTCAGGTCATACGCTGCTTCCAGGTAGCTTCTTGACCCTCCCAGGGTGACACTGACTGTCTCTGCTTGTCCTCTGTATAATCATTAGCCTGCCACACTTGCTCACACCTTTGCAGCACGGGCACAGTTCAACAAGATGTTAATGTTAAGACAACATACTGTAGTTGGTGTGTTTTCAATCATGCTTATTCTCAAATGCAGGTCTGGTTGCTGCAGAAGTGTTGCACAATGGTGTGCTGAGGTCTTGATTATGGTGATGGGTTGCTGTAAAACTAGGACATTCCTCTCTGCAATAACAATGACTTCACTTTCATCATCTTTGCTTTGTAATTTCAATTTTCTTTTTTCTTTGGCTGCACTTGGTGCTGGGGAGTTGAGCAAAAGTTGGCCTTGTTTCAAAAATAAAACCTGATCGTTAATTAATATGGTGCGAGGGGCTGTTGCAGTGCTAATCAATCCACACTTAGATGGACTGCATGGTGTGGATTTGGTTGCTGTGAGGTGCCAAGTGTCTGGTTTAAGAGCCACTCATGGGGCTATGCTCCCATCCACAGCCCCCTCTGGTGCAGACCCAAACAGTCACCATCACTGCTGTCTCCAACTCCTTATCCAGTGGCATCTCCACCACAGAGGTTCCTGTCGTCCCCACCAAGACCTTCATCTATGAGTCATCAAAGGTAGGAGCCTCTAGCACCTGCCCAGCCCAGATCTGTCTCGTCTGTAGTTAATCTGAGACTATAGAGCAAACAGGTCCGGGATGATCAGGCCTGCAGAGGCTCCAGAATGAGCAGCACTGCAACTTCCCTGCTAATGCTCAGGGTCGAATGTCTGAAAACTCAAAATTCAACCTCTTCTTTTTTAATCCTCAGGAGGTAGATGACGGGATGGATGACAAAGAGAGTACGACCATGTCTAGCTCAGAGACTACCAGTGGCACTTCAGTCACCACCACTACCACTCACATCTCAAAGGTCAGCAGCACAGCTTCATTATTTTCAACATCAATGTGTTTTTGTGTTATTTGCCTTTCAGCTACATTTACTTCCCTTTATCAGGTAGTGAAAAGCGGATCTTCTGAGACTCGTGTGGAGAAGAGGATCGTCATAACTGCAGACTCTGACATGGACCAAGATAAGGTTTGTGAAAAATGAAGCCAAAACACATCCTGCTTTTACATACTGTTCAAACAACGTATTTCGAAGCCTACGCATTTGCATAAACAATTTAGCTAGTAGAGCTGTGGGATTGACGTCACTATCTGCTATTCAAAACTGCAAAGATCCTTTAGGTTGTTAAACACACAATCAGAACAGATTGTTGAATTTTATTTGATGTGCTCTCTAATTTTCTTATTTGAACCATGTTTGGTCTGTTCCATAGAGGCGGGCTTTACGACTTAAACTGCAGTTGGGGGTAGTTCTATATGTTAAGTCTTTGCTGTTGTTCCAAGCTAGAGTCTGCCTGCCAGATTTTACCAAGTATCCCAATTTCTACTCACTGTTCTGTGAATGATTTATGTACTTATTTACTCTATTTATGTTCTATTTTTTGTAAATATGTTGGAAACTGGCTGTTTATTGAGTAGCGGAGAAGGGGTAGGTTTTAAAAAAGCATAATGCTTCATCCTACTCCTTTTCCAACATGTTGGGTTCACATTATTATTAATAGTATTTTTTTTTATTCTATTTTGATTTTTATTTTGATGGTTTGATTATTATTATTGTAGTTTTGAATATTCTCATTGGTTTTGTTTGTTTGTTTTCAGTTTACTTTCTTGTGTTGAATGTACATGTTCGAAAAAATATATGAATACAATCCAAAATAAAAATGCATCGCAGTAAAATGTTTTAATGAATAAATTAAAAACGTGAGGGTTTTATTGATTTTCTCATTTACCTCCAAGCAAGATAATGTATTTTTCCCAAATGTGCAACAATATAAGATCGTTTGAAGACTAATACAAGTGCATGTGACATCTTTGTTGCAGGAGAAAGCTGGAGGAGCATCAGCATTGTAACTGAACCACCACCTTCACCTGCCCTTTAAAATCACCTTCTCTGACGTCCTTTCATCAGAGCACACAGGGACCAGCTCTACACGCACACATATCCAAAAAGAAATATCTCAAAAATCCACACCTCGACTTACGGATAACTGAGTAGAAACTCCTCGGAGATCCTCTGAGGGTTTTTTTTTTCTTGTACTTTTTTTTTCTTCCAGTTGGAGTTGTTCAATGTAGGTAGAGGAGTGCTGAACAATGCTTATCTCATCCGGGTGTTAAAAAGCTTAGTGAGTACATTTTTATCAGTTAAAAACAGCATTTTCAGTTGAGTTACTTTTGCTTTTGAATGCTTTTATTTCCTAGTGGTTTTTACATTGTTGATTTTATACAAACGCACTGTTTCCGTTTAGTGTAGACACCATTATCAGCATTCATTCCCTTGGTGCTGCTAGGGGAACGTTAAGACTACATTCAAGGGAACTCTTCTTTTGTTGTTGTTTACTTGTCTATTTAATTCAGGAGAGACATTTTTTAAATTAAATACCTCACATCATTATGTGGACAAAGATATTCTGTGCTCAAATCTGAACAGTTGTTTGGCTTTGTTCACTGCTCAGGTACGAAAACATACAAACATGAAATCTTTTTCTTCCCTAACCAGCAAACTACCTGTAGCCTACACATCATTGTAAAGTTTGAATTAAAAATTAATCTATTTTGAAATATGTCTCTATTTTATAGAAATAATGTTTTTATAGGATTTGTACAAATTTGAGGTTTTTAAGTTATTCATATCCATCTGCATCATTGAATTGTAGGTTACCATTGTGCTGTTTACAGAATTTGGAGGTCTTGGTTGAAGACCTGCTTACCTGTCTTGCCTGACACCCTGAATCATTCTTACTCGTTTCCTCTTGTAGTCCACCAAGCTTATCAGACCTTTCACAATTTACAAAGCAGTGCTTCCCTCAGCTCTGTGTTTTGTTCAGTAGCATAGAAGTCATAGTTGCTTTGAATATATTTGGTTGATAAAAGAAGTTTTACAAGTTTCGGTCTGTTTATCTCAGGTTTTGATAATCTTTGTAAGACTACAGACCTCCACATGATTGTATGAGGAATGTTCATATATGTATATCCATCCCTACTTTAAATGTACATTTATGTTCAGCCAAGTGAGGTCAATAAATACAGAGCTTGTCTGTCACAGTAACCACACATGTACGAGGTGAAGGCAGCTGTCCCAGTATATATGTGGCTTTTCTCTCATAGGAGCACAAAGTTGTCTTTTTTACATGTTCTACTATACAGTAATTTATTTGTAAAGTAGGAACCATCTCATGTGATTTGATGTACTGTGATGTTTCAACACAAGCTGTTTTTCCAGGCTTCCACTAGAGATGTCATTGTGTTAAATACTGCGTTCATTATCGATCAAGTTTGTAAAGCCTTTTTACCACATGTTGAAGTAGCCTGATCTCTCACCTGCTGTTTCCTGTCCTTTCTCATAGAAGTATACAAGTACCTTTTAGATAGCATGTTTGTTAGCTAACTTTTTTTTTAACCCAAAAAAGAAGCCATTGGTATTGTAGCTGAGAACAACAGAAACCTCTCCCTCAAGGAAATGTAGAATTTCACATCAAAATATTAGTTTTTAGATGATGGAAAATATTGTTGCTTTGTGACTTATCCCTGTCTTTTTATGAAAAAATAAAATAAATTATGCATTATTTGCATTTGTTTGAGCTGTCTGTGTGCAAAAAAATAACACTCCCTTAAAAAATATATATGAGCAAGACATCTGTAAGAAATAAATATTTAATGCCGGTTCATCATTTTACACAAGTTGCTAATTCATGTTGAACCAACACAAAAACTCAGAGATAAATATCATATCTTTTAAAACTAAAGAGCTGTGATAAAACTCCAGGATCATCAGAAAAATGTGTCGTTTCTCAATCAAGTACTCAAACAGCCACTAGATTTCAAGAATTAATTGTTTTATAATGTACGCATAATCAAGAATTAGTCCAAATCTGACATATTCTTGGTCTCTTTCTTCTATTTGACAGTCTTTCTTTCTTGAAAGTTACTGGAGTTACTTGATCATATTGACAATTATTTTTGTAACTGGGTGAAATCCTTCCTTTAAACTGAATCAAATCGTGTGCCTATTATCTATATTTTTTCTGCAGCTCAAGTTAATAAGATTTGAGGTTTTAAAAAAACTGAATGACCGTCACTGATAAGGCAAATCCTGAAACATTCAATCTCCTGACACTAAATTATCACTAACTGAAAATCACTTTTCTGTTGCGGAGAAAACTCTTTAATACAAAAACACACACCTACATCAGTAAAAGTAAAACATGGTTCCAGGAGACGGATCATTTTGGAAAAAGTACTTATTTAATAAAGAAAATCTGAACTGATCAACTGTAACAGTTTTCTACCTAAAGTGGGAGGACGTGTGTCTTTCAACAGGGATGAGATTGGGGAACTGTACAGGCATTCACTGGAAATATATAATCCTGCTTCAAATATAAAGTAAACAGCAAAGTCTTTGAATCCACTCTGTATCATCCAAACAGAGTTTTAGCGGATTGTCTTGACTGGGCTCTTGAAAGTTGAGGCAGCTTGAAGTTGGAGTTGATAAGCCATTGGGTGGATTTTGAAACCATATAACCTGTAAATTACAAAACAGAAACAGTTGTTTTTGTCAAGAGATTCAGAGCAGATGTCTAAGCAAACTGTGAAATGACTAAGAACTTGAATATAACTCATACTGCCAGCAGCTTGTACCACAGACCTTTGTCAGATATAAGTCTGACACTACATTCAAGATCCAGCTCGGATTCAGGACATCAAACACTTCATTCATACATAAAAGACAAAAAGTTCACGCTCACTGAATTTACTGCATATACAGTGTAACAAACACACCTGGGCACAAACTGGTTGGCTGGCCGCTTTGGACGATACTCTGGGTGCACCATGAACAGCATGTGGGGAAAACCTGTTCCAAAGTATGCTCCATCTGTGTGGTGATGTCTAGAGGACTTGGGGGTGTAAACATCCATGCACTTTGGGCAATAGAGCTTCACCATTGCTTCTCCTGGAATGTCTGACAATCCTGCATGTGATATTAGACCCCAGATAGCTGAGTAAGTCTCCACAGTCAAAGGTGCAGCATCTTATTTATGTCAGAGAATAAATGCAAGTAGTGGTTTGTATAAAAAGTCTGACTTACCAATAGGAAGCATTGGCTGATTCTCACAGTAGACTCTGGGGCAATACCCAAAATCCCCTTGCTGATATTTTTCCAGCTACGGAGGACATTCAATTTGTAAATCAGTGTTGGATCTCGCCATAGAGCATGTTAGAGTTGGAAGGTATTAGGTAATGGCTTACCATCTGTGCGATGCCTCTGTTGGTGAGGATGTAACGTGCATGAATAAGCCCGTACAGCATCTCTGCTGCCTGCTCTATCAAATCACTCTGATTGGGATTATCCTCGAGTTCCTCATCTGTAAAATTAAAGTAGTTTGTGTAAACGCCGTGCATCATTTATTTATTGAGGGAAATGCTCCTTCCGTGATCTTCTCTCACCTGGCTCCAGGTCAAGGATCATGTCCAAAGCCTGGCGATAGTGAGGCACCTGCTCGTTCAAACCTGTCAGGTTGAACTTGTCTTGAATATAGTCTTCATCAACCTGCAACATTTGAGGGAAGACAAAGGAGGACCGCGTAAAGCTATTAGTGGCATCAATCAATCAGGAGTGCCACAGCACATTACTGCAGCACAGTGATGTGAAAGCATTATATAAGAACTTAACAAGATTACTGAGATGCTGCCAATGAAGACAAGGAGTTAAAATTAGAGTTGGATTGGGTGAGTTCAAGTCTTTCAGTGTACCATTATACAGAGATGCCTATGTTTACAACACAATTCCTGGTATTTCTCTATGAGCATTTTCCTGTTAATGGCTCTTCTTAAGAGACTTTGAAAGAGTTTCGGTGAAATGGATTAGCAGCAAACAGGAGAGTTGAGTGGGATGGTCTGCTGAATGTAGTTTATGTTGTAGAGTAGGGGAGAGTGGGGTAAGTTGAGCCAAAGGGTAAGTTGAGCCACCTCCTGTTGCTTGGAAATGGTAAAAGAAATTGATCATGTGACCAAATATTTAGGAGATGGGCATCAATTCATGGAGTCTGTGAAGGTTAGAAGCACATGGCTGCAGGGGTTAGACATTTATTTCCAAATAAACATTTTTCACTCTTGAAAGTGAATTTAGTCTGTAATAAGTTTTATTAGAAATGTGTTCAGACCAAAAAAGATCATTTTAAATTTGTTTTATACATCAATTGTGGTATCTATGAGCTACAACATCAGGTCAAAAACCTAGTATAAAAGTCCACCATTTTAGCTTAGAGGACTAATAAAGTCATAATCGTAGTTCTGGGGTAAGTTGAGCCAGTGACTCAACTGAGAAAGTAAAGGAGTCTGATGAGAGGATCAGAGTTTCAGTTCAGATTGTTGAAATGTGTTACTTTTCCTTTTCAACCATAAGAGACCACTTTTTTTTGGCATGCTATATTATCAAGACAGTTCTGTTGGTTTGCAGGAATGCACAACATCCTGAAATATATGCAGATACACTTGTTGGAGACAAAACTATAATTGTCTAGATGTAGTGATCTGAAATATGAAAAATGGTTCATCTTAACCCCACTCTCCCCTACATCCCTCCACCTTGACCCAACAACGTTAGCTTCAGTTTCTAAGGTGCATGTTTACTAAAGCTCAGTCTCACAGATACAGACATCTCGTCGTAGTGAATAGATAAAGAAGTTGGTTCTAATCTAAACAGGAGCTCCGGTGGACTGACCTCGCAGAAGAACTCGTTCCCTCTCAGGCCACAGAACCAGGAAATCCAGGAGACCTCCTCCGAGCTGCTCATCCTCCTGACCAACCAAAACACACACGGTACATCCTTACTGCGAGAACAACTAACAAGAGGCAGCAGCTAAATATGATCGACATTATTAAAAGGACTTATACTTAATTCCATATAACCATGTTTTTATCTTGTGTTTGCTTCACTCGCCTGTTCTTTGCGTTAGCTTACAGGCTACTTATGTGCTAGCATTCGTTAGCATTAGCACGTACCGTACATAAAGTGAGGAAATAAATGAGTTTTCCGTTCATATAAATTTATGGCCACGTTTTTCTGCAAGCGTATAGCTGTCCACAGAAGGTCACCTCTACTCACCTTTCTCTGTGTTTGCTAAAACATAAACTTGTTAGCTTAGCTCGCTTGATCCTCGCTAGTCCAAGAGTTAACGACAAATGCGGTTTCCGGTTGTTGGAATTTCAAAATAAAATGTCTACTCGCTGTAAAGGTCAAACGTTTATGTATACGTGTAAACCAGTTTGTACCTAATGTTTAATTCCATTTTTAATCTTAAAGATACGTGTAAGCTCACCCGAAGCGTTGGCCTTCTCCTGATATAACAGTAGGCCATATCAGTTTTATCAGGATGTTTTCTCTGACATAAAAATTTCATTTTCTCTTGGACTGCTTACTGTCGAGGGGTATCCCCAGAAATTCTGGGCCCCATTACAAGACACCCTGAAAATTTGGGACCCATCACAAGTGGGACAGCATGTTATTTCTAGCCAACATCTGAAGTATAAACATTTTACTTATCAATGTATGCACAGGAAAGTATAGAGAAGTAAACTCTGTCATTTGCAATAAAAAATATTGCTCTACAGTCTCTTTAACTTTTTTTTACCACAAGTTATTGAACCATTCTTTCTACAGTAATATATCATTTTTATAAAGGGTATTCTTATTCAAAAAGAAATATGAAGTAGCAGCATTTAACAACCTGCAGTGTAATGTGAATGATTTTACCTCTTCCTGGTGGCACTGTGACACACCTAAAGGAGGTGTAAACCTGAGTGTTACTTTCTGACAGCAGTTTTAGACATCATGGGAGGTATTTTTAAATAGAAAACAGACACGAAGCAGCCACAAACCACAGTATGACACGGTCTTTAGCTATGTTATACAAGGCTAATACAAGGCTGGTTTAGTGTGAAGTAAATGCAAGCAGCTAATTTGTGAGGAGGAACGCCTTATACAGCACTGCTGTTATTTTCTGCTTCTGCAAAGATAAAAAAAAAAAAAGGATGAGGTTCAGACTTCAATCTGTATATAAATGCTAGGTTTGATGTTAATTCAACCCATATGGATTGGCTGAAAAGCTGCCGTGAAAGAGCTGTCATAGCTGAGAGACTTTTTATTAAAACCATATATTTTATATTGATAAAATAATCTTCTGATTAACTCGAGGTGTCAACTTTTTTGTATAACAAGCTTGTAGCCTGGTAATGAACATGATAATGCTGGTGGATGGCTGATGGTTGAGGGACAAAGAATCCTAACACAGTGGGACAAGATCCTGACATAAGGTTAAAGGGTCTAATCCCACTATGTCAGGATTCGCTATCGTCTTGTTTATTGTCTATTTAGCTTTTGTAGCATATATCGAAGCATCAGTAAAAATTACATTTTTAGTCAGAACTAGCAAAAAAAAAAAAAAAAAGGTAAATCATTATAAGCTTTAATTACAAATAGACAACGTTTTTGCATATTGAGCTAGAGCACAAACACACATGTTATATACAGCTTACATTTATTTATAAAAAATGCAAATTTTATGGTATGGTTTGTGTTTTTATTCCTGTTGACATAATTTTTTCAGAGAGGCCAATGTGATGCCAATCTATTGCTGGGACACAGAGATCCATCAGGGCAGGTCTGCAAAGGTTTTGCGACAAGGTGGTCCTGTTTCCTTGGGCTCTTGCTCCTTCCCCATGCCCTCAAACATCAAGATCCTTAAAAAATGAAAACGAAAATGAACATGTCAGTGCTTGGATTCTCTTAACCTGCTATCAGACATGAGGTATAAACATATTCGTTTGGGCCGCAGACTTGTACTCTTAGTCAGTGTTTTCACTGTAGCTGCACTATTATCAGCCACCGTAAAGCCTCAGGACCTCAGCATACATAGCTTTATGTAATACTATGACTCCAGCAGCTACTTTCGTGAAGTAAAGAATATACTCACAGTTTTAGAATTGCATTTCTTTTCCCCAGCATCATATTCAGGAAGTCGGTGTAGCTGAAAGAGTCTTTTGAAGCCCCTCCAGTCACCTCTGACATCATCTTCTTCAGCTCTAGGTGAGTCTTGGTCAGCCCAAGTTTTTCCAGCATCCGTTTTAACCCCATCATGTCTGTCAAATTGACCATAGAGTTTTAAAGAGCTTCCATTTATGAAGGTATTTTACTGAGCAAATCTTGACCAGTTTTTACCTATATCGCCTTTGTCATTGAGATCGAACTCCATGTATTTGTCTGTAATGAAAAAAAAGTTTCATCAGTTAAAAATGTAAACACTTAATAATAAAACAATTCAATAGGAGGGGATTTCCTCTGAATACTCACTTTTAAACTGTTCAAGCTTTGAGCTAAGGTCCTCCTCTTCTGCATACTGAGGGTCTGACAGAAAAGCCTTTGGTATAAAAAATAATACCATCAATATTTTAGACATATATAAGATATCATATAACTTAACACACGTGTCTTTTTTTATTTCTAGAGGTAAGCAGATCATTCACTTGACTGTATGAAAATGATACCTTACCTCATTGATAGAGTTCAGTTTGTCTTCCTGATGAGACTTCAGTTGACCATATGCTTTACCTCCTGTTAGACATAATACACAGGAGTTTTACTAATCCTACTATAAACACAGAATAATGTTGTGAAATTACCTCAATTAGAATTAAAACAAACAAAAAAATAATAATAAAAGACTATAAAGATGCTCTACAAAGTAGTGTAGCAGTTAAAGAGAAACTAACCTTGAGCATAGTCCATTTCTGCTCTGGCAGCCAGTAAACCAACACTGTGAGTGTGATGATGGTGGAGTGTGTGTGATGGTGTTTCTGTAAATGAGAAGAGGAAGTGACAAAGTTTCAGTGAGCATTAGTGAAGTTCCTCTGGTGTTTTTAGGGCTGAAGCAAACAGAGGTCAAATTAGGGATGCACGTCACAGCACTGACACACAGCCTGAATTCACTTGACACAAAAAGGGAGACATACTGTTACCTCTTACTCAATATGAGCGTTGTGCATACAGGATACCTGCTTGGAAATGACCAAGATGGGCTCATTCAAAAGTTTTAGCTTTGAGTCTGTTGATGCAAAAATGGATTTTTTCACCACTCTAGAAATAAACTGACGTCTTGATAAAGGAAGGAAGCGTGATGCAGCAAGGAGAACTGTGACTTTGGAAACACAGAAATAAACCCGAATCTGCAAGAATAATAAGGCTTGTTTAAAACAGTACATGGCCCAGTTTAGTAAGACTCATGTTTGTGTATTTCCTCCTCTTCACATCTGAAAGCTGCAGTCAGATCTGATAATGAACAACTGCTGAGCAGCAGCAGTAGAAAGTTTGAGTCCACACTTCACCCTTTAAGTCAAATATAAAAGGTAATTCCTAAGTTTGTGGATGCTACAAGAAAACTTTTTCCACATAGCTGAGTTTAAGGAGCTGCAAATTGACTCCTATTAGATATACAATTATTTGGGGAGCGATATTTGCTCTGTAGAATACTTTTAAAGAGTAAAACTATCTGTTTGATATGTTTTTTTTTTGTTGATGAAATGCATCAAGTAACAAGTAAATTACAAACCACAAACTTGTGATAAAGTGCAATGTGAAAACACATGCATGGGTGATCTTATTTCCTATAATCTTTAAGTAGGCTCTTTAAAGACTGCATGTTTAAAGAAGCATATTCTCTTATGTAAAAGATACGTTCATGGTTGTGACCTTAGAGGGTGAACTGCAACCAGGACAATGTAACGAAAGAGGATGAAGTGCTTCCCCCTTTACTTTCACTAACGACATCAACGGCATCAACGAGACCTCCTTGGGCGTCAGTTAATTTGATGTAATGCTTTACTTTGTCCACACGGGGGCAGTATTGCTTAGTAGACAGAGCTAAATAGTTGAGCTGTGCAGGTATTTCTAAGTTGAACACACCTAACGAGAACAGAGAAAAGGTGGAGACTATGAAGAGGTCTTAAAGAGAATGATCTCTTGTCCCTTCATTTTGTTACACAACACAGAAAAATGGCTCATTTCCATTCACAGGGTCTCTTTATGATAGGTCTGTTTGTGGTCCTTCAAGGGGGCAGAGGTAAGTGGGTCTCTGTGTCATTTCTAAAGGGGAAGAAATCAACAGATTTATCATTTTTTATTGTAAGATGACACAAATTGTCTTTTGTATAAATTTAGTATGTGACTGTGGCTGACCTCAGAGTTGTCATCATTGAAATATCAATTTAATATTATTACATTATGAGTCACTGACAGTGACTCGCTGATTATCAGCCTGATGGTCACACACTGTGCCTTAGCTGAATATTAAATCATATAAATACTAGAGTCAATTTTTTAACTGATCCTAATTTTTTTCTCTCCAATCATTTCAAAGCTGTCTCATCAGTGTTTGTTACCGCAACTCACCGAGAAAATGTAACTCTCAACTGTTCAGTGTCTGGCCCAGTGGATCCAAAGAGCTGCTACAGAGCTCAATGGATAAAAAATGATGCCGGTCAGAAGAGGGTTGTTCTTGCCAGGCCTAAAATGCCAGATGTCAAGTATGCTGAGCGTGCAAAATGGGAAGCTGATAAACCCGGACAAATGTCTCTTGTTCTAACCAAACTCCAAAGAGCTGACGAGGGAATGTACAGCTGTGAAATCTGCAAAGACTGGGATTGCACACTGGTCAGAAACATAACTCTAAAAGTAAAATGTAAGGTTCTGTATTTTATTTAAATTCCCTTCACTCTGATACAAGGAAAATATATGACACGTAGTTCTCCCTTCTTTCAGATTGCACAGTCCTGGAGGCTGTGAGAGCAGCAGACGAAACCCCTGTAAGCCTGCCTTGCTCAGTGGGTGTAACATCAGGGCAACAAGGACCCCAGAACATCTCATGGGAAAGAGTGAAAGGAGACAACACTGTTCCTGTCGTGTCTGAAACAGCTAAGTCTGAGACACTGAAGTTCCCGTCTGTGAGCCACAGTGACAGTGGGTGGTATAGATGTAAATACAAGCTGGGAAAAACTCCAAACTGCAGTGAAATTAATCTTCAAGGTAAAATTGTACATTTTTTATGAACTATCATAGCAACAAAGCAGTATTCACAAGTCCGCTGTATCTTTTTGTCTTTTCTGAAGTGGGGAACAATCCTGTCACCACATCAGTGCCAGGTAAAACAATAACAACTCTTTTATTTAAAACCCTTCACCAGCATCAATCTCTCAGTGTCCTTCTTGTTTTCCTCAGTGCTGACAACCAGTGAGGTTACCATGGAAATCAAAAAGGAGGAAAGTAAAGGAACACATATGCCAGTGGTTGTGCCTACAACCATTATTGGGATTGTTGCAATGGTTGCTCTGATACTACTGATCATCTATTGCAGACGTAACACCCAGGGAGCGTCACAGCTGGCACAGAGGCACTACACAGGTTTGGTCTATCGAGAAGATATTTCTTTTTTGATACAGATACAGTTCAGTGAAGTGTTCACGTTTGCTTACTGTTGACCAGGTGCTGCTGTTATGACGACTACTGATTATGAAGTTGTGAATTTTACGCCTTCAGATGGTGAGCTTTTTAATCTCTTCCTTCCTTCCTGAGTTTAGCCCCTGTGACCTCTCCTCCTGCTTCGCTGACAATTTTGAAACTTTTGTTCACAGATGTTTTGAGCCAACGCTTGAACAGTCTTTACCGGGATGAAAGCTTGTGTACTTGTTAGTGCCATTATAAAAACAGATTACTGTACATACATTCTTATCATGTATTCAAAAGACATAATAACACATCTCTGTCATTTATTGCAGTTCAGTGGGAGTAATTTCCAGGTGAGGATGGACAAGATTCCCCATAAATGACTGTTTACATGAATACATTGTGCAAAAGTTTGTTGCATCATCTGCAAATTGTCTGAGCTTGTATTGCAGTTTTGTATGTTATTGAAGAATATTGAAAAATGCCACTGCTCTGCCCTTGTCACTCCTCCTCACCTCTTCACCCCTTTTTGTATCAATATATCCAATAACCTGTGTTTTAATAAATACAATGAAATGTTCAAAATCTCAAATATCTTTATCAATAAAATCTCTCATCTAAACAAGAAAAAATTGTTGTTTGCCGAGCATATATCAGGGTAAAATTGAAGAGAGGAAATCACTTCTATTAGTTCACAGCCTGCAACAAATCGTAGAAACTGTCAGTGGTGGTTGCAGCTTCCTTTCTGGGGTTTCTTCGCGGGTGTTGTTCCTCATAACTGTCCTCCTCAATTCCTTCATAAACATGAGTCTGTAAAGAGAAACACCGAGGTATGACACAGGGCTTTGTCAGCCTAATAAAGTAAAGCTACTCAGGGTACAGTCATTTTTGTGTTTTCTCTCACCATTCCAATACTTGTCAGCTCATTTTCTGCAAACAAAGAAGAGGATCAAGTTTAGTTGAACAAGTTTCTATCTTTCTCATGAAACAAAGGGACTTTTTTGTTGCATGAAACTGTCCGAGTACCTGCATCCTTGTTCTGCTTCCTCTTGATGTACGTGTAGAGACCTGCAGCGCTTATACACACCAAAACCAGTGAGAGGCCTAGTGAGAGAACTAGCCACACAGGTGTTTGCAAATCTGTGGACATGAAAATATTATGTGCTTGTTTACTGAGGCTCAGTGGAAATATGGGGGGACGCATTGGCCATCTACGTAAAAGGAGATGTTGCATACTTACTGTTAGTAGCCTGCCAGATCTTTGATGCCATCAGCTCTCCCTCTCTATGCACAGAGCAAACTAACTCATTTGATGCCATGGACAAAGATGGAACAAATAGGCTTCTAATTAAAGTATTATTGGTGCGAATTAAACTACTCTGTGTGCTTTTTGAACCACCACCAGTCCAAGTTAGCTCAAAGTCTTCCTCACATTCTGTAGAGCAAGTAAGCACACAAGTCAGGGTGATATTTTCTCCTCCCGAGCTGCTCTCTGAAGTTACTATAAAGACAAACATGATAGGACATGTTAAAGCTGGAGTGATGCAAAAGTAGAGGTATACTAAGTTCAGGTTTTTTTTTCAAAATACTCACCATCTAGAGTATGCAGCCTGAATTTATTCAACGGATGACCGGTGGACACTGAACACTGGTATTCCCCTGCATGCACGGGACTCACTTTTATAATTGTCAGTGATGAATCTGTAGTCACATGAAATGCCTTTGTTTGCTCCTCATCAGGTGACATATCTCCCATCAGTGTTTGTGATCCCATCCCCCACTTCACTCTGCTACCCACGCCAAGAGAGGAAGTATCACCACAAGGGAATGACACTGATTCACCCACGACAGCAAACACTTCCTCTAAGCCATCTGGTATAAAAAAAACTTGTTACACGCACACATGGAAAACCTCATCTTTTGTTTGGGAGCTTTTAGAGGTGGCGTTTGGTACCTTTTACTGTTGTTGTATAGCTGGCGTTGGCTTTAACTGTGCCGTTCTGACTCAGCTGGCATCTCCATTTTCTGTGATGGTCGGTCAGTTTTTTACTGATGATGAGTTTAGAGAAGCATTCAGAGTGATGTTTATAAGTAAATCTGTCTCCTTTTAGAGGTGTATAATCTCCAGTAGTCCAAGTAATATTCATTCCTCTGTCTTTACAAGCATTATAGCCCTGGATTGAGTTGAGAAAGCAGTCAAGCTGTAATGTGCCAGCCTCGGGAGCCAGTTTCTCAGTTACTGATGGATTAAAAAAAAAGAAAAGAAAAAGTGAGAAAAACTTCTGGGACATTGTCATCGACTTACACTTAAAGTAGCAGGTCAGCTCACTTACTTTGGAGAATGCGAAGATCAACACTTGAACTAAGTGCTCCACTTTCACAGAAGTAGAGCTGAGCATCGTTGTGTTTAAGGTGATGAATTTGCAGGGAGCAATCATGCAGCAGGTCAAAGCGGGGGACAAACGGTCCTGTCACCTGTCCTGACTTCACCACCTCTGTGACATTTTGTGATCTTATCCAGTTCACAGAGGAGCAGGATGTGATGGCAGGGACACCACATGGCAAAATAACTCTATCTCCAAATGAAGCAAACATCAGTGGATGAACTGTAGGAGAAGATATAGAAGTGTTTCAATCACTGGCCCTGATAGAGTTTATTTTATACCAACACAGCAACCCCTCATCAATCTGTATCTAACAGAATAAGAAGGTTATCATCATTTACGCATTAGTATTATTTCGAGTCTCTATTTAGCTATGTTTTTAGGTCTGCATAACGTAAGAAAGTGAGTGTTTTGCAACATTTAGTACGACAGAGAGAGTTAAGAAGTAAGAAGACGATCAAACAAACAGACCAACAAGACAAGGTTTTCTGTTTCTTCATTTACCTGATGGCTGAAGTCCTGTTGCTGTAAGCGTGACAGAAAGAAGACACAGTCTCAACATTAAAAGGGAAGCCATCATCCTGCTTTCAGAAACACACTCTTCACAGAGTATTTTTATCCTCTTGCTTAATCTGCCCATAGCAGTAGTTTTTCAAAACATTTCCAGGAAATGACATAGTGACAACTCATATGGTTGTAGACCAGCCCATAAGAGAGGCCCCGTGTTACTTAAGGGGTCTGAAATTAACATGAAAGTACAGTTACAGTACAGTTAACTATTATCTGTTGATACCCGTACTTTCAGGCTACAGGTTCATTACAATCATCAGATTGTTATTAATACAGTCCAAATGAACACTTAAACGGGATGTGCCTCGAGCACAATAATGATATTTATTTGAACCCACTGATATTGTGGAAAGATCAGATGATACAGTTTCACATCATAGAAGTCAATAACGAAAGACAAAACTCAGTGCATTATCAGTACAAAGGGGGTTGTCGAGACTGTTTTGACTGTATTGGCTCAGCTGAGGCCCTAGCTTATGCAGGGGTAGCTTAGCTTATGCTATGTGCACACATGCACAAATAAATTGCATTTATTTTCACTTTTAGGCTCAACACTTAATATCTGCTTTGGCTGCCAACATCAGCATTAAACAAGTGTTAGTACCACAACAAGATCATAGCATTTACATTTCAATGCACTCTTCTTCAAGACTTTAAAATAAGTGTCTCTAAAATCAAATTTTGCAGAACAAGCAAATTAAATCAAAAGGAAATACAGCAGCTAGTTGCCCAACATAGCCCTAAAAGCTGTAAAACAAGTCCTGCTCCTAACAAAGCAAACAGCCTATCACTGTTTATGAATTTGGGGCAGCACCAGAGGTGACCAACTAAATTTCAAGAGGGCCAAGCCACCCCTGACCAACCCTCTGGACACACCCCTGTCAGAACGGTGTCCACACAGTTCAGGAGCTTCATCTCGGCTGTGCTATAACTGTGTAGGGCTTGATCTTGAGCACAACACTAGCAACTCCTCTCAGATCGGGCACACTCCCTGCAGGGATGAACTTGAAATCCCTGAGCAAGTAGGCAGTCAACAGAAAGAGCTCCATTTTGGCAACTGACTCCCCCAGGCAGAGCCGGGCCCCCCCTCCGAAAGGGATCAGCGCACGGGTGGAGCCCCCTCCTCCTTCCAGGAAGCGCTCTGGAGGAGGGAAAGAGAGACAGTCAGAGAGAGTGGGCAGCTTAATTCTGGATCCACTGAGCCAAATAAAATGTATTGTGTATGACAGCCAAAGCAGTACCTGGTTTAAAGAGGTACGGATCTGCCCACACTGCAGGATCATGGTGAGCGCCAAAAAGATTAGGAATGATGAGTGTGCTTTTGGGGATAAAGTAACCTGCAATGCTGGGAATAGGTTGACATGAAATCTTTACTACAAAGCAGGGTCAGCAGGTTACCTGCTCTGAAAAAAAACATTTATAATTAGATGCATAAAACAAAAGTTTAAAATACAAAATTTAACCTGTAGGCCTATACATAGAAATGACAATTTTTGTCTTAGCTCTTGAGGAAGTAAAGTTTATACCCCTTGACACTTTTAGGACCATTACTTGTTTCAAAGTATGGTTTCAAAACTACTGATATTTTCCTGTCATTTGACAGTACATCTAAGAACTGTGAGGTGGTATGAATTTAATGTTAGTCCACTAGCCATGGTGGGCTTAGATTTGACAGCCTATAACAGCCAACTAGTTGTAGGCTGTAGTGGATGGAATAGAATTGGTCACTCAGGAAATTCTGTATTTGTCACATGACAGTAACAGAGACACAGGAGACACAGATTTTGGAAAGACTTTTGGGACAATTCTCATTTTGTCTGCATCCAGATTAAAATGACAGAATCAATATACCCTTATTTTGGATTATTCTCAGTAAGAAGTCTGAGACATTTCAAAGCTTCACAGTACACCTACAGCAGAACTGTAAAACAGCAAAATTGTGATCATTTTCCCATATGTCATATAGACCCTCTTATCAGCTCAACCTCATGCTTTATTTTCTGTTTTTCACTTTCTTAGACCCGAGTCTGCTGATTTCCCGTCATTGATGAAAGGGGCTTTTATTTTGGTAAGAAAATGTGTGTGGGGGTAGCTGAAAGATATAAATGACAGGTGAATGAGTGATATATTTTGTGTTTTAAAATCCTATGGAGACGTAAAATTCAGAAATGTATTTCTTTTAGTTGTAGTTTTTAGTTGTAGTTTTTGTGTAGAAAAGTTTTAGGTCAAAACCATAACTTCTAACTCCCACTTGAATCTAGTAGACTAGTTTTGCTTAAATGATCATATTTTTCTGTTTTAATGTGTTTTGTATCCAGCTTTGAGTGTGTTTATGATTTTATTTACATCTCAAAGGGCCATGGCATGAAAAACTGACTTTGTTAACAGGAGGGGGGTGCATATCAGGGATAGAAAACCGCTACAATCCCCCCAAGTTCGAAAAAATTCCATCCAGTCGTTTTTTAGTTATCTCCGTATTTAGGAACTGTGTGCTAAGAGCCGTTCTGTTTTTATATGTCTCAAAAATGCACATACGGAGGTGTGCTTGGGTATATAGATTGTACAGTAAGCTGTCAAGCTAGCGAACATTATATTTTCGGGACAGCAAATATTCTGAATCAGACGGCTATTTTTTCGGTTTATCTGAATAGCCTGAATGAAATTATTAAAGGCACATGCTTATGAATTCATCCAATGGTAAGGAAAACTTGGATTATTTTCGCCATGTTAAGTACTTTCAACCGCGCTCCTGTCGGGGGTGCATTCTACGGCACAACACCGGCTGTTCTGAAAACTCCACTGACATGATGTCATGTCAGTGCTGGCGGGTTGATGGTACTGCCCATGGAGCCGCCCACTGCCCTGGCCAAAAAATTATCAAAACACCGCCATTAATCCCGGCCGCTCGCTCACGTTGCTCCGGTTAGAACCATGGCGAAAGTGCGATCTGAAAAAGAGGCAGCGTTTGCTCTGTTGTTGGCTGCACATACGAGCACAAAACTCTTTTGAAAACTCCCTCGTCGGAGGATTTGAGGACTCAGTGGGTGGATTTTATTTATAATGGGAATGTACCCGCGGCACTTCCAAAATATCTGCATGGATGTGCGCACCATTTCACTTCGGACTGTTTTATCAACGAGGGACAGTTCAACGCTGGATTTGCTAGATGTCTGAAGATAAAGAATGGATCCATACCAACTATCCGTGATCCTACTACAAACGTGGCGTCTGTAAGTATGAACGTTTTATTTTGACTTACCGTTTAGCCTAAATTCCCCCCGGTGCCTCAGCACGGCCACCACGCTTTGATAAACACACCGGATCCGCGCCGGTTTACCGGATCCTCCCATATTTTAGCCGCTCGCTTCTTCCTCGACAACTCCGGCGGCGGGGGACAAAATCCCCCTACGGAGCAGCATGTAGCTTTAGCATTTACCCGTGCGGCGACGCGCCTCTTTTGGCTCAAATACGGGACGTCCTGGCTAATGCTGGACGGTCGGCCATCCTATGAATTAGCAAAGGCTTCAGAGAAGTTTTAGAGCACCAAAAATTTTACATTGTAGCAGAGCTCTGGTTGATATTTTTCTACATTCGTATCTTCCTCCTTTAGCGTGACCCTCCCGGCGGCTTTGAATAATACATAGGATGTGTCGACTAGGTCGCTTCAAGTCGCGTTTGGTCTGAACGCGGCTAAGAGTTTCTTCCGGAGCCTCTCCCTCTGGGTCAGACTCTGGCTCAAACTGGTAGGGTTGTACGAGCGATCTTCTTGCAGCCATGACCGAGCCAGTGTAAACATTAGCACATGGCTATCGGAGCACAGCCACAGCCCCTTCCAGAGAGATGGGTGTAAAGTGGACGTGGCTTAGGTTCAGCTCATGTCATTAAAGAGACATGGCCCAAAACAGAGGATTTTGAGCGGAGCTGTTTTTACCTGATACAAAGAGCACTAAATAATTGATCCAAATCGAATTTTGACCGAAGGGCGTCACAGACATGCTTTTAACGCACCAGGGGACTATTTTAAGTTGTGTGAAATTGGCATGCCATGGGACCTTTAAAATCATCAATTTAAGTGCTTGTTTTGCAGGCAAAACATTTTTTTTCATCATTACGACCAGCAAATGAAGAAGAAAGTGTTCAGCTGACCTGCTGTCTCTGATGGCTCTGTGTGGCACAGCTAGCGGAGCCACAGGTCTTAGTCTGAGGACCTCGTTGATCACAGAACGCAGGACAGGCAGTTGTTGTCTGTCACTGTACTTGGGGTATCTTCCTTCTAGCACTGTGCACAGCTCTTCATGCACCATGTCCTGCACCTGAAGGTTAGAGAAAGAAGGGGAAAGGCAATAAGACAACATCAAGGTGTGTGGCTGTAATGTTTGATCAGAGATAATGTGTCTTGCCTCTGGTCTGTGTAAAAGGAAGGCCACAGTCCAGTTGAGCCAGGAGGCCGTGGTCTCTGTTCCCCCAATGAGAAGGTCTACAGTAGCCATGTGAAGATGAACATCTGTGAGGAGCTGCAGACGTAAAGTTTTCTTAGTGCACCAGTGGGTACTATATCGGTTAACTAAGGAAACACACCTGACCCATTACAGTGGTGAAAAATGCACAAACATATCCAAATCAACCCCACACTCTCCCTCCAATCTCTCTCTCCCACACACACACTCACTGCTTCATGTTCTGTTTGTCGATGTGGGTCAAGGCCTTGGAGCAGAGATGCTGTGATGGCCTCCTCATTATTCTTGTCTTTCGACTGCACAGATAACACCAAAACAGCAGATAAGATTAAACACAAGTTTAAGTGGGAAAATCATTTCTGTTTTAACCATAATTAAAAAGACCTATCCTACATCAGTCTGATTTTCAACACAAGTTTGTTATATCTAAACACCAATAGATCATTTTTATGCCACCGGCTGAAGCAAATAATACACAGACTTTTTTGTGTTGCAAAGGTGGGAAAAGTTTTTCAACCTTAATTGTGTGGTATCCCACGTACCTTATAATTGTCAAGATGTTTCTTAATAATTTCATCTCTCCTGGCCACCTCTTTCAGAAGACGGGAAAATACAGGATTGGGTAGTTTCTTTGAAAAGACAAATTAGATCAATGCCACACTATCTTAAAGCTATTTTGCTTGTTTTTCTTTGATCGGGTATTAGTTGAAAGACTATTTACTGACTCTGAGCAGCGGGAAAAAGTCTAAGGCAGAAATCCAAGAGGAGCCCCACAAAGCAACAATCTCATTCAGACAGCTGTGGAGCTCCTGCAGCTCAGAGGAGCTCTTATCATACTGAAAAACAGAGAGGTTAAAGTTTTAGTAAGTCTTGTTTGGTAACAGAACAGCATGTTAAGAATGCACAAGCTCCTCAAATGAACATCATAAACATAGACACCAAGACTGCTCATTCATTAGAAAGCAGATTTTGCAATCCAACTCTGAGTGAAAACAAACTGCAACTGGAAAGTTACTCACTTCTTCCCCAAAAGCCAAAGTGGTGATGACATTACTGGCTGCCACAGTGAAGTCCTCTGAAAGATCAACAGCTCTGCCTTGATATTGCAACAAAACCTGGACAGTGAACAGTAAATGCTTTTTGTGACCATTTTGGAAATACCTCAGTACTCTGAATGGATCTCTGTTATCACCTCAGGAGCTATAATGTGTTTTCATTTGATGTAAGGAAAGTTGCATTTTGTTCCTCTTATGTTCTGTACCTTTCTCAGATGCAGTGCCTGCCTCTCTATCACCTCATGCAAAAAGCTCTGGCTGCAGCGCCGCAGAGCAGTGTGTACCAGTCGACGTTGTGCTCTCCACTCCTCATTGTAATCTCCCAGAGAGATAGTCCGCCCTCCCCCGGACACAATATCAGCTGATACAAGCCAGGAGAGGTCATAAGTACATGAGAAAAATGTTCATTTGTTATTGCAGAAGAGGTGTGAGTTGTCTACCTGTGTATGAAACTGGCCGCCCGGCAAAGTCCGACCATTTTTTCACGAGTGCTTCTCTTATGACTTCACTACTGTTTAGCACCACCATGGCTGAAAATACACAACAAGGCATTAGTGTGGCTGCTATCAACTGTATTCAAATTTTTCTGAAGATGTATTTGTTGATTGTTTTTTTAACAGATATAGGTGATTAATCCAAAACGGGTCCATTACTTGTGTTTCCGCATTTTAGGCGGAAGATGTGTCCATACTGCTGTGCCAGATTAGTCAAGTGAATTGGTAGATGATTGTGGGTCAGCTCCATCATGTTGCCTATAAGGAAGCGACTGGGAGGACCTGGGAGAGAAGGAGATGAGGACCTGGGACGATGCTTAAACACACACTGTAGAAGTTTGGATCCAAAGTCTTAAAGGAGAAAATGAATGTAGAAAATGAGTGTTAATCATTTAGGATTTTCAGACAGCTCTGTGATGCCAATGTGTCACAAAAAACTATTCTAACACGTGGATGTAAAACCAATATAGTCAAAAATAATTTAAAAAAGGTTTTGTAGCAGTTGACTTACTTCCCTTGGGGTCTTCCTGTTCAGATTTGTTGCTCTGGCCAGAGGTGCAAATCAGTAACATCAATAGCAGCACAACCAGCAGCCCACTGATCACCAATATTTCTATCGCCATGTTGATTCTTCTGAGTGTCCCTCTTTAGAGAGCTGGTTAGCAAACTGCTTGCCACATTTATACTGTTCTTATCAGCCCTCTAATCCATCATTGTGAAACAAAGTTGGTGTTTATATTAAGGCGAAGGACACTGAAAAATATATTTATATTTTTTTGCGTCAGTGCATCCAGTAAGCAACACATGATATGAGAGATAACATGATAAACATGGCTGGGAATTGCTGAAGGGTATGATAACATCATTGTTGACCTGGCAGTCAGTCACCCTGGTTTTTGTTTATCTAGCAGAGCAGGGACTGGAAAGAACCTCCTTTAGATTCTGGGTTTGGATGTTTTCATTTGTATTTTCATGCAAAAAGAAGGCAACACTACAGACCCAAATTAGCCACTTTTATTCCAGCAGAGAGAGAGACAGTGCATATAAGATGACAGTAGTGAGATGGCTTACCGATGTGGTGCACAAGATGGTTTAAGATTAAAAAACAAACTGTGATATAATGGACGGGTCGGGCACAATAGTCAAACATACAAAAAAAGATGCCTTTGGATATTTCATGATTTAAAAAAAAAAACACAAGAGAAGGATTTTGCACATTGAATCAAATACCGATAGCTGCCACTAGAGCTATCAAAACCACTGTACAATCTATAACAGCTGGAAAGTGACACAGCAATTTTGAGATCCACTGTCTTCTGGATTTCTTGAGCTGTCAGGTGAAAGGTTATCGGTGACTGAGACTGATGTTTTTTTTCTAGCCATGAGTTGCAGGAGAGAACCGGGATGGTCTGAACTTCATCTCAGTGAAGGGAATGGATGAGTCTTTGCCTTTCCAGTCTATCCAGACTATCCCCTACAGCACAAGAAGAGAAATGATGATACAAAGTTAAAAGAGGAAACCAAACACACTGCTATGTTATTACAAGGCACAACTCACTTCTATGTACTCAGTATCAATTGCCAGTACAGACAAATGTGACAAACCCTGAACCACTGTGGCCATCAATTATCAGAAGCTGTTTTCATTACTGAGCTGCTGCTGGTGATGGTGATGCAGGGTATGAATATCTGAAAAGTTGTTATGACTTCTCCAATGTCTGGATTATGAATTTATTTGTGAGATGATAACCTTAGTTTTATACTTATTTTTATGTTTCATATATTTTTATTTTATTTATAATTTATTATTATTTTATTTATTTCATTGTATTAATATATATATATATATATATATATATATATATATATATATATATATATATATATATATATATATAATTTTTTATATTTTATTTATTATAATTGAAATGAATTAAGTTTAGCAATTAGAGGATAACAGAATGACAACATTTTGGTTTTGGATTAGAAATAATTTCTAGTTCTTTTAGGATGCTAACTTTCATTTACATAGGACCTTATGTCACAATGTACTAAAGAACATTGTAGTCCCAATATGCAGACCTTTTGAAAGTCTCCTAAAGTGGTCTGGGCAGTAGAGCTTTCAGTTAACAATCTACTCTCCTCTTGAATCATCTACCAGTCCAAGTATGGGGGGCAGACACACTCTCTACATTTGGTTGACTGATTAATTTATGTGTTTTGGTTTTCTAAACACCCTGGAAGTCAGTCATACCTGGTTATTACTGTTGATACCATAGAGACCATTAAGGTTAGTCTTGTAGCAGTTTTTGTACCACCAGCCTCCCATGTAGGCCCTGGCACAGTGGATCCCCAGAGGATCAGGATCCTTGTCACGGGTTGAAAATGGACGGCCATTATGGTACCTCATAGAGTCCCCTGTAAAAGATATGAAGTGACATTGGGAGATGAATTTGTGAGCATTTCTTTAAAAATATAGCACTCATTGTACATCCCCAGTAAAATTCATCTCCTGTAAAGTTTTCACCTGCAGTTCCAGTATAGCCGGACACTTCTACAGTATAATGCCGCTCAGCTGAGTCAATGGAGAAGTTGGTGTAGTGAGCATAAGCAGTATCATTTCCAGATCGCATATCCACTCTCAGACTCACTGGACCGATACTGGTTAGGTTGTGAAGAAGCTCATTTCCTGATCGCAGAAGGAATAAAGAACGAACAATAGGCCAAATGTTTGACAAGAACAGATGCAAAGTAATGTTATTAAAAACATGCTTCATTTATACCAAGCCAGAACTCTTCACTGAGGTTTCCAAAGCCTGCACTGTAGTCGCTCCAGGTTCTGTAGAAATCTATCTTTCCATTCATCCTTCTCTGGAACACCTAAAAAACAAATAACCATTTTTTTCTTGAGTTCTTACTCTATTTTGCCAATCCTTAATTGCAAAATTTGATTCAAGATACAATCAGTTTCTCTCACCGTCCAGCCACCTCCATCAGTCTCCATGTCACAGTACACTCTGACTGCCTGTCCCTCTTTTCCTTTAGGGTAGATGTCCACCTCTCCTGACTGCAGAGCTCCATTCAGCAGCTCCTGAGAGCACTCAGTTGGGAAAGGGAAGCGCAGTTTTCCTATGAGATAAAGGGAAAAATAACTTTTAAGCTTGGATGTATTGATGGGCAAATAAATTAGTAGAGACTCGATATTTCAAATGCAATACCTGTGACAAATTCAGTAGTGACAATAGATGTGTAGTGTCCATCTCTCTCGCCTTGAACCAGAACAAAGTAACGCGACATTGGTAACAGCCCTGTCAGCTTATACTCTGTGATGGATGAGTCCAGGATCAACTCCTAGTTTATTCACAAAACACCAATACACACACAAAGGTATTATTTTGGTGCTTTCTGAAGATGCTGAGAACCTTTCTTTGCTGGTAATGCTGATAGTAAGTCACATCATTCACCTTTGTCTCTTCTCCCATCACCTGGTAAATGATTCTGTAGCTGTGATAAACCACTGTGGTCGTCCTCCATGTTATCATTGCTGAGCGAGCACCCACCTCGCTAGCTCTAACCACTTGGAAGCACCAAAGACACAAGTATTTAGATCTGGAAATTCACGTACAAATTAAAGTGGACTGGTAATTTGTCCTCTTTACTTACCATTAGCAGTGGTGAATGAGGTCGAGATGGCCATGCTCTGAAGGCTGTCTTTCTGGCTCAGTACTTTGATTGTATACAGGGTGCCTCTCTGAAGGCCTCTCAGCTGATGCTCCACTGAGTTTCCGGACAGCATCACTGTCACTGTGACATTAGGAGCTGAGAGAAGAGAGAGAATCATCAACACTTAGCTCAGTCAGTACAAGTTTATGAATAGCTGTTAGGGTATGGTTGTTACACTCACTCTTAGAGGACTCGTAGCTGATGATGAAGCGGTCTACTTTCCCCAGACTGGGTGTCCATTGCAGCAAAGCTCTGGTATCTGTCACATTGACCACCTGCAGATGTGTTGGGGGTGCAGGCACTGAGTAAAGACACAAACCATTGTTAGATGTGTTCCTAATTTCACATGCTAAAGCAAAGCTTTACAGTACTTTGAGCAGATCTAATTGCCCACCTGTGGTGATGACGGATGTCAGGGCAGCACTTTGTGCTCTGCCTTGTGTGGTAGCTACAGTGATTATATAGGAGGATCCGGCAGACAACTTGGACAGAACCAGATAAGACTGTTGAGAGTCCATAGTCACATAGTGAGTCTCCCCTGGGAAGAAATACATCAGATTCAAACACAAAACAGTTCCCAGTCAATTATTCATGTGAACAAAAGCTAAAGAGGGATGCAATTTACTGTTCAGAAGGCATTTGACAGACCTGTTACAATGTTGGTGTATGTGACCCTGACCCCTGAGAATGCCGCCTTTGGTTTGGACCAGGAAACAGTTAGAGAGGACTCTGTCACATTACTGAAGACCATGTCTGTGGCTGGCTCAGGACCTAGTGAGTAAAAGCAAGTATATTTATTCACATGGGATACATAAAAACATAATGTAATCATTGCCAGACAAGTATATGTGGGTGAATTAGAGATAAATGATAAAGAAGTGCAAACTTTATAACCTGTGCTTGCAGTTACTCTGTGGACCTTTGATTTCCTGTCAGCTGTTGTACCGTATACATGCAGGACATAGCCTGTGCTTGCTCGAAGGTTACTGAACTCCACTGAGCGCACATTGCCAGGGACCACCATGGAGATCCTCTTGGTGTATCCTCTAGTTCCAGCAGCCTTAGCAGAGGCAGAAGTCATGTTTGCACTCTCACTGTGGACCTGGACTTCAGTCGTGTTTTTAGCTACGAGAGACTTGTCCCCTTCTAGAGCCTCTTCTTCAAATTCATCATGGTCCTCTTCATCACCCTCAGCCCGTGGTTCTCTTCTGATTACGGTGAAGTTCTTGAACATCCCTTGTGGTGCTGACCATGTGACTGTAAAGCTGTAGGAGGAGATGTTAACAACCTTTACAGAACCTAATCCAGTTACTTTTTTTACACTCCCAGAGCCGTGGGTGGTTGTTTTTTCCTGCAGAACCCGAGCTTCACTTGATGTTGTTACAAGGGTTGTATTCACCAAGTACTGACTCCTCTGTTGGACTTTGTCTTTTCCAGTCTTGGCAACATCTGTGTGTCTGTTGTCTACAGACAGCACATTTGTAGTTTCTACTTTGACTTTGATGCGTTTGTGCCCAGATGATTGAGTAGTATTCTTCTCAGCCAATGTGGACTGCTCCAAGGTTTCCTTCCCAGCGCGGGTTTTGTTTGTTCCTGTGACTTTGGACTGAACAGTCGCAATTCTAGCCGTACCGTTAGATTTCTTCACATTACCTTGGGTTGCATTGGCATGAGGTTCATCTTTCAGTTGGTCCTTAGCGAGGTTGACATCAGTTTTTTGAAGGACCTTTTTAGTTGTAAGGACAGCTGTTTTCCCTTTCCGGGCCTCCTCTTGCTTTCTTCCATCATGTTTCAGCAGAACTTGACCAACAGTTGGGCGACTGGTCCTTGTGGCACTTGAAGAGTCTTTAATAATTATTTTCTTGACTGAGGATTCTTGTTTTTCTTTAGCACTTGCAGCTGTTTTGGGTTTGGAGTTAGCTTCCTTTGTTCCAGACACCTTCTTCTGCTCCCTCCTCTGGAAGAGTGTCTGCTCAGCTTTGGTGGTTTTCTCTTGCAGGGTCACCGTTTCCACCTTGACCTTTCCTTTGGTAGTCTCTGAAATTACAGAACAGAGGTGAAGAACCAAAATAGTCAAAGTCTGAAGAAAAAATACAGCATGTGTCTATGATGTTCCAGCATATGTGCATACATACATAGAGTTCCCACTTACTTTTACTACAGTCAACTCCTTGGGCACACTTACTGCAGTCTGGACCACTGAATCCCTGTCGGCAGACACATTTCCCCTTCTGACATTCTCCATTGCCACTACAGTCATTAGGACAATTTGCAGAACATGGACCTGCGTAGCAACAAAAAATATCCAACATTATTACATTCATTCTCCTATTTGTGTGGCAGCCATTTTTTTCTTTCTCATACTTGAGATGGGAAGCTGACATGCTTCAAATCATGGTGTCAATGGGCTTCAGATTTTAATTATATTAGGGAATCTTAACCATTTTTTAAAAATCTTTCAATGCTTTGTGATATACCAACATTGGAAAATCTGACTTATTACAAACCGGTTTAAAAAGTATATTTGTACAGTTACCTACAGCTGGTGTTAGCATTCAACCAGCTTTTATCTAACATTACATCAGCCTGAATAAAATACTTTGGTATTGATGAACTGCAACAAACTGTAATAGATTTCAGCCCATTCTTGGCTGTCTTCAACATCAGATAGGGAGTGGTTGAATATCATAACTTGCTGTCGTCTAGCTGGAGCAAAGAGACTATCAAATATATATTTTTTAAATTGAATACATTGCCAAGTACTTCAAGATTACAATGAATTTTCTCTCCAGTCCAGATTTACTGAGAAGCAGCGAAATGATTGTAAATTTTTTAAAACTTGGACTTGATCTGTTTAAAACCTGCAAGAGTGACTTTTACAAATAGTTTTATTTCATAACTGTGTTGAATACTTTCTCTTGATTGGTCAAACCTTATAATGGCAGTGTTTTGGTTTTTTTTGGACACCAAAGTGTTTCCAAGGACACCAAAGTGTTGCCAAGGACAACCCTTTGATCTGTGATCCCAAACATCAAATTTTATCAATCTGCTTCAAGAAATCAGTCAGATTTAACCTCTGCCTGTTGACACTGTGGCAAAAACATTAGTTTCCATTAGAATTGTACATGGGTTGACAATGTGGGTTTTTCATTTAGCTTTTGATTTATCTCAAAAGCATAAAAAAGTTTGATAAATAGCCAACCAGTCGCCAGTGAAGAACTAAAGATGAGAGGAAGAAAATCACCAAACTAACAGTGAAAGGTCAAGAACAAGGTCAAAAAGATACAAGGAACTAATTGAAGAAGCTGTTGACTGAATTGAAGGAGACAAATGAGCAAATCCAAAATGGCAATAATTAAGGACTAGTTGTATCAAAATGCATTGTATCAAAATGCTAAGTTTAATGAGAAGTTTGAAGAAGACTGAGAGCGAAAAACATCGCCATGGAAGCGCAACTAACTCGCATTACCAAATATGGAATCTAAGGGACTTAATTTTCTTTTAGATCAATGAAATCAACAATAAATCATTATTTTGTGGGGTTCCATTTGCTATAAATTTCCCCTCACTGTACATCATCCTACCTTAAGTGCATCAATCAGGAGGAAAATCAAATATGATCAATTAAGTGCTTTAAATCATAATTATGTGACGAATATGATAGAATCCTACATTTTTCCTTGATTGCAGACATCTCCAGTTCCAGTCGCGCCACACGTCCTTTCAGTGCAGCCATCTCAGCTTCACATCCCCCAGTGCATCCACCAGGCAGCAGGCTGATCTTATGAGTCATGACCAGAGGAGCTCCAGGCTTCAACTTCAGCTCTTGTTCTTTGGCGTTGTTTGATTCACAGCCATCACTGATGACTACCTTCAGTGGCTGAGAAGTGGCAGGTTTTTCTTTGGTGTTGGTGGTGGTGGGAGCTTTAACTGCAGCGGTCTGATTGGCAGAAGACATCACCTTATCAGGCTTGTCTCTTGGGTTCTTGACATTACTAGGGGAGGGAGGTTTAGCTGGACCAGACTGATTGGGAGTGGACGTTGGCTTGTTTTTGGTGGTTGTAGACCCACGGGGAGAGCCAGCTTTTGGAGCTGTTGCCTGGACATTTCGAACTCCAGTGGCGGGCTTGTCTTTGGCAATCCTCACATCACCGGTGGAAGCAGCCTGATCAGTCGGTGGATGGAGTCTGTCTTTGGCTGAAGCAGGCTTGTCTCTGGTAGCCTTAGCTGAAGCAGTTTGATTTGCAGAGACTGTGAGCTTGTCACTAACTGTTGTAGCCCTTACTGATGCTGATGGAGTGGTTTGAGTTACTGCTGGGCTGGGCTTGTTTTTTGTGCCTTGAATGGGTGCAACAGTCTGATTTACTGTGTTTGGTTTCAGAGTTGAGCGGACGGTTTGTCTAGCAAGAGCTGCAGTGGTTTTTGGTTTTGACAGGGTGAAAATTGCATTGGATTTAGTTGCTTCACTTCCAGTCAAATGTCTCCCCTCATTGGTTGGAGTTTGGAGGGAGGGGCATGGGAGAACAAGGAGGAGAAGTCCTAGAGTAAACAGCATTTTGAGCCAGCAGCAGCAGTGGCCAGAGACGGTATTGGCTTCAGTGGATCTTTATGTTACAGGAAATTTTTTACTTCCTCTATATTTCTGTGACCACTTGCAAGGGGGGATATGCCAGGTCTCTCCTAAAAGGAAAAAAAAAATGAAAGGGCTAGTTATGGCTGAGCGTAATTCATGAAATTTTATGCCAAATAATTTTATAACTCATCCTTTGCTGAGTACATACTTTTTTTCCCTTAGCTTTGCTCTTACAAAGTTTCTATTCACACCCTGAAGCTACCTTGTACAACCTCTTACTGGCTGAGAAAACGGTGCATTTGAAACATTTATGGGTTTCACACATCGCTCATGTTTGACCCAGCAGGAATTTGAGAACTACACAATTAGTTTTAAGCCATCCTTATTAAATACACACTGATGAAACTCTCACAACAGCTCTTGACGGATTAACAGGCCACAGTTTTGTTTTGTTTTAAATTTTACTGGCAGAAATACAGGTGTAAGATTTCTCAGTAAGCAAAATCATGTACAGTGGACGGCAGAGCTCATTACACATTTCCAAATTCCATTTAAAGTTGTGTTGTAAATTCTGTTTAATAGATGCAATTTAAAAAGAATGATGAAAAATAAATATAACCTGAAAAAAAAAAAAAACTTGCAGCAGTGTTCCAGTCAGCCATAAAAGTTAATTCACTTCCTTTTTTTAAAGACCATGTCAAATCTAAATGAGCTGATTTGGAACAGGAAGGGAGAAAGTTAATTGAGCGGGAAGTCTGCTGCCGAGACTTTGCAGAGAGGTAACAGAGCGTCACTGTATGGAGCTGAGGGACACTGTATGTCTTTGACTATACAGTTGCTTACATAATCAGCTGCACACACAGCCGTAAAACCACAAAAAGAAATGTGCAATCTAAGTGTTATATCAGTAAAAAGTCAGACAAATCATGCAACATGCAAACACAAAAGGATGCAATCCAAGTCTTATATCTGGCCTTGGGGTGCACTGATGAGCAAGCGGCAGGATCATGTAACTGAATAAGTATTCATCACTTTTCCCTCAACACAGTATAAATTTTTATTCTTAGGATTAGCAATGAAAGAGGATTAAAAACTAGGAGAAAATGTCTGCACACTTAAAATTACACATTATGCTTTACCTACACTGCAATTTGTGCAGTGCAGCTTTTAATGACTTTGTTGCAGCTTAAAAAGTGTTATACACCACTGTGAAATTTCCCTCCAAATGAAATTGTCCAAAGCTTTTAAAATATTTTCAGCCATCCTCTCTCAATAATTTTCCATTTCTAAACTTTATTCAGCCTACTTGTTCCAACATCTACAGGTACCAATCAAATATCAGTAACATGGGGGAAAAAATCAAACTTACCAGAATAATGATGAAGTTCTTGGCCTTATCTCTTTCTTTGTGTAGCTCCCTCCATCTGTAAAGCTGGTTATGGACTAGAAGGAAAGAGGTGATAGAAAGGACCACTACTAGAAAGAAGGAGAGTGATAAAGTCTGCCCCTACTTAAGGACCCCCACTCCTCCACCACGCCTTATGGTCCCACTCTCTCAACCACTATGGAAAATATTTGTATTGGACTTACAAAAAGAGCAGCATTTTACACAAATTTGAGTATCAAATTTGATCAACTGTACTTCTGTATTCCACTTGGATTTCTTGTTATTTTTATGTTTTGAGAAACTGCAGTAAGCGTTCTACATTATTTACTGGGAAGTCTAAACATTTATCTGAATATAAACTAATATCGGTTATCTTAAATCATTTAACATAATCAGACTTTATCCAATATTTATTCTTTCCCTGAAACTTTAATTCATATGTTGGGGTATTTTTTATCTTTAAACATGGTCTGTCATGTCAGCTTGAATAACTGCATGTTAGCATTTTTCAGTCTTGAATACCTGATGACAGATATGTCAGTGTCTGCTGTATGTAAGCTGACTTTTAGCAGACACTGCTAACACCCAGACACAGTGTTGATTGAATGAAGCCCTGGTCCGAGAATCATGATTCAGCTGGAATACATAGCATAACACTGCAGGTATTCAGTGCTGACTCCGGGGGACAGGAACGACTCACTATATGAATCGGCTGTTTGTTCGGAGTAATGAGATGTAACTACGTGGGAGTTATGTAAGTGACCAAAACTCCACCAGATTTAAGGAATGCTCTGTGAAAGCCCTGAATCTCTCACCAGATGGCCACCCACAATCCCGCCTTTTCTAAACCACATGAAGACAAGTATATCAAGGGTCTTGAGCAAACAGGACATAAGTGACATTTTAGTCATTTTACGGGGGAGCAAAAACAAAAGTTTTTATCATTGGAGCATAATAAATACCAAAGATATCATCCAAAAACATTTTTCAATAAGATTATTGCTGATCACCTAGAAGTAAACTTTTCTTTAAGCCAAATTATAATATATTTTAATTACAGCGTTTCCTCCTGATGCAACCGTAGTTGATATTTATTAATGCGAATCTTTAATTCTGATTAATCAACATCTATGAGACTTGATTTAATTCTAACATCACCTATTTGTCATGACCAAGCCTTTCAGATTGATACACATTGATGCATTGTAAACACTACAGAGTATATATAGTGCCCACTTACTCCTGCATTAGTCTGATGAGTGGCTCTATTGTATGGCAAATCTATTTTGCAGGACTGTTGTGAAACCCTGACCAATGTTGCAGAAACTGCTCTCACACGTTCTATTACTGTTACATGTACTAACCCTATATATGTAACAGAGGATGTATATCAGAACCCACACGGTAAACATAAACATTTAGCAATAGATATTTTTGATGCATGTGTGTGGAGATGATATGTTTGTTTTGGCAAGTACACCATGTTCCAATACTGACAGAGGACTGTAGCATCCAGGTCTTTGGACATGTCAGATGTAACAGTTGATGCTGTAATAGGTATGAATCGATGTCAAGTATACCTGGTAGATTCACAACTACAGACATCAACTGCGAGTCGGTTTGGGTTAACTCCTGTTGTTTCTATTATTTGCTAAATAAATTGCAGTCTTTGTATATTAACAGTCTTCAAATTAAAAGTTAAATTCAATGAGCATTTTTTGCTGTATTGGATCGGACAGCTAAGAAGAGGGATAGGAGAGTAGAGAAAGACATGCAATAAAGGATTGTGGTTGGGTATCAAACTGGTAACTGCTGCAACAAGACTATGGCCTTTAATGATGGGGTGTATAGACCGCTAGGCCATCATCGACCCAGTCTTTCCTACATTTGAGGTGATTAACGCTTGAACTTATGTCAAAATGGGGCTCAGATTATTCATTGAGTGGTTATGGTGTAAGGACAGACATACTAAAAAAAATATTCTAAATGAAGCATATCCTACTATCCCAATTAAACTACTCATGTTGAGACATAATAATTCAATTCACAATCTCCATCAGAAGTAATTAGTAACTTGAAGCGGATAAAAACTCTTACAGTTCAAATATGAAAGATGAACTGGTTTGCATGTAAGCACAATGGTGTAGGCTACCTCTCATCAAGATAGTATCCTTACATGCATTACCTGGTCATTTTGTTTCATTTCACGTCATCATGATATGTCAGATGTGTTGCATCTGTTTATTATTCTGTAATGTGGAGTAAGTTAACTCATGTAATATATCACAAGAACATTTAATAAGCACTTCATTAACATTACATGATTGCTCTTACACAATCTTGTGAACAGTAAGCAGTTTACCTCTCACACATATGCCTCTGGTGATAATGAGGACTGGATTCAGTGTCAAAGTAGGTCATGACAGTCTAAGTCTGCAAAGCACAAACATTATCAGGTCCATAAAACTGATGCATCTTTAATTTAGTCACTTAAACGTTTTCTTCTCGTCTACAGTGAAAAGGCATATCACACCAGAGGTCATCTTAATATTGAGATGGATAAAACAGCACTGTAATTGGTAGTGTAGTGCAGACACCTGAGTGGGTGGTCCCTCTCCATCAGTGCTTCCATCCGCTGGCAGGCTTCAGAAAAGCTCCGCCCTCCCTCTTATCCTTTCTGCACCTTAGACCACCCTTGCACCGTTGACCTTGTGTTGGCCTTTGGAAAAATAAGAGCTTCAAAACTAAAGCTTCTGCACACCTAACAAAACACACCTGGTCAAACAAGTACATTTCAGCTTCCCCCAATCCCAGCCTCAGAGTTGATGCCCATATTTGGTGTTTTGGCACCCAAGTATCTCCTGGTAGTTTATGTATATTTATGGTGAAAGTCATGTGGAAACTATGGATCTGAAGTATACATATCTCAAGCCTCATTCAACCACCACAGCCAGTTTATCTGTACAAGAGAGCATGCATAACATGTAAACTACGACTTCTGAACTTCTCTGGATTGTGTCTAACCATAGCACACGACTCCACACTGCTCAGTCATGACAAACCACCGATTACCTGAGAAAGCTTTAGAGAAAAAAAGACCACTTTTCAACATGCTGTTTCTGTTGGCTGCTAATGGAGCACTAAAGTGATCCCAAGATGAAAATGTTTGATGCAGAGTCTTCTTATTTATTTGCCCTTATTGATTCAAATTTAATGAAATGTCTGAGGCTGAAACAGTGCAGGCATTGATCTGGCTGTGATTGAAGTGATGGTCAGTACTCCCATGTTGCTTACATTGGGCCTGGCCTCTGAGATTAGAATAATATAAGCACATAAGCCTCAGCTTGTTCCGCGCCTCTCCACCCATGCCCCCCTCCTGCTATGCTCCCTGCGACTGCCCCTGGTTTTCTCCCATTACTGCTTCATGAAGCTCCATAAACCCAGCACAGTTTTAGATTATGTAATTCCACTGAGAATCTTCTGCAGCATGTTTAGACTCCCATTTAAGGAGGGAGCTATTAACTCTTTGTTAATAATGAGGGAATATTTTTCCTGTAGGTGATGATTGAATGACTTATTGCTTGATGATTCTACCAAGGGGTAGGCAAGCCGGCCTTATGAGCAAACTGTAATGCCGCTTTATGTACAATGTACTAACCTGAAACCCCCTCCCCCTTTTCCTCACCTTGCAGATGTTAAGTAAGGAACGGGTAACTTGGAGGGGGGTTAGGTTGAGTACAGAGACCCCTCTCAGATCCTTCACTGCCAGTAAAAGAAAAAAAAGAGCATGAAAAAATAAATACATTCAGCAGGAGAACTAAATCAAACCAGTGCACCAAAGTGAGTCAAAGTATTTGGACAGACATGAATAAGAAAGTGTCGGTTTTGGTTGCTGTTAATTTCCATTTTAAATAACTGTTGCAACATGTACACATAGTCAATACTCTGACGAATTTCCATTTAACTCGGTCTATAAACTTATCTTCATCTTGAAAGTGGGATATGTTCCATACACCAGTGCAACCAGTAAACCAACATGTACTGGTGTAACCCCCCCCCCCCCCCCACCACCACCACCACACACACACACACATACATTTCTGATTTTACGCAGTTATTCACATCAAAATGTTTTTATTAAAACATAATCTGCTTTATGGATAAAAGAAGAATGGTTACATCTTTTGTTGCATACTTTCATGTGATGGATCCAGGCATCCATCTACTGTCTGGCAAGCAATGACTCTATGCATATATGATTGGTCTTTAGCAATGCTGACAAGACACAGAGCTTTATGAATTTCATAGGGAACTACAGAAACAGCTACACCAAGCAGAAAATGAAAGTGAAATGATGCACACTGTTGTGGCAGTCCTCTTCACTGTCTGCAGCCATTCACCTTGTAGGTATCTGTAAATAAGTTAAACTTGTTGCAGGCAGGCTTGTTTGCAGTCTTTGCACACTCCTCCTCTGAAGGCTTCCTTTCGACCCAGGTGTTTGATTCCAGCAGGTACTGCATCCTACAAAAAAAGGAGGAGAGGGAGCAAGGATAAGATCAACCTGTGTAAAAATACATTTTATTAAGAAAAGTTTTACTCACATTCCATTGGAGTCGGTTGTGGAGCCATCTTTGCCCATGATCAGATACTGTTTCCCCAGGTCTAGCTGTCCTTTACAGTGACGTCTCTTCGCAAACACTCGAATAGCATTCGCATCGACCCTGATATCTCCATCTGGTACACACATAAGTATCATCACAGTTTTAATTCTTGCATGTGTAAAAGTCATGGATGTCACACAAACATTCAAAGCTGTGTTTCCACATACTATAAGCTAGTGGTTGTGATTTACTTACGTGATTTCAGCACCTCATTTATGGTCAACCTGTAGAGCTCAAAGTTGCTCTTCATGGACACATTAAGGACCTCAACAATGTATGCTAAAACAACAAAAGGAGTACACCAAGCACAATTAATCTCAGACATCCCTCTGCATAATTTTTTTACATTTTCAATCTTCATAGCAAAGATGTGAGGTTCAATTTATTGTCCACCTCATATCTTCTTGTCATGAGCAGTACTGACCATAGTCTACCGTTGGGGAGAAACAAGCATGCTGTAAACGCTTGTTCTCATTTCTCCCTCGACCCCTTTCTTGTTTGAATGTGGTTTGTATTTTATGGCAAGGTCCTATAAAAAAAGACAAACATGATCCATTTCTTAATTCAAACCTGCCTACAATCATTTACAGGAGTGTTTTCTATATTGATACAGATCTGGAGAGTAATCACTCACTCTCTGCACACTGGCAAACATCCTCTGAACACAGTGTAGAGATCAGCTTGCTCCTTCGGGGAGCAGAGTAAAACACTGTACACTTCCGATCTAAGAATCGAAGCACAAATTTCATCAATTGTTGACAAGTCAAACAAATGTGCCCTCTTCATCCTGATCATAAATGAAAGCTTACCTGGTTCATAGTAATCGTAAAACACAGCAGGAGCTGGCTGTAGAAGGCCGATGGGGACTGTCTGTATAGCGCTAAAACGTATGCATTCCTCTGTATCAAAGAGCTAGGGGAAGAAAAGGATCTTTAGTAAATTAGCAAGTCTTTTTTTCTATGTATGTAAATAGATTTCAGCCTTACCTCGTTAAAGTATAGCAGCACTTTTCCAAAAGAGACTTCATAATGAGAAATGTATCTTTCAGGTTCTTCCTTAAGCTGAGAAGACAAAGAATAAACGTTATAATTCCAGAGCGTCTTTTAAGATAAAGTGTTCTCCTTGTTAATGTTGTGATTCCAAAAGTTTCTACACATTTTTGTTAAACAGCTTCGTTTTACTCCTACATAACAAAAACCAGGGACTAGAGTTGCAAAGTTGGCATAAGCCTTCTAGTTTCCGTTACTTGACACTTTATGAGGAAGGACCATAGTTTGTTAATAATTCATGCCCAAAAAATCATGGGTGTTACTCTATTTCTTCTACACTGCTGAATTAAATTTTATGGTTTCTTTGCACTGTTTTCTGTTGTTAAGAACACATGAAATAATAATTCATCAGATTTCATATAGCGCTTTATCAGAGACCCTCAAAGCGCTTTACATTGGATACATCATTCATTCGCTCACACAGTCACACTTTGGTGGTGGTTAACTACCTCAGTAGTCACAGCTGCCCTGGGGCAGGCTGACGTAAACGTGGCTGCCAGTCTGCCTACCTCTTCTCCGACCACCACCACACAACACTCACAATCATACACCAGTGGAGGACACACACTGGGAGCAAGGCGGGTTAAGTGTCTTGCCCAAGGACACAACGGACAGACTCGGGATAGGGGGGAATCAAACTGCCAACCTTCCGGTTATTGGACAACCGTTCTACCTCCTCAGCTATTGCTGCCCCCACAAGCTTGACCAACCCTTGCAGACATCATGCTTCTGCTCTATCAGGCACCGAGTACTGCACTAGTGTTATTTCATTTTGAAGTATCATTAAATTGAGGAGAATCTTCATACTAAACCAAGTGTTGAATCAAAGTCAAAATTTGTAATTCAGGTTCAAAATTTGTGACAGTGCAACCCAGGACCTTTCCCAGCTGTTTCTATGGAGAACAAGCATGGGGCAAAACAACGAAACAGTAACTTTTGAATATGTGCTCAATGCAGATGAGAGCAAAAGAAACAGGAGTAATAGATTTAAGTGTACTTACTCTGTCAAGGTCTTCAGTTACAGCCTCAAAACCACTCAGGAGTGTGATGTCAGCAATGGCCATGCCTGTGAGATTGTTGTAAAGACTACGACTGTGCACATAAAAGAGATAGAAATAAAGGTATAATGAACTGTTTTTTTTTTCACCCATTCAAAGCTCCATTTCTCTTTAATAGTTGGAGCAGAGGTGATTTGAATGCCATTCAACTTACGTGACACAGACTTCGTAGGTGAGAGACTCATCTGAGTTCATGTTGTTATCAAGGTCTCTCCTGCTTCTGCTGTGAGCATCAAACCACTCAATCGCTGATCGAGGTATTCGCACCTCCTTCTCCTCAACGTTATCATAATCCTCATAGTAGTCATAGTTTTCTACGACCTTGGCTAGAGAGACAGAGTTTAACCCACAGGTGTTGCTTTCATTGGCTTTACAAGCAGCTGTGATTTGTTCTCAGTGACAAAGGCTCACCGGTGTACTTCACTTTCCCTTCTACTGTGACTCTGATGGAGAGTTGTTTACAGTCATCGTTGGGCTCCAGCAGATGATAGGCCTTCACTATCTAGTAGACATACTAAAGATCAAATATTGTTCTTTGTCAGCATATATGATGGATATAAACCTAACTCACTTTTAGCTTGGTCCCTCCTTTTCCTGTCACATCTACAGAAATTCTCTGTCCAGCAAATTTCTGAGACAAAAAAAACAAGAACATTGAAAAGTGAAAAATAATGAGGTACATTTTTCAAGTGTTCCCTGGCAGGGAAGTGCTCATATGCTCAGTGGTACCTTGAGGTCTTTTTCCACCTTGTCCTTCTTACTTTCCAGATCAAGTTTTACAATATCTCTCCTTCCTTGAACTGTGAACACTGCTCTTAGATTTGCTTCAGGACTGGGCGGTCTCTTCAGCTCATACTCTGCCAGAGCTTCTAGTGCCATGACGGTATCCTGGACATGACAACAAAACATGCTTAACATCTTCACTCTGGTGTTTAATCCTGAGTATTTGTTTTTAATATGGGACCACAAGGATGATCAGAGGACTAGATCCAAAACCAAGGCTCAAACTGTTCTCAATCTAACATCACAATAACCTGTGTTGAGACGAAGCCTCCAGCATGGTTTTCTTGGGTGGTTAACCAGCAGGCTGCTCTGTTTGCCCATTCAGTTTTCTGTAGTTCCACTGCTGCAAGGAGGGCGTAGGCTGTAGTCTCTATAGTGATGGCATCTGCTCGAGCTTGACTCCGTAAGCTGGGATGGGTCGCCCATAGATGACAGTGATTCTCTCCTGAAAGTTACAAAACACAGCAGATTTAAGTGGATAAAAGTTTCAGCATAATGCGCCATGTTACACCCTTTTGGTTGACTTTTCATCGTGACCATTATTAAACTGTTTAGTTTCAGGTTTTGGAGGATATCTACATGTATAAAATATCACATTTTCATATTATCAACAAGCTCATTACTTTTAACTCTCTATTTTGACAGTTTCTCAGTGTTAATGGGTAAAGCATCATTTTTTACCCCACAGCACTCAGACCAGTGGCTTCAATTTGACTCACCCTCTGAAAAAAGTACTTCAAGATTTGCCCAGGCAGATGAATGACTTGTGTCTGGTGGCATACAAAATGCAAGGCAGTAGACTGCAATGGCTACAGCATATGGATGCCGAAGCTCCTGAAGATGTGATAGGAGGTATGCTGTTGATCTTGAAATGCTGGCCTCCTGGTGGGAAGAAGCAAAAAACAGTCAACACTTCTTAAATATAACTTCACTTTGCAAGTATTGCATTACTAGTGTATCAAAATAAGAAGTAATGTGCTGGAATCTCTATGATGCATCTGTGAGCGTTGTTGTACTGCTAAGTTTTGCAGACTGGAAGAAAAGACGGTTTTCAAAATCTGCTCTGATGCATTGCAACAGAGAGCATCTAGCCAAACATGTATCAGAAGATTTTCAAGGAAAAAGGATTTATCCAGATTTAAAAGTTTATGAGCCTGTCTAGATAAAGGGCTCTATTTTTGTGTATGCCCGTGAGGCGGCGGAGGGTGGCGGACACCGCGCATGTGTATTTTCGTCTGGCGGAGCCCGGCGTACAGCCAGTTTGGTATTTTCATGGACTGAGGCGCACGGAGGCGAACCGAGATCCGCCAAGCTGGGCGTGGTGGCGTGGCAGGGGGAGGTGTCGACAGAATCAGCGGGCGCAGTGACATTTTCGTGCTCGCCAGTGGCGTGTAAAGTGCGCTGAAAGCTCGCCGATTCAAACCTGGTCAGTTTTCAGCGCAGGCGGAGCGCAGCTGGTCTAGTAGTATTTTGGTAGACCGGCGGTGTATCGGCATGTGTCACAGATGCCTCACCAGCAGGTTTCCACAGTGTCAGGCACATTTCAGTGCAATAAATAATCATCAACAACTAATAATCTGAGTCAGCACACACATTTAGATCTATAAAGATATATTCTGATCTATATCTGATCTGATGAGCGCGTTTGGCACCCGTGTGGACACACAACCTGACTGAATCAACACAGCTGAAACCGCATCAAATTAAATTAGATATCTAGTAAATAAACACACATGATGAAGTTAACAAGATATTTAATTTGTCTCCCTCCTTTTCTTTCTTCCTCTTCCTCTTATTTCTTGCGCAGCTCAACCTGGACATGTCTCCATGTCCTCTCCCCGTCCTGCTGCAGCTGCTGCCGCAGCGGCTGAACAGATGATTTGTTTCAGTGCTCAGATGAGTTATCTACCTTAAGCCGACATACAGATATTATAATATTCAGTTTTGTGAGCCAAATTTATTTTACATGCCAACATCTATGAAAGAAAGAGCCAGGCCACGGAGCACGATGCGTCATTTACGCACAGATGGTTCCGATTTTAATGCCATTTTTCGAGTTTATGTTGTGTTCTGTGCGCACAACCCATCTTTTTCACGTGAGGTTTGAATATATGCAAATTTATGTGAGTGTCTTTATTTGTGGAAAAGGGTGTTTGTCTTACCAGTGGGTCCAACATTACACACACCAAATCCATCTGTGCTTATATGAGAGAGTGTGGAGGACGCCCAATGCAGCGCTTACAGTGACACTTGTTGAGGAGCTGCCTTCTGTTGCCAACGTGTGGCATTACTGTCTTCAGACATCTCTTGATCTCTTTGACTACTTCATGAAAATAGTAACACGCCTCGCCTGTGGCGGATTTAAAGGCAAGGAGAGGAGCTTATGAGATTGGTGAAAACAGGTCTCGGCTGTGTTAAACCCACTCCACGCCCTCTCTCCTCCCTCGCTACGACTTACGCCGCAGGGAGGAGCTGAGTTAGGGAGGGGGGATACTTACACCGGGCTGCGCCGCTCACCAAAATACCAAAATGTGCTTGGGAACGCCTTGTTGGTGCGGCGGACCTGACTTACGCTGCGCCTGCGGCATGTCTCCGGCGAGGCACGAAAACAGAGCCCAAAATCTTAATGTCTGGATGTAATCTTGTGCCACGAACAATATTTAGGTGTTTCATCTGATGAGGGAAAATTTGGGGCTGATAAAGGTCAGAGGTGAGGTCAAGGGATCACCAAAGTCATCAGGGTTCACCAGTGGAGCTAGCTCACTGAATGTCTTAAAAAAATCTCATGGCAGGCATTCAGTACATATTAAAGTATTAAGATCTTAAACTAAGTGGTGGTTCAGCCAACGCTGCTGTCCTCAAAGTCAATGAATGAGTCTTTGTATTATCTTACCGTTTCATTTCTTCCCCCTGGATGCAGGAATTCAAGGGATCGTTGCAGTGCAAGAGCGACAAAAGCTGTGATGGATGCATCTTGGTCTCTGCCTGTCTATGTTAAAAATGAATATAATAATGATTTCAATTCAATGCTGTAAGGCAGTTATCACAACATACATTGTTCTTGTAAGTATGTGGGTTATAATGTGTGCAGTGGCCTTGCAGTTACCAGAACTCCTCTGTGTAACACTTGATGTGGGTCAGTGAATGACCCGTCATTCCTCTGCTTTGAGAGCAAGAAACGGACTGGTTGTCTGATCTCTTCCACTGGCACAACATTTGCCACTCTGGTCTGCTGCCCGAAAGACTGTGACTGACGCTGGGCCACCAGTGAAAACACCTTCACTACGAGTGCAGTCACCCTGAGGACATGAGAAAGAACAACAGAGTACAAATGAAGAGGGGAGGTGGTAAACAAATTGAAATACTGGAACTGAAGACACTTGATTTGCTATGCGGGATATTAAATGTAACTACAGTACCTTAAAAAAACAGCCAGGTAACTTGTGCACTCACCAATTACTCTGTGGCACTGAGCTAAATGATGAATAAGCTCCAGTCTTTTTATCCTTGTATGATATAATTCTTAGAAAACCTGCATCGGAGTTACCTGTGCAGGGTGCAAAGTTCAGAAATGTAAAACAACACAATAATGAAACAAGAATGTGAAAGAGAAGACCAAGAATGACTGCTGTTCACTGCTTTAAAAAGTTTCAGTGTATGTTGCAAAGCGAGGAGATCAAGAACTGATGGATTGAGGATAGAAGAACTGGGGAAAACGTTTGTAAGGTTGGACAAAATTGCAAGTTGCTACACAGAGATGAGTTGAGTCTGTGCAAACTTCACAATGAACAATAATGCTACAGACATCAAACAGATAACTGCTTAATGTGCTCTTACCATATTCAATGTGATCCAAGGCTTGGTCTCTAGCACCAGGTGTCAGGTCAAACCACTGATCACTCAGGTCGAGGTAGCGGACCGCTGCAACTGTAGGGGCAAGTTTTCTCATGGTCTGTTCTAAACACCCAGTAGGCAGTTTGATCAGTTTTGCAACCTTTTCAGGGGAAAGAAGGTTCTTTGCATGTGAAGTGCCAAATCCATCCCCTGTCACGCACGAATAGAGAAACTGTTAGAGAGCACTGTTCATAACTGGTTTGTTAATAGCATGTCTGTGTCTAACTACATATACCTTCTACAGAGACGAATATATTTGAGCTGGAGTCAGGGACTCTGTCCTCTGGGAATGATCCATCGATTAAGAAAGTATCTGAGCTCCTCCCTATCAAAGTATAGAGATGGAAATGATTCAAGTAAATGTAAAAAAAGTGACCTCAACCACCAGGAGAGTATCATAAAAACGTATGTGATTTCAACTTACCATCTAATTTAAAGACTTTTGTGTTTTCCACTCTTTTTTCTATTCCCTCTGACTGCAACAAAAGAAAATATGAGTACAGGGACAGTCAACATTGCCGGTCCATAAATTGCTTTATAGTAAAAAATTTAAAGCAAATTATAGGTCATTAGACAACATTACAGCCATTAATACACATTCAGGTATAGAAATTTTTAAAAAGCTACTGAAATTAATGAACATTTAAAGGTATGTGACCATTAGCGTCTATGCAACTTTAGCCACTTTTCAAACTTATTTGCGAAATAATACCTCTGTCACTCACCAAGACATTCAAAGTCTTCTCAATAGCGTCTAGCCCATTTTCTTGCTCTATATCATAGAGATGTATTTTGATGGGAAATGAGCCGGTCACCATGGGGACAGTGGAGAAAGAGACGAACTGGGAGGACTCTCCCTTCAAAGTAATGTTGACAAAGGCTGTAGTGGTGGCTGAGCCAGGGGAGCAAAGTCCTTCTATTTGTTCCATATGTACTGCCAGCTACAAAGAAAATCAGACTTTGAAAAACTTGATTTGAATTGTACCATTTTTTAAAACAATTTTATACATTTAAGTTGTATGTACCTGTACTGGGTCTACGCCATAGTTGTAGATAACGGGTGAAATGGCAAGTTGCTCATATTTTTTCACAGAATAGGGCAGTCTCAGGGACACAAATACCTTCTTAAATGCTTTGACTTCAATTGGTTTGACAACACAGAAACCTGAATAAAAAACAGAGTTCATTTAGTAAAAGTTTTAATAAACAACTCAGCAATCAGACGTACAGAATGCACTTTTTACCTGTGGCTGCAGACAGAGTGGCAATCTGAATCTCCCATGTAGTGATTGAATCCGGTAGAGCTAAATCATAGCTGAAGATTTATCATTAATCAGTTTAATATGCATCAAACAAAAGCTGTGATTGATTAAATCAATACTTGAGACTAAAAAGACTGCACACTACACTAAATATTATTAAGAAGCAGAGATCCTCCACCAACAATAAGACATTGACAGGTAAAATATCAGGGGTTTGGCAAATGACTGCAAGCCTCTTTAACACACTGGAGATGAAAATATCAAATAGACTGTTAAAAGTTAATTATTAATATCTTACCTTCCTTTGCCATTTACATCATACTCTCTGAACTCAAAGCTCGGGGGAAAAAAACGTCGAATGTTCCTGCCAGCATTTTCCAAGAAGTACTGTTCAATGTCTTCTGTTGTTTCAGCTTCAAACAAAAAATTGAAAGGTCTGTAATTAAACAGAAAAAAAAACCCAACTACAGATACTACATGCAGGCACGCTGACAGAGTCTCAAGCAAATATCTTGCTTTTTACTTTCCTAATTTTCAAAGTTGCTGGTAATCTAAGGAGGAGTAGGATGGGCTTCTCAAATCACCATATCTTGGGTACAAGCAGACTTATCAGCTGGCCTGACTACATGCTTTCTTCATTTGTACTATGTTAAATATTTATCTGAAAATTCAAACTCACTCCTTCCAAGGTTTTTCCAGGCATCTTCTTGTGTCTTCTTTTGTCTGAGACGCTCTCCTTCAAGGCAGCATCGTAAAAATACCTCAGCACAAAGAGGATTTGCCTCCACCTGAGAGACTCTCCTCACTCTTTCATGACATGTTCGCATCATTGGAATGAGAGAAAAGCCATGAACGCAGCAGTCTTTCAATTTTTCATCTGAAAAGTTAGATTCTGAAAATGACAGAAAAAAAATTGACAACTTTGTAGCGTTGTCCTACAGGAAATATCATATAGTATGCTAGACCTTTGCTGCATGCATTGTGTAAGTATCATCTTACTTAAAGTGACCAGTTCCTGCTGAAGGTCCACTTCACGTCTTTGTCGTGTTGATTGTGCGTTGCAGCCAAGCTCTATAAAGACATGACATCATTAAAGTTTAGGATTTTCTGCATGAGCATGTGGATATTTCTCACTGCTTGGATTTTGATGGTTGTTGGTATTGTGAAATCAAATGTGAGCCAAAAAGGTCAATGTGACTGTTTTGCCACTCATCAACATGAATACAGTAATTTCTTTTTTTTTAACTCCAAGTTCTGGAGTTTCTGAATTTTTTGTGTTCTATGAACTTAAACTTACTAATACTTATTTATTGACTGCATTTAACAAACTTCCTTAGCACCAGGGTCCAGTCAGCCAAAATACGATCAAACACAATCCAGACTATTTGAATAAGAACTTTTTTTAAACCTAAGGATTCAATGAAAAAAGCTTGTTTTTTTCATACTCTTCCTCCAATCTGCTGCAGAATGAGTTAAAAATGACAGTCCAGAATCAATCAGCACTGAAGCAGGGTCAGATCCTCCTGTGTAGGCGCAGCCGTGGTCATAAGACTGCATGGTGGAAAACACCTGAAAAGTAGGAGTATTTGAGTCATGGACATGACTTGGTTGTGTTTTATGAATGAGTCAAATTGTATAAGTGTTACCTGTTTGGCTGTGAGTTTATTATCAGCCTTTAGACCATAGATGGCCTTATCCACAGCCAGTAGAGCCACTCGGGCTTTTTGACCATCTAAATTAAATTGTAGTTTATACCGGTCCTTCGGTGCAGCCAGTCCTTTATGTTCTACCTGGATGTGCACAGTTAAATATGTCAGAGATTTTTAAAAGTAAATTTTAGAGGTCATGAAATACCACCGAACATCTTTTCAGAGAAACACTTGGCTGTGTCTTATAGTTGACAAGAACCTGAAACAGAGCTACTGATGTATTTCGTAATGACAAAGAGTGCTACAAAAAGAGTCTTTCTAAAGTTTTATCAAAGGTTGGTATGTATGAGTGATGCTTTCTGTATGATCAAATATATATTATTGTAAAAATAAAATGTAAAACATTTTAGTGCTGCTGATGATGTAGGCCTATGGTTCTTACTGCTGATATGTCAAAGCTCCGCTACCGTTGTGTGCCCTCTGCTGTGCAATGTGCACTGAGCATCCAAAGCACAAGTAGTTGTGGGGCAAAACAGTGTCACAAAAAAGGACATATTCTTCAGGAGCAGAAAAAAGAAAGAGGAAGAAGAGAAAAACACCAAGATAAAGGTATGTTTGCATGTCATGGAATTTTAATCAACGAGATTTGTGAAGGTGTATGAATGATCAACAATCAATATTATTGGCTGAAATACAGGGCCCAAAAATCAAATTTTGCATAGGGCCCCATTCAGGCTTGGGCCGGCTCTGCTGTTTACTCACATGAACCTTGATCGCACATTCATCCTTGACATCCAGCCACACTGAGTCAGCAATGATGTCACCCCGCTGGTTGTAGAAGTATCCAATCAGACGGAAGGTGGGAACCATATCAGAAGTTACCACTAGTTTGTGGCTAACTGAAATACCCATCGAGACTTTACCGCTTTCCACAAGGATCCCTCGGCTTAAGACCTACAACAACAGAATTGAGTCAAGATGTAAAAATCTATTCTTTCTTAGTAAAAGCAATCTTTGCTGCATCCATTCAGCCTCGCCTCACCATGTAGTATATGTACCCATCTGTCGGGCTGTTGACAGTGTTGTAATTTACAGTGAATGACTCTCCAACCGAGTACACCTTGTTTTCTAAACTCAGGTAAAGGTAGCTGTTGCTGGGAGATGAAGCTCGTTGTAGCACTTTTCTTTGTTGCAGATCATCTGCAGACACCTAATAAAAATAAGGGTTTTGATTTTCATTAAAATAAAGAAAAATCCAGCACCTTTAACGTGTTTGTTCTTCAGAAAATACAAAAAAAAACAAACAAAAAAACTAACTTCCAGGTTAATCTGCTGGGCTGCACCGTCAATGTTAAATACAGGATACACTGCCCCCTCCTGGTCAGTCCTGCCCTCCCAAGGTGCCTCTATGGCTGACGAAACAGCAACTCTTACTGGCACTTTAGCTGCTGGAGAACCATCAGGGTGACGCATGACCACCTACATGAACAACCAACAAAATCTTTGACGCACACATTCATCACAGACATGAAAACAGCTTTTTATCCATGTGCTACTTAAATGCATACCACCACATCTAGAGGATATCCTGGAAGGAAATATGAACGTGTGCGGGATAGATCCATGGTGTACTTGTGAGAGATGATAGGAAGGTTAACTTCATCCCCTTGTATTTCACCACCTGGACCAAATAACACAGATCAAATTCACTGTGTGATGCAATACAATATCCTAGACACTGCCACTATACATGTAGAGTATGTGTTAAACTTATATATATAGATATATTATCTTGTCAAACTGGCAATGTTAAATCTTATATTTATGAGGGCACTAGTTTTTGAGGTTAGGTATGACTTTCTCCTTACAATAGCAGAAAAAATATATATTTGAAAGAAACAGTATCCTTTAGTTTGAAATCACAAGTATGGCTATTAATCCCATTATTTTGTTTGAAAGGTGGCAGAAGTTGATTTGTGTGGTGATGTGTTCCTTACTCTGTATGTTGGTGACAAATACTCCTATGTAGAGTTTTGATCCTCTTTGCTGCAGTTGGGACAGAGTTACATTTAGTTTTTGAAGTTGAAAATCCAAGTCTGCCATCTGTAAGGATGCTTTTGTGGGCTCCATTCCATTCTGTACCTGTGAGAAATGGCATAAAACACAGATTTTCAAATTGCAATTTTTGATCTACTAGCAGACCAAGAAATACGCCACATTGAAAAGGTCGAATAGATTTGCATTTCCTTACCGAACCGGTTAATTCAAGTCCCCCGACATAGACTGGCTTTCTTTGTTGACCACTTGATGGATCCTTTTCTACTACACCAAACTGGCAGTGGTAAGCCCCTCTAACTCCCTCACCATGTGAATACCTTGAAAAGTAATTGTGAAATAATAAAAGAGGGCACGTTAAGAGTCTTTCAGAGATAATGGCCAACTAGGTGTTCATTGCAAGCAAGTAATGAACTGGCAGGAGATCAGGATAAGAAAGATTTCCTCAGAGATATTATAGTTTAGACAAATACATTATGAAATCAGACCATTTTACACACCAATCGAAACTGTATCGGTCAATCAGTGTATCCAGAGCTTTACTTCTAGGAGGTTCAATTTCCATTTTTTAATATCGCCATAGGTTATAAGTAAGTTGTTCTTCATTTCAGCTTCTAGGAGCTTTAATAAGCTTATAATGCTTGTTAAAGCAGAAAGTTCCTAACAGGAGCTTTAAAATAGGCCATTTCCTGTGTGAACATACTGTACATGCAAACTGTATGTGAAGACCATACATGGATACCCTAGATAGCCAGACACAGAACTCTGGATATGTGAATGAATAGAAAACAGCCTGATAAGATAATTCTTGCTCAGTTGGCAGTAATCCTGGAGATGAACTTTCTTTGGGGATCAATAAGGTTTTTGTGTTTTGTTGTATTGTACTGTAAATTAATGAGGCAATGGTTTGGTTGTGTTTGTCGTTCCATTTTTGAACTCTCCTGTCATAAAGCATAACCAATAATGTCCAGTCGGAGATAAGAAATCTCCATCAGAAAAACTTGATTCATTTTCACTTACTTGGCTGAGATTGTGAAGTCAAATTGTTCAGCATTCAATAAAATAAAGTTCTGCTCCATTGCAATGTTCACCTCAAAACTTGGCAAAACTAGGAAGAGCAACAACATAGTGTTTTATAGATATTAGGAATATTATCATAGAGTTAAAAAAAATGAAATACCAACAAAATATGAGCTTACCAAATTTTTGGACAACAAACTCCCGTGAAGCCTTGTTTGCTTCATCCCCAACATAGTTAGCTGTAATCTTCCATGTACCAAGTCTTTATAAAAACAACAGAAGTGTTTTACCTCAGAGTTGTGTGTTTTGTCGTAGGAGACAAAGGTGTTGTAAATCTGTTTTAACATACTTAGAGACATCAGGTATTTGCAGTTTTCCTTGGTATATTCCTCCTTTTGCAGTCACAAGAGAATCAATGACTCGGTTTCCATCTGCATTCTGTCATGACACAAAAATAACAATCTAGAAGTTAACATATGCATTTATTTATAATTCTTGAAGAATGTCCTCTATGTCGCTTAATATGGACTCACAAATACTGAAAACTTGAATATTTCCTCATGAGGCCTGAGCATGTGGTTAAGAGTGAATATCCTGTACCTCACTAGAGAAGAGGACAAAAACCATGTCATCTCCACAGATTGAAAAAATACTCCATATTATTTCAGGTTTATCCACATTTGTTTACTTTTACCTGTCTGTGTTGGGTTGTAGATTGGCTGATGAGTCTGAATAAAGATATAACCCCTGTGTTGTGATACCAGGACTCTAGTTTTCTTCTTGACTGGAGAAAGTGGGCTCTCCACCACTAGGTTGAGGTAAGGTCTCCCAGGTCTCTCAGATGGAGGGATTCTCGAATACACTTCTCTGTTTATCTGTAGAATAAAAAATGTGAGTTTGACAACATGACATAATTCCATTTAAACTGAGTGCTTTTTTCATACAGTTGGCAAAGTGTCTCATACCATGAGCTCAACTGTGTTGATATCACCGTCCTTCTTACACCAAACAGTTTTCTTCTCAGAGACAAGAGTACTGGAAAGCTCATGTTCCAGGAAGAGGGTTACAGGGATATTGAGATAAGACTTTCCCATCTGGACAAAAACTTTCTCCGGAGCACCCACATGAAAGATTCCTGGGGCCGAGATAAAGAACCTGCACGAAAATGTATCAAAACAGCATTTAACACAACTGCATCCAATGTACTACTGTTTGCCAAAAGCATTTGATAGAATTAGTTTAACTTACAATATATTTGACTAAAAGAAAACTCAGCTCTTCTGGTGAACAAGTTTAGATGACGGAACATCAAACATGTTTGCATAACATTACATAACATTTCACTGATTCATAATGCAGATTCATGCAGCTATTTCTACATTTACCTTGTGTCAGGTGAACACTCGGAATTCAGGGCAAAGACCAGTAACAGTATGGAAAAGATGAAGCACTCCATGGTGCAGCTCCTGTCTCTTCCCCCCTGCTCTGACAGACTTTTTGGTTTGTTTTGCTATTCAACCCCTCTTGTATTTCACAACTACTGATTTTTTTTGTGCCCTCCCTTTTTTTTTAACCACCTAAAATAACTAGGAGGTTTTATTTCTGTGTGTGATTTCTGTAAATGCAGATTATCACTGGGAATATATAATCTGAAAAAGTCAGGCATTGTATGAATAAATATGTGCATATATTGTGCACATTTCTACATTGATAAAAGGAAAATATTCAATTTTATTTTACTTGACAGGGGTTATGAAAACAGACCAGACCATAATGGACTTTGAGATGAACCGTGTATCTGCCATCAAAATGTTTGGTTTTGTGAAACTCCGCTTAATGTGACTGCTTGACTCCAGCATTGTAACTGTTTGTATCTGTTTAACAATGAGTTACCATCCCCTCATTGGCCACAGCAGAACAGCCAGATTTCCTCTAAATCATGTGATTTACAAGAAATCGGCTTTTGGCTGTGGGCTGGGTGAGTGCTGTTGACACAAAACAAATGAAAACACATGGCTCAGAAATGATGACTAAAGTACAGCACAAATATAAATCTCTGCACTTTCACTTAAAAAGTTTTGTGAGAAGTTCAGTTTTAAACATTTATTTACAGCAACTCAAACTTCTCATTTCTGGAAGAGTGCTGCTGACACAAAACAAATGAAAACACATGGCTCAGAAATGATGACTAAAGTACAGTACAAATATAAATCTCTGCACTTTCACTTAAAAAGTTTTGTGAGAAGTTCAGTTTTAAACATTTATTTACCGCAACTCAAATGTCTCATTTCTGTGTCACTCTCACTTCACTATTCCTGCTCTGCATGTTTCACCAGTGATATTCTGTGAGTGGGAAACTACCAAAATGGCCACTGAACTGTAACCAGATCTGGGAAAATAGAACATTTACAGGATTTATGACGGACACACAAACTCCAATGGAATTCATACCCCAGGAAGTAACAAAGATTCACAGAGAGAGGGTTTGAAACTTTATTTTTTCTGCATAACAATCTGTGTAAAGATTCAGTTTACAGAGTTTGTTGTAGAAAACTGGAAAAGAGAAGCAGGATACAACTGATGAGTCAAACAATCGATACTTGACAAGGTTAATGAACAAAAACAGTTGTTGAATTCAACAAATATCAGTATCTCACATGATGTTTTACTACACTTACACTCTTTGCTTTGATAAAACACATACATTCATTGGTGTTTAAAAAAATCCACAGTACAACTTCTTTAAACACTATCATGGTTATCCCAGCAGCACGCTTCAGGTTGAGACCTTGATCTGTAAAAATGTGCCTTTATTTTCATCATTGATAGAACCAGCTCCTTAAGTAGATACTGTGTGCCACTGTGGTTCAATAGAATTATCTCCATCTTTAAATTAACAGTCTTTTTTAACTTTTTAAAAATAGACTCCAGTGTTGGATTAAGTCATGTACAGCTGTAATCATCTGTAGAAATTTGGCTCCCATAAAGTCACAAACAAACTAATGTGTATGCAGATACTTTTACACAGATTTTTGAGCAAGCCAAAGTGTCCCTGTTCAACGCACATTGGGCACAAAGAAGAAGAGAAACATCTTTGTCAGCCTGTAGTTCACAGCCTCACCAATCACAAGCCATGTGGCCCTGTGCCATAATATCACCTCAACCATTAATAATCTCATTCTCCTCACATAGAGAGAGATACTAATTGTGCTATTGAAATGAAAATGAGAGACTCTGATCCAGTTTACTTATTCCTTACAGTTACGCATTTAAAACCTAAAGAACGAGGAACAGAGGTAAACTTGGTGGAGGTAAAGTTACAAAATTGGCCAAACAGAAGTTGAAAGTCAGTGTAAATAAAGTGTACTTGTTTGAGAAACTGACATTTCACCTAGAAAAAGAGTCTAAATTCAAAGTGCCAAAAAGTGTCTGCCCAATAAAAGAATTTAAATTTGTTTAGCAGTTGATTTTGGAGGAAAAATCAAGCACTCCTTTCACAAATTCACATTATTTGACTGTTGGCTGCCTCTGCACAGAAATGTGTGATATTACCCCTGTGAGAATCTCTGAGTATGACTACAGAAGTAAGACGGAGTAAGCAAGAGTCTGGGGCATGTTGTCCATCCACAACTCCTGGATATGGAGAAGTAACAAGAATTGCGTTTGGACAATCAACACCAGACCCCCAGTCAAACTTGGGATGAACAGCAATAGCAGCAGAGCCCTGAGAGTAAAAACTTCTGTGAATGGATAGTACGACAAATCATCATATGCAAATTTGACACAACTGCAGAAATATCTATCAAAAAATATTTACTAGACATTGTTATTAGCTCGCAGTGACGTATTGATTAACTCTCAAATGACTGCAAGCTACACACTTACGATTTGTATTGAAGAGTAACTTTGCCTCTTAAGCATAACAAGTATTGAAATTTGCAAAAGTTTTAGTGACTCAATATGTTAAAAAAAGATATAGGTGATTTTTTTCTCTATGCTTTTTTATGAACAGTCTGATTATTGTATAAATTTGTCCTAATGATTTAAAATTAAACTATTGTTATACTCACATTGTGCTCCATCATTAATTTAGTGGAAATAATCCCAGAAAACAGCAATTAATAGTGTATCACTATGCATAAAAAGTCTTAATCTCTGATATTTTCCCCCTACTTTAAAGAATAACGTAAAGCTCACTCTCATCTATGTCCGTCCTCGACCGCTGCATGTTCAGTTTGCCTGTCCATGTCCCCTTCTCTATCTCTTCCCCTCTATCCATCTCATTTCATGCAGGAGTGGGGTTACCTAAGAGACTGGGCCTCAATGGAGAAAATCTCTTTTCTACAATTAACTGTGAAAGTGACAGAAGGAAAAGCAGGGAGGGATCTTTGGAGGGGTGCAGACCCGGAGAAGAAAAGGAAAGAGAGAGGGACACAAGTGCGCATGGCAGGCAGACAGATGTAAAGTTTAAGCTAATGTTTGCAAACAAGTTTGAACCTTAAAGATGTAAGATTCTCATTATTTTTTTAATGAGAAGTCACCACATCTATCGAAAGGTTTAATTTGAATGTTGAGATTGTCACACAGCAGTGTTTGGTTGCCATTTCGGTTAGGTAAATGATTCATTACATCGTATGCATCAAGATCGATAGTTTATATATATATATATATATATATATATATATATATATATATATTTATATATATATTTATATATATAATTATTATTATTATTATTATTATTATTATTATTATTATTATTATTATTATTATTTTTTTTTTTATTATTATTTTTTTTTTTAACACCCCTACATTCTTGAATTAGGATTAGCCATAATTAGGTTGCATTACATTGATCTTGTAGAGAGTGAACTATCACCATAATCTCTAAATATGCAGAGGGAGTGACCATGTGGTTTCCATGGAGAGATGTACACAAAAGGGTGTGGCGTGGGAATGTCCTCTGAGGTCAGGAGTGAGGGTGAAAGGGTTAGAGGTCAGAGCCAGCTGGACAACACACAAGAGGAGACGAGGGTGAGAAAAGAAGGCAAGTGTGGAGTCCACAGACCGACTGACTGGACCCAATGGGACATTAACATTGAACTGATGGGAGGCTCACTGACCAGTGCCTTTTCAGGGATAAAACCAAGCTATGACATGCTAGTGTGTAATGGTCCGTGGTAATTGACAAGTGACAAGTGTCCTCATTGTAGATGCAAAAACAGTTATTGAAATGCAGCTGTGGATTACAAACTTTACGTATCAGTTTTCAGGGGATTTATGGGATTATTTATCTTAACGAGGAAAACTTGAAGTTTTCAAATTTAAGTGTTGAAAAAAAAAAAAAAGAGGATACCTCTGTCCAAAAAGATGCCTTTGACATCGAAGTTGTTAGACAGAAGTATACCAGAATTTAGAAACAACCATATATTTTATGAGGTAAGGTTTGAGGAGTACCTTCAGTTTGCACTTTGTATTGAAATTTAATAACTGGCAGCAGTTATTTAAGCAGTATCAGAGGCTGGTGTGCTGTTTAAATGATAGTCAATATTTTTAATCAATCATATGTCACCAGAAATGTAGCTCTGCAACTTTCCTGAAACTGGACTGCTACCTTGAACATTTTCCTGTAATCTGTCTACAATGTGTGTATCCACAGAGCACTTCAAACCAACTTCTTTGAGTTCATTTATTCATTAAAATGTTTTCATTTATGGTGAAATCAGAGTGACAGCTATGCTGACAGTTAATGGAGTTTGTATTTTAAGGTATCACTTACATCAGTTCAGCTTTTCTTGAAACATGAATTCACTTTATTTAAAACACCTAAAACAGATTGATAAATGTAGTTAGAGGCCATGGCGTCATTAGACTCTACATGAGCTTTTCTAAATGCCTCTTGTCAAATCAAGTTTCTGGTTCACAAGTTTCTCTGGTTTCTCAGAGCTCACTTTGTATACAATATGACTTACAGTTGGAAATAAAAAAAAAAAATTATGTATTTTTTTCTTCACACATTTTTACCGGAAACATATTATCTACATCAACAAGTACCAGCTGTTTAAAGACGCCAATTGCATTTTTTAATTAGAGGCATTCAAAAAGATGGTTTCAATGTGTCTTTAAAAAAAAAAAATTAACAACAGTCTTTTTGCCAGCAAGTGATAGTTTCTGTAAATCAGTCAGAGTTGCATGTATAATATGCAGTTTGAGTTCATGATCTTGTTGCATCCTGTCCAGTTCCTATGCCTTGAGATGCTCTGTGCACGTCAAGTGTGCAGACAGGAAGGAGAGTGTCTGTGAGATCCATCTCTCCATGTTGCTGCTAGTGAAGGTCAGGTCAGTGAGGGCAGCACGCAGTCTGGCTCTTACTCTGGTGGTCTCAAAAAGACAATCTTGGGGCCCAAGCTAGGGGGTCAGCATGCAAATAGTAACCCCTGAGTGAAAAGCGAAGAGCAGATCAATGTTCTCACATTACTCTTGCTGCCCATGACTGTGGATGTGCACGCCTACTCACCACAGGAGGTTCTCATATCTAATGAAATTCAGGCTCAACAATGAAGAAGGCAGCTGTATTTCAACAAAGGTAGCATGACGTCATTTGTGGGAAATCTGTGAAGTTCATGGATGTATTTCCTCTAACTTAATGTCACGATTAAACATCAACAATGACAATATATAGCTGCAGAGTTTGTATAATACAGATATGTTATTTCCTCAGGATGAAAACTCCAACATTTGAAGAGTCACTGACCCTCTGCTCTCATCCAGCACATGTGGAACAGATGAAGTTCAGTTTTTCTGTCTGGGACAAACCAACCCACTGATGCCCCCCAGTGGCCTCAACAGCACCAGTAACATCACAGTCATATTTCACCTCAGAGCCTTGTCCTGGAGCCCAGTTCTGGTAGCACCCCCTGCTTGAACTGGTCCAGAACCAAAAATTTAAGTTACAGGCATAGTGCAGACCAAGCCAAACGTGAGGAGATGTGGCATGTTTTGCTTTTTCAGCCACTTTGTCTTGTATGTGTTCAGATGTAATGTGGACAAGGTCAACATGGTGCCTCCTGCAGTAAGTCATCGCATCAATCCATGTCAGGTTTTCCTTTATTAGGATCAGTTTGCCTTGAGGAAGAACATGGAGAGAAAACCAGAGATATAATTTCATAATGACCTCTCATTCATACTGAAAAGAACATCAGCATTTGAAGCGTACCTGAAGGCAAGCTCTGACTGCTCTCAGTTGGTGTTGGAGTCAGAGATCGTGTAGTTGAGCTTCTTTGAGTCGAGGTCCCGGTTGAAGTAACCATCATTGTTGTGGTTGCAGAGACAACAGCTGTAGTTTCCTTTACAGTGGTATTTGTAGGCAGTTGTGCTGTTGTTACATTTGGCATCCCTGTGGTTGCATTGTCGAGTTGTGTGGTTGATGTATTTGACACAAAATTTGTGGTATTTCTAGGCAGTTGTGTTGTTGTTACATTTGGCATCCCTGTAGTTGTACTGTTGAGTTGTGTGGCTGATGTATTTGACACAAAATGTGTGGTATTTTTAGGCAGTTGTGTTGTTGTTACATTTGGCATCCCTGTAGTTGTACTGTTGAGTTGTGTGGTTGATGTATTTGATACAAAATGTGTGGTATTTTTAGGCAGTTGTGTTGTTGTTACATTTAGCATCCCTGTAGTTGCACTGTTGAGTTGTGTGGTTGATGTATTTGATACAAAATGTGTGGTATTTTTAGGCAGTTGTGTTGTTGTTACATTTGGCATCCCTGTAGTTGTACTGTTGAGTTGTGTGGTTGATGTATCTGATACAAAATGTGTGGTATTTTTAGGCAGTTGTGTTGTTGTTACATTTGGCATCCCTGTAGTTGTACTGTTGAGTTGTGTGGTTAATGTATTTGATACAAAATGTGTGGTATTTTTAGGCAGTTGTGTTGTTGTTACATTTGGCATCCCTGTAGTTGTACTGTTGAGTTGTGTGGTTGATGTATCTGATACAAAATGTGTGGTATTTTTAGGCAGTTGTGTTGTTGTTACATTTGGCATCCCTGTAGTTGTACTGTTGAGTTGTGTGGCTGATGTGCTTGACACAAAATCTGTGACATTTGGTGTCAGTGCATTGATAGTTGTTGCTGCTTCCTCAGTGGTAGTATTGGCAGTGTTTGATTGATTGGAAGAAGTCACAATAAAATGGTGTGTGGTTGTAACCTCGTGAGTAGTGTTTGGAAAAGTAATCAAATTTGTCGGCATTTCAGTCGTTGTTTGGCTCAGCTGTGTGCTTGGTTGAATGGGAGCTTCTGGAATTACTTTTCTTGCTGTGAGGATAAGCAGAAATTTAAAAAAAGAGAAATTTTTATTGTACTCTTGTTGAATCTTGTTCAAGCACTAAAAGTGTCTTGTAATGCAAAGAGGGCGATCTATAGAATCTTACCTCCACGGCAGACAAAGTTCCTTCTGCCTCCACATCTCAAGTCATTCCACCTCCCGTCATCTCTGAACACTGCAACAACACAATCCTGTTCTGCGAGGTAGTTAGGCTGGCCAGGTTTCCAAAACCGAAAAGATGAATTGCTCCCATCCGACCACCTCCAGGGATCTTTGAAGAGGCCAATCCACACATTTTGTGACGCAGAAATGTTATGCACTGCGTTATTCTCCTCCTGTGAATGTATGCTAACAAGCTCAGATGACAAGCTCCTGCAGTGATTCTGGGCATCCCTCCATGATTTAGTCTCAGCAACAAAAACGTGACCACCAGTTTCGATATTCCCTGAAAATCAGAGGGTAGTATTTTAAACAACAGAGCAAAATGATGCACATAATTTTGTTTTTTTTGGTAGTTAAAAAAAAATAATAATTCATGACAGCAACTCCATGTCACTTACCTTGACAAACAAAACTCCTTCTTGTCCCACATTCACTTTCAAACCACTTGCCTAGTGGATCCATCACTGCACATGCATCTTCATCTGTATTTTTTGGCTCCCCTGCCTTCCAGTTATAAAAATTTAGTTTCTGATAAGGCCTTGACCAGTGCCACTTCCTCACACCCTCACTCTCCAAGCCTATCCATGCTCTGGCAGTGCTAAATGAGACTAAAGTGATCAAATTATTCATATCTGTTAAGTTGTGAACTGAAGCCAAATCAGTGTACATCTCTCTGCAGTAGGTCTTTGCATCATTGTAGGACCTAGATTCTTTAATAAGGTAGAAATCTGAAGATCCAAAAGCAAAGGTGCAAAATCCTGTGAAATGACAGGTAGTGAATTACAGCCTTTTGAATACCAACGGTTACAACAGAAATATTGTGCATTTGTGAATAAACTATGTATTTTTCAGAATGATTGAAACACTATCCTTCAAACAAGTTAGTTCCTTCATACAGAAAACAATACCAACAAAAACTCTCTGTAATACATTTATACATTTGATAAAGGCAAATAAAAACAGCTGTAAAAAACACTGTAATGTACAAACCTGAAAGGAAAAGCAGATGCAAACTTCGAGTCCTCTTCTTTAAAATGAATCTCTCAGTCATGATCACACGAAGCAAACAAACTAAAAAAACTTAAAAAAAAAGAAAAAAAAAAAGAAAAAACTAAAAAACAAACAAAAAATAGTATATTAGTTAATGCAATGTTCTTTTAGATCAAGGTGCTGTTCCTAACGTAATGTCTGGAGCACCTGTGAGCAGCACAGTGTTTTCTTTAAGAATGCCACTCTGCTTGTTGAAGTACACCTCTTACAGAGCACATACAGACAAAGCAGTTTTTCAGGATTCTTTCCGTCTTGCACAAACGGTAGTATAAGTCTTCTGTTTGGCCTAGATTAAATGATTTGATGAAACCTTCTCATTTCGTAAAGAAGGAAACAACTGGGTACATATTTTTAAAAATTTCACTGTTTAATTTTTCATTATCTGATAATATTAACAGGCTATGTGAAAAATGATGTGGGCTCAGGGCAGGTTTCAAATTACTGACCAGCACAGATTATATAAAATCACCCACGCCTTATCTTTAAAAGATAATCCAGTCTAAATTACATCTTGTCCACCAGTGACATGTGAGGTTAAGAATGAAGGAGAGCGTGTTGTTGTGAAATATTTGAAAAGAAAAGAAACCCCTTTCCCTTTGTCTGCTTTCTTGTTTCATATTATTGTCATTGTCAGTAGGGACTATGTTGTTTATGCTGGGAAACTGATCAAAACAATCAAAATGTTCATATGACTGTAAGCCAATTTAATGTCTGTCTATCTGAAAGACAGTTGAGTTTGTTGGGCTGAGAGTAGGGGTCACGTCTAATTCAGCGCAGGTCTTATGGCAGGCTGTCAGGTTTTCCTCACTAAACTGAAGTGAACGAAGGCTTCCACAGGCCTTGATTTTATCTAATTTTTTTACTTAATATCTGCTCCATCAAAAGAAAGAAAATTACATCATTTATCCATATGATTGAAAAGACACAGAGGGCACTGCTTGGTTAACATAAAAAAAGTTGTTTTTGGATACAAAGCACTGAAGACAGATGTTTAAGATAAGGTCAATTGAAGTACATGCTGCTACATTTTTATATTTTTTAAAATGGTACCTACTGCAAAGCACAAACACCAGAATGATTCCAGCTTTATTTGGTTTTGTTGTAACAGACCTTGCTCCCATTAGGCATTGTGTGACCTTTTTAACCCTAGAACACTATCGCCGGGTGATTTTCACCCGACCAAACATGTTTACGTGATTTTCATTATGTTGTGTTTGTATGAGTATCATGGGTCCCTGGGTAGCTTCAGCATTGCCTTTGACATCCTTGAAGGCATATTTGTTTCCCTGATCCAAAACCTGCTTTTTCCCACAGGCACGTGTTTGGGTGATTTTCCCCCCCAGCAAAAGTGATAGAGGGATTTAATAGCTGCATGTAGGGAATAAGGTCAGTAAGAGTGGTCCTGGAATTTGCATGCTATCTCTAGTTAGCTCCGTGGTTATGAATAACTATCACAAAGTAGTGATTTTCAAGGGAATTCATATGGTGATAAGAAATATTTTAGTCAGCTGGTCATTTTTACTCAAAATATGCCATATTTTGGTTCTCTCTCCTGCAGCTGTTATTGTGCCAAGGAACCTGAGTCTTCACCAGGCAAGACTCACATGCCCCAGGAATGGGTGGAAAAGAAACTAAGTTTACAGTTTCTCTCTCATTCTCTCTCTCTCTCTCTCATTCTCTCTCTCTCTCTCTCTGTATATATGTATATGTGTATATATGTGTGTATATATATATATGTATATATGTATATATATATATATATATATATAGATAGATAGATAGATAGATAGATAGATAGATAGATAGATAGATAGATAGATAGATAGATAGATAGATAGATAGATAGATAGAGAGAGAGAGAGAGAGTTACAGAGTCCCCTCATGGCACTTTTATTCCCTCCCTTTGGACATTGCACAGTTAAAAATAAAAGAAAACTACTTTAATTTGTCATGTATTGTCCTATTTTGATATATTTTGATGACAAATACTTTTTCTTGGGTATTTTATTTTGGGTAAAAATGGTGCTACTAATTTTAACGATAGCTTTCTAGGGTTAAAACTGTAGACATAACCTTGCCATAATTGGTTCCATTTATAATTGCCTATATTTCCTAAGTTTGATGACTTATACATTATTTGACAGGTGTAGCTTGACGTTGCAGGGAAAAAAAATGGAAAAGCTGAAATAAATCACTGAATGTAATTTCAAATGATTTAACACTTTCATGTGATACGGTCTTTTATCTCTCTTTTTTTTAAATCTCTTTTACCTCGATCTTACCTCGATCACTCTCCTTTTAGCCTTTGTTTTACTTATAATCTTTTGGGCCTTTTACTGATATTTTTGTTTTTTCCTGCCCATTTTTGTTATTCCATTTTATCATTACTATTACCATCATTATTAAATTTTTTAATTATGATTTTATTATATTATCAATATCGTCATTTAATATTTACTGTCCTGTTTCCTGCTTTCTACCCCCCTTTTTATTACATTTCTATTTCTTAACTATTTTATGTTTTTATTTTGGTCTTCATGGTCTCAAATATGTTGTAGGGTTCTTGTATTGTCTGGGTTTCGTATGACAAATGAAACTGACCTTTAATTCAGAGGCCTTGTTTTTAACTGAGCTTTTGTTTTTGATTTGTTTTTATTTCCATGAGCTGATGCTTTGCAAATGTTTGTCAAAGCACTTTGTAAACTTCTGTTTTTAAAAGTGCTATAAAAATAAAGTTATCATTATATTATTTTTAAAATATAAAAATAATTTAATGCTTAGTAACAGCCTGAATAAATGATAAATAAAGCGGCATAGTGAGTGTAGGAGTGTCATATGACAGAGCTGCTATGGGTGGTCCCATGAGACATTTTGGCTGTGGGGAAACTGGTCCTGAGCCACCATGGCCTGTAAACAACAACAGCGTCAAGTTGAACTAAACTGGATCTGAGCGTCGGCCTCTTATCTGACGCTCGTCTGCTTACAGCGAGTCAAGTAAAGAGCTTTTTGACAATGCGCCGAAGGTGTGTCTGGTGAGTGGATCCAGTCCGTAAACCACGACGAGCTATTTCGTCAACAACTGCTTCTCCAGGCGATCCCCCCCAAACCGTGCACCGAAGAGCTAATCTTAGCCATATTGGCTAAGTTAGCTGTAATCGCAGCTAAGAGGCTAATCTTAGCTAGCCAGAAAACATTACGTTATTTGTGCGGATTAAGTGGCGTTTTCGATGGCTGCTCAGTCATCACACTCCAAACTTCCCAGTGACTAACGCGGTATGTTTGTATTTTGGTTTTACCAAGGGTTGATCAATGCAATTTTTGCCAGACATTTGGCAGCCCAAAGCTAAGGTTAGCTGGCCGTTGTCAGGATCTCTGGAGCGTTTGTGTTTGCAGCTAAGCTAACAAACGGAAGCTAACATATAACGCAAACATATTATTTACAATCAGTTTGGATCTGAAATCAACTTGAATAGTGGTAATCGATTAACATAATCATTCAAATGGGCCTTTCCAACAACATTTAAAGCTTTTAAACCGACTATTCTTGTATCTGTGGCTCAAAGTTACTGCGTATCACTGGCTAAATGTAGCAAACGTGTAACATTATTGCGATGCATTACCAACACGAGAGAGAGCTATCGTGTAAAACTCGCTCTCATGTAGACAAATGATAATGTACTTTTAATTCTTTTGCTTCTAAACTTGTTTGATTAGCTGTGAATTTGGCCGTAATGTACAGGGCTGGCTCGGATCATCTGAACAGAAGTGGTTTTTGGGGCTTAAATTTTAACGCCTGGGATCCAACATACTAACCCATCGATCCGCTGATGTTGCCTCTCAGATTTGGGTGGATTTACGTTTAATTGATGGTTTAACCAGACCGAGGTGTTGGAAATGTTGTAGTTAACTTTGCCAGGTCAACTGTGGCCGTGTGTATTGATCGAATATTGGGTAATATTCTATAATTATTTATTATTTATAATAGTAAGCCATAATCTAATATTATGGGAAGTAAAAGCTAAGCCATTAAATGAGCATTTGGATCATATCTAATACGATCCCTCTCACACACACATACAGGAGCAACAATTTTAGGAGCATATTAATTATTAGGGGGAAAAAAAACTTCAACTCACAATCATAACCAGATGTTGCAGTTCAGGAAAGTGGTGACTCTATAACACTCAAGGCAACTAACTGTACTGTTTTTGTGACCTTCAGATTGATATTGTTCAGACAGGACCTGATCCTCTCTTCTGGGTAGCTTACTCGCCATGTCCTCACAGCAACCCAACAGCTCAGCCTCCAACAGTCCCACCAACATCTTGGGTTCTCCGTTCTCAGTGATCAGTCCTTCTCTTAACTCCCCAGTGGTTTCTCCTTCTTTGGGCTTTGGTCCCATCAGCAACAGCCAGGTAACAGAGACTTATTTGAGAATCTGGGGTTTGTCCTGATTGAGCTGCTGTAGTTGAGGATTACTTGAGTAATGGTTAGTTAGTGTACTAATAAGCAATACTGTACAAAATGCTCAGTGCAGAAGGGTGAGGGGATTGTATGTTATGTTCCTAGTTGCCAAGAGCTTTTGCATTAACTCTCGGGTCTAGACACTTTATGGCGTGTTATTTTTGTAGCATTTTTAAATACTATTTGAATAATTGGTCAAGTAAACAAAAAGCGCGGTTGTCATTTAATATGTTATACTCAGCAGTAGAGGTCAATGTATTAATCGTGTCTTTTGGTTGCACTATGTCTCCAGATTTCTTCTTCAGCACCCATATCAGGGATGCACTCAATCAGCAGTTCAGATGATGTCAAGCCTCCCTTTGGCCTGAGGCCTATGCCGGCTCATAGTCCAGGAATAATGTTGTCTCAGAAGCGCCTGTGTGTCATCTGTGGAGACCGCTCTTCTGGTGAGTGAGCGCACTTCGAGCTGGATTAGCAGCAGCAAAACATCACTTTTATTTCATCCCCATTTTAATGATGGACATGTGTGCCTGCATTTCATCAACACTGTTCGAAGAAAACCCCTTCTGAACTTTGATCTTATTCTACATTTTTCCATCGGCCTCTAACTGTTTGATATTTGTATCATTTTCAGGCAAGCACTATGGAGTGTACAGCTGTGAGGGTTGCAAGGGTTTCTTCAAACGAACAGTGAGAAAAGACCTGAGTTACACCTGCAGAGACAACAAAGAGTGCCTGGTTGACAAACGCCAGCGCAATCGCTGCCAGTATTGCCGCTACCAAAAGTGCTTGGCCATGGGCATGAAGAGGGAAGGTACGCGGGGGTCAGGGTTTTAGAATTCATTTGAGAGCCTGTTGTTTGACGGGTCAGTAGGGCACTACACGTTTACAAAAAAAAAACAAAACAAAAAAAAAAAAAAACAGGTTTCGTTGTTAAATCTGTGTCAAGATCTATAGATGGGACTTATGCCAGAGTTTTCTGCAAGATGAACTAAAATTGATCAATTTTCTGGACTGATTTAAACATTGGCAGTTAACATTCTTTGTTGAAATAACACGCATTGGTGATCGAGGCCCAACTAAATAGGTCAATTTCTATATGATTAGCTAGTATTTCTGGTGTATCCAAAGGTGGATGCTGAATAAGATAAACGAAAGGGTAGAGACGGGTGTATTGGGGCTGGTTTATATAACTAACCCCTCTCCATCTCTTCTCTTCATTTTCTCCTATTCTGCCCTGTCTCCATCTTTCAATAGTGATCAAACATGTAAAGTGGATAAAAGAAGATGGAAAAGATGAGGGATGGATGAGTATGTCATTGTAATCTTAATCATGCTTAAATGTTACCATGAGAGTTAGCCTTTTGTGTTAAACATGCACATTTTTTGAATGGGGGATGTATACCGACCAGAACATGATAAACACTAAGGTAGTGTGATGCAGCCCGATACAACATTTCTACCATTAACTCTAATTTAAAGGAGTTTCGGCATTTTCCATTTTTGTTGACATAATCAGACAGGTTGCAGTTGTTCTCTAGAGTAATTTTTCAAGTTGTAGTGGCTGTTAGCATTGTATTGAGGCAAGTATTCCTATTATTTTGCTCCTCCTATGTTCATTTATTAGTGTAACACACCTCAGTACACCACCATCACCACCAACTCTGTCTTCATTGATTGATACAAAACACAGGAACCGCCTGTCTGATCATGTCAACAAAAACAACGAAAAAATTCCTCCCAAAGTCGAATCTGTGGTAGAGAAGTTGTATTGGCTTGCGTTAGCTTGCCCAGGTGTTTATAATGTCAAGGCTTGTCGGTCTTTGTGTGTTAAATTCCAAGAGCTGATGTGGATGAGTGCTGCGTGGTTTATTAGCTAGTGATGATTGAAATAAGCGCTCGACTGTCTGTAGGTGTTTGCTGAATGCATGAACTATATGTAAAAACCCATTGGAGCGGGTCAGTGTTGAAGCAGTAAAGAATACAATGGATCACAGTCTATTAAAGGCGTCAGGTGTAGCCCATCGATAGCCGTGGCTTCTGCATATGAAGGAAATGTTAATGATTCTGTTCTTTAGTCTACCCGAGGACCGCGTGTTGAATAACTGGACCTGCTCTCCTCTGCCATGAGCAGATTTCACATGTCAGCTTCTAGTCTTCTCAGTTATATCTATGGTGCTTTGTGCCCATTAGAACAGCACCACTTTAAAGTCATGCTGCCTTTCTTTAGGGATGAAAAATCAATGCATTGTGATCCTGCCTGATACACTATCTTTTTCAGAAACACCCTGTGATTTTTAACAATCCCTCAGGATGCAACACTAAATGCTTTATTTGTTGCAGAGGATGTAGTTACATCAACAATAAATCATTTTAACAAAAGTTTTCGAGGCAGCAAAAACCCTGCAGAGAAGTGGGACTTTTTGCTAACTATCACTGTTTATAACAAAGATACACACAATCTAACTGCTCCCTCTCTCACCTTTTTTGTTTTGTTTTGTTTTTTCTGTGGTGCAGCGGTCCAGGAGGAGCGCCAGAGGAACCGGGAGCGTGAAGGAGAGCTGGAGTTCAGTGTGGGAGTGAATGAGGAGATGCCTGTGGAGAAGATTTTAGAGGCAGAGACCGCTGTAGAGCAGAAGACTGAGCTTCACTCTGATGGTGGTTCAGCAGGAAACTCTGTGAGTGGTTACGTTTTTGCTCTAGTACATGTATCGAACTGTCAGCAGCCTGATGGGTTAAGTAGCTTTAATAGATTCAGAGAAAATTTGATTTTTGATGTGCTGACAAATCAATATCGTGTTGTTGTTTTTTTTAATGGGTCAGCCCCACGATGCAGTGACCAACATCTGCCAAACCGCAGACAAACAGCTGTTTGCTCTGGTGGAGTGGGCAAAGAGGATCCCTCATTTCTCTGAGCTGCCTCTGGATGACCAGGTCATCCTTCTGCGTGCAGGTATGTTCCAGCTGCAGTCATGGATGAGTGTGAGCTAAGACATGGACACAAAGATTGTGCATGTCTGCGAGTGCGAGTCTTGGCAGGTATTCATGTGGAAAATAGAAAATTTTAGCTTTTAAAAGGAACTTTTCTTTAATGAGCCAGTCAGTGGAACAAAAACAGTTAATATTAAGGGTAAAGCTTTGAGTAATTAAGCCACACAGTTTGTTCACAGAAAACTCACAGTGAGAAAACACTAGAGGTATATCCAAGTCAATCAAGAAAGCATACAAACTCCTGAGAATTACGATATCTTTGACCTCATATTCAGAAAACGAAGTAGCTAAAAATAGGAAAGCTCCGTAAGAAGCTCTAAAACACGTGCTGCTGTCATATAAGAGGTCCAGAAGAGAGTGAGCGAGTGAGTGAGAGTTACATTTCTTAAACGTGTTCTTATAGACTCAGTGTTAGCCGCAGAGAGGATCTTTTAAGACTACTTCTTTGAAACACCTTTTCTTTATTTCAGTGTGATTTCACCCTGACAACTACTAATGATTCTCCACAGATGTCGTAACATGCATGATTTGATTGCATTCTCTTTTTCAGGCTGGAATGAGCTCCTCATTGCCTCGTTCTCCCATCGCTCCATCGCTCTGAAGGATGGAGTCCTTCTGGCCTCCGAGCTGCAGCGTGACAGCGTTCACAGTGCAGGAGTGGGGGCCATTTTTGACAGGTACATCTATCATTGATTTACGGCTTTTGTGAAATATAGATACAGTGATTGTAATTCGATAGCTTGGTGTTCATTGATATTTATTGTATGATAATACCTAGCTTTGATTCCACACAGGGAGAGTGTGCAGAGTGCAGAGGTTGGGGCCATATTTGACAGGTAATTTTATACTTCTTTACTCTTGTGAGTATCTTTAATGTTATTTTTGTTGTCATGATTTAAAAGTATCTTGAACCATTTTATTTTACAGGGTCCTCACAGAGCTTGTCAATAAAATGAGAGATATGCAAATGGACAAAACAGAGCTGGGCTGCCTCAGGGCCATTGTCCTTTTCAACCCAGGTGCCTGAACAGTGCTGATACTTAAATAAGCTTGACATTTCTTGTTACAAAGAAGGGTGTGTGGTTAACAGTCTTGCCCATTGATAGAAGTGTCTCGTACATTTTCTTGCAGATGCTAAAGGGCTCTCCAACACCAGCGAGGTGGAGCTCCTCAGAGAGAAGGTCTATGCATCATTGGAAGCCTACTGCAAACAGAGATACCCAGAGCAGCAGGGAAGGTAAAGCTTCTTTTCTCCGACAAAGTGTACAAGTTAAAAATGCTCAAGTGAAACATGAGGTGTGCATTGTTCAAACTAAATGATTTTCCGTGGCTCTGTGTAGGTTTGCTAAGCTCCTCCTCCGACTGCCAGCACTGCGGTCCATCGGCTTGAAGTGCCTGGAGCATCTCTTCTTCTTCAAGCTCATCGGTGACACGCCTATTGACACTTTCCTCATGGAAATGCTTGAAGCTCCCCATCAGTTGTCTTAGATAGGAAGCGCGTTCTGTGGTTAGGTTTAGATAGCTGAAGTCTGGGAAGCTGGAGTGGGACTGTAGTGGCACTTTAAGTTCTTTGAAGATTTGTCAGTTTGTCTCACTGCTGTCTGTGTTTCACACCAAGTGCAACACGGATTTGCTCTTTAGACCAAACCCAAGGCTTGGCATGACCTACAAGCTGGTGCTATATGTTAAAATAACTTCATGAGTAACTATGGTTTAAAAAGAGGTATTTTTAAAAACGTAAACATTTCCATATTTCCCTTACAAGAGCTGTAATTTGGGTATCTACTTTTGTATAAGCTTTTTAGACACCTCAAACGTCCAGCTTCAGTTGTTACTCTAACTGAGCTGATTCCCCAAAACCTGTTTTTTAATACAAGGCAACCTGAAACATGGTTCATGGGTATGCATTAAGGACACAGTCTCCTTTTTATCATTTCTAATAGAAGCCAGATCTAAAACTATACTATATTATTGTACCAAACAGCCACCAGGAACTGTGTCCACCAGCAGCTCTGAGTTTACTTGCACCCATTCAAGAGGACAAAATCTTAACAGTGACCCTGAGATAGGAGACAAGTCAGGATCGAACCCATCAGGTCTGACTTGTCTGTTTTTGATTTGAGATCAGCTTTATGTGTCCTGTAACAAACAGCAAGTGTTGTTTACTTTTTAGCCATTCTATAATTCTAATCACTCTGAGGTTAAATGATTAAACTGCACTGCACACTTGCTTTGTTTTATTTCTAAAATGTAACTTTAAAAAAAACAAAAAAAAAAAACCACTTGGCCTAAAAACAGTCAGGTGTTTGTCTTTTGGTGCTATTTCAGAGATAATTTGACATTATTGGTGCAGTCGCACACCAAACCACAGACCTAAGAAAATATGCAAAACTTAAAAATCCCTTTGTTAATCTTTGTTAAAAATGTAGCAATATAAAATGTAAACTGCATAAGAGCTTTCTGCCTGTCAGTCATTCAGGGGTTTTACAAAGTAAATCATGTCTGGTGGAAAGGGAATACTCCATTTTGTAATTTATCTATACAATTCTAAGGTACTGTGCAAAAGTGATTGTTGAGGGAAAATGTACATTGAGAAATTTGAATAATGATCAGGAGCAACAAATTATATAATTCTTAATATGTGCCCTTGTTTTTAATTTTTAAGTAGGAAAGCAGAACATGTCTTGGGTTGCACTGGATTTGCTGAGACTGTTTCAGCTGATTTTTTTTTTTTTTTTTTTTGTGCTTTTTTGATGCTCAGTTGTATTTCTTTTCCTTCCCCCTCCTCCCTCTTTTTTGGTAGCTGTCTTGTTCATCGTAATGTCTCTGCAGTTTATTAAAAGCAAACCATAATCACGTATAGATCCATAACACCTGTGGACATATAGGAATTTTAAACAAGACAAAATGAGGTCTGTATGATGGCCATTTGTAAACACCCGTTGAGCTGTAACAGGAAGCTTGTCATAGACCTCTTTGTGCTCTTGAACATAAAGTGACTTGAAGCATGGGTTGTGTGGACTGAAAATAAAGAGGCTAAAGTTTTCCTGTTTGTCCTTTTTGTTTCTTAGTGGTAGCTGTGACTTCATGTTTACACCATGAGATTAAAAAAAAGTTCAATAATGCGTGAAAAGATGACTAAAAAAAGAAAAAAAAAACATGTTTTAAAGAGCCTTTTATTGAAGATGTTACATAGTTTTTGCCATGGGCATTGACACAACAGAAGCCTTGTTTGTTGAGCACTTGTGTCCAGGTTCCACAGTGATGCTATGGCACAGGCAGCAATGTGCACGGTGTGCTAATGTTAAATTATAAAGAAAAAAAAAAGTTGAGTGCAATGAAATCAAAGGCTTCTTAAGGGATCCACAGGAGTAACAGACGGGGTTCACCCTGCACATTTGACCATGTGTTCACATTACAGTCTGGAGTTCAGATGTTTAATAACACTCACTCTACAACTATGCTGTGAACCTTCCTTTGTATCGAGCAGAAGTGACACCTTTTTGAACCATGCATGGCTTGGTTTGCTTAAATTATATTAAGAATAATACTGCTTTTAGTCTATAATACACTATTCTACACATGGAACAAAAACAAGAAAAAAAAAACAAGACACTGACATGACATGTACATCGTTTTTACAGCCTTCCTCTAGATAACTTTACACATCTATTTGCCTTGTTTATGACAAGTACAGTACAAATAAAACACAATGAGCTTCTCTCACTAAAACTACTAAGATGCATGCTACACACTGAGTCTAAGGTGCCAAATCGATTTCAGGAAATTCTCAACAAAAATAAAACCTTATGCTGGTGTGGTTTGATGAAGTTTCCTCATGATGTTGCACTTCATTCTTGTTTCTTTCGATGGCTATATTTCCATCATAGTGGAAACGTGCAAGTTGACACATGCACCTTCACAGAAATGTGGAGCTGTGCATGTTTTAAGTGTTAGCCAAGGCCTTTCTAAACGCTAGTTCAGAACAGAAGTACACCATCAAAGATTAAAACTGCAGGCTCCCATCTATTTACTTCTACCGAGGTTTAGGTTTTTAAATAGATAAATAATGGAGATTTTATGTGCGCCAATGTTACTGATCATCATGTAACCCCTGATCTTCACATTCATAGTTTTTATTACAAGCTAAGATATTCTATATTTTTAGTTATTGACAGAGATTTTAAGTGACACCAGATGAACTATAATTTTGTCCTAGTCAAAGTCCAACTCCTCTATCACGCTAGAGTGAAACAATGCTCGTCTGTATTCTACAGTAAGGCAACTGGATACAGCTAACACAGGCTGAACCAAATCACTATGTTGTTAGAAAAACTCTAAAGCTATCTTTATACCAAATATTTGATCCAATTTTTTAACAACAAGGAAAATAAACTAAACTTCTGCCTGGACAATATTTAAAAACACTGTTTTAAAATAAATCACAGCACATTAATGATGTTCATTGTCATATAAGCCTCCAGCCCCTCACAAGTCGTAACAATTTCTAGGTTAATTGTCCCTGAAAACATCTTAATAAATAACTGTCTCTGAAAAGGCACTCTGAAGTGTGCAGCTTTTAGTTTCTAGAAAATAAGACCACACAACTAAACAAAGGTTGCTCACCTGTGACACTGCACCTGTCCTCCTTTCAAACTGTGAGACTGCGTCACATTTCAACTAGGTGTGTTTATTTAAGCTTAAAATATTTGTATGATGGGTGTGAGTCTGAAACCAGCGGTGTCACCAGTGATCACCTGCAGTACAAAATGTTATTCTGATAAACTCCTTCTGATGTTTGCCAACAACTCAACCACACACCTTGGCTGGAATCGGTCTATTCTGATGAGACAATACAAACTGTGCTACTATTGATTTGCTGGTTAAACTGTCGAGTATAATGTCAGATGTCAGAGTGGTTCCATCAGTGTCAAAGGATTTCACATTCCATTGATACCCAACTTTTACATCCAGTGCAATTGTTCCTTATTCGAGCACCTTCTTGAGAAAAATGAAAACTACCACAGTAGTACTAAACAGAAAAACCTGCACACAGCCATCTATTCAATAGATGAAAGTTCTTCTGATTCAATTTGTCGCTGACGCTGCAGGGCTGACTGAACCGCACAGCAGAGTTTTTTGTGTCTGTTACACACTGCAAGCCCTTTGGATTCAGTCAAGGCCATAGAGGCTGCAAACAGTTTCTGCCACCCATTTGATGCCGTAACCCTTAAAAAAAAACATATTTATTTGTATGCAGTGCTGCATTCATAGGATGGCTGTGACTTAGTCTTGTGAGTGCAGCTTATTGTTTTCATCCAGCAAAAGCAAAGCCGGGTGGTTTTAAAAGCAGCTCCCCATTGTAGCCACTCTTCTGCAGGAAGCACTGGTTTACGCAGAATTATGAGGTCAACTCATTAAAGCTTGGAAGATTTTACTGCTAGAGTAAAGTGGGAGTTGGGTCGGGCACAGTGGGCAGGCTTCCAAACTCCTTCCTGCCCAGCTTATACCTGCATCTCTGAGCCACTGGACAAGCCGAGAGCATTTGCCTCCTCTGCTGTCAAACCACTCTTCAGTGTCCTCCTCACTGTGCAGAAAATTAAGAGGAAGGGGAGAGAGGGGCAAAGATTGTGGTAAAAGTTTTCTCTAATATTAGTATTATAATAGCGTCATAACATGCAGCTGAGAGCATTTTTTGCGTGCAATCATTAATCTGTTCGCCCAACAGCTGACTCACATGATTTTCGGTTGGCTCGAGATCGTCTCCTCTCTCGAGGTTGGGTCCTCTGGCTGGGCCCCTGAGTGGCTGACCTCACGATCCTCTCCATGATCTCATCAGCTGTATCATCTGTGCAGTTCACTGGGTCATCACTGGCAGAGCACCATGGGGGTACACGCCCTACACAGTACAAGATTAAAATTGATGAGAAAACATCAGACACACGGTTCATAGAAGCGTGGGTTCAGGACTGCTAACAGCGAGTGGTAATACCACCATGATGATGTATCAAAACAGGCAAAAATGTAGCAAAGAGCATGATTATTTTTCTCAACAAGGAAAAAAGTTCTGTTCAAGAAATTGGCAAGGTGTGGGACTTTAACTGAAAAACAGCTTTGAAATGGTGATTATCTTACAGCACTAAAAAAGCTTTAGAGATAACCAAATAATCTAAGTTTATTCTGGGAGGAAAATGTGTCAAAATAAAAATATCACTTTTCTGAAACCATTAACATTGGTGCATTAATATGTTATCAGGCAACCAGGGGCAATAAATGTGACAAATGTGATACAATGTGCTGAAAAAGGTCACCTCAGAAAACTAGGTGATCATAAAAATATGCTCATACTTTGCAGGATTTGCTATAGTGTAACATGTTAATCAGGCTGACCTCTGGTGCTGCTGGCTCTGGTACGTGTTCGTAGACCAGGCACTGTAGATGTGCCTCCGTCTCCTCCAAGCGGGCCGCTCTTAAGCACGGCCTTCATGTTCTCATGTTCAGCTGCATCTTCAGCGTACTGGATTCCCTGGGGCTGGTTCTCCTGTGCGTCTGACGGGGCACCACCAAATTTACCACTCTGAAGGAGAGAGCGCACAGGAGACGGTGACACTCAACTTAGCTGACACACATTATCTTCCCTCTCCTTAGCTGACATCACGCTCAAGACGGGAAGCTCAGATGCTAGTTTATCAGATCACTGCCATCAGATCCTTAGAACAACATTTGATCTTTCCATCAGTGAAAAATATCTGCTGTGTTGACATGGTTATGATCATACTGTACGCACTTTTAGTGTGAATTAAGAACCACAAGGACAAACTTGACATCAGCCTCGTAATGGGGGTTAATCTTTACTAATGACACAGCACTTCTTAGCTCAAAGAAGCTGTAAAGTGCTGCGTCATTACAGCCTTAAAATAGAACAGTTAGTTAATTCAAGGGCAAAAATTCCACACACTAATTTTAGTTTTGTTTATTTTACCACACAGTCCAAAATATTAGCCATGACTACTTCTGGCAACAATGCAGACATGCCAGGTTAAAGAAGAGTGTCTATTGATCCCTTCCAGGAAATAGCTGCAACTTCTTCCATCTCCACCTTCTCTCAACAGTCCAGCAAAGATCAGGCTATCTTTCCATCATCTTGAAGCTTCCTCATTCATGTGTGTCAAACACACACAGAACCTGTCTTTTGGACGAATGACGCATCCTTTGTTAATCCACACGAACACAAAAGTTATTGTCCAAAGTTGCAACATCACTGTCTGGCTGAGAGTCAGTTAACACAAAGTTTGCATGCACTTTGCACAACAAAATTCCTCCTACCTCAAAATCATCGTCATCCTCACTCTACAGGAGAAAATGCCAAAAGATGTAATGTAAATACTAAATACAGTAGAAAAAAATCTGTCTAAAAAAAGCACTAAATATTTATTTTAGCTGAAACATATTAAGAAACAGACTTTCATTAAAAATCCTGTACAGTGCGTAAAAGGGTTTCCATGGTAGCACATTAGCCAAGACTAAAAGCAAAGTGAAATTGAGCCAGGTTCATCTCAAAGCTGAGAATAATGCCCGTCACCTTCTCAAAAGCTAATTGGTAATCTTGGTCGTTTAATTAGTGCATAAATGGATTTGTATTCTTAATTTGGGAATTTGAACATTTGGAGCAGACTTTGCAAGAGTGTGCTGTGGGTCCTTTTTTTCCTCCTTCAGGGACATCCAAAGGTTTGAATTTTCACACAGTGATTGAATTAGGGTCTCTTTGAAGAGAGAGGGGCCCCTGCCAGGGCTGGATGAGGAGTCTGCTCTGAGCAGTGGACTCCTCTGGGTTTTGAGGGATTTTAATCACACAGGGAGGTGTTTGCTCTGGCCTTTCTTACCCTGCTGCAGCTATAGAATGAGATACACTAAAAACATCTCCCTGTTTGTTGTTATAGTAACATATATATATGTGAATACAGAGGAGCTCTGCTGATGTCATTTTAAATGTATGCAGTGTCTGTCAGAAACAGCCACAGTTGGTGTTTTAACCAGATTGAAGATATAAGAAGTGTCCAGGGGTTGATGATATTGTGTCACAGGGTTGAATCTGAACTCAAACTAAACAAACACGAGGATCAGGATATGGAGAAAGTCTATGTGTGTGTTTGGCTCGTAGTGAAGAGCACTTACATCTGTTATCATTTTTCCCCTGGTCTTGTTCCTCTCCCGGTGGTTGGCCCTCTTCTGTTTCTGTTGCAGCACGCGCTCTCTTGTTGTACGATACTCCAGGGCAAATTCACTCAAGATCTTACTAAAGCGGTGAATGCTGACCTCACGCACAGCGTACACCGGATGGCCCAGGAACAGCAGAAAAGCATGAAACCTGCAGATGTTAGGAGACCATAACATCACTACAAAAACATCTTTTGGTTCGAATGTGTCTAAAAGTTACCACAAAACGGATGTTCATGCTGTTGGTCCACATCTGACCCCACCTGTTGATGATTCTGCGATGCACAATCTTCAGAATAATGATTCTCTCCGCACAGTCTTTGAGGAAGTCAGACATTTTTTGTTTCAATGCTGGTTTCATCTCATGTTTTGCAATGACTTTAAGATAATCCCATGATGCTTTGCATCTTCGCTCCATCTGGGCCAGATTATCTTGAAGCTGGTCAAAGTCCACCTGACAAAGACATCACATTCAGACTGTTGAGGAGGCTTCAGTGGATACAGAGTTTGCAGTAACAGCCTCTTGTAATAAACCATACTCCAAAGATGATTTTTGAAGGGATATCATTAGGTTAGGGTCAAACACACCATAACACAGAGTAAGACACCCCATCGAGATGAATGTTGCTGACCACTTGCTTCTCTAGTTTTACCAATTTTAGTAACAACCACCGGATAGCAACACACTTGGTCTGAGGAGCCATAAACAAACCTCAACCAAAACGCCACTCTACAGCCACAAATAATGCTCAGAACAGCACCTAACTTCATCAACAGTACATACAGGGTTCTAGCCATAGTACTAGCCACCAAACATCTTTTTAACTTTGCCTGTTTTCTTTAGCAAAGAGACTAAACACAACTCACCCACTCTCTTCCAGCTGGTAGCTGCGGGGTGACGCAGCTCAAGGAAGAACATGTATGGTCATTTCTTTTTAATTTCCTTTAAGTAATAATCACTATGTTAATCATTTTGCACTGCAGACACGGTAGTTCTTCTGCCTTAGCGTCTCAATCTGGTTGCATTTCCTATATGTACTGTTGATGAAGTTAGGTGCTGTTCTGAGCATTATTTGCGGCCATAGAGTGGCGTTTTGGTTGAGGTTTGTGTGTGGTTCCATAGACCGCTGTGTATTGTTATCTTGCGGTTGTTACTAAAGTTGGTATAACCAGAGAAGCAAGCGGTCGGCAACATTCATCTCTTGATGGAGTGTCTAACTTGGTGTTACAGTGTGTTACGGAATATCCCTTTAAGGTGTTTTTAAAGAGTAACAAGGGCTCACCTTTGTTAGTCGGGTGATGGCCCCTATTTCAGAGTATAGGTCAGTACTGTCTGGAAACTTCTCAACCACGATGGCGCAGGTGTGGTGCAGCAGGGACTGTTTGTGAACCGTGTCCTTCACCTCTGGGACTTTCTCCAAGTAACCGAGCTCAAAGCCTTTAGCCTAGAGATGCAAGCACGCAGAAACAGTCACAATGTGGGACTGAAACAACTGTCTGGAATTAAAAATCAAAAGGGGACAAATTGCAGTGAATTTCCTCTTTGGCAGGGTCAGAAAAGGGGCTCAAAGAGTGCTCAGGGTAGATTTGTAGATTCATTTGGCTTGGTGATTATCAGAAACCACAATCTTCTTCAGACCAGACTGATCGGTCTGCACACCACAGCCGAGCTTTAAAGGCCGGAACATATCATGAAAGACATAATCCAAACAGGATCTCCCTTGTTCTTCTGCCAGTTTTAAATGGCTTACTGCAAAATCTAAATGCTGCCGTTATTTACGGGAACTGCTTGTTTTGATTTTGATAAATTATGTTTCCCTTTTTGCACTTTTTTGGGGGCTCTCGTGTCCCAAAGGTTCATTCATACATACAGACGTTTACACAGATGCATGAAAAACACAAAGGCACATGTGAGGCCACAGAGAGTGAGACATAAAGGAAAACAGAGACAGATGCAGGTTCACACACAAGAAGCCAAACGAGCTGTCAGGAAACACTCAACCTCAGACAGACAGACAGACAGACAGACAGGCAGACAGACAGACAGACAGAGGATCAGCAGAGGCCTTGACAAGGGATTTTACTGTAGAAGGACAGCGTCTGCTGCACACAGTCTGCCAGCACATTCTTCTTCACATAGAGTCCACTGTTATCCCTGCCAAATAAATATGTTGGCGGGGGAGAATAGGAAGAAGGAGGAGGAGGGGGAAGGGGAGCGTGGGAGGAAATGGAGGAAGTGAGTAAAAGACACAGTAGGAGAAAGTGAAAAAAGGGGGGATCCTCAACTCTACGCCTTATATGTCTCAAGAGTGACTCACATTAGTGCTGTTGAGGAAGTTCCCAATAGCCAGCAATGTGGACAAGATATAGCGGAGTGTCTTGTTTTTCTCCAGCTGGTCCATTCCTTCTTTCAGGTCCTGCAGAGGCTCTGCTACTTCCTAAAAAAGCATAAAAATGCAGTCAAGACACAAATTATCCTTCCTCTCCTGCTTCGGTTGCTGCAAATTCATTCTGCTCCTCTTCTCTCCATAAAAAGGCACAGTCTGGGTAGATTTTTGTAGATATAAAAACTAGGGTCAACTCCATAGCTCATTCACACATCACTCTCTTTTTATGTGTTTGGAACCCCCTCCTCATAGCTAATAGCACTGTAAAATCTGAGGATACACTTTTAAAGAGTCTTCCAACAGTTCAGTCAGACAACTCATGACACCAGCATGTAGAAGATGAGATAAGCTAAGACTGCTTCTTCCACAAGGGGCACCAAAACTGACCCAAACTCAGAGTCCCCCACAGGAGCTTTAATATAAGACACTTTGGCTCCTTTATTGAAGAAACAATACTTACTAACAAGGTTGTCAATAACATCATATATTAGTGCCATCTTTGTGAGTTACTTTGATAGTATGTTCCTGTGTTAACTGAGCATACAACATCATTTTATATCAGACCACAAATCAATAATGTATCTGGCAGACTTTGTGACATCAGTTACACTCACCCACTTTCTTCCAGCAGCTACTTGTTTGTAGCGAGACCTCAGGCCAGTCCATTACGGACTGCTGTGGGGTGACACAGCTCAAGGAAGAACATTTATGATCATTTCTTTATCATTTCCTCAAAGTAATAATCACCATATTAATCATTTTGCATTGCAGATGTGGTACTTCTTCTGCCTCAGCGTCTTGGACTGATTGGATTTTCCATGAAGAAATGATCATAAATGTTCTTCATTGAGCTGTGTCAACCCGCAGCAGTCCGTAATGGACAGGCCCGAGGTCTCGCTACAAACAAGTAGCTGCTGAAAGAGAGTAGGCGGGTTTCGTGGCTATAGAGTGGCTTTTTGGTTGAGGTTTGTTTATGGTTCCTCAGACCAAGTGTGTTGCTATAGAGAAGCAAGAGGTCGGCAACATTCATCTCTCGATGGGGTGTCTACCTCAGTGTTACAGTGAGTTTGACCCTGACTTAATTTTACCCCAGAATATCCCTTTAAGTCACTCCAGCTGGCCAAGAAACAGCCCCAAACATCGAAACTCTGAAATACTGTTTTTTTCTATCAGGATTTTAAGGTGTGAGTGAGGATATTTTGTTACTTAATTGTTCCCAGACTGGCTGTTTCCATTTTCAAGACTTTATTTACGTCAAGCTTCATATTTACTCTACAGACATGAAAGTTTGGACTTTTAACACAAGCTCTCACGAACAGACTAACATAAGTCAAACTATTACATACATTCACAAGGGCACATGTATTGCTAACAGAAAACTACAAAAAAAAGGTTATATTATGTAACTGCTAAAGGTGTTCTGTATCTGCATGTGATTAAAATGAACAGGAAAGTATCTGACCTTCTCTATAAGCTCGTAGTCCATCTTGAACGCCCACAGCTGCAGGCGAGCAGACAGCTCTGTGATGGAGGAGAGGGTGAGGAGGAACTGCTCGGCGCTGCCCAGGGGGATATCAGGGTTGACCAGCTGAGCCTCCTGGATCTTCTGCTTTTCCTCCTCTGTGGGAATCATTGTTAGGATTTTCTAGGAGAAGGAGAAAAAGATGAAAAGAAAAGGGGATACATCCACTGAGTCATTCATCAAGCGCCTGAGTGAAATTTTTTCACAATATGTCAGTTAATATATCAAAGAGACAGAGAGGAAAACAAATGCACTCAGACATTTTCAGCTCTAGTTATGTGAGATGTTTCCAGTTTTTTCCACAAACTTGTGTGACATCTGAACTTTTATTGGCCTTTTGTTGTCTGGCTGTGAATATCTCCAGAGAGAAAGGTGGAAAGGAATACTCCTCTCCGCTAAAAATGAGCTCAAGGTGAAGCTCTGAAAACTACAGGTTATGTAACATGGAGGGGATGCACCATTTATCATTATCTGCTGATGGGAAATCCTTCAAAAGTCTATAGTGTGGTTTTTAAAACAAGCTGAAAATGTGCACAAGGAGCTAACCTTTAATCATCGCAATGATTAATTACACAAGAACAGCCGTGCAGCCAGAAAATAACATGATATGCCAACATTGTGGGCTTTCCTATCTTGAAGACTTAAATCTCTCCTGCTTTAGGAAGTCCATCAGTGTGTTTTTCTTGTGCTGAGTAAACATCATTCAAGAAAACTGAGTTTATTTTGGACCCAGTGAGCCTGAATGGGTTGTATTTAAAGGACTTGACAGTAATTACAAAATGCATTTCAGACACACCATGTCTCTGAATCTCTAAATCCTTTTAAAAATGCTTACCTCAATGCCTTCCTTGTTCAGTGCGTACTCATCAAAGTTGAGGATAGCGGTCTTTATGGTTCGTGGAGGAGGTAAGACAGTCAAACCAATGTTTATGGCATTGCTGCGTTTTGAATCCAGGACTATGATTTCTTGTCGTTTGCCATCAACAGCTGCTTTCTATAAAAGAAGTAAAACATAATCATAAATCACTCAGAGTTATTGAGGGATAGGTAGTGGTTTCAAGCTGATGTAGTAAATATGAGATTTTCATGGACGATCTGATTAATAAATTCACTCCTCCTTGAGCTTTACTAGTTGGGCTAGGCGAATGAAGGACTGCGTCAGAGGAAACATGAGCTTGTTTTACGGTTTACTTATCTTTTGTTGACTATTGACAGCACAAAGGTCCTTTTCTGGTCTGAGATTAATGCAAATTAATGAAACAGTAAAGGATTTGAGAATACAAACAAATCAAAAAGCTATCTTAGACTGCATAAAACATGGATGAAGCATTATGTAGCCCAAATGTTGTGGTCAGCACACTGGAAATACTGACTCTAACTAATCTTTGACTAATCAAGGAGTTGGTGAGGCTCTTATTCTCTATTTATGCACAACGATTAGCCTTAAATTGATCAATAGAGGCTAGTTCATCATTGATTCATAGAGTTTATAATAACAGAGAAGTCAGCGTTTAAGAACTCAAAGCTGTTAACTTGTGTAATCCTGCTGTAACGACTGGCATTTTAGCATGGGCTCTAATTGAGTTTTCTCAGCTTTTGAATCCAGCCTCTAGTGGACACTTAAAGAACTGCAGTTTTTTGCACTTGATTATTGGTGTCATTTTTCAATGCTGGGAGCTGCTTGAATGATAACTGCAGCGCTGCGCTACTTCAGATTATAAAATACCTTCATAAGAACATGTACAAGTTATTTTTGCAAAAAGTTAAAAACCTCTGGAGAATAAAAGAACTTGATTTCATGTAAACCTGCATGTGCAGAAACCTTAAAGATAATGTCATGACACAGTCGTGGAAGACTCAAATATTTAAACCCTCCAAATGCCAAAACTATCCACTTGATCTAAATTTTTAGAGATGATGAGATCTATCTATCTTTGCAAAATTTTCCATTAACTGCACAAAGTTTTCTTGTTTTATATGATGCTGGACATAACACAGGTACCAGAAACTCTTAGCTATGGTTTGTACCCTGAAGAAAATCAGTATTTTGCATTAAATTTTGAGTCTGATATTCAGTGGTTCTCTTGTAACAGCAGCACAACACTATATTACCTTTGTGACAGGCAGCTCCTTGGATTTGGACTCGAACAGCTGCTCCAGCTTGGATGTGTCCACTTTAATGGGCTCCAGTTTGGACCAGAGGGACTCTTTACAGAATTTATGACTCTTGCACTGCCAGTCCATTGGACGCACCTCGTTCCAGAAGAGACGTATGGTCTTCTTCTTCTTCTGGAAGAGAGGGATCTCCCCTCGATTCAGCTGAGGGGAGGGCGGAGGAATAGGTGCCATGAACGGTGGGGGTGGGGGCATCATTTTACCAAGGATAGGAGGGGGAGGGGGAGGGGGGCATCCGAAGAGGGGCGGGGGTGGTGGCAGAGCAGGAGGGGGAGGCGGTGCTATTAGGTTACCTGTCCCCATCACACTGCTCATATCTAAAATGTCCATGTCATCGTCCTCCTTTAGGTCCGTGAAGTCCATCTCTTTAATCCGCAGCTCCCTGGGTGTGGCCATCAGCTGGTCCCAGATATAATCCGACTCTTTCTTTGGGGGTGATGATGGGGCTGTGGAAGATTTGTCGGACTGCTCTTTAGTGGTTTCAACCTCTGCAGGAGATGTCAGGCCTTTTACTAAATCTCCAAACTTTTCCGCCACTGCCCGCACACTTCCCTGGTTATCCAAATGTCCCACCTCCATTTTCTTCACATTTTCTTCCCTTGCCTGTCTGTGAGCTTCCAGCGTGGAGATCCTGCTCGCCAAGCTTGCCACAGACGAATCACCGACCTCTGTCTCCTTCTCACAGTTACACTTGTCTTTTTCTGTTTCTTCAACATTCCCTTCATCGTTGCCAGTCGTCTTCTGAGCGTACAGCATGTCCAGCATGAAGCGCTTGCTGTTCAGAATTTTGTTGCAGTGGTCGTTCACATCTGCGTCTTTAATGCACGGGGTCCACTGGCCTGTTAACACGTAAATTTATGAATAAGAGAAAAACAACTGATTATCAAAGACAGAGAAATAATGGATCAATCATACCTGCTTCATTGTCATTGGTCAGCTTCTCCTCCCGCTCCTCCCTCTCCAGAGTGCTGCTGGTGGAGGAGATGCTGGACGCAGAGCAGTTGTCCTTTTCATTCACTTCCTCATTCTGTCTCTCCTTCTCACTCAGCAGTACACTTTCTTCTACATCCCTCTCTGTAGTTTGCTCCTTCTCAAACTCCTCCTCCAACTCTACATTCACCTCCACATTTGGCTCTTCAGCTTCTGCTACATCTGCTACTTCTGCTACTTCTACCTGCTCTTCTATTACTTCTGCTTCATCCACACTCTGTCGCTCTTCCCCCAGGGTCTCCTGCTTCTCTTCCTCCTCCTCCATGTCTGATTGTTCATGTGATAGTGGCTCTGCAGCTGCACTCTGGTCACACTCAGCAGCATTCTCTGTCTCTGCGCAGGACTCTGTTTTAGTCTGCTGCTTGTCCGGCTCAAAGGGAGGTGTAGGAGAAGGTTGTGATGCTGTGAACTCTGGTGCAGGACTTTTGGTCCTGGTCTTTGGATCAAGGTTTGGCTCAGATATATATTCTATTCCTGGGAAAGAAACAAATACAGCATGATGAAATTTACTTTAATTGCTTCAAATGTGTACTTATAATATCTGATAGTTTTCAAAAGCTTTGTGTTTATTATTTAAACAGCTTTAAATTGCTTCCATACATAATCTAAATCTCACTGAGAGATTGTTCAAACTCAAAACATACATTCACAAACTTTGGAAGTAAATCACACAGCAATTATCAAACTCTCTTACCATGGCTTATGATCACACGACAGGACTATTAATCATTAAACATGAACAGCTGAGAAAGATGTTTTACACCTTGTAAGAAAAAATACAGTTCAGATTGAACCAGAATTTAACATGTTTTAGAGGTGAAACTGATGTGGATTGCCTTCAACTTGCTTTCTTTATAAAGGCCAGGAGGGGGCGCCTCCACTGGAAGAAAACAATGACCATTTTTTAAAAGATCACACGAGAGCGCGACCGCATCAATTAATTCACTTCTTAGAGATGTTGCTGCTGAGCTTCAAGGTTTAGGTTTTCTTTAGGAAGCTTGATGTTTATCGTGTCTGTCCGATCTCATTTACTGTAAAATCAACAATACAACAGGGTTAAAAGTGTGATTTTTACTGTATCTTGACAGAAGGATAAAGATAGCGTTGGGAAATGTCCAAAGCTCCTGAACTGATGCGTCGAAACAACAGTCCTCAAATCAATAAATGGCATTCAAATGATCCATCAGTATTTCTCCAAAATATCTCTTTTCCTGTTTGAATCTTTATTTTTATACACTATGTTCATTATTTAACGTAAATGTTGCCATTTAATATTTACCAGAATAAACTTCAAGCTAATCTATGTCTGTGTGTTTAAGTATTGTGACGGCCCCTCCAGACCACGAGGTGTTCCTGCTTTGCTGGTTGTGCTTTATTGTTACAGGGCCAGACAAAAGTGGGGTCATCATCAGGAGACGATGAGCTACTCCTTGGCCCGGTATAATCTTCAGCAGTGGCACTTTTGACTCTCTCATGGCTCACATCACAGAGTGTGCATCTCGGCATGGCTGTTGTTTCTTTGTTGCCTTGATTACCAATACTGATTGATGTATTCCTTCATTATTTTGGTAATAAATTTGTGGTTACATAGTTTCTACCTGGTCTTGTGACTGGGTTGTGACAGTATTGGCCAACACTCATCAGTGTTTACCTGATGTATGATGTGCAGTGGTGACAGGGTCTTCCTGTGATATAATGGGTGAAGGTGTGACACAGCGGGACACTGAGCGGCTTGTAGGCGTGGGACTCAAACACAAAGTGATCTCTGTCCGCCCTCTGGTTGTCACTTTTGGGCGTTCTCGCTCAAATTCCTCTGCAGCTAACCTCTCCACAGCTTTGTACCTAAAAAAACAAAAAAACAAAGGCCATTAAATTTTAGATATCTAAGGCCCCTGGAAACAAGAAACAAGAACAAGAAAAAAAAAACATTTATGCTGTAAAACAATAGAACATTTTACTCTTATCTGGGTAAGTAGAGTGTCTTTTAATTCAGGCCTGTTTTTTGCAAAAGCTGCCAGAGGGTGTAAGATGAAGCTTTGGCATATTGCGCACTCACTCACACACAGACACAGTCAGAGTTAGATAACTGCTGCTCATGTGCACAAAACTCAATTACACACTTGTCCTGTTAACTTTGGGACGTCTTAATGATGAGCAGGCCTAAAGGGGCTCTGACACCTATAATTCAGCCCGAGGAGGCTGTAACTGGCTTTGCATCTGCTATCAATTTAGAACATGATCTCTAAGCATTCACAAACGTCCGCAGTTGTTTGATCTATTTTCAGAACTGCAGCATGATTGTGGGCGCACATTAACCCATGAAATAAAATAAACTCACCTTTCTTCTCTGGCTTGTCTTGCTTCTTCCATCTTGTCCACATAATCTCGACTGAGACAGTAACAGAGTGATGAAGAGGCAGTGTTAGACCTGAATTCTTAGTATGCATTAAATCACAGAAATTAGGCATCATAAAAGGCTGAAACACCGGAGCACAAAACATAAAGACTCCTTAGTGCTTCTAAATGTTTCCCATAAACAGCTCAGCTTCTTGCATGTACGTGATTTGTGCATATCTCTTGAGAAAGGACTGAAGACATCTGTTTCTAGAAACGACCCATGCCGGCATGTCTTTATTGGCTGTACAGCTGCCTACAGCACAAAGTAAAGAAGTATATTTTCTCTGGCATGAACTCGTGCAGCATTTTGTCTGAATCTTAAGGTGAGACTAACTTGAAGCGGTTCCTCTCTTCTCTCTCGATTCTTTGCAGACGCTCCTCTCTTTCCATACGTCTCCTCTCTCTTTCTGCAGCCAGAGACTCCTGATGCTGTCTGTACGACGAAGTCAGCAAGCCTCCCAAAGCAGGTCTGCACAAAAAGGAAATGAGCATATCATGAATGCATGAGCAAGGTGTATTTGGTTCAATGTATCCAAACAATGAATAGAAAAGTTAAGTTATCTACCTGTCTGTAGATTTGGAGTCTGGTGTGAAGGTTGTTGAACTAGTGAAGCGATGGACGGGTGATGAAGGAGCCTGGTGCCTGCCAGGGTATGGAGTACCATTTGCACTGATTCTGTTAAAGGAAGGAAAAACAGGGTTGTAGAGAAAAAATCTGGACTCAACATCAGAGTTGAAGATGTGATTTTGATTCTAATCTCATGACTATAATTAGAAAGAAAGACATCTGAATCCCTGTGATGGCAGTGGTGCCATTAAACTATGAAGAACGCCTGCTGGTGCAGTCCTAATCCAAATGTCAAATACATTTCAACCACGCATTTAGTTCATTTTTCAGAAGAGTAGTTTACACTCAGGCAGTCTGCCTTCTCAGTGAAGGGGGCTAACCTCTGGAACTACCTGCCTACAGAGCTAAAACTAGAACTGGATGGTAATGTGTTTAACAGAGGTCTCAAATCATGGCTGAAGTCAAATCAATCATGCTCACATGTATAATTACTCTGGACTGGTATCTTGAGATGACTATATTTACTCCTGTTTCTATTTTACTATGTATTGATAAGGGGTTTGATATCGTTAATTAACAATAGTGTATTTTTGTAATTTTCTTAGAATGTTTTTGTACTTTGGATTTTAGATACACTTTTCTACTAGAAAAGCCTCCTGTGGACAGGTGTTGAAAACTAGCACTAGTGCTATACACACTCAAGCAATGCATCTGGTTCGTCCAATGTAACTTTGTAATGTCCATGTCAAATAAATAAAACATAAACATCAACATTAATTATTTGATGCTGGGTTATGATTGACGGCTCTGTTGACTCATGTGCACAGGTCTTAACCTGTTAACACCTGGCCTTACCTTTCAGCCCAGCAGGGCTTTCTTTCTGTGTTAAATGGATGTAAGTTGTTCGTATCAGTCGGACTGAAGAAAGATGTGAAAAAAGAGGGGAACAGTCAGGCACTCACAGATAAATCAGTCAAATGTTAGTCACACAAACATCACAAAAGACAGAAATGTAAGATAGAAGGGGAGGCTGCAAGACCACAAACACAACAGATCTGACAGATCTTTTTTTTTTGTTTCCTGAGTCACTGTGCTTTGAAGAGGGAGTTTTAAAACTCTAAATACTAATAAATCAAATGGTTGAAAGAAGAGCGAATCATGCTTACATTACAACAAGGACACACGTAATAATCTATGCAAGAACGCAAACCATCAAGAGACTCTGACTGGGACTCACGCTGATCTTTTGGATCCTCCAGTGCTTCAGAATAATTTACTGACTTGTCACAGAGTAAGTGTGGTGCAGAGCCACAACTAAAGACGGGTGAGACGTAAAACTTATATTAATCCTTTCCAGCAACAGAGAAAAGGAAGCCATTACGAGTTTCCTTTTTCTGGTACAGTTTGTCTTATGAGATGACGCATGAAACGTAAATCACATCTGATGGGACACATGGGCGGGGGACTGTGATCGCGGGAACATATTTCAAGGATAAAGGCTACAGCACGTGAGACGCAAGTAACCTTATGGGTCACATTTTTCAAAGTGCTCACTTAGAAATTAGCTTTATCATATCCTAAAGGTGTTCTTGCTGTGTGCACAAGTGAGGTACATGGAGACACACACACACTAGTGATGGGAACAGTGAACTTCCTCGTTTCAAGTTGTAATGGTAACACATGTAGACTTCTAAAACTGTTATTTTTGTTCCCTGCTTATCACTCTCCTGGGCCCCGAGAGACACCTGACAGGGAAAGAAGGGGTAGGGGGGGTAGGGGTTTGGGAGGGGAGGACTGATACTGAGGGTGTGCAGAGCAACAGGGAAAACACAGTCAGGTGGCTGGGGAGGAAACGCACCAAGGACTAAAGGTCCTCTTTTTAGGTGCAGTGGACACAGGAGAAGGAGTCCTGCTCTTGACGCTCAGATATTTTCTCTGCCCCTCAGGGTCACTGGCTTTAGGGAGGATGTTGGCCATACACATTACGTTCATACACATGTTAGGAGTGTCTGCTACAGCTGGAGCCACACTAGGATGACAAAATACAAGAGAGGAGGAGTCCAAAGGGAATAAGGAAATATTCAGACTTTGAAATAGAGAGGTGATGCTGTTCAAGGAAAGCTTATACATGTGCAAGGATAAGGAAGCTAGATCATTCAGGAGGGAAACCTGCGGGCCTAAAATACCTGTGAGTGCCCTGTCTACAGGACTCTGTGACTGGATGACTTTCATCATCTGCTTCTTCCTCCTCCTCCTCCTCCTCATCCTCCTCCTCCTCTTCCTCCTCTTCCTCCTCTTCCCCTTCCTCATCTTCCTCATCTCTGTTATAAGAGGAAGGTCGGAGGGAGGAAAGGGAGGATGCAGGCAGGTGAGACAGGAAAAGAATATTGAACAAGATGAGAAACACACAGCAGAGGAGACAATGTAGAGAAAAGACGAGAACATGCCTGTCAATAAGAGGATTAGAGGAAGATCATTAATGTCAAGCGGATACAATCACTGACAGATGTATGAGGAGGTTAGTGGACACTGTCAACAATGTTATAAACAAACAAATGGATATGCACAAGCAACAGTTACAACATTTAAGTGTCTGATTACTACACATAGGGCTGGGCGATAAAACGATAACAATATATATTGAAAATTAATTTCCCTCAATATCAATATAAAACACGGTCAATATGCTTTTCAATAGTCAATGCCTGCATTCTGCCATGTTTTTGGTAGACTATACGAATAGCCAATGAAAAGGGGAGTTGCTCTCGGTCCGCTTCACACTGAACCAATCATGTGCTGAATTAGAACCAAGTAGCAAACAACTGCGTAGTAGCAGGCTGCAGCTACACACAACCATTGCACTTCAACACATGAAGACGACAGCACTGTCAGTGAGAAATAAAAGAAAATGAGTGCTACCCCCCGCAGAAATGCAGATGAAGGCTCAACAGATGACGACATTGTCGATAACACTGGCACAAAAACATCGGTGGCGTGAAGGTATTTTGGTTTTTTAAGGCACTGCAAATTATGTCGAGCACATTTTCTCACAAAGTCGGGGAATACTTCAAATCTTTTTCACCACCTGAAGCAGTGCCACGCGGCAGAGCACGCACAATGCAAAAGGTTACAAACCCCGAGCGGCGCAAGGAGCCCATGGCGCCTGTGCAGCTGAAACAGCCGACCATTCAGTCTGCTTTCTCTATTGCAACGCCCTATGACAAAACGTCAAAGAGACACAATGACCTCACAGATGCAGTAGCTTATTGTATCGCAAAAGACATGCAACCAATAAGCACTGTTAAATTTCATTTTTATATCGTGATATATATCGCTATCGACTGATATGAAAAAAATGTATCGTGATACACCTTTTCCCTTATCGCCCAGCCCTAACTACACATCAGCCATTAATACCATTTGGGATTAGGAGAGTCTACAGAGCTGCAGGAGATGTTTCTGCGTTTGAACTGACAGTCTGAAGTGCATCGTCATTTTCAAGTCTGAGACCGGTTGGCCATTTGGATCCTTCTCAGTAGTCTGGATTTCATTAACAGTACGTAAAAAAAGGCAATCTTCAAAGGAGGCTTGAATTTCCTGTGTTGGACTGAGGGGCAGATAGACTGGTAACACATGACATGCTGGACTGAATTTAGATCCACCTAAAGACCTGAGTGCTACCAAGACTATCAGTAAGTTAGTGCTACCTTACAGGAGCTTATGATTAAATTAGAGGGTTGAGTTATAAACCAGGAGTGACAAAAAGAGGTACTGATATAAAAAGAGGAAAAAGATAAAACATTAAAATTGGTCTTTGTGGAAAAAAATGGAATTAAGTTTTTTTTTTTTTCCCCATTTAAAAAACTTCTAGACATCATCATTTAGTGTTGTTCTCATGTTCAGATCAGGCTTCTGTTTAATTAAACAAAATTGTAATTTGCTTCTTTCCTGAGTCACTGGTTGTGGTTGCTGTGAGTATGTGTAGCCATAAAGCTTTGTCTTATATAAGACAGACGGCTCAGTGGAGTTGGAGTGTATTGCACTCTCACTGAAGGAAGCTTAACTTTGAAGAGAAAAAGTGCAGATAGTGCATATCATGTGTTTACAGAAGCTTCCTATTTCCATCAGGGGCTGAAGAATGCCTCTGACGCTGGTGAAATTAATCTAAATGTCACTTTCCAGCATCTGTCTTCTCCTTACTTTTCTCTAAATTACTATATAATTAAATTTTCCCCTTTGGCTCTGGTCAAAATACACGATGAGTGGAACATAATACAAGACTAGCAGTCGAGTTGTTTCCTGTGAAACCGAGTAATACTCCATACACACAAGGATAATTTTTGATCCTCTTTTTACCTGCAGCTGTCTCGGGCTTTATGATACACGAGATCATAACAATAACCCAGTTCAAGTTAAAATTAAAGTAAGTTTCCTCCCTTTGAATGTCTTCCACTTTTTCCATTCCTCCTCGTCCTCCCCTCGTCTCACCTTTCACTAATGTCTTCAACACGTTGGCCACCAAAGGGCAGGAAGCTGCTCACAGGAGTGTGCGGGCTGCTGGGTGAAGCCGGGGCAGAAGCATGGCCTCTGCTGTTCTGGAGTGAATGTCTCCGGCTGCGTCTTCTCTCCAGGCCACGCCTCTCGTTTGTGCCGCCAACACTAGCCCGACGACGATCCTTACGGCCGCTGGGAGGCAATTGCGTTTCATCATCGCCGTCTTCATGCCGGAGAGTCACCTGGATTAAAGGCGTCAAAAAACAATGTATTATTGTCTTTAAATCTTGCAAGACACTTTATACCTGTGATCTTTAACCTCCTATGAAACACACGTTGCATGAACAGTGGTTTTATATGTGATATTACAGGCCGTGTCGACTCACTTACCTCATAGATGTTGAACTGCTCCACGAGGTCCAAGTCAGTGCCCTTCCTGCCCAGGTGTCTCTGGGCCATGGCTTCGATGCCCTGCTCCTCCAGACAGTCCACCATGTCATAGTATGAGTCCTGGTCTGGGAGTCCTGCCAGAGTCTGCAGGAAAACAAAAAGAAGCAAAGAACAAAAACCATGATAAAAGATCTGAACATGTGCCTGCTGCATCTATTATGATTAACTCCAGGAGTTATTTTTAAGTTATTTTTAGACACATGCATTACATAATACTTGGCAACATGAGCTGTCTGGATAGCTAGTTTTTAACGGGTGGTTATTTTTCATTGAAGTAGTTTTGGGGTCTCTGGTTTTTGGTGATGCTTCCACGACTCTGAGTTCTCCTCTGTTTATTTTACAAGTCATAAGAAGTGATGATTGTTCAGACTGCACCTGAGTCTTTCAGAAAGCGTAACTTCCTTTACCTGCAGCTCACATGATCAGACTTCTCTTATTCAATAGATAAGTATCTCAAATGTAATTTTAATCTGACAAGGTGCAAAAGAGGATTGAAAGACAGAGAACAAGCACAGAAAGTGACAGAGCAGACATTTGACAGGGTGAGTAGTTCAGGACACATTTACAGACCTTATTGATGAGTGTCATTGCATACACCAGCAGCTCTGTGTCCACTCCGTCCTTCTCATCTAGGATCTCCATAATGTTCGACCACAGTTTAGTGTCTGCAGAAGCAAAAGTGAAGCAATGACTGCAGTGAATCACAAGACAAACTGCAAACTCACAGCCACTTGTATCTTCAGGTGGATGCCAGGTATTTATTCAATCCCAAATATCCACTCAGTCATCCTTCAGCTCCATCAGTGAGCAGTATGTCATCTTACTGCATGGGTAAGAAAATGCACTCATAGCAGTCTCCCTCCAGAAAAACGGCAGAGGAAAAAGAGAGCCAGGCAACCTCAACTCAAATGAGGATGAGGCAGCCTTGTGTCAGCCACAAGGGTCAAGTCCATCTTCTTCTCATCAGGGGACTGGGAGGGGGATCAGGTTTAGTCTTCTTATGCAACAGCAGAGGTGAGGGGATAAGACACAGCAGACACAGAGGGATACCTAACCCCTGCAGACTGATGCTCAACCCCTGTTTTACAATGCAGCACTATGTGGAGCATTTGGAGCTGCAGGAAACTAAACCCTGCTGCACTCTGGAGTTATAGTCTTACTCAATAAGCCTCATTGCACAAACAGGCAGGGAGCCACTCAGGAAAACGGATCTGGCTTTTGTGTAACAGGATAGTTTGATCTGCAGTCAGCTGACAGACACTGTAGAAGGCTTGATAACGGGGAATGAAGATCATCTAACCAAAGTAGGAATTTTCAGACTAATCCAAAAATCTCTGTAGCCATATGTACTGAATTCAAATAAATACATATGCACATAAATATAGAATTTTGCTGTAAATGTTATATCTTTGCAGACCTGGGACATTTCCAAAATGTCAAAATGTGTGCTATTGTGTTCATGCTGCTTACTAAAGTGTTGTCCAGTTAGCATGGACCCTTACCTCGTTTAGCATCCACAATGTTCACAGCCTTTATGAGCAGGGCAGCGTTGGACTCAGTGTACTCCACAAACACCAGTAGCAGCTTCAAAGCCGTCTTCACCACCAGACGAAACTACACACACAGAAAATAAAATACATCAGCACCAAATATTGAAAAGTAAGTTTTGTCTTATTGTTTAACAGTTTGTTGACAAAGTAAATGAATGATGATGAAAGAGCATTTTCAACTTCAATGTCTTCTTAAAGCTTTTCCTGTGTGGAACATCTTGAGAGGTTTGATAAGCCCTGAGTGACGTCGAGGCAAAATTTAGACATTCAACAGCTGATGTGAACAAAACGTTCTGTACTCCAACAAAGAGGAAAGGATGTAAACAGAGTCATAATCAGAACTTAATTAAGTTTAAAAAAAAAGATGAAGCATTTCAAAGTCCGATCCTGAAAAAAAAAAAAAAAAACTGGAATGAAAGAGAAATAATCAGACAATGAAGTAATAGGCCTGAGGTGTTGGAGCTCTTTTTATTGAGAGTGAAATAAACATCATGTCAGCAGTGAGGAAACAGTCAGAGTTAATTTAAGATCTCTGAGCAGCTGACACAAAAGGCTTACGCTGAATATTGATAATGGAACCATGTCACATAAAGTTATGAGAAGACAAGTGGTTTGATTTAAAAAACATAGTGGGTGCCAAATATTATTCCAACATTTACACAGGAAGGCATAAATTTGATAAGTAAGAGAATCAAAAAACAAAGAAAAGAGAGAGGAGGTTTGCTGTCTGCTGCAGATGTGCTGCACATGTCCGAATGTGGCCACTAGAGGGCCAAAGTGTCCACCATGCTGTTAAAGTTGCACAGCAGTGAAGTTTGACATCTCAGAGTGTGTGATTATTTCACTTCTGACAGAGCTCAAATGGGGTTGCTGAAGTAACTTTCTGAAACATCTTTTTAAGTCCACATTAAAGTTATTTTTACCTTAGATCCCACAAGCGTGTAAAGCCACTGGACAGTTTCATTGTGAGATATGAGGCCGTTCATCCCATCCACATACAGCATAATCTGACCTAGAGCTGGAGAGAGATAAAGACAGAAATAGACCCTGGTTAAAAATCGATCTTATTTATTTTTTGTATCTTCTATGTTTACTTATTTTTCTGTGCAACAAAAGAAAACAGCAGCTGTAAATTCTTGCAGTTTTCCAAGTATCTTGTTGAAAAGCTGAAAGCTGAGGGTAACAGTTAGCCAATGTAATGTCGCTGAAATCAGACATCAACAAACACCATCCTTTGGTAGAAGTCCTGGTGTGCCTGAATGAGCCATATTTGGCAAAATACCCCTTAAAATAAACTTTGTGTATGACCAAAAACAAACCATTTTTGGAGAATTCCTCCTGTGGTAGTTGTGTTTTTGTGAATGGACAACTATTTTTTACAAAAGCTGAAAGTAGAAAGACGTTAACATCATTCTTAACCAATCATAACTAAACTTTTACAAGAACTGGGTCTTCAGCGATCATCAGCTTTCAAAATCAAAACAATTAGGCTCAGACGTAATAGGAAAAACAGCACGCCTGCACTCATCTCTCAAGTCAATGGACACAATTGGAGGGAAAATATTTGAGCGGGGTGCCTCACTGGATGCTGACATGACTTCCATCTGTAACAGGATACATAAATAAGAACATAATAAGAGCCAAGGGATCTCAGTGGGGGGCAGTAAATGTGAAAGGCTTCTGTTAGAGAAGGAGAGGGGGCAGGGAAATGAACACTGCTGGACATGAGTTGGAACACACAAAAGCCCCCTTTAAAAATGTAGTCGTTTTTTTTCTTCATTTCAAAGAGCATCTCAGTGGCTGTCCACACAACAGGGGTTACTACATTCACATTAAGATGACAGCAGCAGCATGAGCTCAGCTTGAACCCTCTGAAACTCGAGGTGATGCATTAGCTGACACGAGGGAAAAAAGGGCTGAAGTATAAACAAGTGAACACATCGAAAGTGGAACATTTTTTGGAGACTGTTTGACGATTTCTTGGCAGGAGCTGGGGTTTTGGGGGGTTATACCTAAGAGGATTTTCTGAAAAAGTCATTAAATTCCTCGGCCGTTTTCAAACATGACAAAAAGTGGAGGACTCGTATTGATGGAGCTAAATGATATACGAGAAGCTGGAAAATCTTTTATGGGCTGCAAAAGCTGAACACCCAGGTGTTTTATAATCTCAGAAAATTTACAAAGGAATAAGAAATTAATGAGAAAAGTTAGGAACTTGGAAAAAATTGATAAAAGGTAACAGGATCTCCGTTTGAAAAAACTATGTCATCCTTTTTCATCCATGCTTAAAAAGTTTCTTTCAAGCCTCTGTCACATATTCCTCCTCCCCTTTTCTCAGAAGGAGCATGAAAACTGTGAATATGCTGCAGATAAGCCAAAATTCTCAGGTGCAGCTGCTGCTGTGTGTGAGTGTGTATGGGTCTGTGTGTAGAAGTGGATGAATGACTGTGTGTGTGTGTGTGTGTGTGTGTGTGTGCATAGGGCTGCAGTTCATCTTTTATCAATCAGGGATAATTACTCACAACATGTCAGACCTCAGTCTCCTCCCGCTGGGCGTTCAGGGCTGCGTGTCGCTGCAGTCAGGACAATACAGCGAATCAAAGCCGACCACATCAGAGTGTGTTTATGAAAACATGATTAACCCCCTCAGTCAGCGAGGGCCAGAATGTCACACTCTCTTGTGACTCCCCCCACTCGGTACAGAGCTGCTGTTGACAGACAGGTGACAGCAGTACTGATATAACCTACAGCTGGTCTACAGAGTCTAGAAAAAACCCCTTAGGTAAAATCATTCGAAAAGCTAATGAATAAGAATCAGCTATCTTAACCCTTCACGCCGATTCTCTCTACACTCAGGCTTTTCAGATGAGTAATGAGCTGTGCGCTTGTTTTTAAATAGGTAGCCGATGTCTGACCCACAATCTTTTATCTCTCGCGTGCACCTGTGTATAGTATCTCCCCTCATGAGGTTTTCAGGAATGTCCACTGAAAACACTGGTGAGAGAAGATAGGTAACCTTAATGAGGCTTTTAAAAGTGTCGTTACAAAGCTGAATGTTCAGCTGCTGACAGATCAGACGTCCCTGATGGCTCCCAAAAGCCAACCGCAAAATGAAACCATGTTCAGATCATCCTGACATGTTATCATAGGACGTTATATAAAGACAGCATCAACAGGCCATGGGCGACTCTTTTGCTTTAACACATTTCCAAGTAAAATAACATCAGGATACATTTCTATACCATGAGTGGCTCTAATTTAGCGAGTAGTTATGATACAGAAGTGATATGATATGATATTTAAACACTTGTGAACCATGCCAGAAACCACACAGTCATTACTTTTACTCTCAGGTTCATTAAAAATGCTGCTTCGTGGAATTATTCAGTGCGAGCTGCCATTTATGTACAATTTCAGTTTAAGTACCAAAAACCACATGGAGCGCAGTTAGCCTGAGAAGAACAGTGAGGTAAATTGATACTGTAACTGTGTTTAAAAAACAAAATTACCATCTATTATGAGAAAGTGCGGCGCTCAAAGTCTGGGCAGAAACCGTTAAGAGGAAACATCTAATAACTCTTAAAGCAATCACCTTTGTGAGCTTCAAATGGATTCTCACACACTTGTGATTAAATTAGTCATGAAACTGCGTCGGAAAAGGAAGGAAAGCACTTAAGGCTTTCATATCTTTACACTTTGGTGCATTTCCTGACCTTGCTGTGCCTTTGTGAAGAACTGAGACTGTGGGTCCATAACTTGGGATTTGTTTTGAAACTCCCCAACAGACACTCATCAATAACTCACGAAGAGAGTTAATAAGAAGAACATGTGAGTGCTGAGTCTGTCACTGATCAGGAGCCAAAAATGTGGGCCTCCATTCGAGTAATCATGAGCAGCTCCTCGGTACCTCACACAAAGTGTAACAATAACACCGCCGAGTCCCTCTGCATGTATGTCACGTAATGAGACGCTGGCAGACAATGAGCTTCCCTCGAGCACAGTGATTAGAATTTAAATGTAAGCCATTATTAGTGGGGACGAGAGCTGAGGAGGAAACTAAAAAGAGACTTGAGAGTGTTCAATGAGCAGTCTGGCATCTGTACAGCCTTCTTCCACTCTATTTCTTTCACTGCTTCAGTAAGGTTTTTGGCTGAAGTGTAGATTGAGAACTTGCAGTGAGGAAGAGATAGACCCTGGTCCTGTGTCTGAACCAGAACTCTAAGAAGTAAAACCTTTAGGTCTGGTGGAAGTGTTTCCTCAGGGCCTCTCCCTCTCACAAACCGCAGCAATTATCCTCCACAGCCCCAGGAATGTTCAGGAAGGGCAGCTCCCTGACCACGGCCAGGGAGGTGAGAAGCACTCTGAGGTCTGGGTGGCAGCACCAACACAAGCCAGCAGAGTAAAAAAAAAAGGACATTTTTATCTATCAAGATGTGAGAAATCAACTCAACAGCTTCCACCACTACAAAACTGTCCGCTCCCCTTCCCCTCACCACTCTGCCCCTTTGGTTTCATTTAACATTTTGGAATTTATCAAAACTGGGTCAGCCAAACTGTCTGTCAGCGTGCAACATTTATTTTACCAGGACTTTGGGACCGGGCCAAATCTCCATCCCTCACAGTGCAACTTAGGGCCTCTTATCTTATTATGGTCTGCATTAGCTGAGAGCTACTCTCAGGTCTGAAGTGTGCCTCCCTGTGCCCATGTGAGCTGGATGTGTTTTACAGCAAGGTCTGAAAAAAGACTTTTATGTAAATTCTTGTCCGTGTATGTCACAACAATTAAAGTCAACTGGTGAAATCTCAGAAGTGTCTTAGCGTCCGTACTTGATTATGGGAATATATAAAGACAAAATGACTTCCCATACTTTCTCTTTTTTAATAGTGAGTACAAGATGATAACCACAACAATGTAAAAGTGACAGTCTCTCATTTAAGTTAAAGGTGTGTCAACTGTGAAGAAAGACCTGAAGGAGAACAGCAATGTTAAATAGTCCACAGCATGTTATTACCTTACAAGTCAACACTCAACACATACAAGAGGCTGATATGACTAACTGTGAATCGGAGGGAACGACTTTTTAGTGTATAAACACACACACACAAAAAGAAAAAACTTTATGCCAGTATTTTGTGTCAACGTGTTAAAGTGTGCCACACTTTCTGATGCTGACATAAATCATTACTGCAGTCTGTCTGCTATAAAGAGACCGTTTCTCATTCAAACCCCTTTAAGAGCCGTTGCCATATGAACTAGAAAAGACTCGTTTCTAGGTAACTTTCCATTTGCAATTCAGCTAATCACCTAGACCATTACAGCCAAACAAAACAGCCTCTGCCAGACCAATTCACTGTCAGCCTGCTGCCAGACTTAACGTTTCGCTCCATACAGTAAAACAACAGGGGGATGCTCCCACGTTCAGCCCCAATATATGTCTGCCAGTATTTGACACAGTTTACTATGGGCTCATTCCCAAATAAACTCCCTGAAGACAAACAAACAGACTTAATGGAACAATAGCATGAAGTCAGGCGGAGGAGGGGGGGGGGCTTCAGTGTTTGGCTGATGAAGCTCTAAATGAGGTGCTGCAGACTTGATGAACTACTGCGGTGCTGAGTAGAGCACAGTAGATGATGAAGATAAAATGTGAAACATGTTCTATCTATTTCCTTTGTACAAAAATACGATTTCTAGATTAGAGGTGGAAAATCATCATTCTAGGACAAAGATTAGCTTGGGAAAGCCCAATAAATGAGCTCTTTCCATCTCGTCCAAGCAGGGAAGACTTTGGAGAAAAGCTACTGAATAACATCCACCCACTTGTAAAGCGAACTGAAAGATGAGCTGCGGTAAATTCTTACTGCTCTTGAGAGAGCAGTGGCGTGATTTGCTCTGGTTCTGGCCAGCCATATGCTGAAATCAGTCCCACAGAACAGTCAGCTCACAGGAATCAGCTGTAAAACCCACTCCACTACTCAAGATTTCAGTCTATCAACCTGTATGCCGCACAACTGCAAGAGATTTATTTTTTCTCCAAATCATAGTTTATGTATCTTAGACAGCAAGGTCAGGGATGACAAAATGCGAGCCTGAGAAATGAACCAAATCAAACAATCTCGTAATATAATTGGCTTGTATACTGAATTCTGCTACAGTTAAACAGGCTTCAGAGCAGGGTTGTAATTCTGCTGCCAGTTGGTTTTCAAAGCCTGAAAACTTCTGCAGATGACAGGAGAACGGGGAGCAGAATATAGGTCAGCCAGGTGGGGTTGAATTGGGTTCAGATGCAAGCGGTCTGCTCTTGTGAGGGGGATAAGAAAAGGTCTAGAGGGGTCTGATATGGGAGGGGGACAGGGTTGGGACGTATCCAGTGAGAACAAGACTCTTAAGGTTAACCAAAAACATGACACCTCATCTTGTTTCTCTAATCAGTCAAAGGTTGGCTGGACTTTTTTAGTGCTTCAGAGTGTTTATTGTGAACCTGTGGGAAAAGCACATTAAAATGACAGGTGGTGTGACTGTTTAAAACAGTTCATAGAGCATACAGTTGTGTATGTTTTCGTGCAGCAACAAGTATGCCCGTCACTTTGAAAGCTGCAGACTTAATTTAATAGAGAGAGGCCAAGCTGCAGGCAAGGACAAAAACGTTGCCAGCAGAGTAAAGAGAGAGAGAGAGCTGAGCTAAAACCATGTGTAGCACTCATTTCCTAAATTTCCTCCAACCAAATGAAGTCATTTCTGTCATCTTGGAAAAGTGTCTCAGACCTCAAATTGCACATGAAAATATTATTGGCTTTTCCAAAATATAACCGGCTTTAACGAGGACCAAACCTCGTGAGCAATGAATGTAATTTTTGGCATTTTTCAGCGGGCTGATGGTTTATGGTTTCGAAGTTAACTTGGACTTTTGTCATGAAGTAAACACAAGAAATAAAACCAAGTGACCTTTGGATTATGACCTGCACATTTGAACAGAAGTGTGAATGAATCAACTTTTAAACGTGCTGAAAAGCTGCCATTAAGGTGTGTGGAGATGACTGAGTGTTTTTCAGATTCAAAGTCTTTACACACAGGGGCAGAAGGAGCTGACACCAGCTCTCAGACTTGCACGAGATCGGGTGGAAAACATGCAGGTGTTCCCATGGGATCTCATTACAAAAAACCAGAAGTTCGAGTTTCTATTGGTGCGACGCGGGCATTCCTCGAGATCTCCTTCACACTCCGAACAGGGCTTGTCCACATGTGTGTCAGCAGTTCCTGTGTTTTCCCTCTTAAATTTCCCTCATCCTGGAGGATTAACCTGAACATTTGCTCAACTTCCCTTATGTATCATTCCTTCCTGATTAAACAAACAAGGACATGCTCGCTGCTACAATAAGCAGCAGATGCATAGATACATTAGCACAAAGCCTCTTGACCCAGCCCCCAGACAGAATGGAAATGTTTACCCAGACGATGGGCTGTAGTAAAGGTTTCCCCTCTCTCCAGAACTGACGACCTATAACACAGCCAGACAACACAATATGCACTGTTTCCAACAAGAGCTTCCAACAAGGCTGTTAACCCAACTATGTCTGTGTTTTCACTTACTGCTCGGCTAAAACAGCCAGAGCAGCAAAAGGAGGGTTCAGTTATGCTCTGTTAAATACTTGAAGGGCTTGGGTCAGAGAATTACACCAAAACAATGATCCTGGTTTGTATCAAAGAGAAATAAAATACCACTTTCTCTGTAGTTGTACAACAGACCCAGTGTTTCATCCAAAGATGACAATAAAAAAGAAAGAACATTAGCATATTTGTGTTTGTTTTAGCCTTTGAATCCCTCAAAGAGTGTGCAAAGACATGTCCCAGTATGTTCTGCCCAGCTGATCATTCACATATAAAAAGTCAGACCACTAAACTCAAGGCAACTTCAACAAAAGGATCTTGAGTTTCAGGTGCACTTGCAGGACATATAAGTCACTGCTGTGTGTGACACTAAAAGCAGCTCTGAGTGTCGTACTGGGACCAATGTTCCTGCACCCAGACAGTTTAAAAGGCAATGAAACACTTGACTTAAGCACATCTCCCTTTCAGGCCCACAGAGCCAGCCCCTCCCCCCAGTCCTCTCCGGATACCAGGAAGTCAAGGTGCTTTAACTTATAGAATTATAACTACCGTGGCATTGAAAACAGAAGATCCCAAAAAGGTAGCAAGAAGGAGAAAAACAGAGAGAGGTATAAAAAGATAGAAAGGAAGAGCAAGAATGGACGCTATAAAAGCATGAAATGAAATATAGTCATGACTTATTTGATACAGTAATACATTTGGAGCATTTACAGCGCGACTCCCATTTCGGTGCTAGCTATAAATTCACAAGTATAACTTAAAGCATGTTAGCTTGTGTATATAAAATAAAATACAGCATGTGGTGAGATATGGCTCTCTGGGTATAAAGGGAATTTATGTCAAGTTTAAGAGCCTGTTTTCTTAAAGATGGATCCAAAACGCTAAAGGTGAAATGAGGGGATTTTCCTTTCATTCTAATGAATCAAAAACATGCTTCGCTTTCAATCGGAGGTCACCACGGCTTAGAAATGGCAAGTGTTTTGTAAACAACAGTATGCGGGCACCGGCATGGCGTGGCCTTTCAAAAGTGCAAACAGAGAAAGTGTTACTAAAAACAAAGCTTATGTTGAGAAATGTCAACAGTGAGCGTTTCAAAGCGGAGAGTAATTGCTTCAAGTTGACTGTAATTGGTTTGTCTTTAATCTGGCGCTCACTGTCGCTCTCTTTTTACAGTTACCAATTAAACACAGTTGTTACTTTTGTTAGTTCTGTAAATACAAGTGAAACCAAAGTCCAGGAAAAAATGTGTCATTTGTCTTTCCAGCTGGTTTCTGTGTTTTGCTCATGATAATAAGCACTGATGGGATCTTTTTCTGTCCACGCTGAAAAGGTTTGAGTTCGGTACAGCAACTTGTTTGACCTTTTGCACAAGCTGCTTTCATTCAGTCCTGGCAAAGCTCTTAACAGTGATGTCCTGTGATGAAAACCTGTTTTTTCCTTCTCAATCTAAGATAATAGATGGCAAGTAAAGACAAAGGAAGAGAAATGCTACTGGTTCTTTGTATTAATGACATGCAGGTGCTGTTTGAAGCACATGCTTCACAAATCAACAGCCTGATGTCTTTAGTACGTCATAGCAACCCAGACAATAGCTGTAATGACAGCTGTTGAGATAATTCACTAGAATTACTTTAACTTATCAACCTTGTGATGGCACTGAAGGCAAACACCTGAGCAGGTAAGACAATGACTATGAAATAAGCTTAAGCTCTGATCTGCTTAGTGGTGCCACAGCAAACTTATGCCAATTTTTAACTAACCCTAACAATAATGAGATTCATCCACATTAATATATATACTTAATTTAATGTCAAGTACTACAAATTGTGGATTTTTAACTCATCACTGTACTTTATTCCCCAAAGTCAGTTGGACTTCTTTAAGTACTCGTCGGCTTGGTCATTGGTACGTTTTCATTTACAAAGGCATTCTTGGAAGAATTCCGGACTACCTCTCGTCCTTATTGATCATTAAGGACGGATTACACAACCTGGGATCATTGAGATTTATACAGTTTGTTGTCCCCAGAGTCTGAACTGAAATGGGAAAGAAGGCTTTCAGGTTCTCTGCCCCCTGCGCATGGAAACTTGGTGTCTTTGACCGTTTTCAAATCTGCAGTTAAAAGGCTGGAGTCCAAACTCTCAGAATGTCTCTGTTTAACTGATGTTTCCTCACATTTTTATTCTGTGTTGAGTCTGTATGACTGTTTGTTGTAACCATGTATTGCTGCCATTCTTGGTCAGGTCTCCCTTGCAAATGAGATCCTCAGATCTCAGTGGGACAAACCTGGTTAAATAAAGGTTAAATAAATATCTGTTGTGATATATTAACCTGAATTAAGGTTGACAGACAGACTGACACAAATGACAGCAGCACTAGGGCAACAGTGAGGAAAAAAGCTGAATCCTTTCTTGTGTTTGTATATTACACAATTCAAGTGTTTCATCAATTCGTCATGAGTTGTAAATAAGTATCTAAAAATGTCTTTTTGGGTCATAAATATGTTTTAAAACCTCATGGGGCCCATGCATTTTGAAGATAGTAGCAGCTTCAGAAACCTTACTCAGCTTTTCACTTCTTCAACCAAAGCTTCAAGAATGAAATGCTTTTAGAGAGGGGCCTTCCTGTCCTGTGTTGAGATTAACGCCACCTTAATGTTCGTCTTCGCCGAGAAACTAACATCATGTAAATGCTTTTTTCATACTTATTGCCTTTTTGGCTCCTGTGTGTTTTAAGCACCTCAGCAGGCAGAGTGTGAGGCCGACAGGAGGACCAGATGGCACAGGCACCTCTGAAATAAGTGACCTCACAGCCTTTCTCACTGATGGGGTGATAAAGGCATACAAGCCTTCCCCTGGGCCAACAAAGCACGCCTCCAAGGAGCTAAACCCAGGTCTGGAAGCCCTCCGAGCCAGGTGTGAGGGGCCCATAGTGGGGCCCTGACCCCAGCCAGGCAGACCCACAAACTCCACACATCACTGAGGGAGCACTAACTGGCCACAGACACCTCCAGGGCTTTGAGAAGATGGATGAAAATATGAGGAAAACAAAAAAGTGAGATGGTGTAGATTGGTGGGTGAGCTCTACAATGACGCCTATGTTCCAGAGAGCTCAGGCTGGGAACCTGTTTTTATGAAAAAAAGCATGCAGACTGGTGTGCATGTGTGCCTTTTTCAACTACAGAAGAACCAGAAGATTGATTTTTATTCATGAAAGAGAGCAAGATTGTTTTGTCGGAGGCTTTTAATGTGCACCAGACAGATGGGTTCAAGACCACATTCCTCGTTTTTTCTTTTTTCATCTCTATTACTGGCCTCAACTTGGAAGACAAAACAGCAAAAAACCCACATTAGAAGTGATCAATGTGTGAAACCAAACCAATTACCGCTGGAGGATCTCACTCTGTCTCTCCGTCTTTATCTTTCTGCACGTGTGAACATTTCAGGCATCAAATTTACTCCTCTCCTGGGAATCCTAATGACAAAGCTCCTCTTGGAAGTCATCAACAGTAAAGCGGTGGGATCCGTGTACAATTCTGACATGTACGTATGCGCTACAGCACATGCTCGACTTGCCTTCTCCAACACATGGATCACCAGGGAGGGTGACCTGCTATACTCCACATTTCCTCTGCTGGTCCAGAGAAAATTAGGTCAGGAGTTGAAATAGGTTAAAAGGGCTTTTTGGAGAGCGGTACTTTGGTTTCGGATCTCATGGTGATGTAAAGGGAAAACTGGAGGGAGTGAGGTTATAAATTAGCACTCAAAAGAATAAAGAGAGAATATTGTGGCACAGATGTTTGATCAAAACTTCCTGGAAAGTCAATGAAAAAAGTTAATCAAAATCAGGAAGGGGTAAAAAGATCCTTAAAAGTTGAGTGGCTCTAACAACTCTAAAGTTTCCCAAAGTTTCCTGTTGCTCTCTCTCTTTTACCTTGTTAGGTCATTTACTTTGTGTGATTTATCTCTCTGAGTCAGAGATCACATGAAGCATCAAACATTAAAGACCAAAGCCTCCAGAGCTAGTCCAGGCGGGGGTCGTGTTCATGTTTATTACTTACCCAAGGGGGCTAACATCAGTTCTTTGTCACAGACATCTGCCCTTTGCTCTTTGATTTTTTTTCAGAAACAGGAAAGGTCAACAAATAGAAGGTTGGAAAATGAGAGGGCAAGTAGTTAACAGGCTCTAACTGAATAAACATGAGGGGGGTTAACTTCAGATGGAAATGTGGACCCAAATTATGAGGGTCAAGTACACTGTGACTCTTGTTAGTGCGGGTTAATGAAGAAATAACAAAAGAGGTTTCTGGATTAAGTCGACTGAAACACAAAAAGTTAGATCCAAGTTCATGTCAACATTGTTCTTATGAACTGTGAGCAAATAGGCAATAAATTGATGATGTTTTAACTCGGGATAACTAAGAGAAAGGCTGCAAGTTATAAAGAAATAAAAAATCAGACAGAGAGAAAAAGAAGAGGAGGGGGGGAATTAGTTTTATGATCTGCAATATCCTGCCAGAAATTTTACTGGCCGCTTAAGCATGTGTGACCTGCCCTCTCACAGCAGGCCGTTAAATGGTAGTGACCTTGAATTGAGCGCCATGAACCCCGTGGCCATGTAGTATCCCTGAACATGCTGCCCGGGACCCTCATGAACCACAATGCAAACAGTGTGATCTTTCACTTCATCGACATGGGACGGATAAATCAAGCAGCTGCTGGACTTGGCCTAATTTCCACATTGACTGTGGCACACATTTGAGTTTGTTTATATGCTTTGAGTGTGTGAATGTGAGGAGGTCATCAGGCAGATTCATCAATTAACATGGTGTATGCAAACACATGTGGTTTGGATAGGTTTATGGAAATAAAAGCGTTACATGACTGATTAATAACATCCTCGATTAGCCTGAGTCGTAAATTAAGGTGTGAGAAAGTAGAGACCAGTGTACTGTGAGCTTTTGTTGCTCTGTTGTTGACGTACCCCTAAGGATGTAGTTCTGGTAGTTCTGGTCGGCCTCAGCTCCCACTTTAATCAAACACGTGAGTCCTTCTGCCACCACAAACTCGTGCACCAAGTCCTTATCATCCTGGAGAAAGGTCAAGGAGGAAGAGAGGAATGTTTCAAAGCCATTATCCATCATACAGTACACAGAGCCAGGGGATGAACAGTTTAAATAGCTCATTTATCCCAATAATTAATACTCATTTGATGCGCTGGTTCACTCATAAACTACATAACAGTCCACAAAGTTTCATAAATCTTTCACTTCATGAAAGTTGGTTGCAAATCTTGCAGAGCTTTTACTGTCAGGAATGTGTCGTCTAAAGCTCAAAAAACTCATTCCTATCATTCAAAAGAAGTTTTATTAATATGAAATAAAAACAGCTGCAGGAACTTTTTTCACATTTATGATCTATGGTGACCATGATGCTCTGAAAACACTGAGAAATAAATACTCTTTTCTTTGCAACAAGATCAGCAAACATTTTAAGCTGCATAGAATGAAGCATGCTTTACACCTTTGCTGTATTATAATGGAGTCAATGATTAAACATTATTCTAAGCTGAATATATCTTCAATATATTCAATACATTCAGACTGGAGTCAAAACTGACCCTTGTTTGTTTTTTGGTTCATATGTGACTGTGTTTACTTTTTTTAAACCCTTGCCATAGGATGTTTTTATTGTTACTGTCATGCTCAGGGGAGTTTCTTCAGGATTGTAATCAGTTCACACAGAAGTCTGATCAGGATTCTGACAAGGTCACTTGTGGCCTACAATGATGGTATGAGGCTGCTGCTCAGAACTCCTCAGGGCTGTAGCACTGTTTGTAAGTGTTGGTGTACCGACATGCCCTGCAGTGCTTTGTAAGTTAATGTACAGATTTAAGCGTAAAGTTGAGGTGTCTGAAAACAACATCATTTCTGTAATATGCAAACCTCAACGCAGCTCGGTCAGGTTTGTCTCAAGGCTGTGGAGCCACTGGCGCTCATGCCTTTACTAGGTTTTCTTTTTTTTAATCTTCTCATGTTTATTTTGCTGTATGTGTGTATTTTTTTGTGATATAGACCATCCTGTGGGAGGTCTGAAATGAAGTTGAATAATAATAATTATATAAAGTAATGTGAATAGGCAAACAACAAAAAAGGCTTTCTGTGTGAGCGTATTCAGCAGCATATTATTATGACACTGTTTGCCAGGAAAAGTCAACAAATTTCTCTCTGATGAGTTTGATATTCTTCATTTATTCTCTAATCACTCTGTTGTTACAAATTAAGTTTAAGCTACTGTAAGAGCAGGTTTCAGCCTGTTCATTTCACTCCTTCTGTTCTTGGTGACAAAACTGCCTGCACCTCTGACACCTGTCAATGACTCAGCCATGTTAGTATCATATGTACACTCTTCACTTTCACAGTAAACAGAGAAAAAAAATATTATTTAAATCATGTGGACTTTATTTAGAGTAAGAATTATAAAAAATCTTAGTCCAAAATCTTGCAAAGTCAGTCACAATGTATGTGAAGTGAAGTGTACTCATCTATTCTGGGCCTGCATCAACTTCTGTAGCTCTCTTTTCCAAACTAACTGTCGGTTAACCCTCCCCCTTTATGTCTGACTGCCCGCCAGGCCAGCCCAGCCCTGTGTGTGAATTGTGACCAGACCTGAATGCTCCACAGCTGCCACGAAGGCAAACTCTCAGCAGCACAACTCTGCCTCAAGAAAACAATGTTGTGTCCAAGTATGAGTGTGTATGTGGGCACTAACACACGTGTGCATGCTAAATAAAGTCCCTGCATGCTGATTTGTATACATACACGGGCACATCTGAAGCCTCTGTGCATGGCATAGGGCGCTACATATATACTGGCAAAAGCAGCTTTTTGGTCATGAAATTGTGTAATGAAAACAAGAGACATAATTACCTGAAAAATCTGCTTGAGGGAAAAGAGGGCCCTCCGTAGCTCCCGTCCAGTTGAGTTGTACAGTTTTTCTGTGCAGAAGGAAAAAAAGACAGAGGAAAACAATTAACCGACAGTCACACATATACCATAAGTTTATAATACAGTAGGATTTAGAGTGGTTACATAAACAGACATGAGATTCAACCTTCATTAAAGTGCCTTTTTATCGGCCTGTCAGTGTGCTGCTTGCATTATACAAGATGTTTCAAAGATTTACTACAAACGTCTCCTTTGAAATCACTTTCTAATTACTAAGTCATGCAAAAATGACTGGCAGTAATTATCTGAAATGGCTAAATGTGAAAAATACCCTGCATAAAAAAAAGCGAGGGGCAACTCAGAGCACATCTGCAGAGAGTTAGTGAACAGGGGTTGTTTCCTGCTGACAAAGCCGTATCTGTAGCTTAATAATAGCATAATACAGAGTCAGGACAGAAACTCAAGCCAATAGCCACCACAATACACACAAACAATACACACTCGTTAAATCAGAGGCTGAATCCCTGAAGAGTACCGTAGGAGAAATGACAGATGACAGATGCTTGTGATTGAGGCAAACATTTCCTGCAACTGCTTTGACAATCCTTCACCCTGTGTGCGGTCTGCCAGGGAGTGGCAGCATTGAGCACAATCCTTGTGGCTCACTCATCACTGCTGAGTGAACTCTCTCTGACTCAGCAAAAGCTGCTGCAGATACAGTACAGCAGAGTCCAATCCAGTCCAGTGCAGCACTGTTAGGTAATATCACGTTTTCCTTCACTCTCACTCTTTTCTTTTCATTCACCACCAGCTTTTTACTGTTTTGACATGGCCCATAATGGACTTTTACATGTAGTGTCTTGCTTTTAGATTCTATATTAAATCTTAATCAGCATAAATCAGGCATGTACACAAACATACATGCACCCGAGCCAGTTCTGTCTTCCCCTCTCTCTCTCTCACCCACACACTGACACAAACCCTGCATAAAGCACTTTAAATTGTGGCTGAGTTCTGCATCATTGCAGCTGCTGCAGATACAAGAGGATGATTAATCAATGTTGATGCAGGACTGCCTTTATTTAGAACATGAAAGCACCAACATGCAATTTTAGCGAGCAAATAAATGGACACAACACATGAAAATGTTGCCGTTTGACACTGCTCATTCACACAATTACACTTACATATAGTATACATACACACAAAGATAAAGAGCTCCTCTTCTTCACAAACAGCTGACAACTATTTTAGAGCATGTAGTGAGAAACACAAAGTCATGCACCGAGTGTATTTCAGAAATAACGACACAAAGAAGGAAACAAAGGCTGTGTGTGTGTGTGTGTGTGTGTGTGTGTGTGTGTGTGTGTGTGTGTGTGTGTGTGTGTGTGTGTGTGTGTGTGTGTGTGTGTGTGTGTATTGCCAGTCCTGTGGGCACATACAGGCTACTTGTAGACACTGGACCAGACCGTCTGATGTCCTTGGGTGCCATGAAAGTGACAAACAACCTTTTAACGAGTCAAATAAAAGTTCAGAGCCACTCTATAGAGGCCCAGTGAGACAACTATCATGCAACATCATGAAATCCAACCCCTTTGTGAAAACAACAAAACAGTGTTACAGGGAAACTTGTTTACAGGCTATAAAACATCTGAATAATTAACATTTGGGACCACTAAATGACCTTTTAATCGACCTGAACAAGCCAAAGTGTGAGTCGAACCATGGTTCAGTCTTTTTAATAAAGTTGATTGTTTTTTAGGTCACACCATAAATCATTGGGGATGAATCTGTAATGCAGACAGCTTGGGATTAGGCTGTACTATTAGAGTGCTCCCTTATGAAAAGACTGCAAAATGAAATCAAAACCCTTACAATCCAGTTCCAGCTGATGGCTTATCTGCAGAAAATGTTTCACATCTACTTTATGACTCTAATGGTATTTGGTATCACTGGACCAGAGCTTTAAATGTTTGTGTATTCAGCGCCTTACATGGCTTAGAAGCATAATGACTAGTTGAGTGCTGGTCTTTCATGGGAGAGTCCTGGCCAGAACTTGGTGACAACATCCACAAGGGATAAATCTCTACAAGTCTGTAGGTATTAAAAGGGGAAGCTGAGCAATGCTGGTGATTTATGTCTCTATAAAAAGCAGAAAGAAACTCCGACCAGCTGAGGGACTTTTTTAAAAAGTTGTCGCAAAACTGAAATTTAAGGCGACAAAATTTAGAAAAGTTATTTAGATACAAAAATATATACTTAAATGCACCTGGTGCTTTGATGTAGGTTTTGAGGTCAGACAAAATACTATTCAAACATATTCTATTTATGATTTACACAGAGACAAACCTGTACTTCCATTTGATACAGACTGATGTCCAGTTACATAATTATGCAACACAAAAATAGAGCTCAAAGTTGATTCTGTATCATCTAAAAACAGGCCAAACTGTTGTGCCCTCTTCTGCAGGTCAAGATTGGGGCACAGCCTCTGCTTTTATGGAGGTGACTCAGAGTTAAGATTAGGAATCTCTAAACAGACAAGCACTCTGATCACTAGAGCAGAAAGACAGAGAGAGATACTCTGGGTTACTCATCACACCTTCACCCAACAAAGCAAGCTTGATTTGTGTTCCTACTTAAGCCCAGGCCTTGAATCAGTGTGTGCACTTTTTCATCTCAAAGCCTCCACTGCACTTCCTCATGGACTCTGAGAGTTAATCAGTCAACAGATGAATTACATATGGCGCTGCTGAACAACCGACGCTGATTCTGTCCAGATCACTGCACAGCACTACAACGGTGATGCATCAGCACCTGGGCTACCACTGGGTTTAAACAAACCCCAGAGGCTATTTCCTATGTGTGTGTGTGTATGTGAGAGAGAGTGTGTGTAGAAGAGAAATTCCTCCTTGAAAAGAACCAGTGGTTTGTGTGTGTGTGAAAGTCAAGCAACATGCAAAAACTCCAGAAATCTTGCTGAAATGTTCTTGATGATTTGTATGACTGAATGCAAAGGGCCAAATTTTTCACCTCAACTTCAACTGGAATTTCTACAGACAGCTCCTTGGAAAACTTACCACTAGAAGTTAGAACGATGTGAAAATGTAGCTGCTGATATTCTTAAGAAAACTCAACATAAAGGGTCGGGATGCACCGATCCGCTTTTTTCACCTCCAATACCGATACAGATATCTACAGTTTAGTGTCGGCAGATACCGATCCAATTCCGATACAGAAAAGTTGGCTGAATTACCTTTTGTTGTTACCTGAAGTTTTACCACTGCACCTCAGAATGTTCACTGCGCAGGTATTGGCCGTCAAGCTTGTAGACTAGGTATTGCGATAAAGTTAAAAATAACAGACAGCTTTGCTCGCTCCATTTTGCAAACAATGCGGGCATCCGCTCAGCATGTTTACTTGTGAAAGCCACTCACGATCAAGCAAGTATGATCGGGCCCATTGTCAACACCCCATCTAGAATTTTCTTAAAATATCGGGACCATAGACTGTATAAAGAATGGACAGAGTCTGCCTCCTCGCTGGGTGAAGCCACTCCGAGAACAGCACCCCCTGTTGATGGGCTGCAGTATAGGTCATAAATCCCGCCTCCGCCAGCAAAGCTTATGGAGCTGTGGACAAACTTTAGAAATTTATTACACAGAATATAAATTTTTCTCCCCCCTGCTTGTGATGTTGACATGTAGTTACTGTAAGACTGGTTTGTACGGGCGTTGAGGGATTGCGTAGCTCTCTCGGGGGGATACGCTGTTTGAGCCGAGCGTCATCACAGCGACTCTCGGCGACTGTGCGCCCGACTCGCGCATCGCTACTGTGCATCGCTGGTTTCAGGAAATGAAGAAAAATCCTGGAAATACCGAGAGTTATTTGGCTTCAAATCCGTATACAGGCGGTAGGTGGAACCAAGTTGTCCATAGTATAAACAGTCTATGATCAGGACTGATGCCCATATCAAATATTGGATCGGTGCATCCCTAATAAAGGTGGTGATAATCATTCATATCAAGTGATGAGTGCAAACCCAGAAGAGTGACACAGACTGGATTAAATAAAACCACTAAAGGTTGAGGTGGGAGAATCAAGAGTCATAGGCTGCAGTTTTAGGACAGCAATTCTGGGACTACATCACAGCTTAGACTTCAATATGAAAAAACTTCTTTTCTGCATCATGTGGAAAGCCTTTGTCTGGGATTTGAACCCAGAATCATTTCATTAACAGGTGGCAGTTGTTGGTATCATTCTTATTCTTTGTGAGTTGTGCTCATTTTGAAAACAGAGGACTTTTTACATGTGTCCTGTCTCCTGAGAGTCCCCCCATCTCCCCTCCTGCTTTGTCCAAAAAGGAAGATTTGTCTGGGAAATTTCACGACTGCATATGTGATAGAAATTACAATCGAAGTTAATCCTTTTCCAATACTAAATAAAAATGATTAGCATTTTCCTCATCCCTGCTTGCAGTTGACACACAGATGAACCTCCAAGAGGCCCATTTCTAATGAGAAATAGCTCACTGGAGATTAGTTCCAAACCATTTGGCACAAATATGCATCTAAAAGTACAGGTCTTCAGGGTTGCCTGGTTTAGGAAATGAACAGAGGCACTTTTTTAATCAAAGAAATATTTGTGAACCACTATTCTCTAAATTTCTTATCGCAAAAGCCACAAAATCCCTGCAGCAACCTCACAATCCAAAACTAGAAGCTGATTACATTTATCCTGAAAAGCAACATAAAGACAGAAGAGCTGCACAAGGTTTGACGGAGTTAAGTTAATAACACAAACAGCAGCTTAGTAGTTTTCCACAGCCCAACCCTAAGATTATTAAATTAGTACTCAAGAGCCATCAACTATGTAGCACATTACTCTCTACACCACACAAGACACCCTTAAAATTAAAACAATGCGAGAGTGCAGCTGAGGACATCATGTAGTGTGTTTTTTTCCAGCATTTTTTCTCTCCCCTGAGGCTTTTACTGACAAGAACCTGACAGAGAAATGACTCATCAAAGTGAAAGTGTTTCTTTTTTTTAATGTGCCAGGGGGAACAGCTGCTTTCTCGTCTTAAATTGCTACACACGGGCACGTTTTCTCAGCTGGAATAGCTACAGGGATGTAATGGTCTCGTAATTATAACAATCATAAAAAAGTAGTAGCAGAATTTCTATAATCATCAGGAATGTGCTCGACTACCAGGAGTACGGAGAGTGAAGTGAAAACCTGCTGTGAGTCTTGAGTCACTTAGACAGGACTTCATGGATGTTTGTGTTTAGAAGACAACTGGTGTTGTGCCACTCTTGAGGCCCTGTGATTCTTTGGCAGCGCCTGCACATTTCAGTAATGCTGCAACATGTCAGTCACGGCTCTATTTATTAATCTCTGCATGCCAATCCCAAATGCAACACCAGACACCACCTATCAAGTTATCAAAATGAGTTTGCAAATCAAGAATTTTCCACCTGCAAACATGTCTTACATGCTCAGTTTATCCTCTGTGCCAATGCTTGGGCATTTGTCTCCAGAAAGTGCCATAAAGTGAAAAGGATGACCATCTCTGCTCACGCTTTACGCATCAGGTGTATCACATAAACCACATCCAAATCAGAGCCAGCAAAACACACAAGACCCCACTAGGCAAGACCAACCTTCAAGCCTGGCTGTAAATGAAACTCTGTTTGCATTTGGGAGTGGAGCTGTCAGATAAGAAGCTGTAGAGGAGGATCCCTGGTACCCTATAGATGATGTAGATACAATCTGCAGCTATAAGATGTGGAGGTGATACAGTTGAAAAGACTTGAGTATGGTGTGAGTCCAATAATATGTACTGTGATGGACATAAAGCAAAGCAATAAAAGAAGAATCACACGCACGAGTAACCATACGTACGCGAACACCCATCTGTTTTCACAGTTTCTTAATCTTATCTTTTCTGTCATGCCCACAAAACCATCTCACTGACTTTGAACTAAGAAAGATCACAAGTATGCAGGAGCATAAATCCGTCAACACTGACTCAGCCAACCCTTCATGTCCTGTATTGGTATTAAAGATGTGGTTTGCAGGAATACAAAAGTATAAACATAAACATGAGGAGCCCCTTTGAAATCATCTTTGCACATCTCCAACTATAAGCAGTGGTCTGTGAAGCCTGTTTTTTTTAACTCCCTTTTAGCCAACAACTGATGAATAGCTAGGGCACAAAGTTTGCAGGTGTAGTTTTCATTTTGTCATCGATCAATCATAAGTGTATTTTGGGGGTAGCATGAATCAAACAAAGCCATAGATTTAAGCATTTTTGCCAAACAAGCTGCTCATGAAATGCATTTGCATTCATTTAATTTTCATGCTTTTATTTTGACAGCTTACATGTAGAGCTTAATAAGCTATAAAGTACTGTGATGAGCAGATTACAGCAATTCCACTGCAGCAGCCAGAAAAAGAGACATTTGATGTTAGGGGTGTCTGGATACAACCTTTTTACCTCCGATACGATACCGATATTGTAGCCTTCAATATTGTCCGACACCGATATTGATCCGATACACAAACTTGTGCATGATAAGTTATGCACTCAGCTGCAACGTCTTTTTCAGACTTTAATAAAAAATACTGCCACATGGCCGACATCACTCCTACTCCTTGGTAGTACCTTAGTACACACTGTTGTTGTGATCACATGGGTTCTACATGCTGGATCCGGGTGCTGCTAGATAGAGGTGCTGGAGCTGAGTCTGGAATGGACTACTTGTATCGGAATGCTGATATCAGAGATTTTAGATGCAGACTTATATAATCTGATATTTGATTTTTTGGACCAATATCCGATATCAATATCATAAGGTGATGTCCAAGTGAACATCAAGAGAGCCATTATGTCCATTTACTCACAATCAGGCACAACTGAACATTTTCAAAAGCCTCAAATGGAGACACTAATGGTGCAGTTCTGTCTTGAGGCAGCAGTGCCTTTGGCCAACAGTTTTGATGGGCACATTATCCAGACAGATGATCTGTCTAATCAGGCGCTTGAATCGTCTAATCCACCCTTAAAAAAACCATCAACACTCCAAAACCTTGGTTAAATATCACTGCTTTTTAGAAAATACACCAAAAAGTTATCGCAGGGGGAGAGGACAGGCTTTTGGTATCTGGGATATGTGTATCTAGTTTACCAAGTGATTAATAACCTGCATCCTCACTGGTCACACACACACACACACACACACACACACACACACACACACACACACACACACACACACACACACACACACACACACACACACACAAAACACCAAAGGAAATATAAACTATTAAGTTACAATCTAATCAATCAAATGAAATTAAAGCTGGGCAGAAATAAAGGTCAGTTTGGGTTGTGAAGTTCTGGTCAGGGTAAAGCTGAACCTTAGGAGTGGACTCCTGTCCCAAACCCTTGCCCAGCCCATTTCTACATTTAGCTTGTCCTCAGAGAGTCCTGAAGACACCTCAGTGGTCAGACTGCGCTCAGGCTAACTGTCTGGGAAGACCACAGTCTTGTGTGAGCCAACAGCGCCACATCAGTACCAGACATGCTTCAGGGTAACCGGACCCATCTTTCATTTCTGTCTTCTGGTATTTTCATGAGAAACTCTTGGGTTTACATTATGCGTAATGACCCTCTGGGTCACATAACACAGCAGTAATAACAACATCGACATTGCCTCCTCATTTTTTCCTTTTCCCCTTTTCTCACTTTGTAAGCCAAACCTCCTCTTCCAAAATTTACAAAGACAAAAATCCAAGTAATTAAGGTGGAAGACCTCCCACCATGTGCACCGGCTTGTAACATGCTACTTTGTGGACTGAGATTATTTCCTCCCTTTTATCCCTTTCTCCCTGAATGAAAGCACAAGGTGAATGATGGGTCAATAAAAGCAGATTATAGCACTCAGGTGGAAATCGTTAAATGGGAATGCAGGTATCAGACCGAGATCACTTTCAACGTGTTTGGGTTGGAGTGCAACCGAAGAGTGGATCGAGACAATTATATGGGCAATGTGTTTGTGTGTGCGCATTTCTGTGTAGGCCTACATTAATGTACACTACAGAAGTATGCATGCACACACTCATACAGACAGTTTATAAAGTGCACAGAGAAGCAGGCATTAATTAATTTGTTCCTGTAGCCTTGAGTTTATTCAAATGCTTTGAGAGTTGTGATGGAAGACACATGGGGAGGATGGTTTAGATTAGGAGAAAACTAAGTCGGGCCACACAGAGTAAAGAAGCCTCTGTCTTTGGGAGCAGGCCTCACGAGGAGGGAGGCCTTGATGGACCCAGGGGGTGTGAAGGTCTCGTAGCAGACACACAGCAAAGGCCTGGGACAAGATCAAAATCAACCAAATATCTAATGACACCTGCTTTGAATCGCTGTAAAGCACTCTTGGTTTAGGCTTGTTTGAAATGTGCCTATAAAAACTGGATTGAATTAGGTTGGGTTAGTCTGGAGAAAAGAGCAGTGTTAACATACAAGGGATAATTTAAGAACAAAAAGTCAGATGAGCGCTGCCTTTGTGGGAGTTTTCCCAGCAACAGAAAGAACTGCTGCATCAGGAGTTTTCATAAAAGAGGTTTGCAATATAAAATGTCTGGAAACCTTTTAAAGATCCTTTTAAGACTTTGCTTGAACTCAGTAATAAACCTTGTTTATTCTTCTCTGTGTGATTTCCCTCTTTTCCTCTTGTACCTGGACTTCCCGTTGATATCGTGGGGAGAGAGTATTTTGTAAAGTCTCACGGGAGCAGCGAGGAGATCAGGTTTCTGTGCTGTGACACTCTATCCTGGCAGGGACATTTGATACACATGCATACCACAGCCTAGTTCCAGTAAACACAAAACCTGCCTCACAGAGCTTAACAGCACTCATTGTTCCTGAGTGGAAATTGGATTGATTTGTTTATTGATATGTTTACAAAGGCTTTTAACTGAAAGTTTATGTTTTTGTCAATCACTGTAAGTCTTTTGGAAAACACAAGTGGCACCATTTGTCAATTTTCTAGGTGAAACTCGGGAGGGTGATCCTTCTGTTAGGCATGATACGCCTTTTCATTAGAGGTTGCACATGTTCTGCAGAGCACGTAAAGGGCATCGCAGGCTAATTATCTCTTCTGTTCAATAAACTGTATGTTAACCAGCCGTCAAGATGCTATCTGATGCTGTCAAAGAGAAACAGCAGAGGAAGGCGAGGGTGGAATCTGCAGAATTCCTGATGAGGAGAGAGACATGACAGGAAGGCCAACGTGAGGACAGACAAATCTTTCATTAGTGCCTGCTTGTCTAATGAGTCATTCCTTGGCTACCAGGTGAGGTGACCCTCACTAACCCCCCCAATAAACATCCCCCTTTCTTCTCTCTACTTTTTTGTAGCCCACTGCCCCCTTTCACCTCCTCAGCGGGGTTTCCCCTCGCTCGCCAACACTGACATAGATAGGTATTGGAGCGGAGCGCGGAGTAAAGGCATGCACTCATTCAGCAGACCAGACAAAAGCTTGACACAGATATAAACTGGGGGATCGACAATTGAAGTGGGTCTGTTTAGGGGTGGTGGCAAAGACAGCTTTAATACAGTTAAAACAAGTCACCATGAAGTTATTGTAACTGGTCATTAGCATTATGTCTCGGCTCTTTGAATGATCCCTTTTGGAAGAAAGTTGGGTCAAGGCCTTTTCCCATGTGTTGCTTGGCAGCTCCTTCGTCCAAACAGATCTTCTCACTGCAGTAAAAACCAAGCCATGTTTATAGGACCAGATGCTTTAAGAGTATAATTTAAAATATCACACCATATACTTCCCTTATATCACGTGTGTGTGCAAGGTCCTTTTTTTAATTTAACGGTTTTGATCTTTTTTTCCATAAAAGAGACAACTCTGCAAAACCGAGTGCTTTTCTCATTGTCGACTTTATGATCCTGAAAATCAGAAACATTTTATTTTATGTTCTGCAACTAAATGAGAATCTTGAGAAGAGTTTTTTTTTTTTTTTTGTCTTTAAAAAAGAAAGGCTGGAAAATATTCTCAACAACGACCTCAGTGACTCTCTCCTAACCTGCGTCTTCCCCCTCACTGTCTCTCACTCCTCTTGGCTGTCTCTCTGCTCTCTGTGACTTGCTCCTCTCCTTCTTGTTCTTAACAACCTGACACGAGAGGAAACGCACCAGTGCAAACTCTGTCCAATAAACACAGTTGTGCTGAGACCACATCTATTTCAGACCCCGCTCCAGGAAAAAGAAGCTGACCGATGTGGAAGCACACACATCTGTCGCAGCTCACCATTTTATTTCCACGCTGGCCGCACTGTGACCGTAGGTAGAGGAAAGAGAGGGTAAAAATCTCTCTAACAGCTGGAAACAACTGCAGCCTTCCTCCAATTTCTGTCTTTAACCCTGCCAGGACAAATGTGTTGCTCTTTTTCCCAGTGAGGAAGAGAAGGACCTTTGGCACCTGTCTGTCAGTGGCTTAAGTAAGGGCATAATCTAGTTAACCTGACATCCAGTCTCATAAGCAGCTCCCTGTCATCAGTGCTGCTCACAACCCATATTAACCCCAGGTAATTACTTCCACCAGTCTGACAGACAGACACGCACTCAGACATCTGACAGTGAAGAGACAAATCTAATGTTTTAAATTTAAAAAGCATTACTGTCATGTTAAACTGTAAATGTATCGACAACTTCGGGCTGGGCGATATGGGAAAAAGTTAATCACAATATATATTTTTTTTATATCAGTCGATATCGATATATATCTAGATATAAAAATGAAACTTAACAGTGCGTATTGGTAGTATGTCTTTTGCAATACAATAAGCTGTATCTATGAGGTCTTTGTGTCTCTTCAACGTTTTGTCATTAGGCGTTGCGCTAGAGAACCACATGATTGGTTCAGCGCAAAGCAGACCGGAGCAACTTCCCTTTTCATTGGCTATTTGTGTAGTCCACCAAAACATGGTGGAATGCCAACTATCAAAAAGCATACTGACCGTGTTTTATATTGATATTGAGGGACATTATCTTTCATATATATAGTTATTGTTTTATTGCCCAGCCTTACTTCAACTATGGGATGTTATTCTTAAACAGCCTGTGGCCTATTTAGAAATGCACAATGGAGACCTCCACCTAATCATGAAGCTGCTTTTCCTAATCCAAAAAAACCTTTCTCACTACAGTTGCATGGTTCTTACAGAAAATAAATCAAAATATTACATAAATATGTTGCAACAGGGAAGATATTATATAAAATCTTGATTAATTGGGTCTAACCATAATTTAGCAGGTAGTTCACTGAGCACAGCACTGCACAAGTATGGACAGGGTTATGAGGAGAGAAAAAAACAAAGGCCAAGCTCTCTTTCTCTCTCTCTCTCTCTCTTCCCAGCATTTCTTCAACACAACTCATTTCTTGGCTTTGTACAACTCAGTCCATTATCTTTGAACCAGATTCACAATCAGACTGGCACAGACCTTACCTTCAGTACAATCATCAAACAAGCTAGCGCATGAGTTTGTTTTTATAGTGTGTGCAATCTTTCCCTCTTGGATCTGGCCTTTAGAGTCTTCAAAGAAAGTCATTTGTCCATGGAGGACGATCCATGAGGAATGAGCTTTATCAAAACGCTGTCCGACTTGAAAAGATAAGGGTGGACATAAAATGATATACTCTGTGGAGATCTATGATCATGAGTACCAGTTACCATGACTATCCTGTCCTCGCATGATCGCTCTGTCATGTCAGATTGTTGCACCTTGGCACCAGCTCTGCCATGCCAGGCTGGATGTGAGGTGTGAGCCGACTGCTGACGGGGGTCAGAACTCAGTAAAGGGTCAAGTCAGCACTATTACTGACATCCAAAGGGGTGAGATAAAATAGACTTCCATGAAAGTTGTAATTAGAGCAACATGATCTGACTTTAAAAAAAAAGACTAATCCAGATTATTTTAAGACGATGGATGCACATAACAGAGCTTGTATCCCATGGATTCTTCTGGGTCAGAGAAGATTGTTTCATCCTGAATCGATAATTACCTCTGCTGTCGAGGAGGTGTTTTGTTTGTATGACCTCCTGTAGACTCCAAGTTGTCCCTGAAATGAATATGATCCATGCTTGGCACAGACAGTCAAAGACCTGTTTTGTCCTCTGGGGCCAAATTGTTTGCCCAACTGGAACAAACTCCCAATCAACATGACTGACTGCTTTCTCTTCAAAATCCCACTTCACAATGCCAAAACACTTGACATGTTCACTGTTATACTGGATCATGTCAGAGCGGGTAGATAAGGATTTATTATGTGCTTGGTAAGCCCAGAGAGTAAAACCCATGACGGCTTGTTGGCATTATAAAAGGTTTTGATTGAGTTCCTTCAGCAAGTCAACTTGTACAAACTGATGGTGGATACCAGATAAAATGTGCCTTCATCATTTACTTCCACCCCTGGCATGGAAAAGTGGTTTCTGTGGTAGTTTTCCACAGCTACAATTTGAAACAACAATAAGCACCACCACCAACCACCATCAGAGTCAAGAAAGAGAAAACAACGCTTGACTCTTTTTACTATTCTGTGCCAAAACATAAATTTCACTATCTCAAATGAATCTAAATCTAACTCTATTCACATGTACTCTGATTTATTTGGGCTGCTCTGAATAGATTCATTACCAGAGATGTTGCATTCCCATTTTTTCTTCCTGATACCAGCTTTGACAACTTGATTTGAGCAAAGGCCAATGTAGAAAATGTACTCAGTAGCCACATTTACACGGCAACTGAGTTTTCTTGAGGGATTGGATAATCTCAATCCACAGTTGATATGGGTGCAAAATCAAATACTCTGATCATCACATCACGATCATCACATGCACCAAGCTCTATTCAGATTAGTAGCATTTGGACATGCACAGATTTGTTTGATTTCGCTAAAACAACTGCCGAAGAAGAGTTGTATTTACGCCTGTGCTGTCAACAAACCAACAAACATGGTAGTGGCTCACTCCATCCAATTCAGGAGTTTTCTTCCCGTTAAATGTTGGCGCCCTTGCGTACTTATTTTACTGTTCTGTCAAAGGTTGCACTGTGCATGTAGATGTGCTGTGTCCTTCAGAATAAACGTTTACATGGACGCGTTTCAGAATAACGATCGGCATTAACCACTCCTCTCAATCGGAATACAATTTCTTTCCGATTGAGCCAAATTGGGTCAGAATCTTCTGATCGATCTGTTTAAATGATCCAATCAGGCATTTATTCCAATTATTTGTGCCAATGTAAATGCAGCTTTTGTTGAAGGAAAAAACAGTAGCTCTATCAACACTGCCAGCTCAAGGTAGGACCTAAATGCTGCTGCGATGTCTTATTTTTATGTAAGTGTCGCAGAGGTGTAATGGTAGAGTGGAGTGTCCCACCTTTGACCCAGAAAAAAAGGGAAAGGAAATAACTGCACTCCAAATACACTGCGCCAAAAAGTGACAAAAATGTCTACATACTGAGATAAATGAAAAAAAAAAAACAGCTCTCTTTTAAATAAGAGAAAATAATCAAAACAATACATGCTCACAGTGAACAGGAATGCAGGGCAAACATTTCAGTCCTCAGCTATCATCAGCGCTACACTGAATCACAAAACGGTGCATCAATATTACACTTTTATGCGATTAGCATAGAAGTACAAAGAAGTATCAACAGTTGAGTTTTGTAACAGCTCTGGTGGATCGTGGATTGGCACTGTAACAACTACTATTAAGTGAAGACAGTGACGCTCTGACTAAGGCTTTAGGAGTTCTGCGTTGACTCTGAGCATACTCTGGATTGAATTGGGCTTTTCTCAGAGAGGCTCTGAAGCACTTAGTCACTTAGCAGACTCATAACTCATGTTGTGATGAAGGGAGATACAGAGTGTCTCCACAAATAGGAGATAGAACGCCATAATAACCATTTGTCATGAATGTGAATGTCATATGTGATATCATGCTACTCTTGGAAAATCAACATATCAATGACTGGTACGGTGCAGTTAGACTCCTTGTCTACATTTTTCAGAAGAAGGCTAAGCCTTTTCATCACTCATCCATCAAGTAAAGATGTCTGCTGAGTTTACCAAAAAGTGTTGTTCCACTGTGATAGGAAACTGAACCTTTCTACTACGTCTCAAAGGTTTTAATGGTGAAATAAAAATATCACTGAGTCACAAAATATGAAAGAGATTAAGATCACGGGGTGACATCTTGTCTCTTGATTGTAAACAGTGGAAGTAAGTGCTGCGCTGTACTTTTATTTTGAGCATCTGTACTTTAGTATTAGTTTTGGGGAAGAGCAGTACTCTTATGCCGCTATTTAAAAGACAAATATCATACTTTTCAATCATCTACATTTCTGTGAATCTTTTCAGTTTCTCCTTCTTTTGCTCTGAAGTCAGCTGACATTTTTTTGTCTTATACAACAATGTTTCTGAGATTATTTTAAATAATAGTTATAGTTAGTTGTGGAGGAGAACCTAAATTACAAAAAAGAAAAAGAAAAAAAAAACAAGTGAATCATCTAGCATTTCAGAGAAGAGCTCAATTTAAAGCAGGAAGAAACTGGAATCTTGTGTTTCATTTATTAGGTTCTCAGTCTGACAGCCTAACTAATGTCTTCCCAGAATGAGACATCTGTGGAAATATGCATGCTTGGAAAATTAAGCAAGCCCCATATCTCCAGTTCAAAACAAAGGAGAAAATCACTGCCTCAGTGACAAGTGAGATGAGAGAAAGTCTGCTTCACCACAACAGCTGCCCACTTTAAAGAGAGACATACCTGGCTTTCAGCAAACATGCCCAAGCAGTATAAATCACAGAAAGAGATTTTTGAGACCGTCATTAGGAGCCAGTCATGCATCCCTGTAGCATGACGCTGTCAAGGTGGGAAGGGACTGGCTGGCACACCTACAGAGCCCACAACTTCTGATAAAGAGGCGTCTTGGCTCACTGTACCACAGAGGATCAGCCTCGTTTTTGGCAAGACAGAATGTAAAGTGTTCTCTTACCTTATTTGGCCAAAGCCAGTGTGCATATCAAAGTTTGTAACGGGGAAAAAAGGGAGATAGAGCAAAGGTTGTGATTCAAAGCTATAGAGAAAGGTCTACAAAAAAGCCTTTGAGTAGTGAAAGATATTTGTGGTATGAGGATGACAAAAGATGTGCCCCAACCCAACTCTCACATTTTGTAGGGAGGAACCACATGCCATGGGATTCAGAGACTCTAGAAAAGTTTTATTTTGAAGGAGAGGAATGAAGTAAATGTATGGCACCTCTTGTCGATTCAAGTGGGAGAGTCAATCAAAGAAGACTAACATCCCAGTTATTTACACTCACATTTAAAGACGTAACTATAAACAATGCTTTTAGTTAAACCCTGGAAATACAAATAAACATATTACACCCATACAAACATCTGAGACATAGATGTTTTAGATGTGCAACTGTAACTACGATGGCAACTACAACTACAGTACACACAGTTTTACTTCATAACTGAGTTGCATAAAAAAAGGTGTTTTTGCCATCCTGATCCCTAGAGGTCTCTCTGGTGTTTTTCCGAGCTTCAGCATGTTTGCATGAAAAGTGGAGTTAGCAGATTTCAACAGGGCAGGAGGCCGGTGTAATAAAGGCGGAGAAAAAAATCAGAGAAGGACCTTGCTCAGGGCGCAGCAGGGGGTGAGATTTACGCATGGCTGAATCTACATCTGTGGAGACACAAATGAGGGAATAAAACCCCTCCACGTCTGTCACCACCACATCGCAGTGTTAGTATTTTACCCTCGTCCTCTTCAACACAGGCAGGCTGGAGATCACAGATCTGTAAAGATTTTTACAGTTAATACATGTTTTATAGGCTGTATCTTTATATTTAGTTTACATTCATAATTCCTGGATTAAATTAGATTCAGTGGGTGGGTTTTGATGCCAGTTTGCTTTGAGGTATACAGCAAAATTCCTTCATTTACACAAAAGTGTTGAAATGTAGGTTGTAGGTTGTGAAGGTCATTCCCCAAAATAAAAGAAAAAATCATTTAAAACTCTTTAAAAAAAACTTGGCTCAGATACCCGAAAAAGCTGCCTAGTTTGGACCCTCTTACATGGCGCATGACCACACATACTGCTGCAGTATGGTTTGCATGAGAAGGAGGGTGTAGTCCTGATGCCTTCCAAAACAGACCATTTCATAGTTGAAATAAAGGATTTTTTTCCCTCTCTGTCTCACTGCAGGCTTGTTGTACAGAGACCAAAGTGGACTGTAAATCTTATAACTCACCTCATTTGTCTTTCATCTTGATTGACAGTGGCCTACTTGTAAAATAAGCCAGATTTGAGAGCCAAACCTTGACAATAACACACTATTTATGACTTCACACAAGCCGTATATATGCCTGTTCATCTACCCCCCACCTCCTAAAGAAGGCATAAAAAAATGAGTTCAGGGGGGTGGGGGATTTGCTTTCTGGGTCTGCATGAGACAGGTTTGCAACAGCCCTGCGTGATCACACTGTAACAAGTTCAGACACCTTGGTCTAACACTCTGGTAACAGATTCAGGGGGTTTGATGTTTTAAAATTAAACTACTCTATCCCTCTGGTACACAGGCCTCCCCTGCACCCCTCCTATACCTCCACCCAGTCTTGACCCCGTGCCAACTTCACCAAAACCTTTTCAAGTGCACCTGGTAGTGGTTAGGCTCAATCACAGTGTATAGCTCTGGAGCTCTGCTGTAGATGACAGGAGGAACGTGACAGAAAAGGTGCCCTCATTAACACATCAACGCTGAAAACTGTATTAGAGAGTGTAGCGAGATGTGTGTAAAAGGGTGAGCTTATTAAAAAATGTGGCATTTTATTCAACAACTTTATGTGTTTGTTTGTTTGAGCGTTTGAAAGTTTCAAAGTGTCACCCGCCTTAGACATCTATCTATTGTTTTTTTTAACGTTTTGAAGAGCAAAACAGCTGAAATTGTGAGAAATGATTGTCCTTCAATAGGCTTGACCCACATTGAGGAGACTGTTTATTTTAACAGGTATGAAAAAGAGAGCAGGAGGAGTCATGTTTTATAGTTGGAGTTCTCGTAAAATATTTCCACACCTGTTGAGGGGCGTTTAATAGTTTATGAACTTCAGCATGGGTTTGTGTGTGCATGCTGAATCAGAGTCCTAGTTTCATGTTTACCAGCCTTACAAGACTATGATCCTCGAGTTCAGTCTGCACAAATGTGTTCATGTTCTCCAAAAGTCATCTCCTCTCTCAGGGCTGCAGTGGGTGTCTGCTTGGCTCTGATTGGGTTCAGATAAAAGTGGAACTTTGGAAATGTTGAACCACGCCAGCTGGATTCCATAAAGGCCCCAAAAGCAGCATTTGCACTGTGTAAAAGCCATGGGATCTAACCGACGCACAACATAACCTCTCTATATTCTAAATATTACATGATTAGAAAGCGGGAAGGCCCGATAAGTAGAGCAGAATATACCACACAATTACAGAGCTACAAACACAAGCTGTGTTTGGACTGAGAACAATGGCGGCTTATAAATGACCACCATGATTTTCATTGTATTTAAGTATGAGGAGGAAGAAAGAACACACTTTGTCCAATGACTAAAACAAACACTGAAACATGCCTAATGGCATCCAGAGGGGGAAGCAGACATTTTTGTTTACAATGTCTTTGTAATGGCTGTTCTATTCTATTTGGTCTCCTTCAAGTGGGCTCTTGTTGATGCATCTCATCATGAGTGGATACGTTTGATCATGAGTGGATATGTTTGATCATGAATGGGGGAAATTGGTTAAATTTTTGTTTTTTAATACTGTTCTTTCCATGATCTGACAGAGTAATGTTTTAATAACCCTACTGTAGTACCACTGGCTTACACAAGATGTAGACTTGCTCAATTTAATGCTGTCAACGTTTTTGATGAAGGTGTTTCTTTTTTACTTATTTTTGCTGCACCTCACTGAGTGAGTAATCAGTGTGGCCATGTGGGAGCGCAATGTCTTTAACCGTGTGGCTGGAGAAATTCAGACATGATTCAGACAAACACTGTTTTTCAAACCATGGCAGCAGATGTTTGTTTTTGCTGAATGGGTCTGTGTGTGGGTGGTTTCCGGAGATTTTAGGACCAGCCTCAAGTGGACACATGAGGAATTGCAGTTTTTTGTTCAAATACATTTATCAAAATCAGAGGCTGCTGCTTGCAAAGCTCTGAAGAATTTTTTAAAAGCACATGTTTTCGGTTGTATTTGGGTAAGATTGTTTAACATATTGAGCATGGATTAATTTTCTGTCTTGGACTTCTGTACTTATTTTTATTTTATTGTTACTACTTAGTCTTATTGTCATAAGACTGTATCTTGTTTTTGAGGTTTTTTGTTTTTTTTCTTTTGACTGTTTTTTTTTTTGGTTTGTTTGTTTTAGTTTGGTCTTGTAAAAAAAAAATAAAACTCATTAAAAGTTGAATCTTAAAAAAAAGCAAATGTTTTCCCTCTAGAGAAGCAGGTTCCTGCCACTGGCTTTTCCGCTTCAAACAGCGACCTTTGACCCCTGATATTAACAGCTCCAGAAGCCAAGCTGCCTCATCGAGAACGGATCGTCTCCTTTAGGAAAACATACTATGTTTGAGGATCCACAGGAGGGAAGCCCGGTCTAACCCAAAGCAACAGTCTGTCATTAGTTACCCATCATGTCAGCGAAATCTCAGCCCCCACATCTTATCCTCAGCACTTACTTAACAGAAATGATTTCAAAAAATAGAGTTGGCCAAGACAGTCAGAGCATTGCCTCAGCAGAAAACTAACAAAACAAGTAATCAAAAGACCACCAGACTTCAGTTCTTTAGCTTTTTTTTTTTTGCCCCGTAATCAAATCCCAAACTTGAACTACATACTCAGCAGTCACTGAGGTGCAACATCATGTCAGCCTAGAGTTTAGAAACAATTCAGGTGTTAAGAATAGCTTTATTTTGAAAGGTCAAAGACTTAAAATCTGATCTGAAACAGGAGATGGGTCACCGGCATTCTTCAGACGGCTCGGTTTTAAATTTGAGAAAGTCATGTCGGAAGGCTGACTTACATATGTCCCCTTTTACCATGTAGCCTGAATGCAATCAACATGAGGACTGCAGATCATGCCGCGCATTAAAACTGTATTTCCGTCATGCTGTGCTCAGATACCATGACATTTCTGAATGGTTAACCCTTGACCTGGAAAACGTGTTTTTTTACCCTTTCATCCCACAGTTGACATGGCTTCCTGAAGCCACAAACTGTCTCTTCATCTTAGACTTTCCCTGAAACACACAGTTACATAAATATAAAGAAATCTGTCTCTTCTGCTGTCCATGTCAAAATATGTATAATTGCACCAGAGTGAACACTTTGTGTTTGCATTGCGGGAGAGCAAGTCTATACTTAACATGTTGTTTTTAGCTAGTCTTAATGTCTTCCATGTCTGGGCCCATTTGTCTCTGGCTTGACTGGGCCACATCAGTGGGGAGTGAGGAGGAGAAAAGTGAAGTCTGCATGTGTGTGATGTGTGTGACAGCTGTAGGCCTGGTTCACAGGGCCGCTGTGGTCCACTCTGTGACACCAGCCAACAAACCCTCAACTGTAATTAGTAGATCTACGGTGAAGTTTTTATTTTAACCAAGTGTGTTTGCTGCTCAGTCCCTCTATTCTTGTAAGCATAAGATATGAACACAAAAGCTCGCAGTGAGAAGCAGAAAACATTAATTTCACTGTATGCTCCTGTAGAAGTTTAAAGATGTCTACATGTGAAAAAAGATTGCAGGAAGAAAGGCAGACTAGATGAGGCTGGTTTGGTGGGCTGGAAGTGCTCACAGGAGTCAGAGGTGATACACGTCAGTCTGTTTGACAGTGAGTTCTGACTGAGACCTCCAACTGTTTATCCAAACTTCCCAGCAGAGAGCTGGTGGAGGTGAATGTCTGATCCCTGGAGCTTCGTTTCCCCTGCTTCCTCCTCCTCTGTTTACTCAGAGTGGGAAATTAATCTAAAAAACCTATCACTAAATGTCAGGGTGCTGTTCTGGTGCAATCATTATCATGCAGATTTATTGTATTCAACACACTCTGCCTATCCAAACACTGGTTATCATGTATTCAATATTATGAATTATGTGTTTCAAATGTAATCCATTTGTTTTATGCCTGCTCAGCTTGTTGATGGTTGACTTGGGCTTGAGTGTATCCCTGAATAAAGTTGGCCAGAAGCAGTAAAACCATGAGCTGTGGACAAGAACTGGAAGCCGCCTCTTGGTTTCAAAAAAGGAATTCAAAGCTAAAGTGCTTTAAGTCTGCTTTTTTTCTGATTGTCAGCATGGGGCAACCATGGGGCGAAAAGGTCAGATTGTGCCCAACCAAATGAAAGAAAACCCTTTCACTTCAGTAAACATTTCCCTTATCATGTTATGGCTGTCATTCTTCGCCTCAGGCTTTCCTATTTACAGGATGATTGGAAATTCCTTACTAATACAATGAGAATTTGATTTAAAGAGACAATGAAGTAGTATGCTATAGAGAGAAGCTACCTTTGATTTACAACCTGCTTCATCAGTCAACCAGAACAGATATGTGGTAACATCTGAAGTCAAAAATCTTTCCTTACAATATCAAAACCCAAATTGGTAATAGATTAAATAAGGAACACACATTTATAACAAACTACAGCTATAATCATAGACCCTATATAAAAGCCACCCCGAGAACAGCACACCCTGGTGACAGGCTGCAGTATAGGTCATAAATCCCACCTCCTCCAGCAAACCTTATGGGGCTGTGGACAAACAAATTTTTATTAGTTATTGGGGGTTCATGTTTTCTGTTATTGACTCCTGATACAGCCTATGGGCATACGAAGATTGCGTAGCACACTTGGGGGATCTGCTGTTTGAGCTGAGCGTCTTCACAGCGACTCTCGGCAACTCTCCCGCTGAGTGCGTACAATGCTACTGCATAAGGGGTGGAGTGCGTACAACGCTACTGCATAATGTTGGTTTCAGGAAGTGGAGAAAAAACGCAGAATTACTGAGAGCTTTTCGGCTTCAAATCCATATACTGGCGGAAGGCAGAACCAAGTTGTCCATATTATAAACAGTCTATGGGTATAATATACTTTCGACAAAGTGAGCTTGTTCAAGAGATTAAAAGGATGGTGAAATCAGGCAGTACAAAAAAGCTACACCTACACACAGAAAGTACACAATGCTGACTGGTAAGTATTTTTGCAGGAGCACAGTTAAAACTTCTTTTCTCTATTATTCTGGATTTAACTGTTTATAACTGGAGTAGTTTTTTTATCATCTATTTTCCGGTTAGCACAATTTTATTCATAAAAACAGCAGAAAATAAACAGTTTTATATAAAGTTACCTTACAATTCTACACATCCCACACATTGGCTGGCGAAATGCACTCCTCTATTAAACACAAACAAAAATAAAAAGAGCAACCTCAACAATAGTAAAAACAGCCACATTGCCAATGTGGCTATTTCAGAGGAGGAGGACCATTGCAATGAGCATTTCATGTACTACAAGCATTGGAAGTGGAGAAAAAAAGTCTTTGAGTTGTGATTGCACAACAAAAGTAGCCTGAAAAGTTGTGATAGCATAAAAGATGTAATTCAAGAAGACGAAGCAGCAGACATTTGAGAACAGCAGAAAGTTTACTAGACATAATCCAAAGCCTTAAAAAATGGACAGCAGACCACTAAAGTTCTGGCACTTGATGACCAACCTGTTTCTATGGCAGATGAACAAGGATTTCACCATCCATTGGCCCATTTTACACCCAGTTACCCCCAAGTAGCTGCTACATGACATTTGTATCCTTACCTGATCCCTGAACATGCTCACAGACTCATCAACAAAAGCCACCATAACATCAGTTTACCCCTTCTGACACCAGTCCAGTGGTTTTGCTTAGTTTGACAGTGCAGTGGCTGGATATAGACTTCAACATGGCTCACATTCTCTGCCAAGTCGCACACTTCAACTTTTGAAAACTACGTGTTGAACTCGTTTACTTGTCTGAATTGTTTGTTAAATTCGTCATTAGTAACTAAGTTATCAGGGACGCCATAGTATAGAGGCTGCTTTGTTGAAGTATAAAGTTCAGTTAGAATGAGCATATATGAATTTATGTCCGTCTTTGCTGACTTCAAGAAAATTCACATTGTGTTGTCTTTAGCTAAAACCCAAACTGGAGGCATCAAAATGTGAATACGTGGTAGCACTGTTGACAGCATGGTGGCAATGTGAATTTCATCCATCAGCTGACAATGTTTACATTTTCTAGATGCCCTCCATCACTAATTTTTGTAATTGCTATCAGTTGAATATCTAGGGAGAAACATCTGGAGATTCTGTGTCATTAAAAAATATTGGCATAATCCGGAACAACGTCAAACATGTCTGACAAACACATGAACACTGATACCTCACATCAGCCCAAGTTCATCATTCAGAGATCTTAACCTGGATGTAATGCTGTTTTGTGGAGCATTTACTTCACTTTCTATAACTCAGGTGATATATTTGTCTAATTTGTCGGCTTTTTTTAACTGTTGTGTGTATGACTGAACCATTGAGTCACTGTAATAGCCCAAAACACGACCAACAGAAAGATATCCTGCAAAAGTTATAAAAACTAAATAGGAGAGTCAAGTAAATTTGTCTGCTGTCACACAAATGTTAGTGCCCAGTAAAGCAAAAAGGCAGAAAATTAGACAATGACAGGGTAAAGAAGTTCAAAATGGCTCCGTAAATAGAAAATTCTTCTGCGTTTGACAAAATCATCGTTTATGAGTATCCAGCAGAGATCAAGAGAAAATGACAGCCTCATGCAGTCCTCGGTGCATGGAAACAGACCAAACATGTCCACCCCAGCAATCCGTCACCACAACAGTATAACAAACAAACAATAAAGTGAGCAGAAAAAAATAACTAACATCATATCCATTACAACTAACTTGACATGCTCAAAACCCCAAATAACAGCCATTAAGCCCCAGGGGCTCGGCAAACAGACATGCGAATTCACTCTGTGTGAATAGATTTGTCAGAGTCTGCGCTTGTTGCCAAAAGTGGCTTTTGTACCGCACAGCTCAGCAGACATGTTTGACATACTGATTTCGTCGTCTGATTTCAAACTGTTATCTTCTGCCGGCAGAAAATCAGCCACACATATTTGCCTAATTCAATTGATTAAAAGAGATAAAGGGATTAGAAATCAGACATCGGATTTTTATGTATCAGTGCTGGGTGTGCATAGAGTTTGGGCCTATTATGTCCCCTCTGGACACCACTAACTCTTCCAAACAGCTGTATTAGCTCATATGACTACACTAGATAAAGCTCTCTTATATTACTGTGAGCCATGAGACTCAATCATCTGAATCTGTTGACCCATTTCTTGTGTTTTTGCATTGTTTCGTCCCTTAAGTGAAATGCAGGGGTGGGGGAGGTACTTCCCAGCTGTTCATTTTTTCACAGCCACATCTGTCCATCACAAAACAAATCTCGGACTCAACCAAGCAGAGTTTAAAGAGACATATTTGGCTATTAAAGTGCTACTAATGCTGCTAAATAAAGTGTAAAACTTTGAAATAACATATCTAGAGGGATTATTGTTTAAAAAGTACAAAGGCCAATCATTTGTGGGTACTGAGCATATATGATTTGAATATATAAGTTTTCAAAGGCTTTAAGCAACAAGGAGGCGTGTACGTATAGTCTAATCACAAACAGGGGTTAGAGGAAATCTGACATCATGCGTCAAACATGGCCAGTGAAGATGAAAAATAAAAAAAGCTTTAAGGCCACACACTACCAGCCATGAACAGTGGAGGGCTAATATCTACAGCTGTGGTTCCATTTTAAAGTCCCCCAAATCATGACAGAAACTCTGGCACATCAGTATACTGGAAATATTATGTGATAAGTGGTTCTATTATAGTCTCATGCCAGCTAGTGTCAGCCATGCAAAGTAGAGAGACTGCCAAGCCATACAGGACCAGGTGCACTTGAGGCTTTTTTTAAAAAGTATTTTACAAGATGGCAAACCCTCCTACACACATCTAAATAAACTCATGAGAGATTTCAAGAACACCTGGTTAAATTCAACACCTCCATGCCTCCACACACACACACACACAGCTGAGTACTTGTACTGCAGCAGTCTTCAGGGTATGTAAGAGAGACTTTAAATCTTGTTTCTCTGGTGTTTCTTAGGTAATTAGTATTTTCAGGCGTATGTTGTTTCTTTAGGGCAAACTATCAATAAATTTAAGCATTTTATCCACAAACTATATAAAAGCATTGAAAACTCAGACTTCGGCTAAGTGTTGGATAAGACCTACTCCCATTCTACGAATACACTCTTTTTTTCAGAGCTCTTCCATGCTGTAAATGACCAAAAATCTTTGCCCAATTCACATCCTGTAAATCCATCAACCTGATGTCCTGCCTCATATCTGGATTTAATGGGTGGTGGAATACTGTGGAGCTGCACACCCAGGCCCTGAGGAAACACTCCCTCACTTCAGGCTTGAACAGCAGTGTAAGCAACTTTGTGCTGCACCTTGGCAAGTGTACGGATAGAGGACAGATACAGTGTTACATAATACTGAAAAAGGCAGAGGAGTGAGACTCTTACCTGCTCTTTCCAGCCTCAATTTAGAAAATTTGCAGAAAATGCTGCATGACATCACAGAAATTTCAATCTCTGGCAGAATTGCACTGAACCTGGTGACCTATAACTGTCTGAATTACCCACTAAAGATAGAGCAAGCTACTAAACTAATCAGCTGAAGAGAGCTGATACAGCCGGGCATGCTTTATGTATGTGAGGGGAAAGTGACACCTGTCTACACCCAGAATATATGTGGGTTAGATCAAAAAATAAATTAGCACCCTTGCAAACACTTTTAATGAGTCACTGGCTCAGAGGCTGACACTATATATAAACATGAGCACGTGTAAAAGCGGAGGATAAAAATATGGCTCTTGACATACAGTACGTATGTGACCCACTGCATGTGGTGGAAGTCCCCAACAACCCTCCTCTCCCCACATGGATGTTCAGCTCTTCTCTAAAAGGCAAATAACAAACGACAAAGCCTCTCTGTTAATATCCAGGTCACCCTTTCATTACCACTCTTTATCTCAACCAGAATATCTACTGTATCATGAGCACAGCTGATGGGGTATTTTAGTCACGCAAGTGGATCAAGTGACACAGAGTGCTTGGTCTGGAGATAATGAGAATGATTGTCATATTTAAATGCCTGACACATGCAGTATTTTCTAAAACAAATCCTTGCTGTATTACAGCAATGAGATTATTTTTCTTAGCTTAGTGCAAACCACAGATTGTATAAAACATCGATGGGGTCTCAGTGACATCAGACTTTCTGAAGAGACTTTTTGAAGCATAACTATGAAAATGATGACAAAACCTGACTTTTTACCTAAGTGGACTCAGATACTTTTTTAAATTGAGGTGGACTTCTGGACTCCTGGCTCAGAGCTGCAGGTGTCCCACCTGTCGGTCAAATAAGCTATACCCCTCATTATGTAAAGATATGTGTAAATCCCTGCCTAAAAAGAGTCAAAACTGATGATAGAAATTAAAAAAGTTATTCCACATACAGTAAGAAACAATAGAGAAATTTACGAAAGAGGATTAGGGCCACATGAAGAGAAAAAAATAATAATTACAGGGAAGAGCGTAAAGTCGAAATTTCAAGATTCAAAAAATCTAAATTATGTAAATAAAGTCGAAATTTGGCAATTTAAGATTGAAATTTTGAGATTAAGGTCGACATTTCGAGATTACATAATGTCATGAATAAAGTCGAAATTTGAAGATGAAAAATAAAAAATTTCAGATTAGAGTTGAAATTTAGAGATAAAAGTCGACATGAATAAAGTTGAAATTTTGATTTTTTTACATTTCAATTTTAATCTTGAAATTTTGCCTTTAATCTCGAAATGGAAATTTAGAAAAAATCTCCCCCCTGTAATTACTTTTTTCTCCTCTTTTTCTCCTCTTGTGGCCCTTTCGTAGAAATTTGATATTCGGATCTTAAGTGTTTTTGAATCAGGTTGTGACCATGTTTAATTTTGCTGTGAGAATGAGCCGTTTAACATGGGGCATTATGGGAATTCTTTGGCTTTTGATTGGCTTCACATTTCAACACCGAAGGTTGCTGCATGATCCAAACTTGGCAAAATCTATCAGATATAGACAGACAGATGTATGTTATTTCAGTAGGTGAACCTTGATATTCTGGCGCAGAAAAAAAGTTTGATTTTTTACACATATAATCACTTTTGATGTATTCTAGTCTTGTATTATAAAGTAAGTATATTAATGCTGAGTGAAAGTAAAAATAATCAAATTTAGGTCAAACTGATAACGATAAAATTGGATTTCAACATACATTACTTTAAACTGGTTTCTACAGAAGGCTTTGTGTGGTTTTGACACAGGAAGCACAAAAAGTTTGTTCAAAAAGTAGGACATCAAGTAATCATAATGAGATGAGCTTTTGCATTAAAGAGGACAGATTTTTGCGATGAGAAACTGTCATTGTCCCAAAATCTTATGAATGTTCCTTTATACCAGAGCCCTCAGCTTGCCAAGTCAGGAAACAGCCTTGCTGTTTTGATGAGACAAACATCTATAGAAATTCTGCATTTCTGCAGGGTGCTAATTTGTCATGCCCCGCCACAACATGCACAATGTATAGGAGGCCATCCAGTCTCCTGCTGGGGTCATTATGAATGGAAAAAATCACAGCAATATAGACAGGCAGAATGAGATGGATTCCTGCATTAAGTGGATGAGGCCCTCAGCACTGCAGGACTTGGGTTACATTAGAGCCCTCTGCACATATGGAGCTCTTTGTCCCACATTCCCTTCACTTTTTCATGACAAAAAAACTCAGTGTGTCAGCTGGAAGCAGTGCCCTATATTGGACCATCTTGTTTGATCATGAAGCACTCAGTTTCAGAGGGTGGTCATCCTCTCTTCTGAATTATATTCAAAAATGCTCAATAAGCTGCAAAACTGGTCACTTTGCTCGGTTCAAGTGAAAAGATCTGGCAGGACATGTTTCCTCTCCAAATAAAACAGAGTCCTCCGATAGCCACGTTGTGCTATTTTCATCGGATTTCACAACTCGTCTTCGCTCTGGAGCAGCAAAAATATCTCCATCTTTGCTAAGTAATGGTGAACCTAGGATGTCTAGCTGACACTGGACTCCATGCTCCTGGGTTTCTGTGGACTCGACACTTTCCAAAGATAACACGGGCCAAAGATTTCCACTCACGGGCAGGCTGAGGCCCTGCTGAGGCAGCCTGCCTGATGGGGAACAGACGAAAAAGAGCTGGCTCAAGATGTCACCTACAATCCATATCTCTGTACTATGTGATACGCCTCCAAAGTCGATGGTTAGTTTTATAGATGAGGGAAACAGGGATCAATAGTGTGAGGATGAAGAACCAGATACATGATGCTCAGGCTTGATAACTTGGCAGCAATAGGGGAGAATAATAAAGATGCCTTCGAATGCAAGCAGGAGCAAACATATCTAGCCAGGTCTAAGTGCATACTTGTCTCTCTTTCCAATAACTCTTCACTAATGGCTCTTCCGCTTCTAAAAATCTCTCTTTCATGTAGACATATGGGATATATGCGTGATCTATCGTCCTTTTTCTATTATTCAGAGGTAAATTGAGACTTCCAGGAAAGGCTTGTCACTCTGAAAAGACCTGGAGAGCCCAGCCTGGCAGTGTACATAGTCATACACCACATGACGTCTAAGCAGGGGAACATTCCTCCATGTCTTCCCCCCTCCCTCTAAAACCATCTTTCTCGATTTAGAAACAGGGGGCATTAAAAGTGGTTAAGCACCAAAAATATGGGGCAGCAGATTAATGCAAAATTAAGCCATAAAAAATCTGACATATGTGAAATGTCCCAGACAGGGGGATGAAATATCACTTGTCCTATTCAGTAACTTTCCACAGGAAGAACTACATGAGACTGAATTCCACTTAACCTCGACTATCTGCATGCCAATGAAATATAAAAAGAAAAAAAAAAAGAGTTGAAAGGTTTAACTTTGCCAAACATAACCATTACCTAACCGTATCTCTCTAGGGGGAGCAGGTATGTACGATATGTCCAAAAGGTAATGTCTTGGAAGGAAGTCAACACATCTCATGCCAAGTGGTCTCTTTTAAGATATTTTCCTTCCAACTTTGCCCGACTAAACACCGCAGAGGACTGAAGTGATGTTATGACTCCAGTATTCAATGCAACTTACAGGAGCTGGGATTGTGTCTCTTCTCCATTAATCATTTAATTGTGACAGGAGGTGGTCCTCTAGTCACTCATCCAGCCCCCGCCAGCTGACCTCAGGGGTGACGGCTTCCCTTGAGCGTCAACCCAAACAAAGAGGGGGTGCAGCTTGCTCCCATCGCCGCAGCTATAGAGGTCACCCAGGCCTGTGCCAAACCAGCCTTTTCATCCTATAGCATTTACTGGATCAGCATCCCAGAAACACAGGCATCAAAGGCACAGAGAAGGGGACAGAGAGAGAGACACAGAGACAGAAATGACCTCAATGGCCCTTTATATGTGTGCAGCTAATGTGTGGGAGGGTGTGGGATAATCCTGGTAGGCTGTGTAGAGGGGGTCTCCAGGTGGCCCAGAGGGGTTAGACAGGGTTAACCCCAGTTGACCCTGGCTCTTTGCTGTCAGGAGGAGATCTACCTTCAGCTTGTCAAGGAAACAAGAACAATGTGGCACGTCCCTCATGTAAGACACTGCCTGACATGAGCTGGAACGGGATATGCTGCTTTTATGTCTCCATGTCTTGCGCAGATGTGCATCAGAAAAACACAAAAGCACATGATCTATTTTGAAAACAATGACCATTCATCAAGAACAAACATCTTCTTCTTTGCATCTTATCAAAACTACAACCTTTTTGTTCGTGCTGTCGGGGGATTGAATGTCATACAGGTAACACATCATCATGCCCAAACGAAAACTTTCAATCCAACTCTTGTTATTGTGAGCCAAGTTTGAAGCAGATACCAGCTGTATCTGTTCCAATAAAGTGAAACCAGAGTCTCAGTCGTGGGACAAGCCTCAGCAGAAGCACAGGGCTGGCTGACAGGTTGAGCTTTAACGCTTCCTCTAAATGCTGAGACACAAAGGTCTCAGATTGCGGCACATGGCACGCTGGGGGTCTCCTTTATAGCACATATTAGGCCGTCTGAGAGTTTCTGCGCCCTGCAACAGCTGACCGTTGGGAATGAAAGGTCGCAGTCTTGATCAGGATGAATTTCAGGAAAAGATCTTGAAAGTATGTTGAGCTCAGATGCTCCCTAAAATAGACAAACAGTAACATTTGTTGCAGGCGGGATTACTAAACGGGCTACCGAGCACCAAAAGTAGCAGAAGGAATCCTGCAGCAGTGAGCACAATAAAACGACTCATTTTACTGGCATAAAACTTTAAGACAACAGAACAACCATATCAATTTCACACCGTGTACAAGCTATAAAACACATAGGTATGCACATTATGAGACATTTGGCCTTATCTGCACTGAAACTGAGTCTGTTGTTTTCCCCTTTTCTCTCAATGGCCCTGGAACACAGCTGCAGGGAGAAAATGTGGGATTTGGAGTGAAAAACTGCCAAGCACCATAAATATTTCTATAAGTCGCTCGTATGGCCGTAATCGAGCTGTTCTGATCAAAAAATTTGATGTATGTGTTTGTGTATGCAGTCTGGCCCCTCTCCTGTGACATGCTCTCATAGGGACAAAGCCTAGCAGACAGCAGCTGTCAGAAAGCAGGTGTGTGCACAGACTTGCATGCGTAGGCTTTTGGCAAGGTTGAGTCAGGGAACTTGGTGTGCCTAAATGTAAGACAAGACAAAGCACAGCACCACATGTAACCCAATAATGGTTCTAATAAGTCTACATGCCTAGAGATGCTTCAGCTTATGTGAGATGTTACTTAATGATACTAACTGATCAACGAAGATTAGGTATCTCCTTCTGTAAAACAATACTACAAGTGCCATAAATGTGAGACTTCAAATACATTAAATTCCCTGATCTAAATACCCCATTCTCACTTCTTTTTTATGGCACAGTTGTTTTATACACCTTGCTGCTCCTGTTGACACCACCTACGACTGATCTGAGCTGTAAGAGTGGGGCTAACTTTTGTTTCATTACGACTTCTGTGACTGCAGCCAATCCTTAATAAATCAATGCTGTGCTCAAGGTGGGTTAATATAATATGTTGTTGTTGTTTTGGCCAGAAAACTGTGAAGTGAATTAATGGATTCTGCACCTCCTGCTTTCTCCCAGTGACCTTGTGATTTTTCATAAACCCTCAGTGTTTGAACATGTCTACTTTACATGACTGTATGAAAGCTGGGATAACAGATTTGTTTGTAATAGGTGGAAAAAATATGTGTCGTACATTTGTTAACTGTGTATAGTTTGCCATTCAACACTGATTAACCTAATTAGCTAACTCATTAACAGAAACATAACCACCATCAGTTTGAGGATCGATTCATGCTTTTAAGCTAACTCTAGAATATTAGACAAAATACTTCACATTCACTTTTTTTAATTTCAACATTCGGGCTCTTATTTTCTTTCATTTTTGTTTGTGGACTCTACTGGAGTAAATCTTGTTACTTGTCAATCAATCATTGTTGCTAAGCTATAATGGGTGACCACAGCTCTTCCATTTTTGAAGTTTCTGTTGCCGAATTGAAAGTGTTTTCTACTTTGACCCTGTGAGATAGCTGTCAAATAAAGCATCAATTTGCAGTGCTTATTCTATAAAAGGCATTATTCTGAGGATCGATATCCCAAACCTCACTTCTGGAAATAAGTAAAAAGAAGAATAGACAGAGATATATGCAAAGTGCAAAAAAGCGTAACACAATCCATTTGCATATTTGTAAATTCCATCCACCCCCTCTATTTAGGGTCTGTGTGTGAACAGCAAATTCTGAATGAAACCTGATCTGGGCTCCCTCAACTTTGTCTTGAACCTCTCTAACACAAAAGGCATTCATCAGAAAACAAGCAGACAGAGCAGCCACTGATGTCATTGAATGGTGAGGTCCAGACACTGGGAGAGATTCAAACATTTTTCTCATTTCCAAACACAGAGCTTAAAGGCTTATATTCAAGCTTTTATCTTATAAACAAGAGCTCGAAGCAAAACATTTTAGCACTTTGTGTGTTCAATGATCCTTAAGTGACCGCTGCGAAAACCGCCATGCAACACATCTGAATAGATCTGAATGGATCACAAAAGTGTCTGACATATTCACTGAAAGATGAGACTTAACTTTACACAGCTTCAACCACAACAATGATGCAAACATGGCTCGTTTTCTTCGCGACTTCAGGACACATCACTTATGATTTATACCAAAAGATTTTCACCCCTTTTTACAACTCAGACTAAGCAGAAGCAGACAATGTTTCTTTTAATCCAACCACAGTGGAATGAATGCTGAAATTTATTATTTTCTGCTCAAAAATCTGACTATTTTTGCTGAATTATATAACATTTTTCTGCTTGAAAAAGTCCTATTGTCATGAGCAGTAAAAGCTTCTTGGATTCACCTTTTAACGAGTATTTGTGGGACACTTTGCTACTACATGCTGCATGCATTTCAAGCAGTCACCATGAATCCTCTCATAAACACATAAGAGCCTCACAAACTGCCAAACATGCCTGAGTCTGTTAAGTAGGCTCTTGGCTGACACTCACACAACACATTGGGGCCTCTTCTTCTTTTGTGGTATCTACAGTACGGCTCTTCTTCTTAGCTTTGAAGGATGTAACAAAAGATGTCCAGTCTTCTCCTGCAAGGATCACCCTGGAGTAGACCACTTCAGAGTCATGGGTGGGCTGCGAGGAGAGATTCTCTTGGTTCTTCTTATTATAATTGGGCTCTTCAATCACTAGACAATGTCTGTAATGAAGGTGAGAGGACTGAGAATATCAGCTTTGATTGTGGTCTCAATAGGAAGCCAAGAAGGAGTATTGCAGATAATTTAGACTTTTGATTGGTTAAGAATTACTTTGAATTAAGTGGAAATATGGTTGAACTGGAACACTTCAGTAATTATTCCCCTTTATTGATCTTTGGATGTTTAAATTTAGTCGATCAAACAATCAATGCCATCACCCTTGCTAGTCAGCACCTGAATTACTTGTTTCTCAGAGTATCAATATACAGAAGACCAGAACGGCCATGTTCTGCTTGTTTTCTGGTGAATGCCTTTAGTATTAGAAAGGTTCAAGACAAAGTTGAGGGAGGCCAAATCGAGTTTCATTCGGCCATGGATTTTTCGAGCATGGCTAATATGCCATTTCCGTTATCACTAGAAAATGATCTTTGTTATGTTGAGATAACGCAAAAAAAAATCTTTACGAAAATGAACTTTGTTATATGTAGAAAATGAGATAAGTCGTTATCACGAGATAACAGTGCATAAAAAAAAAGAAAAATCCATGCCCATTATCGTCTTACGCATCAATATTGTTTTTAACATCATAGGCTCAATATGAAATATGAAGTGTTAAGCCTAAACTGTAACACAACCGCTCCCTAGCCAAAGCTGTTATCACAATGTTACAATGCTCTGCTCCATAAACGTAATAACAAAACACAAACACAAATAACAAATGTGGTCTCATAGGGTGCCACTTTTTGATCAATGCTTAACCAGCTTAGGAAGGGGAATCTTCAACTCCCTGAGTACCAAAGGGTTGTCGTGCCAACTCTGCCAACTAGGGGTGCAAAGGAACCAAATTCATACCGAACTGTTTCAGTACTGGACTTGAGGACTTGAGGGCTTGTGGACTTGCGAATGAGTACCAAACCGAATGCATGCGGAACAAAAAGTACATTAACTCCAAAATTTCCACTCAGAACATGCTTTTCCTGTCATGGCAGCCAGCACAACACATGACATGCAAGACCAAGAAGATCCACCCATGGACAGTAAGGTCTCCTGTGTGAGTAACATTATGATTTCTCTGTGAAATACAACAAACAACCAAACCATTACATCAAGAATGAGGTACATACCAAACCATGATTTTGTGCACTGTTACACCCCTACTGCTAACATTAGTCACAATAAGCAAACTGATCGTACATTATTTACCCGCAGACTTCGTAATCTTGAGTTTATGGCCACTTTTCAAGAATCTGTGCTGTGGAAAATGTCAGCAAAGACTTTGTCTTCAGAGTGCTGTCAATCATCTTCCCCCTCACAGCGGTTTCAAGTTTTATCAAATTCAAACTGTAAATTTAAGATAAATCTTTCTAAAATGGTTGGACATAAAGAGGCAACACTGTTTATGTCAGTTTTATAATCAGATAAAAACTTATCATGGTAGCTTAAAGTCTGCCACCTGAATAACATCTAATTTCATCAATTCCAAAGAAATAAGTTCATATTGCAATGCACACTTTGTGCTTGTTTTTCTTTTTATCTTTAGAAACTAAACCCTCTTTCACTAGAATATTACATTTTTACAGCCCGTACATGAGTTGTTGTGAAGATAATAGTTAAAAAGAACATTTTGTTGCTACTTCAGGTCTGTCCATGTTGATATAAAATGTCTTCCTTTGGACTCAAGCCTACATCACCTCTAAAAATAATCACTGCGGTGGTGCCTTGGCCTTGAACAAATTTGAAACTGATAAAAAGAAAGAGGCATCTGATGGCCAAGCTAATGTTTACAGTGGATCAATACAGTTGGAAATATCCCAGAACCAGAGTGCAAGTGAACTGCTATCAAATCATTAACACATCACCACAAATCGCCACATTACTTTCTACCTTTGCAAAATGCCTCATGGTGAATAACTCTGGAGTTTCTGTTGGCCCTCGGCCAGTCACCACAACATCATGTGAAACATGGGAGGCCACAGGTGCTGCAGCGCTGCTGCACAGAGTGGAGTCATGGAGAGATTATAAAAAGGATATTGTTAATCTGTCATACACCGTGAAATGAAACAGCTACTGTTAACCTGATAAAACAGAAACATAAAACCTGCAATCATCATATTTGCTCAGAGCATGAAAAACTGCAAATCAGGAGGAGGAAGGTGGAAAGGCAGAATGAGGTTATGGACAGGAAGAGTTGTATTATGTGTCCTGAAAATCTTTCTTGACCTGTTTTAAAAGTGATATTTGAATTGAATGCCCATTTTTAACCCCTGGCAAACCTGAACTATCCAAAAATGAGTGACACACTCCTTTAAAATCAGGCCGAAACAATTCATGTCAATATTTATTTTTTCAGCTGATGTCAGTTTCATGACTGAGTCAATCATCACACATGGATGTGACAAAAATCTAATAAATACTCTGTCGTAGCCAAACAGAAATAGTAACCGATTCAGAGCCGGCCAGCTGTGGCAACACTGCTTGATCCAAGGTGAGAGGAGAAATAACATGGCTGTTTAACAGAGCGCTGCATGAGTGACAGTTACTGTAACGACAAACAGAGAAAATATGAATTTTCTGCCTGTCTGAAGCATTTCTCATATTCCCCTGATGGATGCAGTGAGGGGAAAGAGACATTTCCTTACAAAGGCATTGACATCAAAGCTGGAGGAGAGAAAAGGAGCCAGCGTGACATGTGAGGGAGGATGTGAGGAGGAATTCCATGGCATACTGGGATTTGGCTGAAGGCCAGAAGGGGGACTGAGTTTTAGGTCAAAGTTTTTTCTCCTCAATACCGGCATTCAAATTCTTCCTACCTATATCCTATACCCACTTCTCTGAACTTGACATTTTGCCATGACAGGTGAGAATAATTGGACAAAGATGTAAACTCTGCTGACGATGAAAAAAAGGACGATAAAAATGTACTTTTGGCTTTTAATGGTTTGCCACTTGTCTTTATTTTATTGTCTTTGTTTGGAAATCTTTGGAAATAGGTATGAGTAAAAGTTGTTCTCTGTAGCTTGCTCACTCAAACTAAATGACATAAAAATCCCTTTGCATTGTGTAAAATCATTGAAAGAAATGTCTCTCTGGTTTTCCTGGTGTACTACTCCCACCATTCAGGATACATACAAAGTGCAAACACCGGCTGTGCAGAGGCACCTCAAACCTCTGATCTAAACCACCATGGACCCCTTGTGTAAATATACAATAAACAACTCTCTGCAGACATCAAATAAATGTTAGTTTGAGCAAAAACAAACTCATATTGCTTCCAAATTCCCCTTCCTGTGAGTGGTCAGATGTTTAGACTCTGTGGCCGCTGAGGTTACACACCTGTCCATTTCAACAAGGGTTACCTCAATCTCACAGCGGTGGTAAACACAAGAGCGGTTCACGGGCTGTCCTGTCAGAGCGGTCTCTTTCGTGTGTGCTGAAAAACTGTATTTTATAATACAACTGGCTGTAAAATATAACTTCTACCAATTTTGACGGGTTCATGTACACTTTGACAGAAGTTTGGCTTGTTGTCAGGAGTAAATTTGGAAGATGAAAACAAGTGAAAATCATTATTTACTCCACTGAAACTCAATAATGAGGCTGTGTGATTCCTTGTCATCTACAGGAATATAGTTTTTTGTGTAGCTGTCAGACTGCACACTCACCCGTCTCATTCTATCCTGTAAACACAGCGAGGAAAAAATACTCCCCTCTCAGATGAAAACATAGACAGCTCTCTTCTTTTTGGACTGCTGAGGAGCAGCGCTGAGGGGCCTTACAACTGGAACCAGATGGCCTCTTAAGACATGAATGCCTTTGCATGAGTGTGTGCATGAGAACATGAGTGTGCTTACATAAATTAATGTTATAGAGGCCGGCAGCCTTGTACAGTATACGAGGAAGATGTAAAAACAGGCATTCACTTTTAGCCCTAATGTGTACAAACGATGGAAAATGTTGCTTTTTATATGAAGGATAAAATGAGGGGAAGATTTGATCTTTACTGTTGCCCATAAATGAAGCTTGTTGTGACTTCTTGGGCTCATAGCCAACCAAAAACAATATAAAAAGTGAGTGAGAGAAAGTGTGAGATGAGTGATACCATCAAACCGGTCTACTTTTGCTATCAGCTATGATTTGAAAAGCACGGCCTGCACCACTCGATTCTCTTTCAGGGATGTTTGCAGGCTCTGATTTCTCCTCTTTGGCATGCCGTTGTTTGGGTTGGCCTCAAAGGGGTGACTCTAAGTCCATGATCCCATTTTGGGTCTGTTAGCACGAAGTCAAAAAGACAGAGGACCAGGAGGACAGAGGACCAGGATATCTGATCGCCATGTGTGTCTCACATTTGCATGGATGATATGCACGTTTTTAATTATTCCCCCGCTTACTTGGCACATGATTGGACAAGACCATCAAATCTAACAATGGATTGCAGATCCAAGGCCATAACCTTTGGGGAAAATAATCTGTCTTGGATCCAAGAAAATACGAGCATGTTTTCAAGTTGATCCTTTAATAGGCAGGATAAGAGCAGGATTTGTTGATTCACAAAACTGCTGATGGTTTGATGCAGGTCTGGTAGGGTGTGTGAAAAAAGACAGGCACCACCATAACCCGCAGGTGATCTTATCGTCTCATGCCAATGTGCTGACATCCCATACACTCACATGCCCACACACACACATAATCACACATTAATTAGATAAGGAAACACTAAAAGGTGCACAGTTGAAAGTAAATATAGTTATGCAACTATGTGGTTAGCTGCCAGGAACTCATTTTTCTACATGGTTTGCAGAGAGATAATCGCATAGAATTTACTGCGCATCGTTTTTGCTCCAAACAACCACAGAGTTTGCAGTTGTCAACCTGGAGATCAAAACTACCAATTTGAGAAATTATAGCTTAAAAAAAAAAAGAAGCAAGTCAACAACGGTCGCGATGAATCACACACTGAGCCGGGATCATAAGAGGTTGTAAAACATGAGGCGGATAATCTACTGAGAATGTGTCACCTCTGATTACAGCCGTCACTCCTCAGCTGGGATCAATGTGTCGACAGATGAACCTGCTGTTAAAGGGAACACCAAGGAATTTCAAGTTTCAGATTTCTGTGTTTTGGATTTGTGAATACTTGCCATGCACCAGAAAAATAAAACAAAAAAATACACCTCCCATTGCCCCATTGATCTACTTAAGGTTGTGTGATCCAGGTGAGCTCCACAAAAATGATTTGCAAGAATATGACAGAATTCAGGATCATTTTTTCAGAGATTAAGCAGAATTATCTGGATTGTCGCTGATAGATTAAAAAGATCAACGCTCAGCACAGGATGGCGTACATCTGTATGAACTTGAGAAAAGCTCATTTAAAGTCTTTATTTTGTAAAAGCTGGTGATGATCAGAAAACAGATGTGCCATTTGTTCATTGGCAAAGTGATACCCCTTTTGGAAATTTCTGCAGCCCACAGTTAAGAGTCTCTCTGTCCTGAAATCTCCTCTCCATCACCTCACAGCAACTCGGGGCAGTCTGAGAAACAAAACCACAAAGAAGAAGAGAGCCTACTGTACTTGGAGACAACACCAAAATAAGCTAAGACTGCTTTAATCAGGCCCTTGCCACCACATCTAGTCCACCGACAACAATAACAGCCCAACAATTTAGACAGGCTGTGGCCAAGGCTAACACGCAGAGAGTCGAATCGAGTTTATTTTCATGATCCCAGGCTGTAGCACTGGTTAAACAAATATAAACAAACTCCTACCACTGCTGGTTTCCTAATGACATAAAAACATTCAAAATCTTTTTCTATGAAAAGAATAATGCACAGGATAAGCAGCAGAGTATAACATGCGTGGAAAGAAATACTGAAGCAGCTCTATTTTGTCTTACAGAGGTTTACATCTATTACATGCAGTCAGAATTTACAGTTGATCTATGCAGTGATTTGGGCAAGAAAGTTCCTTCTAGGAAGCAAATCAGGTCACTTTGAATGTTTAATACAGCATCACTTAGATTTCCGTACACAAACATCCCAACTCTTTCTCTATGCATTCACAACAGATCTCTGTGCTGGTGTTGGATTGATAAAAAGGCACTGGATTTACCATTAGTTCTCCGGTTAAACACTTTCCTTCCCCTTGTCTGAAAAGATTTTCTTCCCAGTCCATGCAGGGCCATATGTACTTGAGAGCTTATGCCAAAGATTAGGCAAGTCTGGATTAAGTCTTCCTGTGGTTCATGACACAGGCACACTGACACACAGACCCACATGCTTACAGACCCACACAGATACACGCAGCAGAGAGCTAGCTCAGTGGTGTGTACATATGGAAAAGCCCACAAAACCAGAGGGCATAAACAAAGTAATGTTCTCCTACATTTAAATGTAAAATACATGCAACAGGTTTTCCACAAAGCAGTGCTAATGATACAGACTGCATACAAGTATGAGACCAACTCATCACTCATGTTAATGAAGGGGGCCTCTTGGATAAACAAGGTTTCCTGACAACATGGGCGTGCTGATTTAGCACCCATGGACGAGAGAGGATGCAGTCATTTTATTGAAGCAAATCACAGAATAATTTATGAAAAACAAAAACAAAGTGATGCTGAAGGTGATGCTTATCAACTCAAACACATTAAGCACTTCCTAAGATTTAGAAAACCACACTTCAAAAGCTGCTCTGATGCCTCGGTACATGTTGTTCTGGCTGTTTTCCAAATGCAATTTATTGTAACAGAATGCAGCGATTTTTCTTTTCATTTCATAACAACCCTCATTGTAGTGAGACAAAAGAGTGTGGTCAATTCCCAGTCGATGAGGGGGCTGCGCTTTTAGACCCATTTGGTCCTCGTGAAGCTAACAGCAGAAAACACTACTTCAATGCAGAATGAGTCCCCAGTCTCACGTATACCTTGCCATTTGTCTTCAGTAGACTAACGAATAATCTGTCGTGTGGAGCAGGAAAATCACCCAGTAATTCTGCTCCCGTGGGGCTGCCAGGTAAGCCCTCAAGTCAGATAAAATTAGGTTCAAACGTCTGGACAAGTTACAGTAACAGTGACCAACTCGCCCAGAGCAAATAAATCAGCTAGCCTTGTGGGCAGTCAGTGACTGCCGGCTGGAAGAAGCTCGACAAGGGCAACAGGTGGCTGTCAACTTAAAGAGAAAGAGGGTCATCATCCACTTAGAGAGGAGTAGCAAGTCTGTCTGCTGCTCCCCAGGTTACCACTAAGCTGAGCAAAGCACCAGCAGGAGGAGAGAAGAGGGTAAAGCCAGTTCAGAGCAAGGTTCAGCCAAATGGCCACATGTAAAGCCATGTTCAGACCTGCCACATCAGACAAGACTGGAATGTCTTCATCCAGTGTAGGGTTACATAAGTTTTTTGCCGATATTATTAACAATACTCATGTCTGAACAGCCTGCTTATGTAATATGTCATTGGATAACTGTATTAGTTATATATCTTTATTGCCCGGCTGTGTTAAATACTTGATTCTGACAGGTCAGAACTCAACAACCAGTGGAGCAAAGTCCCAACAGCAAAAGTGATGCCAGAGACAACCTGATCAGTCTAAAGGGTTCGTACATTTCACCAAAGCCTGTTGACATTGTGGCAAAAGCATTAGTTTCTGTCTCAGGTGGTCTTAAGACTCAGGAAATGATGATGAACTGGACATCTGTATCTGTGTCTTTTAACAGGGACACACACCATTCACCTTGCCGCTCTAAACCTAGCTGAAATCCTGGAGAACACACTTACTATCGAAAAAGCATATCAACCATGTTTTATATCGATATCAAGGGAAATTAATTTTCGATATATATCATTACCGTTTTATCGCCCAGCAAAAAATCTACTTTGAATGTAAATTTTTTTTGTGAACTTGTACATGTATTTGGTTGGCAGCTGGGTAATCAGCGGGAAATTGTATCATGAGCGAGGGTTGTGCCTATCAGACACTCAACATAATTAGACAACCCAGTTGCCTCACGATCAAGTCGATACAATACATTATCCCTTATGTACATAGTGTAAAATAAAATCGCTCAATAATCCTCAATGTGATCAATATGTGAAAACTAGATCTCATGAACAACATACAAAAGCTTTTTGAACTTTCCTTTCCGTGTGCCAAAATGAGCTGCCATGACAATACAATCTCAGTAAAGTATTCACTCTGGAGTTTCCAAACTTTTGTATTAAACGTCACGCATTGGCAGTAAGAATAAATAACCAAAAAATGACCTTTAGAGATAGTCCTCAGATCATAGTGACTTCATTCTCATGAAAAATGTCTGGGCCTTGGTTTACTTCTATTACATTAGAGAAAAACATGACCAAATACTCACGATTTACAATCTAATAGCTTTTCCAGGCATTGGGTTATTTTTGCACTTGGAGCCTGTAAAGGAGGCAATGTGAGTCTTTGTGTGAGAACGTGTGCTTCTCCTGCTTGTGCTACTGACACTCACAGCGCTAAAAACAAAGGCAATTTATAAGGACTTTTTAGATTATTTCTTGCATTATAAGTCCTGTAAACAAGGTGGCAACATGATTAACACCTATTTATCAGTTACGTCTCACTCGAAAGATGCACGAGAAATGAGCCTCTAACCACAGCGAAAACCAAAATCTGACAGTGTCCAATGTAGTGAAGAAAGTGTGAACAGTTAGCATAATCGACTTGGTCAGAAGCCGACCTCTGATAAACTCAAAGTGTGAGAGTGAATGTGTTTGCACACATGTCACAAGCACTCATGATGCATATGTTTTCACTCAGCTCTTTGTGCTTTCCCTCACATTACTCAAAGACACCAGGAGGCCCAATAAAACAAAGTGACAGAACACAGTAACTCCAAAAACAAAGTGTGTGTTCAGCCTCTCGTGTGGGTTACTGCTCTGTTTTTCACAGCGTTGAAATGCTGTTAATTCTCACTCGAATTAAGATTGTGGGCTATCTCCCAGGACTGCCACTGTGCAAGTTCAACAGGGACCTCCACAAAACAGTCCACCAGTAACAGAGGTAATTACAGCTCCTCCCTCTGTGGTGATAGAGACGGAGAAACAGAGCATCATAAAGTAAGATGAGGCAGAAATAAAGTTTGGATCAAATGCAGCATATTACTCACCAATGCAGGCATGTACTCTGACCGAGAGCTGTGTCCGTAAAATAATGCTGTGCTTCTTGCCTCTCCTGGAAGAAAAGGGACAAGAAGAGGGAAAGAGAAATGTTACTTGTTAGATGTAAAGCCATGCAGGCTTCGTGTGTGTGAGTTTTTAGGATACACAAACAACTCTAGCAAAATAAAGAAGCAGAGTTTATCTCTGGATTCACTGTAAACCGTGTAAAGTTTACGATCTCAGTCGATCTCAGGTTTTTTCCGATCTATTTATCATTTGCAGTTTGGGTACAACAGGTTGCAGAAGACAACAGGGTAAAGATCTCTGAAGGTAAAATGAGGGATGGGAGCAGCACAGAGGTCAACTCCGCCCCCTGTGTTAATGGAGATATGCCAAGACCCTATCACCATCCTGTCAACTGCTCACAATGTCTCAATGACAATCCAAAACAAAGACGACAACAATGCAGCCCGCTTCTATTCAGTCCTGAAAGTGAATGTGAGAACAGTATAGTCTGCTGTTGTTGTGACGGATGCAACTGATTGTCTTAGTTTGACCGAATCTCATGGAAATACCAGTAAACCAACCAAACTCTTTCTGATTCCACTAAGACTTGAAAAAAAATACAGGATTTGCCGCAAACATAAGTTGTAACTACTGCTGCTTTATGGGATGAGAAGATGCTTACCTTTTTTTCATGTATTTTCAATAATAACTGAACCCCACTGCAGATGTACAGCAACAGCTAATGCTTTCTCAGAGCACTTCTGAGGAAACCCAAAGCCCTAATCCTGACTCTCTTGAATATTTCTGTCTGTGATTGCATCCCAAATGTGACCAGGGATGATAAAGCACTTTCCAAACCATTGTTTTGAATTTCTGAGGGGAGGCCCACCGTTTTAGGATCTTGGATTGAGCCTTTAACCTCCTGACTAGCATAAGAAGCATGCAAACAAACCCACTAAATACAACTGCAGACAAGAGCACAGCAGGTAGAGTTGCTCAACAAACCCCCCTCCTATTTCAGCTCTCTGACAAATGGGCTTTTATGCCGTCTGCACAAAGGCTGTGTGATTGTTCAGACTGGCGCAGGGCCAGCAACAGACCACTGCTGTTAGTGACAATCAGACAGCAGTGACAGAAAGAAAAGTATATCATACTTCATGATATAATTTTAAAAAAAAGTAGTGCATCTTAATAAGAGTGTCACCCAGAAGGAAACAGTGACTCTCCTGGACATTTAATGGGAGACTGTTGACATGCAAACAAGTATTTTACATGACAGGGCAGGGTGGGGGTCTGTATATGCTCACAGTTTTATCAAATGTAATATCCATCAACAAGCAGAGGCGACACAGGAGCAACATCTGTCAACATGAACCTGCACTAGTGAGATGAGAAGGCAAACAGGAACTTAATCCTCTGTGATGCTGTAGAGGCAAAGGGGTAACCAGAGCCATTCTGTCACGAAACGTCTGCTTTCTCTCCGCTCCACTGCAACAGTACCCCTGTGCTTAACCAAGACCTGAGGCTACACAGACCAACATGCTTATTATCAAATTAAACAAATGTGCATGGAATATAAGTGAGGTTCAGAACCCCCCCTGTGCAATTAAACCTGAAAATTGGACACCCCCACTGACAGCACTATGGGCATGTTAAAAAGGGCGGGGTCACAATGTACAGAAATAATCTGAACTATAAAAGAATTGCAGCTGAACAACAAATTGGCTACATGCTGTGATTTATTACCTCTTTATTCCTCTAGTTTTCTTTTGCTTTTATGCTCCTCTGAGCCAGAATGTTCTGGTTTCTTCCAGTGGTCATGTGCATAATCAACTTAAGTCAAGCTCAAATTAGCTAAGCTGATTAATTGCCTGTGGCATCATGCTTGTTTCTCCCATTTTAAGATGGCAGTGCCTTTATCTAAGAGTCTTAAAAAGAACAAAACCTGACCAGGAACCAACACTATACTTTTACTGAACTTTTACCTCATGGCTGTTACCTTAAAGGACAAAATTAGAGGGCTTTATAGAAAACTGAATAGAAACACATGGGCAGTTTATCCCCAAAACATGAAAAGAAACAGCGCACATAAATCTTTTACCTAATAGCATAAATCTGATATTCATCATCATCACTTTACCTATCAAATATTACAAACAGGAATGCAGCTGTGGAAATGAGACTGCTCCACCTGCCAATAAGATCAAACTCCACATTATTTACTCCTCCATCCGCCTCCAGTCTCCCATCACTGCTCTGTCGAACAGCACTCTCATAAAGCTCGCTCTTAATCCTCAGACCCCGGGTAGCAACAACTGGATGGGTGGATGTCTGCCAGCACTATCTACGGGAGCATTACTGGCACTGTTTATAAAACAACACAAAATGTGTACCAGCAGAAAATGGACAACCATAGCTGAGATACAGTAAAGCCGGTAATACTCCTCAGAAGACTAATTAATACCAGACACTAAGGCCCCACAGAGGTCGACTGACTCAGCTATTTCTATGTGAACACCCCTGCTCTGGAGACTCCTGCATCAGGATCTGCAGTGATCGAGTAAGAGACTATATACTGGGTCCAAACCAGCACACAGTCTCTCTATGAAACCTGTAAACTGCTCTGCAAACACACAGAGAACAACTGGTGTTTCATTTCCCTCCTCTGAGTTTGACAATTCCTCTGTTTCCAGTCAAATGTGCCTTTTCACCTCAAATGAAAATCTTGTGTTTGAGTGTGTATGAATCAACTTCCAAGTGGGTCAGAAAAAATGAAAATAATGAAAGCAGAGAGCAGTCCTAACAGAGATGAAAGGATCTGATGAGAAATGCTGAATAGTTACGGCCTACAAAGAACAGTTTGATTTTAAAGGCCAAACTACTTACTGCTTGTCCAACACATCAGGAACACTCAATAAAACCAAGAAGGGCACATTCAGCACAAAATTGTTGGTTTTCAGACATGCTCTGTATGTAAGAGGGCAGTGAACTGCTAAAATGAGACTTCTTCTGCACTCTGTGTCAGCTACACATTTCACATGCTGAATCAATTATGGAGTCAATAATGGGACTTCATGTTATCTTCCAAAGACAAGCCAGGAAATATGTCCTTCTTTGAGGACTTTCGACTTTACTAATTATCTGCCAATCAGTGTCAGATTTGGGCAAAATACAACAAAAAGCCTGACAGCATCAGTCCAATGCTCCTTAAGCCCTTGAAAGAGACTCCTTATTTTCAAACCATGTCATCCACAAAAACAATCGAAGGCTATAAGCATCTGTAAGAACATGTAAAGCCATCTGATCCTGACTACGTCCCCTACTCTACATCAGGAAATTATGTGTATGAGGTCAATCAATCTATCACAGCTACAACCTTAATGACATTCTGACTGGTTAAAACCGTGCAGGGACGTCTGAGCACATGTCTGGCTTATTTGGTCAGTTTATCACCTGAAGTGAGGCAGTATCAGAGATGGGACAGAGGGATTTATGAGTCACAATCTTCTGTAGCTGGGCTTCAAACTCAGTGTGGAAGTGATTATGGTCCTTAAGCTCCCATGACATTGATATCTCCTGGCTCTGCAGCACTCTGTCAGAAGATCATACTTTAATCTGTTTGTAAAGACACTAGGTATGACACAGGCGCCTCAGGAATGTAACCTGTCATTAATATCAATTACAGATGGATCAGATGGCCAATGATCAGGGGAGTTTAGGAACTCAGGCGGTATATGAAAATATTTTGAGGTTATACGTGGCTGAGCTTAAAGGGAATGTAATGAAAGCACAATTTTGCTTGTTCTGCTGGAAGTGTATAAGTGTGGTGGTGCTACTTTGACATCAACTTGTTACACTCGGAAAAAAAACTGTGAAAAACTCAAAACTTAATTTCTTTTGGTTTAACGTGTCAGAGTTGGAGAGTGCTGTTGACAGACCGTACGCAATTAAAGGAGGCTGAACACAAAACGTGGAACAAGTAAAGGTGAAATCAGACCTTTTTATAAGCTCGATAATCATCGAATCAACAACAGCAAGCAGCGGGGGGTGCAATCGAAGGCACATCAGCACCACAAAAAGCCAGTGAGCAGAACTGGCCTATTTTCACAAAATAATTGGCTAACCACCTTCACCCCCAGCCTCCTCAGACAACACTGTGTGGGTTTAATGACACACATCCATACCAGCTTGTGCCAGCTGGCACGTCGCAGACCCCTGGCAGGCTCGGTCTCCGACGAGAGAAGAAGTGGACCACTTTAACCTCACAGCTCTCAATAACCTCCCATAAGCTCCTAACAATTTCAGATGGAGTTGGGAAAAGACGGCACTCTCGACATCCAATAGAAACACCAAGCCAGAGAGCGGCTTATGAGTTCCAAGTTAGACAAATAAATCCATACATGTTTGTGGTCCAGCCGACCAGGAACTCTAATGCCAACCTTTGGTTAGTGATCAGCTAAAGTGGGGCAGCATATAAAAGATGTATCAACATACGCTGCAGTACATGAAAAAACATATGGAGTCAATAAAGTTATTGGCTAAAGAACATGCATGAAACAGATTGAAAGTAACACAATTTGAAACGTTTCTCGTCTTTATCCAGGTATGGGGTAACATCAAGCCTCGTTCAACGAAACAATGCTGTCAAATTAGCTAAGAGTTGTGTGATGTGGGAAAGCAAGTCTGGCCACTTCTAATGAGAGCACTGAGGTAACATTCAACAGAGATGAGGGAGATTACTCATGAGACGTGTCTACACCTTGTAAGTGGTTTAGATGACCTCAGTGCTTCCACTGGGCCAAGAAGGTCAGGTACTTGAAGGGACATGGTTGTATAAAGGCTGTGGAAACCCTGTTAACAAAGTGTTTTTTAACTCCAGTAGAACAAATATAAATTTATTATAGATTCAACTTCCTTATCAGCTTCGATTTGGATAAATGCAGCCAGACGGATGAATAATTTCCAAGGAGACTATTGTTTACTTACTGACTCGCTGAGTTAATGATAAAACTAATGGCGATAACAATTAGAACTGTTTTTCCACTGTGATCTAAAAGTGCTGAATGACTTCTAAAACAGGCAGTCCTCTCTTCCCTGCAACAAACCCTACCACTTCCTGAGAGCAGCTTTTGAACACGAGCGCCCCGAAAAGGGATTATTCATCCTGGAACATAATGGGTATCATTATAATTCAAATCACAGCTAATAGAATCAAATTAGGCAAAGGAATAGAACAACAGGATATTAATATGTTTCTCATAGCCAAAGATTTAAACCCTGTATCTTTTCCTTCTTATCTCTCCAACAATTTTCTGTGTCTCACTCTGGCAAAACAGTAATCACATTGTACTGATTATCTCGGACTGCTAGAGCGAGCAGGAAAATATTTTTGGTGTTTTCAAAGCCAGATTTTTGTGAGGCAGCCCTGAGAAGTAAGCTGCATTACCAACCTGCGTGACAACAACCTGAGCTACCCCTGGCCTCGAAAAACATTGTGTTTGTGAAGAACAGATCTCAAAGCCTGATGTATGCTTCTGCATTAACTCTGTGCTATAGTGGCCAATGCTGTCATGAGCACCACCATAGACTGTATATACTAAGGACAACTTGCTTCAGCCTTCCACCAGTATACAGATTTGAAGCCAAAAAGCTCTCAGTATTTCCGCAATTTTTCTCCATTTCCTGAAATCAACATTGCGCAGTAGCATTGTACAAAGGCTGTATCAAGTGTCAATCACAGAAAACTTGAACCCACTAATTACTTTTAAAACTGGAGCTGTATAGAAAAAAGAGGACTTGAGCACAAACCAGTCTTACAGTAACTACATGTCAACATCGCAAGCAGCGGAGAGAAAAATGTATATTCTGTGTAATAAATTTTTAAAGTTTGTCCACAGCTCCATAGGGATTGCTGGAGGAGGCGGGATTTATGATACTTCAGCCCGTCACCAGAGGGTGCTGTTCACAGAGTGGCTTCACCCAGTGAGGAGGCAGACGGCATCCATTCTATATACAGTCTATGAGCACCACATACTTGTGAATTGGTGTTTCAAAATTGCACTATTGCAACTCAACCAAAAGCAAGATTCAAAAAGAGATTATACAAGGGCGTGCAGATGACTGAGCAAGATAGTGCGCCCCATGTATGGGGAGCACGGTTCCCACAGCGGTCACAGGTTCGAGCCTGGCCTGACCATGTGCTGCATGTCCTCACCCCTCTCTCTCTATCTCCCCATATTTCTGCACTGTCCTATCCATAGGCAAAAATCGCCCAAAAAATACTTAAAAAAATACATTATATTTGATCACTAAAACATGAGATTTTCTATTAAAAACAATGCAAAACAAGATAAGCAAAGAGTCTGCAGGAACAGCTTGTTTACAGGGGGCACCAAACTTCTAACAGGAGTTGTAAGAGCATCAACAGCTATCTTTTTTTATGCCAGCAAGCTGTCCAGCTGCTTCAGTTAAAACAGCAAAAGAAAGGATAAGAAAGAGACAGAGGGAAAAGGATGATTGTTATCTTACCCTCCTTCTTCCTGAAATCCCTCCAGTTCATCTCTCTGCTCTGCCAGAGTTGACTCCAGGTCCAGGTAGCTTCCATTATGGGACAGCTGAAGAGCACAGTCATCCGGCTGGAAGAGAAGAGGACACAGTTAAACAGTGATTTGTCTTCAATCCTCCCGAGTTAACATGTAAAAAGGCTAAACAAAAAGTAACTTCCAGATATTTATGGTTTATTTACTTTAAGAGACTGCTGTGCCTGTGGCAAATACTGCTCCTGTCCTATCAGGTCTAAACCTCTAAATCAGCTGAAAAAGGTCAAATTTGGACCTTCAGTGCTTTGGTACTGCCATGAACACGTCTTAAATCAAAGTTAGGGCAACATTTACAAAACTCCGAGGGGGAAATCAATCAAGTGGTTTCATTTGAAAAACACCAGAGCTCTTGAAAGGTTGGTTTCCTGTATCCGTGAAACAGCAGAGTGACTGATGAATTTTTGTATTTCAAATCAAATATTTGTTTCTGACCACACAAATGTTACTTATAAAATAGTAAGACTGAAATCCTTCAAATCTTTATTTCCATGACAGTACTACCCATCCATCAGTACTGTATCAGACAAAAGTATAAGAGCTTTTCTCTTTTGATTGCTCAATGGTCAAATGCAGCAAGTATTTGAGGTTTATGCCCAGAGTGCAGAGGACCACAAAAAGTTCTGTTATCAGCTCCTGTCAGCACTCTACAATGACATACAGGGCGAGGCCGAGGAAAAGCCATTTGAGCAGTTTGGCAGTCTGGTGCCTCTTATCTCTACCCTCTCCCTGCCTGATACACTATCACCAGACAAGATGGTTTTGCACAGGAGGTCGGATTTGTCTGGTCTTGAATGGTTGTCATCATCTGACTGGGGTCAGGGAGCTGAGGAATCAGACGCTGTGTTCACTTGTGTTGTTGACCTCTAAATTGGAGATATTGACCTATCTTTATACAGTGTCTGTGCGCTCAGCAGGACAGCGGCTCCAACGGCGAAACAGAGGACAGGAAAACAAACATCAATACGGGAGAACAAACAAAGGTGGATTACAGGCAAGAGGACCTAAAACAACAACTGCAGACACTCAGTTACCCCTTCATCAGCTCAAGTAGAGATTTTTAATTAATGAAAATGTAGTTTTACACATAAAGCAGTTCCTCTAATAACAGTGCCACATATTAGCATTCATGTAACATGTATAAAAAAAAAAACACGTGTTTTTTAAGTTGGGCCAGTTATTGCAGGGTCTTATGCCTGGTCTGATATCCTCTCGTATATGACAGGAATTTTATTGAACGTGGAGGCAAAAGGCTGGGAAAGACATTAAGGGTCTGATGGTTTGATCTGTTGAGCCACTCTGTTTGTATTACTGCACTCCAGAACGAGAGGACTGTGTCATATTTGAGGACTAAAACAAAACATGTGGTTTAGGGATAACTCTCACTCTTTGTCCAACTTTCACTTTTTCCCACCGACTCTGAGCTGTCTTGTTTCCTTCCCATGCATCTTGGTAAACCAAAAGATTATTGGTAATATCATAGTTGTAGATTACAAGGGGCTGAATGTATTTTTGAGGGAAAAGACACAAGGGGGAGCACAAGGCCAAACACTTCAAACACAGAGAAGGAAACATCAATAGAGCAGGAAATCCTAATGGAGAGTGAATGGTTTTAGTGAAATGTTGTTAATGCTCTGACTGAGTGACAGGAAAATACAGACAGACAGAGAAAAAGCTGAGACAGGTAGACTGAAAAGAGGACAAATAAACAAAGCTGCACTGTACACAGGCAGTCGGGAGGGAAAGTGCTTCTCCAGATTACAGGATAGATTCTGGACTGAGAGGAATTCCAGGCATAAGGGCCAAAGTCAGGCAAGGTATTTTTATATGTATGCATATGCACTGACTTGCCTTTTAAAATAATGGGTGTGACAGTAATATGAAATGTAGCATGAAGGAGAAGACAGCCTATATCATATGTGCTGACCAGTGACTGAGCCAACACTATCTACAAACCTAAAGGGAGTCATTTCTTTTATTCATCAATCTTCCCTCTTTTGCTTTTAAATTCTTGTCATTTATTTCTTGCTTAAGTGTAGATTAGTATTAAAACATTTGTTCTGCTACTATCAGCAATTTAACGTCAAATTAACCATCTGGAACCATTTTTATCTCACTCCTCTTGGTAAGTACGTTATAGTTTGTTTCCTCGGATCTGCTCTGAATCACCAGACTTTAACAAGTCTTTCTACATTCAATACGGAGAAAAGACTCAAGCTTTTGCACGTGGTATCACTCCCAAGAAGTGGTTACTAATGTTGCTTTTTTTATTCTTGAATTCTCTATAACATTTTAAAGTTTGGGTTCTGATAAGGTTTATGGATTGGATAAAAGGCCAATGAAAAGTTTTGGTTTCTTTAAGTTTCACGCTCAGTATCAAAACCTGAAATAGACAAAACATTGGGCTGAATTTGTGGCAGTAACCGGCAATTAGCTAACTGTGGAACCAAAAAAAGCACTTCCCCTCACAAGGTTTTGGCTCACAGACCAGAAACAAAAACGTTAAAGTAAACAACAAAAGTTTACCATTAATCAGTCTTTATCTGCTGATCCATCTGCCAAACTAAGTACCCAAACTTCCATCTCCTCAAGACCATCTCTTGTTATCAACCTGGAATACTGTTTATAGCCCTTGTTGTGTGTAATCATGCTAAGCTCATGAATCCATGTTGCTTCCAATCCAGGAAGAGTGTGACCAGATTAATAGAGGCATGAGGCTTCTTCAACTGTCCCACACCCAGGACTTGAACCCGTGGTGGCCCTGCAATGGCCAAGTCCAGAGATGCAACCACAAGCGCTCTGCTCACACACTGAGGTCTGGCCTCTCCCTTCAACCATCATACTGTGGTCCACTGACCGGGAGGCAGTTAAGGCAGAAAGGACTAAAAATAAACACCCTGCATTTTCCAATTAAAACCTGCTATCTCACTCCAAGCTTCTTCAAACTTCCTCTCTCCCAAATAGGGGAAGACATCTGGAAAGTGAAAGCATATATACTGTGTGAAAGGTACATATTTGAAACTCTATAGCTTTACAATAACAATACTGTCTGTCTGTAGTTAAACCCAAATGCTCGCCCTGTGTCAGTTTTACTATTATTTACACCATTTTACCCTGCCGAATCAGACAAAAGGAACTGCCACTTTTAAACTTATTTAGATAAAAGTAAGGTTAATATTTTGGTCTATATTTGAAGAAAAAGTGATTATAAAATACTTAACAACACACTCAATAAATGAAATAAAAACCACAATAGTATTCTCAATTTTGTAACAAGTACACAGAGGATGAATCCCTATCCTCATTTTTCTGAGAAGGAGTCTTGTGTCAGAACAGACAGTTTTTCAAAATGCAGAGACCAACTTAACCTCAACTCTGCATAACAATGTGTAAAAGAATTCAAAGGAGCTCTGACAGGCATGAAGCAGGAACCTGTATTTTACAGCATTTAGCATAACTTCTCATTATGGGACTCTGTAATTTCTGCAGGGGAAAAATGCAGGAAAACAACCGACCGAAAAATTGAAATTGGTGAAGTGAGAGTCCATTCTCCAAGACTTAGCCACATTTTCCCTCCCTTAAATTCTGCCCCGGTATTTGATGCCAGGCTTCAAGGCCACCAGGCCAAGAACTACAAAACACTGACTGGATAGAAAGCATGTGAACGACTATTGATCTACCAACTTGGATTGACATTTATTGCAGAATCTGAATAACTGTATTCTTAATGGCTTTGCACATTGCCATCTGACAAGAGCAATACATAGTTTATGCTAAAATCCAAAGCCTGAGTCAAGGTGACTATAGGTGACAGAAAAAAAAAAATTCTGTGTGAGATCCTATTACTAATACATTGATAAATAATGGTTTCCCTTATGTAAATTATCACAGGAATATTCCACACTGATACTACCCACTAGATTATTGATTATTTGCCAGCAGACTGTGTGTTTTCTGTTGCTTTGACAGAGCTGTTGAGCTTTGAAAGTTTATATCTGTACTGATACCATCCACAAACTCTTGCTTTATTGGTTTTTGGTGTATTAGCTTGACATAAAACTCTCTATATATTTTTGACACAGCAGAATAGCCCGTGTGCCACTCCAGTCACAGCCTAGTCAAAGACAAATGTGTAAACAACAAGCACACACATACACACACACTTGTGCAGATCTCCTCTCTTGAGGCAATGGACTGAAACTGACAGGAGCAGCCCAGAGAGTCGGAGACAGCATATGCTAGCTGCTTTGACTCCCTCGGCACCATGTGTTGGCAGGGTGCTATTTATACCAGAGTGACCTGCACCATAGAGACAAACAGAGCTCAAAGACAACAGGTTTGTCATCAAAGGGTCACACCAAAGTCACTTTGTCAAACTTCTTAGGTGTGAATCACAAAAGTCATCACTCAGATGTGTTGAAAAAGACGTGTCATCAACTTAACACTTTTTTTTTTTTATGCATAGCCCAATGTCTTCTCTTTACTTCGGCTTAACCACCACAACCCATGTGACCAAATCTCACAAGCAGGCACTGCAGAATCTTCAGTTGGTACTCCCTCTCTGTCTAGTTTGCGGTCCAGCTGGCCTCGTGCTTAACTGGGACCAGTCGGCTGCGCAAAGTACATCAGCTCTTTGTTTGTGTTTTTAATTCTGCTGGCTTTCCTCTCCTCCCTCCAACAGTAAAATAAAGCGTTCCCATCCCGTCCTGCTGGTCAGACTGAGCGGGCCTCAGAACGAGAGCCAGACTTGTGGTGATCCACAGCATCCTGAAGCTTCTATGACTTATCTTACCAACTCCACTCAAACAAGATGGGGAACCATTGATGTGACAGAATGAAGAAAGACCCTAATTAACTTCCTATTTTCTCAAATACCCAGCAAGACTGGGCTGAATGCACAAAAAAGACTCAAGCTTAGATGCTGTGGACCCTAAGCTTTCTTTGTATTTAAAGGTCAGAAGATGAAGACTTTTGAAGATTTGTTTGGCAGCACAAGGTCTAATTAGACAAACTGGTGATTATTTGGAGATATCCTTTAGTGGCACCTACATGGAAAAAAGGCTAGAAATGGGGTTCATGTTGACATTTTTGTCATTGCTTTCTTTGTACTGCTAAATCATGGTCATTACACCACACTAAAGAGAAATACTGAGTTATTTAAAGCGGTCTAAGGCTGTGCAGAGTTGGATTTAACCATGTGTACTGTTTCTACTTGCTGCAATAATTTTAAACAAATGACAAAATGATGTGATGCAGCTTACCCTATATTAAGATGCAGTGCTCTTTGGTCCTGATTTTCATATGAAAATTGTTCCAAAATAGGTTGGTTGTAAAGGTTAATGAATATTAAAAACTGTGCTACTATTGCACTGGATTTTAAAGTTGACTTCACCTGGGTCTTTGAGATACTGTTAGCAAATATGATTTAAAAAAAAAGACTTTATGATCAGAAGCTTTCCTACATATACCACTAATGGAAGGTAAACTACTTCTTTCACAGGTTTCTTTCATGTATGGTTGAGAGGGCAGTAGTTTACAATGTTGAAATCAAACATCTACTACCCATTAGCTGTGTAGAACTACTTTGTCTAATTTATCTACTTTTCTTGTCTTACTCCAAATTACTGATACAAACCTGACCAGATTTCCAAAGGTATCCCCTGAGTTAACAGATGAATACCAGGATAAGCAGGTTATAGTGAAGGGGATTACTGTTTTGAATATTGTAAACATTGACAGCTGCCTCCCTCCCCTAAACAGATGGCTGTTATCCAATGTCTAATTTTGCCAAAAGCAACCTGCTATTTAGTAATATCATACCAGAAAATTACACTGTGCATGTGCAATATATCCTCAATAGCACCCCCCACCAGCAAGTCAATACACGGGCCATTGGGTTTCTTTGGTAGTTCCCCCATCAACATGTTCAGGCTAATTATTAATTTAGCATTTAACCATGGTTAACTTTTACCCAGGCCTATTTAAAGAAACATGAGCACAAGTTTGATCAGGACATGAACAAAGTATTTCCATACCTTCTGAGGAGCCTTCAACAGCCTGTGGACTCCAGCAATCTGATTTATCAGAGGAATATCTTCCCTGAAAGTGTACAGAGGTGGTCTGGTGGGCTCGGGGAAATTGGTGCTGTTAAATGGATCAGTATCATCTAAGAACTGCACCCTGCATATAAACGTTGCCATGATGTATCCATGCAAGACGATCTGAGAGAATGAAAACAGTGGATGCGACACCACAGCCTCTGACAGACAGGCAGCCCCCCCACCCCCCGGGGCAGCGAACTACCGGCAGGTCTTCTGCAGTAGCACAATCCTGCGCCCTCTGTTATCCTTGGAGCTTCTCCATTCGCTTCATGCAGCGCAGAGGACTCAGAACAGTGAGGTAAAGATCCGGAGCACCACTTCCAGAGATACAGTCAGTCAGGGCGGTGCAGGAAAGAGCGGGGCGGCAGTATCCAAGGGCATTGCGGGTATTTGAGGTGCTGAGGCAGACTGCGGACTGGACTGCTACACTTGGCTCCTGGTCTGCCAGAGCGATGGGAAGCTGCTCCCTCCTCCAGCATAAAGTCTGCCAGGGGACCCAGCAGCCAGACTTCAGCCGGCTGATGCAGCTCATATTACAGGCGCAGTGGCGGCCTCTAGTGGCTACAAGGGTAAACTACACAAATACCCTCACGGAGGCAAGCAATGACTCAACTCTACAGACGACTGAAGCAGTTTAACCAAGCAATTTGACTGGACAAGAGGCTCGGTGATACAACATCACTGGGACTTTAACAACATGATTCACTTGGTTGTTCTTATAGAACGAATATGAATGAGATGCACACCAACTTAGAGTGGTTAAAGGTACAGAATAATAAGTATTGCCATATGCACACTGCCATATTCAAAGGGTATCAAACTTTCTTTGTGGACAAACTGGTGTACAGTGGCTGTTGTCATGAATATGTCACTTGCTCTGATCGTTTAGTTGTTCCTTTCTCAAAGTCAATTGTATGAGGAGAACAGTGTTATTTAGATCTTAAGAAATGTGGAATCAATTGTATAGGAGCACACGGCAAATAAGCAGCAGATATTATTTTTTAAAAGACTTTAAAACAAAACTGTATGAATCAACTTAAAAAAGCATAAATTTTGGAGTGATTTTAATGTTGTGAAGAATCATGAATTGAATCTGTAATTCTGTTTATCATCAATTAATTGTTTAAATGTAATTGTATTGTGATTTTAAGTTTTTGGACCCCAGGAAGACTAGCAACCACTTTGTGTAAGCTAATGGGGTTCCAAACAAACAAATGAACAAATGAACTCCACCTTGGGCTATCTAAATTGATGAACACAAAACAGTCACTGCCATTAAAAATGTCCTGTCTACTTTTAAGATAAGATGATAAGATCGTGTCGATCCCTGAAGGGCTATTTAATTGTCTTTAGTGTCATGTCGTCTATGTCATCTACTATTAACAGAAGACTTAAATACCCTGAATGAAATACCTGTCAAATACCCTGACAATGTGGCCTACCTTGTCCATGTGTAAAAACACACTGTGGGGAAAGTGTAGAGGTCTCACATAACATTTAGATCATTTATGCTTTTGGCTACAACATTTTTAATAGCCTACTGTACTTACAATATAGTAAATACCCTGTATATAATACATAAATAAGGGCTGATTGGACATTTACTGTGAGTCAAATATGAACTGTGACATATTCATTCTGTCTTATTTTTCCTTAATGTACAAACTGCTTCAGTTGATGAAGTCAGTGGCTAAATGCTGAATCTACAGGAGTAGAGCTCTGTTTTATTTACTGTTTCCAGACTACAAAATAAGGCCTCATCCTCACTACAGTCCCTTTGTACTTGACTGTGCATTAGGACACAAGAAAACAGTAGAAAAGTATGTATATGGTTCAGATTAATTCATGTATGCTTTTATATGTAAAGCCAGTGTTTTCTATCATTATTTAATTTCAGAGTTAGTGTTCTAATACATGGTTAATGCAAAAAGTTTTAGTGAACTATTTTCAAGTTTGCTATGGGCTAGCATTGTTTATATTTTCTATGATGTTTTGACTTGTGTTATTGAGTTTCTGCCGTACCAAAATGAATGTCCCATGTGCCCCGACTCTTCCCCATTAGATAAGAATCAGTTACTTGTTAACTGACACGTGTCTTCTTGCTCAGCAAAGCTTTAAAGGCTGCTCACTTTTTGCTGATACTTATTGATGCCTGTGCCTAGTCAATCTATTACAGAGGTCCAGTACATAGTGGGATCTCACGTTGTGAGCAGCAATTTACATTCCAGCTCGACACAGTCTCCTTACTGTACCACTACAATACTTCAGTGTTAGACACATCATGAAGTTAAAACTTCCCAATCCAGGCCTGGAGGACAGGATATTGTCCCATCAAATGCTGGACAAGCTGGAGGAAGAGGAGGCCGGAGACAGACCAAAGTGGGATAACAAGGCCCAGTACATGCTGACATGTGTGGGGTTCTGCGTGGGACTAGGAAATGTTTGGCGTTTCCCCTATCTGTGCCAGAGTCATGGAGGAGGCAAGTAATGCAGCATGATTAATTGGATTTATTTGGGTTGAAATTATGAGTTATCATTGTTCAATTATTCTACATCTCTTTTAATTGTCTTAGCACAGGAAAACTTAGTTCTTAAATCATCTGCTGTTCTCATTGAAAGAGCACAAAATCAAAGAAAGAAAGAAAGAAAGCAAGAAAAAGAAAAAACAAGAAAAATCATGACCATTTTTCAAAACTAGCTTGACTCAAGTATTCTAGAGGAAAGTTACTTTAAAACATACTAAACCTTTTTACTGAATTGTCAGTTGAGCTGTTGTCTCTCTGTTGGATCAGTGTGCATGTTGGTGAAGTCGACACTGACTAGACAACCTTCTCAAATGAAGGAATTAATAATCAAAATAAAAGAGACAGACAAATTCACTTTGCCATTGACCACTTTATCCCAATTGGATGTGTTTAATTTTATGTAAATAATGTGATTTTGAAAAAAAGCAGCTTACATTATAATCAGCTTTGGAAGCTAAAAATAGCTTACGACTGTTCGCCTGTGATAAGAAGTTTTACATCATCCTGGATAAAGAAAATTCTCGTGAAGCGCAGTGCAAAGGTGTAAATGGTTGATATATTGCACAATTAAAATGAGTGTGTTTACCATGTCTACATATGCTCATGTAAACCCTGTATGATTAACACTGAAAGATTGGAGTGTATCAGTTGAACATCTCCTTAGAAGATGCAAGGTTGCCTTTAGATTTTATGGGGGAATAAACAAATTTTTATTGTTGCTATGAAACCATAAACCATTACTTTCTTTATCTTCTAGGTGCGTTTATGATACCATTTCTAATCCTGCTCGTCCTTGAAGGCATCCCACTTTTACATCTTGAATTTGCCATTGGTCAACGTTTAAGGAGAGGCAGTTTGGGGGTGTGGGCTTCAATTCATCCCTGTTTGACAGGCATTGGTAAGAAAACGTTATGATAATAATTTGTTTCAATGTCTTACAGTAAAAACATCTTAAGGAACTCTTTAAATATTTCACAGGCATTGCATCCATGTGTGTATCCCTGACAATCAGCCTCTACTACAACACCATTATAGCCTGGATTTTGTGGTACTTCTTTAACTCGTTTCAAGATCCTCTGCCTTTTAGTCAATGTCCCATGAATGCAACAGGTAATCAAACATCTGGTGAAGTCCTTATGCTAAATGTAATCACGAGTTTACAAAATCTTGATTTGGTCAAGTGATATCTATTTTTCATTGGTTCTTCCAGGCATTATTTCAGAGTGTGAGAAAAGTTCCCCTGTGGATTATTTCTGGTACAGGGAAACCCTGAACACAACTCCAAATATTGAAGATGATGGTGGTTTACAGTGGTGGATGCTGATTTGTCATATTTGTGCCTGGTCTGTGCTCTATGTCTGCATCATTCGTGGTATTGAGACCACAGGCAAGGTATGCCATATTGCATGTATCTACAGAACCAGGGAAGGTATTAATGCAATTGAACAATATTTAAATAAATGCTTTACTTCCCCCAAGGCTGTATATGTGACTTCAACCCTTCCTTACGTGGTGCTGACAATATTTCTGATCAGAGGATTGACCCTAAAGGGCTCTCTAAATGGAGTGAAATTTCTCTTCACACCAGATGTGAGTTGCACTTTTTAAATTTGTTTAAGAAAACAAACTTATTTTCCTGCACATACAAAAATCTGAATGCATTAAATACATAACTGTTTTATTTTAATGCTCCAACTTCTCCATTCAGCCTGTTTGAAGCACTAACCATCTGATTTTTGATCATCAACTTTATGTTTTAACAGTTAGCAGAGCTTGCAAAGCCAACAACATGGCTCGATGCTGGTGCTCAAGTTTTCTACTCTTTCTCACTGGCTTTCGGTGGTCTGATTTCCTTCTCCAGCTACAACTCAGTGCAGTGAGTTTTTTCATTTTAGTTTTAACCTGCAACATAAAAGATATTGGAGGAATTTTGTGCTGTACACTTAAAAAAAAATGCTCCTTTCAGTAACAACTGTGAACAGGATGCAGTGATCATCTCCGTCATCAATGGAATCACCTCTGTCTTTGCTGCCACTGTCATTTACACCATTATTGGCTTCAGGGCAACAGAGAGGTTTGACAACTGTCTCTCTGGGTATGCTGAGCAATTTTCTATCAAATAAGACAATTAAAAAACACTTATGTATTTCTGTTCCCCAGCAATGCATAAGATATGAAAGGTTTTTCAACCTAACAAATTGTGTTTCAGAAACATCCTAACATTACTAAATGCATTTGACCTTGCTGAGGGCTCCATCACTGACAGCAACTATGATCAGGTCTTTGAACATCTCAATGGAACATCTCCTGGTGTTATACAAGGGCTGGATCTACAGCAGTGCAACTTAGATACTTTCCTCAGTGAGGTAAGATTTCTGCAGGACTCTCTAGGACTACTTATGGACCTGCACAGCAGTGTCTAGTTAAAAGGGAAATCAAACATTTTCAAATGATCCCTGCCATGCCTTGCTGTGTTGGTTCTAGGGAGTTGAAGGAACAGGTTTGGCCTTCATTGTGTTCACCGAGGCCATCACCAAGATGCCTGTCTCGCCTGTGTGGGCTGTCCTGTTCTTCATAATGCTCTTCTGTCTGGGCTTGTCTTCTATGTTTGGGAACATTGAGGGAGTTTTAGTGCCACTGCAAGACCTCAAAATTTTTCCCAAGTCATGGCCAAAGGAGGCTGTTACTGGTCAGTCCCACATCTACTTTCCCTTTTAACTTATTTTAACTAACTAATCTGAATAAAAGGCCTTAAGGTTATCTAATGAATTTATTGCTCTGTTTCAGGTATAACATGTGTGCTCTGCTGTCTGGTGGGTTTGATATTTGTCCAAGGATCTGGGAACTATTGGCTTTCACTCTTTGACACCTATGGGGGATCTATTCCTCTGCTCGTTGTTGCCTTCTGTGAAATGGTGTCAGTAGTCTACATATATGGAATAGACAGGTAATATTGGATTACTTCTTAATTTATAATCTATTTTATAACTTTATAGTTTTCTCTTTTTCATCCTTAATGTCTTCAATGTGATGTTTAATGATTAAAACTATGCTGTTTAATGTTTAAAACTGTGCAGAGTGAGGGGGATTTTACAGCTTTATACTCATAACAGATGCTTATTTAAGTGTATTGTGCTAAAAAAAGCACTTGATCCAAGCCTGAGCCAGAGTGTCCTACAACCACTTTTTTTTCACAATTGTTTGCTCTTGAGTTGTTTATCTACACTCATGTCAATGTCCTTGCAGGTTCAACGACGATATCAAGTTCATGATTGGACACAAACCCAACTTCTTCTGGCAGGCATCATGGAGGGTCATCAGCCCACTCATAATGCTCTTCATCTTGGTCTTTTACTTCATCACTAAAGTTACAGAGGAGATTTTTTACAAAGCCTGGGACCCTGAATCGGTAAATATAAATTCATTTAAAATGCATTTTTAATATTGATTTTTTATGTTGATCTTTAAAATAGGTTCCAAGTACCATCAAAAACCAGTATTATTATTTTTTTCTTCTATTTGTAGGAGGAATTCCCAACATTGGTGGAAAAACCATACCCAGTCTGGATCTATGTGATCATCTTCATACTGGCAGGAATACCCAGCCTCGCTGTACCTTTAGTTGCCGTCTGGAAATGTTTCCAATCAAAGAGGAAGGATAAATCACATCTCTCTGACAAAGTTCAGATGTACGATGAGATCATGAAATCTCCAGCCTAAAGGAGGAATTTCTAAATTTTTCCTTTTCTTTTTTAAGAACATTTGAATCATTTCTTTCATGGTTTAACTGCTAATTTCAAACAGATGGCATAACCTCTTGAGAACAGAACACTGTGATTCAGCTGGTAATTGGAGGAAAAACTTTTATTTATTTAGCAGAAGAAACAATAAGAAATGCAATAAAATCGAAAGATGCAGTTGTATAATTTTTGTTTGCGCTTAAGGGCCGATCTGTTTCCTGTTTATTCCTTTTTGATCCTCCTTTGGAGAGGCATATTGGATTATTCAAGAGTAACATTTCTATCCCTTCTTTTCCTAACAGAAAGTCTCTTTGCAGTGTGCTCTGCAACAGTATTCTTTAATCTTTACTTAATCTTAACCCTCTGAATTTACGACATATATTGATTGTATAATTTTTATTGTGATATTGTATTCAGTACACGGTTTGCACTTGCTCGTGTTATGAGGAACACAGGAAGACTAGCTGATTGCTATGGCTTCAGCTAATGGGTATCCTTAACAAAAAAATAAACAAATAAATTTACTGTTAGGGGGCATCACGAATCTGGTCTTAAGTGAAGTGAGTGCAAAGTAGAAACCCACAGTTTGTTTCCTCATAACTTTGAGCGAGACTTTGCAGACAGACATTTTTCTAATTGAATCTGAATTTTGTCTAACTTTTGTGAAGAAATTTAAGTATGGTAAACCTAGTAAATATTGTATTTTCAAGAGCAAGTGCAATGACCAAATTTCATAAAGTTTTCTGATTCTTATGATTCTTTGAGTGATCTGATGAAAGTTCTCCAGTCTGTCCAGCTGGGGTCACTATTTTCAAGTGTTAACGCTGTGGTGTGTTTATTTCAAATTGCTTTGTCTCTGCATTTACTTCTTGTCTTGTGTGTGCTTTATAACCCCCAATGTTTTTCTTATGTATTTATGTGAGGAGTGATAGATGAGACTGAAAGTGCTCTGTATTGATATTATACACTGTGATAACTCCACACAAAGCATCTTTATTAGTAATTTGAGGCAAAAGCAATTCCTTGTGGCTATAGTTAGGCATGTTTAGAGTCACATATTTGCTCAATTTTTCCTCATTCATGCTGTGTTGTAAAAAAAACTGTATCATATAAAACCAAAAGGTTTGTCCTCAGATCTAGACATAGAGAGAGTCACCAAGGCTTCTTTGTATCCCAAACAGACGAGTCAAACAAAAGAGGTTTATGCTTTCCATCAAACATACTGACTAGTTAAAGGTTTAACAAGTGATGGACAGGAGATAAAAGTGCTGAGCAGATGCGGGTCCATGGAGCTAAGGGCAATTACAAAAGACAATAATGAGATAATAAGGCTAAGCTCGTTAAGCTTCCTAAACCTGCAAAGATCTTTCTATCAGACTTGGTAGGGAGTGGAGAATTTGGAAGGCTGTTAATTGACTTGAGAATGAACAGCCTTCCAAATTCTCCACTCACAAAGGATTTAATAAAATTAAAATAAATAAAAAACATTTTTAACTGTTTAAAATGTTATCATAAAAAGCAAAGTCCAGGAGAAACTGCTTCAAATTTGATATCCATGACACCAAAAATTTCATTGCTCTATTGGTTATGTCTCCAGAATAAGGGATTATTAATCAGTAGACTGCAAACTTGTCCCTTTTTCTACATCAACTTTGATCCTACTGGAAAATTTCACAATGATTCAAGCCTATATTGCCCTTATTAGAGTTTACCTTGCACCAAGAGCATAAAATTGTGAAAGGAAAGACCTCAAGACCAACTCTGAAGCACAAAATAACCATGAAACAGAACATTATCAAAGCTTCAATAGATAACCATAAAGTATAGATGTCTGAATAAATGAACATTAAATATTAAATATAAAATGTGGTGTGAACAAAATCTTTGACAGTCAATGTGAGTGAAATTGAAAGTAGCTAATCTGAATACCAATCCTGGCATTGTGAAAAACTGAATTTAACACCCAAGATTGGCAACAGAGAGCATTTTTCTGAGTTGTCAAAGTTTGGAATCATTTGTCACCTCGGTGTTAAGCTGCGATTTTTAACTTTCTCAGTTAAAAAAAAAAGTTGCCGTTTTCACATTGCATTTTAAACTGTCGTTAATCAAAGGGGAAATCAAATAAGATTAGGCTTACCTGTAATGTAGTGGTGAAAGTCCCCGCCTTTCTATGAAAGCTTTTTGGTTCAAATCCAGAGCTGTCTGTATGAGGGACAAAAGAAGCCCTTTCATCAAATTTATTTTGAGTGCATTCAAAGAAGCATAATCAAATAATGAAATGGTGAAATTAAATCCACAAAAAGAAGCACCGTCAGACACATAGACTGTATATACTATGGACAACTTGGTTATAGGCCGTTATTTTTTTTCCGATTTTTGATTTGAAAACGAGAAATGAAATAACAAGTAGTTATCCGTTTTCCGATTTTGGATTCTAAAACTGATATGGAATGAACGAATGATACACTGATAGTTCTGCCTCCCGCCTGTATACAGATTTGAAGCCAAAAAGCTCTTTGTATTTCAGTGATTTATCTTCATTTCCTGAAACCAGCAGTGCGCAGTAGCGTTGTGCACATTAGGCGGGAGAGTCGCCAAGAGTCGCTATGGTGACGCTCGGCTCAAACAGTGTATCCCCCGGGTGATCTGCGCAATCCCTGAACGCCTATAGGCTGTCCCAAGTGTCAATCATAGAAAACATGAACCCCCTAATAACTTTTAAAAACGGAGCTTCACAGAAAAAAAGAGGACTTGAGCACAAACCAGTCTTACATTAACTACATGTCAACACTGCAAGCAGGGGGAGAAAAATGTATGTTCTGTGTAATAAATTTCTAAAGTTTGTCCACAGCTCCATAAGCTTTGCTAGCGGAGGCAGGATTTATGAACTATACTGCAGCCCATCAAAAGAGGGCGCTGTTCTCAGAGTGGCTTCACCCAGCAAGGAGGCAGATACTGTCCTTTCTGTATACAGACTGCCAGCTGTCAGTGAAATAGTTCGGGTTTGCTGACAAATGTCTGTAACACACATTCATGATAAACACTCCACAGCCTAGTAAGAGTTGAAAAGACTTAACCACATTTGAGATTACTCTGTTTTAGTGACAATATTTGTTGATAAATGTTGGGCGAACTGATGACGTTTTTAGTGAATAATCATTGGGTTGAAGCGTCCTCTAGCGCGCAAGGATTCTAATGCATTTCACCGCCAGTTTAAGAAAACACGTAGATAATCAACGCTTCTGTGAGGATAGGGGAAATATACAGAACGAAGCAGTCATCGAAACCGTAAACGCTCGCAGTGGAATCTGAGCGTTTACCATAAGTATCCCAATACATGCGCACTTAAAATTCAAGAGCTGTTGAGTTGATTATGATAAAACAAGGGGCAGCTGGCCTGGCCCCACTTTTTTACTGTGTGAAGAGAGACAAAACGTTTATTTTCTACATGTCTATTTTCATTACCCTAATAGCGGTACTTGTGCTACAACCAGCAATAGACCATGTAACTACAATGCAATCAGATCCTAACCTGCTTGCACATCTTTTATACTGTCCATTTACTATAGTTTTATATTTGCATTGCAGTCAATAAACATTAGACAGCGAAATCATCGTAAACTGATGTTAGTGTAATGTATTTTTTCCCATCTTATTGAGGATTTTTCTTTCAATCTATTCTCCTTGTCTATTTATGTCAAACTAGTTAGTTAATGGTCATCTCCTTGGACAATGTGTTTTGTCAGTTATTTGGTTGTTTATTGGGATGTAATTTTAAAAATTGATGAACGTTTAGTCATAAAAGAAGTAATTCATTAAGTATGGTACAAAAAAAAAAAAAAACTGAATCTGAACATATCAACTCTTTATCCCACAGATGTGATTCAATGGCAATGTCAGGAACTCAAACGTATCATCTTGTTGAACACACTCCAGTGAACAGCTTTCTTTCTTTTACGTGACATAATCTAGTTATCTGCTTTCTACTCTGTTGCCTGCAGGTTTGAAAGGTGATGTAGTGTTGCATGATGTGTCCTCTGGTTGACTTTTTTGTCAACAGTCTATGTGGGTGTATGCGAGTAGTATGACTGTGCTTGTGTGCTTGAGGGCTGCATGTTGTCACTGGCCATGCGCATAGGTTGAGTTACACAGTTGTGCTTTTTGTGGTGTGGGTGGACGCTGATATTGTCTTCCTGGTGTCACGTGCTGTGGAATATGCTGGCTGCCTTTGTTGTCCCTCTGCCTGTTCTGCTTTTCTGGCACTTTCATTCAATGGTGCACTTGAACACTGTGATGTTATCAAGCCTTTCAAACTACTACAGCTTGAATTCCAGCTCTCAGGAAAGACTAGCACCCTAATGTAGGATATATGGCAAAACAATATACATCATTGGGAAGCAACAGCAAGGACTGAGTGTAACATCGGAACAAAGGTGATGATTGACCCTGCATCAACTTGTGAGCACCTTACTTTTTGTCAGTTGAGGGCTGCATTTTAGAGCTATGCTAGTTGTCATGCTAATGCTATTTTCAGTACCACAAAATTAAATTGACTTGTGTATGAGGATATTTGACATGCTTATTGGTTTTTGTTTTGGCCAATATTTAATCTATTTATCGAAAATTAAAAATAATTAAAATACCAACTGCTAACCAAGTTTGAAAGGATGTGTTTCGGTTTTATCAAAGGCTGGAAAAAAGCATAATTGAACTTTCCCCACATGTTGACTGATGTTTCTATCTTCCTGTTATGTTAACAGAAAATCTTCATGTGCTGCCTTAAATTATTGTAGTCTTCAACAGTAGCTGTACGGTCTTTCAGAACTTATTTATGTTGTAACCTACAGTAAAGAATCACTGCATCACAACAGTGGTAGAAGAGTGTGACAAGTTCAGTGCTTTTTTTTTACCTACAACAGGCAATGTCCCAGCGAGCAGATGCCTCCCAATGTGGCGGGGTTGTGGTCGAGTTCGAGTCTGAACACATCAAAAATGCAAGAGTGAAAAAAACTAAGAGTATACCAGGTAAAGTCACAAAAATTTAAAGTCACTATAAAATTTAAGTGTGTCTGCGGCTGATTTGACATGAACTTAATCAATCTTTGTGGAATTCCCCTAAAGGTTCAGCTCTTATCTACCTCAAGGGTCCCAAGTTTCTCATCTATGTCAGTGGGGCATTGTCAATGTGGGTAAGAATCATGTCCTGAGGGAACAGATGAAACTTTGAAACTTGAGTAAATGCAAGGTAAACTATTGTTAGCTTTCTGAGTATTGCAAAACACCACATAATGATTTTGTTTTTAAACAGGGGGACCGCATGTGGCACTTTGCAATCTCTGTGTTCCTGATAGAGCTATACGGCCGTAACTTATTGTTGACTGCTGTGTTTGGATTGGTAGTGGCTGGGTCTGTGCTCCTACTTGGAGCTTTGATTGGAGACTGGGTTGATCGTAATCCAAGGAATAAAGGTATGCACAATAATTTCACAGTACCCATTTGCTAATGTAGTTAATCATAGAAAGGGGATGTAGATCAGTGGATGTAGATCTCTATCTTGGGCTCAGAAGTCTGCTGGCATCCTATCTATGTATGTGGTGAATTACACTGTACCCTCACTGTTTGGAGTGTAAATCAGTTACTCATTTGATAGCTTGACTCAATACCAGCAAGACTCAAGGTGCAAGATACACATCCACTGACTCAGAGCTGTGAAGGCTGGCATTGCTTTTTTATGAAATACATCATTCATGTTCTGAGAGTCTAAAACTGTTTTTCTGTCTCCTATTTTAGTTGCACATGCATCTCTTTTTATCCAGAACATCTCAGTGACAATATGTAGCATTGTGCTTATGTTGGTGTTCTTATATAAGCAAAGGATTGCACAGATCTGGGATGGATGGCTTACTGTGAGTAAACATATCTGAATATCTGAATGTATATAGTTTCTAAATGCAGTGTCCATCCTGATGATTACACAGCAAAGTTATAGTGGCTGTTCCCCCTCTGTTTTGTTTCCTTGTTGTCTCTGCTTCTGAGCTTCTGGCCATTCTGTGCTGTCATAGTAACATGTTGCATCGCAAAACTTACACAAGGTGGTTTGTTATACGGTGGTGATCGTCCTGGCAGATGTGGCAAACCTTGCAAGTACAGCGTTGACCATTGCTATTCAGAGGGACTGGATTGTGGTTATCACAGGCTACAACCGAGGTCACTTAGCTGGTGAGATTTAATTACTTTTTAGTGCACCTAGTGGTTTTGTAGTCCATATTTTTCATATATGCTTTCTATGGTGTTCACCTGTTGAGCATGATTAATTTGGCATCAGCTCTCGATCTTGCTGAAGATACTCTTGTGGTGGCACGATAAACTCTATGTCTTATATCCTGTTCACAGGAATGAATGCAACCATGAGGCGGATTGACCAGGTGACTAACATCCTGGCCCCACTAGCAGTGGGACAGGTCATGACACTGGCTTCCAATGTAGTTGGCTGTGGCTTCATCCTGGGTTGGAACCTTGTGTCTCTAATTGTGGAGTTCTTCTTCTTGTCACGGGTGTACCGTATCGTCCCTGCTCTTTCAATCAAACCGCCAGTAGCAGAGGAGGATAACGCTCAGGTGTATCTGCAGAGGATGGAGAGGGGAAGGTCACAAGGTATGATCTCATCAATGTTTTGACAATAAACTATTATCAGAATCTTTTGTATTTCATATCTTTTTGTTTAAATACATTGAAGTGTTTTTTTAGTGCATCAAGATTAGTTAACATCAAAATGTGGAGAGTAACAAAAGGATATGTTAATAGCAATGAATCAGGCTTCTGGTTTTTTTAAACGTTTACTTTATTGCACCCCTTAAAAAGTATTTTTAAAAATTACAGAAAATTAGGCATCTCTTTTTTTTCTTTACACCGAAACACATTTTAAAACAAAATAAAGTAAGTTGTGTTCTTTTGATGAAGCTTAGAAAAATTACACAAAAAAAACTGTCAATTTCTCCAAGATAACCTCACAACTTTTGTTAAATTCTTGAAATACTACAGACCTTCAGATTTTGATAGAAAGTATAAAACTGGTATACAAAAAGCTCTTTCAGTCTGAGGCTTTTTCCTGCTCTGTGCTGCACATTTAATGGACTAAATGAAGAAAGTATAAAACAGTTAAGTTTTGCTTTAGTATATAATATTAGAAGATGCAACCCCTCCTTTTTTTCCACAGTAGCAGACTGCTGCTTGGTCTGTATCTTGTTTGAAGTCCACTTCCATTAGTCAAGAAGCTCTGTATTAAACAGATGATAGGACTCTGGCTCAACATGAAAAAGAGGAATTCAAAGTACAAACTGATAACTGGTCTTTATAACAACTGATTATCAGAGCTGATTGGTGTCATTTTTCTTTTTCTTTAGAGGAAGGTGATGTAGCACAACCCCAACCTCTGGCAGAAGGTAACTGCAATGCAAGTCTGCACCTAAAAGAAATTACAGACCTGCCGCTGTGTTTCCGGAGGTTTCGTTGGCTGGTGAGCACCTGTAAGGATGGCTGGAGGGCCTACTATCGTCAGCCTGTCTTCCTGGCAGGAATGGGTCTAGCTTTTCTCTACACGACAGTCCTTGGCTTTGACTGTATCACCACTGGCTATGCCTACACTCAGGGCATAAGTGGTTCCCTCCTCAGTCTACTAATGGGTGTCTCAGCGATCACAGGGCTAATGGGCACCGTAATGTTTACCAGACTGAGGAAGACCTATGGTCTGGTTAACACGGGCATCATCTCGAGCTGTCTTCACCTGGGCTGCTTGCTGCTATGTGTATGTTCCGTGTTTGCCCCAGGCAGCCCAATGGATCTTAGTTTTCTAATGCCCCCCATTGCCCCCAACTCCTCTACAGAGCTGGGAGGAATGGCAAGTCAAAGGCAGAAACACACATATCCTCTGCGGGGAGGCAGTAATCAGCCTCTGGTACCAGACCGCTCCTCCATCCACTGGACCAACAACACTGTTCTTTTTGACAACGTGCCCTCTGGCACAGCACCAGAATCATACATCTCAATCATCCTGCTCTTCCTGGGTGTCATCACAGCACGCATTGGTAAGTGGACAAACACCAAACACTGAGATGCTTTTATTAACACCCCAAGTTAAGTGGGTTCATTTGTTGTATTAAAAAACAATGAATGGATGTACTATCAACTGCAGAGCCGGGCTCTTGCACTAACATTCCAGAAACGATTGGAATATATTATCTACTAATTAGCTTAACTTATACATTTTATCTCAATTGCACACTGGACATTGAAAAATAAGAAATGATAAAACAAATGAATGTTTACTGAGATGAATACATTAGCTGTTGAGACAACTGGCTTTTTCAGTGGTCGTGAGCTTTTTTAAAGATCGCTGTTATGTATGTTTTAGGTCTCTGGTCCTTCGATCTGACAGTGACCCAGCTCCTGCAGGAGAACATCTGTGAGTCAGAGAGGGGTGTTGTAAATGGAGTGCAAAGCTCAATGAATTACCTGATGGATCTGCTTCACTTCATCATGGTGATCTCTGCTCCACAGCCACAGCACTTTGGAATCCTTGTTATCATTTCTGTATTATTTATCACTACTGGACACACCATGTACTTCCTGTATGCACACAAAGCCAAGAGAAAACTCCGCCTCGACACATAAGGAGCAGGATGGCCTACTTATTGTTGTATGAGATGCTTAAACCATCAGACTCCACTCTGCACCTGTGAAATGAATGTCTTCCTCCTGTTCCTGCAGCAAACTTATTCCAACACTCCATTTCTAACCTAGCCATTCATTTCAGTACAACACAGCAAGTGCCTGACCCGCCTCAGTTGCTTTCTCCCTGCAGAGCAATGTGCCAAAGCAGCAAACAACTCAGGTGAAGTAGAGTGGGAGACATGCTCTCCCTTTGTGTACATAAGTTGAGGTGGCTACAATGAATGCAGCAATGATACTTCCAAGGGAAATGTCCTATTCTAACGCACAACTGGACTCAAAGGCATCAGCATTTGTCTTTGCAAAACCCTACAGGATTACTGCAAAACTTTTGTCAAACAAGCCTGTTAACCTACCTTACTTTTTGAATGGGAGGGTGGATGGATGGAGAGATTTTTCTCATCTCACTCCATAAAGAACTGGTGTTTTAAGGAAAACTTTACGCTGATATTTTAACTACAAACTAGACAAGACTGTACTCCTACAAGTGGCATTGATGTTACTGATCCGTCCACTTGGAAATATTCCAGGATGTCCAAAAAGGAACATAAAGGGAACTTGTTGTGAGATTGTTTGATTAAAGAAAAATCAGAAAGGCAGCCACCCCCTTTAGATGGACAGAAGTGAAAGGACAATGTTTGTCCTTCCCCTGGTTTGTTTCTGTGTGGATGAATCAAGAAAACATTTGCCTTTCATTTGTGCATATGCAATGTATGCAATGTACTTTCAAGGACAAAGAAATAAATTCTTACAGCTTGAACACTTAGTTAAATTGAAATAGTTTTCCAAAATTTCTTTCCTTCCAATATAAAGAGTGCTATTAATGATTTTACAGAAATTCAAGAAGACAGCAATCTTTTTTTTTTTTCTTGTGATGTTTGAAATCAGTTATAAGCTAAATGTTGATTACAAATGTCAATCACTGCTATCAACAGTGTTTTATTACACCTTGCCTCTTTCTCTTGTAGTTCAGATGAACTAAACATAATCTTACCTCAACTAAAAACAAGAACATTGTTGGGTGTATAACTTGGGACTTAATTTTAGCTACTGTTTGTTTTCATATCTCCTTCATGTACAGTGATAATAACATCAAAGTTCAGCAAGTTGTCATTCAAACTGAAACAGATCTCAATATATTTGTATCATTTCCCTGTGGAATTTGCATATTGTATGTTGTCCTCATTTTCCAGACTGATAATTACGATAATAAAGATGACTGAATATGATTGTCTTGAGTCTTCTGATCAAAACTGACAAAAGAAAAATATTATGCTGTAAAGTTCTAGAAATGTTAAATCTATGTACCTGTGTAAATGTAAAGGCTCTGTGAAGCCAGTAGAGGTCAGTGTCACATTAAAATCTTTTTGATGGAAAACAAAATCCACAACCAATGTCTTCACCTAGTATCCTAATCCTTTCATTTGGAAGATTTTGTCAGCACCATTTTTGTGGTTATGAACGAAACACAATAAGTAAAGGATCAGAAACTAGAATGCTAAAATTCAGAGTGAACTCCAGATATTGTCATCTGTATTGCTCAATATACGGACCTGTTACCACCATGGTTATAACTCAATTCACACAAATTCTGCAGAAGCTGCGAAGCTAATTCTGCCAGCCATATTGGCTCCATGTAGACTTCCAGTATACTTTCTCTACTATACAGGGTCTGATGCTTTAGTAAATCACTTTCCTCAAGCAGCTCTTGCTTGTTTTGCACAGTGAGGATAGTAGTGCTTCAATCATGATCACTGGCAGTGTCTAGTTACCTTGGTAATGAACAAAAGCTATGAACCACCTGGTAAAGGCAGCTGGCCAGGAAGGGCTATATTTGGAGTGGGAGGCTGTTTAACTGAGAGTGATAAAGAAGCAGGCCATGTAGGAGCTCTGAAGAAAAAAAAAAAACAAAAACAAGCAAAAAAAGAAACTCAATATAGGTCAGCAGTCAGTTAATATTTGCCCCTTCCTTTTTTAACTAGACTTGGTTTTGTGTGTTGCATCCTGTGTTAGTTAAAAAAAACCTTGTCTTCACATCTGCAAATGTTATTTTGTCAGTATTTTTTATGAATTATGGTGGCCTAGTTTACCATCTCTGGTGTCATAATCTATGCTGATACAACAAACAAATAAGAAATAAAGCTGACTTGATGTAGCCTCAGAGCAGTATTAAATGCTTTATGCTTTAATGTAATCTTCTCTAGGTGGAAGTGAACGATTTTTAAGGGGTCCCTAGCTTTAAATATAATATGAAAGTTGACACATGTGCCATGCTTTGGTGGTAGTAAAATGAAACTGACAACACCTTCTACACTTGATTTACAGTAAAATAAATTGTTTGTCATTGTTGACATCAGAAATTACAACTCCAATTCCATAAGAGTTGGGCGGCTGAGTAAAACTTGGATTAAAACTGAATTTCATGATTTGCAAACCAGCTAAAACTCATATTTAGTAAAAAAAAAAAAAAAAAAAAAAAAAAAAAACTTTCTACATCGTGTTTGGTTTCCTCTCTGCAAGGTGCAGTTTTAACCTGTATTTTGATCCTGAGAAAAACTGTGTTGTTTACAAACATTAGTTTTCATGATGTGACTTTGAGCCCATGCACTGATTTCCACATATCTGTTTATAATGCAGTGACACAAAAGGGTGCGATGACCATGCCTATCCAGCATGTTTTGCACCCAATACCTGTCTCCATGTACCTGCCTGACCTTTCATACAAAGAACGAGCCGTTACACTAAAGAGAAGCTCGCTTTAACGTCTACTTATTTACAACGAACAACGTTGAAGTTGCCGTTACCGGGTAACCACCAAGTCACACAGCTTATTGAAAGAAAAACTTTAAAAATGTTCTCGGCACGACTTACCAATGTGTCCACCGGCGCTCGATTTTTCGTATTCCGTATTTGAAGCGTGAACTGTTTCCGACGGGCAATCATGATAACCGGAAGTGGTTTATCTTTCTATGGGGTGTTATGTCAACATTCACCCAGTAGCGGTTCTAGGCACGGGCGAACAGGGCAGCCGCCCGGGGCGGCATTTGTGTCATGACTCATGGGGGGCGGCACGAGCACTTCCAAAAAAAAAATAAAATAAAAGATAATAATAATAAATCTTAACCGCAAAGCGGTTTTGTATTAACTCTTGTAGTCAAATTGGCGCCCCCCCACTGCTGTAGGCGCCCCTGCTTGCTCCGAAGGTGCTGCACAGAGGCTGACAGACTGTAGGAGACGAGGCGGGGAGAGAGTCGCGGAGGGACAGCTCTGCTCTGTGTACGCATGTCAGCATATCAGCGGGAGCGCGGATACGTCATTTTGTAGTTTTTTAATCATTTCTGGAGTCGCGGTGAATGAAATCACCGTACCCGTCTGCCTTTGATAGGCGAATAAAGCGCTCGGGTTCATGCTCGGATCTTGCTACGTGCTTGATGAGCTTCATGAGTAAAGTAAACAATGACGGAGACAGAGAGGAGAGCAGCTTCAGAGGAGAAACATCCAGCAGTGTGAACAACCTCTTCATAGGGAGTGCTTTGGCTCACACTATCAGCGTTTTCTCTGAGTGTTGCATGACTTTGGGTGAGAACAGAGATGAACACACTGTCAGCCACGTATTTATTTATTCATTTTTTAGTTTTTAGTTCTGCTTTTGTACTGGCACTATACTGGGGCAGCTGTATACCCTTTCAACACCTTATTTTCTATATTTACATTTGTATTGAATGGACACTTTATCATGACTGCCACTTGTTTTACAGAAAGCAAATTATTTGTCATTCTCCAGTGCAGAGTCTTTACTTTTATTTATACAGCCGCTTTATTTCATTTGAGTTTGTTTGTTCAAGGTTTTCAAAATGTGATGAAGGTTCGCAAAACTAAAAGATAGCTTTCTTTAAAGCCACATGTTTAAGCTCTCAAATACTTTTTGAATTTTGTTTCTATCCACTGCAGAGGCCGAGATAGCAGCTTTTTTGTAAACCTTAACATTTCAGAAAACCTCAGGATCTGGGGGCCCTTCTCAAAATGGCCCTCAGAATTGTGTTTTTTTCTATTGAAGGATTTCTGCAATTGAGAAATATATTATTTTTGTTGTTATAATAATAATAATAATACATAGTAATACAATACTATCTGTTCAAAATTCTATCTCTTTTTGTGTGTGTGTGTGTGTGTGTGTGTGTGTGTGTGTGTGTGGGGGGGTGGGGGTGGGGGGGTGGGGGGGGGGGGGGGGGGGCACTTGGAGAGGTGCTCGCCCGGGGAGTAATTTGGTCTAGAACCGCCACTGCATTCACCGATGGGGGAGAGTGGGGTAAGTTGATCCACCCCCTGTTGCTTGGAAATGGTAAAAGAAATTGATCACATGACCAAATATTTAGAAGATGGGCATAAATTCATGGAATCTGTGAAGGTAAGAAGCACGTGGGTAAAAGGGTTAGACATTTATTTCCAAAAAACATTTTTTTCACATATCCCTACTACCAAGGGGTTGGTAGCAGGGATATGGCTCAACTTACCCCATGTGTGGGGTAAGTTGACCATAGGAGACCACTTTTTTTGGCATGCTATATCATCAAGACAGTTACGTTTACACTCATTTCTGTCGGCTTGCAGGGATGCACAACATCTTGAAATAGATGCAGATACACTAGCTAGAGACAAAACTATGATTGCCTGAATGTAGTGATCCGAAATATGAAAAAAAGCTAATCTTACCCCACTCTCCCCTACCCAATGTAGAAACTAAGGTGAAAGACCTCTCTTTGTAGAACTAAGTCACTGATACAGACAGTAGTGTCCAATGACATTGCAATGAAGCAGATGAAATTAGAAGATAGCATAGGCCCATGGAAGAATTACCTTATTGAAATTTGGCAACATCTGTCTGTCTGTATGTCTGTAATTTCTTTGTGTGATTTTGTCAAACCACAAAAGCCTCATTCACACTAAAAGAATCTATTATATAAGACTATCCTGGCCAAGATTACCACCCATGTTGTCGTAAAAAAAAACCACCTGGACATAGAGGCATTTCAGATAGCAGATAGCGTTTTAAATGTGTTAATTTGTTTTACACGTGGGCTGTATCATTTATGGAGGCATGTTGTTTTTTATCCAGAATTGTGTTCTTACGGTGTTTATGAATGTGAGTCCTGTATATTTACTGTCTTCCTCTTAAAGTTTTGGGGATAGAGGGTTCACATTGGAATTGCAACTGTTCTGTAGTGAAATTCACCCTAAAGCCATCCTAGAAAGGGGCACAATAGATAGGAGGATCACAGGCAGAAAATTAATTGTTTTGTTTTTTATTAAATGTATGGTTTAATGCTTTGAGAACTCTAGAAATGGAAGAAAAAACAAGTTTGGATTTCACTGGTTGTTTTTCCAGGTCATTTAGGCTACACAAAGCTAAATGGTATGTCCTCATAAAAGGGTGGATTACCTTCCCTGACAATAATCTCTTGTACTAACCATTCTGATGTTTCAGATATTCAGAAAGGTTTCAAAAATTAAACATGGGTCAAATTTACAACTCATATGCGTTGTGGGGATGTCACTGTTTCTGTTGTTTGGTATCTTCAGTTTTCATGAAATTGTACAAAGAGTTATTTTAGAGAAGTCATACTGTAACAAGCTCACCAGCATTTCATCACTTTTCCCTCATGTAGCGCCACAGGCCTACAGTAACAGTGTACCTCCTTTGGTTGTCATGGTAGTCCCTGGTTAGACACAGAGTAAGCTCGCTAACAAGTCTGACTTTAGGCATTCTCACTTTGCAATTCATTTACTTGAGAAACTGGGTCAGTGTGGTAGCACATTAGTGTAAGAGTTGTCCTCCTGGCTTTGTATTCACTGAGGAACATTCTCAAGGAAGGCACAGGAAGGAAGAAGAGGTTGTTTTTAGATTCTGAAGGCCAATGATTTCCTTACTTTTCTTCCTGCAGTGCAACCATAAAGAATAACATAGTTCAATTACAGTCCAGTGGCTGGCTTGACCATCTAAAAAATGGTCAATACTAGCCATGTGGTGGGAAAAAAATATATTTTCATTCATGACAGCCAGATTTTTGTAATCAAGAAGCTTGTATTAAATCTCAAAAGCAACAAATGGTAAGGGATGCAGGAGTATGCCTCTATTCCACTTTAAAGATATGCATTTTACAGTGTTGTAAATCTTACTTAGTTAATTCTTTAAAAAATTGGAGCGCATTTGATCAGATTTAACCCCACATGAAAGAGGAAAACTGAACCTACTGAAGACATGAAGACCTTTTCTCATTCTGCAGTGTGCTTTATCAGCAGTTTGAAACGACACCCCGATTGAATGGCTTTGCAAGGACCCAGTCAAGCATCCCAATGCTGACAGAGGGGAAAAGATATAACACTAATAGATTAAGTGTTCATAGAGAGAATTAATGTCCTTCCTTTACCCTGCTCAGTACATGTAGGTTCACAGTTTCCTCTGAGGCTAAAGGAAGCAGCTGACAAGCTTTATTTTATTAGCAAGTGTCTGACAAGTGTATGATCTTTATCAAAATGGACACATTTTTGCTTACTGGCAGCACTGATGACAAAAATAATTAAGGGTCTTTTGACTAAGTTTACCTTACACAAACTTTTACACAAAATACACTATTTAGTACTCTCACAATTACAATTACAGAGCCCTCTCATTTCTCTGCCTCATTTTTGTTTGATATTAACATGAACAATGGTTTACTCTGTGACATTTATCTGCTTTTACCTGATGAGCTGCTTATAGGCAAAATGCATGTACTCCATTGTATTTAATATGACTGCAGCAGAACAGTTTTGTGTTTGTGTCTGAATGACCTTAAACCACAGTATACACACACGTAATAGATCTCCACCCTTACAAGTGTTTGACCTTCCAATGTAACGTACCCTGCCCAGTCCTGAATGTGGACTCTCTCCTTCTTTCGGGGGAGACTTTGAAACTTCCTTTTTTGGGTTTGTCTGGCTCACCAGATGTTTCCTGAACACACCGTGTCCCTAACTCTCTCTCCTCCGCCGTGGTGAAAGGCATGGGATGACGAAGAGAGGGAATCTGTTGTTCACTCACAGTAAAGCCAAGCACAGAGAGATACCTGGAGTCCAACTGAGGAAGACTTCTCCGTGTGTGTGTCTCTCTGCAGAGCTGACCAAGGCATTTGGGGACTGGGACTAACTTTGGCTGCAGAGACAGAGGACACTCTAACCCACCTGGGCAGCATACACAGAAACGCACTCTATTCCTAACGCTGTGTTTTTAAAAGTTTCTTACCTCCACTTTTTTAAGGGGAGTGGAAACTCACAAACAGTAGTCTTTCTGCGGTTGTTAGTGGTCAGGCGATGTCGTGGGACTGTGGCCTGAGGTACATGTTCTCTGTGTCCCCTGCGCTGCAGCAAGGGAGCATGTGCATCCTGCATGACAAGGAGGACCTGTCCAGACTGGAGATGGTCCAGAGACTGGCCAAGGATGGCTGCCGCTTTCTGCAAAACCAGAACAAGGGCTTGGAGAGGACAAGCGAGGTGAGATACAAAATGACCATTGTGGCCAGACCCTCAAAAAATTATTTTATTACATTTTTGAAAGTTTTTAAAAAAATCTGTATTCTTAAACAGATCATTATACATATAACAAGGTCCTTTATGTGAAATGCAGCACTCTTCAATTCATCACCCTGAATAGCTATTTTTGTCCTGCCAATCAAGCTGCTTATCAGATAGTCCTCTTTATGTAATCATGACCCTTACTTAATTAGCATGTAGCATTGAATTTTCAGTCTCAGAGAACCAGATTAGTTTCACTCTGAGCTATATTGTGGCATTTCATGCTGTAGTTTTGTGTCTCTTGGTGTCTTATCTTTAGCTAAAATGTCTCATTCATCAAACCTTTATTTGACTCATGTTTCATTGTAGCCTCCTCGAATTTTATCATTTCTCTGCTTTCTCAGAAAATGAATGGTGACATTAAAAACCTGTCAGCAAAAAGCTTTCTCCGGTGAGGTGTAGTCAAGTGTGAAGGAAACTTAGATTAAGACAGATTTGTTATTGTTTCTTGATGGTATACTGATAAGTACAGTGGGTTATATGGATTAGAAATAAAGTTAGTTATGGGCTTTAACCATTAGATTCAATATTGGCCAGATCGGTTTACATTAAGCCAAAGCAAATCGTTAGATTATAGGCAAACTTGGGCACCAGTATCACTACCATCCTTATTTTATATTAATCCATGAGTATTTTTTATGTTCAAATAACAGTTACCAGAAAGTCATTCAAAATGAAAGTTACAATAAGAAAGAAAAAGAGTCAAGGGGTTGGTCAAAAATCAAGGTGCGATTGCTCATTTATTTTCCTGGATAACATATATATATATTTTGTTGTTGTTTTGTTTCTGGTTATTTTGGCACAGAGACAAACCCAAGTTAGAGAGCTATTAATGCAATAGTAATGCTAAAAACCCAGGGCTTCAAAATTATAATAACAAAATAATAGCTAATCTAATGTAAGGGACAGGACTGGTAAACATGGGATGAACAGTCATAATTTTTCCACCCCCTCTTAAAAACAAAACAAAATTGCAGATACTGTATGCTCAGTTCTACTTTATATATATATTAAAAAAATGCCATCAGCTTCATCTCGACTGTGTATGCGATCTGATTGGTTGACCTTGTGGTGGGCTCAGCTTCTCCCTTCCTGCCAGCTGTATGAGCACACACTGAACTGTCAGACAATGGCAGGAAAAGTTGATGCAAGTGGTTGGACCACCATGCCAAGAGATTGTGTGGTTTTTGGGTGGATACCAGTGCTTCAAGTCCCTGACCTTTTCTGCAAACACAAATACAAGTTTTATCTCCTAATCTAAGTTACTATTCAATGGAATGACCTTTCATGTGCTCTAAACAAATGCCAGTCCATGTGCTGCCAAATGTTAGTGCTGCACAATACAGTTTCACTTTAGTTGTTTAATAACATATAAAATTGCAAATTATCTCATATTTTAAACATAAAAAAATTGTTGTACTCTAATGGTGCATTTTGTATAAATGATATAATCCTGGCAGTAATGGCAGGATATGCCAACCCCATACTAATACTTGACATTATCTAAAAATGTAAAGATTAAGTCAGATTATCTGGTAATGTTTCAAGATTATGGAATGGTTTTACACTAATCCAGTGATGCTACAATGCATGTCCTGTATCACATGTGACTCATGTAAATGTGAGAGACCAGACATAAAAGGGCTTAGAAATCTCTGAAGTCCAAGCTGGTAGAAACAGGGATGCTTAATAATCAGTCAATGTGACGTTCATGAGAAAATATGAAAGACGTTTTAGTGCGGAGCGATCATAAATGTTATGCAACGTCCCACATTTGAGTCTAAGCATGTTTCTGGGTCTTTTCCTTTGGTGGTCTACAGACATTAATTATTAATTTAGCAGTTAAAAAAAATAACCAGCTTTAAATTTTACAGCAAAGAGTTTTGTGTTTGGAAACTTCTTGTCCTTTTCCTTCATTACTATTATCTATTTTCTAGCAGAGCTGTGCATGATCATGTGTGACACTTTCTTACACCTTACGTAACACAGTTTGTAAAATTTCCTTAGCTTTGCTCAAAAATCAGAGCTATTGTTCTCATGAAGCATATGAATGCAAAGGAATTTACATATTATGCACAGAATCTTGTTTACGGTAGATTTTCTGATCTTGAAGAGAAAGTTGAGCTAATTAAAGCCAGAGATAATGAATAGCTTCTGCATCAAAGCGTTCTTTGAAATCAACAGTGATGTGTTCCTTTTTTTTTCTTTGTATTTTGCATGATCCATGCTATATTTTGAGAGAGTATGTAGTTTGAGTCTGCCCCCTGTCATGCCTGACACCTTCCAGGTTTCATACCATGCATGCCAGAGCTGCTGTAGCAGCACAGAGACTTGCAGACCAAAAGGGTCCCTCCAGCCTGTAGATTTTTTTTGGAGCCCTTAAAGAGACGTAAATTGGTGAAACACAGCTCTGTATGGTGGAAAAAGTTGTATTAGCTATATCTCCACTGACTAATGGTGTCAATGTTTGGAGAATTTTAGGAGTCGCTCTTAGTTGAGGTCATTCTCAGGTCAGTAAATCAACAGCTCAGCCCAAGCACTTTGACTCATCCACTCAAGTGGTTTGGTTGTGTTTTGGTTTGGGTACACTGCTAACCACAAAGCCCATTTTGTATGACAGAGGGATCTGCTGCAGTGACAGTAACAGCAAAAGCAGGATCAATAATTCATTGTGAGGAAAGGTTTGTTTGCTGTTTGACCCTGTTAATTATAGCTGCGGATTCAACCCGCTTTGTTGCCAGGCTAAGTAAGAGAAAAACAGTGTGCGTTTTCAAAGATAAGAGCACAACGTTTACTTCACGAGATGAATCATGAAGCTTATCGACGCAACTTCCTATCTTGGAATTTTCCATCTCTTTGCTTTACCTAATTTGAGAGCCTAGAAGGAGAAGTAGAGCTAGCAAAATCAGTTTCAGCTTTTAAATTTCTTCCTAAAACACTTCATCATAAACAGGCTTTAAATAAAACATAAGATGTGCGATAAGATGTGCTACGTAACTGATCTTGACATTTTAGCTGTGACAGTGTTTTTAATCCTCTCATTTGAGCCTCTGCTTGTTAATGTGTTGTTAGTTGTACTTGCCTACTTCTCATATAACCTGTTACTTCTTTGTTTTTATGAATCATGTTGTTTTTGGAGAGTACACTGTAACTTTGTCTTTGAAAGAACTAATATCCAAACTCGGTTTTTATTTCCACCAAGGCCCTACTTTTAAATTATACAGCAGGTCCTCTGATAGGGTAACGAGAGACATTTTTGAGTATGTGGAAGCAATTTTTCTGCATAAATGCACCCGTCTGCTTGTGTGTGTGTGCTTCTATTCAGATAAGTTATGAATTCCTCAATAGCCACATAAAAAGCCATTCAAATTTTTAAGCCATAAATCTCAGCACTGAATGAATTACTTGAAAACATTACTATGAATGGTCCTTCTGCTGGTTTGATAACGTTTCTGCCGTTTATGGAGGTGCCTTTGGGACTATCTACAACAGGGCTAAAAACGTGACGTTCTCAGTTTAAGATATTTTGTTGTTTTTATCTTTATTGTCAGAGTTACAGTTTGTTTAAATGTGATGAATTCATCTTTGTATAGGTTGTTTTTCTCTACAGCATGCATGTTTGTGTTTCTGTATGTCTGTCCACAGGTCCTAGATATGTGTTGATGTGCCAGGAAGTCATGCTTAACTGAAGGGTCCTGGATTCTTTCTGTAAAAGGCAATTAGGGCAGAGAAAACTGCAACCACTTCCAGCCTGTCTGCCTAGCTAATTGCATGCACAGAGGCTTGTGTTGCATTGACTGATGGCTGAGGAGCAGAGGGGAGGAAAGGAGGGGGGGTGGCTGATGCAGAATGCATGTGCGTGCACTATACAGTGAACTCCTCATTAAGACCAATATCTCTGATCCAGACCCTCCTTTGTCAAGCAGTTTCTAGCAATCTTTGCACTTCAGAGATGCTACAACAAGCTTTTCTTCAGTAAAAAAAAATGTGGTTTAAAAAATGTTGAAGTAGATAAACCAGTAAATGAGTGGGGTGATCTTTGGTGTTTAGAAGGATTTCTATCAAACTACAGTTGTCATTTGGAAAACATCTGAATATAAGTAAGTTTTAGCCTCTTGTGGTGGTTTGTGCTTCTTATTGGTGTTTAGGTCTGCTTGATCTTGTCCTTTAATATGCTTCACCCTTCATGGATTATTGCAAATTTTGATTATTTGTGTTTTTGTTGAAGATTATTCAAGAACCCAGTTGTTTGAAGAGAAAATCCATGACACTTTATTATCCAGTGTTTAAGGAAAATGTAAACACAGTGTAGTTTTCTCAGTCATTTCTTTATTTTTGATGTTGCCTTTGCTTTACCAGATAAAACCAGGGTATCAACAGACTTTTTGTTAACTTTGTTAAGGTTAAATGGGTTGGATAGAAGACCTAAACTCTTTTGCTGGAATTATATCTAAAACACAAAAAGAATTTGTCACTGTGTGACTGTGTTATTGATAAAAAGAGGAAAAGAAAACACTGTTAGATAGATTTAAATAATTGTCTTGGTGGTCAGAAAAGTACCTATTAATATGGGTTTGAGTCCTAACTCTGGACCACTAGCCCTTTGTGGTTAAACAGAGTTGAACCTTGATATAACAGTATTAAAATAGTCAGTCTCCAGACACCGCCCGTGATTTAATAGGCTCTACATAAAAATCAGTAATTAAAATTTGTGCGAGTCTTTTATGTTAATCCCTGAATGGGCTCCACCGATAAGGGCTGAATAATGAAGTATGGAAATTCACCTTCGTTTACAGTGCCGGCTTTGGACAGAGTATTATGATGGAAATCAATGGTGATTTGTGTGAGTGAGAGGCAGAGAATTCAGGGAATCTCCTTGGTGATAACACACTCCCCCCTCCCCTCCCCCTTTTCTTTCTCTCTTCAGCCACAGAGTGACGAGGCAGTCCGTGTGTATGTAAGGGAGAGGGGCCACGATGTGCTGGTCCTCCAGAGAGTGTCGTCACAGCAGCCGGCCCCCTCTGCAACCTCGAGGGGAGGGGGGAAAGAGGAGGCGAGAAATGGGAGGTAAGTCTTTCCGCTCCCCCCTCCTTCCTAGATTCTCTCTCTCTCTCTCTCTCTCTCTCTCTCTCTCTCTCTGTCTCTCTGTGTGTGTCTCCTTCTCAGCACTCTCCTCCTCATCAGTCTCCCTCTCCTTCTCTCTGGATCACACACTCACACAGGCACTCTTGCATCATGACTCCCTGCACATCAATGACTACATTTAACACATATAAGTGATCAGCATGGGACTGTGAAGCTGCAGGCTGCATCCCGTCTCAGCAGTGAACAAATCAGGGAAATCTCAGTGTGCTTGTGGGATTGCCAGTAGTGGACTTAAGGCTGTGGCAGCAGCAGGTGGACCCATGGGTAGGTGAAGGGGGCATGCAGCTGTAACCCTGGCAACGTAGCCCTGTGTGTGAAGGCACAGGGACTCTCTAAAAGGATGGGATCTCGACCGCAGCCTCCAAACCTGCGGCAGGAGGAGAGCGGGCTGCTGCACGCTGCCCTGGTGGAGCAGGAGGAGGATGAGGACGATGAGGAGGGCTCCGAAGAGTGCAGCAGTGACAGCACCAGTCGGGCAGAGCCGCTGACCATGCCCACCTTTGACGTTCCTTACTTTCGCTACATAGATGATGAGGGGACTGAGGGAGAGGAGGAATGGAGCAGCAGTCGCTCTCTGTCCTCAATAGAGGAGGACTTGTCCACTGATTCTGTTGTTTCTGACAGGTATGTGGTGGTATCAGGGACCCCTGAGAAGATCCTGGAGCACCTTCTGAATGACCTGACACTGGACGAGGAGCAGGGGACCACACAGAGTAAAGAGTCAGGTCAGCATACACACTTTCATGTCACAAAAGCAATTTTTGTATTTCGAAATGTCAGATTATTAGATGTTAACTAGACAACTGAGCAACTATTCATGTTCTTAAAGTACAGACAAAAGTAGATGGAGAACTAGCTCCCTTTACTCTCAGTTTTAAGTCTCCCCTTGTCACCTCCTCCCTTCTCTCTCAGGAGGAGCTGGGACATTAGCCCCCTCTGGGCAACACTACAGAGCTAATCATGTGATATCATTCCCAGAATGCCACTAAGTTGGAGCCTGTTCATTTGAAAGCCTCTGACAGAGATAAACGCTGCTCACATCTTATAAACGATGTTGCAGCTGACTGCATGTCACGCAGTCCAGCATCCAAGTGATGACAAATCAACACATTTCCTCTCATCCCAGCAGGTACATGATAATGTGACACTGTTGCCAAGGCAGAGGAGACTCTTTGATTGAGCTGGAAAGATGATTCAATCAGAGATGATAAATGAGATCAATGGCAAAGTCAGACAAACAGAAGATTACAAGAGAGCAGATTTTACCCTGCACTGGTTATTGGAATTAGATACAACAAGGAAACGCATATTTTCCCTGGGAGACAGAGGCGGTCACACATGGTCTCTCATGGAGATGGAGGCAGGCTTAATCCCATACCAGAGATCATTACTCATTTTGATGAGGAAGTGAATGAAATTGATCTAAGTGTCCTCTCTGGAGACATGCATGTGGATGCAAAATGGTGCATTTTACATGCACAAGAGAGCAATATTTCACGTAAAATTACTTATTTTATTGCTCTAACAGAGTTGTAATATTGTGTAGATTGGTGTAAATTGAAATACGAAGGAATCTCTCCATTGCTCAGTACATGTCTTGTTAACTCCTCTAAGTGTTACCTTCTCGCTCATATTCTAGAGGCTTTTTCTTAATCATTCACTATTAGCTCACATTGCAATTAGTGTATTGGAGTCAACCTCCTTTGGGAGTGGAAGACCTTAGAGTAATCCTGAACGATATTCAGGGTCAAAGACCCACAGACCTGAAGCAGAAGGAATGACCCGAGTCCTGAGCAGCAATTGATCTCCTCTCAGTAATGTTTAATAGCCCGACTCCTGCTGGCCTTGCTTCTCTCTGCTAAACCTCGCAACATGCTCGGGTGCTACTGCCAAGTGTGCCCTTGGAGGTTCAGCTCAGCAGAACCATGACAGCATGAGATCCTTGATTTCATCAAAAAGAGATTTATACGAACATGGACCAAGCTGCCATGTTTGGTCTTTCACTTAAGGATAGCTAAGAGAGAGATTGTGCAGCAACATGACAGATGATTGCAGCAGATTATTGATGTAGAGTTTATGATTTACAAGCTGCACAGCACATTAGGAAAGCCAGTTTTATCTCATCATATGCTTCCTTTTTTACTCAACACACAACATTAAGAATGCAGAGGAGCTTTCTGTGTTTCTGCAAGAGATGGCACTTTTCTGGAAGCACCACAGGCATGTTAGGGGCAAAGCAAAACGTGAACCACTGGAGTCGACTGAACTGTGTTGAGATCTCAGAAATGCTGCTCTCTTTCTGCTAGTATTGTGCTTAGGACTGACAAGTGTTTGTAGCTGTCTTCTCTGTGTAGCCATTCATTTTTCCTCTGCACAGGTTTTTATTGTACTCTGTCTGCTCTTGAGAGGGAGCTTTTTTTCTCCTTGTGAGGATGCTGTAACTCTTTCTATAACGGTGGGAGATGCTGATGCTTATTTTATAGAAAAATAAAACACAGCAAAGCAAATGAGCAGGTGTTTATTTCTAATCAAAGACTGTCATGATAATTTAAGGTTTTAGCACCAGGAGGTTGGGTTGTGATTGTCACTGAGCCAATAAATGACACATTAACATTATGATCTTAAAGGCTGCATTGATTATTCTTATGTGCACTCATTGGAATGCAAAAGAGATTGGCAGGTTGATTGACAGGGTGATTGCTTCACAGTAAATTGACAAGCTGGATCAATGGATCCATACTACATTTCCTTTAAAAGGAGACTGAATATGTTTTGGTTTAAGTGCTTGGAAGTTTGGTGCCATCTTCTCTGTAGAAATATTCTGGTATAATATTTCTATTTCCAGTACTGATTACAATTCTTGCAATTTTTCTTCCAATTCAACACTGCTAGTTTGCTGGGTTCATACAAAACTACATCTATAAGAGTTACATTTAAAAAGTGAGCCCTTATAACCCTATATGAACACAATTGAAGTGCAATCTCTCTGTGTACACTAAGGGAATCCCAATCCCAAAAATTAGCATCTAAAACAAGCCAACTCAATGCTGGCATAAACAAATCTGCCTGTCGAGCAGTGTCCACAAGTGTGCACCTACTCAAAATACTAATTTTTACATGAAACTTACTTACCACTTTGACCAGGATACAAGACATGTTTTTCTCCCAAATATCTCCATAAAAGATGGAATCATGTTGTATTTAAGTTTTGTGTACTAATCTTCTGGTGTTGATGCTGTTGTATTGTGATTGTGTCTGCAATATCAGCTCTGAAAGTGAAGTGTGCAATGAGGTGGTTCACTGTAGAGTCCACTCTCTCTGGGATACTGGCAGCTGTCAGGATAAACTCGAAGTGTTTCAGTACACAGGGGCTTTTCTGTCTGGACCAGGCCCCTTTAAAAGACAAGGCTACCTGAGGTGATTGTGGAATATATTCGAGTGAAATAGTGTTAATTTTGTTTGATGACAATGCTCAGGCAGAGGCATGCAATCAGTTGACCCAATAGAATCTGTTGACTGGTAAAGATCTAGTAAGTAGCCTGAGCCCTAGACAGATGTCTTTGTCTGCTGACTGCACAGAAATACGGACAATCAAACTGTTTTGAATAGATTCATTAAATTCAGATTATTTTAGCATCAGTAGATCTGTGCTCTTCCTGTGCTATTGCAGACAGAAGCTGCTTTTGAGGAGTGAAACAGCTGACTTTGCACAGATGGATTGACTGTCTCTGTAAATAAACAGAAATAGTCTGGATGGTGTGTTGTAAATCATTTGATATCATCCCCAGTCCACCATGAGCTTGAATACAAATTTCTAAAGCACCAAAGTATTCTTTATAGCATACCCCATACACAGTATGAATACTATGGTGGTCACTGGATACAGCCCCTGGCCACGGCTCTTAGCTGCATTACTGCCTCTCCTTTGTTGTCCTTTCCAACAGAGATACAAGGAGGGGGTTCATCGCTTGTTGCTGTAAATGTGCTAGCCCTGGCTAGCATCTTCCTCACCAATAGCACCAAACTGTTGTTGTGCACTTTTCTCAAATAATAAATCACTTGAAATTAGTTCCTCTAAAGCATCGAGTGACAACCAAAGATAATGTGATTTTGATATTTTGGCACTGTTTTAGGAAGAATAAAATCAATACTTCAGGGTCAAGCCAATGGAAAATGAGGAATTACTTGTGAATCCATACTGATACTTTTGAGTTCTGAGCAGTATTTGAGGCATTCCCAGAACAAATAGAGCTATAAGTGAACTTTTCTTTATCGATTCATACCAGCTGGTGACTAGAAAGTGTAATAAAGAAATTACATTATTTGCATGTTAGTAAATCCACTCAAAAAACCTTATCAATGCAGCCCAATTCTTGCATTAGTGTCTCTTGGCCCAGTTAATCAAACATATCTTTGCTTAAATTAAACATATATTGTATAATTTTGTGTGAATATGACTGTTTTTATGTACGTCTGACACTCTGTTCACTGCTGCCATCTTGGCCTGGACACTCTTGAAAAAGATTATTTTTTTAATCTCAATGAGGGTTTTCTCCTGGTTGAATAAAGGTTGACTAAAAAATAAGAATAAAACAAATTGATTGTAACGCTGCTCGGAAGGACAGAGGCCTCTTTGCTGTGTTACCAAGAAAATAACACCAAGAAATAACTGAGTATAACTTTAGGTTTGAGATTAAATATTTATTCTGTTTTCTATCTTCAAAAAACTTCAGTGTACAGCCCAGGGGTCTAATGTAAGGGGTTACTCACTAGAAAGTGCTCCATTTAAGATAGCTGGGAGGAAAAAAACAAACACACAGCAGAGTTGTTGAGTGAGTGAGTGTACAGTGAATGTGTGCAGAGGGGAGGAGGAACAGTACAGTATGTGGGTGGATGATTTATTTGAGTTGTTTTCTGGCTTTGCTTTGAGGTGCTGTTGTTGTTTTTATTTTTTTCTTTCTTTTTTTATTGGAGCTACACGTGTAACCCCTCATAAGCAGTGAGTGATGCATGCACAGCTGCTCAGCACGGATTAACATAATGATGTCAGGGAGTCCTGTGGACCAGAACGCTCACAAAGGCCTGGGGAAGCCAGTGTGAAATTAAAGAGCAGAATTTACAATTCTGCATTTGAGAAACACGTACAGACAGCCTGAGAGGAGGCTGGCCCCAACAGGATTTGTGAGGTTTGTCGCTTGCAGTCAGGCTTCGTGTCAGAGAATCACTGTCCTGACATTTTTTTATATGCATAAGAAATGTATTTAAGGGGCTCATATGTCTCTTTCTGACTATATGTTTTAATATCTTACAAACATTTCATTAAAGATTTTCTTAAAGAGACCTTCAAGGAAAACTAACAAATCAAAGCCATATTTATTATTTTCATTTATCACAATGAGAAATAATTGTTGTGATGCTGTTGACTATAAGTGCACTTCATATTGTGGGGATGTGTCAAAGTGAGCCGGTGATCTATTTGACCAGCTTTAATCCATTTACTGACTAATTTCCACATGGGTAACCTTGAAAAGAATTCAAACAAGGACACGGGAAAATCATGTAAACACATTAGGAAGGTGGCGAGACAACGCCGGATTGCTTTTCTGTTTTAAAGAGAATCATGACCAAAACATAGACATCATTGGAGGTCAGGGAAAGTCGACTGGGACGTTAACATTAGCTTATCTTCAGTGATACAGCCTGCAATGTATGAGACTGATGACGCAGAACAGGCCTGTTTGAACTTGTAGGAGAAAATTTGAACTAACGAATTTTCACAGTGAAGACCATGAAGATAAATGTGCCACAAAAGTGTCTCTGCTTACTGATTTAACCGATATTCCACGTTGAAGACTGACTGAGCTCTCCTGGTTTTATTAATGAGGGAAACATTAAAGCGGGCTTCCCTCAATAAAAAGTACAGGCCTACTGTTTGTGCAGCCCAGCAGCCATTAATCATACTCTTGTCAAGGTCACCTGTGTACTACTCCCTGCAGCATCCTGTAACAAATGTAATGAGGTGGAGTGTGTAGTTTATGTAATGGGTGCACAAAGTTAGTCGTGAAGTTCCTCAGATCCCAGGCATCCTTGTTATATAAACAGCCACTTCTGGCTGCATAAGAACTGAAGCTGCACATGTTAAGTGTAAAATGTTCATGTTTTGTTTGTCTGTTTTCTCTTTGCAGATACACTCCTGGATGACTTTCTGCTCACATACCCAGTGTTCATGTCAACCAGCGATTTATGTCAAGCTCTGCTGGGACAATATCCTTTAATTCAGGACCATTACTAGGGCTGGGCGATAAACCAAAAATTTACAGATACCGAATTTACGACAATAACTGACATCATTTTACCCATATCGGTATATTTGGTGTCAAAATAAATAAATAAATGAAAGTTGGTTTTGGATGTGTGTAGGTAGGCTATGGTCTCATGTCCCTTTAAGTCGCTGTCCTACGTCAGAGATGTGACTCCACCCCATCCAGTCTATAACAAAGAGGGAAAGACAGGTGAGGAGATGGAGTACGGTTCAAAAGCTGGAGTGTCGGCTGAAAGAGACGATGTTAATGTGGGAGGGAGTGAGCAGCTTGTGGAGTAGTTATCATCCATTAATTGTTATCGAGGTAAACTGCTCAATATATTGTGATATTGATTTGAAGCCATATCGTCCAACCCTAACCATTACTACATAAATTCACATAATAATCCACTTTTAGCAGAAGCAACAGAAAGACAAAGATGTCAAATGTATAATCATAAGTCCTGTATTGACTTCAAGTTGCCCAACCTCTGTCTCGCTGCCCATCCTTAAGTCGACATCAAAAGCACAAAAGCACCGTCCCTTTTATCATTCAATATCAGAGAATAGACCCTCTTTCTCCACTCAAGCTGAATCCTTAACCAAATCTCACCTATTGCTCCAAGCGATACAAAGGAAAGGAAGACAAGAAGGAGGCTCTGGAGAGGAAACGAAAAGTGCTGCACCTGGTGTCACAGTGGGTGTCTCTCTGCAGTGATTTCCTGAGGGAGGACGAGCACGTCAAACTGTTCATGAAGGTAAACAATGCACTGCACAAGGAAAAGGGTGGGGAACTTGAACAGGAGGTGATTTCAACATGAGAAAAATGAAAAATGACATTTCCTTCCAGAGTTTGTGTCGCTACGTGCTGGACGATCTGTACGAACACCCAGCACTGGAGAAGGATGTGAGGGAGCTGCAGCAGCTGTACATGCTTCAGCGCTTCAGACAGTGAGTGACCACTTCATTACTTACTCTGTCAGTGTAAGTCAGTAGATACAGGATAACTCAAAACATATCGATACAAATAATCAATCATTCATGAAAAGTGATGCATTTATTGATATCAAGCGGCGTGTTTACACCAGTGGGTTTGACTGATTTTGTTTGAGATCTGGAAAGAAGCAAAGACACTCGCTGTGAAGATATAATGAGCTCCTTCTCTGCTTGGTGGCTCTCTGTATCCTCTCATAAATGAATCCATTCAGAGGTTGAAGAGTAATCACTGTGTTCTGGCTGTTATGCTCAGAAATTTGAAGGTCACAGAGCTTTTTATGTCCAGATTACTAAAATGAGGAAATAATTCTTGAGGAATTTTGAGCATTAGTTGAAAGTCTCCAAGTTCTTGTTGCTTAGCATGAAAAAAAAAAAAAAAACGTGGTACACATCCTAACGGCGTCTGACTTGTTAAGTGATTATGTAACTTAGCCTGTGGTCAAAAAGAAAACATGAAAGCTCGTACAAAATGTGTTGGAGGGTATCAGCTTTATGACAATGTGTAGAGCCATAATATAACAGATACGCGCAATAGCTTCTCCCTTGCCTTGTCTCCACCTCCTTCCAATCATGAGTTGTGAAGCCAAGATACACCTGGTGCCGAAATACTGAGTTGGTGAGCAAAGGCATGTGCAAAGAAATCTGGCTGGTTGAGCTGTGGGACTGATGTCACACCCCTTCAGCTGATAAAAACACTTTGAATAAACAAATATAACATTAGGGATTCCTCAGGTTTGCTTTGCTCTGCTTTACTTTGACTCTTTTTTTCGAACATGTGCATGCAACACAAGAAAGTAAACTGAAAAAAAAAAAAAAAAAACAGGTTGGTACACTCCACAGCAGAACAGTCTTAGGATGGTTTAAAACACACACACTCAAGTTTATGAAAAGTTTCAAGACTCTGTCTGTGGTCCTTATTGGTCCTCCTCTACCTTGCCAGTTTGTGAAGAAAGCTATCAGAGTCATGAGTCAGTCATTTTTTTGACATCAAATGATGAATTAAAGCAAAACCTTTTACAGCAATGAAAACTTGAACACAAATTAGCATCATGAATACTTCATACACTGCATGTGTGAGGACTTAAAGTTTTGGCTTAATGTAGGATAGCTTTTGTTTGTATATACGTGCATAGATATGGAAGTATATATGTATGTATAAAGTCTTGGTTTTAGTATTAATGATTAGTTATCTACTCATGCTAGACTTTGGAGCTTTGGTTACTTTTTGGCAACATCAGAAATTCTTAAAGACATGTAAAGGGTAAATGAAAAGGAAGGAATGAGGGTAGGTACATATAAGCTAAAGAATTTCAACCTACTCCTTTTTGATCTCCAAAAAATAGGAAATTCCTTGTGTAAAATTGTACTGTATGTATAATTGATCAAATAAACAAGTTATTTTTAAGTTTTGTTCCAGCCATGTTTGAACCTTTACACAAGACAGAAAACACTCCTGTAAATAAGAGACTCAGTAAATGTGGGAGCTGGTAACTGAGGAAACACGATCATGTTAATGAGGACACACCAGAGAGAGAGAATACAATATTAAAGCTCCAGATGTGGAGCTAAAATAACCAAAATAGAGATTATATTAATAAGATAACAAAGGACTAACTGATTGATCCAGTGAAGTAGAATAAGATCATAAAACCCAAGATAAGTCATCAAACCAATTGAAATAATATAATAAATCAAATACATAAATAATGAATGCATTAATGTTACCCTATGAACACATTTTTAGAGAGTTTAAACCAGACACACTCTGTTTTTTGCATCTTTTGAAATTATTGGATCAATTCTTACCATGACTATTTATTTCAGTAATTTATTTCAGAGTCTTAAGATTCAAAGACGTCAAGAGCTACATGTGTGCATTATTGTTGATTAGTGCGCTGTATTACATGCTAGCAACATTCAGTCATCATGTTTTTTAATCACCATCAATATTGTCAGCGTCGAATCGATCTGTTGCTAAGCTACAGTTTCTTGTTTGATTAAGGATAAGCATCACATTTCCCTTTGATATCACAGTGTAAACAATCCCCCCAGTCACCAGATACACTGACACACCCATGTGCCCCTTCCCCTCCAACAACCACAGCCTCCAATCAGATCCTGTCCCTAGGGACGCTTCAACCTGACGCCCATTAGAGAGCAGTGCAGATAATTTAACCTGATTCTGCTGCCTTTATCCGAGCCTGCTTTATTCATGTTTATACCCACAGCATGCACTCCTTTAAAGCAGCGGACCCTGTGTGGGTGTAACTAACTGACATACTCGACTATTTATGAGCTTTTCACAATCAGGCTCTCACTGCAGGAGGACAAGGTTGACTGCTTTGTGGCAATCTGCTGCTGAGTGAAGCACTGAAAGGTGTCATTTTTTTTTATAGAAAGAAGAGTCATGTAGTGCATTTGCTCCTGTCCACTTCCATTTGGTCTTTTTGCAAAAGAAACCCGGTGTCATTCATTTCTGAAAGGAATGAAAGCACTTGATCTCACATTTAAATTCCCTGGATCCAGAGTGGCGACTTGGATCATGCGCACTCTGTTTAGACATAACAGTGGGAATCGAGGTTTTTTATTTGAGGACTGCTGCTGTTGCTGGTCTGTAAGAGGAGATCCCTGAGGGCAGGCTTTGTGCCAACATGCCTATTGTGATGCAGGGCTCAGTAAGAGCTGAGGGATGATAATGGACATGGGGCCATCTATCATGCTAGCTTGGCTAACTGATGAGAATCGGGTGATTAAATGAAGGGATCATGTTGGAAGGTCTAAAAGTCTACAAAGCACTCCAATCTCCCCCAGACACTTGTCTTGAATAATGAACCTTTACCTTGATTATAGACTGTGTGGATGGGGAATAAATCAAAGCCTGAAGAAAATAAACAGCTCAACACGAAATTATTAAGACAGCGGCTTTTTTCATACATGCATCCCAAAGTGTTTCAAAAAATAGGGAAATAAAATTACAGATTGATAAGAGCAGGTATAATTTTTGCATGTTGATTCTTTTTTAATGGATTTCTTTTTTTATTTTCAGCACGGCAGATGAATATTCTCCTCAAAGAAAGGTGAGCCTGACTTTGGTATATGCTCTCTTTACAACCAGAAGGCTGAAGGACTTATGAAACAGAAGTGGCTGTCAGTTTCAAGGAACAAGCTGAAGTGTCAGAGCCATTGTTTTACATTTCCCGTCAGAGACATTGTTCTGCAGCACCAGCAAAATGCCCAATGTTCACATGCAAAGTGAATGTGTGTCAAAATCACGCATTTCCCCCTCCTTTTCAGAGCAAAGTGCTTTTCCACCAATTGAGTCTGAGGGAGAATGGGCTGCAGCCCAGAGGAACACAGAGGGAGAGCAAGGAAGGTAAGTCATAAAACATGACGCTCTGCACACATTCCTCCCATCGTACGCAGTTTCTAAAGCTGTTGACTTTCAGTCTGAACTGAAGAACAATAGGAAACTTTCCAGGGAATGACGGAGAGGGTTTGGAAATGCAAAATTCTTCAGTAATGACCTCAGACTCCTTTTCCTTGAACTGGAAACCGTTTTTTCATTCCTTAAATACAGAATTAGCAGATGAATCTTGTACAATTTAGTCACACTTTGTTCTTTCATTCATTGATAGAGAGTTTTTACTTCTGGAAAACTAAAAATCTGGAAAACTTTTTTCGATATTTCATTCCTAAAAACTAAAATAGTTCTCGATTTGAAACTTGGACAAAACAAAGTGTCCCTGTCGACCTACAAGGGTTAACTTGAACTGTTCTCCACAGCCATCAGCAGTTTGTCACTTGGTGGTTACACTGGAACAGTATAAGGGTCATTGGCTTTGCTCAAGGTCACCTTATCAATGAGGAACACTTCTGTTGTATCGTTTCTTTTGTGTGACTTAATTGACACATTATTATAGGTTGAAGGTGAGCTAAATGGATAGAAATCGTGTTTGTACCTGAAAAGCAATCTCACATTAACTCTGCTCTCCACTGAACACTGATGTTGATTGCTCCTTCTCTAGATGACCCCAGCCTAAATGCTTTTCATCAGTGGGGAACTGATCAAGACCCTGCTGGGTCTCTGAAAGCCTGGGGGAAATGTGGGGAATCAAATTATTTGAAAATGAGCTCAAATTATATATCTGTAAGGGGATTCCCATAGTGTTCATCTTTGGGTTCTGTAATCAGTGGTGAATCCAGACTTTGTTTTACGTAGGTGGCCAAACCAGGGCACTGACTTATCTTTGTGGGGCGCTCACACCAAGCGTGAGTAAAGTCATCTACTCGCTTAATTCACGCCAATATAGACGCATGAATGAATAGTATTTACTCGCTTCATTTGCGCGTCAACAGTAATTTCAACTGTAATCCCTTCCACTTCGACTGGCGGAATCCAGTGATAGACAGAGGTCCAGGTAATCCGACCTCCTCACTCACTTGCTTCCAGGCGAACTCCTTTTTATTCCGGTTTTGGTAATTGAAAGAAAAGACATATAATTCAGGGCACCCACACACCAACACGATCAGTTTGTCCTCCATTTTATATGACAGTGCATAACAGTCTGTTTTCATACGTCACCCGGCAACCTTTGTGCTGATTGGTTATCACGACGTGAATATCCGCTCAAGTTGAGACATTTTCAGCTCCTCTCAATTCGCGTCATTCACGCCACCAGAGTGGTAGGAGTGTCTAATCGCGTCTTTGCATTGACTCAACATGTAATTTATTCGCACGAAGGATTTTATCTGCGCTTGCTGTGTGGAGACAGTAAGTTTGGCATGGAGAAAAGTATGTGTGTAATTGGATATCATTAGCTTGCTGCAGAACAAATCTACATGGGTAAAAAATACAGTAACCTGAACCTGAGCACACAAGTCCAGATAGCATCTACTGAGACATTTTGTTCAGTAACAGCTACCTTTACCAAAGTGGTTCAAGGCTCATATAATGTATATGTTTTTTAATATGTTTTATTTATTCAACTTTCAAAAGTGACACCACAAAGAAGAGCTGTGCTTAAAGTCCCCCTCCAATCATTTTTTACTATTTAAAATGTTCTCAGTGGTCTTTAAATTATGATTATGAAGTTTTTAGTCAAAATCGCATTACCTGTGTCATTTTCAAGGGCTTTTCTTCTGCGGAGCTCCAGTAGATCATTAGCAATTCACCTCTGAGTCGGGCGGAGACAGCACTGCTCTGCACCCTCCTCTCCACACTAGCTTGCAACCTAAGTGCAGCAGAAGTGGCAGGTAACATAGGAGCTGTTCAGCTTTCAGACACTAGGCAAGGCAAGTTGTCTTTAGGGGGCATGATGAAAGCTAATATCATAATTAGCTTACTTACCAGCATTGCAATCTGCTACTGCACACGCTTGTTCTGCCATCGTCCTCTCTACTTCTCGTAGTCTAGCCTGCAGAGCGGGACTTGTGACATTGAAAATTCCACTGTGTCTGATTCTGCCATGTAGGTCTGCCAGTGGTTCACAGTGATTTGAATGCAGTAATAGGCCTACTAAGAAATGCAATTTTGTTCTCAGTTTTCTCATGATATGTCCTCAAGCATCAGAAAAATGCCATATGAACATGTAGACAACAAGAATAACATGATTTTCATCGGAGCGGGTCTTAAATTCTTTAAAATCCAAAACAGAGATTGTATAGAGTCACAGTTTAAAGTGCCAACAACAGCTAATGCACTACACTAAAATGCAAAGAAGGTACTAAGTGGCATGTTTCAGTTCAGCTCAGCTATTCAACATGAGCCCACCTTTGACAAAGTAAACAGCCAATGACAGATTAGAGTTTTAAAACTGGTAAACAAACACAATCAAGTGAGTACAACTGTGTCATGAATCGTTTTGTGAGTATTAATAGCACATCTATAGACTTGTTCAGGATTTTTATATTGACAAAGAATTAACATTTATGCCTTTGTAACTTTTGATAGTTCATTAAACTATATTAACACTGAAATGCAAGAGAAACAGATGAATACTGAAACCAGCTTTTATTCTCTTTGATTAGTGCTTCCTCTTGTTTCAAAGCTGCCTGTGATGTTATGACCGTATGTCCCATTCCCCTTTATGTTCCATCATAAGCCCTGACAGATATACACACTGATTCATTGCATTCCTGACAACTTCAAAGTTCATGAGGGTTCAGTAATTAGTATGTGTGAAGGTTCGAATTAGACCTTAAAATGCATTGAGGTGGAGACAGACGGTAAAACCAACCGCCTGTTTTTATTGCCTCATAATTCACATAGATGGGGCAGAGCAGGACCTTATAATAGGAGCATTTCCTCTGTGTTTCAGTGCTGTGCCATGTGTACATCACCATGGACTCATACCTGAGTATGAAGGCCCAGGCAGGTGTAGAAGCCAAGGAGCTTCTGCAGGTGGTGGCAGACAGGATGGAGGTTCCTCAGGGTGAGCTGGTGCTGGTGGCTGTCACTTACACTGGAGGTAAACACAGTGATAATTCACAGCACTACAGTGCAAATCAAACACCACCACAAACAGCATGTAGGGCTTACTGATGATGTTTTCTCTGTGTAATAACAGTCTGAGCTGCATCTAAAATTTCTTTCATTTTCATGCCATGAGAGAATTAGCCAGCACAAATACAGAATTATTTCTTCTTTTGAAAAACTAAAAATAAATAAATAACGTGCTCAACATTGATCAAATACCAGTGAGTGATTCTCTACACAGTAAATCAGAAAAAGTGATTCTAAAGTTTCTACGTAAAGATCTCTTTTTTGGAGAAATTGTGTTTAAATAACTTCTTAAAATATTCATATCTGATAACACTTTTATTTTTTTAATATTTCATAACATTTTTTGTTTATTTCATGGAGCCCACCCATGAATATCTGAGATTGTAATCATCTGCACTGACCCAAATATCTCCCTGGTTTAAAGATAAAAGCATTTTCAGTCCAGTGATAGAAAGCCGGTATCTGTTATCAGTGACTGAAGTGTCTGGCTACCTCAGAGAGAGGGGCTTATCTTTTTCCACTGATAGCTGCTTACACGCTGCCCGACCGATTTTTAAAGACATATTCCTCCTGGTGATATGTTTTCTCTGCAGGTCGGCTCCTCCTGCAGCCTCATGACAGAGTTTTCCCTGATTCTTCACGGCCGGTCGGAAGGCTGCATGTCTGCAGGAAAGATCTGGGAGAAGTCCTGGTGAGGAAATGTGTCACTTTACCATAAAAAATTCAGCACATACAGCATGCTGTGGTGTCAAAACAGTGTCTTTTTAGATGACGTGTGCTTTGTGAAGCTAATAATGAGCATAATAATAATAATAATATCTGTATAATTCAGCATGTGTATGCATGTCCTCCATATGATGGTGTCTGAAGAAAAACTAGAAGAACAAGCAGTTTGATGTCTTTTCTTGGGTTTTCCATCCTCAGAATCCGTTTACTGACAACTCAGAGCTGCAACAGAGGACGGCTCGCTTGCTCAGTTTAAACACATGGGACGTGGCTGTTGCTCTCACCAATTTTGACTGGATCTTTTTTGACTCAGTACACGAGGTTTGTCCCAGAACTTTAATCACTGTGTTGAAATGTTGTCACCCAAAGGCCTAGACAGCCACAGAAGCATAAGACACACTTGGCCCAGCTTTATTAAAAGGTCCACATTGTGTTTTTTTACAGCAAGAGCTTGTCTATTTCACCTTCAACCGCCATGGGAGTAGCAGGCACACTGTGGCGCTGGAGCTGCTACTGCAGCGCTGTGATGAGGTCCAACTGTGGGTGATGACTGAGGTGCTGTTGTGCCCGCAGCTCTGCAAAAGAGTCCAACTCATCAAGAAGTTCATCAAGATCGCTGCCCAGTGAGTGTCACTAATTGCATTTTCATGAAACATGGTCACATACAGTGTCAGCAAACACTACAGAGTGTCAACCCAAAATCTCAGGATGCTGCCCCCTCTTGTGGCAAATTAGTGAACTGCATATACTTTTGCACTGGTCAGCTGCACCCCTTTCTGAAACTGAAATGTATGATCTGTTTTTTTTTTCTTTTTTAGCTGCAAAGCTCAGAGGAACATCAACTGTTTCTTTGCTATCATAATGGGCCTCAACGCTGCAGCTGTTAGCCGCCTCAGTCAGACATGGGAGGTAATAATATTTTCTTTTTCTAATAGACATTAATTCATCTGGAGTCATGTTAAATCCAATGTGCAAAAAAAAAAGATGGATAAAAATTTGCTGTCTTTTTGTCTCGGCAGAAAATCCCAGGGAAATTCAAAAAGCTGTTTTCAGAGCTGGAGACAATGACAGTAAGTGATATGCATCACACTCTGCTCTGTATTCATCTGTTTTTTAAACACAAAGAACAGAAAACATGAAGCCACTGTTGTGAGGCATGTAAACCTTTACGTCTGTATTAAGATTAACAGATGTTTTCATTTGTGAACATCAGGAGAAATTTCAGGTGTTTGGATGATTATTACTCATCAATTTTCCTTTATTTTGGCTCGTACAAAGCTAGCACGCTCAGGCACACACACCCCTCCCCAGAGGATTGGATTCATTGGTTTTGACAATTTGTTCACAGGATCCGTCGCTGAACCACAAAGCCTACAGGGACTCCTTCAAGAAGATGAAGGCACCAAAGATCCCCTTCATTCCTCTGCTACTGAAAGGTACACCCAATATTCAGTTGCTGAGCTCCCCTGTGACAAATCTAACTGTAAGACGAGAGTGCTGAAATTCATTTGTTAGGCAGCAAATCCAGTAAGACATCTGAGCTCCACAAGCATCTAACAAAGTGTCTGTCTGTCGTAGATATCACGTTCATTCATGAGGGCAATAAGACGTTTCATGACAACCTGGTCAATTTTGGAAAGCTGGTGAGTGGATGAAGTGTTTTCTTCTTCAGCACAGAGTAACATATTGTGATTATGATCCTGTATTGTCAATTTTGTTGATGCTACTGTGTTTTTTGTTTTTTCAGCACATGATAGCAGACACAGTGCGGCTCATCCGACAGTGTCAGAGAGATCACATGGGTCAGTCTTTGTTTAATGAAGCAAAATGAGCAATGTTTGAGGGATTTTAATGTGGTATTCTTGTATGTTTAAACTCTGTGATTTTGCTGCATTTTAAACATTTGGTAGGAGAAAAACCAACCCTGAATGTCTCATCCAGCTGTGTCAAACAGTCAAACATTTTGCTTACTGCCACTTTTAAGAATAGTGAAAATTTTAGAATAATTGTTGCACAAATGTGTGATCCAAAGGGACAAAAAAGCCTGATTGTAAAAGGCTGTTTTTACCTTATTTTGTGGAGGTACAAAGAGAACAGTATTCATGGCTGATGCTTTCTTATCTGGAGAGTAAAACATTTCCTTTCCCTCTAGGAAATGGCATCATGCAGAAGAGCAGCCTGGACGTGCGAGCCTACATTGATTACCTTCATATCATCGACAATCAGCAGACTCTGTTTGAACTCTCTCAGCGGCTGGAGCCCCGTGCTTAGAGAGCAGCTCTCCCTGCACTTCCTGCTGTTACAGCAAGACCGCTAGATTGCCAAGGAACAATCTGTCACTGTCATCTGTCTCTCAGGACACAAGGCAGCAGCATGTGGGAGACTGCATAACCCCAGCTGACCACAGGGGGGAGCCGCTCTATCAGGAATCACCATCAAGCAGATGGAAAAGGTGGCAGATGTCTTATCTAGGCTTAAGGGGCTTGAAGGAATCTTGCAACAAGATCACTGATACAGATCACCTAGAAAACAGCCAAGGTTATCATCAAACAGTTTAACAGCACAACAGAAGTCTAACTCTCACTGCACTGTTACGAACACAACTCCGCAGACCAGACAACACAGGTGTAGAGCTGCTCTCACAAAGACTCAACAGCTCCTCCCTGTGGATTCAGTGGCCAGTGCGGGTGAGTATGTTTGGAGGAGGCAAAGTGCTTCCCATGAGTTGTAAGCTACAGACAACAAACACACAAAAAAAATCCAGGTGCTGTTTGTATATCTGGCAGCAAAGACTTTGAACATCCGTCTAAACCAAAGAGTATTCAAGTCCAGTACTGTCCACACTCTTCTGTCTGTCTGTCCGTCCTCAGAGTTCACAATCCAGATACTGTCTCTTCTACATGTGGGAGAAAGTCTTTATAAATCAGCTCAGTGTTTGCACAACATGCTGATGTCTCACTGACTAATATAGATCGCAGAAAAAACTGAAGCGATTATAATATCTGTCACATTTTCAAGTATTTAACTGATCTATTTTAACACTGAGGAGTATTTTTCTTTGTCTTTATCTCTGAAGTGCAGTGTATTCATTAAGGAGTCACACACTTGATGTTAGAACAGGACATTACAATGAAAAAAACTGTCGTGTTTGACATGAGGTTTATTCAAATGTACATGAGTGCCAAAACTCATTGAAATGTCAACATGTATGGATGATCAATGTTTGTATTTTTCAAGAGCTGTAGTTTAAGTCGCGCTGTAGACAATCAGTTCACCTAATCAGAAGACCCACACTGATGCTTTTCTGTTTTGCTATTTATTTACTAAAAGCTGCTCGCCAAGTCAAGTACTCCACTACCAAGCAGCAGTAAATCTCAATAAACTTGCTAAAGTCTATGGGGGAGGAAAATGGTGTTTGTTTTTAGCTGAACTATACCTTTAGTCAAAGAGCAATAGCCAAATTCATTTCTAAAGCACCTTCTGATAAACAAACAGTAGAAAGAACAATTGTATAGTGTGAAGTTATAGAAAACATGATATTTACTGTTTAGATTTGATGGCAGATAGCTCTCACTCTTACTGCGAGGTTAGGCCTTTTGCGGTAGATGCTGTTAAAGTATTAAAGATGGAATTTAATTTCACTATATTTGTACATTTTTATTTGTATATTTGGGATTTTAAAGCCAATTTTACACAGAAAATGTGCACTTGCATCTTATTTCAGTTTTGAGCAACACTGTACAACTGAACCAGTCTATCTGGTGTATATTTGTTGAAGTCCTGAATAAGGTTATTTATTTACTTCATGGTTATTTATTTCCTCTGTACATATGCCATTTGATTTCATGTTTGGTTTTGTATGCACTGAATGGCTGGTCTGCATGATGTGGCAAACCATGGATTGACCAACACTGTCAGCTGTGCATGTAATAAAAAACTTTTTTTATCTCATGGGTCCGGAACCAAGTACGTGTTTTTATTGATTATCCTCAGCCTTTATTTAATGACTTAAATCTTTATTTGTGAAAAACATGGATTTTTATTCAGTTACTGACATTTGATCACTTTGTCGGCCCTCCTATTATTCATTCAACCATCCTGGTCTCCATTGAAGCATTGCTGCCCCTCTGTGGCTACAAAAGGTACTGAACAGTAATTCTTTTGAAAGCATTGAGCCCAGAAAGTTTTCCTGTTATGATGAGATCATTTTTTTAAGTTTTCACAAATTTATAACCACAGTCTTTCTGCTTCAAGACATGATCGGCACAATCTATGTAGTTGTTTGCAAATAGTTTAAGTGGTTGTTAGTACTATACGCACTACAGAAAGGTCATTTGATGAGTTAGTGAATGGTTTTCAACAGGTTTTAAAACACTACGATCACTCATGCTCCTTTATTACCTACAAAAATAACTCTTCACCACTGCCACTGGCTCATTGTCAAAAGATGCAATTTTCAGCACACAGACCAAAGGATTTCTTCCTTCATTAGGAGATTCTTTAATAACATGTGAGCTGCTGCATTGGGTCATTAAAGAAATAAGAGGTATCTTTTTTTTCTGCAGGAGTAGACAACTTCTATGCAAAATTTTCTTGGTAGCCTCAAATGCCTTTTTTGTTGTTACATTCTTGACATGACATGTTTTTTTTTTACTGTAAAATTTTGTTTTAGAATAATATGTCATAAAGATAATACATGAATAATGCAAAGAAAGTGGACAAGAATGTTGGTTTTGGTTATGAGAGACTCAGTTCTTTTCTTGTCTCTTATTTTGCACTGCTCCCTAGTGCGTTTATCAGGTCCTGAAATTTTCTTTTAAAAGACTTTGCCTTTATTTCCATTTTGATTAAGGAAACCTGATTCAGCTAGGTCTTACTTTTTTTTTTGCACTAAAAATAAAGCTGCTTTCTTACATAAAAGGTAGTGTAAAAAAGCACAAGATGTATAGTCGTTAGTTTTTTTAGGAAACAAACTAAGGGTACACGATGTCTTTTCCTGGTGAAGTGAGGCAGAGATGTGACCCAGATGCCCTTGCTGACTTTAACCAGGTGTCCTGCTTGGCCTTTAACATGACTATCTGTGGCACGACCCCTGCTGCGCAGGGCTCTGTACCCTGCCATTTCCTCCTAAACACTGCCAGCACTGTATCATTTCCCTGTCACCAAATGACTGGCTGGCTGCCGTGTCGTGCTAATGAGAGGAAGAGAGGGCAGATGAAGAGAAACTACAGGAAACCAGACCTTAATTTCCTCCATGCATTACAATACGCGATACATAGTGTGTCTGCAGTGAGAGAAATTAAGAGCAACACAGATGTTATTAGTGCTCGCAAAATCTCATGTGAGAAGATGAGAGTGCTGATTTCTATCAAAAAAAATCCTTGACTCAGTGGCTGTAATTTGAACATCATAAGGTCACTTGTTTATCTCAGGGGATGATATTACACCTGAATTGTTTCTTCTTGAGCTTGTAAACTTGTTTGTTTTGACTGATAAATGCAGCGTATTATTTTTCTATCTTTATATCCCAGTTTGATTTCTGCACAAATTTCCTTTAAAGCACCTTTTCTTTGTGTTAATTAAACTTTTGTTGTGTGTGTCCGACTGTGTATGATTGAAACTGTGACTCTGGGGTTTCCCTGACATTTTCATTTTGCATGCAGGAACCTTCGAGACGCATGAATAATCCGAGCACTTCTCCTCCGATGTTTCTGCATATTCACTCTCAAACTTTAATCTGAACTTCTTTCTCTAACCAGTCTCTATGATATCTATTTAAAAAGATAACATTTGAGATTAGATGGCTGTTTATTTGGACCCATTCGGAGATGAAGCTTTTATTTGGTTCATACTCAGTTAATTAGATGCTAACAGAGAGCACAGACAGATAAAGGACGGGTAATCTAATGTGTTTCCTTCTTATACAAAGCTATCAGTGTCTTTGAATAGGTTCCACCAACAGGCCTGGCTGGATGAATTACACTAGTCTGTTAGTATTCTGCCACCGACGTACAAAAGGTCAATGTCAAATGCACCTCATTTAAAAGTCAATAGCAACCATGCACATCATCTCCTGGGAATTCTGTCCGGGAATCCTCCAGACGGCATTGTGTATCACTCAGTTAGTAGAGGGCAGCTGGAGAGCTTTTTTAATCTTGACCTTCCAATAAAATATGCTCCCAATCCAGAATTACATGGTCCAAAATGGAGACATAAGCTCCCAGCAAATCACGGCCAGACTCAGCCATCTCAAGGGAGATGTCCAACAGCGTGAGACACAACAGGTTTGTCTTTGGCTCAAAGTGCATCTTTATTTTTTTGCGTCCATTATCTTTTAATCTAAACTACAAACTAAGAGACTATAATTTCAGCATTGTTATGTCTGAACTAAAACTGACACCATGAAAGAGTTACATGATAAAAAGTGTGGCACAATACATGAGGAGTTACTTGAAAAACATGATTAAAAAAGGGCAAGTGGCGACATAACACGGTCAAATACTGCATCTCCTTGAACAAAGATCTTGTTTTTAACACTGTGAGCACAATAACAGAAGTACATATGACAATTTAAGCTTACTATCGCTCCTAAAATGACTCACTCACACAGACAGCAGCAGCGCCACTCCAGCAACAATCCATTTGGCAGGCGGCTGTTTGGTTCGAAGGTGGAGGGTCCACACATATGTGGGCCCACGCTGTTTAGTGCGGTACAGCGGACACTCATAAGTATTCTTCAGCTCCTGCTCCTCTACAGGCACAGCTCTGACATACAGCACAGGCATGGCAGGAGTCTGATCCCTTAAAACCGCCTCAGAGATGAGTCCAGACTGAGTGTCCCAACGAGCTCCTGAGAGGACACAGGACATGCTCAACTTTGGGTTTGATCACCAGATAATCTGACAGGCTTGTGTTGTTTCAAAATACTGTTAAAAATCTTTGTTAACTGCAAGAAAATAATTTAATAATCACAATTAAACAATTCTGACCTTCCATGTAGAGTCCGTGAATGTAGGCCCCCTCCCGTGGTGGATGTCCAAAGTCATCTCTCGTCTTTTTCGTTACGTCCACAGTCAAGGTCATTTTGTCCAGGGGCCACTGATTTTTGCGAGCAATGCTCTGCAGCACAGCTGGGCAAAAAAAAATCTGCCTGTTAATACTTCTGATTTATTTTTCAATAATCACTAGCATTAGGTTAGAGATTTTGACCTCACCGGTGAGAAAGGACTGTGGGGTGAAGAGCCCTGAGAGCCAAAAAACTGCAGGAAGAACCAAGTCTTGAGTCCAGCTGTCCAGCTCTCGACAGCTACACATGAGATCACTAAACCTACAAAATAAATCAAATACACAACATGTCATTGCGTTGAGGATTTACTTCATGTTTAAAGGTATTTTTCCCTAACAAAGGTCAGTGTTTATGTAGTTGTACAGGAGTAGGTACCACTGTGGCAGTGTTTTAGTGGAGGGGTATGACATTCTGGCCCAGGAATCTGGAACACAGTCATTGAACAAGGCTGACTGCAGAGTCTCCATACTGGAGGAGATGGTGAGTTCCCCCTGCGGATTAACAGCACTTTGTTAAATCCCATCATTTTACAGTCTTACTAATTACAAAAGAGCTATAATTTCTCACAGTGACCACACCTTCAAGCCAAGATCCAGCTCATTAAGAGACCTCCTAATTTCTGCTAGCAAGAGATTCATTCGCTCACACTCCTGGAAACAGACTTGGATGTAGGGGCTTCGCTTTGTTGTCTTTGCAATGATCTCTGCCATGTTATAATCCTCAGGAAGCTTATCAAGGAAGTCTTCAATGACAGACTTGACCTGAAAAGAATTATATTCATGGTAAGGGTCCTCATAGAGGCAGATGAGTGTATTCAGAGTTACTTTTTCGGCTTTAATAGTTCTTCACCTTGTCCTCCGTGCTCTGACCGGCCCCCTCTCCTCTAGAGGAGTCTCGAGGCTGCAGCTCCAGCATAGATCGTAGGAGGTTGTCTGAGGCGACAGTAAGGCACTCCAGCTCAGCATTAGGATGGAGACCATACAGAGTGGGGTTCTCAAGTGGGAGGTGTTCATCGATATAGCTGTGGTAGCCGCTGTAGTCCATGAGTGGAGGGGCAAAGAACCCAGGGCAAAGAGAGAGCTCATCTTCAAACTGTGAATTGAAAATCAAAAATGAAAACTTAGATGCTGCGGCACACAATTAAAGAGAACAAGAATATCCATCTTGAACTGTCTTATGTGTCTGTGTTTGGTCACAGATTAATAGAATCAATAGCGGCACAAGAGTAAACTCGTTATAAAACACTGATTGGTGTCTGATTGTCCAAATCACATCTCCTTTGATCAACAGTGACTCTCAGCAGAAACAAACTGGAGGAGGTTTGATTGTGTGAAACGAACACAGAAAATCCCTAATGAAGTTTCTTCAACTGGGTAAATGCTCCCCAAATATTCACCTTACAACACTTGGAGCTCATGGAAGTGGTGAAGAATACAAAGAGAAGTAACTCTCACAAATTGTAGACAGAAAAATTCAACAAATCTAAACTCACTGCTGCAGTTTAGATTTATATCCCAAGAGGGCACCCTTTACCTGAACTACGCATGAACTACAACAACAGGAAGATTGAAATGGAGTTGAGAGTTTTTTTCTGTCGGTGAAAATAATCAAACCTAAAATGAATTAAAAAAATTCAAAAAGTGATCTTAAGATCTTAAAGAGATTAAAATGGTCAAAAATATCTATGGGGTGTTTTTTTTTCATCACACACAAAGAAAAACTTGAACATATTCTTCTGACATGTAAAGTTTACCATTTTTGGATGCAAAAGCTCTTGCAGATAGGTCTTACACAGTCTTCTATCCCAGTCATCAGTGATGTGTCCTCCGTACATGATTTCCCCAAAAAGGTAGCACAAGTCCTGCCAGGGAACCTGCATGGACTAAAGCAGACACAGTTTGAAATGACAATGCAGATGTAGTAAAAAGTATTCAGCTAACTTCTGGGGTAAGGTGGATATTAAAATAATTCAGGGGGGATATCAGGATCAATACAAAGACAGTTTTCAGCACATTTTAAGGAGCATCTTCTGCACTACTTTTAACTCTTTTAGGACTTTGAGAAGTAAGGATGTAACCTGTTTCTAAATGAGCTCCTTAATCATGTTAAAGAAAATGTAACAGAATTATGTTTCTGTACACACACTGGTCTAATGTATGACAGAGGAGTCTTTTCCTCAGCAGGGGATTATGATCTGTGAGGGTGAAGGAGGAAGAAAAGAACCTGTGATTCATAACAAATTACAAAAGCTGGAGGTTCACAATCATTTGTACCTGTATTGTTTTGCAAATTGCTTCCTTCATCAGCTCTAATTGCAGTGATCACTTATGTAGCGTTGTGAACTGTCACATTGGCTGCATGTAATTACATTTAGGATTACGCTTCATTGCCCCCCTAATGAATTCTCTGTATACGCACATCCAGGTTACTGTTTGGTTAACATAATGAAGGACATTCGTTTTTGGAGGGCAGAATACCTACAAGACATAATTGGTTGTGACCAGAGTAATAGGAGTTCTAGGAGAAATGCATTAGGAGTTGTGTGGGGTGCAGCACACCAAGAATGGATTTTTTTGTCTTCATGAAATTAAGCTAAATTATAGGTTCTATTGTTCTAAGTGCAGAAGTGTACAAAAAGACAATTATGAACATTTTTCTTTCACAAAAAAAAAAACAAAAAAAAAAACATATTACAACAAAAGATTTCAATAAGTAATAGGACACTCTGTGCTGTAATGCAACATCTACATTTGACAGTAATGCCGATGCAAAATACCATTATTGTCAGAGATTTTACACAACTTGGGAAAGTAGCAGCTAAAAGAACTATTTTGATTTTATCAACATTTTCAACATCAACGGAACATTTTATAAAAATAAATAAATAAAATGCTGTATATTATTGAGTATACTTTGCTGTTGGCCTCTAAGTAGTTGTGCAGGACACTGGCTGAGATGGTGAGGTCTCCTGTGCTAAAAGGGTACTTTTGGTTCCACCCCTGGGGGCCAAATTTACGACGCTCTGTGACACAGGCATGAAAGAAGCAGAGAGAGAAGAACATGGAGCTGAACTCTTGCTCTCTGGAGCACATATCCAAAGTGTCCTGAAAGAGCACACAGAGAGAAATAAAGAAATACAATCTATCAATTATGTTCAAATCAAATGAAAATCAATAAGTAAGGCATGTATTATAGTTAAAATCAACACACTTGGCTGAAGTTGTTGAGGGCTGCATGCAGACTGGCATTCATGCCGGTGGGGGGCTCATTGGTGATTTTGATAGCGTTCTCCAGGATGCCTCTGGGAATCACATGCTGCTCAGGGCTTGGTGCTGGCTCAGCAGTAATGAACACCCTGAAGTTTGGGTGACTGTCCACTGCTACTACTTCCAAAAGAGCATCAAGACAGGACAGCCAGCGAGCCACCAAGTGCACATTCTGAAAAAATTAACATCTTTAAAAATCACAAGATTGTCAAACAATTGATCAAACAATTTATTCATGGCGAGTTTGTCGGTATATTTCTACTTCAAAAGTTGTTTTTGTATTGTTGCATTGATTTTCTAAAATTGTTTCAGGGTTACAAAGAGATTGAACATTTGATGTTAAATGTAAATATGATAAAAAAAACCCTTTTCTGCACAGTTCTGTTCAAAAATCATTCAAAAAACATCCCTCTGTGATATAAACAAGAAGAAACCCTTCAGTGACTTTCTTGGCTACATGCTTCTCCTTTTAAAGGAGCCATTTATGGAGCTGATCTAACCAATTATGGTTTTTATTGAACCAAATTGAGTTTATTTCTCCTGCTCACCGGGTGAGATAATATCATTAGGTGCATTACAGACTGGCGAGTGGAGCATCCTGGAATCACTATAGTAGCTCAGTTACTAAACAGAGATGCTTTCTACCTGCAAAATGACCCAGTGTCCAAGTTTTGAGGCATCTTTTAAAACCCTCTCAGCCACTTCCTCCTGCCCCTGACCCAGAGATATGTTGTGCAGACTGCCCTTCTCAATGGAAAATCCAAGCTTCAGTCCTGCAAAGACAGAAAATTGTTTAGAATTGTAACAGTATTAAGTAGAAAGGCAGTGTAAACAATGAAACATACACACGTTACCTAGTTTCTCAATGTCTTTGAGGGGATCAACTCCTGGAGACAGGATGAAGAACATAGGGGTCGCTGGGCCACTGTCCTCATACAGTTTTTCAAATTCCAGCCTGACCGCCTCCACATATTTTGTCCCCATGTGCTCCTCAACAAAATTCCTTCAAGAAATTATAGCAGAAAAGTTAATTGAGTTACAGTACTGACAGACTGATTTTAAATGGGACACTTACTCACCTCAGTGTGTTAGTCATCCTGTCAGGGCGAAGTGCTCGAATAATCATGAGCTTCTGGAGGGAACTTTTATTTTTCCATTCCTGTGGAAGTCGTTCTTTTTCGGGGCAGCTGGACTCAACGATCTTCCTCCAGCACTTTGGTGAGCTCTCCACTTCTTTATCCAGTCCACTGAAGTCCTCCATTATTGAGAGGGTCTACATACAAGTAAAGTACATAGTAAAACCTTCTGTATGCAACAGGAATTTTGAGACTCTTTATAATGATCAGTTAAATATACGTTACACTTTAAACTATGTGACATCCAATTTGTCTACTAGACCGTACCTTAATGGCTCCCCAGGAATGAGGAGAGAGGAAAGACACAGGACTAACTTTGCTGGCCTCCACAGGAAAGCGCAGCAGGAAGTCAAACTCTAGTGGATCGATGGAGCCCTTTTTCAGCAGAATCTGAGGGGAAGGTCCAAGAGCAGTTGGTAATGATCCATGATGCATTGATTTCTTTTCAATCAAGTCCTCAATAATTAAAAACTGCAACAAAACTCTTGAAAAGCCATTAGGTGAACTCTTACAGGCTGAATAATTGCCTCTGAATGTAACATAGCTGTATGAAGGACAGGCTTCAGAGCAGCACTATTTCTAAGATGAAAACAGTTGGCCCAATGACAGATAATTGCATTATGCCATCAGAACCAGCCCCCCTGTCAGAACCAACTGTCTGAACAGCCGCCATGAGGGACGCTGTGAGAGGTAATCAATAGCAGCGTATGGTGCTGCTGACTGCTTTTAATTGAAGTTAATGTGGGGGCAGAAAAGTACTTTGATTGATGAGGATGACAGGGGGCCCCACCTTTGAGGCGGCCCCGAGTCCCTCACCTGGAAGGCAGTGTGTGACAAGAAGGTTAACTTGTCTCTCTCAAACAGGCCCTGGCTGGTGTGCAGGAATACAGAATAGGTGATGGCCTCAGTTAGGGTGTGCACTCGGGTCCTCACGTCTTCATCCCATTCTGCCCGCTCCATCGCTTTTTCAAACACCGAGTTAAAGGTCTGGAATAAAAAACAAGGGGTTGACAAAGAAAACGTGCATATATCTAGGATGAAAGATTTTTACTTGTTAGCTGCCTTAAACCAAAACCAACTGAAGCTTTGATGTCGAAGCAGCAATTAAAGCTGATTTCTACAGTCTACTGTTACACCTCAATGACTTTTGGTTGGAGTGACACCGACTGAAACCCTTCAGAAGAAGATATGTAACCCCCGAGAACACTTCAGGAATAAAGGTTTCACCTTGAGAGAAAACTGGTACATGGGGTTAATCTTGCTGAGGTCATTGATGATGAAGAAGAGGAGTGACGCTCTCTCAGATGCTGGGCGGTAAAGTTCTCGAGCCTCGTTGATCTTTGTCTCATTCTCTCTGGCCTCCACCACCTGTGTGTTCCAGTTGCACAACAAGAGCTATTAGGCTCTCAGTCATGCTCCAAAACCCTCTCATTACACATATTCCTAACTAAACACCATTTGCAGTGTGTGCAATGAGGGGACTGTGTGGTGCCCAGAAACACTGATGTGACTGAAGAAAATGAACACATGCACTTGGCTACAGCGGGACAACTATGAGGAAGCCTGTTGGTTTAATAAACTCACCTTGAGCTGGATGTGAGCGGCTGTGTCCTTGGTGTTTTCAAGTTGCTCCACCAGAGAAATGTCTCCAAGAAAATTACCCTGGGCAGCAGAGAGGCGATTCAACAGGTCATCTTCCAACCTCTTTAGTTCAATCTTGAAGTCGTTCTGCTGTGTGGTCAGCTCCATCTTGTGAAAAGTGGAGAAACATTTCTTATTTTCTATTTGTCTTCCTGGACTGACTTCTGTGAAAAAAATGATCAAATTAGAGTACTTCTGGAATTACCTTGAGAGCCTCCAGTTCAGGCCTTTCCCGGGACACCACCTGTCCCAATAGCTGTTCCTCCAGACCCCCAGGGGTCACTGTGAAGTTGATCAGGGTCGTCTGCGCCTGGAGCTCAGGTGGGAAATGGGGATTGGCCAACTTTGTGTGCATAATGAGCTGAAAATTACTGTTGTATTCACACTCCTTTGCCCCAATTTGAATGTACCTACACAAAAGGAGATTGTAATTTAATAAAATCACATGAGAGCCAACAATAATCTGATGGCTGTGCTGTTATTACAGTACATTTAATTCAAAGTTAAAAAGGGATAACTGAGGATAACTCTTGAAATAATCAGTGTTTTCTGTAAGGGGACAGTGAGAACAATCACAAAGGCAATAATAAAATATAATCAAAAAAATGAGGAAGGCAACAACAATGACGGTGATACTGTACAATATTTGAATTTTGGTGGTTAAAACCATTTCTATCTTGATAACTGTGGTACTCCATGTCACCCCATCAACCTCTCATTTGAATTTGCATCTCTAAATGTGTCAAAAACTTCACTCTGGGTCCAGATGTCACTTGAACTGTGGAGAAATAATGCTGGAAAAATCAGAAAGGTTATCACCACAGCAGCTAATATTTATCTCTTCCTGCATTTCAATTAAATTAGCACTGGCTTGACGAACCTGGTGGCTTTTCATTTTTCTCTAATTACCCCTTGGATGTCAGGCAAGGCCCCAATTTTACGGCACAGGTTCCTCATGGCCTGGGTCTGGTTCAACTCTATATCTTCACAAGCCAGAATTAATGTACTATTGATAGAACCATTACTCCACCAAATTAAAGTCCTCGCTGATGGATTGGCTTGTAGTCTTCCGTCAGCCATGAAAGGAATAATTAGTATTCATTACTTCACACTCTACAACATTCCAATTATTAATGAACTTCAGCTGTGGATCCCCACCAGATCCATCATGGCTGCCCCAGCAGGTTGTATTAATCATCGACAGAAACAAGTGTGTGGGTCATCTACAAGGGATAAACTTATAATCAGATTTACCATGATGAATTGTTATGTCTGGATGGACAGGACTTCAGAGGAAGTTCAATGCACATGCACCAAATATTCAATATTCATGGTTCGTCATAATTCAGAGCAAGACAGCTGTAAACATTGTTGAAAGGGAAGTCAAAACAGGATGTCATTATTTGGTGTTTTTGTCAGCAGTTGGTTTAAAAATGTGGGATGCTGCTGGATTTGGGGGTTAGCAGTGATAGAACAAAGGTTATGACGGATCACAGCTCTGTTAAATTCATGAAGTGGAGTAAAGCAGTAGTCACGTTTATAATAATCAGGCAGATTTATCTGATATATGTAGCAGAAATGTGTCCTCTTCAAAAGCATAAATAACTCACCAACCTCATGACATTAAAATTAACATGCTGTTACATTTTTTTAAACAAGCCAAATCTACAAAGTTTTCTTAGTGAGATTAAAGTTGTGTTTCAAGTTAGTATAGTAACAATATTAGTTTGATTCTAAATAAATGCAGATGGATACAAGTATATCATCTTTCAAGTTATGAATTTCTTAAAGATGAATTGAGTTTGCCATGATGATGGAGGAGCGCTGGATTTAGTGTGTTACATGCCATCTTTTTGTGGCTGACAGCAGTCCTTATACATAACCATGACTGCCCTCAATTCAGCTTTTACACTGAGGCTCAGCTGTTCAATATTCATCACACCTAAAGAATATGAACACACAAATATACATCTATCACCTGTGTTGAGGGGCAGATCGATAAGTTGGCCTCAGGGATTCTGTACACGTGCTGCAAATTCATTTATAATCTGAAGAGTGGGCAATAATAATGCATTCAGTCATGTCTTACTGGTGTATCAGTGCTCAGTGAGATTCAGCCATCTGGTAAGCCTGCCCTTATTGTCTGACAACACAGACATTTGGACAGCTTGTGGGCATATCAACTTGGGATTTAACATGGATACTACAACCATCTATTGATCCTCAAAGATCTATGTTAAATAGCCTTTACAAAACCAAGAATTCTCTATCGAGAGGCTGATTTGATGAGTCATTTATTTGTGTGGTTCTTTTAAACAACAATGTTAATCTTATGATTCAGGCTCAGTACAAACCTTCCTTTTTTGATGGTGTTTCTGCCCAAAAGAGGTTCGAGGACTGGGTCCACTTTTTCGGGCAGATTTTCTATCAGAACTGTACCACCACAGGCAAGGGCTTGTTCAATCACATCTAGATATCTTAAAAGAAATGCAAAAGCAGTTCAGTTATTTATTTTTTTTTCAACTATCAACGCACATTGTGATTAAGAACAGAAGTTTATGATGCAGGCCCTCATACCCTTTCTGTCCGAGCTGCACCACCCTCAGCTCTGGTCCTTGCCGGTTTCGGATCCACTTAATGCCCTGCTGCTGTGGGTCAATGATGAGTGGCCAACGCTCACTGGTGGTCAGGATGGCAGCATTTTCAGTGGACATCCTATCATTTGGCAGCCCCTGGTTTTGCCAGGCAGCCACAGTGGCATCATCTGTAAGCATGAGGATTGGATCCAGGCCGTCTGTCAGGGGCACAGAGACCTGGAACAGAAAACCAGCAATGATGTCACTCTAGTTGGGGAAGTGTGGCAAAACAATAAGTTCTAGCTCATAGATTCTGCAGGCTGTTTGTAGAGAGGACTATCTTACACTGTGAACAACTGTATTATAAAAAAAACTGGCCTCACCTTCTGCGACTTAAGGAAGGGGATCCATGTCTTGTGAAGGAGTTCCATTCGGTACCACTTGGTGAAGTAGCCCATATAGGAAACAAATGCTGAAGTGATGAGGACATCACCACACAGGGTTTTCTGCTGCTTTTCGTATTGAACTATTGCTTTTGACCAGCGCTCTTTCTCTAACTGCAAGAGACACAGACAGACTTGGATATCATTCAACAAACACAGGGGACACACAAAGAAACCTTCTTTACAGCAAGACTGATTTAAAGAAAAAAAAAGCATCCACAGTCGGAGCAGCTTCCCTTTCCTTTCATTGTTTAAATTAAGAAGATATAAGCAGTAAAGCATTCAACAACAATCCCTCGAAATAGCTTTGGAAGTTGGCTGTAGATTCGCTCAGCATTAATTCAGCATTAATTTCAACCTTCAATACTATGACTGTGACAGCCCCACAACAATAAATCATGCACGGCATTTTCTTACAAGGGGCTGTGGATCCAGAATATGTCACATAATAAATTCTCAGACAGTTAAAAATCACTATAATTTTACTCTAATGTATTATGGATTGCCTGTAATATCACTCAGTCTGGGGTGAGACATTGTTAATTTCCAACAGCTGTTGAGTCTTTGAGGTAAGTTAATGATTAAACATAGACGGCCTGATTTATTAGTCTGAACACTATTGCTTCCAGGTCAATGCCATAAAGACAAAACATTTATCTTGATATGCTTAAAAGCCAAGCTGTTTCATGCAAACCACATTTATTCTCTGGAATTAGAAAGTCGAAGTTACAAAATGGCCACTGAAATGACCATCTTTTATTTTGTATTAGCATTCATAAGGATAACAGATATGATGTCTTGAATAATGAATATACAGGAAAGCTTAATTTCAGTATAATATCTAGCAAACATGCAACATTCAATCTTTGTGTAGTTCATATATTCATATTTCTTAAGTTCCCCTTGAGTGCTTTTGTTTTTGATGAGAAAACCTGGAGAACTGATTTTAGTTCCACCACACACAAAGTAGTGCACATGCACAAGCACAAACATGTAAAAACACACACTCACACATTCACATGGATACAGAAAATTCACACCAGACCCGCACAGATAGAGAGCAGTGTTATTGTTGTGTTTCTGATCCTCTCAATTTGGAAAACGTTCAGACGACCAGTTGCCCAGTTCAGCCATGCGTTCTCTATGGCCCAGCCCTGTCTACCTGTCTCACAAGTCATCAGTGTGCTGCTGGGTCAGGCTGTAAAATCTCCCTCTGCCTGATCTACCCACACATCCATAAGAGTATCTTGCCAGGACATAACAACTTCCAGTCCAGATTACTGGTGCAATTCCATCATGCACCAGCCTCTCTTCATGCATGCCTCTGTGCAGACACTGTACCTTATGCCAGGTAAGCCTTAGTGAGACCTATAACTCCTCCATCTCTCCTTGTTTACCTCTAAGCCTTTGACTAGTCGGTCGGCCAGCTCAATAGTCTGGGTGGTACACAGCACCTCCTCCTGACAGCTGATTTTCTCAGTTATAGCCCTTTCAAACTGAGCTGTTAGGCCCTGGAGGCTGGTATCAAGGTCCTGAAGAAACAAACCAAAGGAAGCAATTGAATTTGGAAACCATTAACAGAATGTAGCTTTTAGACTAAGTGACTTAATTGAGTATAATCATAACTTGGCACTCACCAGCAATTTCTTTTGAACTGTTGACAATTTGGCAGTTGCTATTTCGAGTTCAGTATTAGCCTGTGATAATGCATGCCTCTTTGGAATAACCTCACAATAAATCTGCAAAAAAAAAAAAGAAGTGGGCATGAAAAAATACAATAATCAAGAAGCAATTTCCTTGCCGAAAATAAAAAAAAGTGAAGGACAAACTCCAGAAAAACACGTATGAAAACATTAACTGACCTCATAGTATCTAACGATATTAATAGTCCAGGCACAGAGACCAGCTGCAGCTGTAGATTTGGTCCGGACTAGATCAGGGTGGAACTCTGGGTTTCTCAGATACTCCTTTTTCACCACAGTCAAACAGGACTCAGGGATGTGCTCCTTGTCATACGCTATCAGAGCCTGCAGGAAATCATCAGCCTGGTACATAAAATCAGGAGCTACATTAATACTTGCACTAGAACTTAAGGCTAATGTTAATATCAGATGCTATAATTCTAGAAATTAGACATATAAATATCATAAACAGCCTTGATAAAACTTTGAATTACAATGTATGTCTCTATGAAATTAAAAATACGTCATCTTTATTGACATTTATTGAGGTTGAACTAAAAAAATCAGAAAGGTGAAGATCTGAATTTGTTAATTCTTTGAAAAATCTGTCTGTTTTGATCATTGTTATTTACATCTACAGCTGTTGGCATTGACTTCCCTTTTATTGTCTGTTGACAACCTATAGCCACACACCAATAAAAGTCACTGTAGGTTTATGTTGTCCCAAAGTTTCTTCCTTTATAGAAATCAAGAGCCAACAACACATTCAAAAACCTTGTGTGTAAAAATAACATAAGGCATCAAGGCACGGATCCCTAATTCACCCTAATCCAACATTTTTACAGATTAGAAATGTATCCTCTGAGGCCATACTCCCATTAATAACAGTCAAAGGTTGAGGCACACTTGCCCCCCCCCCTCTGACTGAGCATATTCATAAAGCCATCTAGCTGTAATGTGAGCTTTGAAGAGATGCTGGGCAGGGCCAGGGTCAAGGCTTAGTCACAAATTAGATTGGCATTAATCAGGCAGATGTGATTGACATGATGACAGCTTAACCTTGCCCATGAAGGCCCGTGCCGCCTTCCAGCTCCGATCCTTAGGCACTCGACCGCGGGGAGCTAACAAAACCATCACAGCTGCTGCGACATTGATCACTGCAGCTGGAGGGTTGGGAAATGCCTTCAGCTCAGTGAGATTCACCTAAAAAATAAAACAGTGACCATAATTATTTATATATTTTAGGGGGACTGAAGATCTGGCGCATTTTGTCCTGGCTTGTAAAATTAAGAACCTTGTTGAGAGTATGGAGTGCTGCTGTGGCAGCTGTCAGTGATGGCTCTGCCTTCAGTAGGTCATTTTCACAATCCCTTTGTTTGGCAGAGACCTCTGTTTGGATGACGGCAACCTGTGCAAAGCAACCATGAATAACAAAAGGGAATTTTGTGAGTGTTGTGTAATAAAAACCTGTACACTCAAGGTGCAAAAACCAATATATGGTCGCACATCTCACCTTTTGTGCCTCAACATCTGCCGCCTCCCTCTTGCTGCTAACCTTCTCAGTTTGCAGTCCAATCTTTGTAATCAGAGCCTCAATTTTCTGTTTTTTAAAGGTCAGCTCAGATTCTTGAGATGCCAATTTAGCTTTGAGATCCTCCACCTAAAATAGGGGGACGACATGTTCATGCATACATCAGTGTTAGGTGAAGCCTACATTTAAAAAAACAAGCAATAGTACCATTCCTGTTTTTTCTACTCCAGCTCAACCAAAACAAATCCTGATATTACTGTTGTATACAATAAAAGGTTAATACCTGAGTGGCAGTGGTTTGGAGTTTTTGAAGGCCACTTTCAAGTCTGTTCATCTTGTGCTGGAGCTGAGCCCTGCTCTTCTCCAGAAGGTTCCTGTACAGGGTGATTTGCTGGAGAAAGCTCTTGGGGGTGGTGTGATTGTACCTCTTCTCATTGCGCTGGTATTTTTCACTTGCCTGGTTGACACTGGTGTGAACGTAGGCCATGAAAAGACTGATGGATTCCTGGACGGCAGGCTGTAAAAATAAGCAGACAAGGGGGGAGAGGGAGAACGCGGCGAGTGGGATTGAGTAGAGTTTAACATCCCCAACCTGATGGGGACTGAAATATTATCTTCATAAATTTTGAATTCATCTACAAGTTTTGCCATCTTCCTCGGCTGGCCCTGACTTACTCAATCTGAAATTTAGGTGCAGCTTGCAGGAATGATTAGGCTTTGAAACCCCTGCGAAAATAATGTGTTTGGACCACTGACATACAGTTTGTTATTCATGCACACTGTTTACATTATCTCTGATGTCCTCTAACTTTCTAAACACTGTCTATAGCTGCTGTTGTGCTTCATTCAAACTAGGTATTTATCATGTGGTGCTCAATGACACAGAGCCTGGATTAATCATGCAGGTAGTGATCAATTAAAGTAAAAACAAATGAGCAGAGAATACAGAGGATCAAACCTCACCATAACTCACAAAAAGCCATTGTTAATGACCATGGAGCCAGTAGGAAAAAAATCATTATTAATTAAGATCTGACATTATGCTTTTTGACAAAGCATCCTACATTCGCTTCAGATGCAAGATGTTTTAACTGATTGGCCTCTTTGACAACTGCCAGTGGGTTGTGCATTCCTAACTTTAAATAAATGATCATTTCATTTCTCATTGCCCTACATCTTTAATAAAAATAAATACTCTGTGTATTTTACGATACAGTAATGTCTCTCATTTTGTCACCTCCTTTAACTTCATACTTTGCAAAAACTCAAAATCCTTTCTGTAAAAACACTCTTAGTTGTTTGATGTGTGCTCTTCTTTGTATCTTTGTGTATCTTGGCATTGGTAACAAAGACAACAATTTTTTATTTCATCATTACAACTACTTTTTAGAAAGGATTCAAAGGGGATGGAGGGAATACACTGAAAGAGTTGCTCTCATTAGTTCTTTACTAATTGTTTAATGTATCAATCCACCAAATGCTGAAACTACTATAATACTTGCATATTAATCTACAGCTGCTGAAAAAAAAAATTCCAGACTCTAAAATCTTTGATACTAAACAAGCCTTTACTTATGTAATTTTTTTGACTAATGCTTTAATAACAAAACAGCGACAATTACACCACTTTTTCTGCTTCACCTGAACTTCCGCGCATGGACAGTGTGCAGCGGAAAGTAACAGTCTGGCACAAATGTGATGACACTCTCCTGGTTGTGACAGCTGTGCCTCCTTAGTGGGTCGTTATGTGCTTAATCACTCTTCTCTCATTAACATAAATGATTCTGGGTTGTGATCGTTCCACTGCTATGATGGAAAACAATGATATGCCTGCACTCACTGTGAGTCTCCAGGCATGTGTTCAGCAATTTGTCAGAACCTCAGCTGAGAACTAATGATGAGGGATCTATGGAGAAGTTAATCCAGCTGCACTGTTATAATTAGATGGCGTTCATTTAAGTCTAACTCAGTCCAGAATGAGGAGGTACATGGTAAACTCTCCTGTATGTTACACCCATAGATGAATCTCTGACAACAAGTATCGTTATTTGCAATGATATTATATTGTATCCTCGTGCAAGGGAAAGCAAGGACTCAGAAAAATTAAAATACAGGAATAATAGAAAGGTTGGGTTGTGAGAGATAAAAACCTTACCTCAATTCCTTCAATCTCTTGAATAAACCTAAAGCTAACTGACTGCAAAGCTTCTGGGGTCCAAGGGTGGAACCAGTCAATGGTGGTGCATTGAACAAGAGCGGGGAATCGACGGGCTCTAACACGAAGGGTGCTGCCCACTGGAGACAAACACAGTACCACCTACAAGGCAGAAAGCAAGGAAACAAAGAGATACTCAGTTAGACATACAGAAACGGGTTTTTACAAACATGTATCCACATACTAGAGTTTGACAAGACATAGCCAAGAATACATCTGAAAATCATCCCTGTTTATAGACAGTGCTTAAACATTCAAAAGGAAAACCATAACTGGCAGCCGTCTGTGCCCCCACTTTCATCACTCTGGCATGAGGACAGGCAGCCACATCCCCTGTTGGCTGTAACAGACGGTGACGCTACCAGAGGCCCTGGCATAGTCATTAGCTGGATGGCACGCATGTGTACCGAGACAAGAATTTCCTTCCTTTTAACCCCCTAGTTCATCTGGCTCCGTTAGTCCAGCATGTTAAACACATTTAATAACACTGAACAGCAGCTGTGCTTTTAATTTCTTAATGTTTCTATTAACTGTTAGCTCACAGATTTGTTTTAACATAGTCTATTGAAAAACCAGGTAGCCCACAGACAAACAGAGGCTGACAGTCATAATGCAATTAGTTCCGATGACAGTCTGATTTAACTGCAAAAGTAACATTATAATTTAACGTAAGCAACAGACCACAGAGCAACAGTTTATTTTAACATATTACCTCTGAAATACATGATCTTCTTTTAGTTAAGTTGTCAGACTGAACAAAATAATAACCTTTAAGTCTTTGAGTTTTTGCAGATACAGAGTTAATCCAAATTTCATAAAACCTTAATTAAAAAAAAAAAAAAAAAAAAAAAAAAACAATTTAATCCAACTGATTTGGGTGCAAACATTAATGAATAGTGATGTTATTTGGAAGGAAAATGTGAAAGACTATACCTTAAGCTGTAGCCTAACTCGGTCTGTAAAAAATCTCCAGCAGTTCTCCCTGCTGTCCAGCAGTCCGAGCGCTCGGACCTGAGCTCTCACATCTGACACGATACCTTCCATCTCCTCCTCAGTGAACAGTTCAGGAATTTCTCCTAAGGAGTAATCATAACAGACATCATGATGAGCCGATCAATATTCTCTTCACAAATTTAAATATGCACAGTCACTGCTTAATGATGAAAATTCATGAAGAGAATACAACATCTAACCACGGCAGATCATTTTCTAGCGCAAACAGATGAAACATTGTACGATTTTTGTGGTGCTGACCTGTCGCCAACAAATTATTCACAGTCACAAGGAACTGCTCATCAGGTATCTGTGCATCAGTAAGGAGTAGAGCCACTCGCTGGTTCTTCACTCCAGTCTTGAGAAATAGGCCTGCTAGATCCATCTAAGAGTAAACACACATGGCATGAATAGACTGCAACAGTACAACGTTTACACCGACACAAAGACCACAAAAGCACCAATGATTATCAGTGATGGAGCACAAGACCCATGATGAGGCTCCTTATTGATTCAATTGACAAACTTGTTTCATCAATCAGACATTGAAACGTTTCCTGGTGGTTTTTAAATAGTATTGGACAAGTATTTCCTGTGTCAGTGGAGAAGCTCAGCAGAACTGTACTACATCATCATCCTCAATGAGACAAAGAGACATTGTTGTAAAGGATCTGGGATGAGTGAAGGATTTCCAGCAAACATGTTTCTCAATGACTTTTCATTTTCTTAAAAACATATTTAAGTAGATTATAGGACGGCTTGCAAGACGGAGCGCTATTGCAGGTCATTCCTCCCCTCTGTAATAAGACTTTACAATGAACTGTAATAAAACTGGACTCACACCACCACTTTTTTCTGGCATTTAAATTGTGTATATTGTATATAGTTTTATTTTCTTCTCCCTTTTCCTTTTTCTAATTTTTTTCTTAATTATAACATTTATTTAAGTTCTTAATATAACAATCTGTATTTTTATAACTGCATCTTTGTCTGTGATGCTGCTGTGACAAAAAAACTTCCCCCATGGGGAATCAATAAAGGAATATTCTATTTTATTCTATTCTATACTAGTAACTCAAACAAAAGCAGATCTCCTTTGCAGAGCACTGTGAGTCCTTGTAACTTGGTGCAGGTGATGGCATACATCAAGTTTGTCAGAAAATACAGAGACTCGTGCACAGAAGAGGGCGGATGAATTCCACAGCATGAGAATACGGTTTAAAAATAAGTATTTCAGCCCTCTTGTGAACATTAATTTCCTTATTTTCTGTCAGACTATGTTTTGTTTAGCTGTAACCAACAAACCTCTTTACAACTAAATAATTACCTTGAGGTCTTGGATGCTGTAACCCTTGCTCAGAGTGATTTGGAAGATTTCCACTGAGGATATGTAGGCAGCCAGCCGAGTCAGGCTCTGCTTCCCACTGCCTCCCACTCCAACCAGTAAGGCATGACCCCTTGGGGACTCCAGGATGCGACTGATGCGACAGCTGTTAACAACACAATCTTGTTATGTCACAAAATGTATATATTCAACCAAATGTTGTACAATCTAAAATTCTTCATATTCTTTCTTCACATTAGCATGGAAGCTTTGAATGATGTTTAATAACTTATTAATCTCCTTTCCTGCGATCAGCTTCCTTTTTTAGATTTCATTAAGTTTCATATATATACCCGTTTTCTTTCTTTCTTCAATAATTTTATGTTGTTTGTTTGTTGTCAAATTATCATTTTCCGAGGAAAATCTTTTATTGTCACCAAGAACCCTTATATCTATAATTACACCATAGAAACCAGCTTTGCTTACATATGCTCCACAGCATCCTCAAACAGCACAAGATTCATGGCTGCATTGAGCTCATTGTAGCTCTCCAGAGCATCTGTGAGGATGGACTTGAGGGCAGACCAGTCTGTAATACGCGTATAGGAGGCTTCATCGCTTTTGTGGGCAAAGTGGCAATAGAGGAGGGACTGCTTTGTCACCTTATTGTCCTCCAGTCCCTGAAAGAGGACAAGCATAATAAATCATTTAAATCTTTGAGTGTATGTTGAGATCAGAAGGCGAAAAACAGAAATTCATACGGTTTATTTATCAGAATCTGTGTTGCACCTCAAAGCATTCATGCACAGTCTCCATCTGGAGCCTCCGGAAGAGCTGCAGGTCCGTGACATCTACCAGTCTGTCTGAGTACACCCTGCAGGACTCGTGGAGCCACAACAGTGCCAGGTCAGTGCTCTCTTTCACACTTTCAGGTCCAGCAAAGAGGATGCCCTGAGTCACACAGATAATCATAAAAACCAAAACCACACTCAGAAGTATACTGTGATAACTGAGATTACCGATGACTGGCAACACTACCTGAAAGACGTTGGACAACTCTCTTAAATTAAATGTGTAGTGAAATTTGATGGCAGTGGGCAGAAAGCTGCGAAGCATCTTGTGATGAAAACTTATGGCAGCTTTGATCACAGCTGTAGCAGTCCTCTGAACTTGTGGACTGAAGCGTTTTTGCTTCAGGTGGCCACACAGGATGGGTGTGTAGATGGACATCAGGGCCTCAGAGGAAGGAAAGTTCACCGCAAACAGTGAGAAATGTCTCTGTATAGAGCAGGGTATAATCAGAGATGATAGCTTGTAAAACAGTGTATAAGGATGAAATCATAGACACTTTTCAAGGGATGACTTTAATCTATCCTCAGAAATCTACTGAGCAGGTACTTTAAAATCAATTTTTTTTTTCATTTGGGAAAAAAAAAATCACAGGGTTGTTTTTTTAATAGTAGCTGCAGCTTCTTAATCACCAAAGACATTCATTTCACGCTGCTTCATGCTGAGTATAGATATTGTGTTTTTAAGTGATTCTTTCAGTGCTTCTTAAAGCCAAATAAATATAAATTTTTGTCTCTTATAAGTTTTTTAATGTGAGTAATCACTATAATAGGACACTGGCTGAACATTTTCGACAGCATTTGAACAGTTCCTCAACTGATGGTTTTTGTACTTTATAACTAAAACTGTACAATACTAACAACCATGACAGTCAACAAGATGGCAAAACAAGAAAATCAATCTGTATCGTCAAGAAAGATAACCCAGAGAGTAACCTGTAGTCTTTGGTTGATATTGAAGCTTCCAGAAGTTGGATTCATACAGGCGACAAACTGGGTATTGTGTATTTCTTTCAGTGTAAGTTTCTGTCTGTCATACCTGTACAAAGTAGGAAAGAAAATGAAAGTGTTTGGTTTAATCACTAGCTCATTTTGTAGTTTGGTGAAAGACTCCAACACTTAACAGAAAAACTACAGTGAGGTTTACAGGACCCCCCTCACCAGTGACCATAATCCAGATGCTGGCGTATGAGTGTGTGAGGCTGCACTGTTCCAAAACTGTCAACAGCCGGCATGTTCAAATCATCTATAAAGTAGATCATCCTCTTGTTACCCACAGGAGAATAGCTTCGACCTGCTCTTTTTTCCAATGATTGCTCTAAGATCCCTAGAAAAGAAGAAAAAAATGAACAGATAACTCAAACTACTGGTGCCACACAGGGTAAATATTATCAATTTTCAAAACACCAGAAAAAAAGACTCAACATTTGGCTACATTTTCAGACATTGTAATTCGTAAAGGCAAGAGGTTATTATTTACATGGTACACATATATATCTATTTAAAAAGTATTAAGATAAAGAGCAGAGTGGCAAATAATGAGGTACATCTATATTACAAATCCTCAAGTAAGAACAGCAGAAATATTCAAACCAATGGATGCCATAAAGGCCATCCTCTTATGATGTTAAGATGAGGATATATAGGACTTTATCGCTCTCATAATTAAACAGAGGTACTTTTTCTTTTAAAGTCCTGGTATAATCTTTCCTAAATCTAATTAAATAAAATTGTGAGGGTTATTGTACAATTTGGTTATGTTGCAATCAAACCCAATGCTAAAGTTTTGTCTCCTTTCAAGCTTAATGAATCTGAAAATTACCAGCAGATGGTGCTACAGTTTACCTGATGTGCTGTTATGAACTACAGAACAATCCCAAAAGCCCACAAACCTTGCAGTGTGAGGGAGGTAGTGTAGTAGTTAAAAGGTATTTTTGTAGTCATGTAACTCTCTGGCAGAAAGTCTAACTTGTTCCTGACAAGTGCAGTCTTCCCCACTCCAGCGTTCCCCACAAACATCAGCGGCTGTCTCTTCTCCAGCAACAAGTCCATGAAGTAGCGAAGACGCAGAGTCTCTGCTGTGTGCACCACAACAGCCTGCAATCATAGAACCAGCGGGGAGACAGAGAGCAGAAACATACATAGTTATTATGGCTTTCTTTGAGTGTGATTTATTGACAGACATGTGTTCAGTGAGTTGTATGTGATTTATAATTTCTTGTATTTTCCCAGTACACTACAACTATTCTGTCATAATAGCATCATTTGCTCAGAACAAAACCCTACTAATTATGGCTCAGCAAGAGCCTTTGGAGCATTCACAGCTGTACGCAGGAGCATAAAGAAAGACAATAGCGCGTGGGTGACAGCTCAAGCCTTGTTGCTCATGCCTTCACCCCCACACAGTCTGGTATGGGGTGCGATAGATGGTAATCAGACACAGTGGAAAGCCCATCATCCATCCTCGCAACCCTACCATAACCTCATGATGTGACTCTGCCCTCTCTTATTATGTTCACTGAGGCTTACATATATTTTTATATGACTGCATTGTTCATTTTTGGTAAATTTTTCTTAATTAGGGCTGCTACTTTTGATTGTGTATGTGATTATAAGTCAAAGTACTTTTTAAAGTCTGCGATTGTGTAGTTACGTGAGGATTCAACGCCCTCTCTGAAGTGGCTTGAATGTTCTTACCTGTAGTGGCATACAGGTCTCCATTTCAAATGGAGGTACAGTATCGCTCCATGGCAGGAAGCGTTTGGTTTGAGGGTCAAGGTAGTAGTCAAACACTGTACCCTGTGCTGGTAGCTTCACTGTCTTCATTTCTTTGGTCCACCACCGGCTGAACTCTACACGGTAATCATAGAGCTAAAACACAAAGAAGATATATAGTTCGTAGTTTCAACAGAGAACCCTACTATTACTACAGATAAAATTATACTATTCCTAGTCTTCTGACATTACGGATTTAACCTTGGTCATGATTTCCCCATACTTACATTTTTGACAATAGAACAAAGACAGCATCAAGAGTGAGTGAACTGATAAGTAAGTGGACCATTAACAAGAGGAATTCATAGGGAATTATGTATCTTTGTGCACATCAGCTGACCGTTGTCTTGTAAAAGTAGACACGTAAAAGACGACATAATCCAAATTCCTAAGCTGTCCTCAGCATCAGATGAGAAAAAAAAAAAAACATACTAGTACCTGATCTTGACACAGGGCTCCACCGAAAGCCCAGATGCAGGCAAAAGTAAAATAGGTCTCATAAAGCTCACGTGGAGAGTCAGGTGGAATATTTTCTGGCACAAGGAAGCAGTCAAGCAAAGTGCAGAGTGTCTGAAAGAGAATGAAATGATAATTTTATCATAATTTGTACCTGTATTGGCATCCTAAATAGGCAATGAATCTGCTGTAATTTGTGCTTGTTTCTTTTTTTTACCTGCACCATGGAGTTTTCCGGGATTGGAATTACAGTTTTGAAGGTGTTTCGCATCTGTTCCACACAGCGAGGAACATATTTTTCAAACAGGATGGTGAGGTGGGCCTTTTCTGTTTGGCGTTCTCGTTGGTCAATCCAGCTTGTAACATACCTGAGTAACAGTCAAAGTTTTTACAACTTTATGTTGCTTATCTGGACTTTAATTGTTCTGAAGCACACCATGTTTATTCAAATTCATACTGGGAGTATTTCGATGATTTCACACAATCCCCACCACAGAAACTACCTCAAACACATTTTAGTATGATGTGAATGAAAATTGTGTAACTCACGGGTTCCAGCCCAGGTCCAAGTGGTTGACGTAGAGAATTCCTGCTCTGGACACAGTGGCAGGAGTGGCCGTCTGAAGGTGACTGATTTCAAACACCAGTCTCATGGAGGAAGTCAGTGGAACACGCTCATTACTGGCCAGAGTCAGAACCTAAAACATGTCACAAGTGAATATATGTGATAATATTTCAATGGCTGGTAAGTCAGACACATTTCCAGGTTCACAATTTGATCAGATTTGCTTCGGAGTATTAAAGGAACAAGATCACTGCGACATGATACATAGCTCTGGGTAAAGACCTCTAAGTACTCACACCCTAGGAAGTGATTGCCGAAGGAGGGAGAAAGAAACATCTTTTTCTAACTCTACCACCTCGGTTGCTATGTGTTGTACAATAGTGTATGGCTGACCAGGAGGGAGGTACCTTGTTGTCATCCATCACTGTGTTGAGTGATTCAATCCACATCGGATCAATGTCTCCATCCAACACAATCCACTTAGGTCCTTTGTGGGAGATGTTTGCTTGCTCTCGCATAAGTGATGAAAGCAAACCTTATACAGAGATCAAAGAACACAAAAAGAGGCTGATTACAGACTTCCAATATGAGTTACCACAGGTTCATGTAATGTGTGATAATTCTCTAATTTCCTTCTGAAGGCCTGCTCTATTACCATCTTTCCACTCTCGAGTTGCAGGATGGATAAAGCCAAACAATTCATCCCTATCCACTGCCTTTGGATTGAGGTCGTTCCACACTGGTTTTCTCTTCAAGTTTACATAAGTGTTATGAAGAACTCTCAATATCTATGGCAAGAAAAATAAAGTTAATTGGAAGTGCCTTACAATTCAGTCTGGGGCATCCATTTCATAACCTTTGAGGCAATACGACACAACCTTGCTTTTCCCAGTCCCTGCATTTCCAAGAACAAAAACTGAGTGACGCACTGCCATGAGTTCCTCCAACTGCACCACCTGACAAAAGAAGTGTTTAGAAAAACATCCTTATTTCAAGCACTGATCAGTGACACAACACTGTGTCAAACCTTAAGGATAAACGTCTCCTCCGGCTGGAGTCGGAGCTCCAGTGTGGACTTGCGAATGGCCTTTTCAAATTCAAAGTCCCTCTCCCTCTCCACCTCCAGGCCTGGAAACAAGTCTCCCAGCAGTCCCAAGAAGATGATCACATCCTCGGTCACAATTTTAGGCAGGTTGAAGTCCCTCAGCGCACGCATCAGCACCTAGAAAGTAATATTAACATACATGAAAAATATAAAAACAAACACTTTGCTTCTTCCAACGGAGATAACGCATATTTTAGATTTACCTGATCTTCTGGTCTACTCTTGTCTCTCCTTCTCAGCGTCCCAGCCATTACAAGAACAGACTTGACAGCACGCAGACCCCAGTCATAGTGGTTCTAATGGAGTGAAATGAGTATTCTTGGACTATTATATTTATTTATTGCTGTGCTGCTTTTTTTTTTACCCAAGGTAATGAAATATGATGAAATACCATTAAGTCATTTTCTCATACCTGTTTGGAGAGCAACTCTTTGCAGAGATTGTACAGAGAGATAAACTTCCTGGCTAGGAGCTTGGCACTATGGAAGCCTTCTGCCACCAGCATGATCTCACAGATAAGTTCAGTGTCTGGTACTACCATGGCACAGGGTCTAAAGTAAGACATAGACGGCAGTAACAAAGACCATTATGCTGGGTAAAGACACATAGTAAATGAAGTTATCATATCTCTCGTACCTGAAGAGAGCCTTGAGGTTCTCAGGTAGCTCTGTCCTGCCTGCATAACCAGGGTTCATTGTGATGAAAATCCCCACTGAGGGTTTTAAGACAATCTCTTTATCAAGGAATTGAAACCTGAGAGATTGTAAAGAGATTTAGTCCATTTTTCACTTTTACAGAATTACAGCTTCATGTCTTTATTTTTAATTCGTTACCTTTTTTTCTCACAGCGAATGGCATCCTGGATAGTTTTGACCTGCACTGCAACCACAGACAGGACATCTACTGCAATACGATTGAACTCATCAAAGCAGCCCCATGCTCCAGTCTGGGCCAGACCTTTGTAGATATTTCCAATGGACTGAACCAAAACAACAAAATATGCTCATAACTGTTAAATATGACACCCATACAAGAAAAAAAAACACTTAAATTTATACTTCTGAATTCTTACTTTGTGGTCCATCTGCTCAGAACAGTTGAAGATGTACACCATCACACCCAGTGCTTTTCCTAGATCCTTAGTGGTCTCAGTCTTTCCGGTTCCAGCGGGGCCTGCAGGGGCTCCGCCCATCGCCAGGTGGAGTGACTGAGTTAAGGTGATGTAGCACCTAAACAAGCCAATGGCAACAGCACACAGAGAACCACAAACAGTATAGCCAATGCTGACTGTGGTTGATGTAGGGCAAAATAACATGTTTTGAGTGCAGGAGGCTTACCGGTCTGTGAGGGGAGTGATGACTAGTCGTGGCGTATTTCCAAGATACTCGTAAGAGTAAAGGAACTGAGCATCACAGATGTTGACAAAGCAGTGATGCTGCTGTTCATACCAGCAATGCCGGAGCTGAGAAAGCCACTGGAAGGACTGTGAGGTGGTGACCTGTGAACACACATTAACTGCCATTATATTTGCACACTACTTAGTATGTCATACAGATTGAATGTCAAGATTTGTAGTACAAGCAAGCTGACGAAGAGAACTTGTTGGAATTTGAATTTATTTTACGAAAAGGCTAAACTCATCTGTCTCCTCTCTTGTTTTTCTCGTGAGATTAAATGTTAAAAACTCAAGCGCTGTATTTCTTCAAGCACTTTACAAGAGTATTTTATACCATTTGAAATTTTTGATGTTGCTGTAAATGTGGACTCAAAATTAATTTTTCTGCTACCATAAAATTCACCTTTAATTTTACAAAGTAAAATAGAGAATAAGTGTTTGATTCTTTGACACACCTACTGTATATTGATATGATATAATGAGTTATACTTGGTGTTATGCAGTAGTTAGTTCAAATGGACAAAGAGGGCCATGCTGATTGAGGGTAGGATTCTGTTACCATTACCTTTTGGGCCATGAGACTGGCAACAATGTCTCTAGCATGGACATCAATAGTGCATATAGTCATGATCTTCTGTCTGTCTCCTGGGCTCAGCTCTTCCAGCAGCATGCCGATCAACAAGTTGAGTTGAGAAATCTGGTGAAATAAAAAAAGAGAAGTTAAAGATAAGGAAATAAAAACACAAGTCTAGACGAGGATCAACATACTAATAAACTGAACTGGCAACAATCTCATATGGAGCTGCATTTTCAAGAACTCAAAATTACTTACATTTATTCATTAAAACATACACAGTCAAACATGTTGAGAATTTTACAAAAACACTGTCTAAGCTCTGACTACTTTTAAGACAAACTACAGCATACGTGTTCTTGTTTCACCCAAAACATCCCTGGATATCTTACATTTGTCACTAGCCCTCTTTGACAGCAGATCCAATCAGTGCAGCACAGTGCACTGAAGGGATGGAGAGATTATTCAAACAGCAACCAAGGACATGCTAACCTTAAATAGTGCTGATGAAACTGACAAGAATGATAACAGAAATGTGAGCATAGCCCGCAATGAGGCTCTGCAAAACCTGGCACAGGTCACTGACTATGATTTGATTATGATGGTTTTTTTTCTAGAAAACACATCCACTGAGTTCAGTTGTGTTTGTTTTTTATGCCAGATTGTGCATAGATCGGTTTAATAATTCTAATTTGAATAATAATTTAATTTGAATAATTTTAATTTGAACAAACAACATAAACAATGTCAACAGTGGACCTGTATGTACAACATCTTTATTGATAAACTCAAACAAAGCAGTTACTTTTTTATTCAGTATTTTTTATCATTGGGATGCTTCTCTGAACCTAAGGTCAACTTCCCTAACTGGTGTCATTATCAAAAATGCTGGTTATCCAAAGAGGTGTTGATTTATGTGAGGTTTTGAGGTTGTGGTTTGTGGTTGTGTTGTATTGGATCCTACTTTATGATATAGTGTTTATACAGTGTAATCCAATTTAACACACAAATAAATGATAGCAGTGCTGGATCAATACCGCTGTCGCGCTCATATCTCTAGCATCAGCAACTTGAAGATGAGGTATAATCCTGACAACAGACTGTACCCATTTATAAAATATTTTAAATGTTATTGTTTCTGAATTTGGATCTCATTCTGCCTTTTTTTGTCAACTCTGCTGCATTTACTTGAAAGGCTTTCATGTGAATATTTTTACTCAGCATAGCTGTACCTGCTTCTTGTTGTAGTCTTTCAGTGCGGACTCATACCCTTCCTCAAGTCTTTTAAACACAAGCTCCATATCGTTGCTCCACCAAATCTGGGATCCAGTTAGAGCCACTTGAGCAGGAAGGTCAAGAATCCATTGCTCTCTGGGGCGATCCTCATACACAGACACAGCCTCAGACAGGTGGCCCCTGACACTTTCTCTCATGGTCTCCTCCAGACAAGTAAGCCATGCCTCCACCTACAGTAAGACCAAGCATTATTGCTCTGAGTTAGGGTATTTCCTATAATGCCATAGCTAATTCAGATTCCTTGACACTGAGTGAATCCTACCGGTCCATGACAACAGCATTCAGTCATGAATGGGACGTACTCCCTGTCTTTGCTGTACATGCCGACTGCAAGTTTAGGACCTTCCAGCTCTCCATATTTGGCAAAGTCAAGATCTGACATATTGTCAAACAATTTAGAGAGGTGAAGAGTTACCTGCAAGAGAAAATTAGTCCTTATATGATATACACATAAGTAAAGGGATGGCACAGACACAATCAAACTATCTACGTAAATGTACCTCTATTGGTTGATTGCCTTTTGAGAGGATATCCAACAAGTCTGTTGATGAAATAAAGTAGAATCTTGGAAAAGCAAGTCTTTTTGTCTCCAAGTATTCAGCAAGAGCTTTTTCGCACAATGCAAGCCTGTCAAAGAAAGTGGTACAGGGAAGGAAAATATATGACAGAACTGTGAGCAAAGCCCGCAATGAGACTCTGCAAAAGCTGGCACAGGTCACTGACTATGATGTGATTATAATGTTTCTTTTCTAGAAAACACACCCACTGAGTTCAGTTGTTGTTTTTTTTTCATGCCAGATTATGCATAGATCATCTTAATAATTCTACGTTAACATTTGAACAAACAGCATAAACAGTGTCAACAGTAGACCAGTATGTACAACATTTTTATTGATAAACTCAAATAAAGCAGTTACTTTAGAGATTTTAGTGATTTTATAATTTACGTGTTATGTGCTGAACCTGTAATTGGAAGAAAACAAGCAAAAAATACCTTTTTTGTAGATCCTCTAACTTCTCAAAAAGAGAAAGTTTGTTCGTGGCTTCAATGACGTTTTTAGTCTTAGCACTGTCCATCATTAACTCCTGAAAGAACCAAAACCTCCATGTTTATAGTGATGAAAACAATAATCTGTGCATTATTGTGTGATAGCAACGTGGCAAACCTGAAATTCAGCGTCTATTGCTTGGAATCTGTATGCATCTGCAGGCAGTTGTTGGCAAATGTCATCACAGCCTTTGAAAATGCTTTGCAGGTACACCCATGTCCTTTGGACCTCCATCCAGACCATCAGTACAGAGTCAGCCACAGTCAGCTGTTTCTGTAGTACCACTACCTGTTGCAGAAAATGATCTACATGCTTGCTCTGAAAGATGCCCTGAAGCTGAACCTTGAGAACAGGACAAAGAAATGTAAGCAGGATTCATTCTCAGCGGGTAAGAAACGGTCATAGAAGGTTAGCCTGACTTCAGTGCACATTCAACCACATTTGTGTACCACACCGTAAAAATGTGGGGGAGGGGGGCAGTCTACTTACATAAAGATGGAGGCACCAGAGAGGCAAGACTTCTAATTGCTGGCTGTAACCCCCCAGTACAGCTGGTGTTCATGTACAAAGACCAGCACAGTGTAACAATGCCCTCTGTCCTACAGCTGCTATAAATCTGAGGACTCAATGGGGATCTCTCTGCTCTCAGTTGGGCTGTTTGACAGTCAGACAGGACGGCCCCTGTCTGCACTCTCATCTCTATTCAGTGCTTTACTATCGGTGCTTTTCACAGATGACTGGTCTCAAGAAAATATTGTTGGGTATTATAGCCACTGTGGATTTTTCTTCACTTAAAAGTTGCTCATTAAGTCCTAATATAAATACCAGATAGTCGCATAATTACCTGATGATCCTCAAGAGTTTCAACAATTTCCTCATCACATTTAAGCAGGGGCACAGAGGTTTGGTACTGATTTTCATACGAAAGCTCCATTGATTGCCATGTTTGACTTATTTGTGCCACAACCTGTAAAAAAAAAAAAAAAAAAAAAAAAAAAAAAACATTAGCTAACAATAATTTTAAATGCCTGACTATTACCCGTCTAACCATAATAACTCGTGCATCTAGTAGTTAAACTATTTTATAACTATTAAATCCCTTTAGAACTAAAGAAGCTATCCAAAACTGTCTGCACTGGAAGTGTTATTTTTATAGTAAGACAATGGGCACAATTAATACTAGTTTGATGGCATTATTTATCATATAAGCATCCTCTAATTAAAACTCTAGATCTCAGTTTTAACCATCAAGATTTATCTGAAGCCATTACATTAAATCCATCCTGATTTAAAGCAGTTGATGGGCTTCACCCCAGTCTTTAATTAAAGACTAACCTTCTCTATGGCCATTTCTTTGACAGCTTTATCCACAATGTTGCAGACTTTGTCTCCAAGCACATAAAGCTGCAGAGCTAAGAGGTCTCCCAACTTGGTGGAGTCAGTCACAGTGAAGTCCATCTGTTTTAAAAGATATTTTTGTCACAATGCAAGGCCTTAGATTACCATCGTACAAGACCAAAAGGTTGCTGTACTCTAAGACCTCTGCTGTGTGTACTTATGCACCTGTGTCATTCTAATTAGCTGCACCCAGTGGCGCTCTCTTATTGCCAGGTTCTGTAGCTGACTCACAGCCCTCAGTGACGTCAACAGATTCTTTACATAAAGGTCTAACCCGGAATACACATCCCACATGCGAGCCTCCTTGTCAAGCTTCCTCATGTCCTACACAAACAGAAGGTAGGTAAACATAATTAGTTATTAGGGGCATCTGTTACAAACAGCAATGGTGCATGACAGCAAGACAGCAGGAGAGTTGTGCTGGTGTGATGTAGCACTGTTGGTGACCTCACCCTGGCAAACCTTCTCAATTCTGCATCCATCTGGTCCACGTTTATCTGCCTCCATTTGGTCATTGTCCAGTTTTCCACACTGCTCTGTTTAGATAAAGACAAACGCAGAGGGGTTGATGGGCTAAGGGTGCTTCATGGGGACATTCAGAGGCTACAGGGTGTGCGAAAAATCAGTGAAAGACTTATGGAGGGGAGGTTATCAAGTTATTGAGATATTGTAGAAGATAGATGGAATCTTCTGCTGTAATTCAATTTAATCAAAAAGAAACAAAAATTAGAAATATCACATTTTCTTAGCAATTCACCTGCACTGACAAAGCAATGTCCCACAGTTCTTTGAGGACCACAATCTGTCGCCTGCAGAGCTTGATGTCTTTGAAGTCAGGAATAGTGACATCAAACAGATTTGTGGACTCCTGAAGCTCTGCTAGCTCTCTCTCCATATCTCGGACTGCTTTTTCAGACTAGGAAACAAAGCATCATTACAGTTTATCTTTTATCCAAGTGTACTGCGGAATACGAATTTTTTGAGTCCCCTAATCAAGCAAAACTTTGAGTCCTACTTTGTCCAGACTGTCATAGGGACACACTGCATCACGTCTGAAAGGTGCCGTTGCTCTGAAGGTGTCCCTGAATTTGATCTGTTTCATCTGAAAAATAAGAAGTCCCATTTTAGAATCAACACTCTTTGGTACTCAATCAACTACTTTAGAACAGTGCATAAATTATGCCTCTGGATAGAAGAGCTAGAAGAAACCAGCCACCTCAAACTCCAAGCAACGTCGTCGTAAAACCAAAACTTCTGCATTCTGCATGGGCGCCACATTATGCCGCACTTTTATGGCCAGTTTTTTTGCCTCGCTCCATTTCTCAGGAAGTTCCTACAGAGAAAAGTATTGACTCACATGAAATAAACCATATTCCTATTCCTAGTCAATACGCTATCATGTTTACCATATTACTTTGAGACATGAAGCTTTAGTTTTTTACCTCCAGCTGAGAATAGACCTGGTCTGGTATGATCACTCCATATTGTTCCAGGAGGATTATTGTGTCTCTGAGAGGCTCAAACATCTTGTCAGTGGATGCCAGTCTGTCTCTCACAGCCAACAGGTGACTCATCACTTCCACCAAGCCACAGTGGTTTCCTTTAGCCACCGGCTGGCCAAGTCCTTCAACAGTGACTTGGACAAACTTCTGCAGCTCATCAAGGCTAAGTGAGAAAGCACATGAAAACAGGTGAAAACAATTGCTGCAACACCATTTTGGATCTAAAAGTCCTGCAGGAGTTAACTGTACCTGTTGGTGACATATGTTAGGAGGTGTTCTTTAAAAAGCCAGCTCCACTTCTTCAAAATGTTGAGGAGGTGCACTTTGAAGAATTTGATATCCACCCGAAACCATCCATTGAATATGCTGAAGTCTTTCACCTTTGAAATTTCAGCGTGCAGATGCTCATAGTAGTCAATCTGTAAAACAAAGACCACAGAAATAACAATGACGGCATCTGCCATGTACGGGAAATTGTTATTCATGATTATAACACTGTTTTACCTGCTCTTTGAAGTTCTCAATTGTGGGTGGGCTCTCAGAGAGGGCATCAGCTGCATAAGCTTCCATCTCGTCAGCTGTGAGCACTCGCCCGAACAAAAGAAACTGGCTGAGGAACTCGGCCCTGTCATCTTGCCAGAGATGGGAGTAGCAGTCAAACTTTCTCTGGTAGTTTATTGCTTTCTTGAGGACGATATCAACTCGTTCCATTATTTCTTGTCTCAGTTCCAGCAAATCTAGCATGTTATCCATCACATCCTGCAAGAGTGTCATTATATGATATATATCATAAGAGGTATCTGCTGCTTGTGGAAGAATCTTCTGTAATGGGTTTAAAAAGGTTAGCATTGTAGAAGGATAGATTTTTATTTTGCTGTGGGTTCAAATAAATCATGATTAACTAAGGAATTCACAAATAGGGGATTATGAGTACGATTGCAAAATGTTCAATATACAGATGGAAATGTGACAGAGGTAAACAAAAGTAAACCCCTGTACTATGTCAGGAACTAACATGCATTTTACAGCGGTGTACCTGGTAGTTTTCCATGCTAAGATGAGCAGCCACCCTGCTAATGTTCTCTGAAGTCCTGAATATGTCTCTGATAAGTCCCTCTATTAACTCATAGAAGCCATCTCCTGCTTCTTGTTCCAATGGGGGTAGGAAGACCATTCCTGAGCAACTCAGTGTCAACTGAGCCTCAAACAGAGGTGTTTGTTTTGGCCCTGACTCCATGTTGTCCAAAAAGAACTGAAGAGAGTGGCTGATGTAGCTGAAAAGCCCCTCCACCAACATCTCATCCACATACTCCAAATAGCACTGCCAAGCTTCTGAATCAGGCTCCGCGTGGAAAAGAGCCATATTCTCCTGATGAAATTTCAGAAAATTGGAAAGAAGGTGAACAGAAATACAAGGGATGTTCCTGCACTCCTCTTCAAGTCCTTTTGATTTTTAAGCACATTAACTCACAATATGAAATTTTGTCCATGTTAAGTAATAACATGTGATACTTAACTAAATATTTCTTGTAAAAAGGGTAATATACCCTCTTCAAAGTTTTAGCAACAAACCCCTTTTGCTGCAGTTCAAAGTTAAGCTGCACAAATAGTCAAGAAAACAATTATTATATGTTTGAATTTTACCATGAATAAGTCAACGCTTACTTTTACCATCTCGTGGATAGAGTCTGCGTCCTTTTTCACAGCGCTGTATTTCTTGTTGACACGCTCTTCTCTGTCTTCCAGCTGAATCAGCGAGCCCCTCTTGTTGTCTTTTCTGCCAAACAGAACCTGTTTGCTCCAACCCTTCATCAGTGACTGGATGGCTTCGCAGTTTTCCTTGGCTTTGCTGACCCGACACACAAGGCCATAGACGACATCTTTTGTAGCGCTTATGAAACTCCAGCAGTCTGGATCCTGCCATGTCAGGTCAGACTCTGCTCTTGCCAGTTGTAGGTCTATGGACTCCAGCTCAGCTCTGATTAGAGGAAGTTCCACCTCCAGCACCATCTGCTTCAGTTTGTTATACCACTGCACAATAAACTGCAGACTGCTGGAATACTGGAAAATACAAAACGTAGAGAAACTAATTTTTGATTTGTACAGTAAAATAAGATCACCAGAGATTCTGTAAACTTTCAAAGTCAAACAGGTGTTCATCACTGTAACAGGAAACCCAGGGAGTGGTGTTGTTGTTTCTTACTTTTGAGAACATGAGGCGCTTCTCGAAAACAGACACTGCAGCAGCAGGGATTTTGATGTGTCTAAGAGTCTGGATATACTTCACATCTTTCAAGACTTCAGTCAGCTGAGGGGTAAGATAGGGTAGATTTTGACAGTCAAAGATCCTAGAAGTGAAACATTTTGCCTCTAATCAAAAGCCTAAGAAAAAAGTGACAAAAGTTAGATATTACTGATGACAATACCATCTGCCATCATACCTTTTTAGTTATATTTTTGTATCTGTTGAGCAGTAGTTTGTCTATTTTTGATCAGATTTGCTCTTAATTCAAGAAGAGATTGTTGTACTTTCGCAGCTATTATGGTAAATGGTGATAACAGACATACCAATTTGAAAGATCCTGAGGGCCTGTGAGAGGCACAAATTTAACTTTTTCCTCAGATAGACTTTACAGTCTCATAGCAAGGTTCATTATTATTTATCATTTGATGTTGTATTTTACAATGAGGGATTTAAATTTAAGCATACTACATCTATTACCTTTGGATTAAAGTTGACAGAGATTAGGCCAGAGGAGGTATCTCGAGAGAGGAGGGGCTGGTTTAGGTTGAATAGGCAGTCATCTTCTAAACCATTACACCAGTTAGAGTACGTGTCTTCTTCATATTGGTCCAGAAGACCCAGCAACTCCATGTACATGAATTTCTCACTCAGCATTTCTTCACCTTCTGCATGCCTGCATGGCATAATTGCTCATTTTTAAACCCATATCTATATACAGTATCTCTAAGTCATCGTTGCATGTAACTCATTTAAACATGGTATTAACAGTGTGTTCACTAACTTGTCAAACAGTGATTTCAGTTTTTCCCATGATGTTTGAATGCGTTCTCTGAGCATTTTTGCACGCTTCAAAGCCTCAGATGTGCAAACCACATTTTTAGTCAGGACACTTCCCATCTGTAAGAAGAGACTGGAAGAAGTTATTGCATGAAAAAAAAACATATTGTGCCCTGCTTGCTCTTAAGATTTATTTTACATTACCTGGTTGAGCTGGGATTTAAACAGAAATTCACATTTCTCTAGCTCTTTTTGGAAATGCTGCTGCAGGAGAAGAAAGTTGGGTCTGAATATCTTTCGAATTTGTCCTCTCTCCAAGAAAGGCCCAACAATTGTTAGCAACTAATGGACAAAAAACAAATATTGGTTTTCACTTGAAAGACTCTCTCTCTCATTCTCTAACTCAATCAATATTGTCATAACCACTGTGCTATTTTCTCTTACTTTGAACGCTGATTCCAGCCCTGAGCAATCCTTAAAGGCCAGGCAAAGCAGGTTGGCAAGGCGACATTCAAAGTCCACTATCTTTACTTTGAAATCTTTGTATGCAGTTTCAAAATCCTGTTGATGATGAAAACAAAGCTAACAGTTTGTGATCATTGATGCCAGTATTAGACCAGTGTTTTAATAATCCATGAAGTTACTATTTACAAAAAACGGATTACCTGTGAAAGGTCAAGTGGGCTGTTTTTGCTGCTCTTTAGTGATTGGCAGTGGTTGTTAAACTCTGAGTACATCTGAGCAGCCTGCTCACAGTAGAGTTTGCCTTTCAGTCCACCAAATTCTAACTTTTCCATCCTTTGAAAGTCTAGCATTGTTTCAAATAAGTCCTGCCAATAAAACATAAGCAGTTAAACAACTCCACAGTGGAACATGATTACATAAAACAACTCTGATCTCACCTCCAGCTGTAGCATACGCTTCAAAAACTGGTTGAACTGTGTGAAAATCATGGAAGATGGAAAATCCCAGGGTGCGTGTTTCACATGACTAGACAACCTCTCCCTCTGAGTCTGGTAACAGTTTCTGAAACACTCAAACACTTTGATGACCCTCGTCACCATTTGTAGACTTTCCTCTGGGTCCTCTCTGAGTGGAAGATCTGCAGAGAGGTATGCAGAGGCCTAAAGAATGGAAGATGCAAAACAGGCAGTTTCATAATGTGTTGGGACATTTTTGCAACATCTTCTCCTAAAAGTGTTAAAAAACATAATATATCAACATAGGTGTTTCAAATAAGGATTCCTACTTGTTCAATGAGCAGATTGCAAAGTTTTTGCAGTAACATCACAAAGCGTGCTGGTTTTTGATAGGCTTGGCAGTTAGTCCAGATCAGATAGAGAGTATGGAACAGTGCAGGGAGTAATGTTCTCCACTGAGGAAACTCTTCTTTTTCCAGCTGAGACAGTTGTGAGTTTAGTGGCTGCAGATGGAGGTCAATGTCTTTGGCTTCTTGAAGCGCTTTTCATAAAGAAAGAAAAAACCTACTGAAAACATACTCTGAAATAATAGGTGTACGTAAATATATCATACTGCAGGAAAAAAAATGTGCTAACTGGAGTTAGTTTCCTTTTGTTTATCGTACCATCAAATACATTTCTCATGAGCATCTTGACCGTGGGGTGATAGCTGCTTTCCATTATCTCCAACATCTTTGCCATTTTCTGAACAGTGGGACTCCAAAGCTACAGGAAAAAAATGACAGTTTAAAAGCAAGTGGAATATAAGGAGATGAAAGTATTAAACATTGTAGTGAAAATCAGTAGGAAAGGAGAGCATGCCTGATGATAAATGCCCTGTAAGTTGCTCTTCCTTGACGCCCAAAACTTCAGTTCTGCATTGGGCCCTTGATTACATGCGGTCATGAGTTGGTCTGATGAATCCTCTTTTAAAATTGTCTGGATTAGATTTGTCCAGTTGATGACCTGGGTCTCTATTGCATGGGCCAGTGCCCTGTCATAATTAGTGTACCTGAGTGTGAAAATATACAGATGCAGATGTTAATACTTCAGATACGTAAAAAAAATCTAGTCCCTGAAATAAAGTTGTATTTGCTTTTTCTTACATTGCAACAGTGGTGTCTGATTTTTCAATCCAATCAGTCACAGTTGTGATGGGGAGGACAGTTTTACCTATAGCCTGCCCCTGTACCACCAATGTCTTAACGCACATGCTCTCAACATGTCGAATGATGTCTTCAGACATCAAATTTGGCCACATCTGATGATTCTTATTGTTGGACAGCAGTGGAAAACATATCTAGGAAACCAGACAGATATATTTCACCATACATGATAACTAATAGGAAAGAGAAAGCATAGGCGTGTGTGTGGAACAGTTTGTCAATCACCTGCTCAACTGTGCTTGACAGCTGTGGTAGTAGTGATGGAGACAGAACGCCAAAAAGCAACATTTCCTTCAAGTTTTCTGCTGTGACAGTGTTACGTGTTTTCTTAAGGACATAAATCTGCTTGTGTTGAGCAACAGGTGGGACCTGCATGAAATAATGACGAGGATTTTACCTGTTATTTCATGGAAAGTAAATTAAATACAGAAGACTGTGTCATTTGTCAGTTTCATTATTCTGTAAGCCTTAATGCTAAATACAGTTGGCTTAACAATAAGTGTAAACAACACATAGGCCTAAAGCCAGCTGGCTAACGCTCAATGTTAAAGTATAAGACCATATCTTACCTCTTTGGAAGTGAGCAGAAAACCTTTGTTTGACAAACAGAAATATATTACAGACTCCCTCTCGAGAAAGTCTGTCAGGAGTGTTTGAAACTCGTCTTTTACAGCACTCTCCTCCCATTTTCGACGGTGCAGTCTGAGCAGCCCACAAACCTTCGCCTCAATGAACTTTACTTTGACGTCCTCCAGAAAACCTGGCACAGTTTGTTCGTCGTCGGACATGATTTTTCTATAACCATGACCAGCGTCGTCACTCACTTCAGCAAAGCCGAAAATAACAACTAGTTTCGGCAGCTCTAAAACAAGTTCGCTCAAGCTAGACGAATACTTCTAACTTATCTTAAAAGTTACACGGCTGCATCTGTGCATAAAAAAGTGAAAGGAGCTTTACAGTCCTGCAGGATGGGGGCGGTTCAGCATTCCGTTTCCTAGCAACCGACACTCTCCTCAATCACTGGCTGAGCACTGTCAGGTGTGCTCTTTTGGACCAGCGCGTGAGGGCCAAAAACTGTACTCAGATAATTTTACCTTATATTAAAGTTATAAGTACGGGCCGACCAAAACAAAATATTAAACATATAACTAAGATTGTATTAACATGCAAGTTAATGCAATCTAGTTCCACTGACTTTCAAGGAGCTTTGAAATCTTCAGTAATAATAACTCATCCGTGACAAGAACGATTATTTTCATATTGTAATTTTTGTATAGGTGTCAGTGGAGCTGCTGAAGAAACAGCCTTGTTTTTACAACTCTTACATAATATTTTCATCTAAAAAAAAGATACCAACACCTACTAGAACTTCAGCTATTAACTTGAAGAACACTTATCACCTGACTGACCATGCCAACAAAATCTGAAAATGCAAAAACCTTGTAGAAGTAGAATTTATAGTTAGAGCGACTAGATTTGGTTGGATGTCCATGTGTTCATAATATCATAGCTGGTCGGTGTAGCCTCAATTTTGATATTAGTTTATCAGTAGGCTAAGTAATGTTATTTGAGCTGTAGATTTAAAACTCTTGTGTGTATCAACACCTGCGTCCTCACATGACCATATGCAAATTTGGGTTTTCAAGTGAAAATAAGACAGAAAATTTGAAGGAAATTGGGGTTATATTGCTAAGTGGTTAATTTTTGTCATTCTGTATGCAGTCCCACAATAATCTACACTGGTAGCTCCAAATGATAACATTGCAAAAACGGAACTTTTTACTTCCTAATTCTTTGGTCTTCTTAGTTATTGTCAAATTAAATTCAAGTAACTTGGGCTCACTGCTGCGAAACACCATCTTCTGTATACTTGCGTTCACATTTAAAAGACACAAACAACTAGCAAATATCAAAAACCATTAGTGTAAAGCAAAGCAGTAAGGGGAAACATAGCATAGCAGGCTGTGGCTACAGTTTGTTGCTGTAATTTTCAGACATTGCAAAGCCTTTGAATGTAGGTATAGCTGAAAAAGATATTCTTAACTGTATCCCATAACCCATTTGAAGTTTAAAAATTGTATGTTCCCTTGTGCCCTTTTCTTTTCTTTTTCTGAACTTCTTCTGTGCTGTAGCTTGATTATTTTGCTTTGTCATTCAATTGAGTTTATATCTTGTCCTATTTTTTTTTTACCTTATGTGTTATTTAAAGATCAAAGATTTCAGCTTAAATTGAAGTTAAAAAGGTGGAGGCTGATTTTTTAAGTTTTAGTGACATCAAACTGTCTTTTGAAAGCTTTACTCTCTGGCATGTGCAAATCACTCCCTTTAGTCATTTCATTGGGCTCTTGGCCAATAATGTTTAGTCTATGCGGATATAATGATTCAGGAAGCTTTCGTTAAGCCCCTATGAAAAAAAGTTGGCCTCTTGCATGGTATAAAAGAGTCAAAGCACTGGCGGCATGGACTGTGGTAAAAATGTAAAAATGCATATGTGTGTGGGGTAGTTTGACCGTTGTCTTAGCAGCAAAGTACTGTACCCAGCAACTGCCATTTACAAGGCACTTTACTGCACATCACTTCAGAACAGCCCAGGGGTCTGAATGCCTTAAAGTGGGGACAAAAATACTTCTCGAGACATGCCAGGAGATCCCTTTTCAATATCTTTCCATAGCCACTAAGTAAACAAGATTCTTTGCTCTCTGCGCTGAAGCATTGTAACTGTTTGCACAGTTAAAAAGGACACATCTTACTGACATGCTCTGCTCTTTATATCAGAAGAAAATCAATCCTCAAGAAAAAGTGAGAAAAGAGTGAGACAAACACCCCAGGTTTGCAGGTGGCACCACTGATTTGGACCACATCATGAACAATGACAAGACCACCTACAGAGAAGAGATAACCTGCCTGTGGCGCTAATAACAAGTTGGAGGCAATGCATCCAAGCAGTTAAGATGAAGATGGTCCCGATGTAATCTACACGCTCATTTTACTCTGAAAATCTGCACAGATGTTAACATGGATGAGAACATGAGAAAAGACCAGAAAGCCTTTTGCAGCCTCAAATGAGATGGGGTCATTACAGCAATCACCACAACACGGAAAGAGAGAGAAAAGTCAATATCTTGCAATTCACTTCACATATAATAATAGCTCAGTATGTTTATTTTCATTCCTGCGTCATTGAAGGCTTCCCTCTCAGAATATAAAGAACAGATAACAAAATATCTCTCTTCAAGCTTCAGCATCATAGCATAAAGTTTAACAAGACAGGCTGTACCAAAAGTGTCCCCCTAAGCAACAAAAGGCCATTCCTTAGGAAACAATGCTGTTTAAAATCTGGCTCTGTATCTGCAGCCTCAACCATTTCCCTTCCAAGCCATTTTACACTGCTGTGCTAGCCTTCCTTTTTTATTTATCACTTGCATTAATTTTCATTGTTAGGATTAAAATTTGTGTTCTGTTAGCTCATGATTTTTGTACTTATTGTGCAGAATAGGTTGACACTGCGTCAGTATAATAGTTTTTGCTCTAATTGTATATTGTCTTTTGGCCTTCAAAACTGCACTGGATACATTTGTAATACCAAGCAGCTCATCAACAACAGACAGTGTTAACAGGATTTCATTGACGATGCTGTATTGATCCCCAAACTGAATCACAAAACAGCACTCCATCATAACAGCACAGGCAATCCAACAGGCAGCAGCAGCAACAAGCAAGTAAGTGTGTTAGCTGAGAATGATATCGGGGAGGATTGGATCAAATGTTTTTTTATTAAAAACCAAGCTGTCCATGTCCAGCTAAAGTAACAACACTCACTGTTATACAGCTGTGCATCACAGGTTGAGTTATCTCCCCCTTTTTTTTTACTTAAAGAAGCTGTTTTCAGGGGGTAAAATAAAGATGTCTCTCATTTAGTAAATCTAAAAGCAGCACATGATCATTTTCCTGATTATTTTTACACTCATATTGTTAGTCAGTGTCACAATAAATGAGAGAGGACCCTATTACTCCAAATGAGACACTGATGTTCAATGACTGGGCAGTGACATTATGTCAAAGAGAACTTAAGTGCACCATCTATAGATTAAAAAACAAGGAACATAAACTTAAAGCTAGGTCAATCAGGTAGATAATTTTCCTCACCATTGTTGATTATCATTTTATTTCGTTTCAAAATGTATCAGGTTATTTTCAACATTACACTTGGGAAGCTTTTTTTTCTTTTGGCAAACTAGACTGCTTTGTAAGTTTGACAATATTTCTTAGGACCAAGATGTAATATAAGGCTGTTGGAGCACTTAAAGGGAAGATGAAGTTCTTTATTATACTTGATACCAAGAGCCGCCACTGTTCTTTGCAAACATCTGACCCCATCATATCACGGATCTGAACCACAAGGTGAATACAAAGTGATCTCCATGTTCAGTAAAATTATGTCTTACCTCTTAAATACATTTACATCTGTTTCATTTCAATAATGGACAACTACATATTCACATCAGAGGGTTACTCAGACACTCACAAAAAGGAAAGTCGGTTCTTCTCAAATGTTATTCTCTTGTTTTTAAATTCAGTGGAGACTGAGGGTAAACTTTCCTCTGAGAACTACTGGTCCATGAGAGCTTCTGGAGCTGGATACATACATCTGTGTGAGATGTAAGCACAGTGTCACCATTAGAGGTGTCCTGTAGAGGGCACTAGCTTTTCTGTTTTCACAACACGTCATGCACTTTATAGGCCATGTAAGTAAAAGAGGAAAGACAGCAAAGTAAGTTAGTTTAGAGAGAGTTTGAGAAGTTGGGTGGATGGATGGATGGATAGATAGATAGATAGATAGATAGATAGATAGATAGATAGATAGATAGATAGAAGCTGATCTACAACATAAGTTCAGAAATACCACATTAAAAAAAACTGAAACAAGCGCGCGCTCAGGGTTAGACTGTGACCTCCCGTTAACTTAATGATTGATCGCATTGACTGAATAATAATCAGTCCGTCATAAGTCAGATCTCTGAAAAACACTGCCTCGATCATGTCGTTTCGACGTGTTATTGGCAGATAATCGTAGGTTGTGTGATTTATTTATTTTTTTCTATTTTACAGGGGATGAACGCCCCCGCAATAAATGTGGAAAAACTCAGATTGCTGTGAGTTTCACCTGACTGCGTGGCAGTGGTATCTCAGTTGGCAGATCACTCAAAATCCCACCAAATCGCGCTAAAGCTCTCGGGGTGTTATGTAAGCCCCCGCAATGAACAAATTTGTTAGCCCTCACCCGGGGGCATGTGGTGATGGATATGCTGTCCTGGGGGACTATGGAAGCCTCGCGTCAACAGCAGGCCGCTTATCTTGAAAGGCTTGTTTTAAGTGCTGCTCTGCTGGGAAACAAAGGCTTAAAGGGCGCCCATTACCTTACAATTGTCGTACAATCCTCATTGTTTAGTTAGTTCACACACATGTATTAGAGCATATGCCATGTATTAGGCTCAGATTTAGGCTTACTGCTTAACGTGGGTCATGTAAATGAAATAACATGTATTTCCTTCCTCTTAAGTCAGTAATTAATTGTTTTCTGATCTTAATCTAAAATCACAACAAAAAGCCTTTCCCCCCATCATTTTCCATTGTTTTAATAGATATTTTGCATGTAAATCACTTTTAACTCAATTTTCTGCTATTTCAAATGAACATTACTGTTTGTATTTGAAAGATCTAACTGCAGATCAATCCAAAGCAAATATGACTTTGAGAGTGTGAGCTGTAGTTTTTGACATATTAAGTCATTTTGTATTTTTTGTCAGATGTGTGTATCCTTGCTCTACTGTCTGTGTAAGCATGTGTGTGTGTCTATGTTTAGGGCGGGTGAGGGGTGTAAGTGCAGGAAGCAGGGCCCAGGCGGTTAGGTAGAACTCCCCTGAGGACGCCTGGGCCACTTGTGTCTGAGGGGGGCTGGTTTATCCCACTTAATCAGCATCCTCAGAGACTGGCACTGCCCCCACCGGCCATAATGCCTAGAGTCAGTGGAGGCTAGTCAAAATGAAGTGAAGCCTCAGCAGACAATACTGCTGTCAATCAGCCTTAACCTGAGCCGGGCCCTTTATTCCTCATATAGTGTATTTGTGTAATCATTCACTCCATAAATGCAAATGATCTCATCAATGTTTGGACTAACACAGGCCAAAGATATGGAGAGTGTGTTTTTGCATATCAAATACTTGGATATTTCAAAAAACAATTTTCTTTATTTTTCTTTTTTTGTTTGAGTCTGCACTGATAATCAAAAATCATTTCTTAAATCACTACCAAATATATCCACATCTGATCTGAATGTTTTGCACATATCCCGTTAATCTCGTCTGTCCCTGGGAGACAAAGCTTAATCATGCTACAGAAATACATTTATCTAAAAACTAACAAGATAATGAAGACACATGCTGCAAAACGCTTCCTGCAATTTGCAGCGGCTCTTCCGCTTCATTTAGACCATAATTTGTACTTGTTTGGATGGCGCATACAGTCAGTGGTTTGGGGGTTGTAGCGATAATGTCCCAGGGGCTTCTGTCAGTTGGCCACCATTATAAATGACAGAGCTGACTGAACCTCCTTGGCTGTTTCTCAACACCCTGGCTTCCTCTGGGCCTCGTGTAGCATTTGCAGAGCAAGTGTGTGTGTGCCCTTTTGATTTCCTAATCCCAGCACGAGCAGAGGAATGCTGGCTCTCTGAGAGATATTCCCCTCACAGGCCGTGATTTATGTTCTGGTGACGCAGGGCTCAATGGTGAGAGGATCACAGGTGTTGTGGAGCCTCAGTAAAAACTTTTAATATGCACACCTTGTGGTCTGTGGCAGGGCCTCAGCACAAGGATTACTGCCATTCAGTGTGTGGAGGGGCGGGTCAATAAATGTTTAAAATTCATCTGAGGTCTTACAGTCTGGTGGCTACTATGCAAGCATGCATGCATTTCTCAGCAGTGGTACAGTATCATGCAGGATCATTAAAGTGTAAGGACTGATGTTGGCGTCTTTTGTTATCTATCTCAAGAAAACTGGATTTGCAGCATAATATGCTAATCTGGTTGTAAAAATAAAAGGTCAAATTAAATACAGAAAATAAATGATAACTTCAGCACGTGTATATCATACATAAAATAGACTGGTAAAGGCATTGGCAAGAGTCCTCCAGGCTGTTAATTACTCACTGCTGAATGTGTGTTTAGTTCCCTCTTGAAATTGAAGAGGCCGGCCTTTGCTCTTCTCACAATAAAAGTCTCAGTATAAAATCAAGAGTGCAAACATTCAAAGCTGGAGTGTTTGTCCTCTCAGTGGCCAACACTTTATTGGGTATCTCCATGAGATCATCCTTTTGTCATGCAAAGTTAGCAGAAATCATGGGTTTGATGTCATTTGAAATTGAATATACCGATTAAAAAAAATAGTGCAGACTTTGCTGCATGAACAAAAGAAAGAAAGAAACTTTTTTTTAATGAGTTTTTAACACGTCATGCATGTGACATAAAAATAAAATTACAGTCACCGCCAACGTCCAAAGGCTCAGGCAGTCATTAATTGACTTTTATTATAATCAATTTTTTTATCTGAATATGGTTATAATGCTAACACAAGAGAAAGATGATGACACCAATCACTCTGCATTTTCCCGTAATGTATAAAAAAATTTCATTTAGAGATTCCGTTTCTCGCTGCCAGTGAGCAAGATTTTGTCATGACATGTCACAGACAACTTCATGTGCACTAACAACCTTGCAGCTTGATTTAATAATAGTGATCTGTGTTAATCACCCTCCCTCCCTCTTCCGCTTTCATACTTTGCCAGAGGGATTGCTGTAAACTGCTCTGAGTTACCTGCAACTGTCTTGTCCTCTAATGGCTGCATTAGACCTCCACTTCTTGTGTGATCTGTTATCTCGGTGCAGAGGTCAGGAAGGCCTATCAGTGGAAGTGAAGTGACCTTTTCAACTCTCTACTGTGGATCCCTCCAGATGTAATGATGCAGACTATTTTAGTTATTTCCATGCATCATTTTGGATAATATTTCAACAAGATATCAAAAAAAGTGTGTAGAAAATTCCATGTTTAGCAATATCTGGTGGTTAGATTTTACAATGAAATGCTCCCTTGATTCCTCCTTACAGTGAAACAGCAGTGGCTTTTAAGGACGGGAAAATTTGTTAAGAAGATTTTACCATCAAAAACTTTAATCAATGAAAATTCTTTTGTGCACAGCAATCACTCTGTCATTGTCCTTCTTTGTCTCCTAGCATTTCCAATGGCCATTCACTGGCTACAAAAATGCTTGTGGTGTCAGTTTGCCTGTTCTGTGCTCTTGAAGAAACATGGCGTGAAAGATGGCAGCCTCCGAGAAAGTGAACTCACCTCTATGTAGATATGAAAGCGTATTCTGAGTAAATGAAATGAAAATAATTTTATACACAGATGATTATTTTCTACTTTAAACATATGCCTTTCAATTCTGTTTTGCTACAAGCTGCAAACTTTTAATACAGGTGTTACAGACTCATTTAATGTAAAAGTTCTGATATTCCTGGTATTTATTAACAATTCAAGACTCATCAAGCAATTGTCTTTGAAAGCAGGAGAAAAGTTTATATTGGCCGAAAATGTATAAACTAACTGAATAAGATTGAAGTTATGTCTATATCGGGGTTACTCTGAATGCAGTGGGGATTCAGTTTTTAAGTGTAAATTTTGTTCATACATGTACATTTTTGTGGCAAAGTTAACCACCACAGACAGAGAAAAATGTAATTCATCATGAAAAAAAAACTCACATTGCATAAAGCCTTCTTTGCCGAAAAACCTGGAATGTTACTGATAATTAGAGAGCTACAATAGTCCCCAAATATTTCAGCTTGTTAAACTGCTGTAACGCCCAAACTGTTAAAGCCTCTGAATTTCTGTAGCACTATCAGAATTTCACCTTTGAATTTATGCTAAAAATGTACATCCTCAAGGTTACATGGCAGATTCATTTAGCCTTCACTGTACCTCCCTCCTCTTCCCCATCCTCCTCCTGCTGCTCCTCTTTCTTTCCCATGTCCATTAGACCTTGCAGACTAATCGAGCAGCACCAATTGCTCCCGTGGTGAGATCATTAAGTAAATTATTTTAAGATCAAACGGTCAGTAGCCACAATGGAGTCCTGTGTAATGGTAAAAGCCTCACAAGCAGCCACCCACCCCTCTCTCAAATTAAAGCCCAGTAGGGTGAGCGCTGCACCTCTCAGGTGGATACCCCCACCATTAGGCCTTTTAGCTGCAGGCTAAGGTAGGACCCACTAATTGGTCCTTTGAACAAAACTAACCCACTGACAGGATCTGACTTGTATGCAGCTTAAGAGTGCAAAATTGTTCCTGACCTCAGACTGCAGCTTCAAACCACTCTAAGAGACTAACGCTTAAGTCACGAGCACAGAAAAGTCAATGTGGGCATGTCATGGAAAGGAGGCAAAAAAGCAGGTTAACATATCAAGAGGGATTAATGAAAGGAGGGGCACTAATTTTTACATATTTGGCAATTTAATTTGACAGTCTAACTAGAAGTGATGTTTGTGAAATCAGTCTGGGTTGGACTTCAGCTAAAAGTTTAAATATAAAATGTCAATTTATTTCTGCGGTAGGGGTGAGATTGTGGAATCCTTTAGTGAAATATTTAGAGGGTTGGATGAATATGATGCAGTTTATTATATGCTGCTGCCTTGTAGTTTGGCAAAGCATGAATTTTTATTGTCAACTTATTTTTTTTTTTTAAGTAAGAGGCAGGGGATATGAGATTTCCTCTTCTCCCTTTTTCTTCCTGGACCGTTCTTAAATCTATTAAAGTTGAGGTGTGTTTTCTTCTTTTTAATGGGAAACTTTTTTAGACTTTTAAAAGAAGAGATAAAATGTGTCTAAATATTGTGACAAAGCTCTAAAGCCAAATAATAATTGCTATTAACTATTATAACTTTTTTCTTTGGATTAAAAGTTAAAATTTAGTCTTAAATTTTCCTCTCACTCTTTCGTTTTAGATGCACGTCATACCATCATACCACCATCATAAACTTGTGCCAGTCTTGCCGTAGTTCATGGATGTGGAACAAAACAGCAAATCAGAAAATGTCTATAAGTCAAACAGGTCAGAAGCTTCAGGTAAGTGAGTATATAAGAGCAACAAGCATGTGATAAACTGACTGAGAATAAAAGCCATTAGACGAGAGATGACTCATAAAGTGCTGTCCCTGGATGTGTAAATTGACAGCTTGCCTTTAATGGGTCAAAGTTCACAGAGCTTAACATAAAACAATGTACTTACTCGGTGCTAATCGAAGGTTGAATTCATGTACTGTACATTATGCAGAGATTCATGCACCGATAATGGCCTTTGCAGTGGCACTTTTTCAGACTACTTCACATATACAACTGAGAATATACAGTGTTTAAGATATTACACACAACAGAGCATTAGTAACTACCCATCTGCAACAATAGTGTGTTTTTCCTGTTGTTTATACCCCTCAGCAGAGGAAGTGTTGGACTTACAGTAGCTGATGGCGTGGAGACAGGAAGCAATGCAGCAAAGTGACTGTTAGAGTGATTTATCCTCCTTTGGCATGAAGCGTCAGTGTCATCAATCACATGGTTTTAATTAGTGATGGCTCCCCTTTGTGACTGAGAAATGTGCATGTAATTCAATTTGAGACTCGCTGCTGCCTCAAGAACCCCACACACAGAGCATTGTCAATCCAGGGTAAGTTCAGGCACACTTGGAGCAGCGGATAATGACGATCAGACCACACTGATAGATAGAAGAAGAAAAAATATATTATACAGTTAAAAACAAAAATCAAACCATTAGCCATTAACATTTTATTTATGTAAAATAAAAAAGAATCAGCATTTTACATTCAGCAAAATGAAACCAAAACCTATATTGACCTCACTTAAACTTACTTTTTAGGTGTCTTAGAGATTGTAAACCTTTCTCGAAAAAAGCTACGCTCTTAGAGAGCAAAATGAACATTTATTTTGAAAGCTAAGAGTCAAGGGGTAGATAAAGCGATTTTTTTACATTCCAATTATCAGCCTTTCCGAAATTTCTTTTTGAAAAAAACGATGTCATGCCAAGACTTCATTACCAAGTGTCAGTCAGCCAGGGGCAGATATTAGATATACGGGGATAAATTGAGAGGAGGGAGTCATCTTAAAAAGCAAACAATATTCATGATCTTTCTTATGTAAGAGCTCACCCTGTTACCTTGTCTTCCCTTGAAGTGATGCATTGAAGTGACTCTACAGTGACGCAAGACAAAAACAGCTCATTTGAGCCCTCCACTCTCAGCAGCCTCTCATCTTTACTTAGATGTTGGTTTCTTCTGATTTCCTCCTCAATGGGAAACTCATCTGATAGCAGCAGCAGCAAAGGCCTGAGCCTTAAATAAAAACAATGACAGCTTTGAGAGTTAAGGTGGCCATTGAGATGCTAAATGATCAATGGTTCTTATTTAGTTCAGCAAAGACACTTGAAAGTCTCTTATCTGACACATGCTAATGTACATCCCTGTAGTGATGTTTATTTCACAGCAGTCATTCACTTTATTGTCAAATAAAAGGCTGTTTTTGCATCTGAAATCTTATCTGTTACTGTCAATTTGACCTTTGACCTCATCACGGTCAATAGGACAATATTGCTACTCTCATTGTGGGGTACAATAAATTTAATATGGTTTAATTCAACTGATTGATTTAAGAAGAAACTGATCAGATTTATGAGACTGAACAAAGATGTTTAAAAAAAAATAAAGGTAGCAATGTTTTAGCAAATATATCATCCAAAAGTAAATTTTAAATGGTTTAGCTGGAGACTTGGTGGAGTCAAGATGACACAAATCAACAGCCTATAGTTTACTGTGCGTCAGTGTTAGAAAATCACAGGTTTTCAAATATCATTTGACAACATAATCAAGCCGTGTTATCAAAATACATTTTACAATCTGCAAATAATCTCCAAAGCCCGCATTCTCAGAGGTCAGACAGATATAAAACACTGATATAGGTAAAAACAGCCAATTCAGGGTGGAGAAAAGAGGGCTGCATTTTTGTTTTAGTTTAGTTATCCTTTTTATGCTGACAGAGCAAAAAAAACCTCAAAAGTCAGTGCAAATGAAAATATTTGAGGCAATAAAGAAAAGTATAACAAAACGAAAAATTAAAACACCTTATCAATCTTCACAATAGCCTAATTAAGCTATCAAAATGTCATTCTTTTTATTGGTTCTGCAAGATGTACCCATCATTGGGACTGAATTTCACACTATGCACCTGGTGCACTCAAATCTGAATATCAACTTCAGCCAGAGTCTCAATTTCACATCTCAATCATACAAAACATTGTTGATTCAACACTCTGATTGTGCTGGGTGAAAAAATGTCACCTTAAAGGCATCTTGTGTTTGTTCTTAGGATATATCAGCTACCTTACAAAATCTCCCCCAATCAATCTCTTTGATTCTGGTGTGGTGTTGAACTTTTAGAGGTGCTGATTATATTCTGCCTTGTCCCTCTCTGGATCCCCTCTAACTGCACCAAATCAGCATCCCATTTCCACATGAGCGTGCTGCTCACAATCAGGCTGTCATTTGGTCTATGCACATTTTTGGCTTTGCCATTAGCTGATGTGGTGAGAGGACAAATTCTGGACCTGTGTGTGGTTGTTTTGAAGGAAATGTTGGTTTCACCCCCCTGTTGATTGACTCTAATCAGACACACCGTAACAGCCTCGCTCTGTCCTGAATCTCAGATACTCTGGTGGCTGATTAGAAGGGAAGAGTGAAGAATTGGAAAATATATAAATATTTAGCACGTCCTTACGCTCTGCAAACATGAGGGCAGTTTTGATGGGTATGGAAACAGTGTTATATAGTCTGTGAGGCCTATAAGGTGACTGAAATCGATGCTTGGAATAAAAAAAAATGTTTTTTCAGGTTCAAACTCACATCATTATGACAGTACCAAACATAGCCAGCGTGCTGACATTTACCCAAGACCAGTCTATCGTCAGCTGCGGAGATTGTTGCTGTTTGTTGTCAAAAAAGAGCAAAAACCAAACCCCTGCATTTCAAGTATTGGCTTGTGTTACCACGTGTTGAACAGGTCTGACAATGAAAACATTGCTGACGCCAGGCTCACACTGGGTTGTCTGGATGCACAACAGGTTAAAACACCACAGTGCAATCGCCGCAGGCTACTCTCACACTACATGCATACGGCGTCCTATGGAGGAATGTGAAAACACTACAGCTTTAAGCTCTAAAGTTAGCCAACACTCGCACAAGTTACCATGAATAAGCATGAGTCTAACTAACACACTGAAACATGTTACACAGGCTGACTTCAGGACAGAGAGTTCAGGGCCTACGTCCAGGGGCTATGACAGACAGGTACTTCCTATATCCTGTGGTGGATGGCGAGGGGCCTCACCTGGGCTGTAATCTGGGAAGACTGATCACAAAGAAGCAGAGCAGAATGAATTCCGCCTGTCCTACTTCAAACACAGAGGGACAGTAAATCAGACAGGTAGACGACACTAGGCGGCTCACTCATCCCTTGTGTTCACTGCTTCTGTCCCAGAGGGCACAGGAAACAAGTATGCCAACAATGTCACCTGACAACACCGTGAAGCCTTTTCACCGCAAAACTGTTTCACAGGATGGCTAAGAGGAGGAGGGGCAGGGGGGTGCTAAGTAAAGAGAGAGAAAACCACGATTACACAGCAGTGTTTAAATCTTCACACATAAGTCACACAGGGGAAAGTTTGCAATGTATGGTTAAAGCATATCTGCTCATATTACATGTTATGTGTTCCACCAAATACTGTAAAGTCACAATTAACTACTTCCTGTTTGAGCAACTAATAATGTAAATCATGAGTCACTATATGTTGGATTGTGAAAGTATGGTGTGATGTGGTTTGATTTGAATTGTATTGAGTGTATCATATTGAATCGTAATGCATCATCATAATGCATTGTATCATAGTATCAAGTTTTGGACAAATATGGAGTAATTTCAAACAAATAATATTTAATAATATTTGTTTGGCAAGTGTTGTCCTCTCCGTGTTTGTTAAATCAGTTTTAAAAATCTAAACAATTTTAACCCTTTAATGCTTGAAACCACAAATTATGGCCAGAAGATTGGAATTTTTTGGAGCTGAAATGTTTATTTCACTACTGAAAAACAAATAAAAAATCAAAATGTCCCTAAAATTTAACAACTATATTTATTTATCTCGTTTGATACATTAGATGTTTTTGGAAACTGATAAACCACAAGAAGACATTTTTTTTATCACTTATCAGACTGTATTCGGGTTTTGTTGATCATATTGATTTGATAGAAGTATCATAAAAGTACGTATCAAATATGACACAAAAGGCATTAAAGGGCTAAATAACTACAAAAATGAAGTTTTTTCAGGTCTTATTTGTCCATCTTTTAACAATAACTAATCTTCTTAGGAAAATAAAATAATCAAGTGACATCCAAATCCATGATGTTTATATTTTAAAGGGTTGATTAAGGACAGAGAACTTCCAGTGTATGGTGTATCAGTTGCTGAAACATCAATTGCATCAAGTACATAATAAAACATCCAAAATAGCTACTGCTACAAAAATACTGAAAACTTGAGTTTGGAGCAGAATCCCAACCAGCAGCACGGAAAAATCACTCTGAGTGTTATTTATTCTTCTAACAAATGATCCTATTAACACGCCTGTTTATGCAGGATAACACAAAAATGGACTTACAACCTTTAAGTGTCTTCAGGCATAATATATTTGCTCATCTTTAACCCACACAAAAACAAATATACTCTGTGATCCTGCTTTACAGTATTTTATCACTGAGTTACAGTAAGAATTACAGTGCAAGTATATCAGCAGGATGTGTAACCACTGAGAAACCCCATCCTCAGAAGGAGTGTCAGGGAAAAATGAATCAGAGAGGAACACCAAGGTCAGTGTGATATTTCAGGGCTTCTACTTTACATGGCCGCATAGCAAATGTGGGCCTTCAATCAAGTCAGATTGGGTGGTTGGTCTATTGGTACTCCAACACACAGCACTGAGAGTAATGACAAAGAGATAAATCCATCAAATAAAAAGAAAAAAAAAAGGAACTACAAAAACTTTCAGGGTCAATGAGACAGTGTTTTTCCAGAAAGAAAACATCAGACTCAGTTTGGAGGAGTTTTGAATAAATGTGTGTGCTCTTCTTCCCATTCAGCAACCATTTAAAACATGCATCCTTGTGTTAACTCAGAGTGGAGAAAACTACAACCCACTCAGAATTATGCACCATGTTGCATGCTTCCCCTTATTTTTGCAGCAGTGCTACACCCACATACTCTCTCCTTATATTCAGAAATGCAATCTGTTTCCTTTGTACCTGAGAACAAGAATGCATTTTTTACCAATAATCCCAAGCATTTTATCTGTTAGTACTGCAAAGTGTTGACCACTGCACATACTCTGTCCATTTTCCTTTTTCATGCAGCCTCATGAATTTACACTGTGGGTTTTACAAATTACATGTATTAAGACCTCTGATGCTCCATATCTCTGCTTCAAAGTGGAATAATCCGAGATATTAATAACATAGGGGTTGATCCATCTCCCCAGAACCATTTGTCTAAAGTTTGTGCTATCTAAATATGAGTCAGTGCTTTAACAATCAATACATTATCTTATGTGCAAAGTCTAAATGCTCTGGTTTTTTTTTTCCTGGGTGTGTGGGACAAATTAAAAGCCCAGCCAGTCAGTAAAAGACCAATTCATAAAGGTGAAAAAGTGAGACTGCGGCTGTGATGGGGAGGACCAGTGAAAAATCTCTGCTGACCCTCTCATCCCTCCGCTCATCTATCTCTCACTACTGTCCACTGATAGATTTCCCCTCGCTGATTTATGGGAGAAAAAAAATGTCACAGTGGAATGGGCTTTTGATAAAATTGTTCACAAGATTCTGGGCAATAAATCCTGATCTTTACATCCAGGTCGCTGGCTACTTTCACATTCTTGTACCATCAATAAGAGCCGCAAAACATGACAGCTAATCAATAACTTTACAATATTCTGAGCTGTTTTGGAAAACAGTAACATTTATATTTAACAGGAAAGAGCAAGTCACTCTTTTATACTCAACAAAACACAGATAAGACGAGCTTGACTGTAATTTAAAACGAAAATAAGTCACACTGTGTTTCTCACTGAGAAGGGGGGGGGGGGTGTATTGTCTTTCACAATAAAGAGGAAAAATGCTAAAAACAACCCATCAATCAACTTAAACAGACCTATTCAGTTTATCTTATAGAAGAGCCTGATTTCAAATAAAAACAGCCGAGGGGCCAGTCTATTCTGTTTTAAAGTGACCCAGGAAAATATGTGGAAACAAAGCAACTCCAAACATAGAGAAGAAGGTTTTTTGTTTCAGTTGTTGAGCACAATGTTGCTTTAAAGGAGCCTTTTTGATTAAGTTCTGCACAAACATTTAAAACCTTTTTAATCAAACCCGCATTTCTTTTGAGCATCATGTTGGCTGGATAAATCATGCCCCCTTTTGTATAAAGGCTGTTCTTATTTGTGGTCCTTTTCCCAAATGTCACTCTTCGCTCTCTCTCCTGGTTTCCCTTTCCATCCACAGTGTTATCCTCTAAATGAAAGTACATAAAAATAAAAATTAAATTAAAAAACATGCAGTCCATGCTTAACGGCCATAAGAAAGAAATGGGCTGAATAATAAGCCTTAAAAACTAAGATCCTGTGATAACTTAGTGATTCGCTGCCAAACTGCTTCATTTAATCTGAAAACTATTTTGAAACTTTTCAGTCATAGTTTTCCTAAATTTGTTTTTCATAAAAGTTTTTTTCCCTGATTTTTCTTGAATTAAAACTTTATAGCCATTTTGATTAATTTTGTGTCTTTGTTGATCTGCCTGTTTACTGCATTCGTTAAACACTTTTTTGTGAAACGTGCACAAAGTAACAGATTTTACTATTTCTGAAGGGTCAAGTGTGAGTTTGTGAGGCTCTAATTTGGCCCATCGGATGCACATTGAACAAATCTATATTAAATTGCGCACACAAATCCACCAACTCTTGCCAATCTTCGGCTCTCATTTACCAAAATATTCAGCACAGAGATAAATCATTTCCCACATAGCTCAGCGAGAAATGATAAAAACGGTAATTTAGCAGCCATCCATCAAAATGACGGTAAGTTGTAACAGCTCCCAACATGAGCTTATGTTTCCTGTGAAGCTAAATGTAATGGTACTAACAAGTTAGAGGCTCTCAGTCATGATGGAGTGTTTTTGACAGGAACTCTTCAGTCAGCCGAGTGGCGCCAGGAAGCGCGAGTGATTCAGCAAACCTGCCTGCTGTTGTCTCCCCCGTCTCTCAGTCTTTACGATGTAGCTGAGAGGAAAACAATGAGCCTGTTGCTCAGTACAGGTGTTTCTCAGAGGATATGACTTGTAAAAACAGGTAGATTTCCACTGAGAGCAGAATTGACTCACATAAAAGGTTTGTGCTGCTGCAATAACTCAGCCAAGCTCTGGCCGCCTGCCCAGACACACTGAAATCATCGCAGTGTTTAATTTGCACAAATATGCTCTTGGGAGGGAAGAAAAAAGTCCCCTCCAGACTGAATGTATCAGACAGTGTTTGTGGTAATGTAATCCATTGTTGACCTGGAGATAAACATCAGCCGTGTAACCTCAGATTGACAAAGAGACAAATAGCAAGACACTTAAAGCAACATTTTTACAGGACCTTTACACCTTCGATTAAGGGCAAGAAATACTGAGACATGAACTTAAGTAGCTCGAAAGACGACGCTGTCACAGGAGATGAGAGAGGAGGAGGGAGCGAAAGACAAATAGAAAGCAGAGGAGGGGTCTGGCTGACTTTGTCTTTCAGATTAAAAGCCTAAGCAACAAGCAGCAACAAAGACATTTCTGACAGGGTAAGGAAATGAAATGTTTACAGTACAGGGGCTGATAAGAGAGGCCACACGAGGCGTTTGAGGCCACTTGTTCAGACTGTCACATTTTGCTAGAGCCATTCTAGAAACAGGTGTCATTACAGGGCGGTGAAAAATGGCAAGCTGTGCTGGACCACATTTAATCTACACCATCTGTATGTCGACCTACAATTTCAACTCAGCGCAGGGCCCAGATCAGCAATTTGTTTTGTCTTTAAATGAAATTGAAATTCTTCCCAACAGAGGCAGATGGTTCTTTCATGTCATAAATGACACTTTCATGTAGATACAGATTCAGATGGGGTCCTATAAGATGCCATATTTTGCTTCCAATGTGGCGCCAAACCTAAGAGGATGTTTGAATTATTTTCATCAGTTGTTACATTTGATTTCCAAGAAGCTGCTCCCAGAGGCCCATTATCCTGTGCCGAGATGAGACACGCTCTCTGTGATCAGCTGCTTTTCTGAATCCAGCGGGGACAAAACCACCATGTTAATTTAATGTGTCCTGTCCCAGCAGGGATGGGAAAAAAAATGCTTGTTCTGATCTTTGTAATCACAGCGGCAGGAGCAGAGGCCACACGTCCCCCGTGTCTCATTTCAGGGGCTAATCTTTCATTTCATAGCCCATCTCTCCATATCAAACAACACAAATGGCTCAATTTGCATGACAGGATTTGTAACACAGCGAATCAGGTGTCAGACTCGATTAAACATTACACCGGCACACTATCATAATCAGCCGGCTAATGAGTGTGGCCACTGGTGTGAGAGGCTCGGATGGATCAGGGAGAAGGGGCTTCTCCACGCTGCCCAGCAGGGGGGATTTAATCTGAGGTGCGGTCCCTCTGTCAGGGCCAGAGAGGGGCTCCTCTGGGTGGCAAGGCTCAAGCTCCATGATGTTGAAGAGACAGGGTGACACGGGCCACACACACACACACACACACACACACACACGGTCATTCACACATGAGGAAGACTGGAGGGGAGAGCTAAGAGGCAGCAACCGACAACTGTTAGCTCCTGTGGATCTGCAGCTTTGAATACTAATGCACAGGGCTATTAGAGAGGAGAAAGGACCAGGCAGAGTGACCCCAGCCCCAGATCACGTCGGGCTATCGCTTAAATGAGGCAAAAGGATCATTAAGGTGGAGCGGGAGATGGTTTATGTAAGAGGGGGCTTTCACAGTGCTAATACCAACTGTCTGGCTCATCACACTGGACTGTTTGGATGGCGTAAGTGTAAATAACCTTTACAGGGTTAGGTGTTTTTTCAAAAGTTGCTGTTTTAGAGTTAATTTTGTGGTGTTATTTAAAAAAAACTCACAGGAACCTGAAGTTGTCTCTAAACTGACACCACTGGTTGTACTTTTTTTTTTTTCCATGTAAACACAAACTCACGAGCCTCTGTCACTCAGCCTCAGCACAGACCTCCCTCCCTCCCTCCCTCCTTCTCTCCTCACTGTCATCTTTACCCCTCCCTCTTGTGTACAGTTGCCCCTCCCTTTGTCCAGCCCTTATTGTTACCTGCTGAATATACACTGATGCTAATTCTGCTGCTGGCTGTGTTGATGTGCAGCTTTTTGGTTCCTGGTCCACAGAGACTTCCCCATTGCCACCCTCCTACCACCCTCTGCATCAAGGTCCCCCTCCCCCTTACTCCTTCCCCCCACCCTCTGCCCCTGCTCCCTATTTGGGGTGACCCGGGTGCTGTTCTGAGGGTTCCTCACACCCCAGAAGCTGTCAGCGGCCCCCTTCCTTCCCATGAGCGGAACACACAATAGAGAAAGGGCTCCGGCTGAGAGGTTCAGTAGCCATTAACCCCTACCAGCTGTTCCTGCCGAGGGTATTCTGTGCCACAATGCGTGCCCCCGAGGGGGCCCTCACGTCCACTAATCTAGCCATTGTTGGCCAGGAATGCTGACAGAAGAAAAGAAATTTTTCTTGTGTCCATGCAAGCGTGTGTATCCATGTGTGAGAGCCGAGAAACGTAGGGCTAATTTCTATAGTTGCTTGTGAAGAAGGGAGACCATGAAGAATACCCTATTTAGCTGCTTGACAAAATTCTTTGGCTTAAAAATGGAAAAACAATGGCAATTGTTTTCAAGTGGACTCCTTTACACTGTCGTAGTCTCTGAATTTAACCGGAAAATAATACTATTAATGTCTGCTGTGCGAGAAAAGTTACAAGAACTTTATAAAACTTGAATTATTTTGTCATCTTTGATTCATTTTTCAGCATGGCTAGACAAACACTGTGAAACTATGATCAGCTCCAAAGCCATTTGTAAATGGATTAAATTTCTGGGAAATTATTCCATTTTGGCGCTCTGCTCTCAGAATATATTAACAATTAGTCCATTTCAATTAACATGGAAATTAAAACAGCATTTTCCAGTCAATTTAACCATGATGCAGCCATTAGGGGCTTCTGGTGTGCTGGGCATATTTGTTACTCCAGACTCTATCCACAAATGTGACTAAAAAGAGAAAAGGATTCATGGTGTACACCAGGAAAATGAGTTTGATAATTGTACATGCTATTAACTTGTGATTTTATGTTTTTTCTATGCAGAAACTCTCACAAGACGTGGTAAATCAAATCCGATTTTCAACTGCAAACCGCCCCGGCACAGTCAGGAAATGCAGCAGAGTTTAGCAAATATTGTGAAGTTGTTTTTTGGCATCATAATCTGGATTAAATCATTGAAAACACAATATTTAATTTTCTGAAATTCTTAAACACCAAAGATCGAGGCCTTTTCAGATCAAACACAGGTTGAGGTATCAGTTTTTTTTTTCTTTCTCCTGGGTTAAGTCAATAGAGGTGACATCAACAGTGTTGACAGCCACAGGAAGCGGTGATTCTCAGCCATCAGCAGGCAGTGGGATGCAACATTAGCATGAAGGAAGTAAACATGACAGCACCTAAAGCAGGGGAGGGAGGGGGCTGTAATGTAAACTGTTAGGTGAGATTTTAGAGGAAAGGTGTCTTTCTGTATGTGCTTTCTCCCACAGCCTGTGCTGTGTTGTGACAGGCGGGGGATCTGCATCAGTCAATTATACGTCCCAACAGACTTTTGTGCTAATGAGCCGATCCAGCCATCGGCAGACTTCCCCGGTCGTCCAGAAAAGATCACTTTCATTGCTTGCAGAACTAATTCAGGGCACAAAAGTGGGAGCTTCACCATTGCAGCCTCTTTTACTGCTCCTTTTGTGGCAGCTTTAGAAGTGCGCTGAAGAGAGGCCTAGCGCTCAGGCCTCTTCATCTCCAGTCCATTGCCTGTCATTAACATACATATCCATATGAAAAGTGGGGTAAGGCCGGAACAGCTGTCCAGTTAAGAGGCAGTGATTCCCTCTCCCCGAATGCTGACAGAAGCCTTTAGCCTTCCTCGGCCAATAATAAACCAAACCATTTAAACAGTCTTTCAGAGAGGGAGAAAGAGATTGGGCCATAATGCTACATTCACAGGCAACCACGGGCGATCATTGGCTTGCAACAGTCTCTGGTGGATTCACAAAGGTTAAGGGACAAACTGGGAGAAATGCAAAACTAAGACAATGTGAATATGAGCATCAGACTCAGAAAATCCAAATACGAACACATTAAATTCTGACTTTTGGTTCAGAGGATTAAAACCAGTGCTGGGGTAATTTTCAATCATTTTTTAGACAAATCAAAGAAAGAGAGAGAGAGAGAGAGAGAGAGAGGCAGTGTTGTCCTGCCTTGTATTCATGTTTGCTTTAGATGTGACTTTGCAGTGTTGTCGGGACATTATAAAAAAGTGGATTTGTTTACTCTGAGAGCTCTGTGAGGAGGGCTTTTCACCCTGAGCTAAATGATTTGGTGTGCAGGGTCCTCAGGAGTGTATAGGGATGGAACTGAGCAATCCTCTTGTTTAAACTTGGGTGGTGGGCATGAAGACAGAGGTTAAGTGACTTGCCCCAGGTCACATGGGAAGTCGTTTACTTAGGGTGGATTTTCTCATCTAAACCCTTATCCACTTAGGCCTAAAGGAGGGTTTCTTACATTCCTTTACAAAGCTCTCATACAGATTTTTTCATTATCAGTTTTTCATCTGATAAAACTTCATTAATGCAGACCTTTGTGGCTTTATTTCTATCCATTAAAACAAATCAAAAGGAGTACTTAATAGTCAAATACTCACTGCATATGCAGTTCATGCAGCCAATAGGGTTTGGTGTCATTTTCATAGCTGATAAAGATAGCTGACGGTTAAAATGATTCAGAGACATTTCTGTTGGTTCCCATAAAGCGTTCACGCCAAATTTCCTGCATGCATAGTTATTTCACACTTGTCTCTCTGATTACTCAACAACTTGTTGACATTTGAATATTCCTTTTGTCAATCAAATCTGCTCAAAAGGAAAATGATTGACAGCAAAAACAAGACTGAACAGCATAAAATGACTGGCTATACTCGACAATAGATTTTCAATAAAAACTGTCAATCATCTGATATCTTAAGAGCTGATGTTTGAATGGATCATCGAATCTTTGCAGGATTTTGATTTAATGAAACACAGTGTCAGCTGGTCGAAATATAAACTTAGAATAATGATCAACCTAAGAGGGTGACTGCCTGACATCATCTTGAACCTTAGTGCGAGGATTGTTTTGAATTTTGTCTCACTGAACGTTTCTCTACGCCTCCGATGGCTCGAACTCCAGAAAAGGAGGTAAAGGGAGAAGCCAGAATCCGGATCTAATGAATAAGAAAGGCCTTTGGTTAAAAGAAGAGCTGGTTTGTGTCTTCATGGGTTGCTTTTTATTCAGCTTTAGAAAGACGAGGAGTCCTGATTGATAAATCCCCTCCCTTGCCCCCCTGATGCTTGTGACCCCAGAGTCATCAAATACAATGCGCAGCACCACAAGTTTCTAAATCTGCAATTGAAAAATAGAGGGAGCGAATTTGTGTCCATTGAGAACGCCTTGACATGCTTTTACAGCAGTGATTATTCTGAGGCTGCATGCCCAGCGGGCTACCAGCAGGATTTATTTTCAATCTGATCCTCCTGTGCACCAGCAGCAGCATCCAAGAAACACCGTAATGGCACTTGTTGCAGGCGCTTACACCCAGCGGAAGTGTTTTCTTTTTCATAGATAACTAGCCAACACCTCAGGCTCTTACCTTTCCCACTCCCCCTCTGCTCTGTCCTTTATTTATCATGGCTCTGCTGTTTGTTGTCTCTGTGAAGTTCCACAACTCATTAAAAAAGGAAAGAGGGGGTGGGGAGCAGAGGAATACGGAGGAGCAGAGCTGGGGCTGCGGTGAGGGAGCAGGGAGGGATTAGGATGACTTCTTGAACACATTTTCTCCCTTTTGCTGCAATTAAACAAAGTAGGCCTGTGATTAGTGCAGCGCAGGGAGCAGAGAAAAAGACACCCTTGAATCCCAATGGAGGGACCTGACTGAGCATTATTGCCTGACAATGCCTGAGTTTATTGCTAAAACCTGCTTACCCTCCTGCATGGCAAACCATGGGAACTCCAGTCAGGTGGAAACTTCTTCTCCTTTTCTTTTCCCCCGCTCCTTGCTTTCTCTCCCCCCTCTGCCCACGGAAGCCCCCTCCAGGAGCTCACAGTGTGGTTGAAGCCGCTACAACTCCCCCCCTCCCAGTAACTGAGATGTTTGGGATAAGCTCTGCCCGGGTTTTTGTGCATGAGCTCACACTTGTCTGCTGTTGTTCGAACACAGTTAATGATGAGCTTCCTCTGTTTTTTTCCACACCCCTTCCCTCTCTCCTGTCCTCCTCCTCCTCCACCTCCTCTCTCTGCTCCTTTTCTCCTTTCTTATTTGAAGCTAAGCGGCTGTTTAAGTGGAGTGCCTCCTCCCTCTGGCTCTTGGGAACGCTCTCAAGGGGCCCTTGCCTGGCACTGTGTGCATGACACATAATGAAAACAATTTTACGCTGCAGAGGGAAGTATGAGGCAATTACGGATGTGACAGCCACCTGCAGACTCACCCCCCTACAGTCTCTCTGACTGCACTCTCCTAACCGCTGCACCATCACCACAGTCACCACCACTACCCATCCCTCACAAACACACACTCCACCACCAGCTTCATGAATATGTGATGGCTTGATGATGTTGTGAATGGGCTGGGGCAGGTGAGGAGGGGGCGAGAAAAAGCAGGGCTGTAATAAGTCGCCCAGCTGGAGGTGGTGTTGTGGTCCTGTCGCCCTGTGGCAGTCCATAGAGGCATCTCTCCACAAGCACTGACCCCGGGATCGGCCTCCTGAGGGGAGCCAAGAGATGACGTGACAGGGGCGTGCAAAGCGCTCCCCCAAATCTCTTGTTGGCCAATTTTACACATGAAGCCTGGCCCAAAAGCCCAAGTGGCAGGCCTAACAGCCCTGATTTAATTTGATAACCTGCTAAGTGAATGTGAATTAAATGAGTATTTCACATACAAATTATCTCCTTTCACCTCTTTGGTTTAAGGAATTACGCCTTTGGTTTGCAAAACACAGATGTCCCTGAACCTCTTGAGTATTTCTGATTTGCTTTGTTTTTCACATTCAGATAAATCCGGTCTTGTTAGTCTTGCTCCTCAGACGTTGAAAGATGCATGAAACTCAGGAAAAACACTGTCTGTTCAGGTCTTGCCTTGACAAAAAAAAAGAGAAAAAAACCATGGGGTCTGTAAACTGAAAAAGCGGACCCATAAATATGATGTGTGACTGTTTAAGGCTCCAGTCTGTCAGGTTTGTGTCCCACAGCGCTTTCTCTAAAGCCCCCTAGCTTTGTGCCAAGCCCCTCTGACCTGAAGATTATTCAGAGAGAGGCCAAAGGGTGTATTTTATGCCTGCCAGTCCTGAAGAGCTGCCTCCTGATAGCCTGATGTGTCCTTAATGGCCCTGCTGAACAGCAGAGACAGCAGCGTGATGAGTGGATCCTTTGCAACAACTGACACATTAGAGACCAGCTGATAAAAGCCACACACACACACACACACACACACACACACACACACACACACACACACACACACACACGCACACACACACGCACACACTGCTCATGCATACACAGCTTCAGACAATGATGTCCTACATGACACAAAGCACAAGGGTATAAACAAAGACACTAGCTTGAGATGTGAGCATGAAGCAAATCACGAGCACTGATCAAATGAAACATTGGGGGCATACTGTGAAAAATGGCCCGCTGAAAGTTGATATTATGCAATGTTTTCTGCAACCATCAATCTAATAAGGCCGTGAGGACTATATTCTCTCAGTGCTACCAAGAAGTGTAATATAATAGATGAGAAGACCAAGGTGAAACAGGAATGAATAAGTGAAAAGAGCATATCTAAGCGTGAAAAATATCACAGGAGACGTTGCAGACAGTAAACGGGGGAGCTAAGAGATGAGAAGTAGTAAATTAATCTTCCTGCAATATCTTGCGGAACAGAAAAGTGCACCAGTCTTTATTTCTTATAACAACTCAAGACAAATGACCACAGCCGGTGCATTAGTTCTGATAAGGGACATGCAAGAAAGACAATGGCTTTCAATTCCTGATTTAATCAACCCCTGGTGTGATTTACCTCTGAAAATAACAAAATAGATTAATCAGAAATCAAGACGTGGAGGGGGTGCAAGGGCAAGTGTCTGATTTGTCTGCATGAAATATACATAGTGTAATAAAGGCCCTGCTGCTGCCACAGAGAGGCACCTGTGAGATTGAAGCTGTGGACACAACATTACCAAAACACCCGACTACACCGAATTAATGAGAGCAGAGCTTCAGCGTGTTGCACATCCAGCCCAGTCTGGGGAGTCTTCATTTATTTTCTCTTTCCAACTCATCCTTTACAAAAATGACAGTGTCTCCTTATTGATTTTACCCTCAGAGATCAATCAGCTTTGCCCTGACTCAGAGAAAATTCACAGCCCCCACCCCAATCTCCACATTCAGGGGGGCTGGGGTCTGTTAAAATAGCAGGGAAGGGTTATACCCCCCACCCCCCTCTTCTTCCTCTCACTAACACCCACATATACACACACTGGACCCATCCCCTGTCCACATAAAACCCTGACTGCAGTTAAAATGAGCTAATATAAAAGAAAAGAGATCCCCTTCTTCTTGTTCAGACTGATTTGAGTCCCCTTCCTCATTCCCCCCGCTGCCTGAATTACACTTACACTCCCTCACCTCAGGCAAAGACATGAGCACAAAAGAACTGAGGATGAGAGCTGTTTATATACAAGAGCGACTACACGCAGAGAGAGCTGCCAGAGAAGAATATGACTGGACTAAAATAAAGCCTGTCACAGCTTCTAAAGTGTCAGGCCGATAAGAACTGAAGCAATCTGAAAGTCGGTGAATGACAAACTGTTTACAAGATGTTATCGTTTTTAGTTTGAAGATCTGGACCAGCTGGGAAAACAGAAAAACATGTGTCAGCTCAGATCCTGAGAGGGCCAACATCTGACATACTACTATCATTTCACTTTTTTGGGGTAAGTCATCATCTAAAAACAACAGGGAGGTGTTGGACCATGTCACAAGTTCACAAAAATCTGGAGAAACTTGACACCAGAATTCAAGTTTTATTAACCAAGGGTATGCTTCTCCTATTTCCTAAACTGCTGGTGAGCTAAATTGTAAGTGTAACCCACTGAGCTAGAAAGATAACACACTTAAGCTGTGTCCTAATGTGGGGGTAGCATCATTAGTCTGTGTAGACCACCTAACTTTACCCATTATTTTAAGACAATTCTGAGCATCATGGTCTTTTGGTTTTCATCATTAGTACACGGGCCGCCTGATTGAGTTGGAACCAAAGACTGTGTAATACATGGGCTTAGTCTTAGGTAGGGTGACCATATTCTGAATCCCCAAAAAGAGGACACAACTACCCGGGGCGGCGTCACGGAGTCGCACATAGTAAATTTTGATTTTTTCTGGTCGAGTCGAGTGTTTTTCACACACTACTAACTCAGTAAGTCCCTGGACATTTAAAGGATTTTATAAACTCCCCTCAACAAGGCCAGACAAGGCTGGATAGGCCGTACAGCCCCCCAAAAAGAGGACATGTCTGAGTAAAAGAGGACGTATGGTCATCCAGTCTCAGGGACATCGCCTCTTGGTTTCTAAAGCAAAGTTTTGAGGCCTTGATGGAAATGCTGACTAAACCGAACGTTTGGCCAAACCAACACGAGAAAAAAAAAAAGAGATGGAGTTGAGGCACTCGAATGTCTTTGAAATCACTGGGTTAAAAAAAAAAATCACAGATAGGGGCTAGAGACAAAATCATTTCAATCAAAGCTTTTTTTAATCAAGTGGTAAACATTTGATTTTCCTGTCAGGAAGGACTTTTACATGTGCTTTTTTAAGTGGACATTTAAGCAGCTGCGGCTGTTAGCACTTCTGCATTGGTTTCATTCCTCAACACCAAGAGCTTGCAGCCTGATTGAGACTCTAGTCTAAGAAGGATGCACCCAATGCATCCCCCATGGCCTGAGAGTATGCATTTGTCTGCCACATTCAAATAAAACTTCAAATTGAGACAGCTTGAAATGCACCAGTTCAGCTGGTCTTGAACCGCCACCGTCAAAGGATGCAGCCTCTAAATTTGGATACAACTTGACAACCTGAAATAATTCAGCAGTAATGTCAGCGAGGATTTTATTATTTATTGTTGTATAACGCTGTCAAATTCAGGTTGGTTCTTGCAGGAAAATAGCAGCAGGCAATATATTTAGCTTCTCACCCTGAGTGTGACATCAGAGGAAAATGGCCGCCACGTGAATATGGTAAATAGCTCATGTTCTCCTTGAGGATCCATTCCCATGTTTGTCAAATTGGACGTAGGGCCAGAGAGCAGTGCTCCTTATGATCTGAGTGGGATGGCATGGCTGAGTATTATCCCAGTCTGGCAGTGGCTTTCAAACGCCAGCTGTACAGAAATGGCCATGCTGTCACACTGCCCCTCAGATGAAGCAAACAGTGCCAGCGAGAGTCAATAGTACCTGGCACTGGGCACACACGGCCATTATCCAGGGCCATTACCTTGCACTCAGGCCTGGAGGGTTAATCCAGGGTTAATTCTGTTGGCCTGTTTGGCAAAGGAGAATTGAGCAGACTGACAGCAGCTCAGTATGGTCAGAACAGAAGTACTAAGTCTGTCTTGGGAAAGAGAATCTTGGGACTGTCAGATATTCAAACATGTTGAACAAAAAAAAGTTTAACAAAAAAGTCAGTGGAGGGAAGACATAATGACACCTCTGTGTCTAAATGATAAACCAGTTATTCTGAGACGCATTTGATGAAATAAGCTCCCTTGCCTTTCCCCCAGAAGTAAAAAAAAAAAAATATATATATATATATATATATATATATATATATATATATATATATATATATATATATACACACACATATATATATATATATATATATATATATCCATAATGCTATTTGCTTAGTTAGATATAAATTCAAGTCAGCAGCAATTATTCCAGTTACAGTGATTTTTATCTAGTTTACAGAAATTAATATATTAACAGGCTGTGGCAAGCATGATAGCCATGTGGAGTACAAACATAAAAAGAGGAATAAAGAAAAGTAAGTGATAGAAAAGTATTGTAAAGGAAATATCACCACAGCGAAAATTAGAGGCAGACATAGAGCTTCGATTTAACATACTGTTTTATTGCAGGATGTAAAGTTATAGACAGGGCACACAAGAGTCACAGTAGAAACACAGTAAACACTCATCAGATGAGGAAATACTGAACAAATCTACAAAGAATTGAATTCCATTTACCACAAAAAGGACAAAATAGGCCTAAATAAATACAATCTGCCTTTACTACCACTAACACATAAAAAAGAGAGAAGGCTAAAGGTTGTAAGATATAACGGTACAAATGAACCTTTTAAAATTCTATGAGTAAAAAATGTACTTGAGGGTGCAAGAGTCTCTTTCCAGCATTAAAAAAGCAGCTCTGCTTGAAGTCAAAGCTCATCATTTACTCCACTGTCAACTGTTGTAAAACTGCAACAAATGTTCACATCTAAAATGCCACATCCAAAGCTCTATAAAGCCTGAACAGTAGGTAAATGCTCATGATTGAAAGAGTGACAAAATATTTCTATATTTAACAAGTCTCTCACATTGACAAGGTTATTATGAGCTTATTACTGGCACACACAGACAGGGCATAACTAAAACAGTCCAGCTTTTAAATCAGAGCTTTCAACTATAAAAAAAAAAAAAAAACATCATATTAAATAAATGACACTTTATTCTCTGAAACCAGAAAGTTCATTTACAAAGGACTAGCTGTAGCAATCGTGGCTCTAATGTAGTAGTGAGGAGGGGAAAAAAAGGGTAATTGGTTTGGTAAAGATTGTTTTCCATCGCACCATAAAGCACTACACAATAGAAAAGGTCGTCAATTAAGCAATCATGAATACCAAGTACCATAGCTGATGAAAATAGGCCAGTGGTTTAAATAGATTTGCAAGCAATTTACCTTTTCACAATGTTGGCAATCTGATGCAATTTGCTTGCAATTTTGTCTGCTTTCAGTAGCACTCTGAGCTGACACTACACAGAGCAAATGGCAAAGAGGAGCACATAGAAAATGTAAAACTATCTTGGCCACATCAAGGTATCAGAATGGCGCTTCATCAGGAAAATTACAACAATTAGCATAAGTGCTCCAAAATCAACACTTTAAATGTCAGCGCCAAAGGTTGGGCCACAGATGAGCAAGGGTGTGCAATGTCCTCCAGGATGGACTTGCCATGGAACGCAAAGCAATCAGCCATCATCTCTTGCCAGTGATGGCCCCACAATTGCTGTGACATTCTCCCAGGCCTGTCATTCTTGGTCGCAGACTGTTTTCCCCTCTGCCTTGATTTGCTCACAGCAGAATTGCGACAGCAACATGTCTACTTCAGTAACTAATCTTTTTCTTCCCGGAACTTTTGCTCTGTATTTTTCTCTGCTCAGTACATGACTATTATTCATGTCAGGACCAAGTTCTGAATGTACTGTATGTGCTGTATAGGCACTAATGTCCATTTCACTTCCCACTGTTTTTCCATGTACAATCATGCAACAATAAGAAAAAAAATAAATCAATCAATTAACAAAAAACAAATAAATAAATATTTTTACAGTTTGAAATAATCACCCGAAAAACACATCTAGTGGATAAAATCTATAAAATACAAACAGCACATAGCGATATCCTCAATGCTGCAAAAACAGCTTTTGTCTTAGTAACCATGAAAACCTGTCCAAAGAAATCCGTTTTTCAGCAACTTCACCTCGATCTCAGTCTTCACCTAGAGGCGAATGACCCATGTACTCAAAACAATTCTCTAGAACTGTTTCCCACAATTCTTAAGTACCTTGAAGACCAAACATGACCGAGATTAGATGAGTCAATCAAAGAAGTGATGGGAAGCTGATTTTTTTAAGACCACATCTCACACCTGAAAGGACATGAGTTGTTCTAATCCTTCGTACATGACAAGTCGTACGAGTCAGCTTTCAAAGTAAACATCTGATTTTTAAGGTGGAATAGCTTGGACTTCTCCAAGTTGCAGTTAAGTGTCTTTAAACACTCAATACTGTCTTTGTGTCTCATCTGCCCCCTTAAGGCACTGTTCAGGCAGATCTTCTGGCTCAGGCCAGCAGCTCCTCCCCTCATCTGGCAGTCTCTCCTGTTGAACTTGTCAGAGTTTGCCGGAGGGGACAGATGTGTATGTTGTCTGACTATATGATGACAGGGCCAGAGCCAGACAGAGAGGTCCACGAATGGAAAGAGGAAGTTTTACTTTGTTGAGGCAAATAGATGACTGACGGATAAAAGAGTGCACAGACTGGTTTGATTTTAGAAATTCACTTTTTTAATGTATTCATCTGAAATATTTTGTAATTTTTTTGTACATAAACCGAACATCTGAAAAATACAGATTGTCATTCAGGGCAATAACCCGTTGCAGACAGTTAATTGAAGCTCATTTAAAAATATTTAAACACTTTACCACTGACAAGTTTTCATGACTTTTATAAAAGAGAAACAACTCTATTTTAACCTCATTTCCTGTAGCTCTGTCAGACACCAGTTCGTGAGTTAAAGTATGTAAAATTAAAAAAAAAATTACAGTTTTCCTTTAAAGTCAAAACTTTATTCTATATGGAAATGAAATACAGTCAGGGGATGTTAATACTGTCAGCCAATTTAAGTTGTTCTGGTTTAAGCTGTAGCAATGCTTGGCCAAAACTGTTAAAAAATGATGTATTCGTCCCATAAGATTATTATTTTTTAACATTTAAATGAAAAAGAGACTGAGAGAATTCGATGTGCAAAACACAGAAAGAAAATGTGTTTGTTTTTTTAATGCTTGTGTGAGTTTGTGTGTGTGTGTGTGTGTGTGTGTGTGTGTGTGTGTGTGTGTGTGTGTGTGTGTGTGTGTGTGTGTGTGTGTGTGTGTGTTTTCAGCAACAGGAATTATGGATTAGCTGCTGAAATGAATGATCTGACAGATACTGTGATGACTGGTACTGATGCTGACCTATAGCAGTGGCATATAATGTACACAGTAATAAATGGAATGAAACAGATTCAGTTAACAAGGTCAAAAAAATATGTTGGTCTCAATCTTATATTTTTCTTCTCTTTCATAATAAACAATTTTAGGGGCAAGTGTAGGAAGTTGAATTCAAAGCTGAAATCCTCACAGTCTTAAAACAACACGGCAGTGTTGTGTGTGAATGAAAACACCATCAGTTTAAAGTGTCTCTTTGAGACTCCTGTGTTTGTTAATTTGTCTGTATAGATTTCGTCTCATTCCATCCCTCTCAGGCTGCATTTTGTCAATAGCTGCTCTCAGTGTTGTCTGTCTCTCTCTGTGGTGTATTTAATATTTACCAGCATCCGAGCCTTATTAAAGCAAGATGAATTAGCCTGCTGCCCATAGATTTTCTTTCAGCACAGAGTGAAAGAGTGCAAAGTGGAACAGAAAGATAAAGGCAGGATGGAGTCGTGAGGCAAAGTTTTGTGTGTGTGTATCGGGTTGATCAGCATACGGGGGCCCCGGCTCGGGAGCGGCCCCCAGCGTTGGAGGAGCTGTGAGCCTTGTTGATGATGGGGTTGCACAGATGGGCTCGAGCCTGGCTCCCAGCTCGCTCCTTTGTATGGACCCTGCTCTCTAATTACAGCTGATGAGAGTGTGTGTGTGTGTGTGTTTGTGAGGGGGGAGAAAGGGGGATAAGGGAGAGGGAGACTGAGTAGAGGAGGAGGGAGGAGGGGGGGACATAAGCAGGTGACAGTACGAGGAGAGGAACCTGTGGCAGATCCTCGGCACCATCAGGCACAACGTAGCTGCAGCCTGACAGCTAATTAGAAACGACACGGATTTCTCCCAATGTAACAGATGTTGCCTAATCAGTCTAGCTCGAGAGAACCCTGCGCCAGCAACATTTCATGCACAATTTAACCATCTAAAAGGGATGAAATACTTAATGCATTGTAAGGCCAGCACAGCTGTTTCTCTCGTCAGAAAATTTCCCAGTCAAAAATATTCATGTTTTATGTAACTCTAGCCGAGTGTTTATAATGCTATAATAGCTGAGAAAAATTGCTGCCACACATCTGCCAAAGATTTCTGCTCTATTGGCTACTACAACATCAGTGGACCAAAAGATTAAATGCAGATTTGACTTTTTTAAAGACATGAATAGGCTGTCTCTCCCCTGACAGAGAAATCTATAAAGTTTTATTTATCAAAAAGATTTGCACTGCAGGAAAAATTGTGGTTTTTGGATTAATCTGGAAACAATGTGGTTCACAGAGGACATATTTATACATTTTAATATTTTTTAGAAGTCAAACTTTGATGAAACATTTCATAAATTTAGTTCTGCCAAAATGTCAGATTGTGGACTTGATAAAAATCTTGACTTTAGCGGACATCAAGACTTAAAGACAAGCCGCAGAGGCCATCATATGCAGAGAGATGTTTTTATTTCCCCTGCGAACTAACAAACTATACAACATGTACACCATTTAAACCACATAATACAAATCCCAAATCTCTGTGCCAAGAGGAAGCCGCCTGCGATTGTGCTGGTAATAATATGTTGTATTTGCCTCACTATCAGATAAATGTTCATTTGTGCCCTCACTGTTCCTCTCACATCCAACATTGTCCATCCAGATCTCTCTCTTCCTATCTGCTCCAGTATTGGCTGTATCTCCTCAACTCTGCATTTTTATCTGATGCACTGGATGACAGGTAATCTAGCTGAAAGTTCACACAATTGCACACAAAGGGAAAAAAAAAGGCCCAGGCTGATGAAATCTGAGCAGTTATCACACTAACCATTACCTGTCAAGCCCTCCGCTTCAATCTAAGGGTGCATCAATTTTCTGAAGAGGAAATCAAGGGCGAGGAAGAAAAGCAGTGCAGATAAACAGTGACAAAGGCCTCTTTTCTGCTGCTTTTATTTATGATGGGATGTTGCTGTGCGGGGACCGGGGCAGCGGCTTTATCAGACCAACTGATACATCTTTGATAGCCAGGGAGTCTTCACCCTTGATGAAGTGTTGCACTTGCCAAAGAAGATTTCGAACTCGAATGATTTTCCCAGGGAAAAAAAAAAAAAACTTTGGAGATAGGGGAGTCCCTGTACGGCCACACGCAGCTCAGAGAAGTGACACACTGAACAAACAGAGTCACAAGCTTGTGTGTTTGTGTGTTGTCTTGTCTGAGGGTGACGTGTAAAGCTTGTTTTTTCATACATACGAGAAAGGGTGAGGTCTACAGAAAACAAACCATCCTTGAAAACAGGGGGCTGAGGTTTATATGACATATAGGTTGCAAGTTGCCAGAATTCGAATCACAGTCTCCATAAAAAAAGGGCAAAATGTTTATTTCCTGTTTGTTTTTTTTATTTCGAGGATCTTTATGAGGAGCATTTGTACATGTTGTACAAAACAACTGAGATCACAGAAAGCATGTGTGTGCCATTTATCAAAAACTTTTCTGTTAGAATTAGCACACAGAGTTTTTACTTCAAAAAAAGGTTGCAGCAGAGCTTCACACAGAATTAGCCAAAAACTAAAAAGTACCACAAAAGGACAAAAAAATCGATGATTTGTCGAGAATGAACAAGCAACAGAGGAATGAAATGTGTAAAATCTGCAGGCAAAACTCTGAAAAAGACCACATATCTTTATATTTTTATCAGCAACTGTTTGTTCACAGACAGCTGTCAACCTAAACCTCATAAAACAATCACTTCAATTCCCTTTATCTGTTTATTCAGATAATTATCAGTATCTTCACACATTTGTATGTTTCTTCAAAATAAAAGCACTTTCCTTCTTAATTTGCATATTTTCCATAAGGGGGATGCAAACTCCACCTCTAGGCCTGTGTTTTGTGGAAGTGTTAAATCTATAGGGACTCTACATCCTGTGTTGTGTTTATCCTAACACATTCTGAGATGAAGTCTCACAGAAAATTAATCACAGTGTGCAAAAACATGATGTTGATTCTCTTATTAAGAGTGAAAGCACTCATCATTTAAGCTTCTATAATAAACAAAGTTTTTTAGACAAAATGTGGATTTGAAATTGGGGCGTAAACTTGATAAAAGGAAACTCCAGTAATGCTGCAACAGATGGGCCTTGCTAAGATAAGCCGTCATTGCTCCTTTACTTTAACACCAGTGTTAAAGCTTTATGGTGGGATGTTAAGGAAGGAGGTGGGACTCTAAGCCAACTGTCCTAATGTTGTGATAGCTGCGTGTGTGTGTGTGTGTGTGCGTGTGTGTGTGTGTGTGTGTGTGTGTGTGTGTGTGTGTGTGTGTGTGTGTGTGTGTGTGTGTGTGTGTGAGCCCGTACTAGACTTACAGGCTAAGGGCTCCCATGCTGACAGTTAACTGAGTAGAAAGAGGAACCATAATTAGATTCATCTACTGGTATTGACAGACACGACAAGACTCCAGCCTGATCGATACACACACTCACCATATTGTTCCAAATACCAATAGCTGTGAATATCCATCTTAACTGTATTGGTTACAGGCAAATAATTAAATGTGCCCTTTTTAACATGGATGATCCTACCTGTCAAATGTATAATGCAATGAGTCATATAGAGAGATATATTTGTATTTTAATGAATATAACTTTTTAAAATATTCATATTTTTCCTCTAGAGTAAAAAGACCTAAAGAAAATCATTAAACTTTATAGCAGTACTGATGGTGTAAATGGGTTTATCCCACTTGGATCAAGGTCTCAAATTAACACAAGCTTTTTTTTTTATCACATGCTTTGTTGTCCCTTTCACCATGGTTGCATCGCCACAGTGTTTTCCTGCTGCTGCTGTGATGGAAACCCTAACATTGCCCTAGTGAATGGCACTAAAATCACACAAAAAACAAACAAACTTTTAAACAGAATTCAAGTATCTCCAAAGTACTTTGAGTTTGTGCCACCACCTACAAGCTGGGCATACAAGTGGCAACAAATCAGAGCGATGTCAGTGGGCAACAATATTGATAGAGGCAGCTAAAGCCACATACTGAAGAAGTGAGGGGACAAAAAGGACAGTGGTATTGTGTTATCGTTTAAAAACACTATAGAGCTCTCCAGTCCACAGAATAATCTCTTTGAGACTCTACCCTAAAGTCATGGTTTTAGACCACACTGGTGTAGCACTTATTTGAATCACAAATCTAAAACTCAAGAACATGAACTTTATTCTACTGCATCCATTTGATTCCCAATTCAAGACACTGGTAAGTGCTGCTTTGCATTGGGAACATGCACTTAAAAAGTGGAATTAACATACAATTAAAGATGCAATTATCCTGCTTAACTATTGAGATTTTGCAATAGAAATAATTATTGGTTTGACGGTCCTATTTTCCTCATTTTAGCTGAATGTATTCTCACCATTCAAATGAGATTCGAAGCTCCAAAAACTCATGAGTCAAACTTGATTTTTACACCTTTGGTCAAAGCTACGTCTTATTTCATGTGTCATTCATCAAAAATCTCTAACTCAAAAAATGTGAACATTTTACTGTCAGCTGCAGTTTAAGGTAATCTAAATTATATAGAAATGATAAGTTCCTTTAGCTGATGCTCTTGTTTGCTTTTATAGCTCTTTTAGAAGTATGAGTGTTAAGTTTAGTCCAGTTCATAAGCTGCTAAAAACTCTTTAAAGGAACTATATGTGATTTTGTTTTAAAAACTGGCCAATTTTACAGCAAAAGGTTGATTTTTTTCCTGTTTTCCCCTTTGTTTCTTTTAGTTGAGACACAGACAAACGCTCTTATTTTTATTCCTGCATCACTTAAATATATAGAAGTAAAACACACTTTCCCCTCTGTCTTAATTGCTTTGTGCTTTATCTGCTTTATTTATATCTACATGATATAATGTTCCTGCCTGGATGACTTAGCCCACCACATCCCACCCACCAAAAAACCTTTCACTCTGCATATCCCACCCTCACACTGAATCCATTATTGACAACCTCAAACACTCTCCTACTCCTTGTCATTGACGTTTGACCTCCTCACTATTTTTCCTCTATTCAGAACCGCTGATAGCTTTTTGTTATCCTCCACTCAGGAGCTGCGACATAGGTCTACTCTGGTCTGAACGAGGCATTTAACAGCACATAGTAGCCTGTATGGCATAACTTTAAAAAACAAAGCAGTGAAACTCAGCTCAGTGGTTACATCTGTGCACATTTTTCGTGACGGTTGATTGTTGTGCGCCACAATTAGAGACAAGTGATAATTGATACCAATTAAAAACCACCACACTGGACTTACAAATCATGAAGGAAATGTTATCTATTCCCACTGGTTATTTTTGACTTTAATAACACAACGAAGACGAACAAACTGACTCTTGAAAGAATCTGCCACTCTCTTGCTTATTAATGCAGCCACTCTTAATTCCAATTGTCAATCAAGAAGCCTGCTGAAAACTGCTCAAACCTCGTTAACACTGCAGGACTTGGGAGAGGTTGTCATAAACAATTAGGCCTTGTAGTGAAAGTTCAAAGATCGTGGAGAAGAAGAAGAGCGAGCAGATTAAAAGTTAGCTGAGGAAAGTGGAGTTATGTGGTCACAGTTGTTTTAAAAGGAGAAGCACATGTTGACTTGAATTTTTCTTTTTTTTCATAAAAGAAAGCTCTTGAGCAAATTTTACATCATAAATTTCTCTTATAGCCAAGAATATTGTTCGTCTATTCATCACATTTAAGAGCAGCGCCGTAAAAACTTCAAGATAATAAAAATTTAAAGACCTTTGAGTGCTCATTGTAAACCAATAGGTGTTTTTTGTAGTAAATATGAAGGTTTAAGGATCAAAAAGAGGCTGAAGGTAAACTATAAGAGAAAGGATGAGTTACTGTGGTCATGGCGTACAAACTTTGATGCTCGGTGAGTTGTGACAGGTAATTACTCACACTAAGCGCTCGCTGAGAACAGCAGAGACGCTCATATTTGATAAATGATTCACATGTATTTTAATTTTGTCTGTCCTTTGACCTTGCAGGGCACGCTAATGTCTTTTGGGTCACCCCCTGCACACACTCACTCAGACAGTCTCCTTCTCCGAAACCCACACACACACACACTTACACACACACATGCATAGTGGGAGAGAGGGCTACAGGAGTCACAGTTAATGGGATTACCCCGGCAGTCCTGAACCATCCCTAAGCTGAGCTCCAGGTCCCTCTGTGGCAATCAGAGGCCTCAGCATCCTTAACGCATCATGGAGAGTGCTTGTGATAGCACGCTGTGGGGACCTCTGCTCTCTAACCTCTTAACACAGCAGCACTCTAACTGCGCTGACCTCTGCTGCTTTATAGACCGACCCCCAGAGGAGACCTGCACGCAGCATCCAGCAGGTCATAATATAAGACACCATTAACCTGAAACCTCCAGACTGGACTGTTTAAAAATCTCTCCTCCTGCAATCACAACAGCATCAACACCTTGCAGTTTGACCCCGTCACACAGCGGGGTCCACATACTTGATCTCTAATGTGAGGGTCACATCTCTAATGGATCTGTGCTTGTGCATCTGTGTGTGATATGTGTAACTGACAATAAAAAAAAGACATGCTAATTTTTCTGCTGCTTTGATACTGGAAACATAGAAAACAGGGGGAAACACATTCCTTCCCATCCACACTCCCAACACGATTACTTCGAAATGAAGCGGAAAATGGAAGCGATTTATTAACGAGACATTAGAGGCACTTTTTAATAACCTTCCCATCCTGCTCAGCGGGGAGCTAGCGGATTACACCACACAGGTTTCGGTGACACCAGAAAGGAAGTCCCCCGCCGGGTGTGTGAAGAGCGCAGAGGGACACAATGCCCAGCCTGGGGTTCTCACATCCCGCTCTGGGCCCTCACCCCAGGGGGAAGGACAATGGGTTAAAAAGGCATGAATGTCCTGCCTATCCAGGATATAATGTAGGTGGCTGCCACTGGGTCTGAATGGGCTGACAGAGCAGCGGAGGGAGAGGCACAAAGAGGCCGTAATAAAAGAGATTCCTCGGGTCAGTAAAGCATTGCATTCACTTTAGCCTCCACAGCTCACAGCCTCTGCACTCACAGTCACTTTTTAGTCCAAATTGCAACAACATTGACAGATTTTTTTTTTAGAAAATGCATCCAGGAAGTTTAAGGGATATCCCCAAAGAAATCATGGCAAAAAAAAAACAGCAATTGAATTTTTTAGGACAATAATTTAACTTATAAAATGAAAAATAGGGGAGAAATAGTCGATAATAATGTGGAGTTCGGCTCTTTTGGCTACTTTTGAAGGCTGTAGCAGAAATAGTGGGAAGGGATTTTACAAAAAAATATTAGCATACAGCCTCTTTTCTTTAGCGTAAGTTTTGTAACAAGAGGACAGAAAACGTGACCAACATCAATATTCAAGTAGTTTTTGTAGGCAGTAGGAGAGGAGTGTGTTTTTAAATGACAATTACAATAAAAACACCCAAAAGGTGTTCTGAAACTGTTTTAAAATGAGAGATTAAAGCTAACATAGATGTTTTTTCAGTTTGAATAAGTTTATATACATTGATATATATGTGGCGGCAGGGAGTCCTGGAAAAAGTGATAAACTTGGAAAACTTTTTAACCTATAAAAGGGCAATTTTCTTCCTGGGAAAAAAGAAATACAGACAATATTATTATTAATTCTGTTTCTTATAGTTGCTATTGTGACAGGCAGTTGAGGCAGAAGGAGCAACATTGAAAGCTCTGGAAGCTGTTTATCACTATTACGTTCATCATTATTAGGTTTTATATGTTGTTGTTTGTTTGTCTGTTTTTTATATTTTTCCAGAGTTGAGGACAGAAATTGAGGCAATATAAAAGCCTTTTCTTTATTTACTTATCCTGGTACAAAATGACAAAAGGGGGATAAAAGAGTATTAGTAGTTATAAGCGGTACTGCAAGTTGGTGTTTTCATATTTAAAAAAAAAGTTTACATCTAAACATTTTAAGGCTAATTTTAACAGCGATAGTTAACAGAGTATTGCTGTTTCTTGTGATAACTATTATACAAAGTGCTAATAGAGGCTGTCATGGTACAAATTGTGCATAAGGAAATGTACAGCATTCACTGAAGCTTGTTTGAGTGCACTTAAAAAAGGATCCAGTTTAAAAGAAAAAGTGTCACTCCCACTCAAAGTGAAGGAAGGATTAGAGGAATTCCACAGTATCAGGTGACATATGTTCGTGCAGAAGTGTGAGAAATCAACAGCTTGATTGTGTTCTTTTAAGTGCGTGCATTCACAATTTGTCTAAGGCAATACGCTCAGGTTAACACAAATAGTCAACAAGTGCAAGCTAGCGAGTGATTGATCTTTTATGCTGCAAAAACAGGGGCAGAAATCACTTATCTAATATGTGCAAGTGTCTCCATTGACTGGCTGGAGAGAACAATCATTAAAATGCATAACCATTGTCCGACTCACTGGCTGGGACAATCAGATAATGCAAGGAGACAAGGGATGATGCCTGCACAAACACATGCCTTTACTGCGCCCTTAATCTAATTAAAGTAAATAAACTTATAACTGATCTCCTGCTGTGACAAAACGCTGCTGAGGAAGCTAATTTGCTTCCTTGTTGTGGTACCAGAAACAGATAATACTGTTTTATTACACAAAAGGTCACCAGGGAAATTAACTTGTGGGCCAGCAAATAAAAGAAAAGGCCCCAGCACTCAGAATAACAAGTACACACTGATTACATTCAATCATGACAGTCCCAGTTGGATAGGACGCTGACCTTTCTGCCATCTTGTCAGGGAATAAGATATGTAAACGCAGCACGGAGCGTTTACACTGAGCCATCTCTATGTTGTATTGTGGAAACAATCTAGGCAGGCAGCCACTACAGGGCAGATTTTTCAGGTTATCCGTTTGGAAGGAGTTTAATTTTAACAGTTGAATAGAGATTCATTGCTTTTTTCAGACTCGGAGAGCACTAAATTGGATTAAGAGCACTCCGCTGAATTCACAATGAGTGCGCAAAAGTTTCAGCGTCTTCCTCTCACATTTTTTGCAACAATAGTCTCAGGGTGTTATTAGTCAACTTCCATTAATTAAGACAATTTCAGTTTTTCCATTTTTACCACAAATGGACAAACTAGCAATCATCTGATGATTATCGTTCGTCATTTCTGCTGTTATTTATTTCACTTTCTACACCAAACACCCAGCTGAATGTTTCTTTTATTGTACACTTTTCATTTCATTTCGTCCCTCTCTTCCTCCCGCAGTTAGTCACTGTCTCCCTCTTCATCCATGATTGATGTTTACAGGTCATAGCAATACTCTTAACTCATTAGTTAGAAAGGGAAAGATGGGAGCACTTGCTGAAGTGAGATATTGCCAGGGAATAGAGGGAGCTATTTCAACGGTGGAGACAGAGAAACTTAGCGTCAGTGTGATAATAGCTCCTGAACTATTGCATGTTTCAATCAATGGAGACAGAAGTAAATAAAAAGCAGAGGAGAAGATTCAGCGGCATCGATCCCAGGCCAACACAGACCTTGCTGACAATCTATGGTCTAGGCCAGTAATGCTCCCAGTCATCCACAAAATCAATGAAACTCATCCTTTCAATAGCATCCAATTATTAGCACAAAGTAAAGGCAGCCGTCCACGATAAATCAGAAAACTTTATTGAAAAGCGACACAGACAAGATAAATGCTAATTGGAATGGGAATTATGTGAAATACTAACAAAATACTGTAAGCTTCCTCCAAACGAAAGTGCTAAGTAATAGCATGTTTTGTTCAGTGTAGAGTGAAGGCATTGTAGCTTGATTTCAGAGCTCAATTCTGTGTTTGAGACAAATGAATTAAATTAATAAAGACAACTTTAAAACATCTCTTTATGGTCGGATTTAAGGTCTTCACTTGAGTTTAATTTCATGGAGGTAAAAAATATGTGAATGAACCTAATATGGACACTTAAACTTTGTTTTATACTCCTGCTTTAACACTTTTGTTTTCAAGCCTCACTGCTGCACATGAGAAATGCCCCAGCTAATGTGACATTAAAGGGTCAGTTCACCCAAATTCAGTAGAAGGGATACTTAAAATAAAATACCAGATTGACACTTGATTATAAAGTTTTAAAAAACTCCAACAACAAAAACTGTATTTTAGGTGTAATAGTATTTGCAAGAACATTGACTCCAACTTAAAAAAATAAAATACAAATACTATTCCTGATGCACAATACTTTCTGTCAGTATGAAAGTTCCTCAAATTGGATCATCAATAGCTTATTTTGGTTGCAGTTGGTTTAGAAGGGACCACTTTATACAAATCTTTCAAATGTTTGGTACTTCTAATAAATGGAATAATCTATTCTAATAAATTTAAAGTGTTATGTAGTTAAATGAAAAGGTATTATAATGAGTTGATTATATATTTATTCTTAATTCAAACCTAGATTTGGAAAAGAAAAAGTAGCTTAATAAACTTGACCACATAGTTTCGGTGATATTCAGTTACAGGTAATTATGACAAATCTGACAAACCAAATATGGAAACCTTAAGAGCCACGCTTCCAGGAGTCAGACTCTGAGATTTCAGTCTTAGCCTAAACTCAGCTTGTTGTTTATATTTTTTCCAAACTGTTTCCACATTATCTTAATTATAAAACTGGGGGTTGCTGTAGGAATCGAGTAATCTAAAACCTCTAACAATTGAAAAAACAAAGACCCACATGAGAAGATAATACTAGAATAAAGATGTTTTTGGTGATTTGGATGAGCTTAGCCTTCATTAACATATCTTTAGTACAGATGTAACGTTTACATGTGTGGTCATGTTGTCTTTTTTTATTTAATGAACTTTGTAGAAAAAAACTAAGTAATGAAATTTCATGCTGTATTTCTTTGCATTTTATTATGTGTAAGACAACCATTTTATAGTTACATGACCAGCTGTGAACCTCTAAGCACAGTGTGGCTCATTTTTATTTGTCTTCAGGTACTACGTGTGATTTACATTAGGAGAGATCAAACCCAATAATCCCCTCTGCTGGCCCCTGTGCAATAACCATCAATTTCCCATCATAGTTTGTGTTGATTAGAAAAGCTACATGTTTAATTGCTGGTAAATGTAACAACATTAGATCTCATGCTCCTCCCATCAGAAGCTCATTACTCAGACTTGTTAGATTTAATCAAAAAGAAAAGAAGACTTGTGTCTAATTATATGCTCTATTTCATTTGGCTCCACACATGGGCTGCACCTTTATGTTAGGTGTCTTTACAATGGTTATCTAATGTTAAATATGAACATTTAGTATTCCTCTTATGTTGCTATCTGTTCATATCTACTCAATTCGGTTTCTGGTTTCTGTAAACATTTCACAATCAATTTACATTTAAATAATAATGACTCAAATAGTAAAGAGAAAAGCATTAATGAATAATTTTAGCCCACATAAAAGCTCAAAAGTTTTATAAAAGATGGAGGTTATCTTAGTGATATCATACATCAGTGGCAGTCTGCAGACCGGACAGACAGAGGTGACCTGAGGCAGGCTTTTAGCCCTGTAAACAGAACAACCACCTGTCAGCCAACTTACTAAGCCTTTAGTTTTGAATAGCTCTTAGTCTTTTAATAATGAATACATTATTCAATTTTGGCCTATAAACTTGTTTCATCTGGAAATTCTGCATATTTTTACACTACTGCACTCAGAGGCATGTTTAGAGGGGTGGCCAGGGGTGACACTACCCCCTCCCCTTGAGATCTGATTGCCACCCCATGTTGTCATCCCAAAATCCTAAACTATAATAGTCCATCAGCCTTGTTAATGGCAGAACTTTAAATCTAACTACTGAGACTGTCCTATCAGGCTGTTAGTACCTTTCTTTTTATTCAATGTGGCTCATTTTCTTGATCTTCTCGTATGTTAACGTGTTGACACTCGGTTGTGTTCCTGACCGATATAAAATTATTATACCCTGGAATATAAAATCTTTATGACACTTTCTGAATGTTGTTAGAGTGGATAGAGAAGAGACTGTAAAAGCTGTTAATGTGTGTGTTTACATGCATACCCTGGGCACCCCTGCCTGTGTAGGTGTGGTTGGGCCACCCTAATCAAAAAGTCTAGATACGGCCCTGTTTACAGATGCTTCATGTTTCAACGGGAGATTAACGCTGTATAAAAATCATGATCTGTGTTTTACTGCATCATTCATATTAACATCAATGCAACTGTATTTAGAGTGCAGGAAAAGAGATCATGTGCACAAGTAAAGTACACAGCTGGATTTTAGAAAAATTCATTTCCATCCATCACATAAGAGTTTTGGTAAATGAGCCATAGTCTGTTTTGTGGCTTTTATACTCACTATTATACTCATGAATTTTTGCATGGATTCAATGCTTTTTTTAATTTTTATAATGTATCTTACAAACTGTCAAAATGGCATTTCTGGTGCAGTTTTCTCTGTTTTAGCCGAGTTGAAAAGTTTTGTATTGGTACACTATCACCATTCTATCAAACCTAAAAACCTCTTAATAGTGCTTTTAATTACACACTAGTACTTCTGGGATATTTCCAAAAAGAATGACTTTAATAGCGACTACATAAGGGAACGTCACTTATTTATGAAACCCTCTAAAATGTACTCTGCTTTGTACAACAGAGCTCAGAGAACAGTATGTGGTTACAGTATAAACAAGTATAATCAACTCTCCCTCATTCAAAATCTGCTTTGAGATATCAACATTTACGACAGACAGTATGGGGCAACTATTGATCATGTTTTTATCTGCTCAATGAGTCATTATCAATGCCAAAGATGTCACCAAACTTGCCCTAAGAGATCACTTCCCATATGAGAAGACAGATGACAAAGAAGTGATAAAATATATCTAAAACAGGGGTAATTTGCATGTACAGTATATGTGGATTTCTTGTAGTCATGTGACCTCATATGACAGAAGAAGATATCATAACCAGACATCTTGATTTCAGGCTGTTCCCTTCTCCAACAACGCTCTCACATCAAGAGGCTTTTCTCCCTGCTTTGTTTGACGAGGAGCTGCTGCTTGGTAGAGCACACTTTGCTTGCAGTACGGAGGGGAAGAAAATCTGATTAAACAATTAGTGTCAATTAGCCCCGACCAAATCATTCTACAAACAATTGGTCTCTAGTGCCCGGCTTAATTACAGGCGACTTTCAGCTCCTTATCACCAGCCCTGTCGCTCGTGATTCATGTCCGACTCACGCCTGTCCCTCAAGCACCATCAATTATCCACCAGTAAACAAATCCACAAGGCAAAAGAAAAAAAAATACATGCAGCTCCAGGTCCCAGGCCTGATTATCATAGCTCTATGTACACTGTTCATCTGCTCTGGTACTACACATAATCAGACTTGTGTTGTCATTTTTTCATGTTCCAGTAATTACAGTATACAAATTTGGATTGATTTGGGAGGAAAATGCCCCAATCTGTAGGAAAGACCTTCAAGACTGCTGCTAGATTAAAATCTGTCTAAATTAAAGTGATAATCAGGAATTTAAAAAAGCATGCCTTATAAAGTCCATCATAATAAACTTTTGATACTTTGAGAAAACTCCCTTATCCTACAGAAGGATCTCCCTTTTCTTGTACTTTTTAAGCTATATTCAAATAATTTACCCAGGAGTCTGATGTCAGTCTGTGGAGAGATCTGACAGTTAATAATGAAATAATAAAAAATGTGTTTCTGGTTTAGTTTCATGCTTTGTATGGAAACAGCAGGGATTTCGACGTTTGAAAGTGTAAACACAACACTATACAGGTATGATCACGTCTCAAAAATGTGAGGTCAGAGCTCCTGATTTTAACACACAAACATCGACACATATACCGCCAACACACAAAAGGTGTGAAGGGGAGCGACAGCAGGCGCGATGACATGTTAAATTACCCCGGTGATGTATAGCTTAATGAACCCCTTGTGTTGATCACGCTCCACATTAATCAACAGCCATGAACAGATTCCCTTATTTTCTCAATGCTGCCTTGATAAACTGCAATTTCATTTAACCTTGGACAGCAACTTTAATAGCTTCCACAGGACAACTGTCAATACTTCCCTGGGTATACAGTGATTAAATTGCAAGGCGAGAAGTGTGTCCCAGCTTCCTCCTCATGCTCATCCTACATCTCCCTCTCCTCTCCTCTCCTCTCCTCTCCTCTCCTCTCCTCTCCTCGCCCCCATCCCCACCCCCCTCTTTGCTTCAAATCACAATTTGTACTTTCCCACATGCACAGTCCACACTTAAAGGCCAAAGTCAAATCAGAAATATTTGGACTCCACAGTGAAACAACATAATCTGTTTCAGTGTGTTGTGGTTTTTCTTCTGACACAGACCTGGATTTGTCATTGTGGCAGCTAACTTACATGGTTTAAATGAAGTGTTATCAGGAGAATAACCTGTTGATCCCCTTTTTGAATGTGGTATTTTACACAACCCTATTAAAAGGCTGATGACTGACTTCTATTAATAAATAATATAACAATAATAAACTGAGTGCTCAAACGCATTCTTAATGATGATTTTAAAACATGAGATAAACGGGCTCTAGAGTAAGATCCCCATCACATTTAGTTGTCTTTCTTAAATTTGCTTGTTGTCCTCCAGCTCCTGTCTCGACAGGATAAAACAAGCTGGTGACAGGCAGTGACCTGAGGCCTGTCACAATGATTTTCTGTGATATCCTCCACCCTTGTCAATTTAGCATAAATTACCAGCCATGAAAGACCCGCTGGCTGATTAAAACCAATTGTCTGGGTAGGGAAGGACAAGGCAACCTCTTTATTATATGATAAACTAAGTTAATGGAAGACGACAATCTCCCCTCTGGGAAATCGGACTGACTCTTAATTAAAGCATTGTGTTTTTTCTGGGCTGGATAGATGGACCGGCACGCTCTTGAATGAAACTTTTAGGATAATGTGATGGACAAGTTAAACAACACATCAGGATTTGGAATAAATACAAATTTATGCTTCCATGTAAATTAAGGAAAAGGAGGGAAAAAGCATTTTTCATTTGAACATTTTGAGAACATAATCAGTGCCAATCACAGGATCCTTACTTGCCACAAATGATGCAACTGTGTGTTTCTAACAGATTTGTTTATGAAAAAAAACATACCTGACACTTGGTAATTACACTTGATCTCAGAACAAATTATCACCTTTGGAGAACATGTTTCATTATCACATCCGAGGCTGAAGAGATTCTTATGTGTTGTTACAGATCAAGTAGAAAAAGAGTCTGTGTTTTTTTTTTTTGTTTTTTTTGGAGGCAGGCAACAGTACGAGTTTGCCTTACTGTTGTGATGACATAACAGAAAAAGCAAACATTTCTCCGTCCTGCGCCTCTCATCGGCTTCCTCCACCCACACTTGAGAGGTGACAGGCATGCACCCGGACTTCCATTATTATCCAACACAGCAAGAATGCCTCCAGGAGGATAATTACTGAAACTTGAAGAGCTGGGGCTAATCCTAAGTACTTCACTTTGTATGACCGGCTCGCCTGCTTGTCTCTTAGGCTGCCGCTCACACTGACAAAGTGCGATGTTGGGCTTGGGGAAAGTCAATAAGAAGACCTCATGGCCCACAGATGTAGCAGGAGAGTCAAACGGTGGCAAAATTCACTAATATGTCTGTTTATCATAAACAACCTAGGTTTGAAGCATTGTGATCTCACTGAGAGAAAACACAGCCAGACAAAAAAAACACATCATAGCACCAAAAAAAACTTTAAAAGTATATCCTCAATAATTAAGTCACTAATTTCAGACTGGCAAGAAAAAGAAATCACACTAAAACTAAAAGTCCTGGACAGAAGGTCGCTGCTGCTGGCATCAGACAAGCTTTGACTGACAGGTGCTCAGACGGATCATTAGCACCCTGTCCTGACATATTTGTGTGACATGTCTCATCATGACACCCACTGCGACGCAGGCGATGTTCGTTACTTAACATATAATTATACGAAGACAAATTATGCCTGTTGAAGTTTTCATGGACATGGTTTCCATTAAACCAGCAACACACTAACTACGAACAATGAGGCCAAAAATGTTCAAAACATGAAGAAAGTTTGAATGAAATCTTTTCAATGACCTGACAAGCTGATTTAATGATTTCTTTTTCACGTGATGGTATTGAATTAAATTTTCTCCTTCAACAAAAAACAACTTTAAAAGTAAAAAAAAGAGAGTTTTTGTCGTCTCTTTCCATTCATCCCAGGAGAAACCAGAGGCTCCCGTCCTGCAGGACAAAGCCCGGAACAGCTGGCTGATCGATACCCGACAAAGGCTCAGGGGTTAGAGCAGTCAAAAGATTGTTAACTAGCCATTTTATCTGCCAGACATTTATATCATTGTTTATGGTTCAGTGCACCCCTTTTGGTGCCGGCCATACTGCACACCTGTGCTTGGAACATTTTCAGGGCCTCTTTGACCACTTTGCATGACCTCATGGGCAAAGAAAATAAATGACACATGATCCCCGGTAAAACACCAAATAAATACAGGGGTAGTTAGAGCTGTTTGTGTTTATTTTCCTGTGATATTCACATCATTGATTTTCATATCAACACACTGTGCGTCATTGTCAGCACCTAATTTGAAAGATAAAAGTGTTATCTATATGAAAGTTTCAGAAAAAGCATTAATGTGTGCATTTTTGCAGCTAAGTGCCACGTGCAGGTGTGAGGAGACTGGGGATCAGCCTATATTTGCACATTCCTGCATATGCATGTGTGTGTTTATGTTTGTGTAAATATGAGTGTGGCTTTACCATGCGTCCCAGCCCTCCAACACATGGCTCTGTTGCCACCGCCCTGGCTCGTGTTGTGAGTGTCCCTGCAGGCTGGCAGAGAAGAGAGGGGAGAGACCCTCTCGGCGGCTCACCCAGGCGGAGAGGGGCTTCCTGCACATCTTTTGTCACACCATTTGGGTCCTTGTGTCTGTGGCTGCCCCTCACTCTGCTTCGGACCCACTTGGCAGCTCGGGGTGCAGACGGACATCTGCTGTTTGCAACCTCCTGGTGAAGAGAGAAAACAACAAGCAAAAGAGCCTGCTTTCTCACTCTCTGCCCTGCACACTTGCCTGCACACTGAGGACAGTGACAGTGTTAGTGGCAGCAGCTCTATCTATCTATCTATCTATGACAGTATAGTTTATTCAAGTTTTCTGTCTTACATTTGCCAAAAACGTGTAAAATTAAAAAAAAAATCACTTCATTAGAAAATAGTGACACATTCTGACTTTGGGTGCTTTTTGTAGAGCAACAGCAGTCTGGTAATTTCAGGTTAGAGTCACAAGTGATTACCCTTTCTTTCCTCCCAGAAAATTGTGATAGGAAGGCCCCTTAGATTATCGTTTTGCTTTGTAAACCTTCACATTAAAGTAAATTTCTGCATCTCTGGTTTTCACTCCTTTCTCCCGGCTTCTCTAAGCGCACTGATTCTGCAGCACGCAATATTGAACACACTTTGTTCGTGCTCAGCGGCCCAGAATAACTCGGTCATTATGATGTGGAAGGGGACAGGTTTTGAGTTTGATTTCATGATGGTAATATAGCCCCTGTGCGCAGGAGAAAGAAAGCCTTCAATGGGGACATCTGTTCAATGCGGGCTTACAGTTACAGCCGCGCGTTAAAGAACAACCTGTGCGCACCATATGAACTATTACCGACCCTCTAACGTGCTGAAAGCAACAGGCAACAAAGGGCTGTTTTTGGGGAGGTTTTGCGCTTAGAATAAATTAGGCAATTTGATTTCGAAGCGCACGTGGATTAAATATCTCTTACGGCTTCAGCAGGAAGATGTTTCCTGTCGGGGAGTTATCACACTGACCTCTGACATCAGCCTTGCTGGGATGATCACTTGGTAATTTGTCACCAGAGGCCAACATGTCCCCCAAAGCTGCAGTCCAAACCCTGCTCTCCAAATGCGTAAAATCCCTATTACGCACAATAATTGAACGGCCATCATCTTTAGGGGGAAATTAAGGGGAAAACCAGATTTTACGCACAAACATTGAATTATTATTTTTATTTTTATTTTATTTTTGCAGAACTAATTTTAAATAGCGTCTGCACGTTTTTTAATCCCTATAGGTGTTGCATGCAGAAGAAGCTTTTCAACCGATTTTTTTTTTACACTCCCCAAGTAATTCTTAATTGAATATCCAGTGTAAGATTTCTCCTGCACGGTGCACAGTCACACCGGCAGCGGGAGATGCTGTGTTTCCTTCTGCAGAGAGCAAACGTCTAGGGTCAATCAATGAAAGCAGTGTGGAGCGGAGCAGCACGGTACGTAGGTTTTATTCTCCTCATTACTTTGTCACATGTTTTATTCGTCTCTAAACGCGCTTTTTACGCGATTTTCACAGCACGCTATCATATTTCGACAGTTTGTTTGATTAGTTGGATTGGCGGGTATAAAAAATAACAAATGAGCAGAAAACAGATCGATACAAGCTCCTTTCTTATCTCCAACGTCAATAAGGCAAGTGTGTGTGTATGTGTGTTTCCTGATTATCTAAAATCTGTCCTTGCTTTTATAAATTCGTGCCATACCTTTGTCCATCTTTACCCATAATTAATTAAATTGACACTTCACGCCTGAGTTTATGGACAAGTTTAAATAAGAATGTTTAGAAATAAAGATTGGTGTTGAATTCATGAAATATGTCAAAAAGAGATAATTCTCTCTAAATTATGTGTATTATTGGCCTCTGAATAAGACACGAGCTGTAAGAATAATAATTGAATACATGTGTGTTGCCGGGCTTTTTCTTTTTCTTTTGATTTTTGTTTTACACAGTTACATTTGACTATCTTTGGCCTCTTTTTAGTTTTCCCTGCCCCTTCATTTTTTACGCCTGAAGGTAAAGCAGTGTAAATTAATCCAAAAAGCTGTTGTCCAATCCTAGAAACACAAGAATTAATCAGAGAGTCCATCTATCACGCCGTGTAATAAAGGAAGCGACATGGGTTAGGCAGATGATGTGATGAATAATCCTTGGTCGTTTTAATTAACTTTTCCCTGTCCTGTAATGACCAAGCTGGTCAACAGAGCCGGTCAATAAGCATGTTAATATCAAACAAATAAAAGTGCGGATGATTAAAAACCTCCTGCGTTATTAAATTTGAAATTCAAATGAAATTTATGCCTCCGGTGCACACTGCATGCTAATAGCGCCCACAGAGAGTCCCAGGGTTCAACGCGCGTTTAGCCTACAAGTTCTCTTATGTAACAGCAGATTCAGCTTTAGATTGAGCTAAATGTCAGTAAGCAAAGTGATGAACCCATTCAACAGAAGCAGCTGATTTTATCTTCAGTCTGACACGGGGGTGAGCTCTCACTTTAATGAATTATTTCTGTTAACCTGACGCAGCATCCCTGCCAATACTGACCCCTCAGAGAGATATCCCCTTCTTATTTTCTAATTTAGAGAAAAATGATCCAAAGTCATTCACTCTAATCATCTTCCTCTTCTTCTTCTGTTGTTTTAAGAGCATAAAAACGAATCATCCTCCGGCGGTATGCTCCATCTACCACTTTTAATCAAAAACACTTGAAGATAATTGAGCACAATTACAGTCAAGTGAAAGTTTGAGGTCCACTCCTCGGAACAAGGCGACCTTTGTATGTTGTGTAATTGTTTGTGTATATTAAGTCTTAAAAAGTTAAAACGTGGAAAAACACGCAAGAGCCAGGATGGTGCTGAGAGAGAGAGACATTTTTAAGTGTTGAAACTTTATGAGGAGGCAATGTAAAGCAAAACACCTGCATCAGATATGAAATTTCACAAAAGCCTGCAGGTCCAGGATGAGTTAGAAGTGACCTACTTTAACTTTTGAGGGTTTTTTAAGGGGAGAGTTAGCACTGAGCGTTAAAAAAAGAACTTCAATAGGAGTTAATGGTATAAATAGAGCGGTTTACTCCCTCGTGCACCTTTTTAGCGATGTTTTAGTCTAGTTTGTTTTACCACAGTCAGCCGACGTGAAATAGCCCCACTCATCGTCCTACTCTCAAATTTATGGAACGTGATGTTCTGTAAAATTTCAATAAGTGGCCCCCTAATTCCTCCTTCCTAATTCACTCTCATTTAACTTTACCTTCCTTCCGCTGTCTTTCTTATGGAGGGGGCGGTGGTGGGGGTGGTGGAGGAGGGTGGAGAGCTGTCTGAGGGCGCTCTATTGATGACCTCACGGTGGTTTGTGTGGCGGTGCGGCGGGACGAGGCCGCTGATTGGTCGCCCGTGTCACAGCGGCACTTCAAAGCCCGGAGAGGAGCCTACAATTGTGGAAGAATGGGCGGAACACATCATTGTATTGCACACCTCTAAAAAAACAGTGCTCTGATTCATAAATATAAAAAGATCCTCTGAGGAGGGCACTGTTTTTGTGTGATGGCAACTTCACTTCTAGGGGTGAGTCGAAAGGACTTTCTTGCTGGTTTAATTAGTTCTTGTCATTGTCCGGCGGAGGGGGATTAAACTTACAGCAGGCAGCGGAGGCAGTGCGTTGGTTATAGTTTGAAGAAGCGCTTGTTGTGTGAAGTGAAGCTCAGACTGCTTACGGGATAGACATTTATGCTGCTTCTGCTTACAACAAATGCAGGTTTTTTTTTTCCTCGCTGTCCTGTCTGGCATGCATTTGTAAGCGCAGTTGTGCCGCGTTTCAGTTGTCTACTTTCTGTTTGTCCAGGTAGGAGGTAATCAGAATCATATCTTCTTGTTTTAAAACTTTTTTTGAAACTATTATTTGAGCTGGCTCCTCTTTCAAAGAAATGTCTGCATGAACCTGTTTAACTTGTTCGACTGACCACTCACTCACTCACTCACTCACTCACTCACTCACTCACTCACTTCTTTTCTGTTCCCCTCAGGAGGAGCCGAGGTTAGGATCGACTCCTTTAGCCATGTTAGCAGCAACATGCAACAAAATAGGGAGTCCGAGCCCTTCACCCTCCACTATTTCGGATAATTCTTCGTCTTTTGGAAAAGGCTTCCATCCATGGAAGAGAGCAGCCGCCGCCAGCAGCTGCAGCCTCGGATCCGGCCTGTCCGGTTTCGGAGTGGCCCGCAACGGATCCGGCATCACGGACTCTTTCGGCACCAACAGCTCGAGTGGATCAAGCGCTTTTTCCCTCACGTCCGGTACCTCGACTAGTTCACACTTTGGAAACGACTACTCGGTTTTCCAAGCGTCTGTTTCGAGCAGCTCTCAAGAGTCCAGCCACCAGCCGGTCTTCATCTCCAAAGTGCACACCTCAGTGGACAGTCTTCAGGGCATCTATCCGAGGATGAGCGTGGCGCATCCCTACGAGTCTTGGTTCAAATCGTCTCACCCCGGGATCCCCGCTGGTGAGGTTGGGACCACCGGAGCGTCCGCGTGGTGGGACGTGGGAGCGGGATGGATTGATGTTCAGAACCCTAACGGAGCAGCACTTCAGACGTCCTTACACTCCGGTGGGCTGCAGACCTCCCTGCACTCTCCTCTGGGCGGATATAATTCTGATTACTCCAGTTTAAGTCACTCTGCCTTCAGCACGAGCCCCTCTCCACACCTGTTGACAACCGGGCAGCACCTGATGGACGGTTTCAAACCGGTGTTATCCTCATATCCGGACACGAGCCCCTCTCCGTTAGCCGGGGCAGGGGGGACTATGCTCTCCGGGGCTCCACCTGCGTCTTTGGCGGGATCCCCGAGGTCATCAGCTCGGCGGTACTCGGGCAGAGCCACGTGCGACTGTCCGAACTGCCAGGAAGCGGAGAGACTGGGACCGGCGGGCGCGAGCCTCCGGAGGAAAGGTCTTCACAGCTGTCACATCCCCGGCTGTGGAAAGGTGTACGGAAAAACGTCACACCTAAAGGCGCATTTGAGGTGGCACACCGGCGAGAGGCCGTTTGTGTGCAACTGGCTCTTTTGCGGTAAGAGGTTCACGCGCTCCGACGAGCTCCAGCGACATTTACGCACGCACACCGGGGAGAAAAGGTTCGCCTGCCCGGTGTGCAACAAGAGATTTATGCGGAGCGATCACCTGAGTAAACACGTAAAGACTCACAGCGCCGGGGGGTCCGCTGGCTCTGGGTCCGGGGGCAGCGGAGGGAAGAGGGGGAGTGATACCGACAGCGAGCACAGCGCGCCGGGGAGCCCTCCGTGCCATTCCCCCGACCTGTTGCACCCACCTGAGTCGACCCAGGGAGTGGGCATGAACGGCCTCTAAGAGTCCCCTCAGTGAAGCAAAAATAACTGTACAATAACAACAACAAAGTGTTGTGATGTCCGAGCGGATCTGAAAGTGGACATACTTGAGTGTATGCAAAGTGTTAAAACTGAGTAAGCAAAGGACTCATTCTTTTGACTATTTCCGAGAGTTTCAGACTAATGACCGCAGAATTTCATAGCTGTACTATCACAATTTCTCATTCAGACAACTGGAAGTGTAATCACATTTTGTTGGCACACTGGAACAGGGCACAACTTTTATGTTTTTTGCAGTCTGATTTGAAATTCTTCTTTTAATTTTCTTGAATACGCAAAAAAAAGCAAAAGAAAAAAGAAAAACCCTGCTGTTTAAAAAAAATGCAGGCCTGCAGTGTAAGTTGTGCTACTGCTGTGATAGATAATGTTCAAAACCAAACTGTGGCACTTTATTCACGAGCAGGAGACATTGCTTATGTGTGACGGGCTGCTCGGTGTAGGAACAAATACCTGTAGAGTTTGGAAGATTTGGGCTGTGGTTGATTTGTTATAGCCGTCTGATCCCCTCATCAGCTGTATGTTCATATCACATATTAATACTCACGCCACAACCTACAGTATGTGCGCAGTCTGTAAGTAAACCAGCTGGGGTTACTTTGCTGCAAAAATGTGTTGTATATACTGAGAAATGTAGGTTAGAATAATGACAGCCCCATGTAAAGGTGAGTAATGTATTTGTCCAGGAGACGATGATGATTTTGTATAGGTATTTCTAGTTGTATATGGACTCTAGTAAATATTTGAAATATACGAGAAAATGTACTTTGATTTTTCTTTGACATGATATGAAATGTATTGTGTGGAGTTCTATTTAACCACCAGTTGTTTTGTTTTTTAAATTTTATTTAGGAGTCTATCATTAGGCGCACTTTGAATTTATTTGTTAAAGGTTTGGAAATCATTCCCTGTTTACCCACTCGTTTAATTTAAGCAAGCATGATGTAAAGTGATTTTAATTTTACGATGATATTTTTGTTTTTCTTTTTCCTCCGAGACTGGCTTCTTATGTGAGCCACTCAATAAAGTCAGTATGAATTCAGATCAGCCCATCGACTCACTTTGTCTTATTGTTGAGTCGATTTAATGTATTTTAACGACGATGGTCTGAAATTTATTTTTTACATCATATCGTTTTTATTCATGTGTAATAATACAGGTGGTGCGTTCATGACCCCCTTGCAAGCACGTTTTTAGGGCCAGAGGGGGAAAGGCCCAGAGGAAGCTCGAGGCCTTCCTTGGATAATTATCTCATTTTAACATCAACATTTAACATGTAAATTGGGAGTCTGCTTTGGTATTTAGAAATTTTAAGAAATGTTGTAGGAAAATTTGACTCCAGACTGTTTTCCCTTTTGGCAGCCGAAGTCTGGTTTTCTGTCTTGTGCAAAAATGAGATTTCAAACTTCCCAGAGGTCCAAGTCAACACTGCTCACAAGCGCTTTTTAACCCTCTAATCATTAGACTTTTAAAAATATTAAACTATAAATTCCCACAAATAACCACATTTCCAGTAAACATTTTAATCAATTTTTCGTTATGATATTTTCCCGCGAAATCCGATAATGATTACCAGACCCTCTCCACAATTACGCACTTTGGTTCACCACAGATTGTCTTCATAGGGCAGTATGTTCAGTGTTTGAATTTTGAATAACTTCATTATATAATAACTCTATAATTTTTTAGTAACCGTATACTTTGTAGAGTAATGTGTTTTTTTCCTAATTAAAAGCTAACTCCAGTCTCAGAAAATGGTCCGTGGCAACAAGTTTTGTTCCCTTGAAGATCGATTTGCACTTGAAGCTGGACCAATCACTCTGTCTATCAAAAAAAAAAAACACTTGAACCACTAAAATAGGACTCGGCAAATAGACTTGGTTTCAAATAGTTTTAATTCGTGAAGTAACAAATATTCGTATTGGGACAGATATTAAGTAAAAACAGACGGGTCACTGGTGATTACCATATTTTCTCTAAACTTTCACCATGCCTAATTTTCCAGTCAGTTACAGCTTGTAAAAGAGCAAAATCAGTATGTATTCTCATTTATCTATTTTTTTCAGAATCATATTTATCAAATTTAAAACACACGATTGCCTGCGCACTGATCGTTAAGACCACCCTGTAATCTTTGTAACTAAAATTAGGGGCATGGATAATAACCGATCATGAAATTATTGACACTTTGTTCAGCTGCTTTTTCTTTTCTTTGGCTGCTCTTGTTGGTAAACTAAAGCCTGTGTCTCTCAAACGGCACTTCCCAGTGCTCTGCATGCGCAATTTAATAGCGCCATCTAGCGCGACCAACATCTACCCTGTCCACCTTGGACCCTCTCCAGTCAGAGAAATCCCTGGTTTGGACTCTGATGTTTTATGTACCATAACTAAACTGTCCATCAGTCTTGCTGCATGAAACCATTCAAACTACTTTTACAGAACTTTGAGACTAAAACTCGAGGCTTTGGTTTGAAAAACTTCAACTTCTAACTTCAGAGTAAACCTCTTATATATATTTTTCCACAGGAGACATTCACACTTTTAACTAAAATGCAAAGTAACCTACCTAAGCCAAGCCAATCACACATCATCACAGAATCTGAAGACAGACGCACAATAAAAGCAAATAGGCTTGGAGAAATAGTTTAAAATGCGTCAAACAATTTGTTGACTAAAGTAAAAGTATTTAGAAGAATGTAACTCAATCTCTCTGTAAACATAATGCAGGGGACATGCATGAGGATCTCAGGGGGGTGATGCTGACTGTTTTGCGCTGAAAAAGGACCACAATAACACAGCGAAGTAATTTTTTCCCAGTACATTCTGGTACACAGTAAAATGTACCAGTATATTCATATGCATGTATACAGGAGTATGCGCTCGAGTTAGCCTTTGTATTTTATTCATCTGCTTTCGCTTTCCTGTCAGTATGTTGTCTTCAGCTTTGCAGTAAAGCAGAAAAAGTGGCGGGGATAACAGTCAAAGTTTCAGATTAAACCAGAGTGGGCTCAAGTTAAATATGAAACACTGACAGAGCTGAGCAGACGGGCTCTGACAGAGTTCACCTTCGCTGATTCCATTAAAATCTACTGCAGTTATGTCTTTGGGTTGGAGAAGCACTGAAGGACTTGACCTGCAGTTACATATCAAATAAATTATCTCTTTAAAATTCCCCCCAAAAATAAGAAATGACAGCTAGAAAAGATATATTTATATATATATATATATTTTTTTTTTTAGTCAAGGAAGTGAAACACACCCTGATGATGAGACTAAGAGGAATATGTGAACAACTGGTTAACAGCTGGACTCTTAAAAAATAATTATTACTGAATTCAATAAGTTGTCAACACTGATAAGATTTGGTAGTTTATAAAATAACAAGTGTACAAAGAAAAGGCACCTTTCTTCTATTTCAAACTGTATTAAATTAACTTAGCGTTCTTCTATTTAAGAGGGAATACTATGATGTTATATTAATCTATATTGCACACAACAAAAGACAGGTGAGCAGAGGCCTAATCATGAAACATTAAAGTCATTTTTGCCCTTCAGTGTCAGAGTATTTGGCTCTATGCTGTCATGTTAATCGCACCTTTCAAAACTATCGCAGCGCCACCTCGGCCTCATAGGAACACCCTGCCGATGTCTCAGGGTGGACACGCACACATGCCAGGACAAGGGGGCTGAGCTGCAAAGTGTAGATGAAGCCACAACAGCATCTGAGGTTTAGAGCTCACAGTGCACGGGCAGCCAAATCAGCTCGGAAATATAAAATATTTCTAAATTTGGATGTCTCAGTGACTTTAAGATTAGATTTCTTTGACTATAATCCGAACTTTATCTCAGTCTTCAGGGAAACATGACCTGCTAATAATATGATGAGATATAATAAGATTTGAATTATGTTTTCATGCCCCACTAGTCACACAGCTTGGTAGGGACATCTCTCACCTATCACGCTGTGGCCAATTTTGTGGTTAAAACCAGCCACTGCACCGACATTGTCATCAAACCAACTGAAAAGACAATTTGACAAGGGCAGGAGGTGAGTCAAAATCATTTACAGTAATTGCTGCAGGGCTGACAGAGGGCTGCTTTTACACAATGATTTCAGTGATTCACTGATGTCACAGGTGGTTTTTTCAAGAGGGAAATCTACAGACTGCACGTAACAGAGAAACTCTGCTAGTTTTTTTTTTTTTTTTTTCTCAAAATTCACTAAATTATTTCAGAGTGAGTTCACATCACCTCAGGACCAGAATGCAAACTATTCTACCTGAAATAAACTTCTGAAGTAAAAAAAAAAACAGGGTTGATATTAAAAACAGAGACAAAATCTATTTTCTCTTATGATATCTGCAGTCCTTACATAGCTGTAAAGGCTGCTAAAACTGTAATAAACCCAAACTTCTGCCCTATATTTAACCATCTGTATAGCAGGTAAAGCTTTAGACTGGATCTTTTATCCTCTTTACATTAAAATAAAGACTAAAAATGTGCTACTCAAAGCTCTATTATAGCCTCTAACTAATGCTGAACGTCACAATTATACTGCTATGTGGATGACAGGTTTGTTCATAGATTTATTATGCAAAAATGCTAAACAACTGACTGTTTAAAATATTCTGTAATGTTATTCAAAATCATAGTAATGTTTAACTGTAATGCATTAACTTACATTAACATAGCTATTTTAGAAAATTGGACTGTATATGAACTAATTATAAATCGAATTATAAAACACTTGAAGAAATCAACCCAGACCTCAGGAATCTTGGATGTTAGTAACTGCATCAACAGCAGTGAAAATAACCAGCAGATGAATCAATAAAGAAAGCTTTAGTTGCCCTGAGAGGGTAACTTTTGGGTGTAAATTCTTGCATAATGAAAATTATTTAGAAACACTACATATCTGATGTTGTTTTTGTATATGATCAACTCCTAGTTGTGTGCAGCTTCAACATTAAGATTCTCTGCCTCTGCTTTAGTGTGCACAATTCCCCTTATTGGATAATGTCCAATCAACTGAATACTGGGTAAATGGCTCCATCTAGTGGCTCAAACGTTGAACTTTCAGACCCCCTTTCTAAGCCTGGGCCCTGAGGTAAGGTTTTGTGACTATTAATTGACATGCAGTAACAAAGCAGCTCTCAGTTAACAAATGTTATTCCTCAACTTCAGTGACATGTGAATATCATTAGTTTAATTTATTCTCCTTTTTAAAAAGCAAAGACGGTTAGCTCCATTTGACACAAAATCTGAGAGTTGAATGTGATAAAATATGTGATTTCACCTGTATGCCATATTCGATAGATTACAAAAGAACAGGCTCTCTCTTTTTTGCGTCGTCTATTAGTAATAAAAATGCAAGTACACTTTGAAAAGAATGCTTCCTTTTGAATAGCGAGTTTCCAAGTGTGTCAATACAACAGTGCATTAGTCCTGACCAAGTGGAATCAAGTTTTTACTGTTATTAAATGTTTATTATATTTATAATAAGATAGGAACATGTACCATGGTGGTAAAACCGGTCAAGTAGGAAACTGCACTTGACATAAAAATATACAAACAAGGTTCCTTATTTTTGTTGTGACTTTTGATTTCTACAGATAAGATAATGAAGTGACTCTTCCTTTAAGCATTGTCCTACCAGCACACCTCACAGTTGCTCCACTAGCATAGCAATAATCACAGCTTCTGAATTCCCTGTATTAATATGCACATTCAGAAACCCTTCACGCTTTTTGTGAGGCAACCACAATAAAAATGTTCTATTCAATCAATGCTTTTGACCTCTACTTTTTAGAAGACTTGGTAACTTCCTTTAACAGCTGGACATGTTATGAGTTACCAGCAGTTTGCCATTTAAAAGGAAACTAGCCATCCTTTCAATAATGTTTAAGTCAGTGTTCCCAAAGCAGCCACAAGAGAGCAGGATTTATCCACAGGTCTGTTCTCTATTTCAGTTTCAGTGTGACATCAAACATATCTGACTGTGTGCTGACATTACTGTGACCATACTGTAGAGCAGTGGTTCTCAACTGGTGGGTCCTGACCAAAAGTGGGTCATGGACACGTTCTGGATGGGCCGCAAACAGCTGGTCAAAAAACTAAATATTTAATGTGCGTCTAATGTTTGACATGTCTTTTATTTTGAAAGGCACGCATTATGTCATGGTCCTAATTGGTGTCTTATTAATGTGGCAGTAAAATTCCTTTTTCCCTTTTTTTTTTTTGTTTCTTTTTTGGGTCTTCATTTTGTGCAATTTGATAATTATTCACTTTTGTCTATGCTGTTGCATGGTCCTCCTCAGGTTCTTCTGAATATGCTCTGAATGCAGAGATGCATATAAGCCAAATTTTTCATTTTGCTGGTCTACATTTTGTGCAATCTGAAAATTTGATATTTTCTGTATATGCAACTTGAGTAGTTATCGTCCTCAGTTCACGTGCTCTGAAATGCATTTTACTTGATAAAATGGGTGTATTTACATTAAAGATTTGAGTCTTCAAAGGTTTTTTATATAAATAATACATTTTCTTGATTTGAATTCTATAAAAGTGGGTTGCGACTTAAGGACCATGAGAAAATGTGGGTGCCAAAGTGAGACCTGTTGAGAACCACTGCTGGAGAGAAATCTGAGATAGATAGAAGGCTTTTAACTTATGTCGACGTTGTGAGGCCTCTGTGAAGTGCCTGTATCTGTGCCATTATATGTATTGTGTTTCTCTGTATTTTGTTGCATTTTATCCTTGTTGTAAAGCACTTTGTGATTTTATCTATGAAAAGTGCTATATGAATTAAATTTACTTACTTATTTATAATTAGACTGTCATGAACATAATGACCAAGTAAAATAAACCTTGAGCAAAAACTCATCACGACTGAATATTTAGACTTTGAAATCTACAGTCATTTCATCACATAGAAATAAAGCTACATAAGGGGATTTAAATAATGCAGAAAGGGACAATTCTCTGTTGTAACCCCTTGTATTTGATAATAGGGTTTCATATCAAATGGGGTACAAGAGTCTCAATTATTGATCTATTCACATGTTCAGCCATGACTCTTTTTCTTGATGAGATCAAGTTTAGTTAGCCTCTCACTTCATTGAGACTTTGACCCACCATCATACAGATTAGCAGAGAAGATGGCATCCAGTATAGAAGAGAAACAGGGCAAAACATGAGAAATAGGCCAACTCCTGCAAATAGTATGAAAGCACCTGTTGAGTTGCCTTATTTCCTCAAATAATATGTGGATTCAGACCTGTCTTTTGATGCATTTTAACGCTCAGAACTCACAGTTAGCATTTAACATGTCACAGAGTTTCTCACTGTCAAGTCAGTCACTTCCAGCCTGTGTCAGCATGCTTATCACTTCAGTCAGACTCCTGTCGATACTCCAAGTATCGCTCAGTTTCAGGTGTTGTAAGTCGCGTGCGTAAACACAGCGGTGCATTCTAGGTAGTGTAGTTCCTAGTCAGGAGAGGCCCCTCCTCCGCAGGGCTCTCTGTATTATCTTAAAAACTCTCAGTCCCAAAATGCCCCGTGCTCGAGCGCAAACAGAGGAGTAGAGAGCTGTAACGTGAGAAGCAGGTACGCCCTAGAAAAAAACAAAACGAGTAAATGATAGTGGACTCTTCCAGCGAAAGCGCTCAAGTAAAACTACAACCTCCTCGTGTGGACGGTGAGATTAAACTTTGATTACTTTTCTAGCATTGGGTGGATTTTCATGCCGTACTTCCATTATGGGAAGTGTCAGAAATAGCCTGTCTTATATTTTAATGTGTAACTATAGGCTGCACTCACCTGTTGGGCTCGCCGTGTTGTTGCTGTGCTCACTTAAGCTTCAGCTCAGAGATTTTTAATCAGAATCGGTGCTACTTAGTTTATTTACTGGCATTTTTCTTTTTAATTTTCACGAATTTAGTATTAAATACTTGCACCTTTTTAATCTAAAAGTTAATAAAAAACGTGAAAATTAACCCGTGATTGATATGGATTCATCTTAAGAAAGGATATAGTGGTAGGCTAGAGGAATCACTGCACATTAAATCAGGCTTTTAAGCTGTATTAAAGCAGAAAAGACGATTTGACTGTCTACATTACAGTACCACTGCACTTTGATCATAGCAAGCCGCACTGAGAGAAGCGACTACTGTGTCACATAAGCTTGACAAGAACAACCTGTTTTTGTGCACTGGTGTAAGAAACCACATTATTAATGACTGAGTCACTGTGACAAGTCATGAATGGGTAGTGTCCTTTTTCGCAAACAAGTGACAGGCGGAAGAGTTCAGGCTTTATTTTCTGTTTTGGAACAGTTTCCTGTGACTGACAGAAAGCCTGAGGCTCACTGTGCGGCAGTAAACACAATGACCTTACTCTCATATTTTCTATTGTCTAGGAACTGGTTAAGGTCATGTGTCACAGCATTTCAAAAAATACTGTTCATGTGCACTTGTTAAGATGCTTACCCTCCTATTACCTTTACTTAACCAGTTTTCTCTTATCTTATGTAAAACTTGTAGAGACAGCACTGAAAATTTTCCTTTAGAGGTATCTTTTATCATCAACGACATGTTGTCAGTTAGTTTATCCATAGTATGGTTCTCATACTACTGATTCTCAATAAGCGTGCTGGTATGTGAACAAAATATGTGATGTGCTGTAAAATTGATTAATATGGTGATGACAGCACGAACAAAATCTCACAATTGTATATTGTATTGTGTTTCAGGCTGTGTGTGATCTATCTTTACATTACTATACACTGTAACAATGTAAAGTAGCACAGGAAGTAGTAAACATGCTGCTAGTATTACCACAGAGTACAGACCAACTGTTTTACCTTATTCACAATTTCCCCAGATGACACATTTGCTGTATTTAATTGAATTCTCTGTAACATAGCATGTATTACATTAGCAGATTATTGATAATATAAAGCCCTATTTACTAAAACAGAGGAAGAAAAGGACATCAAATACTTGTGAGGCAGTGATCAGTGAGTGTCTGACATTTCTTCTCTGATAATAATAATCAATAAATGTGTGTGGATAAAGGAGTTTTAAACTAGTTTTGAAGTTGTTTGAAATCTTATTGATTCATCTACAAAAGCAAATAAGACCAGATGCTTTGATGCTCCAAACCACAGAAAGGGGGTAGGTGCCTCTTCTAGGGGTAGATAACATGCTCAAGGAAGTCTTTTTTATATTGTCAACAAGAAATTTTTTTTGGGGGGGCGGGCGGTATCCTGCTTTTCCAAATTTACGACCAAAACTGTAAAGTTACAAAGTTTGGTGTCCATAATACATTCAAGCAAAGTTTCAAATCACAGGGTAAACGTTTTTCGTAATAATCTGAGAAAGTAGATGTAAGCTGCTCAAATCTTGGACAAACGCACAAAAATGCGAGACCACAGTTTATGTGCGAGATTTACTTAAGACTGACATAAGAATTATAGACTCTCCTTATTGGTTGATGTGCTTCCACAGAAACTGCAAATATACAAAGTTTGGTGTCCATGCTACATGTATGCAAAGTTATTGAGTTTAAAGAGACAGCAACTAAAATGAAGCGTTTCAGATGGAGGCTGAAATAATAGTTCAATACACCACTGTGAAAATGTAAGGTCTTTTTGGATCTGAAAATCAGGTAAAGATGATAAAGAGGTATCAGAGAGGAAATATGGAGTCTGAAAAATCTGCACCCCCCATCATACATTTGCATATTTGCATATTTGACAAGTTGTGTGAGCTTTAGAGAATTAAAAAAGAATATTGTATTAATCAAATGTGATTGGTACTAATTAAGCTCTCCTCAGGACCTTTGATTTTGTTTACAGAAATAACAGAAACCCCAAGTGTTTTTTGACAAGAAACAGCTGCAGGTGAGAGGTAATGTTTTTTGTGTTTACAGATGAAACATGGCAGCTGGAAAAGCAAAGTCCTTCCAGCGTTTTGGGAGTCTAATGAGGAGTAAATCTGAAGGGACGCTAATCGATCTGACTGACAATGGCTCGATTAATAACAACATAAATGGTAAAACTTGATATTATATTCTATTAGATATGTTATTATAAGCAGCTTTCTTTCCAATTTTGAAGACCAGTTTGAAAATGCTCCTAAATGTCCTAATCAAACTCTGTTATTTTAACAGGTGGGTATGTAACACAGGTAACAAAGAACTCAGAGTGGCCACTTGTACAGACAGAAGTCGCACTTTCAACACAGACAAAAAACCCTTTTTGGAACAAACTGTCTGGATCAAATCCATTTTTGGATGACATTGTACACAGCAGTATACACAATCACGATGCCAACACATCAAATGCAAAACAAGGCACTGAAAAAGAAGCGGACACTAAAAATGATGATATCATCAGCACATCTTCAGATGAAGGTAATGTAGGAAACTTTTTGGCGAACAAACACAAAATGAGCAACAGATCAGGAAGATGGAGAAGTACTTCAGACATCCTGGAAACAAAAGTGCCAAAACAGGAAAACTGCTTCACGCCGCCTGGGCCGGTGCTGACTCCAGATTTTGAGTGGCTGAAGAATGACAGAGAGGCTTACAAGATGGCCTGGCTGAGCCACAGGCAGCTCACCCGTTCATGTTTGGACTTGAGTCTGAGTCCAGGGTGGGCTCAAACCCAAGCCTCAAACTTTCAGGTCATATCCAAGATCAGCCATGCTGGAGGGACAGTACAGTTACCAGACTCTGAAATCAGGATCCAAATTCCAGAGGGCCATGTTCCTCCTGGAGAAGTCCAAGAAGTTACACTCAAAGCAATGCTAGATCCTCCTCCTGGACTCAACAACAACTATGTGACCACCATGAGTCCACTTCTGGAGGTGGTTCTCAGCAACATCAACACAAAGAAGCACATCTCTCTGGATATTAAACTGTCTGGAGAAATCAAGAGTGATCCACAAAGTCAGGTGATGACCACTGTGGTTGGACTGGTGTCTAACAAAAGAGAGGGACCTTATCTCAAAGTAAAGGACTGTAAGATTCACAAGAATAAGATGCAGATGCAGCTGCAGGACTTAAAGACACATTTTTACGTGATTGCAGTTGCAGAGGCCTCTGCAATCCAACCCCCTGCTTCATCAGTTTGGGATTACCTCAACCGCCAAATCACTGTTGCAGTTTATGGTCCCAGGTTCATCCATCCTTCATTCAAGGCTGTCCTAGTGGTTTGCTGTCATGAGGATGTCCCACCCAAGCTTCCATTTTCAGCTATCAGCAAAGGGAATAAAAACCTGCCTCCACTGGTTCTGCAGCTCTGGGGAAAACACAGTTTGAAACCAGACAAACTGAACAACCTGAATGTGGGAATTAGCCTCACAGACTCCGCATTCAAAATCCAACCCGAGGACAAACTGAAAGAAGTGAGACAGAGTCAGCTTAGAATAGGCACAGTTGTGCATCTGCCAGTCGCCCTATCCTGTTCTTGTAATGCAGAAATGACTCCTTTTACACTAGATTTGGAGGTAAAGGATTCCAGTGGGGCCGCGGTTGCACGGTTCCCAGTGCCTTCTCCTCCTGGAGCACCCATCAGATCAGAAAAGAGGGTTCACAGGCAGTCAGACAAGCGGATTGAATTGGCAAGAACTGCACCAATTCCTGAGGAAAGTATTCCAGATTTTCCCAAATTCACGGACAGACCTGTGAACCTTCAGTGGTACGGTGTAGCTCTAAAGTCAGTTCTCCGTCAGCCTCGAGTAGACTATCTTCTGGAGTACTTCAAGGGAGACACAGTGGCTCTTCTGTCCAGAGAGACTGTTAGATCTGTGGGTAACTCGAAAGTCAAGGAATGGTACATTGGATTCCTCCGAGGCAGGACTGGGTTGGTGCACTGCAAAAATGTCAAGCTCATCACTAGAGATCAAGTGATCGACTTCACCGGGATTCAGATCACCACAGAAGTCCTCTTGGACAACATGACGCTGCCCTTCAAGAAGCTTACCTACATGTACTCTGCCATTCAGACACTGGTCACTGAACACATCGGCAGCTGGAGAGGATTTGCTGATGCTTTGGGGTACAGAAACCTGTCTTTGGACTCCATCACACGGAGGTACACAGAGACAGAGGCTGATAAAGTGGCCTGTGTACTGGAGAAACTGAAAGAAGACTGCCATGCTGAGAGGACCAGGAAATTTCTGCATGAGCTCATGGTGGTAGGTTTAGGATACAGCAACCTTTAACATATAAGGAAACAATATTATTAAAGGATTAATGGAGTTAACAAATAATGGAGGGGGCAAGATTGACTGTTTCTCTCTGTGTTTATCCCTCAAGGGTCTTCTGAGGATGGATTCTGTGAATCTCGCGGCCCAGCTGATCCAGAACACTGTCATTCTGTCTACTGCTGTAGAGCTGGGATTTCGATGGCGGGAGCTCGCTGAGAAGATGGGGAAACTCTCCAGTGCTCAGATAGCTGGCTATGAAGCACCACACAGAGGGAAGAATGGTGAAGTCGGTTCTCAGGTATTAACACAGTTATGGGTTATGGGAGAAAATTCTGATCTTGTGGGATTTCTAATGTGCTTTGAATATTCCACATGACCTACCTCACTTTTTTGTGTTTCCTGATCTGTTTCAGGCAATGTGGAAGCCTGCCTATGACTTCCTGTACTCCTGGAGTCTGCGTTATGGAAATAGCTACAGAGACATGATCCAGGATCTGCACCTGGTCCTGGATAAAATGAAAAACCCTGCCACGAGACAGTGGAGGCAGCTCACTGGTGTTCTCATGACAGTGAACTGTCTGGATATCTTCAGAACCTCAGCATACCCAAATGCCTGAAACAAGATGAAAATGCACTCAAGTGAAGACCGTACCATCCGTACACCTGAGTCACTGAGATAGACAGGTTTTTGTCAAACACTATTTATGGGAGGAGGGTTTAGTGTTTGGTTTCAAAAGATGTGCCTTAAAGCTGTCTAAGTCATGGTCTCTTAAAGCTTATCATCAGCTACTGTCTGACGACAAACGCTTGCCTCTGGAAGCAACAACCCTTTGTTGAGTCTTCTGTTATAGTCTTATAATTTTAGAAAATAATAAAAAAAACCCAAGGCTACGGCATAAGGTTTTCTGTGCTGCTCCTTGTTAACAGTTTTGCTAGTAACTTCAAGATTGAAAGTGGAGTTCGAGTCAGTAGATGACATCTACAACTAGATTATCAGCTGCACTTATAAGCAAATGTGTTTTGGTATTGACAGATGTAAAGCTAGTCCTCAGATGATAGCTGGTGGGTCCAGGATTGGTTTTGGCTCATGCATTATCCCTCCCCACTTCTTTTGTACTTATGACCAATACCTTCAGAAACAAAAGTCATGTTACTGTAGTTAATGCTGCCAGTTTAAGTAAATTCCTCAATGAAGCTGTGTGGATATAGAGGTGGGGCCTCACATAACAGTTACCAAGTCCACTTTCATTCAGTCAGTTGTTTGTTACACAGAACTGAGGTGCTGATGTTACTTTGATGGTACTTGCCTCTTCTTGTTGTTGTTTAAAAGCTTTGCCTGCTTTGATTTTTACTCATTTATGAACAAAGCATGGGCATTTTATTGAAATTCACCAGATACTTGCACTACTATTTAGATCTCACTGGGTGAGTGTAAAATAAGGCATCACCATTTTTGAGCTGTGAAGGGTTGTTACCAAAGACTGTATATACTATGGACAACTTGGCTCCGCCTTCCGCCGTTATACAAATTTGAAGCCAAATTGCTCTCTGTATTTCGACACTTCCTGGAACCACCCCTGCACAGAAAAAAGAGCACAAACCAGTCTTACAGTAACTACGTGTCGACATCGCAACCATGGGGGAGAAAAATGTATATTCTGTGTAATAAATTTGTAAAATTTGTCCACAACTCCATAAGGTTTGCTGGCGGAGGCAGGATTTATGACCTATACTGCAGCCCGGGGTGCTGTTCTCGCAGAGGCTTCACCCAGCGAGGAGGCAGACAACGTCCATTCTATATACAGTCTATGGTTGCCACTAAGTCTTGGGAACAAAAAAATGAGCTGTAGTTTGACACTTTTTAGAAAATGTGATTAAGTTATGAAGTTGAATTTAGTGTTGGTGCGTAATTTATAGTCTAGTGTAGAAAATTCCTCGAGTCAGCCGCCCTGAGGATCAGTAATGTCGACTGATGTATTGACATCCAGAAACAATTTATTTAATGTTTGTACTTATTTACAAAAGGTAAAAGGCGGGTTTTTAAGCTACATATTTTGTTAGTACATTATGAGATTTCTAAAAATACATCATCCAAATCAACAAATTAATTTGGATCCTATGAAAATGGTTATCAGAGGGACTCTTAATTTTCTGTATAATGTGGCTAAAAGGACAAGGTTGGGATACTCTTAAATGTGAACACTGTTGCTAACTGACAATGCCAACAACTGCAACACTGCCATCTTTCTTTAGAAAAGTCAAAATGAGAATGTTTTACCAAAGTGAAAGTTTCCTGATACATGTACACGTAGAGCTTCTACTGCACAAGTGTCACAAACTATTAATGTCTTGAATATTATTGTATTTGCTATTTTTGTACTGTATTGAAATGTTTTAGATATGTAACAAGCAGAAAATTTTATGTGTTATACAATGTAAAGCTGCTGTGAGGAACTTTTGGTTGGTGTTGATTTTGGCACCCCTCTTTTAACTAAACTGTATCACTCACTGTGAATATTTACTTTGGAAAACTTTAAGAAAATGCTGTTTTTCCATGCTGTCGAACATCTGGTCTGACACTTACGCCCTGGCAGCTTGTTACAGGCTTTAAAATCTGCATTATTGCTGTCATGTGGCTGATAGTCCCACCGGATTTTAAAAGCATCATTATTAATTTCCATATGTCAGTTCAAAACTCCTCACTTTGGCTTAAAGTTACAAATTAACTGTTGATGTTTAATGTTTTTATGGCCATATTGAAATGTCATCATGTAGAGTGGTGCCATACAGCAAGCAGTGCCTTCAGAAGCTGAAAATGATTTATAGATTATCTTTAATACTGTAAGCAGATGTTTCGCATAAGATATAGTGAATAAATGTTTACTGCAGAAAACCAAATGATCTGTTTATCTTTTATTGTATAAGCTCATTTATAGAGTAGATAGATGTAGGCATTAATTTCCAGATCAAAATGCAATGAAATTGTAATTGCCTCTCCCAGGAGTGCTGAAAAAGAGAATACATACTAAAACATACTGAGTGATAAAATAGTTGATTTGGCTTTTTCATTCTCCCTGGTTAAACTAGAGTAAGTTCTGTGTAATATTTTGGCTCAATCATGTTTTAATTAGAACAACATCTGTGGTATTTGTAATCTTGTTAGCTAAGGGACACTGAAAAAAGAGACTTTCCCCTGAAGTGTTTTTCTCTGATTTTCTGTTTGCTTTTACCTGCACTGTTTGTTCAAGCTAGTTTCAGCAGAGAGCACTGTGCGTTGGTTTTCTCTACACTCACATTAACACACTGAATAGACTACATGAAAAACAAAATCAATTTATGTAAATGGTTTCAGTCAGCAGGTCCAACTGATTCATTTTTAGCTTTTTTCATCAACTACAACTACTTCTCTCTGACTACATTTCCCCTAAAATGTGTTTTGTAGTTGTGCACAGAGCTGCACAACTGCAATGTAGTATTACTGAGCAAATTTAAAATGTGTAAAAAGCATTTAAATGTGCAAGTCACATGTCCTAACTGAACCAAAATAAATGGATAAACTGTGTATAAAGCACTTAGAAACATTGAGAGGACTCCCTCAGATAAACCAACTACTCTGGTCTGTGAGCCCTGCTCTCACTGCATCCTTTATTAGAGGGAACAATGGTTCACTGTTTGGACGAGAGCTGACCTTGTGTGAGGGTCAGCTCAGAGGAAGGATTCTCTGTTAGTTTATCTACCTGACTCTCTGACTCAAACATCAGTGATAAACTATTAACAATAAGTTATACAACCAAACATTAATGATTAAATAGCTGTGAACATCTAAACTTCAAACATCATGGTTGGTGCAAAATCAGTACTATCAGGAGTTATCAAAATGTGAGAGAGCAATACATATGAATAAATTAATACAAATACAGAGCTGACTTATGAAAGATACATCAATAAAATCCAGATGAAAATGACTCAAATGTTCAAAAGGGTTTGCTGTTCTTTGATATTTCTGTTCAGTGCAGTGAAGTGTGTTTGAAGACATCTATAATGTAAAGGATGAAGCTTTGACTGAAGGACTGACTCAATGACTGGGTACAGAGTGAAACAAGTGAAAAATGTTTGTGGTTTCTGTTTTTTAAATGGACAATGCCTTTTCACGTCCCAATTTTTCAGATGCAGTGAGGCGTTTAACTTTGTTACTGATGAAATGTGACCACTTTTGTTCAGGGAGCTTTTTATAGCTGCAGTCTGAGAGTGCAGATAACAGCTTATTAGGATGAATGCACAAAGTTTCATATTTGTCCAAGACAAAGATTATTTCACATCTCTGACCTCAAACTCATTTATGTGGAATTGACTATCTTAAGGATCTGTTTTTTTAAGTACATCATGAAAAAAAAAAAAAGATTTATATACAAGGGTTTAATTTCACTAAACAAAAGCACTGCCACAAAGAATTCAGTGAGTGATAATTAGAGCGCCACATGAAGTCTGTCACAGTGCTGCCCTCCTATGGCCACACAGACACAACAACATAACTAACTACAAAACTATCACATTAAGATGTAAAACAGTCGCTCACTTGAGTTCAAAAACAACTACAAAAAACTAAAAACTCAACATTTTTATTTTCATCCTCTCATTGGGCTTTTGTCATAATTTTTTAAAGTAAGCATCAGAGTCTCTGTTCATTGTTATGGGCATTATTATTCTGAATGACTCACTTTGGGGTTGTCTGGTTTTCATTCAGTCCATCCATGAAAATAAACTAGGCCACAGCAGAGAGATCGCAACACGGGGCATACCGCACTGACTCATCCTCTTCTGGACTAGGCTGCACTTAAGACTCATCTTTTGTGGACTCTCAGGACAACAGTTTGTCTTATTTTTGCTGCTTCTCTTATAAAACACTATTTTTACATCATAAAAGAGTGGGCTTTATTATTTTCCACAAAGGTAATTTGGATAATTTACTGATCACACAGTGTGTTTGTATTCTCCAGATTATGGTTGTGTTTCTCTTCAGAGCTTTGTACCAACACAGGCCACTGCTGTTCCTCCTCACACTTTGTCACATTAATCCACACCACTGTCCTCCTCCAGCCTTTGAGCTTCAATATTCAACTGTACTAGAGAAAATACACTCTTTGCCCTCCTGTAAACTGTGTAAAGGATAAATGCACTCAAACGTACTCTTGCAAAATCTTAAGAGCATCCAGAAATGTTCAAATTTGACAAATGCATTGAGCTTTTTAAACACAACTATGGTTTGCTCTGTGTTGTTAAGAACACCTTTTGTTGTAGTCCTCGTTTCTTCTTGTAGGGCAAATATTAACCACAGATTGTGTTTTAACCTTCTATTCTTCATCATGGCAGTGATGAGACTTCACAGCAGTGTTAATCTCTGCTTATCAATTAGCTATGCTGATACAGGGGGGATAAGGAGGAGACTGGCAGGAGTTTTTTTATTTTCCTGTTCTTTCAGAAAGAAAAGCAATGACACTGTTGTTTTATCTGGCGCTTTCCCCGGCTACTTAAAATCAAGAAACACTTACTTTTACCTAAATTTTTCATGTAAAAATATGCTATGTTGACATTTTTTAACATAAATAAATACAAAATA